GGAAAAGGATAACTGGGTAACTTAAAAAAAAAACACACCTCGAAGCTCATATCAAGAAGTCTTGAACACCAGCCCTCGAGACTGGCCTCAAGCTCGGCGATTTGTTGTTGCTACCGAAGCAGAGAAGCAAGTTAGATAAGCATAGCCACATAAACTGGAGGCGCGTCTATCACGTACGTTGTTGTGGGAGTGTGCCCTTTTCCACTTCGCATAACCTTTTAATGACGCTTCAATCAGTGTAAAGTTTGAATCTACTTGCAAAACAGGCATCGAGTGCTTGAAATAATTTTGTTCTTAACTGTGTTAGCTTTTTACTTCAGCCATAAGAGTGGTGGCAGTTGCTTCTTACTGTTAAATGGAGGCTGTCCATCATATAAATGCTGCAAAACTTGCTCAGTCTGTCCTAGAATATAAGATACCGCGTCGACAAGCTTGAGCTGTACGATGGCCTCTACAATCTGTGAGCTATAGCGGCGATAATTGCCTAAGAAGGCGTGGCGCTCGGGAATCGTATCGGTATCCTCCATCAGGAAGATAAATGTTGGATTAGTGGTGTCAGAAGGAAGATTTTCGAATCGAACAAGTCTAGAGCTGCAGACCTCAAGGAGAGGTCCAATCATAGGTGTAACAAGATCGCTTGGGCCGATATACTTGTTCGCAAGGAGCCTTGTCCACGTTACCAAGACCGGGATTGAGACCATGAGGCTTTGATGTTGTACTACTTGGAGCAAAAGCTGCAAGAAAGCCCGGGGATTCGCGTCATGAGGAACCTGGGAATGCTTCTTCTCAAAGTAATCGCCCAAGCTCGATAGCATCTATTGTCAAGACACTTGTAAGTGGTCTAGTATGTGTATAAGGGTAGGATTGTAGGCGTACCTCAGATAGCTTCTTTAAAATCTGGTATTTGTCCTCATCGATGTCGTCTGCATCGACGGCTGACCTCTCAATGAGCTCTTTGAAGAGTTGAATGGACGCGCCGGTGTACATGGGAGCAACAATCTCCCTGAATTCATCATCTGTGAAGCTGGTTCGCATATACAGCATGTGCAGGGCGTCTACAGCAACCTATTGGGAGGACTCGTTAGCATGAAGCATAGGAAAAACCACCCGGTAATATTATAAGACTACCTTTTGAATTTCGATTGATTGGGATGCTAGGCCGGCTGTCAAGATGTCCACACAACGAGCAGACGATATAGCTTTTGGAATGGCCCAGGCCAGAAGTGATAGGAGAGCTGAGAATCCCTTGATGATACAAGTCTTGATTTCATCGTTCTGAGTGCCAGAGTTGAAACACATGCCCAGGAACTCTGAAAGACGGGCGAGCCAGCCCTCGTGACCACACCGAACGTCTGGGCCGGGCTGGCGGTTGGGGAAAGCTTCAACTAGCACTGCCGTGGGAGTGAAGATCTCGACACACGCCTTGCTCAAGACACCTTCTCTCATGGCAACAACAGGGTCATCTCCGGAGAACACCTCGTCTGAGAGAGATTCTAGAATAGACATGACAAGCTCCTTGTGGACGGCTGAATTGGGAATCTTCCATATTTCAGCAAGCATGTCGTCCATATCTGTCCACTCGGAGCCCCAGCTTCTCTTGGCCACTTCCACCCAAAGCTGGGCCGTCTTATTTCTCAGATATGACGGATCCTGCTTCGAAACGGCTTGGCTGAGCTCCAGCACCCAGTTCCGAAGTGTCTGGGCCTGCTCCTCTGTATAGGTCGCCCATCGATATCGTATAGCGTGCTCGAGAAGCGACAGGGCATAATGGCGAACAACGGGCGATTGGGTCTTGTCGGAGGCGAGCTGGTAGCCCTGGAAAGGAGCTTCGGCGATGTCCTTGACTTCCTCGAGGAAAGATTGGGCTTCCCGACGCGCGTCATTGGTCGAGAGCGGGCTGTGAACCACCTCGAGCGCCAGGTGAATCTTGGCGAGCACATCTGCATCTCCGCCGTTTCTCGCGTCTCCGCCGTTGGTAGGCATGCTTGATAATCAGCTGCGGTGGCGAGCAGAATCGCTGCAGGATGGACGGGTTCTGTCGCGGCTGCACGCGGCGCAAGACGGAGATGCTCTGTCCCACGAAACAGCCTCGAGAGTGTGAAAGTGAATTCAGACGTCGGTCGGCTTGGGCACGATCATCGGGGTTTGGCTGCCGTTCACTAAAAATAAAAAGAGCAGGGGTTTAAAAATATTGCGTCCGGTTATTTGGGGGTGACAGCTTTTCGGCAGCAACAGGGCTAGCGGGGCTCGATTCGTCAGGACTGAGGCGTGCGGATGACTCAACTGCTGCTATGCATGAAGGATGAAGAATTAAAAGGCGTGCAGAAGAATTGGCCGACGAGAGAGGCTGGGTATGTCGACGAGCAAACGACGAAGGCGGTCAGCAGGCAGAAAGATTGTGCTGAGTGAGGATCACGCCGCGCCAGTTGCAAGCAACCTGTACCTTGAAGCTCGCGCTGGCAGGTTTGGCAAATTCGGGTAGGTACCTGGGTAGCTTTTTAGGGGACCTCAATCTCGTCTTTAGGCCGGAGCTGGCGGTTAACAGAGCCTTCAGCCTCTGCCAATCACTACATGTAGGGTATCACTCGCACCAATTCTCTACAGGAATGAAGCCTCGTCAGCCTCAATCTTTGTCCCTATTGAGGTCGTATGCGGCTGCGGTACCACAACGCTGCAAGGCTGAGAGTAGGCCGCGGATACATCGCCGGGACGGAATACACGCCAGACACCGGTGGAGCCTGTGCTAGCATTCAGTCTCCAGTGGAACCGCTGCAGCCCAGTGGAGGTGGTGCGCGATGCAGCGGTCGATATCCATCTGGCTTATTGCTCCGTACCGTACCTTGTCTGGCCGATCAGCAAAGTAGCACCTCTGCCGAATGCACCCCGCGCCGGACGCTTTGATTTAACCGGAACTGATCAAATGTCTAGCTTGCTTGGCTTCCCTCCGTCTTCTAGAAGGAGGCTGGAGATGGTACTCCTACTGCCGAACTACAGACCCAATACGGCATATCGCCCACTTACCTGTTGGTTGATTCAAGCAAGGATTTGTCATTTACCATCACGATAACGTCGGATCGCCCACAATTCATTCCATCTAGTCTCATATTATCGTCGTGGCTCATACTCCCACAGGCAGAGCAGTTTATCATAGAAGCTGGTCGACACAATGCGTATCCTCCCGTCCGCCGTGGGATACAGGCTTGAAATGTCCGAGGCATAATTCATGCTCGTATGTTCTTCAAACCGGGCCAAGACTACGCAATTCCAACTCTGGCCGCTGTTGTCCGTCACGACCTCGACGAGCCTGGCTCCAGCGTACATGCAAGAGGCTAGGATTCGAATCTTCGTCGAACTACCCACCGTCTGGATATCGACCAGCTTCAGCCTCCATACACCACCGCCGAGGTTCGCATCTGTTAGTAGCTGCACACGCTTTAAGCCATAGGATTCGTGAAGATCATGAATGGCAAAGACTCGAAGATGGTCGTCGTAGCTACCAGTGACAACTATTCTACCATGATCTTGGGCTGATAGCGGCAGGGGCAGGGGCAGAATCGCTGTAACTCCTGCATCATGCTGTCCCTTTATTGTGATGGGCCCAAATGGCACATTTAAGATTGATGATGAATCGCTTTGGCCATCAACCCCCTCCCAGTGACAAGTCGTATATCGAAGCGCAGAGTCGTCTCCCCCGCAGTAGACCGAGATTGGCTGGTTTGTTGCGTCTGAGGTAGCAGCAGCTGGAGAGAAAGCTATGCACCAAGCTTCAAGAGAGTTTTGAATATCCACATCGGCTAATTTTGCAATCTTCCACTCGTCATCAAGCAGCAGCAGTCTTGCTAGGCCGGTGGAGGTAGTGACCCCAAGAACCCTGTTGGCCACTGGGTGCCAATTGCATTGCAGAAAGAGAACATCTTCATCCAAATCATCGCATCTGCTGGTGACAAGATGCTGCAATGGTGCGCTGGCATCTTCAAGCGGATCGAACTTGAACACGGCAAGGGTTCCGGTACTTGACACCACCGCCAAGATATTGTGGAATTCCGGCATGTTCTGGTAGAAGCGAAGATCCAGCAGAGCAGAGGGCTGCATGACAGTCTGCACTATCGATCTATTTTCCTCACCAGCAGTTAGTGGCCCGACAATCTCGTAACTCTACTAAGCAGACATCCAATGTCACATTTGCAGCCTTACATGTCGTCGCCTTCGATCTTGAGAACGACAAGGCTGCCATTCCGGCTCTGGGGCTTGGGAGCTGCCGGAACGTCGCCCTCCTCTTGAGCATCCGCTGCTGCTGCTGCCTCGGCATTGTCGTCCTTTTGCAAATTGTACGTGCCCACGACCAGATACTCGGGGTGCACCGGGCAAAACTCAGCACAACTCGGCGGTAGATCCAGTATCAGAGACCGCAGCGAGGCGATGGGCGTTAATTCTTCCATGCTTGGCAGCTAATACCGGCAGTGAGACAGACAAGGAGATGGCAGGACAGTCGGCAGCTCAGGTTGAATACGTCATTCGCCTCATGCTTGCCTTTGGGAGCCTAGAAAAAGAAATTCGCACGCAACGGTGCAAGGCATGAAAAGGCTTCTGGCAGCCTGTGGCGTGCAGTGGAGCTTATCGGATGGCTTCCCGCCAGCCCGCGCAGCATTAACTGGGGACTGGAGTGGCAGGGGAGGCTCGTTGTAAACATGAACCATCAGCATGGATGGACGGGCTACAGCATCTATCACATATAGCAAACGATCCCCGCGTCAAGGTTTTCATCTTTGGCTTTTCTCCCCCAGCAGTCATTTTGTCCTCTTTTCCCGGTTCCATCTTCAACTTGGCCTGAGAGTAGGCGTTGCAGTCTATTTGACGCCATACCGCAACCTTTGATAGCTGCGCCAGGTACCTGAAAGCTCTGGCATCTGTACCGTGGATACTCGTTTCTGGGCGACACGCACACTGAGAACGCGACCCGGCTCAGCTTTTTCTCGCGCCAGCTCCAGTATTTTCGAACTCCAACGAATTAGCCACGCCTAGTGGCATCGATTTGCTGTGGCGGTGGTGCCGGTGTTGACTAAAGTGCGGCGCGGGTAGCTCAACGCCGCCATGGACAGCGACGAATCCGATTTCTATGGTTGGTATCTCGGACTTGCTTCGTTTGTTGCAGCAAAAACAAAAACAACATGTGCATATTCTGACCACAGAGCTAGGCGATGAGGAAACCACATCAAATCTCTTGCAGCGGGTAGCCGACTTCGACGTGGATGAATGGGCCCTGCAGCAACGAGTGCATCCGGGCCGGCCCCTACAACAGACAGATTTCCTCGAGGAGGCCTCGCACCTACACAACCCTTATTCCGGGATTCCCTACGCCTGGCAACTCACAGAGACGATAGACCAGTTCCTCTCACGGCTGCCACCATCAACAACTGATCAGACGCTCGAGGTACCATGGATATATATATGCAATCCCTATATCCCGAGAGTGCACAAGCTGGAGAGCCAGGGCCAGTTCTCCAAAGGGAATGAGGACGAAGCACCAGAGGAAGAGGGTAGTAAGACAGCGATAGTCGCTCAAGGAGGCTTGGAGCGGCTTCATTTAGTCAGCAAATTTATCGAAGGAATGCAGAGGTCAGGCAAGGGAAAGTCCGTTGTCGACAAAGAGATTAGAAAAGAGCAGAAACAGGCTGTCGACGACATTCTGAACCTGGCTCATCTCGCCAAGGTCCGAACAGGCAAGGTATGACTCATCTTGATATATGACCTCAGGCACAAATGGCGGCCTCTTTACTGACAGCGTACTGTTCCTAGTGGCTGCTCTTCTGCCCTGCTTCGGAGGTAAATGAAATGTGGGAGATTGTTGCAAAAGCTACTGCAAACAACGAGCTTGGTATTGCTGCTAAGGTTTTGCCGCGGTCGCCATTGGAAGACCCTCGCAAAGATCGTATCTTGTGTGTTTACACGGCAGACTTTCGGGACAAGACCGACGTTGGGCGTGTCTTGCAAACGCTTCGGGAGCTAAGACTGGTCGAAGCTAGGGGTCGTCCAATCTATTATAAACCAGGCAAGTTCTCTGCTCTACGGTACCCTTTGCGAGGCTGATTCATTAACGTTGTAAAATAGATGCCTTTACATATATTGGCATCTCCTCTGGCAATGCGTGGGGCGTAAGAGCCTCCATTTACAGCTCTACTGATGTGTTTCCGCGCCGGGCATGAACATGATATTAATCAAATAGGTACAATGTTGGCGCAAGTTGTATGCTAGCTAAAAAGTTTGCAAAGAGTATGCTATGTACATACGGATATAACCAAGAGGATATGACTATCAGTACCTATAAAAAAGACCGTACAGTATGCTATAAGATAAATAGATATCATAAAATGCTAAAACGCCGGTTTTGAGTAATGCCTCATCATAAACCACGCACTGCACCATCTCACGCCGTCCCATATGCCGCATCTCGAACAGCCCGATGTGCCTTCTCTTTCCATGTTGCCAGCGATGCAGCAGATAGACCTCGACATAACGATGGCACCGTAAGCTCACATTATGTGATTTGGCTCTCATCATAGATGGAGCTTCGATCTGAGTCCACTGCTTTCAAGAGGAGGACTAATCGATAAGCGCTGTTCCCATTCAGATAGTATCGATGCAGCTTCTTCGACCGTATGAAGCCAAGCTGTTCATACAGCCTCATGGCAGGCGTGTTTGTCTCCTCTGTCTCCAGTACAATCTCATCGGCATTGCGGTCTACCATGGCCTCGATTGCCTTTTTCACCAGGGCGGTGGCAATCCCCCGCCCGCGGAAATGTGAGGCCACAGCCAGCATGGCAATGTACCCGCGACGAGTTGGAGGCGAGTGCGACGAATGAACCTCGAGCTTGCAGATGATGACGCCGATGAGTGAGTCGTCCTCGGGGTCCAGGGCCTGATGCAAGCTCCATCAGCTTTTCTGTAGGGGGTAGGTGAGGCCGTCGTAAAAGCGACTTACCATGAAGCAAAGATGAGACCACTGGTAGAGAAAGTACCGGTAGACGTAGATGCTGTAGGGCTCACTCAGGTCTTTTGAGATGAGCGACCGGATGGCTGGGAGGTACTGGCCTTCAAGCCGGTGCTCATACTGCACATATTCCAAGTCGGCGGGCAGCTGTTTGCCCGATGAGACCGCCATGATATCTATCCAATTCTGCTGGTTTGGCGATGAAATCTGAAATCTGGCTTAAAAGCGGTCTGTATGCCAAACAGCTTCTAATTCCCTCTTGTGTTTAGTTTTTCTCTCCCTGGACTCTTACCCTCTCCGACGAATGACTCAACCGTCGGCTGATGAGTCGACGATACGAACGAATAGCCAAGGTGGCAGCCAACCAGGCAGCCCGGTCAGCATTGGGCGGGAAGAATTAAAGACTGAGAAATCCTTCGACAGATTGCCCGGAACAGGAAAAAGGCGCTGCTGGGCTGACAGGCACTTTTTTGGCGCTGTGCTGCGCTTTAGTCTGACTAAAGAGCCAGACCCAAGTCTCGGGTGGATCGTCGGGCGAACTGCCTTTGTGTCAATCACATGCTAAGCTGCCAAGCTAGATTCTCAGATCGGACCCGCGAAGTTCATGCTTGACTTACCGGGCTTCAGCAACACGCCGCAGCCAATGGGACGGGCTGCTACAAGGCTCCGGGGGTCGATTCGGGGCGCCGATGTTGCGTATAACAATTTAGTTTATCTATTGTTGCCTAGGTATATATTTGCTGTTTTCAGCTAATTTATTCCTCGACATGTCTCTTGTCTACTCTCATCTTCTATACGGGAACCAACAGGCGCCTCGAGGTCATTTTAGCGGCTCTTTCACAGCGCTGGCAGCCACTAATAATAGCGGATCCCTTCCCGTGCTGCTGGATTAATTGCTCTTTAGCTGCTGCGGAACACTGAAAGCGTTGACGTCAGTTCAGCCACCACAGCCTGGACCCTAAAACAGTCTCACATCTACTTTGTTTTGAAGTTGCGCGGCTTCGCCTTTGAGAAGCCGAGTTTCCTCCCTTGGCCAACAGGATATAATACCATCTGCGCACCTTCTTTTCGACCTGCTGCATCGTTTGGAGGATCTTGGTGCTCGCGGCTTGCCTCACAGGCCTCGATCATGGCCACCACTCTTCGTCGGCGCATTCCGCCGGAGACGACACCGGCCGAATCCGCCGACGACTCGTCGAAAGAAGACTCTCCGCCAGTCCAGCCAACATCTCACGTCCATGTGATTGAACGGGGCCACAAGGCGCGCAAGCGTCGCAACACCTTCATCTTCCTGTTGGGCGGCCTATGTGGTCTCCTTGCGGCGGGCTTCTTTGCAAAGACAAATGACTTGATCGACCTCCCCGAGATTACGGAACTCACCATGGACAGTTTGCTTGATGTTATACCCGCCGGCTTCATCAAAGACATGCGGGATCTTGCACAGGGAGAGCGTGAAATCGCGTCTTCCTACGATGCGTTTGCTGTGGGCCTGAAGGCTCGGGCTGAGGGTCTAGAAGCGCATCATCCCATGATCATGATACCTGGTGTCATCTCGACGGGCCTCGAATCCTGGGGGACAGCTAATATCTCGAGACCCTATTTCCGAAAGAGGCTATGGGGAAGTTGGACCATGATGAAGGCATTAGTTCTCGACAAGGAGATCTGGAAGAGGCATATCATGCTCGATAAAAGAACCGGGCTTGATCCGCCCATGGTGAAGTTACGCGCAGCACAGGGGTTTGATGCAACCGATTTCTTCATCACAGGCTATTGGATATGGAGCAAAATCTTTGAAAACTTGGCCACCATAGGATACGATCCCACAAACTCCTTCACAGCTGCATATGACTGGAGACTGTCTTATCCTAACCTCGAAGTCAGAGACCAGTACTTCTCCAGGCTAAAGTCATACATCGAGACCGCAGTCGAGTTCGAAGGGCGCAAAGTCGTCCTTGCCTCGCACAGCATGGGAAGCCAAGTCATCTTTTACTTTTTCCATTGGGTCGAATCGGACCAGGGCGGCCGCGGCGGAGAGGACTGGGTGGACCGTCACGTCGACTCTTGGATCAACATCAGCGGCTGCATGCTGGGCGCGGTAAAGGGTCTTACGGCTGTATTGTCCGGAGAGATGCGCGACACGGCGCAGCTGAACGCGCTGGCAATTTATGGCCTGGAAAAGTTTTTGAGCAAAGAAGAAAGAGCGGAAATTTTCAGAGCCATGCCAGGCATTTCTTCGATGCTGCCTCTCGGAGGCGACGCAATTTGGGGAGATCTGAACGGAGCACCAGACGATCAGCCCGAACAAACACTTTCCTACGGATCTTTTCTCAACTTCCGAGTCGGCTCAAATTGGACGACTCCAGATCGAAATTTTACCGTGCGGGACTCTATGAGCTATCTCTTTAACACGACCGAGGATTGGTACACCGACCAAATCAAGCGCAGCTATTCCCATGGAGTTGCCCACACCGCTGCAGAAGTTGAGGCAAACGAGAAGGATCCTAGAAAATGGATCAATCCACTTGAGACGAGACTTCCGCGGGCGCCAAATCTAAAGATATACTGCTTCTATGGCGTTGGAAAACCTACAGAGCGGTCCTATTTTTACCGAGCACCTGATCAGCCGATCATGACTAATCTCAACATCACCATCGACGTTGGATACACCGAAGGGACGGCTGATCATGGTGTTATTCTAGGCGAGGGAGATGGAACCGTTAATCTCTTGAGCACCGGATACATGTGCAATCGTGGCTGGCACATGAAACGGTATAACCCCGCTGGAGCTCATGTCACTGTGGTAGAGATGCCTCACGAGCCTGATCGATTTAGCCCGCGGGGTGGCCCCAATACTGCTGACCATGTTGACATCCTGGGAAGACAGACGCTCAACGAGCTGATCTTGAGAGTCGCAGCAGGCAAAGGCGAGACCATCACGGACTATGTCGTCAGCAAGATTGGGGAATATGCAGACAAGGTGAAGATTTACGAAGAAGACGAAAACAACAAGAAGAATAAAAAGAAGAGTTCATAGCACGGCCTCTTTGGTTTGATGTCTTGGGTAATAATCTGTCCGGCAAGCCTCGTTGGGATGGGATGGGCGATTCGGAGTCTGGCGTGGGGAGCCGTACAAATGCAACAGGAAGAAAAAGAGAAAAGGAAAAGGAAAAGGAAGCCGGTAGAATGCTGGTTTCATGATAGATAATACCCCCCCCCCCCCCCCCCCCCCGATATTACAAATGCACATACTACAGGCAAGATACCAGTAAATACGATAAAATATGGATACAAGGAGATAGCCTCAACAGTGGGTTCCTAGAAATGAGAACATTGAAGACTATTTCCCTTGGGTGTCAGAAGTTATTGTCTCCTTATAAGCGGTGCGCAGGGGCTTGATCGTTTATTTTGTCTTATCTATGTTCGGGACAAGGGATGGAGAAATGACTACCGAATAGGCGGAACCTGTTAATGCTATAAATAAAGAAGCAATCAAAGCGATGAAAGCACGTATAAATCCAGAGAACTATTCAAAGCTGTACATGTTCAAAACAACCGTCTATCAAGTTCAAAGCTCGTAGCATTGAACACCCATTTCTACTGGATATGCTGTTCAACTGCCGTTATCATTCGTGCATATGTGCCTATTTAAGCCGGGCGCGTTCCCTGCAGATAGCCAACGGGAGCCCCCGTCCATGAATTTAGCAGCGCGCAACGTTAGTGGTCCATAGCCCTGAAGTTTTTTCCCTTTCAGCGCCACCGTGCATGCGCTATGCCTGCTGGGTGACATCAGCTAAGTCATTCGAAATCAATCCCGAAGCATCGCCTTTCTTTTTCCAGTCCTCACTCGCTACCCCACACAATCCAACTGGGGCCTTTGCATTCCGCTCGCATCCCGAGCAAAGACACTCCTGGTCAAAAATCAGGAGCCCCTTCTGGGTCGTGGGTTTTCGGGCGACGGGCGCGCATTTCCTTTTCTCGACCTGCCATTTCCCGGAATCCAGGGCTGTTTGTTTGAATTTTCCATTTCGCCTCTTGCAGCGTCGTCGCCAGCCTGTTTCGCCAACCGCCAACGAACCTACCAACCTGGTCTGCGCAAAGGGCCCAGATGCAGTCGCAGCCACGAGCTGCGGGACCTGGCAGCCATGGCGGATTTCGAAGAGATGGTGCCCTCTCCTCTGTCTGTGGAGGAAGAGGATGAGCTGTGGACGGGTACGTTGAAATTTTTGTTGAAATTGGTTCAGTGACGAGTCAGGAGTTATCGAGAGGAGAGGCACTAATTCTACTCTCTAGAACTCGACAAATGCGTCTCGGAACACTGCGAAAGCCACGAATCCATTGACGATGCCCTCCGTTCCTGGCTGAGCCTGACGACCCAACTTCGCGACCAGCAGCCGCAGTCGCAGGATGAGGTCATCATGTGCGCGCAGATCCTGCTGAACAGCGACATATTCCGGCAGCACAAAGAATACGTCCGTAAGCAGCTCATCTACAGTCTGCTACAGGAGGACGAGGCCGGGCCTCTGCACGCGATAGTCTCTCTGCTCTTGCTGGACGGCCACAAGGACGAGGGGACGTTTCCGCGCATGATCCAGGAGGCCTGCTTCCCCCGCCTCCTCGAGCTGATCAGGCAAGAAAAGGATGGCGACCCGCGACTCCATCGCTTTCTGCTGCAGCTGATGTATGAGATGTCGCGTGTGGAGCGGCTGACACCGGAAGATTTGGCGCTGGTCGACGATGATTTTATCCACTTTCTGTTTGGCCTAATCGAAGGCGTGTCTAGCGATGTCAATGATCCATATCATTACCCAACCATTAGAGTATTGGTAAGTGGTTTTTCTATTTTTACATTGAGCGGGCCACCTGGCCGTCATCTCATTCTCGCGCGTGCTGACAATTCATGGTAGCTTGTCCTGAATGAACAGTACATGCTTGCATCCACAGACACTGTTACGGTCCCCGGATCGGCCCCCGAACCGCTGACGAACCGTATTGTCAAATGCCTGAGCCTCCACGGGCCATTGTTCCGAACATTTGGAGAGAATATCATTCTGCTTCTAAATCGAGAGACCGAAACGTCTTTGCAGCTATTGATCCTCAAGCTTCTATATCTTCTATTCACCACGAAAGCGACATATGAATACTTTTACACCAACGATTTACGAGTGCTACTAGACGTCATTATTCGAAATTTGATGGATCTTCCCGACGAAAGGATGTCTCTTCGGCATACATACTTGCGAATTCTATACCCCTTACTAGCGCATACCCAGATGAATCAGCCGCCGCACTACAAGAAGGAGGAAGTTCTACGCTTACTTAAAATCCTGAGAGGCTCGCAGAACGCCCACTTTGCGCCCGCTGATCCGACAACTCTGCGATTGGTGGACCGAGTGTCCAAAGTCAAATGGCTAGTGGATGAAGACGACGTAGATTCCGAAGCGTCAGGACAGGCAGAGGTCGCTCGAAAGCTCCTGGGCATGAGCCTGTCGCCAAGGCATTCATCTAGCAGTGTTAGTGTCACTGATGTGGCCGAGGTCACGGAGAAGCCAGGCGTGCAGACGCCGAGTCGAAACGGCATGAAGCCAGTGGCCGAATCAGTCGAAGACGATGGTGAAAGCAAAACCAAGAAGCCTGTACCAGCAGTGCCCAAGCACAGACATGGCATTCCCTTTAAGCATTCAGCTTCGGCCATTAAGCATTCTGCTACCGTACATATCAGCAGCGTTACGTCGAAAAAGGTGCCGCCAAAGGCACCACCCCCTAGACGACATGGCAAAGTGAGAATGGCAGAAACGTCATCGGATGAACATCTGGCAGGAACCGTAAACTAAGGGAACCTGACCGAAAACATGCCATACTATATCCGTTGCTCCTTTTTAATTCTTTAATCATAGTGCTTTTGCTTTCGAATTTTTTTTTTCTTTTCTTCGCTTTTCTTGCGTTTGTTCATTTGTTCATCTGTTCACTTGAACGTTTGCTTGCTTGTTTCTGAAACGGTCGTTTGGAAATTGGCCTCAAAGAGCAGAGCTAGAGCTCGCAGACATTGACCAAGGCATGGGTTCACACCTTGGAAATGCGCGTCGTCAATGGCTTTCCGGAGTTTTTGGAGTATGATTTGCAGAGTAACACGGGGATTTTTTCAACTCTCGAACTTGAGATCAGCGACAGGCCGGTCAATTGCTTGACACGAGAAACATGAGTAAATGGGAAATACCTGGCAGCATAGACAAGACGGTGTTATCGATCAGGCTTTTTACTTGTCTTTGTTGTACATATGCACGCACATAGGTAACGGTGTCTTACTATTAGGTATAGGTAATGCCTGGGGCAAGAGGCAAACAGGCAACGGGGCAATTTGTTGCGTATTGTTACTTTGGGCGAATATAATTTTTGTTGCTTTTTCCAGGCTTTGAATTAGATTGCTCCGTAGTGGGTGTATCGCATGCGATATTTGAGGGTTTGCCTGGTGCTTTTATAGGTAACTTGGGCTCTGTTCTTGATAAAAGTAAGATAGAGGCGCAAATTCGGGCTTCCGATGATCCGACAAGCCGCCAAGTACAGTAGGGCCTGTTGGTACCCAGGAATTATATACGGATATACGGTTATAAGTTCAGGAATTGTCCCTCATGTAGTTTGATAGTGTCCGAAAAGTTATATAATCTGGGCCGAGCAGCCGACGAGGACCGCATGTACTCATCAGAATGAACACCAGGATGAGCATTTAGGTGGTACCAATGCAACAAAAGCATGCACGTTTGTTCAATGGATGCTGTCACAGCCTCGTGCGATGCGGGGAAAAAATGGAAATGTACGCCCAGATTTACCAGATTCCATGTTTTTGCCCAATTCCAAAGCACGATGGCCAAGACGAAATGGACCACTCAGAGCAGAGACATGCAACATTTAGGAATCTTTGGGGTGGAGAGGAGAGGAGGCCAAGTCTGGGCGGTGGGGCGTGGCTTGTGCTTCGGGGACGAACTAATACGTCATTTTTCTCGATTAGAAAGAGGCAGCCAGGCCTTGGACGGAAGCAGCTGAAAAAAAAAAAGAGGACTGATTTGATTGATTTGACATTCAGTAGGTAAACTATAGGCAGTTTTGACAGAAGCTAAAAACGTGCTGGAGGAGCCCACATGAAGATGGGCGTCAAGGGACTGCCCTGTAAATGGCCGTGACGATGTGTGCGGGTTTGTGCATTGGCGAGAGCGGGCATTGGAGCTCTCTCGCACCGATCTGGCCCATGTTAGGGGATCAGTAGCGCCTGGATGGGGTTCAGCGGCGAGGAGCTATGGGCTCAAAGGGGAACAGGTGATGAGCATTACTGGGGTAGTGGCCTTGTTAGATAGAGGCAGCAGAGACAGATGACGGTGATAACGAGAGGAGAGAGGTGAGACGCGGGGGCTGGTTGCTGAGCCCCTTGGGTCGGGACGCTCCGTAAGGGGGATTGATTACAACGAGGAGAATCATGCCCAGTAAAAGAATTACACTGCTGACGGAGTGCTAAGCATGCAATTAGCTACAGGAATCACACGCACCTTGATGGATATGCTACCTGTAGCTTCCAGATGGTTGTATTCAGCGGTTGATTCTGATGCATATGCTGGCTGGAAGAGGCCCTGCCTGTCATGTCGCTGTCATGCAGTTTCAGGCTTTCAGCGCCATGCACCTCGTACCTAGCTCGCGCGCTCTACTTGCCCGTGACCCTCGTCGCCAATGCAAGCACTACACGGAGTGCAGGTATCGACCAGGTTCCTGCGCTAGCGCCTCCCCTCTTTTTTTCACTTGTCCTCTGCCGCTGCGCGCAAATCAGATTCCACGTTTGGAGAGAGTGTCCAAGTTAGAGACGGTGCATGCCACGATGTGCGGGGCGAAGCATGTGCGTGTACATAGTATATGTAGCAATGTGCTTCGATACGGCGATTCCGGTAATCGTTGAAAAAATAGAAAAGAGATCCATGCACGCTGCAAAAGCTCAAAGAGTTGCTGGTACATGCCATTTTGGTCGTGTACCCGTGCAACACGAGTCATCTCACGCTTTGTCCGTATTTACGCAGTGCCCGGGCCTCTTACACTCTTGCTCTTACACTCTTTTATACACCTTCCACTTACACTCGTTGCACAGCCGAGGACGAAACACGCGCTGGTTTGTTTCGTGGCCTGTGGCTCAGCGGCACCAAAAAAATTTCAATTGGCACAAAAAGAAGAAAAAGAAACAGGAAGAAAAAGAACAGCGGTTCCTTGTACCTGTGGCCTCGCTTCCCTCTCTCTGTCCAGGTATTTCTTCGTTGTGGCGCTGCCCGTGGTTGGGATCCCAGAAGCGCCTTTTTTAGCAGCTCGTCATTGCGTCAACCCCAGCAGGCGACGCTGCAGTGTCTCTGATCTATTTCGCCCTCCCCACCACCCACAGACGCCATCTTTTGCGTGCCTCTGTGATCGTCCGCCCACGTCTGTCGTCACTCGCTAGGTCGTGCGAGGCGAAACCTTGGCCAGGCGCGAGCTTGGCTGCGCATCCATATTAGGAGCAAACTATAATTATTTGGCTTGCTTGACTTTTTGCTTCTCTCTAGCTGTTGCTCCTTTACCCTGAATTCTCGCTCTGCCTTTGCTCAGCTCTACTAAGCTCAGCTCAGCTCAGCTCTTTATTCTTCTCTCCTCTCCTCTCCTCCTCCTCCTCCTCCTCCAACATCGTCATGGATTATCCGCCTCAGACCCAGGGATTGACACCTCATCCCGCCGATCTGAATCCGCCTCCAGCACTCAATTCCTACCAGCAGCCGCTGCACTCTCAATCGCAGCGCCATCTATCCGGCTCACCCTATTCCCAGAGATCACGACGGCCGCTGTCCTACCAGCCGCAGCCCACCTACCTCGACGCCGGCGGACGCTCGAATACCTCATCACCCCACCGACGCCAGAGCCCCGTTCCTGGCCGCTTCACCGAGGAGTGGGACGCCAGCCAGCGCGGCAGCTCGATCCTCGACAATCGCCGCGGCCGCGACTCGCCCGTCATGTCAGCGTCTGGAGCAGGGCCGGCCGCCATTGGAACGGCTGCCATGCAGCGCTCCAGCTCGGTCAACAGCTACGCAGCCGGTGATGATCGCGGTCTTCCGCAGAGGGGCAATACGCTGAAGAAGAAGGCCTCGCTGCGACGGAGCGGCACTGGCAGCTTGGTGCGATCCAGCAGCCGGCGCAGCGCACGAGCGGGCAGCGTCAAGAGCCTCATGCTTCAAACTGCCGACGCCGACGAGCTTCAAAGCCCATTCTACTGCCCTGTACCAACGACCGGCAATCCTACTGATGTCCTTGCCGCCAGATTCCAGAGTATGTTACTCCCTCTTCTTCCCTCCTCTCATACCTTGCATTAGGCCTTGGCGCATTGCCATTTGCTACGATGTGAGCAGTGTATATCAGCCGGCGCTAATCTCATGCGACACCAACAGCCTGGAGGAAAATCTTGAAAGATCTCATTGCGTACTACCGCGAAATTCAAACCCACTACGAGCAAAAGGCAAAGTCAATTACCAAGCTGTCCAGCGTCTCGAACAATATCGCAACCCCACCTTCATTTCTCCAAACTGCCGGACTCGACGATGCCCTGCAAATGATTCGCACTTACAATAAGACGGCCCTCCAAGAGGCTACAAAGGCGAAAGAGATTGAAGAAGATGTCATACTAGCCCTTACCGGCTTGAGGAGTGATTTGCAGCAGAAAATCAAAGAAATCAAGCACCTAGCTGGCGACTTCAAAAACAATGTTGAGAAGGAGAAAGAGGCTACAGGCAGAGCAGTCAAGGCTCTGTCCGAAGTCCTGGGAAAGTCCGAGATGGACTCTTCCAACACGACCGGCAAGCAGGATCCCTACCTCCTTAAGCTGGCGGTCGATCGCCAGATTGAGCGCCAAATCGAAGAAGAAAACTACCTGCATCAGGCCTATCTCAACCTTGAGGGCTCTGGTCGTGAGCTAGAGTCCATCATTGTAGGCGAGATTCAAAAAGCATACAATGCCTACGCCGGCATCCTCAAGCGCGAGGCAGAAAATGCTCTCGATATTGTCGGAGAGCTGCGCGATGGTCCCATTTCTATGCCTAAAGATCAAGAATGGGAGCATTTTGTTTCCAACGACAACCGAGTGGTCAACCCTAACATTCCTTTGCGCACCGTTGAACAGATTCATTATCCTGGACAGGATCATTTCTCTGCACAAGAAATTCGCGCTGGACTATTGGAGCGCAAGAGTAAATACTTGAAGAGTTATACAGCCGGATGGTAAGTTTTGAATTTTGTGCGCTCAAGCAAGTAATGTCGATATTGGTTCTAATATGATGTTAGGTATGTACTTTCAACAACGCATCTGCACGAATTCAAGTCGGCAGACAAGGCGCAAGCTCCCATCATGTCCCTCTATCTACCGGACCAGAAACTAGGATCCCGATCAAGCGAAGGAGGCCCATCAAACAAATTCCTCCTCAAGGGCCGACAAACCGGATCCATGCACCGAGGCCACACTTGGGTATTCCGGGCCGAGAGCCATGATACAATGATGGCTTGGTACGACGATATCAAGGCCCTGACAGAGACGTCATCAGAAGAGCGAATAGCATTTGTACGATCTCATTCTAGGAGGAGCACGAGCCAGTCGTCGCATCGATCAGTCAGCAGCAACGAGCTCGACGAGGAAGACGAGCCGCCCTTCCAAGCAACTGAGCAGGACGTCCTCGCGGAACCCCGATCCGAATCGCGACGGCCCCAACCAGGTGGGCGGTTCCCATCCGACATACAGGTCAATGCCCAACGAGGCTTACAGGTGCCTCACTCTCCATCTAGTGCCGGATCCAGCCAGGTGGCGTCGCCGAATGCCCAGATAATTGCTGCCGCAACTGCCATACCAGGAACGGCCACGACTGCCTATGCTCCGGAACATCATGCGCACTACGATGAAAACCATCCCGACTACGGCCAGAGAGGCGAGACTCCCATGAATGAAATGCACGCACAGGCAGTCATTGCCAACCATGAGGCTCAGGTCGATGGCGTCAACCCGTATACGAGCGAACCGCTTGACCAGGGCCAAGGCAACCAACGAAATGTCTACGGAGCACCAGCTTTTATTCCCGGCACTCGTCAGCCAGTAATTCCCAATGGTTATCCCGGCGACAAGTCTCTAAACCATGACCACCAGGGAACCCATGATGCTGCTAGGGTTAATGGTGCCGTTGGAGGTGAGATGCAAGAGATTAACGGTGGCCATTATACCAACGTTGGAGGCGCCAGGGATGGGCACGTTAACAGTGTCAACCCGAACACAATCCCCAGGTCTGAGACTCAGACAGACGCTGGTGGCTTGCAAGCTCTTCCAGGCCAGGGAGACGGTGCGGTACCAACCACTGCCAATCCTGCTGCTCGAACAATCAAGGACATGTCGGTATCGAACCTACCGATGCCAGGCAGCTTCCCATAAGATGAAAAGCAAAGGTCTATATGATTTTGCCTTTAGTCTAATTTTTTTTTTGTTATCCGTCCAACACCAAAAAAATGGGTACACGTCAGCTTATTTGGATACCATTTCTTTTTTTGAGCTATGTTTTTATGTCTTGTACCAGTCAGTATCTCGGATGCTGAATGTGTGAAAGGAGGGTTACGGCGGGAACCAAGCAACATTGTTGCGTGAGATGTGGGCGTCTTTTTATGCTATTTTTTTTCCCCCCATTTTGTCTCTGGACTTGTCTGGATATGTCATGTTGATTCAATTTAGTTTTTGACTTGGCTTTGAGTATTCTTTGGATGGCATCGCTCTTTATCACTCGTTAGGTATATCCGTAGCTCACCATGCGTGGTCTAGCTAGCACATTTTTCCTTTGAATTGATGGAACGAGATTTATTTTGAGCGACAGTGAAATAAAATAACATCTACCGTTGATTTAACAACAATATGAACCCAGATAGGACCGTAGACGGTAAAATTGCAGCCAAGAACCCATCAAAGATGGAGCGAATTCGCCAAACTGCAGGCCCATGTACCAAAGTATCCCAGCCCCACGTCGTCCAAAGACCCGCTAGAATGTTATTCCGCACCACCCAATCAGACGCTCCCAATCGAACAAGCTTCTTCAAACCAAAGCCTGGCTTCGGAAAATTTCATCGAAGGAAAAAAAAAAAAAAGTTCTACGAAGAGAAGGGAAAAACAGACGAGCGTCACTCCAAACGACAATTGGCCTCCCCCCTCCGACCAGCGCATATCTTTTTCGTCTCTATTTCAGTCCCTCATTCGCCAACCGAATTAAAAACGGAAAACCAAATCTTATAAAACCGCAAACATGTCCTTCCGAGGTGGTGGTCGTGGTGGTGGTCGTGGAGGAGCTGGTGGCTTCCGAGGTGGACGTGGAGGAGGTTTCCAGCAGAGGGATATGGGCCCGCCTGCGCAGGTTCTAGGTATGGCAAAAATTCTTTCATCTTTATGGAATTCCTTTTTTTTTTTCTCTCTCGTTCAATTGGAGGTGGAAGAAGATATTTCGACTGTCTTTTGATTCTATGGCCCGATTCATCCAAAGGCTGGAATTGAAACAACTGCAAAAAAAAAAAGAAATTGCAATCTCAAAAAGGGAACAAGAAAAGAAAGACAAACATTGGGAGAAAAAAAAAGGAGAAGAAATACTTCAAGAGAAAAGCTAACCGTCAAATCACACAGAAATGGGCAAATTCATCCACGCCTGCGAAGGCGAAATGGTCTGCGAATCCATCAACCCCAAAGTCCCCCACTTCAACGCCCAAATCTTCCTCGAGAACAAGACGGCCGTCGGCAAAGTCGACGAGGTCCTCGGCCCCATCAACCAGGTCTTCTTCACCATCAAGCCCTCCGAGGGCATCCAGGCCGCCTCCTTCAAGGAGGGCGACAAGTTCTACATTGCCCCCGAGAAGCTGCTGCCCCTCGAGAAGTTTTTGCCCAAGCCCAAGCCCCCTCCCGGTGCGCCCAAGCCCAAGCGCGCTGGCGGTGGTGGACGTGGTGGCCCTCGTGGCGGCGGTCGCGGCGGCTTCTCTCGCGGTGGACGCGGCGGTGCTGGCGGTGGTTTCGGCGGCCGTGGTGGCCGTGGTGGAAGCGGTGGTTTCTCTCGCGGCGGTGGTCGCGGAGGTCCTCGCGGTGGAAGCGGTGGCTTTTCCAGGGGCGGTGCCGGCGGCAGAGGACGTGGTGGCTTCAGCAGGGGTGGCAGCTGGTAAAGCAAAAGAGAATTGGGAAAACTTTTAGAATCCATGGTACTCATACCAATGCCATTTCCTCTTTTTTAAGCTCAGCGGCAGCAGGGAAACCCCCTCTCCACGAATGAAAAAAAAAGGATAAGACAAGGGCGGCGGAGATCGATCTTTTGGTTTGGAGAAAGGGGAGGGAAGAAGATGTTTTATATGTACAAAGGGCTTTTTTCACGGCGTTTTTTTACTGGCTCGGTTTATTCCTCCGTCGTACCTGAATTTAGTTTTTTCTCGTCATTCTTCGGTTTCACTCCCTTTTCTTCTTCCCTACTTGTCAAACAACTGTCACTCTTAAAAGGTCTTGGCACAATGGCAAATCTCATGAGGTAGCTCCAACGCGAGTCTCCTATCAACTCAGGGATGGCGAAGAATTTATATACGAGAAAGAATTAAGTCTTTTCAAAACAAGAATACCAATGCAACCTAGGCGTAGGCGTAGGCAAACATCATATGTAATCACTCAGGCTTGTACACGGTAATGTCAAGAAATAATAAGATTATCCGGGGGGTATCATAACCTCTGTTACTAGGCCATATAGACCACATTCTCCTCCTCAAGACTATCAAGTGGTCCAAAACGTCAGTCGTATAGGGAATCGATCAATGTAATCAGAAAAAGAAAGAAGGAAAGCCCATCCCTTAGAGTATAACGTGTATCTTTATGCGAGGCGCTCGCCAAATAGTTACCCAACTGAACAAAGTCTGAACAATTTCGTTGTGCGCCAACTCATTGATCATGAACCATACAAGACTATTAGCCCTCTACCCCATTTGCCACAGCCGCATATCCAGTAAGACCAAGTATGAAAAAGTAGAGCCACTGCTCACGACAGCCAATTCCGCTGTTGATTTAGGGCTTTGGTATGCGTATCGTCTTGCTGGTCATCATGCAGCCGTGAACAACGAACAAGAGCACGATGGGGTGGAACTCGAGCGATGTACCAGTGAACACGGTGCCAAAGGGGATGCTCTCCAAGATCCAGCCTTGCTGCAGCCAGTAAGCCATGAGTGCATCCAAACCCAGTGACGTCGGAATGGGAGTGCCCTCGAAGAATTTGCTCTTGCCAGTGGCGTCCTTGGGCAGAACAGCGACGGTAACGTTGAAGCGGGCAAGTCTAGTCAGTCCACATAGAACAAAAAAGGCGAGACCAAGTGTATCGGCAGAGGTTCGAAGGCCAAGGGAGAAGGCGACCATGGCGGGAGCGACACCGAAAGAGATCTACAAGAGGATAAGGCGTTAGTGTATCTGTCGACTTCCGTTGACGGTGATAAGGCACTGGGCATCAGCTGGTGTAGCAAAAAGTGACATACCAAATCAGCAAGGGAATCCAGCTCTTGTCCCATCAGGCTGCTCTTCTTCCTCCATCGAGCCACCTTGCCATCGAGAGCGTCGAAGAAAAAGCCAAACGGCAAGAAGACCAGAGCCCACCACAGGTGATCCTCCCTCTTGGCAGGCTCCAGGCAGGAGTGTAGGGACGAGAATATCGACATGACACCGCAGAAGCCTATGCAAGAATCACATGCATCGTTAGCCCATCTTGGTCCATCTCGCCAGTCAAAAGTCGCCAAAGGAACCAGGATAGGGGGAACCCACCATTCAGAAGAGTAATGAGATCTGCGAGGTGCATGGCTCGTACCAGCGAGAAGTGGCCCACGTCTGCAGAGAGAAGCGTCTTTTGCTTGTCAATTGCTGCAATTAGAGAGAAGGAGAGATCCATTAGCATCTGATTTTGTCTTTGGCACCAGCAACTGGGAAAACCTCGTACCTGGTTGGTTCTGGGGCGACAGCTCTCTCGAGGTAGGGCCATTGATGGCCGCCGAGGCAGCGCTGGGTCGTCTTGACATGGTTGAGAGTTGCGGAAGGCGTGCGGATCGAAGCTCAGCAAGAGAGGCTTTTCGGCCGTTGACTTGGTTCTAGTAGTATGCGGAAATAGTCGTGACGGAAAGATATAAAAAAAAAACGCGAGCAAAAACCTCGGCAGAAGTGGAGATAGTAAATAAGATAAGAGTACAAAGGGCAGTCCTTCTTCAAAAAGAAGACACCTGTCTGCTTGATTGCGAGTATTTGGTGAGAATAGTAGCGGTGATGATGTCTGAGAACAAAGCAAGGAAGAGAAAGAAAAAAAAAAGAAGACACGAGGGGCTGTTGCTCGCTACGAGATGCTCGAGCTACACTTGACATGGGAGGTACGTTTTAGCTTAACCTGCCTTTTCTCCTTTGGGTGGCGCTGCCGCCGTCAATGCACAGCCTACCAACTTGCCTTGTGGCTTTTTCTCTCTTTGTCTTCTCCATATTACAGCACAGTTGTGTATATCTGTACCTATTTACTGTGAAATGCTGTGAACGCTCTTCAAAGCTGTTGCATCTATCTAGCCATCTGTTAGGCTATCAAGTCTCTTGTCTGTACATTTTCAACATCTAGTAATGGCAGCACAAAGCAGGCAACTGTAGTCATAAATGTCTGATGTCAGTGATGCAATGCACGCACTACGCGCCTAACTGATGCACAGGTCCAGCTACCTTAGTAAGATGACGATGACATGCTACAAGCTTTGTTGTGAGTGGTTGAGTGGGGATGCCGTCATCAATTTTTCGAAACCTTTGCCTTGTTTTGGGGGCTGAAAAGCAGAGCAGCGATCGATTCACAGCAAATCTCTCTCTCTAACCCGGTGTTCACGTGATGCTTCACTATACACAGCTGACCCGTAGTTTCCAAATCACATGCAAATGATCACGGCCTCAAGACTCCATAGTTGCTGCCTTTTGAGACGCATGTGATCCAAGTATGGACTTTTGTGATTAACAGGTAGTCGCCGCATTGCTCTTCATTCGACAGGAAATGGGTTGTGATAGAGTGCAGCAGCGACACATTGCAGTTCTACAGTTCATATAAGCTTACATGTAGTGAAGTTAAAAACACAAAACAAATCCAGTTAGTCAGATCAGACTGGATGAGATTGTAGAGCAACTTTGAATGCTTCCGACTCAACACGAGTAGATTGCTTAGAGGGAGAATCTGCACACACTTCTGCAACAATTGTATGTAACGAGCAAATCAAAACTGCGTATATTCTAGTTTTGAATCCATCTCCATTAAACGTCCGACATCAGATGTCGCCTGATAATATAAACAACTACCAATATATACTCTTCCCCTCTCCCGGCTTCACTGCTAAAGCTCCCAAAACATCACACCCACAGCTTGTGCTGATCAGTTTTTTCAGCGGATATCTTCGGCTTAATCCTAGAAACATATAACAAATTCAAGGAAAGAGAAAAAAAAAGAAAAAAGTACCCCAAAAACGCCAGGCACGGGCTGGTCGTCAAACCTGTGCCTCTTCTTGTACATCTTTTTTTGAAGACAGTGCAGAAGTGTCGGTTTTGCTAGGATATTCATCCCCCACTCTCCTCGCAATCGTCAATTAGTTGTGCGTTTGTTAAGTGCTGCAATTGAAACCCAAAAAACCGTCCAAGGTAAGCTAGGCCCAAATGCTCGGTTAATCCATGAATGAAATTGAAAATGCCTGAATTGTGTTTTTCACTGCGTTTGAAAAGTAGAGCAGTTTTAATGCTTGATAAGGATCGAGAAACCATCAAGCCATGCGCCGCATGTGCCAGCAACACCGCAGATCGAAAAGCCTCGAGGAGGCAACAGTGTGTGTCTGTGACGATAAAGTTAGCATTGTCTCGTCGAAATCAGATGGGTAGGAGTAGGCTTACGCAGAACCACCATGAGCTTTTCCAAACATGGCCGATTTCCTGCCGAGACTGGTCAAGAGCTGGATGCCATCGATCCAAAAGCCAGCTCTAACAACAAAACCAGTGAGGTACTCTCCGCGTCGAATATCTGTCATAGGTTTTTGCGGTTAGTGTGAGAGATTGTGAGGCTGTCGCGGCGTGGCCGTAAAGGTAGACTCACCAAATTCAAATGTATCGCCTCCCTCCTTGCCCCCCCTCTTGCCAAAGAGCTGCGTTGAATTATCGTCGTATATAAATTCCAGTCCGTCCAACGCTGAGCCGTGGTATATTATTACGCGAGACATGACTCTGTCGTGCTTCACAGCACTGGTAAAAATAGCCTCTTGGGGCTCGCTACCTTGCATCTTTGACTCTCCGAGGCTCTTGCATCGATAAGCCACTTTGCCGCCAGGCAATTTCACTGACGATTCCTTTGATGCAAACGCTTTAAAGTCATCGATATCCAAAGATCCTCCGCCATGAGTTTTGATGGACACCTTGACGCGCCCCTTTCTCTTGGCATCGGGCAAGCGAGCCCGCAGGTCTTGATCAATCAAGGTCACTTGCCGCTGGATGGGATTATTGTTGTCCGGTATATACTCGATCCACGCTCGGCAAACATCATCTCCCTCTCCAAAGATTTCTATAAAAGAAATTCCAGTTTGTGCTACCGCCAAAACGTTGCCTCCGTCGACAGCAAAGGCCTGGACGCTTTCATCCGGATTCGTAGGAGGATCACTAGGCAGCCGGAAGGCAGGATGAGCTCGGAAACGAAGGCAGTCTAGGCGATGCCAGCCACACTCGTCAGCCTGTAGGGCCAAACCTCCCTTGGATTTAGTCCTGGTGGAGTATGCCTCGCGAGAGACAAAGCTTCGATTGAGAACCACATAGTCCCTCAGCATGATTCCCCCTTCCTGGTGAGGGCATCCGAATAAGTGTCCCACCTCGTGGAGATGCGCGCCGATGCCAATGTTTGCAGACTCCCAAGAGCTTCCCGCCTCGTTGCAGTCGTTAGCCACATGCGCAGTATCGGTTGGCGTGCAATCAGTGAATGCCGGCACCACCTCTTCGAAAGAGCTAGGGTAGCTGTGCATGCAGTGTGACCCGAAGATTCCCAATTGCAATTCACCGTGACCGCCGCCAAGTGCGGCATGGCCTCGAATCGTTTTGACATCCTTGTCCCAGTGGGCATCGAGTAAGAGAACCGCGACATACTGCTTCTGTCCAGGGAGAGGATTCAGATGCTTCTTCACCTCTTCACTAGCGATATTGAAAAGAGCATTCTTATCTGTGGCCTTGCCATATTGTTGTGCCTTGTTGAGATCTTGCAGCTCGGCAACCGTCTTGTCAGACCGGATGATGTGAACACGGGCTTCAGATCTCATCGTCCCATTCTCCCTGTCGCGGTGATTGGCAGTGCCAGACATCCATTCCTCTTCGAATCGAAACGTTCGCCGTCCAAGTTTTTGCCGTGACATCTGCTCCGCAGTGAAAGCCTGCCAAAGGTACGCAGCCATTCGAAATTTCTTGACAGCAGCTTCTAACCCATTACCTTCTATTTCGGCGCGCGAAGGCGTGGCGTCGAATGTTCCGGGAGAGTCTTTGCCCAAGAGGATGGCGAGCTGCAACGGAGGAGCATTCAGCGAAGGCACCATGTGAAGAGTGAGGTACGACACATGTATGGGGTTAGAGGATGAGCTATTGGCGAGCTTGGGGCTAGAAAACTCGAGGCGGATTTTGTTGGGCCCAGGTTGTAGATAGACGAGAGCTTTGAAGTGAGAATCCCAGACGGGCCAGCTGGTTGGTGGGAATGCATCGTCAAGTCTGCTGATGATGACGGTGCCATCTAGGTGATTCTGCATAGCCTCTCCAATCGTGCCATGTATTAGAAGAACTTTTTGATACACCTAATCAAAAGAAATTAGCGTTTTCAAGGGCACAACGCTTGTATCAAAGATATGGAGGAGAAGCAGCTCTGAGGTGCAGATTATACCAAACGCAAAGCCAGTATAGCTGAAAGCATTTTGACAAGAAAGGAGGAAATTGAACCATGCTTTTGCACAACATACCCAATTGTTGTCTGAAATATTTTGAACCCGAGGAGCATACTGAGATACAGGCAAGCTACTCCTACCAATCGATGAAGGAGCTCCAAGGCCAGACATGCCCGAGACGCTATATCGACTGGAGTTTCCACCAGGTGCCAACATGGGTCGGTTCAGGCTGGTGGCAGGGTCTGATGTATGATCCAGGGATGGCGGCGTTAGGGAGCCATTTGAAGGCGTGGTATCCGGGGTATCGTGGCTCAAAGCACCATCGCTAGACGTATCAGTTGAGGTTTCGGTCCGGAAGCTTGCCCTTGACTGACGCCGCAGGCTTTTGAGAAAAGTAGGGGCCATGGCTGCCAAGTTCCAGTTGGAAGTGCAGGCAGAGGCGAAAGATGAAGGAGTCTTAATTTATGTATGCCAAGAAAGCCAGGCGAGCCGCTTTGTTCGGCAGGGAATTGCTGCTTGATCCTTTGTTTGCTTGTTCCTAGAGTGATTAGAATAGAGATCGTTGGTCAAACGAATGGTGACCGAATAGCTGCGGTCGATATCTGAGCGAGTGAAATTCCTAGCCGCGCCAGAAAGGAAGGTTTGCGCCCAGCAGCGCGATCGTTGAGCTGAGCTGCGAGGGCCAAGAATGTCGAGTCCAGCACAGTCGGTGAATCGCAGAGATCCGTTGGTGATGATTGCGGTAATCCGTGATATAGAGAGAGTAACAGGTAAAGCAGATGCTACAGTGTAGAGGCGTTGGATGTCCGTCCCTCAATTGCAGGTGTGTGTGAGCCGGTGGATGGATGCTGGCGCTCGGGGTAAAACCAAGCAGGTCTGATGCAGCGCAAGGAAATCGAAAACGTGGGATCGGCCCCAAGACGGAGATTGCCAGGCAAGGCCAAGTCGAAGATTTCGAGCTCGACGGTAAGACAAGCAAGAGGGGAAAACCCAGCAGCAGCCTCGACCAGGGACAAATCTGTAAGAGCGAGCGAGTGGACGGTAGGCGCTTTTCTGCCGTCTGCGGGAGCGATTGACAAAGATCAGCAGCTAGGCTAGATACGCGTCACCAAGCAATGGGCGATAGCAGCAGCACTATCTCGAGACTGTAAAGTCGTCGGAGTATGGAGGAGGCACCAAGAAAGAAAAAGGAAAAGGAAAAGAAAAAGAAGAAGAAAAGAAAGAAAAAGAACCAAGAGGTTACCTAGTCGAGATGGTCAGGAGAAGGACCAGGAGAACAAGCTCCCCCTACGGTATCCAGACACGCCCCCCGAGCCAGCACCGCATTGTTCGTTATTACATACAGCTCATTCACCAATTGCAAGGCTGCTACGTAGCATGGCTGCCGTGCGGAGCAGCTCTCCAGCTCCCGTATCCGCCGGGCTGCAGGCAGGGCCAAAGGCGAGCATCTCGGCCAAATTGCGCGGGAGGTCACAGCCGTATCGATGACGTCGCAGCGGGCTTGCGCGACCCAGTTTCGTTTGAAACCTTGAAGATTTTGACGGGTCTGGCATGGCCATTCATGCGCGGTGGGGATGCCGTGCTATTAGAGGATTGGCCAATTCGGCGTCGAGTGCCGTGGCACGCCAGTAGGAAGCGCGAAGTAACTTGATAGCGAAGGTTCGAATGCAAAAGCGGTCGCTAGCGCTGGTAAGCTGCAGCGGCTATTCATGTCATGTAGACGAGCTTCAATCTCTGCAGCGGGTTTTTTACGGGGAGGGTGTGCTGTGCTGTTCCGTGGTGGTTCTGTGCCTTGTGAGGAGCAGATCTTACAGTACGGGCCTATTGGGAGGAGGATTAACCGCACCTTTCATTTCTCGCTGAACCTGCATGCTAATTATAGAAACTGCATAGACGTATACTCTTCCTTGTCTGTTTTTGCAACTTCATCTCCCGTGGTTGATAAGATCTTGGATCCCTGCAAAAAAAGTTCAACTGGCCTAGTTTGCCTAGGTACCAAGTACCTTGGTAACTTCAAGTTCCAATGAATCAAGTGGCTGAGAGGAGAGAACAAGCAATATCCATGTTGCCATACAACTACTGACCAAAACTGCTTCCCCGGCAGATCCAAACCTTCAAGAAGCAGGCGTTGCGTGGCTGTGTGGGCACATCGGCTCGGCTTACGGCTTCTGGAGCCAACCCCCGCCGTTTTCAATCTTGGGATTTGCCGGTTCTGGAATCTCGAGGCAAATCGGGGCTTGCGTGCATGTGGCAGCACAAGGAAATTGGCCACGGGCAAATCATATTTCCTACAATACTCGGGTAGTAGGTAATAGGGGAGGGGGCGGCTATCAAGGATCTATTGTCAGTTGTGTTGCACCAGCGATGCGGAGGGCAATAAACAGCGTGGCAGCAGAGATGAGAGATGAAATTGAAGTCGTCACCAACGACACATGGGCCTCTTGGCTCTTGACTCTTGGCGCCTTGAGCTTGGAAGTACTACGCGTATAGGAGAATTATAGACGGGTGTGATACGAAAATACGGAGCAGTGCTGGGCGCATGCTGGACATAGCTTGAGTACTTGGTTTCCATGTTATTTCTCGCCATGCTTGTGGTGCATCCATGCCTCCGTCCACTTTAGCGAGCAGACACCACGTTCCCCTACCCTCCAATCCGCGCGGCTTGACCGACAGAAACGAGGCGACTATTTGAACGCTACCGCCAAGAGCGGAATATAAATGAAGCTCGCCGTCGCCACAAAAGCTGTCTCCAAGAACTTCGTAGGTGTGGCGTCATTCGAGGAATCGTTCCTCATGCACGCAGCATGGCCGCCTCGTACTGCAAAATCCGAGGTTGCATCTGCGCTGGAGCTGGTGCGCATCAGAGCCGCATCGGGGTAAACGTCCTTGGCCAGGGCAAACAGCCACCCAGCAGTGATCTAGAATTAGGATAAATGCCATCTACTCCATACTTGTACATGCGTGCTTTATACGCGGAGCGGGATATAGGCAAATTAGCAACGCCTCTACCTCAATTCGTCCTTCTATTCATGCTTCTCTCTCTACAATCACCCCGCCTGTCCTATCGCCGGCCCCACCTCTGTGATCCTGAAGACTCCCCTTCTCAATCTCTTCCTTTCTCTCTTCCAGCGCCGAGACTCTCCCTCTTATCGCAGCACGCAGATTCTTTCAGCCTCGGTCCCAGTTTCAGCATGGCCCGTCAAAAACCACCTCCTGATCGCCGATTGGAGCCGCTAGCTTTAAGTGCCTGCAGAAACAGATCCACGATTGTCCCAAGGTAGCGTGATACGGAATCGTTAGAGACTCCAGTCGCTCTGCTAGCAGGTCGGCGCTAAGCTTTAAGGCAAGCAGCGCCTCCTGCATTCCTGTCCTCAGGCACTGAGCCAAAGGATCGAAATATCGGAATATCGAGGCACCTGATTGTGCTAAAGGAAACCTTGATTTCTTTTTCCCCATCATGCCATAACATACGTCCCCTCCCATCACACTTCCTCACATGGCTCCCCGTTACCGTCTAGCTCAGTGCTATAGAGAGCTCGTGGGATCAGCTCGCCCAAATCAGCGCTGGTCTCAAACTTAGACAGATCTCGACCGTAGGCGAGAGATTAGCCCGCATAGAGCCTACCTAACGTTTCAACTGTAGCATCTCGATCTAGACGTCACGCCAGCAGCCTTTGTGCTTGATTCTCTAATTGTAATTGCGGATCAACCAGCCACCTTTCATGCAGTCCGCATGCAGAGATGATCCGAAAAGCTTTTCTTTTTATGTTTCTTCTTCTCTTTTGATTCAATACGTAGAGAAGAAGGGAAAGCTTCACGAATCCCCTTTCCTCTGGTCAAGCTTATTCTGCGCTTTGCCCTAGGTATCGCACTACAAGTAATTGCTGACTTGAGCCAAGAAATTGACCAGGGTGGTAGGTAATCGATTGCGTTGCAATATGGGACCTACTCCGCATCAGCTCTTAAGTAGCTCTTCTCGTTTCTTCAGCTCTTTCTCGATGGTTGGGAAACAGAAAGCATAGCATGCCGATTTTTCTCGAACCGAGAAGAAAAACTGCTCTGAATATTTGTATTTGCAGATCCCTGCTCAAGCACCCAAAACGTAACAACGATAGGCCTCTGTAGTTACACTGCTCCGCCCTGAGGAGCCAAGAGGGGCGTCGCCGTGACTACATATGCACGATATCTCCTTTTTCGACGCCAGTGATTATGAAATATGATGGAGATGAGGTGTGTCGTCACCGACCGCTATGTCAGGGAAAACTTTCTTCTTCTTCTTCTCTTCCTTCTTCTAGCTCTTCCTTCTTTACGATGCGTATCATGTTCACACAAACTCATCAATCTCTATCTAAATCCAGCTATACTTTGAGAATGGTCCATAGCAGATAACCCAGGGCTAGCAAAGGCCGTCATGCTGCCTTTCTTGCCTTTCTTCCTACATGATGCTGCGGGGAGTGCAAACAGCTCAGCTGTCGCATGATGATACCGTATGTCGGATGGCTGCCAGGGACATTGACCAACCAGGAACAGGCCAGCGCTCAGCTCATGGCCCCATCGTTGGCCAATGCATATCGGGAGCCCGTAAGACTAGCTGCCGTGGAGGAATGCGAGCAATTTGTTCAATGGCCTTACAGCAGAACCACATGCCAAGGGCCCGAGTCCAATTCAAGGGAACAAGTGAAGAAGAAGGAAGGGGAGAAAGGAAATCCACATGTCTCGAAACTGCAGCAACGGCTGCATCTCCATCTCCATCGCAGACCCGCTCCATTTGGGTGTCTCAGAGGGGACAGATCAAGTGTCACTTTAGCGACAGCGGAAGGGCCAGACTTGCAGCGCCTTTGTCTCTCTTCTGTCTCTCGCAAACCATCTCCTCTTCTCTTCCCTCGAGCTACTCGGTGCAGCAGTACATTATCTCCGTTGGTAGTGAAAGTAAATTATAAATTACAACATTCAACTACCAGAATTGCCAACCTGTACTCCGTTGGCAGCCTCTCTTGACGAGCAACAGACAGACCGCCGCTCGATGCGCTGGCCGTGCACCAAGGTTCAGGGCTGTCAGCACCTTGCCAGCTTAGCACCAGCTGGGCATTGCCCGCGGCAGCCTAGCTGGCCTTTCTAGGGCCGCCTGTACCGACTCACTGGTTGGCCAGGCTCCGCAGCCGCTCAAAAGCCCCCCAAGCGCCTTGTGCTCGCTATTGCACCTCCCTCTTCCCTAAGCCACACAGCCGCTCTTTTCGTGCTCCACAACCTTTCCATCTTCACGCACACACACTTTGCCTGGCCTTTTGTCTCCCTGCACATCCGCCAACTCCCTCCTTCTCCCACATTTGAAAAAAAAGCCAAGGCCACAGGAACATCCTCAGGAAGAGAAGAAGAGCGCCAGCATATTCAATCATTGGAAAATAAAAAAGACCTCAGACGCAACAAAGCTTACCTGGGTGCCCAAAGGCTGTATATGTTAAGAGCGTTCCTGCAAATTTTCGGCTTGCAATGATGACCTCGCCATTGAAGAAGCAGCCGCAGGATGTAGCCGACTGTGTCTTGAAGCGTGCAGAAGTTAGCAAGGTACGCATGCATCTCCTCTCTCATCATTACCATCCTATCTTGTCTCTTGCATTAGCAATGGCGGCTACAATGCCATCCTGCTTCATCTCTGCTGCCGAGTCATCCCAGTTTCACTAACAAAGGAGCTTTGACATACACAGATTGCCCGCCGACTCCAGAATCGCCTCGCACTTGCGCAGTTCAAGACCAAGCATGGTTGGGAAGACCTCACACTCGACATCATCGAACCCAAGGTGGAGGAGGAGATACGCCGCAAGCGTCTGTACGAGGGCGACGTCCTGTCCGACTCTTCTTCGAGTGCATCCGACTTGCCTTACCCGACAAAGACTCTCATGAGCTCGCCGCTCAAGGCACCCTTGTTCTCCGATGCGGTCGGTTCCAGCAATGGCAGCTCCGGGCATCGCAAACGCACCTACTTTGCCTCGTTTGACGGCGACGCCTCGAGCCCGACAAAGCGCTTCCGCGGCTCTCCGACAATGCACAAATCGTTTGCCGGTCATACTCTGTGGAAGGACGGTCATCAGCTCACTCACTCCTCTCCCATGAAGCCCCGCCGGCAGCAACACTTCACCACCTCGGCCGGACCGGACGTCTCCTTTTTCCAGCAGCGAAGAATGACCAACGAGCTAAGCGCTCATCCGAATTTCACCGCCCCGGAAGAGGAGGATGACGACCTGCTGCCTGCGCACTCGTTCGCCGCCAACGTCCGATCTTCTCCACCTCGCACGCCACCAATGCAATCCCGATCTCTGAGGAAGAAGGCGGATGGTACAGAGGCGGGCCAAGAGGGAGCAGATCTTTTGCTGTACCTTGCAGCCTCGCCGTCGCCAGCAGTGAAGCCGCACAGGGCTCGGATCGAGCGGCCGTCGACACCACCCCCGAAGAACAGCAAACTGGACTTGCCCTCCGCCATGATGACCACCCCTGGAGGAGGCAATCCATTCCCCAACACGCCGGGCCAGGGCTTTGACTTTGCCGACTTTGTCAACATCACCCCGAGCCCGGCTCAAAAAGTCTGGAAGACTCCGAATCCTCTTTCTGGCGCTCGCACTCCCCGAAGCGTTGCCAGAAAGCGCCTTACGTTTGATGAGCCTCGACCTTGATGAACGAAGCAATTCCCCTTTTTAATTGTGACTGGCATTTCGGCATGCCTCACTGTCCCCGACCTACTATTTGCTTCTTATACATGATACCACGACACTATATGCTCGCACCGTATGCGGCTCTATTGCTTTTTTATTGCCCCCACTATATCCTTTTTCTTTTACTTCATGTTTTATCTATCTATTCCCGTTTATTCTTTCTGCTGTTGGCCAACGCAGGAGCTAATCTCTTGTTTGGATGTCTGGCCCCTCTGGGCGTTATGTGTTTTTGATTAGATGACAGTGGGAACATGGGGCTTTGTTTGCAGTAAAAACATCTGCTACATCAGGGTTAAAAAGAAGGGCAGGGCCGGAAGCCGGCCGTTGAAGACAATTGATCCTCTTACTATGGAAAGGGCCGTGAGGGAGCAAGGCGTTGAATTCTGTTTTTTTTTTTTTTTTGCCTCTGATATGATTGTTTGTTTGTTGTTGCTCCCTCTGGCGGTGTACAGCAGTGGATCTTTGGTGGATGTAGGGTACGAACGGGATGGTTGGATGAAAGAATAATCCCTGGTATGATGCCAGGCAGGCCTTGATGGCCGTGGCCAGAAACAAATTGTGACAGTAGTTAGTCGCGTCAATGATAGTGATTATCTCGTATCTCACTTTTACCTTTTTTTTTTCGTGTTATGTTGTGTTCGTATTGACCGTGTCCTGTTGGCCCGGCGCCTTAATAACTTGGTAGGCAATGACCGCGGTGTGCTTACTTTGAAAGTTGTAAAAAGTTTGGGCGACCTTTTCTTATGCGCGCATGTAACTTGCATGCACACAAAAAACGCGGTTCATCTTGATGAGTTTCACGCGTCCAGTGGCTGAAAAGCGCCTAGCTAATGGTGGCGCGGAGCTCTTTATGCTTCCAGTCCGCGTCTTGGTCGCGTTTTCTTGGGGATCGGGAAAGTCAATTTACAGCCATGATTGACGATCTGATTGGATGGTGGGCGTGGCGCACTAGCGAGCTGGGAGCTTTTCTAAGCCACTGGGGGAAGCTCTAGTGAAAGGTGAGGGTGTGAAGAGGATGATTTTGATTTTTTACGTGGAAGTGTGTTCGTTCAGCAGGTGATTTGCTATTTTCTTCAGCTACTTGTGGACACACGTTTTTAGAAAAGGATTATTATTCTCGATATCCATCTGAGAGTGGTTTTGGATCACGAAAGCAAGTGCGTGAGAGAGCTGCTTACCCTGGAATTTTTTAAGTGCAGCCTTTTGGCACCACGTTCCCGCTGATGGGTCTTTTGCGATTTGGACTGATCTATCATGCATCAATGCCACATGGGCTGTGGAGCCAAGATATTATTTTTAGCCAGTCTCTTTAACTTCTTTTTTTTTTCTTTCGTCCAAGTCGTCTATATTCATAGGTAGTTATCCTTTTCTGTGGGCAAATGTCATACATGCTTATATACTTTGTATCTTTTACCCGGCTTTTTACTTCCACGCAGTGTCTGCCTTCACTGAATATTGGCCAGCAGTGAACGACAGACATAACGTGCCAAGTAGGAAAGCCCTTCCGCCGAAATGTCTGCAATTTTTTTTTCCAACATCACTGATCTCGTCCTTCTTGCTTCTGCGTTTCGTATTTTCTAAACCCTCACTGAAGCCGCCTCTCATGAGAGGGTAGGGCTATCTCGCCTTCCTGCTGCATCCCCAGCGCCAGCATTCGGGTGGCCGTTGGCCCAGTCACCGAGACTGGAGCCACTGATGTATCTGGACGTATAGCTGTCGCGGTTATCCTCCAGGAGCTGGTTGCTGCTATACACAGAGCTGCCTCGGCTTGAAGCTGTGTTTCTTGGCGGGGCTAATCGACTCTCCAGCTCTAGGTCAAATGGATCAGACCGGAATTTATCACGACGCTGCGCAAATGAATTGTTGCTTTGCAGCGACTCCCGGTGCACAGAGTGTGGCCGGGGAGGAACCGCTGGAGTTTGGAAGCTTTTGATGCCACCAAGCGATCGTCCTCTCGAGCGGCGGCGGTTCGAAGTAGAGACCGGAGGAGGCAATACCATGTTATCGTCGGTGAAAGGGTTCGCTAAAACGGAGCTCGAAGGCGGCGGTATCTTGCCGGACATTAAAGCATTGGCGTCTGAAAATGGGTTGAATAGCTTGCCATGGTCAAAGCTAAGACCTAGTTTACGTGCCTTTGATGGTGCTTTGCGGGCGGCCGCAGGGGGGTTTTGAGATTTGACGTAAGTTGGTGTTTTCATCGGTTCAACTGTGACAGCGTCGAGGAACTGATAATTTCCTCTGTTCATGTTGACATTGCTAGAACCTAATTTCCCACTGAAGTTTTGCTTGACAGCACCCAGGGTCGTTGCAATGCCAAGTTTCTGTGCCATTGGCTTGGAGGAGCCCCCTTTGCTCGGTTCTTGCGATTTGCGACTCGTTAATTTTCTTCGTAAGAGCCATAATAAGACTACAAGAAACGCGGCGGCGGCTATACCACCCACGGTGCCGCCAACAATGGTGGCAGTCGATGGATTTGTGCTTGGGCTCACGGGGTCCGCTATTGTTTGCCCAGTAGGCTGGCTGTCTCCCGATATGATGTTTCCGCTCAGGCTGCTTGGAGAAGTACTGGTAGCAGTTGGAACAGCCCCGATGCCATCTGATGAACCTGATATGAGAGATGTGGCATGTGCAATCACGTTTGACTGTGTTCCGCTTGGTATAGACCCGCTCACTACCCCGGTGGATGCGGAAAGCGGCGTAGAAATCGGTGCAGCAATAATAAGAGAAGCCGGTAAAGATGCTGATATAGAGGAGGGCGCAGCCACAGACACCTGGACAACGGGTGACGCAGAGCTGGCCACTGAAGTAGGTGTCGAAGCTGGCGAACTCGAAGCTGGCGAACTCGAAGCTGCATTTCCTCCAGCTGCAGATACAGCTACATTTGTCGGCTGGCTGACCTCCTGGGCTGAAAACCCATTGCCTCCCTGTATTGATGCTGTGGAAGAAGCTTTGGGAATAGAATCAGAAGAGGAAGAAACCGAGGTCTCGGAAGGCTGAGCAACGTCTGCGGCACTGAAAATCTGCGGCTCCTGGACTGAATTGTCGGTGGGTTGAGCTGCTGGGGATATTGATTGAGATGAAGTGGTGGGCGATGGCTGTTTCTGCGGTGTAAGGGGTGAAGTTGGAAAGATGGCTTCAGTTTCAGGTGCCGCAGAAACTTCAGATGGAGAAGACTTGGGAGTAGGAGTCTGATTTTGACTTTGCGATGTTGCAATAGAAGGTGCCTGAGTAGAAGGGGTAGCTGTAGGAACAACACTAGATGAGATTTTGGTTGTGGAAGAAAGCTGTGGAATCTCTTGCACTGCTGATGATGAGATTTGTGTGGATACCGAAGCACTCGTTGGAATAGGAGATGTCGACGATGTTAACAACGCTGCTTGGCTAGTGTTGCTGGTCGGTACAGGGACGATGGATGTAGTAGGTGTCTCGTCTTCTGCTGTCAAGCTTCCACCCGTAGGAATTGCTGTTGGAGTCTCCCCAATAGTCTCCTTCGTCGTCATGTCCGAAGCCGTAGTGGTAGGGGTCCGAGGAGACGAACTTGTGGCGGTACTGGAGGCGGCTTCTATGACACCATGGCTCGATGTCAACGGTCTCTGTGTTGAGTCGGCGGGAGAAGTACTGGTAGAAGAAGAAAGGGGGACATCGGAAGGGCCAATGGAAACAGAGCTGGCGTTGCGAATGGTCGTTGATGACAGATTCGGGGTATCGAGGGAAGTCGAAGAAACTCCAGCTAAAGAGCTCGACATTGCGATGAGGAATTGACTTGAAAATTAGTCGTAGAAAAAAAAAGTATTAAAGTCTTGAAAATGGCATTCGCAAGAGTATCGAGCCAGTCGATTAATATCTTCCACCAAGCGAAGAGAAAGGACGCATTGCAAGCATTCACAACTCAAGAGTAGGCTGGCCAACCGTGACTACAAGGAGAAAGAGAAAGATGTGAGATTTAGATGCCAGAGAAAGATGGAACAGTAATCGCACTTGGGCCAGTGGCAGACAAATGCGCAGAGAAGGTCTATTGATGCAAAATACAGGAGGCACGAGAATATGGCATCGTGCGCCTTTACTACTGGCGCCTTGTAACAGCTTTTCGGCCGTACCACCTAAAATTGGCAGCCGGGCGAGGGGGCCACAGAAACAGAGCCCTGCCTAGCTCCTGCAAGGCAACGAAACACATTGCATCGCGCCGTGGAAGGCGAGCGTTATGCCGACAAGATCTTGCGTTGGGAGGCGACACTCCGTATCAGGGGCTGAGACCCCTAGTTCTGCGACAAATCTGAAGCATCATGGCATCCTGGATGGGGGGCCAAAGTGCCACTTTTGCACTAGCTTGGCGAAGAGGGTCCGTTTGGCACATGCTTGTATGTGTATATCGAGAAGGCCGAAAAGAAGCAAGAGAAAAGGGTTACGAATAGAGAAGAGGAAGGCTGCTAAATATGGATTGTTGACTGTGTCATGTGGAGACGTCAGCTTGATGTGGTCCATAAGGAGTTTTTTGCAGTTGGTTGAACGACGACGGGCGATGTGAACTACCCAGGAGCCGTGTTGGCTCCAACGGTAAGCGAGACATAAGTATGCGTCTGTGATGCATTCAACAACTTGTGAAGTCGGCATGCCTCCATTTAGGCTGATATGAGAGAGAAGATGAAAGACGTCTTTCTTATTTGGTACCTTTCTTCTCTCCTAGGGCGTCAAGGGCATTCCCTTTTCAGACCTGGACTTTGCCAGAGAAATGGAGCGATCATGAAACTTTACGTCTGCGCAGCATCGTTCCATTGAGCGAATATCCCCGATTAGGCGCCGTTTGCCGGCCTGACCAGCGCTAAGGGTCTAGGGGAAGCAGGGCGACAGGGATGGAACGTTTTCGATTGGCACGAGGAGTTGTATGAAGTCGCTGCCGCGGATTCGTCTGGGTCGGCTATGAGTGATGCTCTGTTGCTCTGTTATATACCATGTACGCGGATTACGGTTTTCGAGCATGCGAAACTTTCCAAGGATTTGACGATCTGCACTAGGGTCAACGGTGGTTCAACTGTGTTAGCGGGGCGCTGGACCAAAGCATATTGGATATCACGAAACGCAGTGTTTTGTAAGCTTGCTGGCGCAAGTAATGAGTCGATTGTCCATTTACAACCAGCCCGCCCACAGGCGCGACGGATGAGCAGATTCGTGTCTCATATTTGGACCCTTTGTCGGCTATGCTGCTCTGTAAATCGCTGATGTGATACTGTCTGGCTTGATGAATGCTTGTATCCGCAGATGCCTTGGATACGACGAGAGGCCGTTTACTAAAGGACGGACCACCGGCTGGTTGAAGCATGAAGCATTGGCTTGGCGAGTAGCAGCAGTAGCGTGTATAACGGGCGACACAATGAGTTTTGTAACCGTGGTGGGCGAAGTGAAACACTTCTATGATAGCCGTCTTCCGCACCTATGCATAAATCCATGCGGGATGCCGTTGGTGAAAGACTCAATGTGTTGTTACTGCGTTTCCCAGAATGTCGCTGCGTCACGTACCTAGTAGGTGCTGAGTAGAGGGAAATTGCTCTGCGACCAACAAACACCATTTACACACGGCAGGCGACGGAAGCCGGAAATGCAATGCTCCGACGGACCACCTGCGGCCATTTCCTGCCCAAGGAAGGAGTATCTACACAATTACCATCGTCGTCTGTCCATCGAGCTTGTTCGCCATCTTTTCTGCGTTGATCGTGTGCGCTCGAGGTAGCACAGGTATACACGCATTACCTGGTATCTGATAGGCCGATACGTGTACCAGCGGGTGTCGGTAAGGCGGGGGAGCTGGCTTGCTTAGCACCTGGCCATTAGGACCAATGGGCCCTGTGCTAGCCAGCTGGTCTGCGCCATGCCCCTGGATCACCAAAGCTGGCTGTCCCTCTTTGGGCCTGGGATTCTCTGATTCTATCCTTGCCGCAGCAGCACCTCTCCAGAATAGGCACGGAGCACGGAGCACAGCAGCCGGCTGCGTGGTTGACCCGCCATCTGCCTTCATTGAAGACGCTCGCTGCGTCGTTTCTCGCCAGCCCGTGGACACAGCCCTTGGACAGCTCAGTCACCCGTTCGTTCTCCGCCTCGGCCTGGGCTGTGCTGGCATCTCGTCTCCTGCCATCGTCTCGCCTCGCCTCGCCTCGCCTCGTCCCGCACGCGCAAAGAGGCCTTTTCCGAGCGCATTGCTGAGCCGCATCCCTCGGTGGACGACAGCCAGAGCGAGACTCGGGGCGCCTGACGCCTGCCTAGGCCCGCTCTCGCACCCGCACCCGCGTTCCTGACATCCCCGAGTCCCCATCACTCCGGCCGTTTTGCTGCTCGCCTCTGCCGCCGAAACGGACGGCCTCCTCCTTGCTCGAGATCCGCCCTCTGCCCCCAGCCTGTGGTGGCGGCGGTGCGATACGGCGCCCCTCTCCCGGGCTCGAATCTGGGCTGACGGTGGTGGTGCCGGGTCGATCTGACCCCATCCACGCTCTGCCCATCACGCCTCGCTCTATCGTGGCTTCACCAAAGTTGCGAGCCATGTTTGGATCCTTTGGCCTGGGTAAGTCTAGCGGCTGTCTCTCATTTGCTCTCGCTCCATGTCATATTTCGTCTATTCTACACTATTCCACACACTTGGCATGTAATCAACTTCTCAATTTGCCCCTCTCTCTTCTCTTCACCCGTTTATGCTCAACCTGGGCTCATAGCCCCCCTGCTTTCAATACATCTTGGCCATATCTTGGTTTCAACTTTAAGCATCAGCCCGCCTGTTATTGTGCCTTACTATGCATCGTATCTAAACTGTAACTAGCAAATCTGCCGCCCAAGGTCAAGGTAGCCCCCGAAGACGTTCCGCCTCCTACACCTATTAGTCTTCCTCGCTACCAGCCTTTCGTCCAAGATGATGCCCCTGTTGATCCACAACAAGCCCTATCAAACCTACTCAAGTATACGGGCCGGGTCTCTGCCGCTTCGGGGTCAGTAGGGCTTTCTGCCATCGGATTTGATTTGAGACTGGACGTTGGAGCAGAGGAGCTCATCCCCGTTCCGTCTTTTATCCCCGACTTTGACAAGTGGGACCGACTCACGCCCGAGGAGGCTAGCGAACAGAATCAAGCAGAGCGTCGGCCCATAAGAAACGGCAATCTGTCTCCCGGATGCCAGGTTTATGTTGAGCGTCGCAAGGAGCTCTCGAACAATAACGAAGATGCATTTCATACAGTCCGCCGATTGCCACCTCCCAAGGGGAAGCAGCAAGCTCGGCTTGGAAATGCTTACGAGTTCTTTCGCTGCCTTGAGTTCTTCACCACGTACTGGGATGACCCAACTCAACCTCCGTCTCTCCCCCCATCTCCCGAATTAGCACCGGCCGAGAATGGTGAGACCAATACCACCAATATCCCCCCGGAACCCTCACGGTACGAGGCAACGCGGACATCGGACGGTTGTTCAATGCCCCCCGAGTATCGACAAAATCTCATTTCAGCATTTATCAAGCTTGTGGCGTATGATTATGGTTGTAATGTTTCCATGGCTCGTTATGAGCCTAGGCTGCATTTAAGCTCCCCAGAAGGCCACCCTAGCCCGCGTAAATCATACAGCCCTTCCAACTGCCATTTTATTTTCCAGAGCCCAACTACAAGGGAGACAGCCCGTGCTGGTCTTGTATATGGCCCTCTGGGGGTAGTCAGTGCACGTCCAGGCACAAATTTCACAACCCCAGACATCGAAACAGCACAGTCCACCGATCTTGCCCGGGAAGTACTAGCTGCCCTCGTTGCTGCCCAGCACAGGGCTCGCGAAGGGAAAGTTGAAACGCGGTTTGGCGAAGGCCAGTGGTGGACATCTAAACCGAGATGGGGCGGTGGTACTGGGGGTCCCATTGGGAGAGAAATTGATACGGATATGCCGCTCGGAGACAAAGATGCCCTACCCACCGATTCAGACAAAGCAGTTCGACCTACCAAAAAACCTCGGAAGACGTTGTCAATATACGACGCCTATCGCATGGTTCGACCGCCATCTTTCACATGGGACAAAAAGGCTCGCTACGAGGCAATTGGTAGGCAGAAGGGCGTTGATTGCGACGACATCTTTGTGATTAGCTCCATCTTCCACCATGTATCTATTCTTCGAGTCCGAGTTCCTGACCGTCTCTTGGAGGTACTTGGAGGTTCTTCCGACCAAGATGTGACAAAACGCAGCTGGGGCAGAGTTCAGGGCTGGAGAAGTAAATGGTTCGACTTATTCGATGTTGAGCAGCGACTTGCAGCCATGCGGATGCTTTGGGCTGTAATGGCTTATCAGATGAGAAAGGAGCCGGAGGACAAGGATGTGGCAGTGGCTGAGAAGTGATTTACGAATGATTAAACAAAGGCATTTGAGAAGTGGCATATCACAAGGTCAATGGCAAGAAGAGAGAGCCTATAAGACGTCTGTGAGATGCATGATGGGCAGCCTATCTAGAGGCAATATATGAGGATGTGTCCTGCTGTAAAATTTGCCAGTTGGGATAGCGCTGAACGGCCAGTCCTCTTATAAACACCTAGGCTTTACTTTATGCTAGAGAATTTATGAGCATCCAGCTCATCTAATGAAAATGAAGGAATAGCTGACAGAGCCACACACAAACCGTACTGATAAAGGTCCATAAACTATCACTTCAAATGTAAATGAAAGAGTACTGAGCATGATTGTGTATCTTGAATGAAAACATATTGTCCATGGGATTGGCCTTTCAAATCATGGCCGCTCGGCGAACGCGAAAGGTCGTGCAGTATTAGGAGCTTTTTAATATTATTCAATTAAACTGAAACCATCATAGCTTGACTATTAATCTATACCCGCCAATATGAGCTGATCTATATACAATTAATCTAGATGACAACATCTTTTTAAGCAAACGGATACGGCACTGATGGCACAGGGTTATCCGAGTAGCAAGAATACATGGGATCTGCATCTCCAAGGTATCCAACGCACTTCTTGCAGTTCAGCAACGTATCAGGGTCATACTTTTGCTTAATCGCAAGCAACGTATCGTAGTTGCCGCTAAAGAAGACGTCCTGCCAGTCGGGCTCATCCGGGTCTGCCTCGTTCAGATACGACGCCTGTACCGAGAGCGGCGCCTTGATGGCTTCTATAGCGGAGCGAGCAGCCGCAGCGGCTTGGCCGCCGTCTGGCATTCCCGGCAGCCAGCCTGCTGCTGCGACGAGATGCCAGAGGGTGTTTCGCCATACGGGGTTGGCGCTGGTGGCGTTGTGCGTGTCGGGCGTGTTGGTCGCTCCCGTCTTGAGGATGAGGAAGTCGACGAGGGCGCCGGTGGTGTCGTTTGCCAGGATCTGGCGGGCGTTTTCCATGCCTTGCAAGAAGCCGGTGACGAGGGCGTCGACCTTGGCGGGGGATTCGAAGTTGTCGGCGGTGATGAGGCGGCTTGGGGTCAGGACGGAGATGCCGACGGTGCCAAACTGACTGAGGTAGCTCTCTTGGGCGGCGTAGAAGTCCTTTTCAGTGTCGTAGAGCAGGTAGGAGTTGGTCGTGATGTTGAGTCCCGGATAGCTGGTGACGAAGGAGTTGAACTTGGAAGTCAGCTGCTTCAAAGTCCCCAGAGGGTCTTGGCCAATGGGCATCACTTCAAGCAGGTTGATGCCGGTTGCCGAAGCAGTATCATAGCCAGAGGCATTGTTGGCTGACCAGTTGGGCTGCTCATTGGACAGCTCGGTGAGAAAGTCACGCAAGAAGGTGCTCTTTGTGAGGTCCGTCTCGCTGTTGTTGAAACTGGCCTGCAAGCGCCACGCAGCCCACTGGTTCTTGGGATACACCTGGAACTTGTAGTTGACCAGCACGGCGTAGGAGCCGCCGCCGCCGCCTCGCATGGCCCAGAAGAGGTCGGCATCGTTGCACGCGTTGATGGTGCGGAACTCGCCATCGGGCGTGACCACGTCAAACTCGACGGCCTGGTCCACCATCAGGCCGTACGCCGGCGTGAGAAGCCCGTGGCCGGCGGCCTGGCCGAAGCCGCCGGCGATGCCTACGGTCGAGCAGCCGCCGACGGTGACCATGATGTTGCGCTGCTCAAAGTAGTCGATTGCTTCTTGGGCATTGACGCCGGCTCCGATGATGGCGATGTTCTTGCGGGTTCCTGCAGAAGGGCAGTTTTGAGCCGTGAATGAAGCCTCCAGGGTCATGTTCTTCATGTTGTGCGTGTTGAGGGTCAGAGTGTTGGCCGCGCTGCTGCGGCCAAGATAGTCGTGGCCGGTGTTTTTGATAATCATCCGGATGCCATGCTTTCTTACAAAGGCAATGGTAGCCGTGATGTGCTCAGCGGTTGTAGCGTAGACTTGCAACGCGGAGAGTCTCCCCAGGGAACAGGTCTGGCCTCGGGGTGCAAAGACGCCGGGGTAGCAGTTTGCAGAGCCGCAAGATTCCCAGTTTGTGGCTTCCAGTGCTCCGGTGGATGATTCGCGAAAGGTGCCATTCATGTAGTTTTCCTGGAGAGTGGCACATAGCCCGCTGTCGAAGTTGGACGAGCTCGGGAAGCAGACGCTGCCCATTGGGACTGTTACTTGTAGCGCCCCTGAGATGGTCTGGTTGAAGGCCTGCCATTCTGCAGTGGTAGGCCAGCATGATTGCCCGGGTTGGCAGGAAAATGCTGAGCCATCAGCAACGGCGGTTTGAAGCAGCTGAGCTGCTATCAAGGATAGCGTGGCAGCACGCATGATGGACTGAGATGTAAGAGAATGCCAATCCAACTTGAAACTGCAAAAGCAGAATCAAATTGTCTATATATATGCATCCATAAGTCATATTTCAGTTTTACTTGTTCAAAAATCATCAGATGCTGAGATCATGACAGGGGATATAAGCAAGGGGTGTAAGTGAAGAAGCCGAGCTAAACAATAGTAAACAACTTGAATAAAAGCCTCCGACGACGTTGACTACTATGCAAAAACTCTGTAAAGTCTCGCCTATGCCGACATGGTATTGGAAAAGCCAATCTGGAAAGCTTCTAGCGTCCTCTATACTCTGCCTGGAAAGGCAAGTTGTTACAAGGGCCGGAGCTGTCAGGTAAGCGCTAATAGCGTAACGACGCTCTGGATAGGAGTTGAAAGATTGGCCCTGTGAAGCAAGTCAAGTTGAGCAGTTGTTTTGGAATTTGGGACAAAAGAGATGGTTGTACAAAACTAGTTGTATTGTGTTGAGGACGCTTTGGCTATTAGTAGAAGCATGATGTACGAGGACAATACCGGAAGCAAGGCTCAGTCTAATATCATAGACAACTCGAGCCAGTGGCTCCATGTTTCTATAATGCCGTCCCTTCTATGGCGATTAGTGATATAAAACAAGGGAGTTGACCTTGTTCGGGCGCACGTCGGACTGCTTGAGCGTCTGTGCACAATTGCTGGGATCGAGAAGCTGGGACGGCTACTGGGATCATGAGAATACTGCTGCCTGTATTCGCCTTTGTAAGGATAAAGGTTTCGTCCTATAAGTGGAAGATTATTTCCAGTTAACAAGGGTCGGAGTTGGCCTAGTCTATAGAGGAGTTCGCTGGGCTTACATGTGCACAATGGCTATCTTTCAAGGAGTGAAAAGATGACCTACGCAATAGGCCATGTCAGGTTAATACGGAGCGGAGTTTCGGCTACTACGGAATCCTTTTCGGACATTATTTTGTTCATTACACAATAATTAGTGAACGTTGATATTAATATTATACCGACACAGCTTATCCTACCTGGGCAGGCAGATTGAGTTGGCACGGACAAATGTGGTTGATCAGCCCGTAGAGGTAAGCTACAGCAATGCATTGAACCATGAAACAAGATGATCTGACTTTTCGGAAAAAAATATACGCAACGTAGTAGATTATGTAGTATCTAACTGCAATATGAGTTTGGGAATCAGCTTCTCCCCCTCCACTATATACCATCTCTTTAAAATATTATGCTTAGATGCAATCCAATTTCTCCAGCCTTAATCGTATCTCCCCTTTATAACAACAGTAAATAGCGAATCCGCATGTATAATGGCTACCATCAACACCAAACTAGGTACTCTCTGACAAATTTTCGGTATGAAACGGACATTGTCTTCCATGTGCGCTGTTGTCCGTCTTCAGAATTGCCACGTAGTCACTCAAACACTCCCAACAAAACTGTTGTGAGCAATTAGAGCCTGCGATTTGGTTCCTTAGCTTTATGCAACCACAAATGATGTGTGTAATAACATACACGTATGACTAAACAGGCTGGGATGATTGATATCCAACGACAATAACAAATCACCGCTGCACTTCCCAATACCATTGGTATTTGCAACGGGCACCTGTTGAAGACAGTATCGTTAAAAGGCCGCTCCCATTTTAGAGTAGAGTTTAGCGTCATCCTATGGGATTTCGGTGCTGGTTGTTTTGCGAAACAAGATAGGTAACGAAAACAAAGGTCTAGCATGGAGTACGGAGAAGCAAGGGAAAAAAAGAGACTCTTACAAATCATGTGTGAACTGTATGGTACATCAGCATATCTCACCACAGTGGCTAGAAGGATTCGAATTGAGGAAAACACAAAGGTGTAAAGTACTCACCATCCTCCATTCTTCTGGATATGAACCTTGCAATTGGGGCAAGGTTTTGTAACTTGTTTAATGGTCTCCGTACTGGCCGCATCTTCTTTCTTATGGCGTGCTGATGCTGCTTCTTGTTCATCAAACTGCTCGCATGTCAGCCCTTTATGCCAGGGCTTTTTATGTTGAAAACAAGTCAAGTTGCTGCATGAGTTGCACCTCATGATTGGCTCGTCGCTGCCTCCCTCGTGAAGCTGGCCGAAACCGCAGTCGGACGAACACTAAGCAAAGAAGAGTCAGAATGGCGGCCATGGTGAAGTCGAGATACCGCAGAAGAACACACCCATAGAAAGTTAGGATCGTCTTGAGTGGCACGTTGTATGATCAGCGTGTCCAGCTTCTTCTTTGTATCATCGTCTGCAAACTTTTGTATTTCTTGGTACTGGAGAACAGCGCCGCACTCCGGACACTTGATGTCTTCCCATTGTTTTCGCTCAAGTTCAGATCTCAGCATCTTTCGTAAGCACCTGAGGCACGCCGTGGGGAAATGTGTACATTCTTTTGTAATCGGAGACTGGGGGAATGACATGGTCCCCTTGTAGTCTCCGCAGATGATGCACTCAACCTTCATATTTGCTGTGACTTGCTGTGCTAAGATGTAGATTTAGTGTTGAACGAGTTTAGAAAAATTCATAAAAGATTTTGGGCATTTATAAACCCTAAACACCTTTGTATTGCTATAGAAGCAGCACTTACCCGTGTCTAGGTGAATGCTGCGTATAATGAGCGGTGTTTGATACATGTAGGCCGGGAAAGCCTTGTACTACTCACAGCCGACAGATACACTCTCACTAAAGACGGGTATATCATTGATTCAATCATGGCTTGACGCACCAAGCTGCACTTGCGTGACTTTGGCCCACGGCTCATCCATGGCGCTGCAATGTCGCTGCAAACTTGGTGTAGAGAGTATAGATTGGTATCCAGAATCTGTAGCGAGGTCCTCAATACTTGTAGAAGTTTTCGAGACCTTCTATTGGAATCGAGAAGTTCATGGAAAAAAAGAAACAGCTTTGAGCGAGGAGAGATAGATCGCGATAACAAAGAAAAGGATATGAATAAAGAGGGTTCCACGATCAACGCTCAAAGGCGTCAGTAGCAATCAAAAGCGGCTTGGATCATAGCATATAAAGCAAATCAAGAAGAAAGAATGAGTTCACAGTCTTTGTTTTGACGTACTTCATGTCTTCTTCTTCGAAGCTCGTTTGGTTGTTTAATTGCGAATAGCTTCATTTCGCCTAGTTTGTCGGCCATTGTGCTATAGTACCGGCATTTCCGGCGTCGGCATGAAAACACACGTAATTACCTCCACTTTTAGATAGCCTGGCGAGATAAATTGCTTGAGCAACTCTAGGAAACAAAAGAGTCTATATTTAGAAGCATTTCGGGCGTCTGCATCCCAGCTCGAACGTGGACCAGCAGAGATATGAGTTGGTACGTGGCTTTACTAGAGTCGCATAGCTCGGGAGTTTTTTGGGTCTTTCTCTACGCACATTGTTAGGTTTGCTTCAGGTAGTAATTCGAGATTCCAGCGGCCAAATCTATGGCTGAAGCGGCTTACTGTAATACGGCATGCCAATTAGCACAGTGCAGCTGATGCTATACGATCATTATGTGGAATTGAAGTCAGTGTGGCGTTGAAGTTTCGTAAAACGCAGCTGCACATGTGAAACAAACCCACAGAGTATGGATATTCCCTGCTTATAACAGAACATGTCGAATGTCCGCCTATTTTTACATATGCGGTATACCCAATGAATATGCAAAGATACGTCAGCTAGATACATGTACGTCATCTCAACCAACCTTTATTCACTATTCATTACCGAGCTTTACATACATGCAGTCTTTCTTCCCTCAGGCTCTGTTCCCCTCCATTCGTGATCAAACACTTTCTCACGCAAAATGAGCACAGCGATCCCATCCTCCATTATGGACGACTCTCAAGCCCATTCTCCAAACTGCCACATCTCCCCATTTCTCTTACTGCCGTATCACATCCGCCATGAAATCTACCTGTTCGCTCTCGAGTATCCAGATCTTCGCCCGATATTTGCACGTATGGAGTATCAGTTTGCTCAAGGCGAAGCCACACACGACACGACGAGGCTGCCAAAGTGTATCCTCCCAACGCCGCATGTCCCGGCGCAGCTAAAGGTCACTCCGGGCATCTTTCTGTGTAATAGACAAATTGCCAGCGAAGCGCGAGAGGCCATGAAGTTCAAAGTATTCACTCTCCAGAGACCACCGCCATATACCATGACGCTGGGGAGACCCATGGACATTACCGAGTTTATCAGCCAAGACACGCTGAAGAACATGCGGCGAGTGGAATTGGTAATGAATCTTTTTGATGATGCCAGGGGATGGGGCAAGACTGTAGAGATTCTTTTGGATGTCTGGAGCTCAGCAAACCATCTGAAGAGGATAGATGTAAGCCTAGAGCAGCCGGAGGAACTGCCGCCTGGAACAATGTGGCACGAGAGATCCTCTAGATATGTAACCAAACTGCTATCAATGGTTCGTAACATTTCATGCCCTCACTTTATTCAACAATAACCTAGTGCTAACAATCCTATCAGATCCAGAGCTTTGCAAGAGAGGGTGGTATTGAGTTGACCGGAACGCCGCTCCCAGCACTCAACGTGAAAAAGGCAAATGCGGATTGGTAAAATGTTGTAAAAGCATCTTTTTATATAGAAATGGCGTTACCGTTCTCGAAACTGAATATGAGCGTCTGCGCTAGATGAACCAGCATCTTTTTATGAAGCCTTTTTTTGGGGGCGTTATCATGGTATAACAACAACCAACTCTACTCATGCAGAAGTATTACTGTACGGTACATCGGCCAAAGATTAACGTTATGTTTCTCGAAGGATTTAGTAGTTTATCCTGTAACCCATTAACTGAGTCATTAATTACATGTACCTTGTTTGCTGAGCCAAAGCCAGCTACACTTCCGACTTTTCACTCAACTTCGTCCTTCTCGAATTCATCCACCTTTTCGACTTGTCCACAACATCAGCAATATCCTCATGCAGAATCCAAGTAAGCAAGCCCACAGTGATGGGTACAGATATGATCCAGTAAACGTAAAACAGACTCTCGCCAGCGGCAAAGTCCCCGCCCATGGAGAAGATGGATGCCACAAACGTGCAAGGCACAATGATGGTGGCAATCTTGGTAAGCTGGCCGGAGCTACGTGCCATGCGGTTGGCGGCGGCCGTCTGCCTATTTGCTTCCTTTGTTTGTTTCATAGATTCCCACGATTGCATCTTGGCTTCGTATGTTTCTTCCATCGTGGAGCGAGTGGAGTACATCATCATATGATCTTTGAGAGATTCCTCGGCGTATTGAAGTTTCTCGTCAAGGAACTTCCATGATTCAATCTCTTCATTCTTATAATCTCCATGCTTTGAAGTCTTTTCTGGCGAATAGTATGTGTCTGAAAGGCGAAAGTTATGTATAATTGCCCGGATGCTGTGTCTGTTATTCCTGATGATTTGTTGTCTTCTCATGAGTTGCTGATATTCGGTCATAGCTTGGTTATTAATGGCTATTCTATTCTCGAAATTCTCAGATGCAGGTGAACTCTGGCTGATCTGGTGACTCCACACGTTTCGGTAAACGGTCTCATAGATAACCCTTTGATCCCAAAAGATGTCCTGCTCCCACAATGCGCGAATACGATTTCGAACAATGTAAGTTGCCGAAAATGGATCGTCATCAGATTTTGGGGGTATATTTTCATATGCTTCTGCCACCGCATCGAAAATCGAACGCTCGTGTGGTTGGGTGAAATCGTCATTTGTGGAATCGAGTACGATTTCGCGATACTGCGATTTGTACGGTGGCTCATGGGTTTTTAGATGAATTGTTTTTGGATCGTCTGGACTCGAGGCCGGGAATAATAACAGGCGACTTGGGTGCGGGTCAGTTATGATAACAGCTAATATGGGTCCGTTAATATTTTGATATCGTCAAAAGAAGATGACACACCTATCCAAGAGCCATTCCTGTATGAATTAGCCCAGTAAGATACGTAACTCTGGAAGGACACATGTCTATGACCATCCAATGAACCTTTCCAACGAAAAAAAGAGCCGCATAAAAGCTCGTACCTGCCAAGCTTTGTCTCTCGAGGTAGGGTGCGGTTTTGAGGCACCGCAGCCTTCCAGTATTTTGAGCTCCCTCCCTTGGATAGCTGTTTATCAACAACACTGAGCGTATTGCTTCCAATACAGTGAGAGAGGAAAAACTCTGGAGGAATCTCCAGTAGTACCCCAAGTAGTTCTGCTATTCTCGGGTTCAAATCTTCGAGGAGTATTACGTAGCGGCTTCTCTCCCCTACAGCGCCTTCTTTTCGAGTGTTCTCCCAGGATAGCAGTAGATTTCGCATCGTCTCGAACTCGTTTCCACTCGGCAGGCCACGGCAGCCTCGTTCTAGATTAAACAATCGAAGTTTCCATGGACTGTGGCGCGCATCTTCTGCCCATGGATGGTACACGGCGCCCATTTTGTTCGCGACGGCTGCTGCCCTCTTTGCATATGCTTTAGTCTTTTCTTCCATGTCCTCATTATCTGGCCAGAAGGTATCGTGATCTGGCCAGAAGATGTCATGATCTGCATCTATAAGCTTCCATTATCGACAAACGGATGAATCACAAATACCTTGTTCTGAATATGCCTGAGCCATGGAGCTTGAATGTGTATAATCTTTGTGTGAGTATATGTATAGGTATATCTACATCAATATGGCAACAGCCAATAACACCATGCCGATAGTACAAAACAAACGAGATTACTTCCACTACCAATCTCTCTATATATATTCTAGGAATCAAAAGAATTGCCAAGAAACAGTTTTCCTAGCAAGCCCAAAAATCTGCCTATCCAGCCACCTGAAAACATCCTCTGGCGCCTTGCAGCACAAATAAGCAGGGGTCATGGGCGGTGCTACCCCAATCAACCTTGGCACAGCATCACAAATTTGTAGTATATCTGCTTTGTTGATATCAACTCCCTTCCAAAAACAAGACTGTTGTTGACAAAGCAGCCCCTTAAGATTGCAAGCATTAAAATTAATCGCGTAAGTGGACAGTTACTGTTACGCTCATCATCAGCACTTTGACCTTTGCTACTGTTCTTCGCTAGATCACCCTTCCAAAATTCACTACCATTATATTCCTACTACGCTGCTGTGAGACGAGGCTCTGTAACGCGTCTGTTCATCGAGGACCAATTAAATACGCCACCGGCCCATCTCATGCAGACAACGTGGCGAAATATATTGCGCTATTGGTCTTGGTTGGCTCTTCGCGAGCCTCAATCTCTATAGTCGCTCGACCAGAGGCGGCTATGTTTATGTGTCGGAATGGGCTGAGCACCCGTTCCATTTCAGTAGACCTCTATCCAGTCTCGCTCACCAATCTCGGCTGCCATTTCTGCTGCTGCTGTTCATAGCATGTGGTAGCAACCTAGCCATATGTTTTGCGTTGAATTGAGGCTTGATAGTCTGCATTAATGGTTTTTTAATTCCAAGGGTGCGAGTTTCGGCCTGCGTTGAACATAGGGCCCTTTAGCTCAGTATTGAAAGAGCTGATTGAATGAAAATACCATGAATGAATGCGTCCGATTTAACGTATAAAAAACCGAACATTTACTATGTAGTCATATAATATTGTACAATGATTTTCTGTTAAATCCATTTAGAATTACGATGTTTAAAAGGCGGCGGCCTAAGCGCGAGGAAGAAGTCTCCCAGGGAGACTCTATTGGCAGCATCGATGGCGATTTCCGGAGTGTGCGCTCGATACTTGAGATAGCTGGGTGGTAGTTTGGTAATAATTTTGCCATCTATATTAGCAGGCTTCCGGCTCTCTTTCTTATACCAACTAACACGTTTCTTGGGTCGGATTGGCTTCATCATGATGCCATCATCGCTAGAACTACCATCATAATCGTAGATATCGTAGTCTTCCTCATACTCGTAATCACCCATTACATCGATAGCAATGTACTGCTCCACTAGCTCATTGAAGTGAATATGCTTCTGTTCACGGGAGGGAGAGGTAGAAGTGGTATTTGACAAGCCTGATGAAGCTGCCAAAGAAACGGTGTATTGGTTATCTCTCTGGGCAGATACAGAGTTGGCAACATTGTCTTCTCCATGCTCCAAAGTCTCACAGGTTGTTTGAGCTGGAATTGTCGCTGTAGCCTGCTTCAACGGAGGTGCGTATATCAGCAGCTCCTGAGGCATGAATTCAAGCACATTGTTCTTTTTGAGAATTGGCTTCTTGTTTCCGTTAGAATCTGTTTTAAACAGAGCCACACCTGAACCTTCAGTGCCGGATAGGTTTGCAGCCTTGGGACAGCACGGTAGAGGCCCATAGAGCCAAGTGGTGTCGCAATCTTTGAGCCTGTAACGCACCGCTGTTAGCCTAGACACGACTTGATGAGTAGGGAGAGAAGGATACCATGAGTGAATGTACATACCAGTTCAGCTCATCTGGCGATATAGTCTTGAGATGATTCTTCACCTTCATCCAATTTCTCCAAGACGCATTTTCCAATCTCGCGCTGTTACCAAGTTGGTCTCTGTTGGAAGTAATGTATCTCCACGACAACCAGATATCTTCCTTTTTCCAGTCTTGCGATAAGTAATCCACGTTCTGCCGTGGCTCGGTTGATGCTGCAGAATCGTCTTTTGCATACTCGACCATGTCGGCAGATTTGTAATGCAAAGCTTCGACGGATCTGGCCTCGTCGTCCTGGCATTGCTGTTCAGCCATGGAGATGCGAAGGCCGATTTCTTTTGCCGAACAATCAACATTCAGTATCCCTGCCATCAATTCGCCAAAGCGGACCAGCGATTTTGTGGCCTCATTCATATCAGTTCTGGATCCCAAAGTACAATAGGCATGATGCAACACCTTGGCGAGAAGCTCATCGGCGGTTATACCGTAGTCAACAGCTATTTCAGAGCTATCCTTCGCCAGACCATGCAAAGCATATACTTTATCCAGTATGTTTGTAGCCTCGTGATCGCGATATAATTGCAACAACGTCGTCAGAGGTTGGAGATTCCCACCCCATGCTGCCTTCGCCTTCGCAATAACAATAGCTGGGCTTGCAAGAATTAAAGATGCACAAGGCGTGTGGTGCTCTCGTCCTATATCGGATATTGCTTGGAGATCCTTGACCAGCTGTTCAAATGTATTCCAGCCAATATGTCTGGACCCGCAGTAGATGGTGACTTGCTTTGCAAACATGATTTCTTGGATAATCCACATCCGCCGCCAGTAATTCATTTCACAAAAGGCCAATATGGCTTTGGCCTGACGCAGGCTCCAGAAGTTGTCAACGTTGAACTTTCCAGCATCACAAGGTGTTCTTGTCGCCAAATGCTCCATTGCAATATCGCTGTCGGAGGAAGCATCGGCTTTGCCCAGCCACACCGAGACTGATCGGGCGTTGCTGTAGATCTTCCGCATTATCTGCACTTGGTGGTTTCGCTCCATGACGTTCGACTGGTCAATGCATATGGCGTCGATCCAGAAATTGACGTACTGATTTTGCAGCCGCATATGATGCAGAAACCACCAAAGATTATTACCAACCGAGAACCGAGTTCCATTGAGGCTAATTGTCTTGTCTCTCACATTTTGGCCCCATGCATAGGAGAGCGCGATATATGCGGGATAGTTGCCATCAAGAGAGTAAGAGCGTAAACGACACTCGATCATCTCCGGCTCAGCACTCGGTACCAACTCAATCAATCTGAAGTCTCCCGGTTCAATTGGCGCGGTGGAATGGGGATTCTCCATGTCTTTGGTGGCAAAACGTCGTGCCCATCACTGAGGTTTGAAGATGACAAAAGACGGGCTTTGCAAGAATTGTGAGATCAGCTGTGAACACGCATTAATCGTAATACTGAACTAATCATATGTTCGGCCAAGTCTCCATATTCGCTGATGCCTGTTTTCTTGATTAGGCTCCGCTGCGTGCCCAACCAGCAGCATAGCCTGCCGCTATCTATCAAACCTCTATTTCTGTGAGCTACTATTGGACAAGGGTCTTTCGGACAAGGCATAATCGCAGTAATATTCCTATTGAGTTTTAGTGTTCAAATATGCACCTGGAAGGACTGACTGCAGCATGTAAGAACTGGTAATAAAATGTTATATCAAGGGAAAGGAACATTGCGTACAATGCTACTATCTAGTAGTCTTGAGAATGAACACCCGAGCACTGTATCTCCTGTGCTTGACTATGTCTCGTTCTCCATTAAACACTTCCCTAGCTGTTATCTCTTCTTGCTGACGCTATCGTACTCTGAAGATGCAAAGCGCTGTTATGCCATATCACTTCTATGCGATCTCTATCTTTGGCATCGCATCCTCAAGGAGCTTGAGGATATTCCAGTGCAAGATATCTCTTGCTGCAATGGAATCCTCCACGCTATCATGCCCTTTATGACTCAGTTGAATGTCTCGTCCGAGCCTCTCTTTTGCGAGTGCCTTTAGCGATAGCCCTCCTCTCTGCTTTGGCTGGTTAGGGGGCTTCTCTTTTTCTTTAGAGTTTGTTTGGCCGTCTCCGTTGTCATCTATGGCTGTTGTGGCACTGGCTGGAACCTCTAGGCTCTCTTCCACCTGCTTGCCATTCTCTTTGCCCTCGCTCTCTTCTTTATCGTTATCCTTCTTGTTATCCTTACTATCCTCCTCGACCGGCCTGTTGTTCTTCTCGACAATGAACGTGTCAATGATGACTGGATGAATCCAGCGCAAAGAACTGAAGTCGGAGTTGGCGCCATGTCCAATGACTATAGTATTGGGACCGATGAATTTCCATAGAGCCTCCCGTGCCTTGGCACGTCCAAACAGGCAAGATCGGTTACGCCGCGCATTCTCCATCTGCGGCCTAGTAATTCCAGAGTATCTCGTGTTATAATGGATCATCTTAACATCTGGATACACGAGGCTGTCTAGAAGAACGGCGCCGGAGAAGTAGTCGACGGCGGAGACGCGAATTAACTCAGTCTCTCCCGTCGAGGCCGTGCCCATTTCGCAGTCAATGACGACTGCTACCGCTTTCGGGCCATCCGACTCACTATAGGGAGTTTCATAGTATCGCCACTCCCTTTCCAGCTCTCCGGCACCGTAAATTCTTGGCGTGTGATCTTCCTGGCCCTGGCATGGAGGCGCCCCGGGTGCACCATTACAACATGACCATTGCTAAAGAGGTGTATTATGGGTTAGCGTTCCTTAAGCGGAGGAAAAAGAGTGGAAGGAAGTAAACAAACCCTCTGAAAGACCCTCCCAGGGTGGTACTTGCAGGGCATAACCGTCTGTTTCAATCTCTTCGATTGCTGCTCGTCGCTTTGTCCACCATTTCCTCCTTGCGCAGGCGTCCTTGGCAGCCACTTGAGCCTCTTGAAGGAATGAGGGAGATCTCAATGCGTGTCAGATTAGCTATTGTTAAATGCAGATGCGCAGGTATTCATGTAAGACTTACGGCGACCGCATCGAAAGCATCGCCTCTTGCGATCCAGATCCTGCCCCGAGAGCTGGTAAATGATGTACCCTATCTTCTGGATCTCAGAGGAAGAATGGACCAGGTTGCGCAATTGTTCGGTATACGCGCGAGACTGCTTGATTTCCTTTGGCTGGTCGCTGTCTGGAGTAATGGTAAAGGACGTGATGGGAGCGGTCCGCGGGCGAGCTGCTGCGAATGACATGGCGAGCGGAATAAGGCAAACAAAAGAGAGGGAGGGAATAAAAATTGAAGGGCCAGTGGTGGAATTAATGAAATGCTGGCTGTGCTGAAGATTAAAGGCTGGGTATCTCTAGAGAAGATGAAAGAGTGATGTGGAGGGAAAGTGGAAGAACGAGAAAGTGAAGGAGGTTGAGCGCGTAGAAGTGAGGAGAGACTGACACGCTGAAGGAAGGCTGCCTACTGCTCAGGCGGCAATTGAATCACCTTATCAGGCATCATCACCTGCAGCAGCAGAACGCGGCTGGAAAAAGCTGTAGGCCTCCCCTAGAAAATCACTGAGGCAAAGAAGCCTTGGCCATTACGCAGATTGTTTCTTTGTTCTTTGTTGTTGTTGTTATTTTATTTTATTTATTAAAAAAAAAATTTTTTTTTTTTTTTTTTTTTCTTTATTTATAATTCAATGAATCGCTGGCAATTTTAACTTGCAATCTTTTTTTTTCCTATTCTGTTGCACTATTGCCTTGCCGTACCCATTCTCGTCACTCTTTGTGCTTCTAGAAATATCGATCCTAATTGATTCTTCTGGTGATAATTATCGCCATCAATCTATCTCCAAAGGCTTCATCGCATCTTTTACGGAGTAATATATTGTGCCGTTTATATTGCTTCAGTTTCTAGGTTAGCCCGTGACCGCCCACAGTGGCGCTAGTAACACAACTGGCGCCGTTCCAAGCACATTCTGTGTGCCAGATGATATGTTTGAACTATGTATATATATTGGCATTAAGAAGCAAGGAAGAAAGGAAGAGGGCAAGAAAATAAAACCATCAAAAGAAACGACAATCGTTCAGCAATGGCAGTCATGAGCTCCTCTTCCACAGCCACCTCAGGCACAGACAACCCTCGCCTCATTATCGACTTCGCTCCTGCCTCGGCAGCCGAGAATCTCTCAGAAGTCTCCGCCGTTACAAAGCTCGCCAACGACGTCTTCATCGAGGCAGAAGTCGGCATCTGGAACACCGGCTTTGTACGTACCAATGACGCCGAAGTTGCAGACTTGATCCGCAAAGGCCAACTAGCAGTTGCGTACCTTGCCTCCCCGTCTTCACCATCCGATGGCGCGCAGACATTGCAAAAGGGCCAGCTAGTAGGATGTGTGTGTGTCAAGCGACTTTCAGAATCCACATGCACATTGAGCATGCTTACTCTGGATACGAAGCACCAAGGCCTGGGGCTGGGCCGCGAGATATTCAAGTTTGTGGAGGATCACTGCCTATCATTAGGATGTTCTACTCTCGCATTGGATATTCTGGTTCCGACGAGTTACGCCCATCCACTGAAGACGAGAATGCAGGCATGGTACATTCGCCTAGGATTTGAGCAAGTGAGACTGGCAGACTTTGCGAAGGAGTATCCTTCTCTGGCGCCGCTGTTAGCCGGGCCTGCGGTGTACAGGGTGTTTGAGAAGAGGTTGGGGTAGATGGAGATGGGTCTCGATTGAATAGCTGAATTATCATCATCATGTTCGAAACTCAGCTTTTGCATGTGATGCTGCCTGGCTTGCTAGGTACTGTCGCTGGGGTGGTTTAGACGGAGGAATGGGGCGTTGATATCGATTTAGACAATAAGATAACGATTGACTACTAATATCATTATGACTTACCCTTACTTCACAGATAAAACAAGTAATCTAGAGATGTGTTATCATAGGGCTGTAGATATGGTCTCGGGCTCCTTGCGGATCTGTGCCTGCATCTTCAGCTTCAAAGCCAGACCAGAAGTGGCTTGGGATGAGCTACCTGATCTTGACAATCGAAACATCGGCATAATCTTTCGAGCTGAAGTGGGAAACTTCTTTTTCTTTTGGGCTGCCTCTTTCCCTTTAGAGTCATGTATCGGCCATTTCAGTTGTATCTGCAGACCTCATCTACCGGCATATCGTACGCTGATCAAGGCCCGTCCTTGGAAAATGTAACCAACCAAGGCTCTATCCCTATCCCCAGGAAATTGTAAAAGGGAGCTGCTAGTCAGCCTTCCCGTCTGGTTGCATACCGGGCAACCAACTTCCGGAGCAATCCATGGTCTGTGGTTTCTCTCCTTTCCCTCGTTTAACCCCGTTTGACGCCGAGAAATTGATATACGCCTACCTACATGTATCCATTCTCAAATCCGGACTGCGGCGAACTGACTAAAGCCGTAGGACACAGAAAATCAGCTCATTTCCCCGGTTGACCAGTGCTGGAAAGCGTTTAGCGATCGGCAGCCAGAAAATTCGTTAACTTCCTTTGAGCTTAGAGAGAAGAAAGACACAACCTCCCTGGTTCTTTGTGGCTTAATCTCCCCCGGACGGATGGTCTCTGCGTGACGTGATTGGCCAGTGGGTCTCGGGTCTCAGCTCTTTTAGGAACCTTGCATGGGTTCTCTATGGCGGTTTAAGTGAGAGCTGGAAAGTGAAGTTTCTTCACTTTCTGCTGCTGTATGCTTGCCGCTTCCTTGGGAGGCTCACTCGGGCTCTCGCTAGTATCTTACTGGCTTGCCAAGGTTCCGGTGAGGATGTTGTGCTTTGCTGGCTACTATCGGATCAGCCTTTCTGCTGCATGTCACTGGACAACGGTACGGTATCACTGAGCAAAGATGGAGGTTGCATCTGGGGATTGGGATGCTCTGCTGCATCAGCGGATAAGTCCGAGAGACAGAGTCGGTTGGTCAAGGACGATTTGGGCAATTGCCGCGCGCCATCTGGGCAAAGGAGCGTAGGTCCCAGGACCTGATCGATAGATTGATTAACATTATTCTGCAAAAGATTACTAGCTGCCCCCTTTTGACTTTTGTGTGTGGTGACGTGCATGCTCGGTGGTCAGAACAGGCGCGTAAGTGGATGGTGAAGTTGCTGTTGCTGTGGCCGTCGTCACGGCCAAGCTTGTGAGATGAGATGGGTAGTAGCGGATACCTAATCGTGTTGTCCACTTTGCTGTGTTGGGCGCGCGAGAAGCTTGAGATTGAGCAGGTACCTAGTACAAGGGAGAGATCTAGTAAGACTGGAGCTTGACGACGGGTACAACAGCACAGCCATGATGACCCGCATCGGGGTCTCCGTTTCAGCGAGGCAATGCCGCTGTGCAGCGAAATGCGCCATGTGGTCGAAGCTCTTTTTCCGCGTCGATCGAACCAATAGCGAAGCTAGTAATGAATATGGCCCGAGCGCCTTTTTTTTTCTGTCTCATCGCAATCGGCTTTTGCATCATGTTGTGGCTGGCGATTTGTAGAAGGGAAAAGAAACAGTCCGTGGAGCAACTCGTAGTGGCGCCATCGACGGGGACCCAGCCATTGCGGCGAGGCGCAGGAGATGCATCGGATGGTGCTCTGCATCTCATTTGCAACATGGTCCATACGCGGGTTATGTCATAGGCAAGACAATACCGTTGATATTGATATTGGTGTTGATGAGGATTCGCTTCGGTCAGAGAGTGACGACATGCTTTGCAGAGGCTATTCTCCTCTAAACTGAGTCATTTGACCACCCCTTGCCTTCAACCGAGGCTCGCATGTCCTATGAGCATATTATTAGTTAGTTTTTTTTTTGGTTGTGCTATACCCAGCCTCAGCTGTTGTCTTGTCACAACACATGCATCATCCACCTGTAAGCGAGGTGAGGTCGGCGGAGGGGAAGAGAAAAGATTGCCCGAAGTCACGCTTCCAAACTGTCGTCTGCCTTACCTCTCTAGGACGTAATCGGCATCTATCGTTGCTACGTTATAGTAATAAGAATTGATTTCAGTTTCGATTTTCCTCAGCTCTTATCTAATAGCAAGGGCGCAGAGCTGGGTGGCGGCGTTCAGTCCGCCATCGTCACTGGCAAAGGAACACTCTAATGCCTATTCAGGATAGAACAGCTACCGTCTCTGAATCCCCCGTTGTATTTGATGGATGTATACCTAAGTATGCGTCGTATGTCAGCATTGTGTCCATCGCAGGAGCAATCTGTCTGCATCATCTTTCCTGCGCCTTGTCTCGCTTTGCCGTGCCATCCCAAGAGCACAGCAGCGTCAGTGACAGCACTTACACGCATCAGTAGCTGCGATTTCTCCGGAAGGGTCTTAAGCCCCGTCAGGCGCCCAATGACTGTCGACCACGCAGCGGTCGGAGCCGCAGACCGAGATACAGCCCGAGCCTCTCGCTGCAACCCTCATCCGTTAGCTTGGCCTGTACCCTGGACCGGCTGGAACTGAACCCCGGCGACCCATCGGGCGAGACATGTTTTTGGACGTCTCGAATCTTCAATCGCAGGCCGAGTCGACGCACCCCTGTCCATCGCTTGTTATACCCGGCACGACGAGCGCTCTAGTGCCAGCGCCACCGAGCACCCCGGACAGAGAGCGGTTCGTTCTGTATACGGGACCCATCCAAAGGATCAATAGTGGCACGGCAGCCATTGGAAAGAAGCTGCTTCTCTGCGCGCTGTGCTGCTCTGCTGCGGCACTAATCGTTGATGATGATGATGATGATGATGATGATGATGAAGAGGAGGAGGATGCTGCTGTTGCTGTTCAATTGTCACATGTACCTGTACTAAGCAGCGGCTCTAGCCGTCTTTCAGGCTGCAGGCGCCGCCGTCACTGGCAATACCGACACCCCCCAGCACGGCTCCTAGTGGACGTTCAGGGCACTATCGAGCGCAGCGGCCCCAGAAAGACGCCAGACCCCGCCACCACCACCTCAACCCACCACCACCGCCAGCTCATCGTCACCCGACCTGCGCCCAACGGCTTGTTGCGAAGCGAAAAAGAGACAAAAACCCCATATGGGCCTCTCTCGCCACCAGACTCAGCTTCACCAACCAACTCTGTTTCACCTGGCGTTTGTTGTTGGCCTTGCCCCGCGCTTGGTCTCCAATCTGGTCTTTTCCTGCGCGTCTCGCTCAGCGGTAGAGGGCCCATTTCCGAGGCCGTAGCACTTGGCTCTTTTTCAATTTTTCTTCCTTCAATTTTCTACCGATTTTTCTCTATCAGCTTCAAGCGCTCGACGTCTTTGCTGGACAGACGCATCAATTGCTGGCATCTGCTGCCGCATCCCCCGCGCGTGCCTCCGCACCATCTGATCTGGACTTCAAGGTTCTCCAAAACCTAAACGACGTCCACTAACAACAGCTGGCTGGTCTGCTGATTTGACGGCCGTGGAGCTGACCGCCCGCTACACGTGCTCTCGCCCAAGCTCGATAAGCTGGGAGCAACGCCGATTGCCTTGTCGACGGCTGCGACCTGAAGAAGCTTCTTCGCCGATCAAGCAATTTCCTTTTGCCTGCGACTGTAGACCGTTGCATCGCCGCGTCCGCCTATTTTAGTGCCCGCCATCGCAATCCCGTCGTTTTTATAGCCACGGACCGCAGCCCGATTCGATTCAGCCAATCTTCGATCTTCAACCCGCCACCTTAGTACCCAACGGCGCGCCTGCTTGCGCTGCCTTTGCCTGATCGCCCGAGCTGAAGCTTCAACAAAGCCTCGCGCCGAATTCCTTCTCCATCGTTCTTCATCTTGAAAATGTCCGGATATCCAGGCTACAATGGCGGCGGCTATGCCGCACCGCAGCAGCAATATCAGCAGGGCGGCTACTATCCGTACGAGCTCCCCCTTATATCCTGAACCTCACGTCATATCTGCCCAAACCATGTCCAACGCTGCTACGGTGGCTGCGAGTCCAAACCACTACTTGCACGCCGTCCTCTTTTTTTGTCTTCTCATATTGGCACTTATCTCTTTGTAAATATGCTGTGTATCGATGCTAACTCAACTAAACGCTTCTCAGACCCCAGCAGCCCTCTTATACCGGCGGCTATCCGTCTCAGCCTTCTCCCCAGCCTGGCTACGGCTATCATCAAGGTCCTCCGCAACCGCAATATGCCTATCAGGTATGGCTGATGCTCCTTCTCAGGGTGACACCAAAATTGCATTGCAATGGTGCTTGAGCCTCTACAAAAGCTTACAAGTTTGATGTACTACAGCAACCGCCCCCTCCACAGCAGCAATACAGCAACTATGGCAATCCGACACCTCAACCCAACTATAATACACGCCCTGGTACGGTGTGCCATAACTCCTGACCTAGAACTACGTGCTGATGTTGTAAAAAAGGCATGCCTCCCCCAGGTCCTCCTCCGAACAGCTATAACCAGGGTCGCCCCAACGGTCCCCAGGCTCCTCCAGCTGGCCCGCAGAGCTTCGGCCACGGCGCGCCGAACAACTATGCATTTCGATACTCCAACTGTACCGGCCGCAGAAAAGCTCTGCTTATTGGTATAAACTACTTTGGCCAGCGTGGCCAGCTGCGCGGATGTATCAACGATGTCAGAAACATGACTGCTTATCTGGTGGAACATTTTGGTTATAAAAGAGAAGATATGGTCATCTTGACCGATGATCAACAAAATCCCATGAGTCAGCCCACAAAGCAAAACATTCTTCGTGCCATGCATTGGCTGGTCAAGGATGCTAGACCCAACGACTCGCTCTTCTTCCACTACTCTGGTATGCGTTTGCCCCTTTTTCTCAAATTCTTCGAGTTTGTGTTCTGACAAAACTTAGGCCACGGTGGACAGACAAAGGATCTGGACGGCGACGAGGCTGACGGATATGACGAAGTCATTTACCCCGTCGACTTTAGACAACACGGGCACATCACAGACGATGAGATGCACCGAATCATGGTCCACCCCCTGCAGGCAGGTGTAAGGCTGACCGCTATCTTTGATTCATGTCATTCTGGTACTGCACTGGACTTGCCCTACATCTACTCTACACAAGGTATCCTCAAAGAACCCAACTTGGCCAAGGAAGCTGGACAGGGTTTGCTCGGAGTCATCTCCTCATACAGCCAAGGAGATATGGGTGGTGTTGCCAACAACATCATCGGATTTTTCAAGAAGGCGACCACTGGCGACGACGCCCACAACAGGACCCTTGCCACCAAGACATCTCCTGCAGATGTCATTATGTGGTCTGGAAGCAAAGATGACCAAACATCGTAAGTCATGTCTCAGTGCCATGTGAGACAGGAAAATCCTCAGCTAACAATACTTTCCAGTGCCGACGCTACTATCGCCTCACAAGCCACCGGCGCCATGTCCTGGGCGTTTGTTACAGCTCTCAAAAAGAACCCTCAACAAAGCTACGTTCAGCTGCTCAACAGCATCCGAGACGAACTGGCTACGAAATATACACAAAAGCCTCAGCTTTCGTGTAGCCACCCTCTTAGTAAGTTCCCCTTGCATATATGTCAGGTAGGGTAGTACTCTCCCTAACATATCTTGCAGATACAAATCTCCTATTTGTCATGTGAAGGATTCCTTTACGTCCTCATAAACGGAAACAAGAAAATTGGCTTGAATGGGTTTATTCGCGGGCTACAATCGCTTTTGTATATGAAATAATTTTTTTTTTTCTATTTCTCTTTTCTTTTCTTGAATGTGGTCACGCGTGATATATCCCTCGGAATAAACTAAGCTGGGCGGTTCATCGGACTTGGGACTTGAAATATCGAATTGGTCTCTCTTTCTTGGAGTTTATTGAGCTTTTGTTTTATCTGCTTTGTTCCTTCCCCTTTGGTCCTTTTCGTTTCTCCTTCACGTTTCTCTCACGGTCATCATTCTTGGAAACTTGAGCATGATGTTCGGAAAGCATCACTTGGGCTAGCACACGAGATAGCATTCTTTAACTCCCTCCCTTTCTTACACCGATATCAAAAGGCTTTTGCATTTTACATTCTTTTTACATTCATCTATCACGTTGATCTCTTTTCTGATACGAAAACGCGCAGAATCTTTTGAAGCGGAGCATCAAAGCAAGAAATCAAGATTTGCCCTGAATACTAAACAAGGAGGCCAAAGTAAATACAGCATTGCCTCTCCCTTTAACATAACGCCAATACTGCCGCCAACCCAATCCAACTTGGCGTTTGCACTCTATGCTTCCCAAAAGAAATTACCAGACAGACAGACAAACAAGCACACCTCGAACTCCCCTTTCCCCCCCTCTCGTACATAGTTCATTGATCCCATACCCGTTTTCCATATAAGCATAACAGAAAGAAATAACCATAAGCGCTGGGAATCAGAAAGAAAAAAAGACAAAAGGATTCCAGAAGATTTGAAACCAAGATGAATAAAGACAAAGAAAGAGAAAGTAGAAATATATACAGCCTGAGCAAAAGATATTGACTGATCCATCACATGTGCGGGTAATGATAACGCAGCACATATGGAAACACCCGTCTAATAGACGTCGGCGGCGACAACTTTGAGCTGCTTCGAGCGCTTGATTTGTCGCTTCTCTTCGATTGCCGTGCGGAGCTTTTGGCGGACGGCTTCTTGACCGGCCCAGTTGCGGGCAGCGATGCGTGTTCGCGCAATGAAGCGGGCCATGATGAGGAAGGTCTTGAGCTTGGGCGATGGGGAGCCACCGGATGATGAGAAGGAAGGAGGTTTGGGGAGAGTGAGAGGCTTGCGGCTTTGGAGGACCTTGGTGCGGATGTGCTCGAGTTCGCGGAGTTGAGCTTTGTTGCTATAACGTCTGTTAGCAAAATGTTGTGTTTTGAGGTAAATTGACATGGGAGTGGGAAAGTGTACACATACCAAGCATCTGCAATGTTGAGCTGTAGCTGAAGGAACTTTTTCGCATATGCTGCGTCCGAGCGAAGAGACGCCTCGCGCTCCCACCGGGCCTGCATCCATTCCATCTGGAGCATCATACCGCGAAGCTCCTTCTTGTGCCGGACTTGAGCGCCTTCTGAGGCTCGCACGATGGTATCCAGCGCCTCGTTGTCAGCGTAGCCGTAGCGGTGACTCAACTTGTGCGCCCCGGCCGCCGCCTCCTTCTTCAGGTGCTGGATATCGTTTTGCATCTTCTCTACGCTCATGCGATACGCTGCTCGCTCGGTGCGCGCGCGCTCGAGTTTGCTCCGTAAGACGGCCTCTGAAGCGACGAGATTGTTAATGAGCTCTTGCTGCTCTAATATGTCACGTTCGAGGTTTTCGACCTCAGCCTGGCGCTCTCGTAGACGCTGGCCTTGCTTGGTGCTGCCTGCCTGCGATTGCTGCTTTCGTTCGAGACTCCGGCGCTCCCGCTCAAGTTCTTGTCTCAGAATGGCCTCTGAAGCGACCATTTCGTCGATAAGCTCCTGTTGTTGGAGGACGTCTTGCTCGAGAGCCTCCATCTCGGCTTTGGTGTTCGTATCGCTGTCTGCGCGAAGCTCCCGTTGTCGCTCGAGGTCCTCTTTCAGAGCAGCTTCTGAAGTCATGAGGTCGTCAATCAGCTCCTGCTGCTGAAGCACGTCGTCCTCAAGGGTTTTCCCCTCTTCTCTGAGCGTTCTCACCTCCTCTCTGAGGCTTTCGATCTCTTCCCGACTCTGTACAGCGCTTTTAGTGCTTTTTATGTGTGATTGCTGCGCTCGGCTAAGCTCTTGACGTAACAGGGTTTCAGAGGCGATCATTTTGTCAACAAGCTCTTGCCTCTGGAACATATTTCGATCAGGCCTATTAGCCTCTTCTCGAAGCTGCATGAACTTGATCCGCTGCTGCTCTCGGTCAAGCTGCTGTTGCAGTGCAGCTTCTGAAGCGACCAGATCATCAATAAAGCGCTCCTGCTCGAGTATCTTCGCTTTCAGAGTCTCGACCTCGGTTTGCACATCATCGTATTCTGCCTGTCGCTGCTGTTCTTGCTCTAGTTCTTCTCGTAGAGCAGTTTCGGAAGCCGTGATGTTCTCAATTTCTTCTTGCAGATGGACTATTTCGCGCTTTAATCTCTCAATCTCTGCTTGGCTTCCCATATTCTCTGCGCGTAGCCGCTGCTGTTGCTCCAACTCTCTATGTCGAGCAGCTTCTGCGGCCTCGAGGTGATTGATGAGCTCTTGTTGTTGGTGTATCTCGTATTTGAGATTTTCAATCTCTTCTTGGTCTTGCAATGTATTCTTTGCTAGTGACTGCTCTTGGCTGACTTGCTCGAGTTTTTGGCTTAGAGCAGCCTCGGACGCGATCAACTCCTCGATATAACGCTGATGCTCAAGAAGATCAAGCCTTAGACTTCCGACCTCTTCTTGACTCTGCGCAGCGTCTTCTAGCAGCGACAGTTGCTCTTGGACAGTCGCTTTAAGCTCGTCATTCTCCTGACTGAGTTGAGCCGCCTCCAGCTCTAGAGCAGCATACTCTTCGCTAGACTTCCGAAGCTCTTCTTGTAGCCGAGATACCCTTTCTTCAATCTGCCGTGATAGTCCCTTGGTCATGATTGATTTATTGGCCATCTCGTCCTGCAGCTCGTCCAAAGCTGCCTCGGCCTTTTCTTTTTGCAATAAAGCAGAGTTCATCCTCTCCTTCATCCATTCTGCTTTCTCTTCCCAGCCGTGGGCTGTTTGCTGTAGAGCTTTCAGTTCCTTGAGCTTGTCTTCCCGCTCTGTTAACAAGCGGTCCTTTTCACGAAGCTCGGCTTCCAGGTCCGCAAAGTTGTTTTTCAGTGTTTTAAGTCTCTTTTGGTGGTCTTGGCTATTTAAAGCTTGGCTTTGTAGCTCCTTAATATCGGACTCGCGAGCTTGGATGGTCTCCCGCAGGGAATTTAGCTCATCTTCCCGCTCGGTTAACAAGCTGTCTTTTTCACGAAGCTCGGCTTCCAAGTCCATAACGTTATTTTCCAGCGTTTCGACCATCTCCTGGTGGTTTTGATTATTTGAAGCTTGGCTTTGTAGCTCTTCGACATCAGACTCGCGAGCTTGGATGGTCTCTCGTAGATCGTTGAGCTTTTCTCTCAGGTCATCGAGCTCGTCTTCTCGCTCGGTTAGTATGCGGTCTTTTTCACGAAGCTCGGCTTCTAAATCTACGACGTTGTTTTCTAGTGTCTCTACCCTCTCCTGGTGGTCTTGAGTATTTGAAGCTTGGCTTCGTAGCTCCTCAATATCAGATTCGCGAGCTTGGATGGCCTCTCGCAGAGTATTTAATTCGGCTTGCTGGTCCTTATTGGCGTATCTCTGCTCTGCTTTTTCCCTCAACTCAAGCATTTGCTGACGATAGCTTTCCAGCTCACGCTCTGCAGTTGTTATGTCTTTCTTGTATTTGTGGAGTTCTCTTTGCATAGTAACTTTGTCGACTTTGAGCTCCGTGTTTTCCCGGAGGGCAGCTTCGCTGAAGCCAGGACCTGCTTTCCGTAGGGCCTCTTCAAGAAAATGGATTTTCAACTTGAGACCAAAATTCTCCTTCTCGATCTTGTCAATAACATTCTCCTGTTCTCGCAGAGACAATTGGTTTCCGTCCTGCAGAGGACCTTTGTCTAATATATTCCTGCGCGGTGGAGGGCCCATTGGGGTTGTGCTGGCGCTGCTGGCGATTGGTGGCAAATCGTTGTCTAGAAACGACGCATTGCGTGTTGAGTAGGCGGAGCCATCCATTCTGGGAAGGGGGGTCATTTCCTCCTCTTCGAGTAATTTTCGTAGCGCTGCAGGTGTGGCAGCCACAGTAGTACCGTTCTCCTTACCATTCCTCCGTGTGCTGTTCCTTGTAGCAGACTTGAGTAACGGGGTGAACTCCCCTCCTCCAACGTTTGATGGCAGATTTCGGCGGTCCGCAAGTGCTGGTCTTTGGCGGGGTGTTCTGATGTTGATTCCATTGGAACGCCCGCCATTGCGAAGCTGTTGTAAGAGGTCACCGTCTTTTTCAGGGGATAAGAACGATGCTTCTTGAGATATGTCTGCGAAATCGGGCTGTCGGCTAAGGTATGTCGCGTCGCCAAAATTGCTTTGCGGTGTGTCGAGCACGCCGCCAAAGCCTTGATGGGCCATTGTGGCGGCGAATCTGGGAGATGATCCCGAGGGTTGATGTAAAATTCGATGAAGGGGTTATGTGAGATCAATTTGGACGCGATGTGAACTAGCTCGGGCACTGAGGGCGATGCCTGATCCAGAGACAGCTGATTCGGGCGCAAGTGGTGGTTGATAACGGTAGGGTTGTTCCGCGAGCAATGTCTGAATTCGGATAGTGCAAGGTGTAAGAAATGTATAGAGTAGTGATATTCTGGTTAGAAGCAGAGCGCGGTCTGTATAGTCCGACTCTGCATGTTCGAGACAGTTGCGTAGAATGATTGAGCCGGGGTGTATTGTACGTTTTGAGATGCATTTGCAGAAGCAGCGGTTGACATTTATTGCATCGCGCTAGGTCTTGTTTACATTCTTGCCAGCCTGGGACTAGCGCCGCACAACGGTCCAGCGTTTTAGCGGCCCCTCTCTGGAAGCTTTGTGCACTCCGGACAGCTGCGACTCTGACTTTCTGATCACTACTTCTTTTTGTGCGTAATTCTTCTCTTTCGTTCTGGTATCGTATGGCTGGTCCGAAACTCAATCTTTCATTAACCCAAGCCTTGTGCGTTGCTCATGGTTACGGCGAATGGTTGTACTAGTATTTGATTTTGAGTGACGAAATACGGATTTTAGCGTCTTAGCCATCTGAAGAAGCTTTTAGATGGCGACGGGGATTGTTTCTATATGCGAAAAGGCGCGCATAAAGACTGTAATCACACGCTATTGTACGGGTAATGAAACAAGCACTATAGAATTATGGACTATATACAGAGTATTCTTCACGGCTTATATTGAGGCCAAGGGTGAATATGGTGTGGAAGACTTACTAGTAGTACTATAGCTTATTCGTTAGTGGAGTAGTTCGAGTCTGTGCAGATCTTTGAGATTCACACCTACGTAGGTACCTATAAATCAACTCTGGATATATACTATTCTGTACTTATTCTTTCTCATTAGCTGTTTGGTCTTCCATAATATACAAGTAAATCCCAAGCTCCTCCACTATGATCTCGGGGAAAACAAAGTTATTAACGCCCAAAGCTACGCCCAAGTCGATGCTTTGCGGCTGAAGCCAATCGGGTCGACCCCATTTATCCGCCGTAAACGCCGCATCTGGCAAAAATAAATCGTTTTATCGCACTTTTGCTGATAGATGCATACAGTTAGTTGCATACCTATCTATCGTTTGTGGGGAATTCCACCCGCGCCGGGTCTCAGGCCCAGATTTCTGCCCGCAGTCCGAGAATAAACGACAAGGTTCGTCCCAACTCAACCAACTTGTGCCCTCTCCATCTATAGAGGGCAGACAAGGACGAAGTTGTCTTTGTATTAATGATAACGCTCTAGGGTCTGCAGCTGTCGGCGTTCTAGCAACGATAGGAGCATCGTTTTGATGGATGCAGCGCGTCATAGCTGAGATCTGCTTTTTCTCGTTCTAGCAGCAGTCAAAACATCATGGCGTCTCACATTACATCTCTAGATGAAGCTACAGATATGGAGCACCTTCATAACCTTCATATCAATGACGATGGGCCTGCTGCCCTGTCATTAGAGCAGATGCCCGATGAGATGATCGGCCACATTCTCTATTATATCTCGCCCGAAGACAACTTATCCGGCGTCCAGCTCGTGTCGCGTCGCTTCTACCGTCTTGCTAATGAGCCGCTTCTCTGGAAATATCACTGCCGCACTTCTATCAAATATTGGAGTCCACACCACAGGTTCCAAAAGAGGCTAGAAGCGCAGGCTCAAAAGACGCTCTGGAAATGGCTTTATATCCGCAGGAGTGGTATCAACAAACAAGTATCCAGAACACTGGATGAAATTATTCGAACCAAGGTCCACCGTGGTCGAGGCTTTGAAACTATAAGCCGGCTTGGCTATGATGCCAAGGATGTTCTCTTGGAACACTGCCAAGCACCCACCACTGCCGATGACTGGATAGCGAGAAGGTAAAAGCTCACATTCTGTTCTACTTGCCGTTTTGAATAGCCATGCAATCTCACACAAAGGTGTAGGTATTTTAGCAACAGGGTCATAGATGCGGTTCACAAGCACGCGGCCATTGAAGAATGGCATTCACTCGCGCAGTCCCCTCAACAGTGCGACTTGCGTCTCAAAAGCCGGCAGCTTGAAAGGGCTCTCGGTGCATTCGATCTTTTCGTCTTACATGACCAACCTGGTGATCTTGATGATGTACGTTCTGGCCCCATACTTCTTGTTGGATACGTATGTATCGCTAACTCTGTCAGATTGCGCGGATGCTTGATGATATTGCCACTTCTTTTCGGCTCAGTCATGGAGGGCTTCAAAGTTGGTCAACTCGTACAAAGGCCCTGACATTGGTCCGCTGGCTTCGCGCTCGCAATCTCACGGGATTGAATGATCCACATAATGATTACCGCAACTTGAGAAATTGCCTTATCGGTCAAGCCTTGCGCGATCCGGACCATGATTCTCTCCCCATCGTCTCTGCAGCCATATTTTGCTCTGTGGCAGCACGGCTCGGTATTAATGCTAGCTCTTGCTCATTTCCATCTCATGTGCATGCCATCATATCTGCACCGACTGGTTATACCCTGGACGGTGACCTTGCTGGTGAATCAGATCCTTCATCTCAGCGGATGTTTCTCGATCCATTTGGTAGCGACGACGAAGTCCAATTTGCTCACCTTGAATCGATTTTAGCCCAGCTAGGCTTTGCAGAGAATACCGTACAGTTCACCACCCCGGTTCCCGCTTCAAGAATGGCAATAAGAGTGGCACACAATATTTCGGCTTCTTTGGGGATACCAAATATGCACGATCGGCTAGCACCTAGGGTAACCCAGCTCCTGAACGGAAATAGCCATATGAATGCTACCGCCTGCTCGTACGCTGCATCGTGGGCACTGCTGATATTAAGTCGCCCAGACCGGACGACTTGGCTTGATCGGTTGGAGAAATTTCTGAAACGATTCCCCGATGTCTACCCCGAAGACGCATGGCTGGTTGAGAAATATCTGTGGCCTCGGTTCTGTGAAGTTATCAGTAGCCCGCGGGATGGATTCCGCCGCCACCACACCCGTCCTGGTGGCCCTATCAACCCCTGGCACTTTTGGCAAGGTATGCGTGATCTTGATGGTATACCGCCGCCTGTATACCGAAGAGATCGCTGCAATAACAAGAGCGGTCCCGGGCTTCAAATTGGCCAAGTGTTCCGGCATCGTCGATATGGGTGGCTTGGCGCCATTACTAGCTGGGATGAGAGGAAATCGTCGCGATTGAGCTACTTTGACCTCAGTCCCGAGGACCTAGCAGATGGTCCACCGATTCTACCCGGCACTTCTCGCTCTGCATTCTTTTATAGCTGCATGTAGGTTTCTTGCTTGCCCTTTTCTGCTTTACGGCTTCTGCCATGTCCGGTACCCTGTTAACATTCCCCTAGAGCTGCTACAGAGGGAGAACCGCATATTGTATCTGCTCGTAACATCGACCCCATCTCTGATCCTACTTTGGTCACGGAGGACATGTTCCCTACGGCCGGGAAATATTTCAAAAGATTTGATGCAGCTGCCTGCAAGTTCGTTTCTAACATTCGAGAAGAGTTTCCACAGGATTAGACCCAACAAGGCTTCCCTTTCCCTCTTTCGCCTTGACTATTATACATATATACCCTTCCAATTGCGAGATACATGCTAGTAAACTGGAGTCAGTTATGAAAGATTTATGGCTGTGAGCTTGACAATAATTGGATTCCTCTTCGTTGGTGTCTGGATTTCTTCTTTTGTCTTTTTGGACTTGGCTTTGCTTGGAAAAATAAACACATCTCACCGGTTTCTCACGAACTTAGCGGGGTGGGAAAAAATTGGTCCATAGATTAGATATACAGCAATCACTTACTTGGCTGGTTAGCAATGTTCTCTCCTTTACGGGTTATCTAACTACTGGTCCTTATTTTCACACGTGTATCGTATGGTCAGTAACCTATCTTGATACGTCTTCCATTGAAAGCCATATGAATCGATGTGTGACCGATTCAACACCCATCATTTTTCAACATCCATGTCAGCTCTGCTCTTATCCCTGCCATGCCAACTTTATGAATTTTCAATGGCCTCTTGCAGAATCCCCCTTTCCGCGAGCTTCTGTACCCATCTATGCAATGCTTGTCCGTAGTCTTTCTTGCGATCCATGACTCGCTGCTGGTCCTCAGCCAAAGATATCATTTCAGCTCTATGTTCCCCAATAGCAACTTTTGTATCGACGACGAATTGCTGGCGAAGGTCGTAAGCGTCATCGACATTTTTCGCGGCCTGTGATATCCTGCTTTGTGTCGACTCTGGTAATGCTGCATGCTCAATATCTGATTTTCGAAGACTGAACTCAGAGAGCTGACTCTGGTTTGCCAAATCCAAGACGGGTTTCTCGCCATCTATCAGCTTTGCGTATTCCGCGCTGTGCTTCATTTGCTCATCTAATTGGCGTATAGATGCAACTGTTTGAGCAATGGAGCGAGAGTGGAGAGCCAAGGGGCTACTACAAAGTGCTAAGAGATTGAAGGAAATCTGGCTTTCCTCGTATTGCAATATTCGACCTTCAATTTGAGGTCTTGCGATATTTGTCCAGCAGACATCATCGGACTCAATAGGGCCTTTGACAATTCACGAAAATTGGTTAGCCTGCTAGCCATCTACTCATATAAATACTTGTGTTGTGTGGGCAATTTTACTTACCTACTCGATGTGGTTTGCTTTGGAGCCCATCGAGCTCCCAAACATACCCATCTACAGGAACATATGCAACAAAGTGAAATCCATACGCGTCGTCTGCTCTTTTCTTCTTACTTGTTTTCTTTGATGATTTGGATGCTGTTTTTGCCTTTTTTGTTTTGGTATCTGATACTGCATTCTCCAGCCAAAGGTCGGCATTGAGATGATCCATGCGCCTGGTGAAAGAATTGTGAATGCCTCTCATGAATTTGTTGTTGCTGACTTCGTGGCCTCGTAGAACAGTGCTGAGATTTTTAGTTGCGTCCTTGAACTCCCGAAGCTGATCGCCCAGCTCGACGTGCTGCGCATTCATAACAATGTTGAGCAGAGCAAACGTAGCACAGGCATTGTTGGTAGTCTAACATGTTTCAAGCAACGACGAACATTAGTCACTACGCAGCTCTAATGATTCAGGATGAAGCAAAAGTTTTTACCTGATTTGCGAACCATAGTGAACCCGTCTCATCTTCCCCTTCATCATCGTCCCACTCGGGAGTGTATTGGAAGAGAAATATTAAACCGTATACTGGCTTTCTGACCAATTGTTAGCTTTTAGATGGCAACAAGAGATCCAATACTCACGGTAATGTGTCTATCCAGCTTTGATCAATGCTAAAGAGCTCTTGAACTTTGACATCCCTGACGCCCAAGTCTTGCAGAATAGCGTTGAAGAATGCCTAAAAGTTATCAGCACCTTGTCGAACGTTAAATAATGAAGCCAAACAAGTCCAATATGTTCATTCTTGATGATAAGAATCATCATGGTCAACAGATAATACTCACAGGTTCGGACTCCAGCTCAACCCAACCTTCCCATTCTTCAATATCCGTTGGAGTGAGAGGCCGTAGTGCCTCATCCAGCAGATTATCGGGAAGATTTATAGATTCCCTTGCAGCCTCAGCAGCCTTGCGCTTAGGATTTCGCCGCGGCTCGCTCAAGCTACTCGAAGATGCGGTTTCAGTCGATGCTTCTCGCCTTTTGACAACTGCTGTGGCTGCCGTTTGTCGGGATGATCGGCGAAGAGGCTTTTCAGGAGCCTCACTGTCCCCATTTTTTGGCTCACTAATTTTGAATAAGTCAGACATCATGGAAGATATGTCGGCAGACGTGAAGATAGAAAGAATGATTTGGTTGAGTTTTAGAGATAGCTTTGGTAGCTTTATTAGCAGATCAAAGAGATGGGGATATTGAAGATTCTAAGAAAACATGTAAAAGGCAATCTGTTTGTAGCGGAAATAGAAGGGCTTGGTTGGGCTGGGTCATTGAGAAGGTTGAAACAGTGATCGATAGGATACAAAGTTAGTTCATTTGCCACCATGCGGTCACGACGTAACAAACAACTTCCGACAAAGGCATTTCGTTGTCATGCACGCGCCATGATGAGAACTGAACGATATTCGACAGAAAGGAGTGTGTTGTTGATACTATCGATAGGGATACCGTGTAAAGGACGTGGTTACTAATGACGCACCTAGATAATGTGCTCTTGGCCATGACAGCATGAAAGACCACTTCACTGGCGGCAAGCAGTGGATCTTGGAAATTGTGAGACGAGTTGGAGACTCAAGGAAGCCGCTTCACTCGTTAGGCTTTGCAAATCATACTCGCCCTGTTTCTCGCCGCGTGATTGAGGTAGCCAAGTCTTCTCAACGTCGTATTATCCGCACAGGTACATGTAGATAGATAGGTACGCGCTGCTATCTTCATGGGAGGAAGCAATCAGGCGATGTCATGGAAGACGAAAAAGCGCCGCTCGGATCTGCAGCTTCAAGGTAGCTCCAGAAAAGTAAATCCAGAGTTGCCACCTCGATCTTGCTGTAGAAACACAGTCTCTGGCTATTCTTGATATCTGAAGCTTTTACTTAGCCTCGTGGCCGAGGCATTGAGCTCTAAGCCCAAGGCTGCTGCGCTCTGCCTGGTCATCCCATCCAGGGATCTCCATTTCTGCCCAATCAGCGCACGAGAAACAGCGTAGCCACTGAGTCCCAGGCCTGGAAGCCCCCCGGCCAACAGCAGCTTCAGAGCCTGTTTCAGTGAGCTAGCACAAGTCGCGTCTGGACGTGTCGGAATTTCAGAGCCCAAAAAAAGGCATCCACCGAAAAATTATGTAAACTTGGCCAAACACCAAGCAGGTCCTGGTTGTTGGAAAAAACCGAATCCAAGACACGCGACAACGCAAGGCACCAGAACAGCGCCAATCCGCTTGCTTTTGCTCCGCCGCGCAGAGGCCTATCGAGTGCGATCCTTTTCAATCTACCGATGCTTCTGTGCAGAGTCTCACAGCACCACGGAATGCGATGAGCGCGCCTTCTCGCCTGCGGTCTGGGTTCCAGTCAACCCCATATCCCGCCAACAGACGACGCACCGACTACGACGACGATGAACCACCAGCGATATCAAAGTTCATCTCGGCGGCCGCGTCGAACAGGATGGCGAAGCTTCCTACAGCCCCCGAAAGCGCAGCGCCCCGCAGCAGCACCGGCAACGCTCCAGTGATTCCTTTGACGCTTCTCGATGCACCACAACAACGCCTTTACGCCTTTGCTGTTTACGTCTTGCTGTGGGCATGGAAGCTTTACGACTGGCTACAGGTGATAGAGGATGGCAATGGCTCTGGGTGGCTGTTCATGAAATGGATCCTCATCGACTTTGTTTTTATATTCGGGCTTCCAGAGCTGCGGATTCCCTGGCTGGAGCTCTCCCAGCTGGTAGTGATTGGTGTTTTTGCGTCACATGTGGTTACTAACTATATGCTCATGTTCAATATTCCGGTACGCTGCTTCACATACACCGTTGGCTTTCCCAGCCCATGCGCTATTATACTAACTGAGAGCTAGCTTCCACTACAGCCTTGGCTCCTCGGCATTGCCAAAGTCCTCTACGATCGTGAGATCTCAGTTTCAGAGCACCACGTCAAGGTCTCCAACATTCTCAACAACAACTCCCTGATTATGGGCAAACAGATCATCAACATTCTTCCAGAAGGCTCTGCCGTCCTCAATCCCGACCATTCGCCCTTTTGCTTGTCAGGCAAAAGCCAAGTTGCCCTCCCAATCTACTTCAACGCCACTGTACCCGTTGAAGTCGAATTCTTACGTCTCGATCTTGAGACCGGCAAGGAAGATATAATCAAGGTTTCGAGCAGAGAAATAAACAAGGTGGCCAAGTTGATTCGAGAAAACAACGCGGATCCAGATGCTGCTCCGTTCCAATGGATATACCCCGTGAAGAAGCCGGGTGTCTATCGATTGAACAAAGTGCTGGATGAATACAAGCTTGAGGTTCAGAGGCCGATTAGGGATACGTATGTGGTGCCTTGTCCACAGGCCAGGATTCAGACCGCCGAGTCCTCGGATCGATGCATTCGCGACTTGTCCAACCTATCGCTCGATGTTGTTGGAACACCGCCACTAAAGATACAATATTCGCGATCGATCAATGGGAAGAACCATGCCTTCCACTTTCAAAGCTTGCAGCCTGAAGGGTTCACCTCACCACTCATCAGCACCTCCGGTCTGGGCTTCGACAATAGCGATGACGTTTCTTGGGTCAAACCTCAGAAGGTAACAGTGAAACTAAATGAGTCCATGGCCACCGCTGGAGAATGGGAATATTCAGTAGAAGAGGTTTACGACGCATTCGGCAATGTCGTCAAATATGCGGATGCAAATGAAGAACTGGACTCACCAAAAACAAAATGGCTCTCTCAACGATTTTCCGTCAAGGAGCGGCCCAAGATTCGCATGCAGGGCTGCGATCTGAGAAACCCCCTTAGAGTAGCCAAGGGTCGCGCCGCCAAGCTGCCCATCAGTTTTGGTCTCACTGGCCGCGTGGAGGATACTTCTCATAAAATCACTTGGCAATTCTCACCCATCGATTCGATCACGAATAGCGGCGATCACGGCGATCAGGTATCAATTGGAAGGCATTCTGCGAAGAATTCAATGGACAAGCCGCTGGTTTCAGAACCTGGTCTCTACACGCTAAAGTCTGTTTCGAGCGGATCTTGCGAGGGCGAAGTAGATGAACCTTCTTCTTGCTTGCTGTTGAATCCGCTGGAGCCGCATTTGTCTATCCGGACGGAAGAAATAGCGGACAAATGTGCTGGCAACTCTGTTGGTCTTCGCGTCGATCTCGATCTCGTCGGCACACCCCCATTCACCGTGCGATACGATGTCATCTCCGATGGCCATGTTGAGAAACAAGCCCATCGCGTAGATGCCTTGAGGTCTCAGATTGAGCTCGTTCCTCGCAAAGCTGGGCGCTACAAGTACATCTTTAGGTCTATTGACGATGACGTCTACACCGGGTTGCCTTTGACAGGCGAAGACAAAGTCCTGGAGCAGGTGGTCAAGCCGGCTGCATCCGCATATATCTCGAATCGTGAGAAGACAATTAGCGCATGTCTCGAATCTGAGGTGGATGTGGATGTTGTGCTTGCCGGAGAGCCACCGTTCAGCCTGGAGTGGGAAATCATTCACGATGGCAAACGCAAGCCCGCGCGTGCAACAGATATCAAGGACTCACACTTTAAGATCAAGACATCATCACTTACTAAGGGTGGAGACTATATTCTTGCTCTTAGCAGTGTTCAGGATCAACGCGGATGCCGAACTTTCTTGCAAGACCAGATGAAGATTTCTGTGCGTCGCCAGCGGCCACGGGGTGCCTTTGGATTGATTGAGCAGAAGAACAGCATAATGGCTGTTGAGGACACCGCTCTTCGCCTGCCACTTCGTCTCCAAGGTGAAGGACCGTGGACCGTTTCCTATCGAAACTTGGATGGACCTTCGGACATTATCACTAAGACGATAAACGGACCGAATGACTACCTTTTGGTTCGGTCACGAGGAACTTACGAGCTCCTTGATATCGTTGACAAGCAATGTCCTGGAGTTATTGAGCCTACAGCCTCTAAATTCGAGGTAGACTGGTTCCCCCGGCCAGAGATATCCGTTGTCACATCCAACAGCATCACGTCGTCTAAATCTGGCGTGTTTGTTAAACAAGAAATCTGCGAAGGCGATATCGATGGCTTCGAAATCAGCCTCAAAGGTGAGTTTATATTCCCAAGGAATAGAAGTGTCCCAAAATTGCGCAATATGCTAACTTTATTCACATAGGATCGGCTCCATACCACGTTGAATATGAAGTTAGACACAAGCCAGCGCAGGGTGCTATTTCCCTCAGCCAAAGACGCTTTGATGCTGCTTTGTCTAAGGCGGCTGTTGCTATGGACACATCCAAAGCTGGCGACTATACTTATAAGTTTTCTGAACTGGCAGATAACCTCTACAACAGCGATAAGCACTTCACTCCTTTGCTCGTTCAGCAGCACGTAAATGCCAAGCCAACGGCCGCTTTTGCTAAGCCAGGTCAAACATTCAAGTACTGCCTGGAAGAGCAAGAGCAAGAAGATGTGATCCCTATCACACTTACAGGTGTTCCACCCTTCTACGTCGAAGTGGAAATCAAGCATCAGGTTGGATCTACTCCGGAGACCTATCGAATTCCTGCAATTCAGACCAACAATTATGGCATGTCAATTCCACGCCAGCATCTTCGTCTAGGCAACCAGCAGTTGCTCCTTCGTACTGTCCGAGATGCGCGAGGCTGTCAGAGGAAATATGATGTTGGTGGGCCATCTATACAAATTCAGCTGTACGATGCCCCCTCAATATATCCATTGGAATCACGCAAAGATTACTGCATCGGCGAGCGTATCGCGTACACCTTGTCTGGTACGCCGCCATTTGACATTGCTTACGACTTTAATGGCCAATGGAACGCAAAATCGCATACGACTAGCTTTAGGCGTATTGCCGAGAAGCCTGGCGAGTTTACTATTACCAGCATCTCTGACAAGGCCAGCGAATGTCGCGCTTCTGTGAATCTTCCTGTAACTATCCACCCGCTACCTAGCGTGCAGATTAGCCGTGGTAAGATGTCTCGGGTAGATATCCATGAAGGAAACGAGGTGGATATTCTCTTCGAATTCTGGGGCTCTCCTCCGTTCGAATTCACCTATACACGAAGCAGCAATGCCAAGAAGGGACAGCGAAGCGTCATCCTCGAGACTAGACATGACATCTCGTATGAACACAGCAAGGTTGTCAAGGCTAGCCAGGAGGGTACGTATGAAGTTGTTGCAATCAAGGACAAGTTCTGCTCCTTCTCAACGCAACAGGTGGATCACAAGAAGCCGCGGTAAAGGGCAGGTGAAGTTATCATAGACTGGGGAGAGAGAAGAAGGAGAAGAAGAAAAAAAGATATACGTGCTACGACAAATCAAAGATATGGAATGAAGCAATAGGGGAGAGAGAAAAGAGAGAAATAATCTTGTAAGACATTGAACGGTTAAAGGGGGGAAGAGACTGGATTGTAGGGAATGGGATAAATTTATGTACATATGCACTTATACCATGGCATGGCGTTTTTGAGTAAGGAAGAAACCAGGTTATGCACTGGAAAGTTTATAGTTGTTTTGTTCTTGAACCAAGTGTTTTGTGTTGTGTTCTCTGGAGTAATGCTTCTCTTATGCTGGAGAAGACTTGTAATAGGTTTAACTAATGTAGTGCGCTGTCTAAGCTGGACCTTTTCTTCTTTAAATGTACAAAGTGCTATATCCAAAATGTGATCTATATACAAGTATAGATTCAAGAATTACTCTTCCTCCTCAGCCACCTCAATCTTTTTGATCATATCCCCTCCAGCTCTTGCAATCTCTAGCAGGACTGCCTTGCGGTTCACCTCAACTTGATCACCGTCACCTCCGACAGAGTGGAAGTTGTATGGCAAGCCCGCTCTAAACTTTTGCTTCTGCAGTCGAGGGTTCCAAAGAGCCGCCACCACGGCGTCATCCGCGCCGCCCCGGAAGAACAGCAGCGAGTCTTCATACACGCGCTCCAGCTCCTCCATGAAGACGTCTGTCGGGTGTGCCCTGATGGGGAGCGGGACGGATGCGGTGAGAGCGTCGAGGTTTTTGAATTGGGAGTGCTTCCGTCCGCTGGACTCGACGGCTGTTTCGCGGATAATGTTTTTGATGGCCTTGGAGGAGAGGTGGAAGAGGACGTCGTAGTCTTGGAGGGAGGTCTCGAACAGAAGAGATGGGTCGAGGTGGATGCCCTTTTCTCGGACGAGCTTGCAGGCTGCTTTGGCGAGATGTGTCATGCGGGAGGCAACCAGTTTTGATGGTCCGTTGCGAGTGTATGCAAGGCCAGATCGATCGTTGGATGTGGCCACAAATAGGACCTTGTCGTTCATGTTGGGATCTCGTTTTCTCCAGGTTTGAAGGTCATGGCGAACGGAGGATCGATCGTCTTCGGAAAGATCTTCCGCCGTGTCGACAATCAAGGCCTCGTCACGCCAATCCCATTTGGAAAGAAAGAATAGTGTTCGCAGCAGACCCGTGATGACGGAAGTGGGCTGCCTCCAGGGGTATGGCTGGAGGAATGCGTGAAGAACGAACAGCTCAACGAGCTCTTCGCGGATATGGCCAGTCAGCTTGTGGCTATTGAACCAATGCTTGACTAGTCGGATGGTTGGCGAGAGAGGAGGGAAACGGGTGCAGAAAGTTGCAATGGTCTGAGTGTGGAGCGGAAGAGCATTGTACAGCCAGTTGAGCTTTTCAAAGGCTTCTTCGGCTTCCTCGCGAATGCGGGGCTCAAGAGTCTTGTTTTTGACTTGTCGCTCAAGGAGCTTCTCTTCCAGATCGCAGTGTATCCTTAGACGGAATGCGGCTCCGTTCTCATATATGATGTCGAGATAGGCCAAGCTTTCAATACCAAGTTCTTTGTTCTCGCGACCCAGATATGTGGTGGTTTTCTCGTTTGCCTTTGTGAGTCGTCTATCAATATCGATTAGGAATTCGACCTTTGCTTCTTGTATAGCGGTAAGGTTCTCGGGCCATTTGCTTGACGCTTCAAAGTACAAGTTGACGTCCATAAGCTCGATCGATCCTTTATGATATCCCATCAACGGTGGTTCAATGGATGCGTAGCGCGCTGAAGACGAAGTAGGTGAAAGCTGTTTGATCTGCAAGGGCAGTTCCTCCAGGTTGCGAATGTCTCTCTCGAAGTTTTGGAATGCCTGTCGGGCTAAATCGAAAGCAGATTTATCAAGATGAGATAGGTTGATAATGGAAGAAAAGGCTCCTCCTACGGTTGTAACTTGGTCTTTGGTGATCTTCAAGTGACGCTGTAGGGTGTAATGTGTAATCTCCTCGCAAATTTGCAGCGGAAGCTTGCTGGACCACTCGATACACTCGAGAATACTACCATCCTTGAATCGTCGCAATTCAGCCTTGTCGCCCCAAAACTGTCGAAACCTCGCAGCTTCTTTCTGCTCCTCGGCAGGTGGGCCGAATTCCATCTGTCTCGACATGTGAACAGGGTCAAAAACAACGCCCATGAGAGCGCGCGTGGCGTCCTTGACTGGGTGCTTGGCTAGCGACCAATGTCCTCTGGGTGGCAGCTGGAATTGCACAAGCTGTGCTCGGTTGCCATACGCTCGTTTGAGGTGCTTGTGCGCTTCTAGACAAAAGTTCGTCATGGCACTCCTGCGGTCTGCAGATTCGGAGAATTTGCCAATACTAGAGCTCTGGATCTCAAAAACAACATCGAATGTCTGAAAGGGAATATCGGCTTTGATAATAAATGTTGGGTCGAATTTATCGGCCATCGCATCGGCGAGAAGTTCCGTAGTAGACTTTGCGTAACTTTGCAGCATGCTGGCTGACCAAGGCGTCATTTTGAACAAGAGGTTGAGTTGTCTGGTCGGGTCAAACATGACAGGACCAGGCTCTCGAACGGCATCTGCAGAAACAGTAGAAGAGGCAAAAGTATACGGTTTCTTGCTGAGGTCGGTAGTCGACAAAAAGTGAAGGGCTGCCTTGAAAAGCTCTGTGCTGCTGAGGGAGGTTGATAAAGCTGCTTGCCCATTTCTACCACCCATTTGTAGGAGCAAAGCAATCATTGTCGCCCACTCAAAATGTCCGAATCCCCCCTGAGAGATGGCGCTGCCGAAGCCGCGCTGTTGAAGCCACGTCCGGCCGAGAACACAAGCATCGGCAAAAGCAGGACACTCCTTTCTCATGTGAGTAAGGAGCCGTAAGTATGGAATGAAAGTTCTCTCGGCGTTCAAGGTGGAATTGTAAAAAGGCGTTGCCGCCTGTGCTTCCTTCTTTTCATCTGCCTCGCCCAGTCGGTTATTGTTCGACTTTGGCGTCACCTTGGACCAGGGGAACAGGTCATCGGGAGCACAAGGAATAAGTTTGATGCTATAAGATGCCTTCTTGGACTTCTTCTTCGCTTCTCGCTCTTCGCTTCCATCGCTCGAAGCTTTTGGTCGGAGGACAACAATCGGCAATAGAGGGTTTTCGTTCAAGCTCTCGAAGCTCAGGTCCAGTTCTTGCGCAAATTCCTTTCGCACGCGCGCGGCAATGTACGCAATGTAGTAGGCTCGACGGTAAAAGTATCGCATGTTCGTGTAGTCCTTTTCTTGGAAGAGTGACGCCGGCATCTGGACGACCATATCAATGCCAAACTCGGACTGCGTCTTGATCATTGTCCGAGAAACGTAGCTTCCCACGACATTGCACTGTGACGGCGGCGAGTAAGAGACTTTGTATGGGGCGTCTTTTGCGGGCTTTGAGTCGGGGTATGGAATGACGATGCGATGCTCTTTTTCGAACTTGATGGTGGCCTCTGTGATCTGGACATGTCTCGTTAGGACTGCTTGGTAGCTCCAATTTGTCTCTAATTTCATAAAACTCACTGGCTTGGGATCATGGGGCTCAATTCCATCGATTATGCCTTTTAGCCGGTGCAATTGGCCATCAACGCCATGGAGTGCCTTCTTATAGTTGGGCTTGGCCTCCTTGAGAAGCTCATCTGTCTGCAGAACAAAGGTGCTTGCAGCTGTGACTCGGGCTGTGTTTCGGGATTCAAAGTCAATAAGTCCGGCATGGCGCAACCCGATGCTACCGTGGTCAGTCTTCCGGCGCTTTGAGCTTGATTCCATGATGTCGACAGGCAAGTGGTGCGCCCAATATCTTGATGTTGAGCTTGGTGTTGAGCAGCCTGCCTGTCGCATGGGAATTTTTTTGCTGATAATATTGATAGTCGCGGGGCGATAAGCCAACGATAAGAAATAATTTCTGTAAAGGATCTAGCGTAGCGCAAGTGCATTCGAGTTGGGTTATGTAATCAGGCGCATGTTATGGAGCTACTACCATCTGCCTTCTGTTCACACAATTATGTTTCTGACAGCATCCAATTACCTTGTTGCGGTCGGAATAGTTGTTATGTGATACCTTGACTCGTGATATCGGTTTTTACCAAGCATTAGGCTATAAGCAGTATCAAAGCCTATTTACGACATGTTTCTCTTGCTGGCAACTTCATTGAATATTAGCACACAGCCGTTCTAGTGCTGGTCTGTATGGCGAAAGCACTAGTGAACTGGATCCTATTGTCAGGGAGACATTGAGATCTCCGATCCATTAGTGCATCAACAGTAGCTGCAGCGAATCTGGTGAAGCTGCGGCGCAACCAATTAGCCGGCTCATGGTCCATCAACACTGTAACCTTCTATTAGAGGGTCCCCTATCACTTCCAAATCTGTCATGATCATGCGTCTCTACTGAACCAAAGCGGAGGCAGAAGAAGTTACTTAATATGCTACACAGGCCACCGAAGCTCGTCTCTATTTCTTTATGTTTCTGCGCAATGCCTCTGTGAAGCTCTCTGCGCTGGAACCATGGCTTGGAGATTCCGGTTCTTGAACCAGGTGAGCTGGTGGTTTGGACTTCACGCTAACTAGTTGTTGCATCAAAACTTGGGTGTCATGTAACTCGGGTATCATATTTTAAGTGTTCGGCTTTATTAATTCTGGTTAGAATCAGTGAGGAGAATCAAGAGACAGTGGAACTCTAGAAGCACGGATATCTAAAAACCTACCGCCACCAACAGAGAAAAACTAATTCCCTCATCGCTATAACCCTCTACCCCCAAGGAAAGAAACGTGTGCAGTTGATAAACTTGATCACTAAATACGCAACTTCTCTCTGGTACCGCTGATACCACCACCAAAATGTCGTCCGGACGCTCCGTTCTTCTTAATACTGGCTACAAATTCCCAACTCTGGGCTTTGGCACCTGGCAATGTACCTCAGATGTCGTTGGCGATACCGTTTTCGAAGCACTCAAGGTTGGCTACCGGCACCTCGACCTCGCCAAGGCTTACGGAAACCAAGCCGGAGTTGGAGAGGGTATTAAGAGGGCGCTTGCAGAGATTCCCGGCCTGAAGCGCGAGGATATTTTCGTCACCAGCAAGCTATGGAATAACAGCCATCGGCCCGAGGATGTCGAGCCTACGCTTGATGACACTCTCCAAGAACTAGGACTTGATTACCTTGATGTGAGTATTTAAAAGATGTGATTGGGATGATTCTTGTTTTTTCGGTTTATAAAGCCTTGCCTAATCTTTCATGGTTCTCGTAGTTGTATCTCATTCATTGGCCGGTTGCTTTTGTCCCCGGCAAGGACCTCCTCCCACAAGATCCCCGCGCATGGATTCTTGATCAGGAAGTCTCGATTTGCCAGACTTGGAAAGGTATCATGCGAAAACCTTGTTGTGAAAGAACATTGACAAGTTGGTTGACCGTTTGTCTCTTTGCGATATAGCTATGACTGATTTACCTGAGAGCAAAGTTCGCTCTATTGGAGTTTCCAATTTTACAATCGAGCATGTAAGTTTGACAGCTCATTTGCAGTCTTGCTCTGCGTGTTTTCATGGTATTGATACAGCAATTATTGTGAATAGTTGAAGGCGATTAGCGACGACTCCGGCGTAGTCCCCGCCGTCAACCAGGTCGAACGACATCCCTTTAATCCTGATATTCCTCTTGTTGACTACTGCCAGAAGAAAGGCATCGTCATCACAGCCTTTTCCCCCTTTGGCAGGAACTACGGCACTTTGCCATTGATCATCGAAGAACCAGTGGTCAAGGGGATTGCGAAGCGTCTCTCAGAAGACCAGGGCAAGCCCATCTCTCCGGCACAAGTCCTTATCTCATGGTCCCAGCTTGATGGTCACGCCGTCATTCCCAAATCTTGTACGCCGGCGCGTATTCTTGAAAACTTCCAGGAGATTAAGCTTGATGAGGAGGCCATCCAGGAGCTTGCTAAGCTGGGTGAAACTCCACATCGGCGCTGTCTTCCCGGACCTGTATGTAAGTAGCAACTATCTCTGATCCTTCTGTACACGGAGCATGAGGGATCCAAATGCTTGTTGTATATGGGGAACAGTTCACTAATCTTTTAACTAGGGAACATTAATATTTTCGGAGACGAGAGTGAAAAGAATGCCACCAATCAGGTTGTTATAAAGTTATGAGGGTGCAGAGACTTTAATTAAGCGACCAATTAGGTTGAGCGAATTGAGCGCAAACTTGTAAAGGTGCGTTTTATCAGGAAATTACATGTATGCGTATCTCGGCAGCTGCCGATACCTGTATCCATAGTAGCAACCTTAAATTCACGCTTGCAAGCCGCCTTCATCTTGTGTGTCGTCGACGTGGAGTTGTACCGTTCACGGTGCTTCAAGCCGCCGTGATCCCCGACGTGGCAGATTGTAGGCAGCGCTCACGATACCTACTTTGTTCATTCGGCGATATAACATCAGCTCTGATTCTCGGCGTTCGTGGGTAACCGAAGTCCGCGAAAAAATTAAGCTTATAAAGAGCGATACAGCGCTCCATTGAGAAGTATCGAAAAAAGCATCAAGATTGCGCCTCTCCATCAGCTCCCTTAGTACTTTCTTATAGAACCACTTTTTATCAGTACAGTCATCATGGCCATTGACCACACCACCGTCGTAGTCCCCGAGGACAAATTCCGGGAGTGCTTGTCATTCTATGTTAAAGCTCTTGAGCCGCTGGGATATCGAGTCGTCTATGAGTTTGGCGACAATGTCGTTGGACTTGGCTCGGAGTCTGACGCTTTGGAAAACTACAAGGTTGCCGACTTTTGGCTTTTTGGGGCGAAAGAGGCTGCCAAGGTACATGTTGCATTCCGCGCCGAAAGTAAGTGATCCTGCTAGATCTATGCTCCAGTATCCATCGCGTTATTAATGTTACAATAGATCGTTCTCTGGTAGATGCATTCCACGCGGCGGCGATCCTAAGCGGAGGGCAGGATAATGGGGCGCCGGGCGTGCGAGCGCACTACCATGCCAACTACTACGGCGCCTATGTACATGATGCGGCAGGCAACAATATCGAGGTTGTGTGCCATAAACCATAAGAGAGGCGTTTACAACAACTACATGTATATGCTGCCCTAAAGATGGCGGCGGCATTTTGAGCTAGTGAAGGCATTGAGGAGTAAAGTGTAGGTAGAATAGCACAATGCATTGTAAGCTGAAGAGATATATATTCATGCCAAAGCTCCTCTATACCGGCGAGAAAGGAGACCTAATACCTAGGTACGCAACACATGGTTCAAGATCCAACTGTCTGCATGCCTTGCCTTGACATCTGAATCCAACTGCGACAACCCAGCACTGCTGCTGGCATGAATTCAATCGACTTGACAAAACCCAAAATATCACCACAAACTCCCCGCAAGCACCGCCGGATGAACGTTTTAGATCGCGATGCTTCGGAACCGCATTCCGGGAAAAGTCATTGCCACCCGCTTGTGCCGACCGCCCTCAGAAACAACTGGGCTTGACTTCGGCTTCGGAACCCGGGCCTAAAATCTTCTAAGCCGGAACCTGGAGCCAGGCCTTCTAGCGCCAAGGTTCGTCCACGCTCGACGAAAAATATGCGGATGTCTGTCAAGGATCTGTCAGCTTTTGAGACGAGTTGAAGCGTACACTCAGAAATGACCAATGTATGGGTAAGCTGCTTGTATTCAATGTTTACAGGCAGTAGATGCCTACAAGTACATGTACTCGATCATATTTGCCCCATGGCATATACTCGGTACATGTAATCAAGATTTAATAATCTTTGACGGACAGTATCAAATGCTCCCTAATCACATTCATCATTATCACTGCTGCGTTACCACTGCCCTCCAAATCTCTCCACAGCCGCCGACCGTCCATATCCGACCCTTGCCCACGGAACCGTCCCGCTATTTACGCCTTGGTTCCAGCTTCTCCTCACTGCGGAGGGCCAAATACCCGAATTCTGTGGCCGCCAATGCGGAGAACTGGGTCTGCGGGCAGTGGCTTCGGGCATTGACGGCTAATGCACCGGCAGATTGAGACGCGCGACGATCCATAATAAGTGAAGGCATCACTGCTTTATATCCGCCAATCTTTCCGAATATCCAGTCTTTCTGAGACCTTTATTGTTTTCCCTTTTGCCCTTTCTTCCCTTTCCTTTCTGTATCTCGTTGTATCACTTTCTGCATAGCATCAAACGGTACATTCCACATCTCGTCAACCCCGCGAAACCGTCCATCCATTGCCCCTCCACGATGCCGTCTACAGCTTTGCGCCTGCGCACCCTCGGGGCCTTTGCGCGCCATGCGACAAACGTAAGCTCAGGAACCCTCATTTTGGATCGCAAACCCGTCAAAGTTGGAATTGGATCAGAAACTAAATCACGGCGTCCATGCTCAAGCCCTCCGCCGTCTTAACCAGATCCTTTTCTGCAACCGCCCGTCGAGCCGAGATCAACAAAGTGCTTCCCTCCGCTGCCGAGGCAATCAAGGACATGAAGGCCAATTCCACACTGCTGTGCGGTGGCTTTGGTCTTTGCGGCGTTCCCGACACTCTCATCGATGAGGTCCTCAAAAAGCCAGAAATCACCGGTCTGACAGCCGTGTCAAACAACGCCGGCACCGATGCCTCTGGCTTGGGCAAGCTTCTCAAGACGAAGCAGGTCAAGAAGATGATTGCCAGCTACATTGGCGAGAACAAGACATTCGAGACAATGTACCTGACCGGCGAAGTCGAGCTGGAGTTGACTCCTCAGGGAACTCTCGCCGAGCGGTGCGCGGCCGGCGGCAAGGGTATTCCTGCATTCTACACTCCTGCGGCCTTTGGCACCGTTGTCCAGACGGGCGATCTGCCGCTCAAGAACAAGCCTGACGGATCACCCGACGTCTACTCCTATCCCAAGGACGTCAAGGTTTTCAACGGAAAGCCCTATCTGCTGGAAGAGAGCATTGCTGGAGACTATGCCTTTGTCAAGGCTTACAAGGCCGACAAGCTCGGAAACTGCCAGTTCCGCCTGGCTGCCAACAACTTCAACGGCGCCATGGGCCGCAACGCCAAGATCACCATTGTTGAGGCCGAGCACATTGTCGAGCCAGGCGAGATTCCTCCCGAGGCGGTCCACCTCCCCGGCATCTACGTCAAGCGCGTCATCCAAAGCACCAGCCCCAAGAACATCGAAAAGTTCACCTGGGCCAAGGACGAGGCCGACCCCGCGGCAAAGGCTGCTCTGGGAACAGGCGAGACCGCGGCCAAGAGGGAGCGAATCGTGAAGCGTGCTGCCAAGGAGTTCAAGAACGGCATGTATGCCAACCTGGGTATCGGCATGCCCATGCTTGCCCCTGGCTTTGTCGGCCCCGAAGTTGAGGTCCAGCTGCAGTCCGAGAACGGCATCCTCGGCCTTGGCCCGTATCCCAAGAAGGGCGAAGAAGACGCCGACCTGATCAACGCTGGTAAGGAGACGGTCACTCTCAAGCCCGGTGCTGCCGTCTTCGGTAGTGAGGAGAGTTTCGGCATGATCCGCAGCGGCAGAATCAACTTGACGATCCTTGGTGCCATGCAAGTCAGCGCAACTGGCGATCTCGCCAACTGGATGCTGCCAGGCAAGGTCAAGGGCTTTGGCGGTGCCATGGATCTCGTGAGCAACCCCAGCGCTACCAAGGTTGTCGTCACCATGGAGCACACCGACAAGAAGGGCAACCCCAAGATTGTGAAGCAGTGCGCGTTCCCACTGACTGGCCGGGCTTGCGTTTCAAGAATCATCACAGAGCTGGTAAGTCGCTACCCTCAGCTGCCTCATATCTTTATCCATGTAGACAACTAACATTTTGATTTTCTTTAGGCCGTTTTCGACGTCGATTTCGCCCACGGTCTGACCCTCATTGAGATTGCAGACGGAGTTACAGTAGAGGAGATCAAGAGCAAGACAGAAGCTCCCTTCACCGTTGCAGACGACCTGAAGAAGTTTTAAAATGGCTTGCAGGCGCGGCTTTGAAATGATGTAAATGTGTATTATCTTCTAATAACGGGGCATTTGATGTGGCAGTCTGGCTTTGAATACCAACAAAAAATGGCGGGCTGGATACATGTATTCTCCAAGATGCTGTGTAAAATAGCCGATCCGGAGAGCACCTTGACGAGGCGTTTGGGAGGAGATAGAATAGCGTTGTTTATCTAAAATTCCATGAAACATTTAAAATACAGTTTAAAAAAAGTTATAAGTTCATATCTTGTTCTTGGAAATGTAATTGAGATGTAGCAGCACTCAGATGATTCCGGATCTGCGATTTGCGACTTTGGGCGGCACCAGCCGACTTCTAAGCACAGCCACCCAGCCAACTTACGCACTGCTGACATATCCGCTCATAAACTTCAACTTCCAAATTTCATATCGACCTCAGCAGCCTCACAAAGTTTGATCGCATTGAAAATCTTTTAAACGTAATGTTTCATTTTCTCTTTTCAAAGTTCTTATGAATAAACTTCGATTTCATGTAGCAGCGCCATAATATCTCTCTCTTCCTTTCTGCTCTCTGCCTCTCAACGGCGCTGCGTACATAGCCATGAACAACTACGATCTGTCAACAGGCCAAGTCTTCCGAGAATGGACCATCCAGCGGCGGCTCAACGTCAGTTCAGACCGTGGCTGGTCCCGAAAGCGCCCATATCCCATTTTTAAGCCTCGCGGCGCCCGAGGTCCCCGGTCCTTGCTGGATATGTCGATTAATGTCATTGCCGACAATATTGGCGATGTATCGGAGGAGCTGCTTGGATCTCTTCCCATTCAGCTAGTGTGGCGCATCTGGCGCTTTTTAGAGGCAAGGTAGGTGGTTTTTTTTGTTTATATACATTTGATTACTTGAAACCATGAGTTGTGCAGTGGTTGGAGTCTTGGAGGAGTGACCGAGTGAGTTCATCATTTGCTAACATCTTAAACACCAGAGGCGTGTGCTTCCATGCATGGAAACTCTTCTCCACGATATTGCTTCGTGAGGATGACGAAAAGAGCCTTGGTCTGTATCGATTTCGGCAGCACATATGTCGACCCAGCGAAGAGCTTAAATGCTACATCCAGCCCTTGACTTCCTTTTCAACAGAGTTCATCACCCATCTCGTACTCAGCGGAGGATGTCACTTCTCTTCCCATGAGCTATTCTGTTTAACAGACATCAAGAACTTGGGCATTCTGGAGCTTATTCAACCGGCGGACGAGTTGGGCGATGTCTTTCCATCCGTCAATGATAGGGTTATCAGGGGCTGGACCGAGAGCGAAAATCCCTTTCCTTTACTTAGGATTTTGAGGATTTGGGGCGATCAAACGGTTACACAGAAATCCTTGCGCTGGGTCGCCAAATTTCCCTCCTTGGCGCTTTACGATGTCACGGGCGCGAGAGACGACTGGGCTTCTCCCTTTGACGATGCCGCTGAGGCCGGCTGGGAGGTTACCGACGTCTCCGGCAGACAGGACGGCACGTTACTACGAAATCTCATGCTGCTCGTTCCGGATACACACATTATCAAGACACAAGACTCGATTAAGAGCGTCGAAGCTGATTTGGTAACCCTCTGCAGCGACTCCCAATGCGCCATCAAATTTGTCCCAGGCCGAGAAGCGCCCCCTCTGTTAAACTATCTTACAGACACGGGCAAAAAATACATGCCCTCGTGGGATCCAGACGCGGCGTCAAGACAAGCAGGAGCTTGCCACGGCGTTGCTTTTGAGGCATGGGCTTTCTGGCTATACTCGTTCCTAGGACAGCTGAGCAGCAACATTGATATCGCGAGCCAGGGCCATTCAGTAGACCAGCAAGCTGTAGCTGGGCCGTTTGTTCTGCCATCACGGCCCATGGCGTGCTTGTTTCTGGGTCACAGTGGACGCGGAGGCATCACGTCCAAGCCAGCGTATGTGAGCCGCGGCCTGTTTTCAACGAAACGATTTACGTTTACCCGTCCGATGGACGCGAGCCGCTACACGACAGACGCATTTCAAGAAAAGCCGGTGACCAAAACAAGGTCGGCTTCAATATCATCAATCCAATCAAAATCATCGCTCAAGATGCGCAAGAGAAAGCAGCTGCATGACATGCTGCATTCGCTTTCTGGGTGAAGGGCAATACATGCTGATGAAGAAGCAGCTGTATCATAACCAACAATAGCGAGAGAAATTATGAAACTACGAATTTTACGAGTCCACCATTAAAATCCTGTTTCGAACAAACACCATAGCAGAAATGCCAGTAAGTTCATCAAGCCAAGTCATCGTGACGCCTGTTGAAAAGAAAAACAGGGTGATATAGGCCGTTTGTATGTGCCGCCGAAAAAATTTTCTCGCCCAAACGCAACCTCGAAAGGAAGTATAGGGAAAGAGGGTAAGCCAGCGGAAAACAATCATCTATCCTCCAGTTTCCCCTCCAAGCGCGTCCATATGGTTGTCGACACGCAGAGTGAATTTGAAGGAATATTTCTAGTAGGTTTCACTGAAGAAAAGAAAAAGAAAAAAGAAGAGGAAAGAAAAATTTCGGCTGCTTGGTTTTATGTGCCTGGGCGCTGGTGGAGCACGGCTGCATGTGGGTAGCCTCGGAAAAACTTGGCTGCGGCGTGTGCGAGCAGAGAGGCCCCATATAATATTTTTTGTTAGCCGTTTTGCTAAGAGTCAGCCTTGTGTGACTCACCAACTACAGAGCTCGAATTACGAATTACAGGGCTTCGCATGACAGTAGTACATATTTGTGGTAGATGCTGCTCATCTTTTACGACAGCTCATAAGTGGTTGTTTAGCTAATTTATCGAGTAAATTACGGAGATTATACTAACAGAAACTATATCGTTTCCCTCTCGACGAGATTGTGGTACCAAGCGAAATCCAGCTTGTGATATTGGGCCAGCAAGCTAGCCAATCACCTCTCGCATATTTTACATCGTCTGCATGTTTTAGTACCTTGAATAGCCCGGGTACCTTGGCGATACCACGCAGTGACGTGGATGGATCAAGCATGCTGCTAAGTAGAACTGGGCAAGTCGCTTCATCTTTACACTCGTATCATTTTTTACCAAGGGGCAAAAGTACTGTGAGTCATACGAATTAGTCTTGCATGATACCGCATACAAAAGATCCCTTTTCAAGATAGCAGAAATCATGATCCCTTTCTGTAAATTCTACCCTATTAGACGAGGCTGAGGTGTACCTCCAAAGTACCCCGCTACCCCGCCTCGCCGGCACTGGCAACTCGGAACTGGCTTTCAATCTTATCGAGGGTGGCTGATTTGAAAGAAATCTTCCTATTTAATCTCTAAACTCTCGAATTTCGAACCCAAATCGGAATTTGCGCCAGATTCGAAGCAGCTTCACCTCCCCCTTTTTTTATCACTCTTCTCTCTCACCCTCATCATCATCCAAAATGGTTGGCGGTGCACCTGGAGCGAGCTCACGCGGCCGTGGTGGCAAGTTCAGAAAATTCACCAGAGGAGGTAAAAAGAAGAACTTCTTTGCAAGAATACTCGAAGAATTTTCGTTTGCTAATATGGCAGCGCTCGAAAAATAGGCGGCAAGCACTTCTCTCGTAATCTCCAACCTATCGACTCCGAAGGAAATGCCGTGAGCATGTGGAGCGGAGAAGGCCAGGAGAAGGACGACGAGTCCGAAGAATCATCCGAAGAGGAGTCTGAAGAGGAATCCGAAGAGGAGGAAGGCAGCAAAGTCCCGGCCCAAGTCGCCGAAGCCAACCGCGAGGACCGAAGAGCCCAGAAAAAGGCCCGGAAAGAGGCCGCCATAGCAAAGGCAAAGGCTGCTGCGGTCGAGGTCGGCGACATGCCCCCTTCGAGCGACGAGGAAAGCGACGACGGCGCCGATCTGCCTGCCAACCCGAACCACTCTTCATCAGCCCGCAAACAGGCTAGCAAACCTTCCGGTGTCGAAGAGATCACCGCGGGCGTGAAGAGGCTTCCGGCGAGCCGGCGCGAGAGAGAAGCTGCTGAGGCGGCCGCCGCAAAGGAGAGATACATGAAGCTGCATGCCGAGGGCAAGACGGACGAGGCCAAGGCGGATATTGCCCGTCTCAAGGCCATCCGTGCACAGCGCGAGGCTGACGCCGCTAGAAGACAGGTAATACTTTCCTCATACGCCACTGCGAGATCCCCTCAAGCATGAGCACTCGTTATGCAGAGAGCTAACCGTTGAATTTTCTATTGTTAGGCTGAGAAAGAAGAGAAAGACGAGCGAGACAGGGAAAGGAAAGCTGAGATTGAAGCCAGAGAGGCCAAGTTGCGAGCACTGGCTGCTGGAACTCCTGCGACGAAGAAGAGCAGCAAAAAGAAATAAACAAAAGAGAATGTTATCCTAGCTTTAGTTTCTTCGTGGATATCTTGGCTTAGCAGATATGAGCCGCTATATTCAATACATACTCTTCATAACATTGAGACAATGCGACATGGTGCTATCCAAAACGCAATTGGATTGCTGAATGTCTATACTTGCAAATCAAGACTGGATTACCTGCAAAACTATGGAGCGAGTGCTTTGTACAGTGATATGCTATTCTACAAACGTAGTTTTGAAGATAGTTGTCTCGTTGGTGTCGCCACGGCAGAACAAAGAGATGCCGTACCAACCATCATTCTTATTGCCTCTACTACCTCTACTTTCTCTACTTTCTCTATAGCCCTCTTGGGTTGGTGATGCTCTCGTGTCTCGTGATTTTGTATATAAGCGTACCAGCCTAGATAGTTACTGCGGGCACATTGAAAATGAGCATAGGTGCATGCATTATGTTTGCTGACATACAGACAAAGACTGTAAATGAAAAGGTGACGGCTCATGAGGTGCCTGAGTCTGGAGAAGATACCTCGCTGAAGAAGGGGGCAAAGTATGCTGACCCGAAAACAGCCTGACTTTTTAAGCCGTTCTGTTTAATACCTTAGTCGGCTCACAGTCACAGTGTTGTCTTGGTTTTCATGTCTCCCAAGCTTCAATGTCCCTCAGCTGTCTCATCTCGTCTCTCTCTCTCTCTTTCTCTCACTCCCATTCTCGCAATCCTCGTCATCAATTGATCTATGTAGTAGATCAACTAGCTTTCAATTGCGTACGTTGTCCTTTGGTTTGGTCTTGAGCCACAGGTAGGTAGAATTTCGCATTTATTACCGCTATCCTCAGCAAATACAGTCACAGGCTTATCATCTGCCTACGCAATGATGCGATTGATAATATCTAATATCTTTTTTTTTCATCATCTGTCCCAAAACCATTGCCTCCCTCTATAGTCATCGTGAAAAAAAAGGTCTGCATCTTGAGAGTCTTTGATATTGGGCCTGGCGTTAGCATCAGACATCTCTGTGTCATGTGTCACGTCCAGCATTATTAACTCATTCCTGAAAATTGCTTCAAGTTTTCCAGCCATTTATTGGATCGCCTGGGTTGCCTGACACTCTGTCTGAATTTCAATCACGTCGCTGATCCGTCAGGGAAGTTTTGCAGATTGTCCTCGCCGAACTTATGGAGGATCATTGGCGCATTCTCCTTCTCTTGCCATTCGCAGCTGGTCATTCTTCTTCAGTACCTTCAGTCTTTTTTTTTTTTTTTTTCACAGCTTTTCTTTCCATTTCCCGTCTGAACTGCCCAAAGACATCTAGATAGAATTCACTAGCATCCTTCAATCGTACATCAAATTTTATGTTGTTTCCTAATTTTTCTTCATCACACCACTAGCACGCTGGCATTTTTTGAGGTTCTGCCAATCCAGGCACTAAGCCGCTACCCCACAGCGAAATTCGCGGTGCTATAGTGGAAAGGCGGAAAAAAAAATTGGGCACCCCAAAAAAAATTCAGGAAATTTCCTAGCAAAAGGCATTGGCAGAAAAAAAAAAAGCATCACTTCACACCAACCACCAGCTATCATCTTTGCATTTCTACAATCGGCCGCGGATAATCCCACGGCGTCGCCAGAACTCTCAACTTCTAGGCACATATCATTGGCATTCATTTCCATTTCCTTTATTAGCTTGTTGTCGTAATATTCACTATTAAGATGGCAGAATCATTGCAGGTTCGTTTGAACGCTCTTTTGCGCACTCCAGCCTGGACGAACCACCAGAAGGAGGATGGCAGCGACAATCCGTTGCAACCATGAGCTGACATCTCTGTTAGGATCGCTTGCGCGATCATGCAAAGGCATTCGACGGCTTGCTGAGTCTGATTCCTGCCAAGATGTATTATGGCGAAGATACAAGCGTACGTTGACCCGATTGTTCCTACCAACATGATGCTCTCGATCGAGTGGATATATGGATTCGATTCATGCTCATCACGCAGAGCCGTTGGAAAATCAAGGCTGACGTTGGCAATGTATAGGACCAATGGCAAAGAGAGAAGCAGACGAAGCAGGAAGCCGCGGCTGCCCGCCGAGCCAAGCTAGATCCCGACAGCGCTCTGAACCGCAGCGCCAAAGAAGAGCTGGAGGAGCGAGCCAAGAGTAAGCGAAAGCTGAGGCAAATGGAACAAGAGGAGAATGAGATTGAAGAGGAAGAGTATGAAGCAGTGGCCGGCGTCGAGACTGAGAAGCCTCTTGAAGGCTTGAGGAAACAGAACCCTGAGACTCCTCATAAGAAGTCCAAGACCAATGGCAACGTGGAGGCCGAGAGTGGCGATGAAGAAGAGGCAGAGGAAGAGGGAGCCGCGGACACGTCAAATCTATCAAGAAGAGAGCAGAAGCGAGCCGCAAAGCGAGAGAAGAAGGCTGAGAAAAAGGCCGAGAAAAAGACCAAACAAGACACAGGCGAACCACAAACTCCAGCCAAGACTCCAGCTAAGACTCCAGCCAAAGCAACAGCCAAAGCACCCGTAAACGACGCTGCCGAGGCTGCTGCCACGCCTGCTGCCACGCCTGCGTCAAAGAAACAGAAGAACAAGAAAGCTGCCAAAGAAGCACCTACACCTTCAAAACCTCAGCCGACTCCATCAAAATCAGAAGAAACAATAGTCGATGACTCTGATAAAGCCGACGATCGGATGGAAGGCCTCGACATAACGCTAGACTTCTCCGGGCTGCAGAGAGAAGATGACGGCAGCGCTCCCGACTCTGAACTACACTCTCCCACATTCGATTCCAACGAGACTGCCAACGGCCAACCCGCACCGGCAGAGCTCGCCAGCACAACCACATCCATCTCCTCCGGTGCCCCATCAGAAAAGCCAAAGCACATCAAGATCCCTGCAGACACCGAGGCTCTGAGGGCTCGTCTAGCTGCCAAGATCGAGGCTCTCCGCGCGGCCAGAAAGGCCGACGGAACAAATGGCAAGCCTATCCGCACAAGACAGGAACTCATTGAAGCAAGAAGATTTAAGGAAGCACAGCGCAAAGCACATAAGAAGGAACTAAGAAAATTGGCAAAGGATGAGGAGCAGAGGAAGCGCGAGGAAGCCCTGGCATCCAACTCTCCTGGCGTTATGAGCCCCAACGTTAGTTTTGACGATGCTCAAGGCGGCTTCTCCTTTGGACGCGTAGCATTTGCAGATGGAACACAGATGTCTCACGACCTGAGCTACTTCCTCAACAGGGGCAAGAAGAAGGGTCCTTCAGATCCCAAGACTGCCCTTCTCAAGGTTCAGAACGAGAAGAAGCGGATAGAGGAACTTGACACCGAGAAGCGCAAGGATATCGAGGAGAAGGAGGCTTGGCTGAATGCTCGCCGCCGTGCCGAGGGCGAGAAGATCCACGATGACGAGGCCATGCTCAAGAAGGCCGTCAAGCGCAAGGAGGTCAACAAGAAGAAGAGCGAAAAGGCCTGGAAGGAGCGCGCCACTGGCGTTGCCCAGGCTCAGCGGGAGAGGCAGAAGAAGCGTGAAGACAACATTAAGCAACGCCGGGAGGACAAGCTGCTGAAACGCTCAGGCAAGAAGAAGAAGGGCGGTGCTGGAAAGAAGAAGGGCGGACGGCCTGGCTTCGAAGGAAGCTTTGGGGTTGGCGGGAAGAAGAAATGATGAAGACGGCCCGGTGATTTCGGTAGCTTTTGTTGTATCAATATCATGGCCTGGCTTCTTCATAACAATGTTTTCCCTTTCGTTCTTTGTTTCATTATTTCTTCGTATCCGGGTTTTCTATTCATATCTGTTTGGGATTCATGGCAAACTAAGCGTCGGAGGCGCAAGGCATGGCATCAGTTCAAATGTTGACCGTATGTGGAAGTTTGGGGGCAAGAAGATGGGTGTCATTTGAGGTTCTGTATAGGCCAGTTTTTTGGAAGAGGCTGCTGTGTATGCCGGTTGTGTTGAAAAAAAAGAGCCTTCTCCTCATCAAACAGCTGATGAAAAAGTTTTAATGTTATATACACTAGAGAAAGGGAAAGGAATTCGTTGGCAGAAAGCGGAGATATTGTTTTCGAGTAGAAGAGAAGAAAAAAAAGTGGTAAAATTTTGACGCCGTACATTTGCGTACTCCTTATAAATCAGCATTACAAAAATAAATTTTCATACGCAAGCCATACATAAGTACAGGAAGAAAGACGCACAATCCCAATCTCCCAAGCTCTTCTTCATATTCCTCCCTCTTTCCTCCCTTCCCAAAATTTTCCCATACCGCCCCTCCGCCAGCAATTTCGAAAACAAGAAGAACAAGAAGAACAGGAAGAAGCAAAAACAAAAGAAGAAGAACGAATAAAATTAAAAATAAAAAAAAAAGCTAGGGCATATTCGCTTTCCGGATTTCTCTTCTGCTTTCCTCTTTTTCCCTTTCCTTTTTTTTTTTCATTTCCCTCTCATGACAAAAATTCTTCGCCCCCTTTCTTTCTCTTTCGTCGATTTTCCGTCGAGTATGGTCGTATTATCATTCAGCCGTTATTCTTCGACCAAATAGCAAAAAAATAAACAGGAATAAATAGAAGAAAACTCTCTCTATTTCCACTTCCCCTTTTCCCCAAGATAAAATGACAAGGAAGGCAAAAGATTTTTTGGTAGTGCTGTCTTCAGATGTGTGTGTGCGTGAGAGAGAGGGCAACAAGGAAGGGTCAAGGTATGTATAATAGAATGAAATGGGGAATCGAATGGCCTTTTACTCTTATTCTGTCATTATTATAAAGTCGAATTAGGAGAGTGTTCGTAGCGGGATTTCAGTTCTGAAGAGCCGAGTTCGGTTTATAGAAGGGAGTCGAGTCGGGTGAAGACGCTCAGGCAGGCTCCGACGATTTCGAGCTGCAGCTCTTTATCCTTGGCCTTGTTCACCTCCTGTGCCACACCGTTAGTATGTAATTAATTACGCGTAAAAAAGGCAATAACGTCGGGGCAAAAAAAAAATGGAATGCTTACCTCGGCAATAACCTGAGGCAGGTTGGCTCCAATGCCATTGCCCGTGGCCTTCTTGCCAAAGGGGTACTGGCTGTAATCCGCCAGCAGCTCGTCTGTCTGAGCAAACGCTCGCTCTCTGGCCTCGTGGCCCAGCGTAGACAGCGCATTCTCCAGGACGTTGGCGGCGTAGGCGGCGCACACCATGGTCACGGTGCGCAGGTAGCGGAATTCGAGGTTCTCGGGGAGAAATTGGCTGCCGTTGAGGACGACGGTGCGCTGGGTGAGAACGTTGCGCACGCGGCGGCGAATCTCCTCCTTGGCTCCGCCGTCAGCGACGGGGTGGGTGGCCATGTCGAAGAGAAGGAAGTTACGCTTCTCCGTCCGTAGGATGCCCTTGTCGACCAGGCCCTTGGCTAATCGCTCACGAACCTGCTTGAGCTGGTATCCTATCTTCATCAAGTTCCAAGTTTCGCCTAGCCAAAAAAGAGAGAGCGTTAGTTGCTATTGATCATGTACATGTAAATTGTAACGCCGCTGTCGCCATTGCAAAAAGAGCACTGTTGGCGAGGGGAGAGAAAATAGAGTTGCAGAGCAGGGGTGCAATACCGCTCATCAAGTCAATCCAGGAGCTAACGCTCATCTTTTCGCTCTGCTTCATCATCTTGAGAGCCTCGTCGAGCAGCACCTCGCCGGTGAGGGTATCATCAATCACTTCGATATTTCGATCGGCAAGGGGGAATCGTCGCCGCGCCGGGTCCTTCTCCATGGCAATGCGCCCGCGGAAGGCCAGTTCAAGCACAATGCATCCTCGAAGCGCGTATGAGATGTTGTCGTTCCAGAACGAGAGATACCCCTAATTGTCGGGTCGGGTCAGCAATTGCTTTCTCGCCACACCTGGCTTCTTCTGCATACTTGTTTGTCCTTGAGGCCAAGCAGCAGCACCTCCTCCATCATGGTCAGCTTGGGCTGCTTGCTCCGCTCAGCGGACTCGCTAATGTCTCGAGGGTCAAACGCAATCTTGTGGCCGTTCTCGCCGCTCTCGTAGCTCGTCTCGGGGCCGTTGTCTCGAACATCTCGGGTCGAATTGGTTCTCGAGACGCCGTTGCTGCTCTCACCCTCAGTGGCAGCAGCACCACCCGCGCCGCCTGCGCCGCGACGCCGCGTCAACCCCGATGAAGACATTCCGACGGCTCGTTACAGAGTGGCAGCTGCAGTGGAGGCACGGTCGATATAGGCAGGATGCGCCGATTCAGTCGTCGAGGATCGATGGTTCGAAGGAGTCCAGCCCCAGACCAGACTACCAGACTCTAGTCGGTGAGAATCGGCGTGCGAAGCAGCGAAGCAACGGCGGGCGAGGGGCGTTTGAAGAGTCGAGGAAGCAGAAGAACCCCAAGCCAATGCTGGACAGCGTTGTCATGCACAGAGGAGCAGGTACATGTATGGATGGTCTGGCAAATCTGCGAAAGGTCCACAGGCGTCTCGCAGGAGAGATGAGGTCCCTTGTGGTGGGCCGCGTTAACTCGTCCAGTCCTGAGGCTCTTGTGCGGCAGCGGCAGGGGTCAGTGCGTCCTTTTGGGGGGGTTCCAGCGCCACAGCGAGCGCCATGGCGCTGCCGCAGTGCTAAATACCTCTGTGGCCCTATTGACGAGCCGGGCTACGGAGCATTTACAAGTACGAGGTATAGCGCATTTCACGACACGCTGCAGGCGCTAACAGAATTTGGAGCGATGTTTCAGCAGACTTTGGGGGGAAGATCAATGGGAGCAGCGAAAACGGGGCAAGCCGCGTGTACCACTATGTGTTGTCCCACGTCTTGGACGCAAGCTGTGAGATTTTAGAGGAGGAAAAATATCAAGAGTTGATGGAGATACGAAACACATGAGGCGATGAGAAGCTTATACGAAGTTGTCTGGCGGGGATATAGAAGGCTGTGTCGGTTTGATATGTCTTGGACCTACTGAATCAATGCAGCATTCAAGGGTTTGTTGGGCATGGGTGACACGAATTACGCCGAGTTGAGGAGAAAGACAGGATATAGATAGATACCTAGGTACTATGGATATAGGATAAAAATGGAGATGAACTAGATCCAATATTATTATTAGATGGCCGTATCTCGTAAATCGGTGCAATTGCTTGTTTGCAGCCTCGTCTAGCCCCTTGCGCTGTTATCGTTGCTGTTGAGCCCGTCGCCATGCTGAGCTTCAGTTCGGAAACTGCCCCATTCGGCAGGCCACCATCTCGGCGGGAAGCCACGTAAAGGCGCGGTACTCCACTCTCGACGTCAGGACGAGGTCTTTTTTTGCCAATTGGCCGTTTCTGCGAGGGCATCATGCATACGCGACGTTGTGATTTGACCATTTTGAGAAAGTAGTTTTTTTTTTTTTTTTTTTTTTTTAAATTATATTTAGACTTCTCCAATGTTATTCCCCAGGGCTCGTGACATGAGCGTGAACAACATGGGGAGTGCGTCAGGAACAGTACGAGTGTGATGCTCGAAGCACAAAATTACCATACAGCATCGTAAAGATCACTGATGCCCTTCACTGTATCATATCATATCAGCGAAGCATTTGTACCATGAATACCTTTTCAATATGGCAATCTTTTGTGGAGTTGGACGATTGCCGGGTACCTGTCCCTTGAAGCATTCTATACAAGCATAGATGCTTCTGTGTAATAGACCATATATTTTGACATGTGGGTGCATATCGACTTCAAGTCCGGATGCTGAACAGAGTTGTTCATATATACCTAGGTAAACAGATATCCATTGAGATTCCTCCCCTCATCCTTCACTGACAGCAAACCCCCCAAGATCTCGATCGACTATGCCATACAGCGAGCACAGCGCCCTGTTTACCTCTCCATTCACCGGCTGTTTGGACACTGGCAGGGCTGCGAACCACTGTACCGGAACACCACAGCACCTGGACCGCCGGCCAGCTGCCAAGCTCCCATGGTCTTATATATCAAAATATTCCAATACCTGTCACCAGTCGACACTCCCGCTTGGAGTGGCGGACTCGGTAAAGACGCAGTGCCTGAGGGGGCCTCCTCAGAGCAGCTGCCGTCTTACCGTCCTCCACCACTTCCAAGTGCGCGGAGGTCTCAGACACGGACCCCAGCCCTGCATGACCGACACCGAAGGCCCTAGGTGATCGCGCGTGGAACGAGCTCGGACAACCCGCAAACGAAATACCCGAGGCGAAAGCCAGGGCGCGCAGTAGATCCACCGCTGGAATTAGAGTGGATGCTGGGCGCAGAAGACGGTTCTTTTTTTTCTTCATCTTTATTTTCTTTTCCCCCTTTTTATGTGGTGTTGTGGTGGTGGTGATCCTCTCTTTCTTTTTCAGTAGCCTCGTCGTACGCTGGGTGGGCATCGCGCGATATGCAATCATGGGTCTTGTGTCCAGCAGTACTTTGGTTCTGATTTTTTTAACGACAAGCCCAGTCCGTCTGATGTTGTGGTTCAATTCCTGTTCGAGGCCCTTTTTTTTTTTTTTTTTTTTTTTTTCCTTCTTGACCAACTGGCTGGACCTGGACCTGGGCACCCCTTCACAGCTGTACGGCATCTGGGTGGCATTTGTTGAGCGAGGTTGCAATATTGCAAGTGTATAGACAGGCTGTTTGAATGAAATTCTTTATTGTATAGCATCATTAGTGTAAAAGAAACATGGGAAATGTAAATGCTCCCACATTACCACTCACTCCCGTCTCCACCAACTCCAACAGGTATGCAAATGCGTATTTTCTCTCTCCGGCCCAGTTGACTGTCGGTCAAATAATCATATTCCTGGATTCGTACCAACGGCCTCCTTCCACAGCTCATCAAAGTTGATATTTTCAGCCTCAAACATCTCACGAATCTTCTTCGCCGCAGCTTCTTGCTTCTCGGGGCCAAAGCCTCCTGGCTGGGTGGATTCAAATTGCACCACCTCGATCCACCGGTAAAAGAGATTCTCTTTGCCCATGGCCGTGAGCACATCTCGAAAGGCAAAAATCTGTCTCCTCCTATCCTCTTCCTCGGCTGCTATGCCCATCTTGAGATCATGGCAGATCCAGCCGTAATCATGATGGAACACCAGAATAACGTTCTTAAAAGCCTCGAGGGCAATCTCCTTTTTATCCACGAGCTTGTGGGCTAGGATCATGAGATTCCAGTCCAGGTCCCATTTCGAGTTCATCAGCAGATAGCCCGTCTTTTGCTCCTGCAGCAGAGGCGATGTTGCCTCCTGAGTATAAGCGAGCAAGATCTTTTTCGCATTCTCATCCTTGAAGATGTCACGCAGCATCAGGTCCCAGTCTCTGCTACGGCGCACATAAATCTCCTTGTTCCGGAATCCAACATTCAGCCGCCACCGCGTCGGGTTTCCATGAGACCTGCCAAGAGCAAACTCCACAGGCCACGGCCACACGAAGACAAACAGCATGAAGTCGATAAACATGACGATGCCGCGTTTCAAAATCTCCCACCCCAGCTCGGACCACGTCGCCTCCTTGGAGTTGAACCTGGTCTCGTTGGTGTGGCCCCAGCCCGTCATCAGGAGCTTCCAGTACCACGGAAGGATGTGGTACATGCGCCAGACGAAAAGAACTGCAACGGCCACGTTCAAGGCGACGGGCACGAGAAACATCTTGCGCTTGAAGGCCGGGGGCTTTGCGTCGATGTGAGTGATGTACACGTGCTTCTCCGAGAGCTCGCTGATAAAGGGCGCCAGCACCTCCGGCGGACGTTTGAAGGGCGCTGGGGGATTGCCATTGTTGCCGGATGAAGTGGATGTGTTGGATGGCTTGTGCTTGCCGGTTCTTTTGGAGGGGGCCATTGTGAATGCTGGCCGTGTTGTGTGTTGAGTTGACAACTCGGAGTTGTGTGGGTGTTTTTCTGAGCAAAATGAGTTTCAGGGGACTTGCGGTATCATTGGTCACAGCAAAACTCAGACTCCGGCCGCTTTGTAAACTGTGTCCACACTGAAATTCGTGGCCGGCTTCAAAAAGGATATAGACAGTTATGGGAATGTCAAGATTAATCAGTTAATGAAACCAATCCAAAAATTCAGAGAAGCTGCTGGCTAGCATGTATATGAGGAATAAGCTCAAGCCTATTCATATGGATTGTCTGTTCATCTGCTCTTCCCGCTGAAGGCAGGGATATAAATTGGCTGGCAGGTACAGAGTACTTGTTAGCCTGCGCCTAAGCTGCTACCCGAGACGCCTGGGCTGATGAGTCTGCCAGGCACGAAGCAAGCTTATAATTCTTGTCTCATATCACATAAAAGACAAGGAGGAAACAATTGACAGTTTTCTCTTTGACCCTTGCTTTTCTTTCCATTTGAAGATAAACCAATTGCAAAATTGCTTAAACGTGCAGACGTGTAAAGACCCTCTCGTAGCTGTAATCGCGGACTATTTCATCCCGAAATGCGCATCTCGAGGCTTCGAAAAAAAAAAAATCGGAATCCCGCTAAACCTAGAACAAGAGCTCTTTAGAGCTGGGATAACTCAACCACCACCTCTTACATACATACTCTTCCTATCCGATGTCGGCAGAAGCCTTGCGTGAGCTTCTTGGATATCCTTTGTTGCAATGTTGAGAGCTCGTGCGTGGAAGGTGTGCATCTTTGCTACCCAATTGAGCTCCGGTGTGCTGGCTCGATAGCTGACATCATACGTTCTAGGATCGTAGCCATCCCTTCGTGTGCGCATTTTGCCGACAGAATGTTGCCGTTGGTTCCAGATCGCAATATGAACGAACATTGTCGGTTTCGGCGACTTCTTCGAAACCCGTAAGGCTTTTGCGAGGGCACGCCAGCGAACGCAGCGCATTGGTCTCTTGCCAAACTCGATCGCTACATAGGACGGCATGTCTCAACAGTTCTGCGAATGACAATGAGGGCCCTTCTAAGCCTGGGGGATTCCCAGGTGCATTTTCCAATACCGGCGTGGGAGGTTGGGGCGCATTTGCAAAACCGAATACGGCATCAAGCAATTCGACTTCAACGGATGGATTGCTCCCCCACGAGCGACTAGCGAGACAGCAATCGCCTGTCGTAGAGAACACGCCGGCGAAAAAAACGAGTCAGCCCGAGAAGAGCGCAGGAAATCGGCAGAGAAACAATGCGCAAGCGACCAAGTCAAAGTCAGTTCTGGCCGACATCTTCAAAACAAATCGCGAGCCACGACCTCCGCCAACACCCGAGTCGTGGTCTTCTGCATCCAAGTCTGAGGGGACTGGGGTCGATAAGAAAGTCTCAAAACTGTCTGATGCATTGAAAAGCCCCGGTGCAGCCGCCAAGGATTCATCAACAAGGTCAAACAGTAGCATTAAGACGACTGGATGGGGCTCATTCAGCCATCGCAAGGCTGAGACAGCTGCGCACACGCACGGAATAGATAGTCGCGGGAACCAATCTAGTGTGTGGAGCGAGATTACGAAATCTCGAAAGCCCAAGGTCAAGTCAAAGCTTGGAACGAAGCCGCATTATCTACATGGCCATGAATCCAAGACCCCAGCTGACAAACCTCCTCAAGACCAGAAAGTCCCAGCCCAGGACTTTTGGGGAGAGCTGGAAACCAGGGCTACGGGTTTTAGAGGGAAAGATAAGGGCCAAAATGAAAAACAAAGACAGTCTACGGACAGGAGGAAGAACGCGCAGATTGAACAGGGTCAGTGGGAAGAGACAGCTACGCCTATAAGAAAAGCTGAGGATAATACTCAGCCCCAAAAACAGAGACGGAAGTCGAGGCTTGAGATTGAAGAGGAGGAGGAGGAACCTGTGAAATCCCGGTCCAAATCAAAGGCAAAGAAGTCACAGAGAGAAACACGAGCTGCTGAGGATGACGACTGGGATGACGAGGCTGTACACCGCTGGGAGCAGAAGCAACGTCGGAAGGCGGAAAAGGAGGCTCTCAAGCAGCAGGCTAAACAGACAGAGCCACAAACCGTCCCAATATTCCTCCCAGAATACATCAGTGCATCAAACCTGTCAAAGGCTTTGAAACAGAATGTAACCCCTTTCCTGCAGGATATGGAAGAGATGGGGTTCGAAAATATCACCAGTGATACAATCTTCACCGGAGAGACGGCAGCTCTGATTGCAATGGAATACGGCTTCGAGCCAACTGTTGATACTGGATCGCTTCGAGATCTCAGACCTCGACCCTTGCTAGAAGATGTCTCGACTTTGCCGTCTCGTCCTCCCGTTGTTACAATAATGGGCCACGTCGACCACGGTAAAACGACTCTCTTGGACTGGCTTCGAAAGTCTTCAGTCGCAGCACAAGAGCATGGTGGAATTACTCAGCATATTGGTGCTTTTATCGTCAAGATGTCATCCGGCAAGTCCATCACCTTCCTCGATACTCCCGGCCACGCCGCTTTCTTATCGATGCGCCAGCGAGGAGCAAACGTCACAGACATTGTGGTTCTCGTCGTTGCCGCCGATGACAGCGTCATGCCCCAAACTCTTGAAGCATTGAAGCATGCCACAAGCGCCAAGGTGCCCATTATTGTCGCTATCACAAAGGTTGACAAGGAAGACGCTCGCATTGAACAAGTCAAAGCAGACCTTTCCCGCCATGGAGTTGAAATCGAAGACTATGGTGGCGATGTGCAAGTTGTCTGTGTCAGCGGGAAAACAGGCCAAGGCATGGAAGATTTGGAAGAAAATATTGTCACGCTCTCCGAAATCCTCGATGTCCGAGCTGAAGATGACGGCATGGCTGAAGGATGGGTCCTCGAGTCTAGTATCAAGCCTCAGGGCAAGGCTGCAACAATCTTGGTCAAGAGAGGAACTCTTCGCCCGGGAGATTTGATTGTTGCCGGCAAGACTTGGGCGAGGATCCGCGTGCTGCGTAACGAAGCTGGCCTCGAGGTGGACTCTGCTCCTCCAGGAACACCAGTGGAAATTCTCGGCTGGCGAGAGCTGCCCTCAGCTGGAGAGCAAGTACTCCAGTCTCCTGACGAAGCCAAGGCCAAGACAGCAGTCGAGTATCGCCAAGAGATGGCCGGACGTGAGCAAAGCTCCATCCAGCTTGCTGAGCAAGAGCAGCGGCAGCGAGAAAAGGCGGCAGCGGATGCTGCTGCTGCTGCAACCGAGACGGAGGGCGCGCCAAAAGCTACTGCCGGAGAACCGACTGCGACTGGAATCTTCACCCAAAACTTCACAGTAAAGGCAGACGTGGTGGGTTCTGTGGAAGCTGTCTGCGGAACTGTCTTGGAGCTGGGCAGCCACGAGGTGCACCCCAAGATTCTGCGATCCTCTGCCGGCCAGATTACGGAATACGACATTGACCACGCAGCAACGTCCAACAGCATAATCATCAACTTCAACTGCACCATCCCACCGCATATCAAGCAGCGAGCAGAGGAGGCCAAGGTCAAGATTCTTGACCACAAGGTCATCTACCATGTCATCGACGATGTCAAGGCGGCACTGTCCGACCTATTGCCCATGAATGTCACTTTCCGCGTCAACGGCGAAGCCGACGTGTTGCAAGTGTTCCCCATCAACTTGAAGAAGCGTGTGTTTAGAAACATTGCCGGCTGCAGAGTCCGAAATGGCTCCATCAAGAGGTCGTCTCGCGTCAAGGTCATTCGCAAGGGCGAGGTAATCTACGATGGTACGTATCGTCACTTTTCCCCCTGTTTTTTTATCACTTTTAGGAAATCTTTGAATAAGAGTGCTAACAATTTGGATTTATAGGCAAGCTGGACACTCTGAAGCACGTAAAGAAGGATGTTCAGGAGATGGGCAAAGGAACAGAATGTGGTATCGGTTTAGAGGATTTTGACGACTTCCAAGCGGATGACCAGATCCAGACATATGAGGAGATTAAGGAGAGGCGAAGCTTGTAAAACACATTCCCCTCAAAAATTATTCTATAGACGTGTATATATGTGTACGATATGTATGGATGGACATGTACTGGTATACTGGACGCTCAGAGGATGCTCTTCTCATAAAATTGTGTGCGAGCAGCTCTAAAGGAAAAAATGAATAGAGTAACGAGATTTCACTTTAAGAGAACATTTGTACATCTTCAAGAGTGACGAAATCAGGATATTGGCAGCGAGTGACATTGTTTGTATTATATGAGACAACTACCATCTACTTGGCGCAGAAACCACATTCGACGAAAACGTCTTCGTCGTAATCGCCGCCCTCGCCCTCTCCTTCTTCAACTTATCCAGCCCTATCCGATCGGTAATAGGCGTCGCAGCAATAATGTTGTCAAACTCATCGTCCTCGCCCTCGCCCTCACCGCCATCCTCTTCGCCGCTGTTATCGCTGTCATTGCTGTTCTCATTGTCAGAGTCTGGTTCGATATCCAAATCTGCCTTGAACCTCGACTGCTGCGGACGGGGTATTGATGCGGGTTTCTGTTTTTCCTCGGTGTTTGGGTTTGGGTTGGTGAAGGTTTTGGAGGCGAGGACTTTGCGGCGGATTTCTTCCATTGCGGCGTCGTCGTCGCTGTCGTCTGAGAGGGCGTATGGGTCTTTATCTTCGTCTTCGTCGTCTTCTTGTTGTTGTGTTTGGTCTTTCTTGTTTGGTGGCTTTTTGCCTAGATATATGCCATCGATGCTTCCCTCCTCTTCCGAATTGTCTTGCTCGTCCGAGTCCTCTTCTTCGTCTTCGTCGTCTTCATCAGAGTCCACTGGCGCTAATCTGTTGGTGTTTCCTCTGGTCCACATATCGTCTTCGCCCTCCTCTCTGCTCTCCGCATACTCCTGCTCCAGCCTCTCCATCCACTCCTCCTCCGTCCTCTTGACGCCAGCTTCATCCGCGCAGGCCGCATACTTCTTCAGCAACGTCGAGTTGATCTCCAAAAACGACGGCCCGTACGAAAACGGCGCCAAAATCTGCTCCGCCCAGTCTAGATGTCCGCATATAGCAAACGCCGCGGCCAATGCCTCGACGCAGTTCAGCCTCCACGGCTTTCCGTAGTTGACTGTGTTGGCGGCGACGAGATACGGCAGCAATCGCTCGCACTTGCCCCCGACCTTGTTCCATTGCACCTCCTTGGTTCGTGCCCACGAGCATTCCACCACGGCGGCGCCAAAGTGGTCCATGAGCTCGCGGTCGGCCGGCGAAATGACCTTCTTGCCGTTGGGCGTGATGATGACGCCGCCGTGGCGTTGGCCGAGGTGCAGCTCGCGCATCATGCCCAGCTTCATGAGCTTCTTGCCGGAGCATCGCTTGGGGTCGCAGTGGCCCAGATCCCAGCAGGCGGCCTTGAAGGCAGGGCGACCAAGCGAGCCCTCGGTGCCTTCGTCGTCGTGATGGCGGGGTTGACGAGCTGGACCGCCGCCACGGCCGCCGAATTTCTTGCCTCTGCCGGCAAAGTCTTTCTTGTGTCGCACCATTTTCTGGGTGTTTGTCTATGCGTTGTATTTGTATGTCGTTTTCGTCTAGCTAACTGGAATGAATGTCGTAGTTTGGTTTGGTTTGGTTTGGCGAGGTTGGAGATTGAGTTGGGTGGTGGCTTGATGATGTAACGGAAGATTATATTTTTTTTTTTTGCTTATCGGAGTTAGCAAAGTTGGGTGCTTCTCGCGATACAGCGCGCTTAGATCTACCCCTCCATTAGAGAAAGCTGCTTTTTTCTGGGTACCCTGGAAAAGAGATGATAGGAGTGCTGCTGCGACAACTAGTGACGGTCAACTGTGGTGACAATTGATAGCAGGTCGCTTGGTGTATTTTCGTTATTAATATTACAATATAAGATTGTAAATTGCTAGCAAAAAATATATGCTGAATCTGCTTTATAAATCGAGGCCCATGGATAGTAGTCACTGGTCAACAAAGTACAGTAGTTTTACCACGTATACTTCAACCGCGACTTCATGCAGCTTCTCATTATCAATCGTTCTCAAACAGCATCAATTTATAGATATTCAAGAATTTGTATACTTTTCCAATCTTCATTACAGCAGCCTCAAACAGCGCCGTCACTGCCCGGGCCGCCGGCGCCCACAGCGCTCCGCAGGGACCAAACCCCGGATAACTACATAAACCGCGGCCACTAGCAGGCAGCGGTAGCAACACAGCCATTCGATTCGTCGCAGCAACCTCCAGCGCTCATTTCGCTGCTGCCTCTCCTCGTCTCCTCTCCGCCACCCAGTGACCACGTCGCCAGAGCAGAGGCGAATGGATGAGCAAGTCTCGTCCAACCCGGCGTTTCCACTGCGGCGTTGAAGGAGCTGCGAACAGGCACCGCTTACCAGGTACGAGGCCATCGCCCTGATCCCGCTCCAGCTCCGGCCACGTCGGCGTCCTTGGCCTTGCTTCTGACTCCGAGAATCCAGCTCTTGCACCTCCCCAGCTTCTCGAACTACGATCCCAATCGCTGCTGTAGTCGGCCGAGCTGACAGCAACAGAGACAACTGATACACAGTAAACAGCACCTTGCGGCGTGGATCCGAGACCGACCCCGCAGGACAGCTCCCCGTGGCTTGATCAAGCTCCCGCCAGACCAGCGCAGCGCAAGATAGAGATAACACAAGATGGAAGCTGCTTCTGCTCGCGCCGCGACTCGCGATCGCTGGGGCGACGCTGGGCGCTCCTCTTCTCAGCTCCTGCGCTTCATCCAGGGAGCCTGCAGCCCCGAAAACTACGAGCCCAATCTGGCGCTCAACCTCGAGGTTTCGGACCTCATCAACAGCAAAAAGGGCACCGCCCCTCGCGAGGCTGCCACGGCCATTGTCGGCTTCGTCAACCACCGCAACCCCAATGTTGCCCTGCTCGCCCTCAGCCTGCTCGATATCTGCGTCAAAAACTGCGGCTACCCCTTCCACCTGCAGATCAGCACAAAGGAGTTCCTCAACGAGCTGGTGCGGAGATTCCCGGAGCGCCCTCCAATTCGGCCGACCCGCGTCCAGAGCAAGATCCTTGAGCTGATTGAGGAATGGCGCATGACGATTTGCGAGACGAGCCGGTACAGAGATGACCTGGGCTTCATCCGGGACATGCACCGGCTGCTCAGCTACAAGGGTTACATGTTCCCCGAAGTGCGGAGGGAAGATGCCGCCGTGTTGAATCCCAGTGACGTGAGTTGCTTCGCCCTTGGCCTCGCTATTAGAGCAGAAGCGCATCTTTTGCCATCTATTGCGCATCCATATGAGATCTGGCGGCTAGATCTAGACACTGTAGGATGCAATGCTAACTGATCATACCACGTAGAACCTGAAATCGGCCGAGGAGATGGAGGAAGAAGAGCGGGAGGCGCAATCAGCCAAGCTACAAGAGCTTATCCGCCGAGGCACTCCCGAGGATCTCCAGGAAGCCAACCGTTTGATGAAGGTCATGGCCGGTTACGACACCAGGTCCAAGACAGACTATCGCGCCAAAGCTGCCGAGGATGTAGGCAAGATCCAAGCCAAGGCCAGACTACTAGAGGAACGCCTTGAAGCGTTCAGGGCAGGGGACAAAATGGAAGACGGCGACGTCTTCAGTGAACTCGCCGCCGCCTTGCAGAGTGCCCAACCCAAGATCCAGAAGATGTGCGAAGAGGAGTCGGACGATCACGAGGCCGTGGCTAGGCTGTTGGAGATCAACGACAGCATACACCGCACAGTCGAGCGGTACAAGCTTATGAAGAAGGGCGACATGGACGGCGCTGCCAAGATTGCCGCCGGCGCGCCCCCGCCATCGCACTCGGGAGCTCCAGCATCGGCGGCAAACGAGCTGTCGCTAATAGATTTTGACGGCGATGCCGCGCAGAGCAACGGCAGCAACGGTGCAGGCTCATCGCAAGCAGGCGGATTGGAGAATGACCTCCTTGGCCTGGACATTGGCGGCCAATCGAACACGTTTGGGCAGGGCGGCAGCATTGCTCTAGGATTTGGTACAAACCAAAGTAAGCCAAGCAGCCAAGTTCCAGCGAACCTTTGAACGCTTATACTAACACATTATTCCTTAATCAGATATCCCTGGACCGGCACTCCTCTCATCTTTAACTCAAGGCAGCACCGCCAGAGGAGCTGGGCAGAATGACACACCCCCTTCATTCTCCCAGTTCGCCTCCTTTACATCTCCTCCCGCCTCTCAGTCCGCTACGCCTCAGCCCAACTACCAACAGCAGACGTCACCACCGCAAGCTGCCTCCAATGCCTTTGCCTCGTTCACCACCAGCCCTCCCGCGCCGAAGCCCGCGGCCGTCTCCAACGACGATGACGAGTGGAACTTTTCATCTGCCCTGCCGGCGGAACAGGCCCCAGCCAAGCCCACAGAGCACAAGGGAACTGCTGGCAATTCCAGTCTTCGAACCGACTTTCTGGCAAAGCGAAGCACAGCAGTCAGCAACGCAATCAACATTGTATTTGCCTTTTCCAACAACACCGCGCAGCCTATCAATGAGCTTCACTTTCAACTAGCCGTCACAAAGGTTTGTTCAACATTTTCTTTTTACCGCATCTTTTCGCTTCATCTCAAGCTCAAACTAACCATTGACCTCGTCTAGGGCTACGAACTCCAACTCAAACCCCAAACAGGCCGTGCCCTCTCCCCCAAGCAGAGCCGCGGCGTCACCCAAGAAGTCGACGTCTGGCACGCCGGCAACAAGAACCAGCGGGTCGAATCCGTCAAGCTGCGCTGGCGGGCATCGTACAAGGTCGGCGAGGAGGTGAAGAATGAGATGGGCGAGATTGCAGAATTTAGCCTTGCTTAAAAGAAGATAATCTTACCATTTTTTTTTTCTTTTTTTCTTTTCGCTTCTTTCTTCCAAAGAATAGGGGAAAAAAGAAGATTATATTACATTCTTTTTTTTTATTTACATGTGAATTTGCTTGTTTCAAACAATACAAAAAGGAGGGGAGATGGAGAATTGTTTATTGTTGTCTGCCTGCCTGCCTGTATGTATGTAATTTAGTATGTATTTAGGTCTACAGGACGAGGACTTGGAGAATGCTTCGTTCTATTTGTTACTAGAAGGAGAGGCTCGTTGGGCGGTGGCATAGCGCTTAAAGAATTTCTTGGAACATTTACTTCCATTTTTTTCAATACAAAGAAAGTCTCTTCAAAGTGTGTAGTTTAAAAAAGAGGCCGGAAAAATTGTAATGAAATTATAGTCGAAACACTCAAAAACCAACAATGAAAAGAAGCAAAGAAGGATAACAAAGAAAAAAAAAAAAAAAAAAAAAGCCCGTCCAAGAAGAAGAAGAGGAAGAAATTGCATAGTTAAGAGAGAAAGAGGAAAAGAAAATTGAAATTGAAGAAATAAAAGAAAAAATAATAAAAGACAGCCATCTATTTTCACGCCCATTATGCACAGTGAACCCCCATGAGAGAACGGCATTTCCATCAATCCCTATCAGGTCTGAACCCAGTTGAATACTCTTTCTTTCCCAACTCCCACCCCTTTCCGCTCGCAGTTTTCTCTCTCATTGCCCTTTCATTTGTTTCCACCAAAATCCGTATAAACGCCGCTGCCGTCAGTCCAGTATCCCTCTCTGCCCTTGATACAATTTCCCAAACAGAAACCAAGAACCAATGAAACGGAAAAACAAACAGAATTAGGAAAATCGAACACACAAGATTGCGGAAAGAAAGAAGAAAAGACAAATAGAAGTCAGACAAAGCTCGCCTTGAGACACATCTGTATCAAAGTATATGGAATCACACGATGTTCTGTGAACCATTGCTGAATGAAGGGAAGAAAAAAAAAAAAGAGTCCTCTTGCCCACAAGAATGTGACAAATAGAATCAGGTGCTATGTGGCCCCTTTCCCATATCCTTGTAGGATAGTCAAGGGGCATGCGCCCCAATCGCAGACGTAAACGCCATCCAGTGATGATAAGAAAAGAACAGGCGTCAGCCAGCTATAGCCGCAGATCGAAAAGGAGATGAGATCGTTCGTCGGTCGCTAACATTAAATATTGCACACAGAGCTGCCGGATATTAAAAGGAAAAACGAAACGAGGAAAAAAAAAGCTGCTGAATAGCTCCTGAGTCGTCAAAACATTATGTAGTCGTAAGGGGGGTCGCCATATTCTGCTATCGTCCACTCTCCCTTCTAGGAACCGAGCTCGCGGACAGAAAGCGATGGTGTCGTCGGCTGGAGAGGGTATCCATTGGCGGATGCCTTGGCCATGCTCTCCCTTTCTGCCTTTTCTCGCTCTCGTTGTGCCTTTTCGGATTTCGTGATGCGAGGTTTTCGTGTAGCGGCGCCGCCTCGGGAGCCTGGACCGCCACCGCGTCCGGTTGTTGCTCCTCCTCGTGTTGCTCCTCCTCGGCCTCCTCCTCGGCTGCCTCTTCCGCCTCGTCCACGCCTGGGGCGTTCTTCGTGGCTGTAGTGTGTAAGTAAGCGTAGTCTTGGAAGCGACAGAATAAAGAAGGAAAAAAAGAATAATACGTACCCAGTGGTAGGCTTCTCGACCTCAGGAACCAAAGGTCCAGAATAAACAAAGAAACCATCTCGACTGGCGGCGGCTTGAGCCTCCCAGAGCAGTTCAGAGTCGTCAACAAAGTCATCGTCGACATCGTACTGGTCTTCTTTGAAATTTCGCTTCTTCTTAGGTTTGGCTTGGGCGTCGGCGCCGCTCACTCCGCCATTGTCGGGATTGCTTCCCTCGCCGTCGGAGAGGTCGACCGACATCTCGTCGCCAGACTCGCGACCAGATTCGACCTTTTCCAATGAGGCAGCGGCCGCAGCAATGCGAGCTTTGCGGTCTCTATTGGCGGCGAGACGAGGATGCAAGGCGTCCCAACCGTATTGGTCCTCAGCCATGCGCATGAAATTGACATATTTGTTCGTTTCGCCAGATGTGATGGGGATGCTGAGAACAATGGTGGGCGTGTCTTTTTCCTCGCCCGGGCGGGCTCTGCCAAAGTCGAGGATTGATCTCTCGTCCATTTCCATAATGGTTTCGTCTAGCATGTCTGTCTTTGGTGTTGAGACGCCGGTGATGGGTTTTTGTTTTGGTGACACCTTCTTGATGGGCCCGTTTGCGATGGTGGTGAAATTAGATTGGTTAACAACTGGCCGCGGGGTTGCTGCAGGAGCCGGCGGCGCAGGCGTAGGAGCGTCGCGTTTTATTTCGTGGATGGCAGGCTTCAAGGCAGGGGTTTGGTTGGCGGGGGTGGAAGTCGATGTCTTGGGAACGTAGGACGGAGAAGGCGGTAACGGTGTGGCGTCGGGCGCCTGCAATCGCGGTTGAGACATGGCAGGCGGGTAGGCCAGGTGAGATTGGCTGGGCGACGGCTTGGAGGCGGGCTGAGGCTCGATCATGCTGGCAATGGACGGTGAGCGGTGCGCCGGCGCGGCCAGGATTGCGCGCGGCGAGCCAGCAGCTGAGGAGTAGTGCGAGGTCATGGTCTCGCGGACGGGATCATAATTGCCCCGGATGGGATCGTAGCTCTGGCCGCTGGTGCGCACGGGAATCGGGCTGGTGATGCTGTTTGACGGCGACCGGGTCGCGGGCGGCGGGTCGGCGTTGAGGATGCTCTGCATGGAGCTTGGATAGCCCTCGCGCTTCTGCATCTTGGGCGAGTATCGCCGGTCCGGGAGCTGCTGGAGCTGATGCTGCGGCGTCGAAGTCAGCGAGTCGCCCAGCTGAGCGCGCAGCGACGGGGATGAGGACGGCGGTCCCGTGCCTGCAGGGTCCAGCGGCCTGGGACTGGGGGCGTCGCTATCGATATCAGACGCCGGCGCCAGCTTTCTCTTGCGCTGGACAGGCAGCGTCGTCTCAGCCTCGCGCGACTTGCGTGGCCGGCGGACCTTGGGCTGGTCTGCGGTGTCTGCTGGGGCCTTTGGCTTGACGACGGAGCCGGGCTTGCGTCCCGGTTTCTTGCGCGGGACTCCGGCAGCCGTTAGTTGCACCCATTCACCGTCGATGAGCGAGTATCGTTTTGGCGTTTGTGTCCGCGAGCCGGGTGCAGGGCTTGCAGTGCCTGGCGGCGGTGGCTGCGGCGGCGCATACGGTTGCGCATACTGCTGCGAGTTCTGGTCGCCGCTGACGACGATTTGGTCCATTTCGGGTCCTGAGCGCTTTGCAGAGGTGTTGGGACGGCGGCCAGCCGCGTGAGAGGGCGACCCGGGTTCTGAGAGAGAGCCTGAAGGGGGAGACGAGAGTTCGCCGGCGGAAGAATCGAATCGCGTGGATGCGTCTCCAGCAGCAGCCATATTAGGGCCGACGCGGAGTCGGAAGCGAGAGACAGAGATGGCCGTCTAGTATTGTCGGATTCTAACCTGGGGGCAATGCAGCGGATGATCAAACAAGGATGCAGATATGCGGCGAGAAGAGACGCTGGAGATGGACAGCTTTCGTGAAGACTCAGTGGGATTCCTCGGCGTCGATGAGATGGCTAGTGGCTTTCGACGGCGGTATTTTCTTCCTCGGGAAAAAAAAAAAATTGTAGAATTAAGGATTAAAACATATGAATGCTTAAGAAGGAATAAAGAGACAGAAGGAAAATTGAACAGGTCAAGCACCACACACAAACGGCCCGTCGGTCTGAACAAAGAGAGACAAGCGAACAAAAAGAAAAAAGAACAAGAAAAAGAAGCTTGAATCGCAGCCTTGCAAATGGCGCGTCAACGAGGCTGCGGCCCTTCACAAGCAAGCAGGCAGGCGATGGTGTGCAGAAAGTGTGACGTTACGTGAGTGGCCGGAAGCCGGACTGGGGGGAAACTGGAAACGTGAGGAGTGGAGCCGGGCTGGATTTGCGAATAGCCTCACAATCGGCCTCTTGGGCGAGCAGCGCTGGCGGCGGGCGCTGGCGGAATGTGCGCGGCGGCCGGGCAGATGCACTGAGGCGGCGGGGCTGCGGCGGCTGCAACAGCTGGAGGCGCCTGCAACGATGGACGGCAGCTGCGTCTGGCGATGGCGACGGCGCTGCGGACGTGCGAGATTGATGGCTGAGCAGCGGCGATTTTGCGCTCAAAAGCGGTGTTGGGAGAGGGAAAATGGTAGGGAAAAGGGGAGAGTTCCGAAGGGGGCTGGCGAAAAGAGGCGGGAGGGGGAAATGATGGGGGATTTTTGGCTCGATTTGGGGATGGCGACAATATAGCAGTTGTGCTTTTCTCCCAGAAGACCAGAAAAACGGGGCACGGCCAGCGCGTGGTTTGGGAAAACCTCAGCAGCTCGGTTGACTTCGGTCACTGGCGATTACACGGGATAATGCAATGGAAATGCTAATCAGGACAGCATGGGATGGGAGGGATGGATGCCTTACACGTACAGCTTCTAATTCGACTGGGCGTGGGGCCGGGGGGTGTAGCGGTATGAAATTGATAATCTGGAATACTGATACAAGTACATGCTGCTATTAGCAGGTGCTAGCAGCAGGAAACCAACTCAGCGTAGCACGACTAGTAATAATTGCTCGTCTCTTTTTGCCCTATGCTGGCCAGTTGGCGCACAGTATGGAGCACGGAGCGTCCAGCAAGCGGAATTGATAGACGTGGTACCACGGCACAAGTACCATGAGCCAAAGCCGGCAATACTGGGACAAAAGAGAGATGCGAGCCGAAGTTGGCGCGGGTCTGCAATTAACTCTTATTTGACAGGCTAGGCCAGGGTCTCTAAAAAAAAAAGGGAACGAATATGCAGCAGCGCCAGGACCGGGGCTGGGCCGGCCAGGGTTTAGCGTCGGATCACGGGACTAAGGCATCTGCACTAGGCTGTAGACAGAAGATGCTGCGTTTTGGGACGCCAATCGAGCTTCTTTTTCCGATGGCGCAGGCGAGGCACGGGGCAGCAGTCGTGGTGAGCAATCGCCAATGACTGCCGGGCTGGCAATGCCTGCAGCGCTGCCATGAGTATCTGCCAAGCTCGCATCTGGTGATATTCACGGCAAAACCCCGACAAGCACCCGCGATCGACCGGTGATACACGATTGGCCGCTGCCGGAGAATTCAGGATGCAAGGTTGAGAAACAGGCACAGTAGCGTGGTCTGATCCATGTACTCGTCGTGCCTTGCGGCACCCCAGAGTCCCCTAACAAAGTCGCTGTGGGGGCGCTATTGAGATGCGCAGAGTAGGGGGGCCATCGGCCGGTGGGCCAATCAGCGTGCGAATTAGACGCGGCACAGAGGCTTCTGTTGACCCGAGAAGCGCGCTGCAGCAATATCGGGCGAGGCTCTGATTGGCTGTCTTGTCCATATTGGAGCACCACGAGCGCCCCACTCGCAAGCTCGCCGCCGGTGTCTTTTTTTAATCTTCATGCCATGGCTGGTGGCAGCCAGATAGGCGCGGCCCGCTACGACGGTGGCCATCAGCTGCGCCGTGTCTGATTCGGTGGGCGCCCATTTGGGTAAGATGAAGGAAGGACTGGAGAATGGGGGAAGAAGAGGAATAAGAAACGAGAATGAGAAAACAAGAATGAAGAAATATGAACAGCTGGACGTCGTTGCGGATAGCAGAGTGAGACATTTTGCCGCACCTCTTGACGCAGGTCTTATTATCGCCCAGCAGCTGCCCATTCTTTTTTGTGTCCAACACTCCCCCTAAAACTAGAGACATTCAGTCTCGCTTCGCTAAAGTCGCCGCGACCAGCTCCCTTTGCCGATCCAAGGAGATGGCATCCAAGGATAAGGCGTGCCCAACGATGCAGAATAAATTTTTTTTTTTTTTTTTTTTTCCTTTTTTTTTCTGAAGAAACAAGGGAGAGAAAAAAGCTGCTTGTCAGCTCAGTTTGCTGTTGGTAGCTGGCAAATTACACGGCGTTGGGTGCCAATGTCGGCGCTTTTCCCAGCTACTGCGCTGTTTTCGGCACAGGACGCACGCGTCACCAAATCAATAGGTGCGCGGAGGAATAGGTCCTTGTGGTCCTTGTGCTGCTATCGGCCCTCATGTGGCGTGGCGTGCTGCTGCTAGTAGTCGCTAGCCATTGCCGATCAGGCGATGCTTGCTGCGCTCGCTGCCCTTTTCTCGTCAAATCTCGCCATGAGGCCAGCTGGCACAGACGACAAAAATGCGCGCGTATAGATAGGTAATCGCCAAGGCATTTGCTATTTCCTTGGGTGCAAGCAAGTGCCAGTCTAAGACAGTATAGATACCGCCAGGGCCGTGGCATTTCGTAATACGTGTTCAGTCTCCAGACACGCCATGCCACGACGCTGTCTCAGCTGTCTGCAATTCGGCTCTGCGTCTGCGCCGTTTTGCCAATTAAGCCCCTGTCATGCGCTACAACTTGCTGGGAACCCGCGTGGCACTAATGCAGGTGTGGCGGTGCGCCTGGATGGCTGGGCCTCGGAAACTCTAGATTTGATCTAGAAATGCTAACCGGCGCCCAATCGTGGGGGGTCCTTGTTTCAACGGCAGGCTGATGCCAAGTGCGTTTTTATCAATTGCCTAGCAGCATGCTGACAGACGGTGAGTCGCTTCATCGCCTGTTTCAAGTTCAATGGCTGTCCAGCGGGACGCGTAGAATGACAGGCAGGCAATGAATTACCACTTGATGGTGCGCTGCAGGACAGATTAGCATCATCCCGACCTTTCTTTTTTAAACTTTAGGCCTACATGGCCTGAAACAGTTATAGCTTGCGAGGGAGGAATTTCCGGCTCAGCCGCAACAACTCGCCTGCCATTGCCATTTCAGTATGGCCTAGTTCATGGAGTTAATCTGTGGGAAAAGCATTGCGCGAGGACTTTCCATCGCATGCACCCGGACGCCGCGCCATGCATTGCTGCCCTGCAGACGAATAAACGAAATTGATGCCACCTAATTTTTACAGTACAGTTCCTAAGCTGGATGGCTGCAGCGCCCTGTACTCCGTGCGATATTTGCTCTTCGGACACTTCCACAGTGGAGCACTCCTTATCGATATGGGTGGGCCTCTGCCGGCATCCTCCACCCCGCCAACATTTTCTCGACTGCTGCCCGTGACAAGGCATTTCCAATCAATAGAAACCAGCTATATCCAACAGCACCATGGATCCCACGCTGCTAATTGGCGACATCGTCGAGCGAGACCAAAAGGTGGCCAAGCCTGTCGAGTTCCCCTCGGGCCCCATCTCCTCGACTGGGTTCCCTCAGCACAAACGGCGATGGAAGCCTTCGGCGTTCAAGCAGCAGCGAAATGGCGGTCCATCAAACGAGCCATCGACGTCACAGCCGAAGCAATCACAGCAGCAAGACCAGTCGCCAAGCTTCGACGAAGCTGAGAGAAGGCGCATAGATCAAGAGAACCAGCAAAAGATTAATGACATGACACCGCAAGAGATTTCACAGGCGCAAGACGACATTATGAAGGGTCTAAATCCGGCGCTTATACAACGTCTGCTTCAGAGAGCCACCATCGATGAGCCGGACGTCAATTCGCCGTTCAACATGCCAGAGCCCCAGAAACCAGAGGTCGCTCCATCATCTTCGCCTCCCCAAATCCGCGTCGACGACTTGCCAAAAGCTGCTACCGTTGAAGACGATACTACAGAGACGATCGAGCCAGAATCACAACCCAAATCCACACCTGCTCCTGCAGCTGCTGTCCAGGCCAAGTCGACCAAGAAAATCGCTGATAACTACGATGAAGACCGTGCACCATCCCAAATCCCGCCCGACCTCTTCCCAATTACTGATCTCCCCAAATCAACACATTTCCCCGTCCCGCCGAGCCTCCCGGATCTAGACCCTTCCGATCCTAATTTCCTCGCCACTCTTCACGAGAAATACTTTCCCAATCTCACCGCCGACCCTAGCAAGCTGGCTTGGATGGCACCAATTCCTACTGAAGATAGCCCTGCCGACAAGGACTCATCGTACTATCCCCATCCCGAGATCAGCGTTTCGGCCCTGCGATTCGACTTCCGTGGACGCTTCCTCTCGCCGCGAGTCAGCCGGTCGATTCCCTCGTCTATCGGACTGCATCATCACGGAGAAGCCCCCGAAGCCGCCGGCTACACCATTGCGGAACTCGCTAGACTGGCGAGAAGTGCCGTACCGGCGCAGCGCTGCATAGCATTTCAAACTCTGGGCCGCATTCTGTATCGGCTGGGGCGTGGCGAATGGGGAACCACGCTGAACCACCCCATTGCCGTGGGAATTTGGACAGCCATCAAGGAGGGGCGAGTGCTGGAGAGTCTAACTGAGGCGAGCATGGGCGAAGGCGGCCACAGAGGCAGCCGGGCGTACGCCGTGGAGGCCCTGTGGTTATTCGAAAAGGGCGGATGGCGGGAGAAGCTGCAGGTGAGGTAGTGCAGAGGCAGGAAATGAGGCGCTCTGAATGATACCAATGCGTGTTGAATTCTGCCAACACGCGAATTTTATGACCATGGCATTTGCATTTTGAAGCTTTCATATTGAATAGCGCCTGAACAATGCCTTCTGTGTAGGGAAAGCTATCTACTAAGTGCATGCAGAATACGTGATGGGAGATGAGCTTGCACTGCTAAGATTAGCCAGGGTGGGAATATTCTCCGTAAGCCAGGTACCTCAAGTGTCTTTTGCTAACATGTACCTACTATCTATGGAGTAAATACTTTTTTTTACAAACGCTTTCTCATACTGTAGTATGTTGACATGTATGATTCTCAAATGCAGCTAAGGCATCTACACAAAAGGCCCATATGACGTGTACAAGCAATTTAATCTATTCCGTGTCTCTAGCCCACGAGACCAAGTGGGATGTACGTGAGCTGTCCGCAACCACTAGATTTTGGACCCGGGGATCCTACATGCACCTCGTTCCCTGATGCGGCAATCCAGCCGCTGGGGATACTGCCTTGGGAAAATACAAAAAAAAAAAAAAAAAAAAAAAAACCAATAGCAAATGGTAGCTCAATCTCCATTTTTTTTTATTTCTCTTGTTCAACTGCATGGGGCTGAATGCGTGTCATGGGGGTGTCAAATTAGAGACTTTGTGTGATGTGAAATGCCAGCAAACGCGCGCTGCACGTCTATCACTGCAGCTGGTGCCTTATCTGGGGTGAGATGCAGGCCCGATCAAGGAGATGAAGAACGTGACGAATGGTAGGGGGCAGACGCAGTTATTATGAACAATCGTGCAGCAAATATCAATGCCTCTCGCGTGATGATATTTCTTAGCCTTTGTCAATGTGTAATCATTTACATGTGAGACCGACAATGTGTAATATCTGGGGGATATCCAGTGACTGGCTGCTCGCTCACAGTGCCAATGGCAGTTGATAACAGCCTCCATTCGACTTGATTGGCTGGGCAAGCCCGGGCACCAATAGATTCCGTCCCAAAACCCAGGGATTTGCCAGGCTTTAGCGTGGCGCTGGGGGACTTGGCTTTTTTTTTTCCCTCGCTGTCTTCCCCCAATCCCCCCTAACTAAAAGCCTTGAACCTTGCGGCGGCAGCGGTGGGGTCAGCCAGGAAAAAATGGAAAGAAAAAAAAAAAAAAAATCAAAAAAACATCGCCCACACTTTTGCCGCCACAGGCCTCTCTTCTTACTTTTTTCCCTTCCAGCCCACAAGCAACACGGCACCGCCGTCGCCAGCCAATTTGTCTCCCCTCGCCTTGGGTGCTTGCAATCATCTTCTCTTCTCTCTTCTCGCTCCATCTTGTGGTTTTGGACTCTGTCGTTTTTTCCATTTTCCTGTCAGCGCGTCGTCGACTTCGTTTTTTCCTGCCTCCCCTGGTTTGAACAATCTTGACGCCGCTGTTCCGCTCGTGCCCGTGCTCGCCGAAACGCCTTCGATCGACAAGGCAGTGACGCTTCCTCCCACCACATCACGACACAAACGACCGCAAGAGACAAAGCACCGGTCCTCACCGACACCGAAAAAAGAAGTCATCGCCTGGCGTCTTTTTTTAAAAGCTGCAAAAGATTCTCAGCATCAAATCATTGTGATTGTTGCTGGCGGACCGGAAGCGCGATATCTATCCACTTCCACCGATTTTTCCCCTTTGACGCCCGCTGTCTGTACAGCCTGTCAGGATCTTCTGCAGTGCGGAGAGCTCCCATCATCTCATCAAAACAAACCCCCCTTTTTTGGCTCGCCTGCGCAATCACCCGCAGATAGCGAGGAAAAGACTTTGCGGTTCAATTGATAGATACCGACAAGAAGCCAAGACAAGAAGGCTTGATTTTTGCAACGACCAACTGCTCTTTTCAACCAAGGAGATTTTCTGTGACTTTGACTAGCCATGGCACCTCCTTTGCAGTTCGCCTACCGAACCCAGAAGACCATTGGCGTCTTTGACGCCGCTCCGGTCTACGAGCCCCTTTCTGGGTTCACCAAGCCCGAGGGAAACCTGCGGTGCTGTGCCTACTCGCCCTGTGGCCGCTACTTTGGCTGGGCAACGCCCGAGGCCGTCAGTGTCGTCGACACCGCCAGCGGCCAGTCGGCCCTGAACCTGCCCATTGCCAATGTCTACGAGCTCGGCTTCTCGCCGCTGGGCACTTTCCTCATCACCTGGGAGCGCCCGGCCAAGGACGAGGCCGGCGATGCCACCAAGAACCTCAAGGTCTGGCGCACCATCGAGGAGGGCGTTGACGCCTCCGCCAAGCAGCCCGTAGGCCAGTTCGTCCAGAAGCAGCAGGGCAACTGGAACCTGCAGTACACCGACGACGAAGCCTACTGCGCCCGTCAAGTCACCAACGAAGTGCAATTCTTCGAGAGCCACGACCTCGTCACAGTTTGGAACAAGCTGCGTGTCGAGGGAGTCACCCAATTCGCCCTGGCCCCGGGCAGTCAACATGCCGTGGCGGTCTTTGTCCCCGAGCGCAAGGTAAGTCTTCACCAATAAGGATCCCAATCATCCAACGCGTCTCTGCTATACAATGTTCACCATTCTAACTTTTTTTTTTTTGTTTCTCAACTAGGGAGCACCCGCCGCTGTCAAGGTCTTCAACGTGCCCGCATTCCAGAACCCTATCTCTCAAAAGACCTTTTTCAAGGGAGACAAAGTGCAGCTGAAGTGGAACAAGCGGGGATCAAGCATTTTGGTCCTGGCTCAAACTGACGTGGACCGATCCGGCAAGAGCTACTACGGAGAGACGACGCTCTATCTGCTGAGCACCAACGGCTCTCTGGATGCTCGCGTGACTCTGGATAAGGAGGGTCCCATCCACGACGTCTCGTGGTCGCCTTCGTCTCGACAGTTTGGCGTGGTATATGGTTACATGCCTGCCAAGACGACCATTTTCAACGACCGCGGCGTTGCGGTGCACTCGTTCCCCCTTGGACCTCGCAACACCATCACCTTCTCGCCCACCGGCCGATTCGTCCTCGTTGCTGGTTTCGGCAATCTTGCTGGTCAGATTGACGTGTATGATCTGGAAAAGGACAACCGCAAGGTCTGCACCATCGAGAGTGGTAACCCCAGCGTGTGCGAATGGAGCCCCGACAGCCGTTACATCATGACGGCTACGACCTCCCCTCGTCTGCGCGTTGACAACGGTGTCAAGCTGTGGCACGTCACCGGCGGACTCGTATACAACGAAGACATGGTTGAGCTGTACAGCGTTCTGTGGCGACCTGCTACCGAGGAGAACATCGAGGGCGGTGATCCGCTCACCTCTGTTCCTGCTGCGCATGCATCGGCGGCGACGTTCCTCAGCAATGTCAAGGCCCCGAGCAAGCCTGCCGGAGCCTACCGACCACCCGGTGCTCGTGGACTGGCCACACCGCTTCACTTCAAGCGCGAAGACGAGGGTGGCGCTGCTCACATCGTTAGCAATGGAACCCAAAATGTGAACATGAACGGGTTTGGACGAGCCAGACGTGCCGTTCCTGGCGCCGAGCTGGCTGAGAGCCCGGCCGTTAGGACCGTGCCTGGAGCGGAGCCTGCCGAGGATGGCGCCGCCAAGAAGAACAAGAAGAAGCGCAGCAAGAAGAACAACCAAGGCGACGGTAAGCTAGAGCCCGAACCTAACGGAGGAGCCAGCCTTGCCCCGCCGCCTCAGGACCACGAGGGCCGCAGCCCGGATAGGCGTGGAGTGGCCGGCGGCAACCAGAACGGCCGCGGATTCAGGAGCCGCTCTCGAAACAACACTGGGCCTCGCAGCCGAAGCAACACCCAGCAGGGTGGTCCCCGGGGACTGAATGGCAACCAAAACGGCCAGAATGGACACCAGCACCACCACTCCGGACCTCCTCCCAATGCCCCCACCGAACCCGCGGGATCACAGAATCCCAACGCCAAGAAGATTCGCAGTCTTCAGAAGAAGGTCAGGGCTATTGAGGACCTGGAGATGCGCCTAGCTGGTGGTGAGAAGCTCGAGGATACTCAACTTAAGAAGATCCACACCAAGTCGTCCGTTATTAAGGAGCTGGACTCCCTGGGTGGCGAGTCTTAGATGCTATGAACCGACTAGATGGGCATGGAGGAGAGGGGGGGGGGGGGGGGGGGGGGGAGATGCATAGAAAACTGAGGGGTAACATCAGAAGCAAGAAATGAAATCATCTGTTTATTTTTGTTTTGTGGAATTGGGCGTCCCATAGGCTGGCATTCATCGGCGGTGGCTTTTCGTGGTATGCAACACTCGGGTTAAGGGCTATTACTGAGCGGCCAGGTTAAGAGAAAAAACACAAATGGATAGTGGCAAGGGGACCTGGGGAATTTGGGGTTTTTTGTACACCATTGCAACGCGAAAACATTTCTTGGACAAGAGAAGAAAAAGGAAAAAGGGATAATAATGCTTGCATCAAAGGAACTCTCTTGGGTCACTGTTGCCGAGGCAAGAAAAAGGGTTTTTTTTATTGTCGGTAAATAGCTAAGGAAATCAGAGGGACACTCGATATATATACACGCCTGGTAAGGTAGGCGGTATATTATTTCTCCTGAGGGATTGCTGCCCAGGGATAGGTGTTTAGATCCGCGGGGTTACGTCGACAAAGGAAAAGGAACCTGCTGAATAGACGCAGGTGATTGTTGGCAGAATATCATGGTGCATAATACAAAAGCGTACATGTTGAGCTTGAGATTTGTTGATTTCGGTGATGAGTCTTTGTAGAGATGTGTGAAGTGTGAAGTGTTCTCTATACACGTATTAGAGCGATGGAGTGAGTGTCTGAAGCGCAGTTTTGTATACACAGATGTTCTATAACGTTGCAAGCTCTATAACAGTGGTGTTAGTAGTTAATATCATCTGCTATCATGCTGTGCAAATCCTTCTCTCTCCATCTTGCAATCCCCCGAATTGGTCGCTTTCGACGTCGTCTTTGCAAGTGACAATCTCTCCGTCGGTCGCTCCCCATATATTGCGCCGCTGTTGTTATAAAAAGAATGTCCTTCTTCAACGCTAGCTATTCCATTTGACTCATGGCTATTACAAGACCCGTCATGCCCGTCCCTTTTGCCGTTTCTGTTGGATAGGGCTCTGCTCTTCTTCAAGTCCTTCTCGAAGAAGAAGTACTCGAGGCCCTTGTCGAAGACTTCCCTCGCTGCTACAGCCAACAAGATGACAGCGGTAGTTTGGCCGAAATCCCAGCCGTTTTCATATCCGCCTCCATCCAACTTGCCCTGGTTGGCGGATCTCAAGGCCAGCGCCATGTATAAGTGGACGGGGAACTGCAGAAACGCGAGAACAAGAATGGTGTGCCGCCAGCGAGCGCCAGACAAGGCAGCGGCCATCATGACGAGCATCATCCACGAAGCGGTAAACGAGACGTAGACTTTGTCGCTCATCGGATGAGGCGCGCCGGAGCTGGTGACGAGATGCGAAAAGTAGCAGCGGCCGGGGGGCCTGTCCAGGGCCCAGTTGTCGAGGGCGACGCAGAGCAGGATGGTGAGGACGAGATAGAGCGAGACGAAGAGGTACGTTGCGCGGTGGCGAGGCGTGAAATGGGGGGAGCGGAAGCAGGCCAAGTGGCGCTCGAAGAGATGATGGGCCCAGTCGTGGGCGTGAGAGGCGCGATGGAGGCGGACGTTGCAGTAAGTCCAGCAGACGAGGGCCGCGGCGCTTGAGACTCTGAGTGGACTGTGAGTTTGGTTGTTTGAAAGGAGATGAAGGTGAAGATATAAAAGTTGTGAGAGAAAAAGGGGGGCTCACCCAACGAAGCTGACAATGTCAAACACCAGGTGCAAGTGATAGACGTCCATCTGGTTAATGTTGGCAAAGGCCGAAATCATGTACGACGTGCCGACGACCATCTGGATGTCGTTGCCGACCATGAGGATGTCGGACACGCACTCGAGGCGCTTCTGCTCAATGGCGAACTCGATGCTCTCGGGCGCGTGGCCGCCGTCGAAGAAGGAGCCGCTCTTGGAGAAGAAGAAGGCCCAGACGGCGAGGCAGAGGGAGATTACAGCCTGGCCGACGAAGCCGACGATGATCTGGATATTGACTGTTTTAGTACATACTGGGTGAGGAGACGAGGTTGACTTACACCGATGCCGGCAATGTCTGATCTGGTCTCGCCGACGAGGATGCATTCTGGGAAGGCTCTGGATTGGAGAGGGGTCATGGCCTTGTATTTGATGATTCGGATTCAGCTCTGGGATGTAGCAATGGTGACGGGTTGATGGACAGTCAAAGTCTCCTGCTTGAGCTGCAGCTGAGCTTCAGAATCAAGATTGAATTTATCTCATAACTACAGCCAGGCTCCATTCAGATATACAGCGAAAGGCGATTTTATTAGAGGCAAGGAAGATAAAATGGAAATAGAAGAGGAAAAAAAGGAGATCTGAGTGTGTCATTGATTTGCCTGGTATGCGCGCGCTTCTTTGGAAAATCGAGGCTTGTTCGATTTTGTCTTGTCATTGGGCACTAGCACTTGGAGGCGCGATGAGGCTTCGATTGGAAAGTCAAATTCTTGGTCTGATTTCTTATCCGTCTAGTGCCTTGATTGTTTTATTAATTTGTTTTCTATTTTCTGTAATCAAGTATTTTGAATCGTTGGCACAGTAAGAGAGATTGGAATGTGTAAGAGATGGCAAGTGGTGTTTAAGGCGAAATTCTCGTGTAAGATGACTGGGCGAGATGTGTGGCTGCATAAGAAATAAGAACCAAGGCGAATTAATGTCCAAAATATAGTTAGGGAAATATTTGAGCTTGAAATTACGACGTAATGGATCAATTGGTAGAATAACAACAGAGAATTAATACCCAGTCGTTCACGCTGTCTGCATTGCGTAGGTAGAATTAGTTCGGCGCATGGCTAATCACAGAAAATGAGACATGGTGTTTGGCATTTAATCAGTTATTTCTGATGCTGCTAATCTAGTAGCACAAGTATCAACAAGGGAAACTTTATCCATTAGATCTCCGCCTATTTGCTTATGGCACTCGTAATTGATAAATCACATTACAGTCTCACATTCGTGAAGCTTGGACGTGGCCTGCCACCAAGAGCGCGATCAGGTGCCGTGGTGTGTTTCTTTGACAATTCGCCATTGAGTCTGTATTAATGCTGACTGCTCAAGCATATCAGGAGCCGGCACAGCATACTGAACCAGTGTGGATATTGAGTAGTGTTGTTGCAGCCATGGCATGAGCGTGAGCGGTTCCAATGGCCACTCTAAGAATACCTGGACAGAGACAGAGTCGATTACACTTGCTTCAAAGTTCTTCCAAATCCTAGCATACCGGTACAACGCGAATGTTGTCTTCAGAACATATGTTGCTGGCATAAGGGAGCGAGCCCTCAACCTGTTGCATTGCCTTGACTCAGAAAGGAGAGTCAGTTTAAAGGCAATTGCTATTCTTTCAGCAGCCAAAGCTAATCTATACAATAGGGTCCTTAAGAAACTCGACCCATCATCTTTATTGCCCACAGCCTGGGCAGAAGCCTCGTAAAAGAGGCCATGGCAGCCGCTTTCCGTGTTTCCCAGCTCTACTCGATGCTTTGGATTTCCACGCACGGCATAGTCTTTTTTCGGCGTTCCTCCATAAGGGACCCAGACATGTGCGTGGGGAGAGATGGCTTCACGAATAGTGCACTACTTCAGCGGGTAACCTAACAAGAGCTTCTCTGGCGGCGTTGAAGAGGGTTCCAACTACAACACTCACCTCAGCAAGATATCCAGCCTTTTGCTCAGTGCATTCAAATTTTTCAGCATCTGTGAGACAGTTCCAGAGCATTTTGACCAAGGTTATAGAGTCTACGTGTACTGCATTCTATCTTGCAAGATTGTACAGTATCGGATGCAAAACATAGCAGCACGGCCGTGACTTTGCAATGGAAACAATTTCACGCACCAAGTGTAAAGAATGGCACGTTGCCGCTATTGAATTCAAATCTACAAGTTTCCAACGAATGTGATGAGTTACATACATGCCTCTATTCTTTTCATACATCTCAAAACAGGCGCCCGCCCTTCAACCACCGCACCTCTAGGCTGCAAATGTGAATCCACGGTAATTCGCATCAATCGCCTCTTGACAAGCATTGACATACGAATGAAAGCCCCCGAGACTCCACAGCACATGTCTGCTCCCATCCTTGGGCGCTCGAGGGGTGTTGTGGTCGCTGAAAAAGTACGAGTTTCCCTTGTGAAAGACCGTTGCCGCGGCAATTGCATTGCACTGCTTCACCCACTCGTCTTCATTCTCCTGAATGGCGTCTACGACAACTGGCTTGCCCGTTTCCTTCTTGGCCTTTTCGGCTTTGGAGATGAGCCGCACCAGGAACTCGCCTTGCCACACGGCAATGGACGGGATGTTGGCGAGCGGCGTCTGCGGCCCAATCATGAAGAAGAGGTTCGGGAATCCCGCCTTGGAGACGCCTAGATAGGCGGTTGAGCCCTCGGCGTATCTTTCAGACAACTTGCCGTTGGGCCCGGTGATGTCGATTTCGGCCCAGCTGCCGTCTTGTTCGTAGCCGGTGGCGTAGACAATCACGTCCAGCTCGTACTCGGCGTCTGAAGTCCGGATGCCCTTTTCAGTGACTTGGACCAAGGGCGTCTTCTTGAAGTTGACAACGTCCACATTCTCCTTGTTAAAGGCCTCGTAGTAGCCGGCACAGCAGACCGGTCGCTTGTCCCAGAGAGCATCCGCGGGCGGCGTGAGCGTCTCGCGCTTCTTGGGATCTTTGACAATTGTGTTAATCTTGTTCTGGATGAAGCGGCACACTTCTCTGTTTGCCGCCTCGTCCGTCACAACATCCGCAAATGTGTCAAACGCCATGGAGAAGCCCCATACAGAGTTCCACGCCGCCTCAAAGACCTCTTCTCTCTCCTCCGGGCTGACATCAAACGTCTTTGTAGTCTTTAAATCATAGCCCCATCCAAGCGGGCACTTTCGAACTTTGGCCCATATGTCGTCGTACGTCTTGTTGACTCTGTCTCTGTATTCGACTGGCACGGGGCTCTTGTTGTTGGGAACCACGTATTGCGCTGAGCGCTGGAACGAGATGACCTGTTTGGCCTCGTCTGCAAGGCCGACGACAAGTTGAGCGCCTGAAGAGCCGGTCCCAATGATTCCGACTCGCTTGCCTCGCATGTCGCGATGCTCGGGCCAAAGCCTGACAAGTTAGCAGGTAGTTCTCAAGTACGTTTTCAACAGCATTTGCTTCAAAGAGTAAGGAAACTCACCCTGTGTGGTATTGTTCACCCTTGAATTTATCCTGACCAGGGAAATTAGGCCAAACGGTCTTGTTAAACGTGCCAACAGCAAGAATCAAGTATGTTGTCTTGAAGCTTTCACCCGTGGAAAATTTGACAGTCCATGTAGCCTGATCAAAGGACGCGGACTTGAGCTCAGAAGAAAAGTGAATATGCTGCCTCAAGCCATAGTGATCCACAATGTGCTTTAGATAGCCCTGGATCTCCTTTTGAGGGAGAACATGGGTTGGCCATGGGTAAGTTTGCAGGTTGTCTTTATCCCAGCTGAATCTGTAGAGTTCGCTGGGAGTATCGCTGGCTGCATTCTGGTATTTGTTCCAGTACCAGACACCGCCAACTTCAGGGGCTTTTTCAAACAATTTGGCATTCAGCCCTTGCTGCCGAAGTTGATACAGGGCGCTGATTCCTGAGAATCCAGCCCCAACAACAATGGCATCAAGTGACTGCATGTTGTAAAGCAAACAATGATTGAGTAAGTCGATGGGGATTGTTTAATATGTCAAGTACTGTAAAGTACTGGTTGAGTTCCTTGGGCCAAGAGACCTGAAAAGGCAGGCGCTGGTGTATATATACTTATAAGGACAAGAGGGGTCTGCGATTTTCCTCGATTAGATCGCCACATTATGACTCTTGGGGGCTAGGAATATACCGTCATAATTGAACGCAGATCCTCGTGCTGGGCAACGCCATAAAGGTCTTGAAGGAATACCTTCCTTGACAAAACTATGCATGGGTCTCTTGTGGCCAAGGTACAACTCCCTGAATAAGGCAAGATATTACACCTTGGATAACTATTAAGCCCTTGCAGGATCAGACAGTGGGTCACGTTCTATGTATAAACATCTAAACAGGGAAGTTACAGGAAGTAATATACAATTTGTTTGTTTATAATGGTATTTGCAGCCTAGTTTCGTAGAGTAAGTTGAAAACTCTCTCTACTGTCAGAGATTCATGGACTGCCTAACAAAGAGACATCTACGCGGAGCGTAGGCTTAAGTAGGTTACTTCTGGATAAATAAGGAATAAATAAGCACATTCTTTCCTGTTTAAGAGCGGTGAATATTACTATATTAGACGCTAATCTGCAGTAGCTACACAGGAATTTGGCTTGTAGTATTATCCTTGCAAAACTAAACTGGGTTTATTAGTGTTTACACAAGATCCTAAACCCGCATTTAATACAAGGATTAGAGGAGCTTATATAAAAAGCAAGATTATTATAAACAATTATCATAAAGTAAGTATTCAATAAGCATACGTAATACTAAAGTCTATTATACATAAACTACTACCTTCCCCACATGTACCTATATGAAAGATATATTCTCTTATGTTTTGTAATTCCCTGTGCTACGAAACAATCCTCTTTGTACAACACAACTGTAAGACCAAAAGTCGGCCCTAAACTAGCCTCGGCGCAAAATCTCAACTTACTAGCTCAAGAGGGCAATGCAAGGCAGTCAGGAGACTGGGATCGAATCCTTTCGGTGACAGATCCATGACTCAGCCAACCCAAACGACAACTATACATTACAGTAGCTAATCGTATATAACACGCTATTTGGCAATATAGATCCTGCAAGGCTCTAGTCCCGCATTTTGTATCTAACCTAAGAGATTAGAGTAAGAGATCGGCAGGGATCGATCTCGTCATTCTGATGCCAACTTTGCTCGCAGATTCCCACCAAAAGTTTCCACCTGAAGGATTCAGCTTGAACAATTCCACTGTACAGTAGATTTTACTAAACACCCGTCCACTTACTAAAGTTAGTCAAGCGTATAATACAGACAGTTGGTGGGATTGTTTATTTACATCATTGGGTTTGTGGCCAAGTTTTGCAAAAGGATTGCAGCACTCCATCAACTAACGTATGGCCGGGATATTTAGCACCATGCTCTGTATGTATATAAACGATAGGATAGAGGGTGGCAATTACAATATGCTTCTAGGTTATAAATGTATACCACTTACACAAATCGCAAGTTTACACTACTTGCTAATTTCTGTAGTGGTTGAGAAGTTATGCTTTAAAGTCTTGTATAATAACTGGCACTTTCTAATATGCTACACAACCATGTTAGTGTACGCTTAGTCAGTCAGTAATAAGCCAACAACATCTCTATAATCTTCTGTATTGTACAATGGTGTAATTGTTATATCGGCTTCTTGTATCTATTTGCATAAGCCGAAGAATAAGCCCTCAGAACCTTGCCGGTGACTTGATTTTCGATATGCTAATTCCACTACAGTACAAGCAAGCGTACAGGTCAGCCGGCAACTGAATCCATGAAGCAGGTCCGATGTAACGTCAATTACAAGGCTAACATGGCTGATGCTGCTTACCGCCATACGGGATCAATTACTTAGAAGAGGCCGGCCGCATCACACTGATCTACGAGAGATACCCATGAGTTTATGAAGAAGATGGCGGGAAATACCTACTTTCATATTGACAAGGCTTTTCAGGCCTATTGTTATCCCAAAGGGACTTCCGAGGCATGTCCACAAGTTGTTCTTTGGATTTACTTGTGTTGATATTATGTAGATAGACGACGACTCTTACTTGACCTACTACCGTGTCCCCTGTAAAGTTTAGGAACAGCTGAACCCTGTCCACGGACTAATAGCTGTCCGAGTAAGAACCGTATCTGGAATCTGGACATGTAGCTCGCCAAAACCAGGGACTTGACAAACGATAAGCACAAAGAGATGGGCACGTAGCTACATGTAGTCTATGAACCCACACGCGCATACTGATGGCCGCTTTTTATAGTAGCAGTCGTGCGTTTAAGTTACCTACCTAGGTCAAGAATGTATACAAGTGTTCACTGCGTCGTCTCTGCCTCTATCCTTGTACAAGCCTCTTGATCAACTCTCGGCAAAAAGAAATAAACAACTGCGAGAGTTGCGCTCTTCCGTCGGTGGCCGCTGACTACTGTACAGTATCTACTCGGTTTCCATCTGTAATATCGACACACCCCTCCGCATAAATCAACTCCACTCGCAACTACATAGTACAAGTATAGCCACGCGCCAAAGTCTCCCCAATGGCCAACCTCGGTGCCAACAAAAATCCAGCCCTCCGACCCTGTCTGTTCTACTTGCAAATCTCGGGCTGTCGGTTGGGGGCTGGCAGGGGCCGCAAAGACATGCGTGAGGCTCAAAGCAGGTCGTTGAAAGCAGAGCAGAGCAGAAAAGAGGCACTTTCCTTTCTCTTCTTACTGGTGGCTCTTCCCGGTCCCTCTACAGTAGCCTAGCATTGAGGGGGGGGCCCCGCTAAGCGCCGAGGCGGACCCGGCTCTAAAAAAAAAACCGAACAAAGCAAGCAGACAAAAAATACGATGCAGATGTCTTTGGCCGATGGTTGCTAGCAGACGCGACCATAGCGATCGCCCTTTTTTTTTTTTTTTTTTTTTTACTACGGCGGCCGAACTAATGCATGGCATCGAGCTACACCCAACGGCCGCTTAAGCCCTTAAGAAAAAGAGGAGGGAGGGGTGGGGAGCTAATAAAGAGGGGAAATGAGAAGAGAAGACTTTTAAGAAGAACGAAGAGAGATGCCCATAGCCAGGATGCATTTCACGACGCATGCTTCCATTCCATTGAATGTGCCCAAGTGGCGATGCTGCCGTGCGCTATTTCCGCTTCCATTTCCTACCGACATGTACTTTCTCGCGTGCCTGGCCTCTAATTCCCAATTCCCACAAAGCAAGGGCCGTTGGGCCGCGTTTGCATCCATCAAAGGCGGCTGAAGACGGGAAAAAGCGGCCTCTTTTTGCGCCGGGCTCACCAAAACGATCAACGACGGCAAGTATACATGTATACATGGTACGTTCGGATAAGAACTCAAACGGGATATCGGGACACTGCCACTTGTCCCTTAAATCTTCGCAGCTCGTATTATGTGCTGTACAGTAAGTAAACACTGTACGTGCTCATATACGGTACTCCTCTGGGTACATGTACTCAATGTGGCTGAAATGTATAAGCGGAGACCTTAAATCTCAATGTTTAATCTCAAAAAACAAAAGTTGCCTTTTTCTCGTTACTTATGAAACAAGCATTTTTCGGCGTATGCGCCAGCCCAGCCTCTTTCCTATGAATAGTAACACAAGAAGAAGAAAAAAGCCAAAACTTATAGCACCCCTCGGCAAAAATCCACAATGGCTTTGTGTTTTTTGTCTCAATCCCGTAACTGATTGTCGGTGGATACTAGATAGCCCAGGCACAGGTACTGTACTTTCTTTATATAGAACACGCCCAATCCTTTTGGTGATTTTAATTAAACGTGCTGCTTCTTTTTCATCTTCTTTCTCAGCTAGGAGTGATTACTAGTATTGACAAAACCATACCTACATCTCAGAAAAAAGGGGACATTTAATTGCACTGCAATGCAAGCACCTCGTAATGATCACTGCCACTTTTGCGGAGCTGCTGCTTGCTGCTTCTCCTTCGAATCTTGCAGTCCACCACAAGTTCCATATCTTCCGTATCTTGCACCATTTCCCCCCCTTTTAACAAGCCCCAATCTCAATCCCGCTCTTTAAGCTTTGTCACCAACCAAAAAGCAGTAATGATCTGGTATAAGCCACATACACTTACTCCTTCTTTGAGCATCCATCGTATTCCGGACTGGGAGGTGGCGTCCGTCAGTTTCAAACGTCCTGGTTTAGCTGTACGAAGATCGTCCCTGGCTAGTACTACTGCAAGGTTAGCATGTTACCTCGTAGATGCCTTTGCCCAATGCCCGTCTCCGGTGCCTGCCGGGCTATTTCCCGCGTCGAAAAGGCCCCGATGGTACCTGAGAGTGGGTTTCCCTAGAGAGAAACCAGAAAAGATGAGCAACCGAGTTCGATCTAGTAAATCCAGGGACCAGACAACCAACAGTGCCTCATCAGGAGTACTAGACAAGCATTCAGGGTCCAGAAATAGGTCCCTACACTACTACGAGGAGAGCACCTCTCTCATCTGCATCGTATGTTCAGACTATAAGCCATTATTATTAAACTCAAAACTCCAAATAGGGATATCAAAAGTGTATAATGCTGCGTGTTTGGTCGTATTCCCATTAATGCCTCTTCCTACCCATAGCGTGTATCATCCATTGTGTACCAACACATCCTGCCACCTTTTGCCCACTATTATAATTCAAGTTCAAACAAAAAACAATATTACTCGTGTCCTATCCCAGCTAAATGCGTATACAGCCGAGCCCTAAATCCTTCCATGAAATTAACCGAAAAGAAAGAAAGAAAGAACAAAGGGGGAAAAAGGAAAAGAAGAAAAAGAGAGCGAAAGAGAGCAGTTTGTCGAATGATGGGGGCTCGGAGGGATTATTCAAAGGCAGCAAAAGCATGACTGGTCATATCATCGGCCCACTCCCGCCCAGCAGGATGCGAGTAAATAATACTGTATCCGTCCCATCAGCTGCTTTGAAGAAAGAGATGCAATTATTCCATCGTAAATCCAAGCGCCCTGGTATCTCTGAAATTATCGTCAACACCGTCCAACGCCAGCACAATATCCTCCTCCAAAGTCCATCTCGCTTGATTGCTAAATTCCCAACGAAGAAGATGTAAAAGAGAACAAGGGAAGAAATGTAGTCACGCTTTTCAGCTGTAGAGGGTCAGAATAAGCTCAGTAAATAAGCCGAAGAATTAGGCCCGCTGTTGAAGGAGACGCCTCGGGTTCGTCATCAATCGACATCTCCCACTCCCGCTTCATGTCTGGCTGTTCAATCACTTCTTCAATCTCCAGCTGCATATCCTGGCCCTCTTTCAGCTCCTGGACCACGTCGTCATCCATTTCGATCTCTATACCAATCTTTGTCGCATGTACTATTCGAATGATGCGAGATGGGTCGAGACCCCATTTGGCGGCGATCCGGTTGCCGAGTTCATTGAGTGTACGCGCGGAAAGGTAAATCGCCCTGTGGTATTCCTTCTTTCCAGGCCCCGCCTGTCCTACGCGGGCAATGTAGAAGCATGCAATCGGTTTCGCCGGCCGTTCGGAAGGAGGTCGGTAAGACGGGTCGACGCCCAGGGCTTCAATCCACCCACTCAAGGTACCATCGTCTTCCGTTTTGCCAATTGTGGTGGGGTTTTCTACCCTCTTGACGCCGGTCGAGTCGAAATTGTGCCACTGGACGCCAGAGCCGATGGCAGATGCTTGAGATGCTAGAGAGAGTGAGCTTGGGGAGGGAGACACCAATGATCCGGCTACAGAGCTGTGGGTGCTGCGAGCCTGCCAGATGCTTCCTTCGCGCAGGAATTCTACCTTGCCAGATGCCGCGTCGCCCTGTAGCGACACGGGGTGCAAGTCAGGGTCGTCGAGCTCCTCACCCCGCAGATACAAAACGCTCACCGGCCTCGTGCTGGTAAACATGTCCTGGAGTGTCTGCAACTTGAACTGTAGGTCATCTTCCAACGAGAGTCGAGGAGCTGCGCCGCCAGCAGAGCTGGCTGAAGACATGGACCATGTTCTCTTGTGTTTGTGTATCTTGTTGGGCATCCCTGCTTTGCCCAAGCCGCTCATCCTTTTTCGCTTGAAATCCTTGAGCCCACCTTCAGCTTGCGCGATTTGCTGCTTCATTTTGTCGATTGACTTTTTCACATGAGCCACATCGTTGGACAACTTTCGCTCAGCACCGTGGTCTCTGAAAAGCTTGACTTTGCAATAGCAAACCTCAGGGGTGGCCTCCGGAGGCGAAGGTAGCTGATCTGCAGTGTAGAGGCTAGTCTTTGCGCAGAGTCGTACAGGAATGCCTTTAACACCTTTTGAATGGCTGAAATCTGTCGAAAGGAAGTTGAAGCGAACGGGAATGTTGGCTTCGGCAGCGCCATTCAAGCCTGGGGTCCAGATGACAGAAAAACAGTCAAAGGAAGACGACTCCAGCTCTATGCGAGTTCTCTTGTCGTCGCCGTCAACAGGCTGGCCGGCTTCGACATACTCGACAGCTTGGAGGCGGCCTCCTCTTTGGTGAGCTTCATTTGTCCCTCTTCCCTCTTTCCACAAGCTCCAGCAAACGCCTGGCTTTTGTCGCTGATGTTCATCTTCGAAAGATATACGCACATAGGTCCTATATCGGGTACCGGGGCTAACCGGAGGATGAACACCTGTATCCACGACAGATAAAGTGTATGCTTGCCCCTTGTTCAGGTAAGTGACTGGAATCTCGGTGGCATGCTTTACCATGGCTGTTGGGGCATTCAAAGTCGAATGGAAACGGAATTTTTCGGCGGAGGGCGGCAGAGGTTGGACGCTTTGTACTACCGCCAGTTGCTGTGGATGTAGCGCAGCGGCGATCGTCGGCATTCGTTCGTCTGACGGGTCAGAATCCATTGGAGATCCGTCAGGCTCCATCGTTTCGTATCCTGTATCATGATGTACGAATTCGGACGGTACAAACGCTGGGTGCGGATGCCCCCGAACAGCAAATGGATCGCCAAACGGAGGTATCGATTGAGCTTCTATCGTAGGAAAGGCTGCCAGACTAGAAATTTCAACACTAGGCTGTATAATATCAAGGGTTGTGGGTACCGATAAAGGAGTCTCCAGGCCAGTGCTGATAGCCATAGAAGGAGGTTGCATCTCAACCACTTGCGGGAGCAAAGTGCCAGACCCTCCAGGAGTAGGAGGATAGTAGGGTTGAGCACCAGGGACGCCGGCAACAGGGACACCAGTAACACCAGGAGTGAGAGGGTTGAAAGAGAAGGCACTGGCGTCTAAGAGCGATGGTGTGAATCGCCAAGGGTCATTGACAGCCCGAGGTGTTGGGTCCATATCTCGAAAGGCTTCATGTTCGAGATGTACTCTATCATTTCCCTTGTTAGCACTCGAGTGCCAAGTTGACACAAATAGTCAAGTGTTGATGGGCTTAATTTTTAAAGGATAACAGAGAGACAGTATCGCTGTGAGGCACTGATTTTGGATTGAACATGAAATTGCCTACCTGTCGTGGGTCGGTGCATTGATAATGGGATTGAAGACTGCGGTTGTTGCATGGGAGACGGCTGGAGCGCTAGGTTCAGTGACACCAGTAGAGACTTCTGGAAACTTCTGCCTGAAGTCTGCCAGCAGCCCATCATCGGGCTTCTGCGCACTTGTCCTATGGTTGACATGCAACGTTAGTAAATGCTTTTTTTGGAGGAGAGAATGAATCGACAAGGCGCATCCCAGAAGGATGCAAGATCTGCGAGAAGTCGAAACATGGGACTGATATCAGATTGATTCAGAGGCGCGTGGGAACTGCACGTCCGTCCAGAAGACAAATACGACGGGTTTGTGACATTGAAGTAGATGACAAATGAAGAATCGCCGTACCTAGAGCGAAACATGTTTGTTGCGGGTTGAGGCGTCTGTGTGCACACAGACGCTTATACAAAAGTGAGAAGGTGAGAGAGTTGGTCCCTTCCTTACACACAAATGCGTCACTCACGGCCGGCTGCCTCTCAGGAGTCGTCGCAATGTACACGCAGTTGGGCTACTGCTAACTAGGGCGCACAGGCGTGTCGCATAAAGCGTTTCTTTCAAGGGTGAAAGGGATGAGACGGGGATATCGAAGCGCAGCAAAACCGAGCGAGGTGGCCGTCGCCGCAGTCTACATCCACCACCAGAGAGCTCTCTGCCGCCGTAAGCAACGATGCTAGAAGAACGGAGGCGCTCTCGAAATCGTTTGTAGCTGTCGAAATCCTCGGGTTGCCAGGCTGATGATGCTTGTAAGTCGACTCCTCGTCGGTCTGCGGCGCGCCGGTCGGAATGAAGGGGCGAAAGGAGCGACGGAGATGGCAAAACGGGTAAAACGATGGTACGAAGTGAAGAGAAGAGAAAAGTATGAGGGCCAAACGGGTGAGCAAAAGACGTTGCCTCGAGGCCCCGTCGCCTGGTGATGGAGGCGCTGGGTCGGTTGTGTATTAATTAGAGACGCAACTGTGGCGGGGCCAAGCTTCCGATCTGGTCGCTTTTTTCCCTAGCAGCAGCAGGCCTGATGTTCTGGACCGTCTTAGGCGTGGAGCCCCTGTGCTGTGCGTGTCTTGCGACGCTGTGGCTCGCTCTCGTCCCCTGCTGTGGCTCCGTGCTTTGGGGGTGGCCTGGAGAGTTTTTCGCTGTGCTCGAGGTGGTTTTGCGATGTGAACTGGGGAGGGGTGCCGCGAATTGGTGGCTGCATGGGGCAGATGCGACAGCGGATCGAAAAGTCTGTGGTGAATCGACACACCCCGAGGAGCGCTCCTAAGTTCGTTAGCGGTAGCCCCCCCGAGGTAGCTTTATGCAGTGCTAGCGCCAGGGAGCTAGTGCTGTAGATGGAGAATTGGCTTTAGTCGCTGTAGCTTACCTGGACTCTAGCAGCCGCCGGGGCAGCAGTGGCTGACAAGACTCAGGCACTCTATGGAGGTCGCGCGGTAGGTGGGTGTCTGTAAAGGCCGCCGCGGTGCCTAAGCAATTTGCCTCATCTACTCGCCTCGGCAGAGGGGGATGAGCGGGAGGGGTCGGGGTAGATGTACTATAGATGTTGATGTGATATGATATGAAGAGGGAAGATGAGAAGATGCAAAATGGCTGGAGATGGCTGGAGACGGGACGAAAGAGGGGAGAATGGTGATAAGAATGAAAGAAGCCTAATCAGCACGGGATATAGCGCCTGGATGACAGGTGCGGCAGTAGAAGCTCTTTCTGTTGCTCATGCTCTGCTCTTGCCATTTGTCCTTGTCTCGCACGTTCTCCTTCCTCATGCTCGTGTACCTTCTAGGCAGGCGTCGCCGGAGCAAGCACCTGCCTGCATGCCAAGAGAGAAGGGCTGGTAGTATTGGTATCGGTACCAATAATAGCACCTTTGCAGTGGGAGCCTCTCGTTTTAGATATCTCACATGCAATGCTGCTTTAATTTGATGTCCTGCGAATGCAGGGAACCAGGTTCTTTGGTTCTGGCGGTTCCAGTGCTGCCGTTGCTGTTACTACTAGGTACTCCTGCTGCTACTGCATCTGTTCTGCCCAACAATACACAAGTACACGACAGTACAGTGCCATGTAATAGTTATACCAGTAGCCCAACGCTGACATGGCCCTTTGCCAGTGCATGTGCCGCACTGCTTCTCCTGAAGATGCTTGCATCAGTGCATTGATGCTTGCAGATACTGTACTGTACTGTATGTAGTACTAGTAGGTAAGCCCATGCCTCGCCAGTAGCAGCTGATGCATGCGCCGCACACCGAATCACTGGTGAGAGAAGCTTCCTGTGAGAGGAGCGACCACCACAGTAAGATTACCTTGCGTCGACTAATCAATTCGTTGGACTGGAAAAGTGCGCATGAGCAGCGGTGCTCGAAAGCATCGATCGATGCCGATTCACCGTGCGAAGAACAGTGCATGGACGGATGCTGCACCGCCTGCTGGCCAAATCATTCATTACTCGTCAGACAGCATCCAATACCACATCCGGGCAATCCTCCGTACCGCAGCCGTCAACGTACCAGCGCTCTATCCACCGCGCTCGCGGCTATACCGACCTGTACCGACAGTTGATATGGAATATATGGAATATTTTTGCAGAGCTACAGTACGCGCGAAATGGAGCAGCGAGGCAAGACACTTGTCGTGCCAGTCGGCGCTACAGCATGGCTGTCGAAATGAATTGTTAGCGCTCGACGGCCTCGATCCACAGCTCGCTAGCCTCGCTGTGCTAAGTCAACGCCCCTCTGGTTCGCTTTGTCCACATGGCCAGCCGAGCAAGACGCTTTAATATTCCGTTGGCAGCGGCATGCTGCAAGAAGCTAGCACTGCGATACTCCATATTGGAGACAATAATTGCTACGCGGCCAGGTACTATTGCAATTGGACGAGCGGTGCACTTTGTGTTTTCTGTCAGGCGCCCTCCTGGATCTAGATCAGATCGAGCCGGCGTTGGCCGTCGCCTTAATGTGAACACCTGACATTTCTCCGAATCACCCAGGTGGGCAAAGCAGCGTCAAGCCCCAGCCGGCGTGCAAATGGAATTCTACAGGCGAGTCAGTCATGTTCAGTGGCCCTGCGTCTTGTACCCGGCAGGTCGGGAGCGATGCGCAGGTGCATCGGATACCGTTTGTACGTCTGTACGCTTGTACAGGCCAGGCACCTCTGCTGCCGATACTGGTAAAATCCGAGCATTCTTCCATGCCGACTCTATATCCCTTGGCCGCGGTAACGGCCGGCATCCGATGCCCTGCCACAGTGCTGGCTGTGCGGTGGCCGTATGGCTTGGGCCTCCCGGAGAAAGCCACCCGCCGTGGAACAGCAAAGCGCTGTCGAGATCCGAGGCAGGGCGTGGTGCCAGCACTCGCAACAAAGGCAAGACATCCATGATGGGACGTGTTTCTAGCATCTGCTGCGAGGACGTGCCCGTCACAGGCTGTGTGGCTGCGCCCATGCGGCTGCTAGACATGCAAGGAGCACAAAACGCTTCTGTCAGCTCTCCCGCAACTCGTACAAGTAACTCGTACAAGCACTATATCCATGTTCCTTGCCTTGCATTGCTAGCCCACGAGGTTCCAGCTTACCTGCCGGCATCCCATACGAGATGCCACTGGCCGTGTGCTCCAACTCCCTAGGTACAGCACGTATTGGGAGCAGGTATGTACATGTACATGTATCTACATGTACCCAGTATGTTGGCAGTATAGCATGCCTGGCAAGTGCTGGGGCGGCTTGAGGAAATGGGTTCTGCCGCTCCAGTCCCGAGATTTTTACTTGAATGCTTACAGCTGCTTACAGCGCATCGAAGAGGCTGCTTAAGCGGTCGAGGACAGCTCATCTCATACATGTATACTTTGCCGCTGACATGCAGTTCCATATCTACTAGTACCTGCCTACCTGTAGGTACCTGCCTAGGGACATACTGGCGACAGCACATGTACTTGGAGTAAACAATGCCGCCCTCTTGCTGTTCTCATAGAAGGCTCTGGAGCATGCAGGCAGAGAGATCAGCAAAGACATAGGGCTTACCGTCTGTAAAACACACATGGCATGTCACATTCGCTCAGTGGGGTAGCACTCTGGCATCGAGTGTAACCTCGCCTCGCAAATGCCCGCTGAAGAAGCACCGCCGTTGGACCTCCAACCGCCACCTTGTGCTGGCACCAAGCTTTTCACGGCCGTCCGTGGTGGATATCATCGTATGATTCGGGAGTGCTAGGCCTTGCAGGGCTCTAAGAGTGGCAAACTGTGGCGTGGCGGGCATCAATGCTTCGGCAAGGTGCCCCCCAGCAGAAATCTCATTTGACGGAGCGCGCGTACAAGGTTGGAAAAGTATAGATTAGGTCTGTAGGTACCTACTAGGTAGTGTGCAAGGCTGGAAACTGATCCATCTGGCGATAGGTACCTACAGGTTAGTTAGTATAGTACCTACACGCAGTATTTATGTGAGTGCCACGGCCCTTGAAGAGAGTTCTCTGTTGCATGTTCTTTTTTTTTTTAACGCGAGGCGTTCGTCCCCAAACTAAGGCTGATCTTCATTGCCCATCTTCTCTTATTTTAGCAGCGAGACACACCTCTGGATCCTTGTTCTGTCGATCTATTGTTCTAGAACACGTGCAGTCTGCATTCCGGCCATTTGATACCCGATAGAAGTCGACATGGATGGGGATGGCAGCTAGTCTAGACTTATCGCGTCGCAACTATTCGCCTACATGAGACTTGAGCAGAATCAAAGACGCGCAGCTATTTGCCTTTGACAAACAGCTGTGCCACGCAAGGTTGGGCGTTGTGAGACAACATGTGATTGATGCTAGAGCCGATAGTAGCCCATCTTCAATTCATCAAAACACCAATAGCCTATGCCCCTCGCCACAGCCATGACTGCCAAGCACCTCGCTGGAACGGCCTCCTATTTTACAGGGCGTTTAGTTGTTTATTTTATCTATTTTTGCTAGTTGGATGATGAAGCTACATACCCATGTATACAGATGGCTTGAGATTTATATGTAGACGCATATCAGATCATTACTAATTTCAGCCAAGACAAACAACGCCATTTGACTCTAGTACCGAATATCACCCGCGACATTGTCTAGTCAGGCTTGAAACCAACATTCTACATGCCCACATCTCAGTCTCTTAATGCAAAAGTAGTTCAATATATGCTCCTTTACGAATTCAGAATAAACCAATGGATCGCTCAAGTAGCATAGAGTCATAGCCGTCACGATGGCCGCCTCGCTTCCATATCACGAGCCAGACATTGTCACAATCCTTGTTCAGGCATCGTTCCTCCTCCTTCTCAACATCACAAACTTTGTGCTTGATCGGGCCGTGTACTGCGGTCTTATTGGGCAAATATTCATAGGAGTGGCTTGGGGAACCCCCGGCGCGAAATGGCTGAGTACAGAGGCTGAAGAGGCCGTTGTCCAGTTGGGCTATCTCGGACTACTGCTTCTCGTATATGAAGGTGAGGATTGCCCAGCATATCGCAATTTCTTCGATTCTGAACAACCATATCAGGCGGACTCTCGACTTCTTTAAAAGCCCTCGGGGCCAACCTTTTCTTATCCTCGTGCATTGCCATTACTGGCATTAGTGTGCCAGTGGGACTTTCGTTCATCCTCCAAGAGCTCAGTGATGCCACGCCTCTCCAGTCCTTCGCAGCGGGCGCAGCCTTGTGCTCTACAAGCCTAGGGACGACATTCACAGTGCTTCGCTCAACTGGTTTAACGAGGTCGAGGCTCGGCGTGGTGCTCACGAGTGCAGCCATGATGGACGATGTTATTGGCCTTGTCATGGTTCAGGTTATTTCCAACTTGGGCCTATCCAGCACGAGCATCAGCGCTGTCACCATCATCAGACCACTTCTAGTATCTCTTGCCTTTGCAGTGTGCGCGCCCCTTGCATGCGTCTATATGGCCAAACCACTTACTCTCTGGTTGAACTCTCAGCGGGTGAGGCACCCAAAAGGGACCATCAATCTTCTTCTTAGCAGGGAGAGGGCACCGTGGATCATTCATACTTGCATATTAACTGGTTCCATCGCTGGTTCAACATATGCTGGCACCTCCAACTTATTTGCCGCCTATATTGCCGGTGCGTCTATTAGTTGGTGGGATTCGGAAGTGCCTCATCTTTCTTGTGAGACATCATCTACAGAAACAACGTCGACCAGGACACATTCTACAGAAAATTCCTTTACAGCGCAGAGTGAGGTTTCTGAGCATTTGCAAACGGTTAACACAGAGACTCCTAGTAATGTCGCCTCAGAGACTTCTGAAAATGTCACCTCAGAGCCTAGGGAAGCGAGATCATCTGGACAGGCCATTTTTGAGCAGTACTACCTGCAGCCCCTTGATAGAATTCTAAAGCCATTCTTTTTTGTAAGCTTCCTACCCCAACGCCCAAGTTTTCTCTAACTCTTCAAGGCTTCCATCGGCTTCTCTATTCCCATCACGGAAATGTTTGACGCTTCAGTTGTCTGGAAGGGAATCGTATACACCAGCCTAATGATGCTTGGCAAGCTTGTGTGCGGCATCTGGCTCCTTCGCATGCCATCTCTGTCCTCTCTCCTCCGCAGATTGACAATCTCCATGAAGCACTCAAGTTTACAAATGTCCCACTTTTGGGGACGATTCCACACAAAGCCGAAAGTGCCTTGCGATTCGACTTCTGCACCCGCAGGCCAATCCCAAGGGACGTCTCCGACACCCCAACCAAGCCATGAAACGGCCACGCAAGCGACACTTCGCCATTCAGATCCAGAGGGAGCCAAGCCGAGATCAGTCTATCCCGCTGCCATTATAGGCTGTGCAATGACAGCGCGTGGAGAAATCGGTTTCCTAATTTCGTCAATCGCCGAGAGCAAGAAAATATTCGCTTCAACTCGAGCTGACGATGGAAAGAATTCGGAAATATTTCTCATTGTCACTTGGGCCATCATGCTGTGCACAATCATAGGCCCCTTGTCTTTGGGGCTCCTTGTAAGGCGAGTGAAGAAGCTGCAGCATGGAGCTGAAAAAGATGGCCGACTTGTTCGGAAGGATGTGCTTGGGGTTTGGGGGTTGCCCTGAGACTCAGAGAGAGCCAAATAGAAGATTGTATGAGTTTCAATCTGGTCATGTGTTCTCTAGTGAATAGACTCTTTATCTTCAGAGACGTGCTGATAGTTTTCGACATCTTTCCAGTGCAGTTCTGGGCCGCAGCAACTGTCATGCTCACAGGCTCAGTGCAGTTATCAAAGACGCAACATAAATAAAGCGAAACTGAGCTACTCGATTGGGTGATGCAGATATTCGCCATCTATAATCATGGCCCCTGGAACAGATCTTCACGAACATGCAGTAATTTGACAACAAAACATCGCTATAAGTGCTATGAAGGAACGCAAGCAACACGTGAATAGAGCATTAGTTACAAGATCTATTCAAGAACACAAGAATGCAACAAAAACGTCAGGCTACAAGGAAAGAAATGAAAAAAAGAAAATAAAAATGGGCAATGATAGATCAGACACACGGGGGGGGGGGGGGGGGGGGGGGGGATAAAGGGCATCAGAACTACAGGGACTCCAACGAAGACATTGGGTATAGTTGGCGGCACAGGTACATAGATGGAAAGGTGACATTAATGCTTCTACGCTTACTGCTGCTGCTACTACTGCTACTTATAATATTTAATTAGATGCTTTATATAGATTAACTTGGTATCTAGCTTGTCAAGTTACAACTAGTGTGCTGGATAGTCAGCCACTACATAAGAATAATCTACATCTTTTGATCAGGGACCGTTTACAATCGCTAATGTCTGCCAACAATGCTCATTTACTCACTCATCTTTGGCTGCCAGAGCCACATCATTTTGCGTCTCGCTCGATTCTCGGTCTGCTAATTGAAACTAATGCGTTAATCTCTCAGATACCACAAAGGTCTAAAATTCTTTAAATATTTCCATAGAACTGAGATGTGGCGTCTTACAGTGATAGATCTCGAAGCGGAAGATATATAGAGCGCGATCTTGATAGTATGAAAGAAATCAAATATATAACTGCTAGTAATTTGTCTCTTTTAATTTATTTCTTAGTTTTATTTCTGTTCATTTCTGTTTTGGCTTGTCGTCTCTATCACTTACGGAGTGTAGCAAAGTCGCCTCTGGTGTGGGTCAATATGCTTCTATATGAGTAAATGAACCGTTTTCCCCAGTTTATGAGCCATGGATCAGCTCTACTATATCAGCGCGAGAGCCACAATGACTTGGCTATACAAACAGGCCTGGCCAACTTCTCAGCAAGTCGGCTACTTTCGATCAATATAGATACCTAGTCATCAAGGCATTGCACAGCATGATTGTAGCCGCTGACTCTAAACCATGTTACAAGTCTACAGATAAACCCATAAGGGAACCTGGTCACGCCATGCTCCGTGACATCGCGGATGAACTGAGCATAGCCCATCTCAGTATATCCGTGTATTGTATTGTATGTAAATGGTAGACTCTTATAGTATCGGCTCAAGACCTCTTGGTGACCGAGAAATTAGCTATTGGTAGAAGAACTGCGTTTATATGAATATCCGACATGTCACATATACTTCTCTCCTCATCTTCAGCAGTAACATGAAGTTTACATCCAAGAACCAGGCCTCACTTTACAGATTAGAGGGCTAGGACCGTATGCTGTTTTAGAACATCGGCACCGTTGTACCGAGAAACCATTGTTATTCCCGAGCTACAAATATAGATGCAGCTACATAAGAAATAGCGGTAGGTGGTTGGCCGTTAACGGAGGCTACCCGCAACCGCTTCTGCAGCTCCAATGCCAATTCCTCCGCCCATGGATCGTCCATGGAGGGTGGAGTAATTAGCTGGTGGGATGACGTATAATTCAATAGTTGAGATGGAACTGCCGAACTAGATTACTCTGAGGGGAAGCTGGACAAACTACTTTTGGCCAGGTATCACGGCTGAACCATCTCGATAAGATCGAGAGCAATTGTGATGACAGAAGGAAGCCTTCATCGATCAACACTCCACAAAGCACAGCAGCACAGCACGTCTCCAGCAAACCCCATATTTCATCTCCTCATCTCCTCATTTCCTCTCCAGGCGTCCCACGCCGTTATGACTCTGAGGGGGAAAAGGTCCCGTCTCATGCGGGGCCGGATCCGGCAGCCCTCCAGACTAAAAGTGGGATTCCGAAGTGGACCTGCCGGGCGCGCCCTGCGAACAGACACGGCAACAAGTCACCCACTTTGGGCTGCTAAATCAAGCCGACATCGGATGACTCACGATTGAATTATTAATCGTCGTGGAAGGCTGGTGATGTGGTCAACGGGCGAAATCTGTGTCGAAATGCGTCGAGTAAGCAGGGCACAGGGCACTTTTGGACAATTGGTCGAAAGAGGTTTGTTTGTTGGACCTTGCGTATATCGTGCGATTCATGGCATCATCCATTGGCTTGCTCGTGAGATAAAGAGAGACAAAAAGCCGATAAATAGCGTCTATGGAATCGGAATTGGCTTCCGCGTAAATGCAGGGGTCGCCGGCTATTGGCCTCGGCATGTTCCTGCTAAGACCCATCCATTGTTTGCCATTGGGCATCCGATTCGGCTCGTAGTCGTTGGGTTATTGCCTTCGGTATAACATAATGCGAATGACTAGTGCTTCTGTTGGTATCAGTTTTGATCGTGGCTGTAGAGAAAAGAGTGGAGGCTCTTCGCCGTGCCCGTCTCCAGATTGCCCGTATTCTGGATAGCGTTCCAGGTTGCCATTTTTTTATCCCCGGTTTTTCTTGTTTATTTCTTGTTCCCGTAAACTGAGATTCCTAGCTTTATGTCCTGTTCCAGCTGGCCGCTCCGCTGTTAGGCTGATCTGTGTAGATATTAGTTAAGGGGCAGCTAAGATTTTTTTTTTTTTGGCCGAGTTGATAATCTGGCCCACCCGCTCCGTCTTAGTGACAACGCTGCATTTCAATAAATCCCCCCCTTGCCAGCTGTCAGAGGCGAAAAGCAAGAAGTTGAAAAAAAAAGTCTTGTTGTTTATATAAGCTTGAGTAGTCTGCTCTAGCTAAGCTTTGACATGCTACATTTCCCTCAAAAGTGAAGCTGTTGTAGATATAGCGGCGCCGCTTGCTACCTACCGCTGATTCATCGATTTCGGTCAAAAGAAGAGAAAATGGCGGTGGATATCGAGAAAACATTGTCGACGGTTGAATCCGGCGAAGACCGTCACTCGTCGGGCAGGGAGTCCCCCATCTTGGAGTCAATTAGAGGAGTCCGGACAAATCGGACAAATCGAACTCGGAGTCGCAGCCGGCACTCTGCCACCTCGAGCAGATTCAACAACGATGACTATACCTGGAACCTGGAGCGTGCCGCTACGGCAACTGTCGAAACAGAGATTGAGCGCGCTGCTCGTGAGCCAATCACTTACACAAGATCAGGAGCCAGCATGAGCAGCGTGGCGTCTAGGCCTCCGGAATATGAAGTTTACTTTGAGGATAATGATCCCGACAATCCGCTGAACTGGTCCTTGCTTTATCGAGCCTGGACAATTGGAGTCGTTTCTTTTGCTACATGGCTTGCGGTCTTGTATAGCACCAGCTACACGGCTTTCATACCCGGGCTGATGGAAGAATTCGATGCCTCAGAAACGGTCGCCACGCTGGGTGTAACAACCTATCTCTTGGGTCTTGCTGCTGGAAGCTTGGTTCTAGCGCCATTGAGTGAGGTATACGGTCGACAGCCTGTGTATGTTGTTTGCATGACTGTGTGGACCATCCTCATTATTCCGTGTGCTATTGGGCCTTCTCTGACGACCCTTATCGTCGTTCGCTTCTTTGGGTGAGTGCATGCGAATTGCAGAAGCCGAAAATCAGTTTCCGAGTTTTGTGAAGCTAACAACATGTGTTATAGAGCCCTCTTTGGCGCTGTTATGATCTCGAATACCCCGGGTACAGTTGTCGACATCAGTAACCCCGAATATCTCTCTCTCGGAATATCCGTGTACAGCATTGCTCCGCTCAACGGCCCTGTTTTGGGTCCTCTGATCGGTGGTTTTATTTTTCAGTACAAGGGATGGAGATGGACAAACTGGGTGAGCCTCATCATCGCAGGCGCTACCATCCTCGCCATTCTTTCACTGAGGGAGACGTACCCTCCAGCCATTCTCAAGAAAAAGGCTGCCCGACTTCGCAAGGAAAAAGACGACCCTCAATATTGGTGCCAGTACGATCAAAAGATCTCGACGTTGAGCCTTCTCAAGATCAACATGAGTCGCCCCTTTGTGCTAGCTGCTACTGAGCCAATCCTGTGGTTTATGAACTTTTGGTAAGTAATCTTCCGCTCAGCTTGTCCATAGTGGTGTCATATCATGATCTGACCGAGAAGCAGGATTTCTCTCATTTATGGCATTCTGTACCTTTGCTTCGTCGCTTATCCCATTGTATTCACCCAGTATCGCGGATGGGGATATGGGCTTTCGGGACTGTCGTTCCTCGGAATTGGCTGCGGCATCCTCATCGCCATCTCTTTCGAGCCGGTGATTAGAGGATTCATCTGCAGGCAGCCTCGCGACCCGGTGACTGGGAAGGTTCTCCCAGAAGCTGCAGCCCTCATAATGGGCCTGGGAGCCATTCTGACCAGCATTGGCCAACTCGGATTCTCTTGGACCTGCTTGCCTACACACATCCACTGGATTGCACCCATCATCTTTGGAATCCCCTTTGGCGCGGGCAACACGCTCTGCTTCATCTACGGCAACAACTACTTGGCCGGCGCATACAGCATCTATGCAGCCAGTGCGCTTGCCAGCAATGCCGTGTTCCGAAGCATTGTTGGAGGAACCCTGCCGTTGGCTGGGCCCAAGATGTACGAAACGCTGTCGCCGCAGTGGGCGGGAACCCTGCTCGGCTTGCTCGAAGTCATCTGCATCCCGATTCCGTTCATCTTCTGGCGGTATGGCGGCAAGATTCGAGCCAAGAGCCGAGTCATTCAGCAATTACAAAACGAGCTGGACGAGATGGAGCGGAAAAGAGCTAGAAACGATGAGAGGCGCCGGAGACGGGCAAGACGTGAGGCGGAGAATGCCGAACGACGCGCGAGTGACGAGGATCTCAGCACCGACGATGAAACAGATAGCGAAGACGGTGCATCTGAAAGACGCGAGAGCGTGCCTCACAGCGTTGAGGAGAAAAAAGAGGCTACTGCCACTGTGAAGAATGAGTAGAGGTGGAGGAGTAGCAACAAAACAGACAAAGGGAGATGGAAAAGGAAAAGGAAAAGGGAGGAACGAAAAGCAATCAGCAGCGATGCGTTACGTCAGCGATGTGTTTTGAAGAGCCGTGATATTTTATCATACGATTGATATACCCAGCCCCATATATGATTATAATTTTATATACCTACAATAGCTTTTCTCTTAATATTAAATCTAATTCATCTCAAAACCAACAGGCCTTGCCTATTTATAACCATCAATTATTATGCTTTGCTCTATGGCGGGTTGACCCCACTTGAACCCCGCCAACACCGAAGCTTCACCACGGTGAGAAATTTCGATGCTAGTAGAGTTGAGTCACCCATAAGCTGTCGCAAACCAAAAACCTTCCCACCAAAAATCTCCATCCCGAGCGCACACCGCAGCCCTTCACCTTTGCGCTTGGCCAACAACATGTCTCACAAGGGCAAGAACAGCGCCAGCTCGGCAAAGGGCAAAAGGCCCGCCAAATCCAACGCTGAGAGCAAGGCCGAAGATGTCCTGCAGGCAGTGGTGCGTACAAGAGATATCCATCGCGGGGTTCCGTTCGCATCCAGCAGCTAACCATGTCGCTTTCGCTACGATACAGGTCCTCGCAGACTCATTCCAAGATCGATTCAAGCCTTTCACAGTAGAGAAACCAAGAGTGAGCAGACGTGGGCTAATTTGAAGCCGTAGCCGCGAGCTGACTCTCCACGTTTATAGTGTCTTCTGCCGCTGGCAAACACCCCTCTCATCGAATACACCCTCGAGTTCCTGGCCATGAATGGTGTTCAGGAAGTCTACATCTACTGCGGCGCACACACAAATCAGGTTGAAGACTACATCGGCCGCTCTAAGTGGGCGTCCTCGTCAAAACTGTCGCCCTTTTCAGTACTCCAATTTGTTCGAGTAGCCGATGCCCGGTCCGTTGGCGATGTTCTCCGAGACATGGACAAGCGATCACTGGTGGATGGCGATTTCCTCCTGGTGCATGGCGACGTCGTGTCAAATCTCATTCTGGGCGACGCCCTTGCAGCGCACCGAAAACGAAGAGAAGCGAGCGCCGCAAACATCATGACTATGATTCTGCACAGCGGCGGACCCGAGGAGCACAGAACCAAGACCCATGGAATTACTCCCGTGTTTGTGGTGGACACCAAGACTCAACGCTGCCTTCATTACGACGAGATGAACCCGCTACAGAGCGACCACTACCTTTCCATTGACCCTGCCATTGCCGAGGAGCTGTCGACCGAGTTTGAGATTCGAGCCGACCTGATAGATGCCCAGATCGATATCTGCACCCCCGAAGTGCTTGCTCTCTGGTCAGAAAGTTTCGATTATGAGCTTCCCAGGAGAAACTTTTTGCACGGAGTGCTGAAGGACTGGGAGCTCAACGGCAAGATGATTTACGCCGAGATTTTCGAAGACGGCTACGCTGCCCGAGCAAGCAACTTGCAGATGTACGATTCCATCAGCAGGGACATTCTTGGCCGATGGACGTTCCCTTTCATCCCCGAAAACAACATCTTCCTAAACCAGACATTTAAAAAGCACATCAACAACGTCATTATCGAAACTGGGGCTTCTCACGCCCACGACGCCAAGCTCCAAAACTCTGTCATTGGAACCGACACCAGCATTGGCTCCGGAAGCAAAATCATCAACAGCTTTGTCGGCACTGGCTGCAAGATCGGTTCCAATGTTACGCTGGAGAACTCCTTCATTTGGAACGACACTACTATCGGAGATGGAACGACCGTATCAAAATCCATCTTGGCGGGCAACGTAGTCATTGGCAAGGGCTGCTTAATACCCACCGGATCGCTCTTCTCTTACGGCGTCCAAATCAGCGACAACATCTCCTTTTCCACAGCCGCCGTGTTATCGACCGTCACGTCCACAGGCAAGCAAGTTGCCAAGGACACCAACCTCCTCGGCCCCGACAGCAACGCAGCCCCCTTCTACGACCCGGAGGACGATGAGCTCGACGACGAAGACCCTTCCAGGCTCCAAAAGTCTCTCATCTACTCCCTCGCAAATTGGAACCTGTCCACCTCTTCCATCTCGACCTTCAACTCCGATGACGAGTCCGACGACGACGACGACAGCAACCTCCTCTCCGCAGACGCCGCGCACTCCTCGAGGTCGCGCCTCTCATCCTTTGCCTCGGACGACTCCGCCGGCAAAATGTCCTTCCACGCCGACGCCGTCCACGGTCTTCTCGATGCTCTGCGCGCCGACTCGGGCGACTTCGACTCCGCCAAGCTCGAATTCATGGGTCTCCGTCTCGCCAACAACGCCTCCGACGCCATGATGCGAAAAGCCGTCGCCACGGCCTTTACCCGCCGCGCCGTGGAGCTCGTCACCCCCGAGCACGGCGGCCTCGACGCCAGTAAGGCGGCGGAGAGAGCCTTCACCGCGTGCAAGGGCGCCTCCAAGTTTGTCAACGAAGTCGGCGTCGGCGGCGGCGAGCCCGCGCAGGTTGAATTCATCCTCTCTCTGCAGCGGGCCCTGCAGCACTACTCCAAGGGCCAGGAGCAGCAGCAGGCCAAGAGCGCCACGCTGCTGCCGGCCATGCTGCAGCAGCTGTATGCCTTGGATATCTTGGAAGAGGAGGGCATTCTGGGCTGGTGGGAGGATGCCCGTGCAGTGGATGGCGAGTCCATGGCTGCATTGAAGGAGAAATGCAAAGTTCTCGTGGAGTGGTTAGAAAATGCAGAGTCAGAGGATGAAGACGATGACAGCGACGACGATGACAGCGACTAGATAAAAGCATGTTAAAGGACATGTAGGACACAATCGAAATGAATAAAGTAAAATCTACAGATATAAAAAAAAAGAGACTTAAAAACAAGATGACCAAGAACTTCAAATCAGATAGCGAGGTTTAACCCCAATCTTGGGTATCATTCATTACATGTTGCTTTCGTACTTGAGCTACTGAGTTTTAATCCGATAATGCCTAAAGGACAGATAAAATTCGCCCTTCCTTATTTCCATTTCAATATGCCATGTGCCTAATGCGCCATTTCGCCCTAATTCCATCGAGATGCTTCCCGGATGCCCTAAACGCGCTTTCAGTGAATGGGAATGGTCCTCCACCTGTCATACATATATGACGCAAAATAATATGAGATGACAAAGAGAAAGAAGGAGAAAGAGCAAGGTATTCGCCTCCTCCTCTGTTCTTTTTGAACAATCTTCTCCAGCTCATCCAGTCCCCAAAAAGTTTGGTAAGCTATGGTATACTGATATTGTTTTACCAATAATAGTAGCGCCACCCATCCTATTTCTAATAGTAACTCTGTAGATCTGAACCACTGGATGGCTGTCCACCCATGGGTCGACCTCGGCCAAACGAGCTTGAACCGGCGGCATCTTTGCCCTTGGGATCAACGTCGTCCAGAGAGCGGTAGCCGTGGCCGCGGTTACGACCACCTCGTCCGCCGCCCCTAGCAGCGCGATGGCCGCGTGAGTTGCCACCTTTGTTTCGTCCTCTGCCAGAGTGAAAGCCTCTGGACTCGTTTCGGCCGCCGTACTGCGCCGGCGCCTTGCCTGGGTACTCATCATCCGGAGGATGTTTACGCTTGGATGATTTGTTAACAAACAAGCTTTGGTACTCATCCTCTTTAGGGCCTTCAGGCTCAATACGAAGAATCACTTTTTCTCCGACCGTCGTCTCGAATGTAAAGCGTTCTTCAATCGGCAGAGGCTGCCAGCTGGTGATTTTCCCCGCATCCACAGGGCGTGCCCCCTTCTTGAGGGCAAGCACCACGAGTGGTACGGGATTATCAGTGTGAAACTTGGCAGTATGCGGCACGGGGCGCACCGAAGCAGCCCAGATGGAGTTGTCATAGCAGGCGGTGCCAGTCACTTCCCACAACATCCTGCTTCCCATGCCGCCAACCTTTTCCAGTATACTCGCCGGGCATGGCCGAGGGCAAATGAGGATGTTGTTGGCGTGAAACTTGAGGTCGTTATTTGATATGCCCGGAGGAATCTGCGCCAGCTTCAGAAGCTTTTTAATATCATCGGCACCAATCATGTAGCTAGTGAAGAAGACTGTCTTCTTAATCATAAGTTTGGACCTGGAGGGAGGACAGTCTTTGGCTAGGGTTTCGTTATGCTGGTTGATCATGTGCTGAATTTCCGCAACTTCAACAACAGGGTTGAGAAGCCGTAAAGCATCATACACTTGAACAACGTCGGCAGTTATAGTCCCTCGACTCGGCATCGCCACCTGGCGCCGATTGTATTCCGCAAAAAAGTCTCGAAATCCCTTTGTGTGTTTCGGCCGGTCCTCGTAGACTTTGATCTCGGCAGCGTCTCGGTATGTCTCCATGAGCGCCTCAAAGAAGAGCTGCTTGAAGTGCATTGTGTTTTGGAAGTTTTGGTTGGAAGGGCTGACTCTGGGCTTCAAACAGACCATGTCGAAGTCAAGCTCCTTGCTTGCAACCATTCTCTTAATCAACTCGCCAAAACCATGCTCAGAACGGCCAGTCAAGAGCACGCAGAGAGCGTCCTGCTGCTTCGAGCTCAGCTTGACAAGTTCGGTGACCTTTTCATTCCACCATCCTTCCCAAGCACGCGCCTCTTCCATTTCAACGCCATCACCGGTTGCTGAGAGGATCCTGTTGTCGTGCCACCATCCACCGCTAGTGAATGCATCTTGAGTCGCGAGCAATCCTATCGTCGGCCCAGTCCACAATGCTGGATTTGGCATGGGGGTTTTGAACACTGGATATATGCCAAGTCAGCAATCACAAAGCAACCAAACTGAATAGGAAGCTGACGAAGAGAGAAAAAGAGCAACGCACATGTGTTGTCGAAATCGTAAACGTGAAGAACTCGGATCTTGTCGACAGCTGTATGGACCAATTAGCTCGCCAAACCTCCCTAGTCAATGCAGAAATAAGCACATGCAGGGCGACGAACCTGGGAGCTGCTTCGGCAAAACGGACCATCGCCCAAGTGCCGTGACCGTGAACTGCGAATCTCTGGTAGCGCCACGGTATGCGCTGTATGCCGACGCCATGGCGCTCAATCGAGGGACGAGCAGGCTGCGCAGACGACCAGCGATCGCCGCAGCACTGCGAAGGTGGAAGATGGACGGCGTTTGCTCTGGGGGAGACGAAGTCGTGATGCAGGAATTTTGGGCCCGCAGGTGGTTGTCGCGGGTCAGGTTGGGCTCCATGACGAAATTGCGTTTTCTTATATAGGCACCTGCTGGCCGCCGGCAGCTCCTGGCCCTGCTGAAGGGCACCAGCTTCAGCGGGCTATGCACTGAAGCGTCAGCAGCTATACGGCAGTGGCTTCCTGTGGCCCCCGTCAGACCTACCCTGCATCCATTGCTTTTTCCTACCAATTCATGCCGAGCATCTGAGATCTGGAAAGCGATTGGAGTCTTGAGAGCTTAGAGTTTGGTCCTCGAGTCTTATGTCTGATGTGAGATTATCTCATCAACTCTGCTGTTTTAGCCGCCGAGGCTGTAAGCTGATAGCGACTGTGCAGTGATGAGGTGGCGACAGCGTTGACGCTTCCACCCGCTCTATTTGCATGAAAGCGACAGAGTTCAAATCCTGGCGCTTGGCTTGGTCCGAAATTAGAGTTGCTCTCGATCTTACCCGCAAGGCCACAATCGACACCTCCACGGGTCCTCCATGGCATCTCCAGCTAGTGCCGCCGTGCGCTTCCTGGCCGGCTCTAAGAAGGCGCCTCAGGGCATTCTGCAGCTGCGACTGCACGTGAAGCCCGGGGCCAGCAAGAACAGAGAGGGCATTCAGGCTGTGACTGAAGAGACGATTGAGCTGTGCGTTGCGGCGCAGGCAAAGGATGGCGAGGCTAACCAAGCTGTGATTGAGGTTCTCAGCGAAGCCCTGGACATTCCAAAGTCGAAGTTGAGCTTAGTTCAGGGCGCAAGATCCAGAGACAAGACTGTGGTTGTACAAGAGATTAAAGGCGATGGATCTGTCTATGCTGCGACGATCCTGGAGCTGCTTCATAAGGCTAGCTCAGAGACGTGATGATGATTGCTGGCGCCGTTTTTGGTCCAGGCACTTTTTATAGCAGCAGTTGCTTGATAAACCACGCTCGCCGGTGACTCAAATGCGGTGCACCCCGCCATCGTTATCACGATCCAATGCTGGCTCTGCTTCAACATGGCAATGTTGTTATTATATAAGGGACCTAGGAACCAACCACTTGATCCCGGAAACATGCAGCTCCCGGATACATATTGTCAATCAACACCAATTAGCAAATTACTGCAATGTCCAAGAAGACTTTTGCCATCAAAGCCCTCCAACTCGAGGATGTGCCCGAAGCGGCTCAACTCAGCAGTGATGCGTTCCTAGACGATCGCCAAACTCAGATGAAAGCCCTTGGCCGGAATCCCTTTGATATGAAGACGTATCACACAGAAAGCCTCCCACAAATGCTGAAATCGCCACGGTACGTGGTATTGAAAGCTGTTGACGATGAAACCGGAGAATTTGCAGGCTTCTGCCAATGGGCGCTTATTGGATTCCCACCCGACGAGATGCCAGTGTTGGAAGGCAGGATTCAGCCCCCCGAAAAGCCGACCACAGCGTCGACACAGAAGTCGGAGAAGGATCAATCAGAAAAGGACGAGCCAGCTTCAACTGAACAAGGCGCGCCAGAACCAGAGGATGATCCTATTAAGCGGCTCGAGACTCTTACAAGCGGCGACTTGGATGCATGGCAGAAGGAGGTGATGCCTGAAGGCACCAAATGTCTCATTGTCGTTGGGCTTTCAGTCTCACCCAAATTTCAGAGGCGAGGCATTGGCTCTGCACTCCTGCGCTGGGGAACAAGCATTTGCGACCAAAAGGGTGTTTTTGCATGGGTTCATTCGTCGGAGCCTGCGTGGAGGGCATACGAGAAGGCAGGATTCCAGGTGATCCGCTCTCTGGATGTGGACTTGGACGAGTACGCTCCGTGCTCTCCTCCGAACGAGGGTCCCGATGCTAAATGGGGCCATTATGTCTTCCGATACATGAAGTATTTTGGCTCCAAAAATTAAAGAGGCATCATCTGATAGGCGTAGCATTCCACACGGCGTCTAAATATATCTCTTGAATCCTTTGCTCTTGCGATCCATGACTGCCTGGCATGTAGCGGTACAAAATATCCCCGTCTGGCTTTGTACATCTGCTCTGCATATAAACATCTACATCTGAGAGGCCAAATCGAAAGCATTAAGCTTTTAACGCGTTTACTGAATATGGCATTGATCGGCATAACGCGGGGAAAAGGGATTCGGAGAGCGACGACAGCTCAGATTCCGAACAGCTCCAGCTGAAGGACAGAGGGAGGAGTGTTTCGTAAACATCATGTAGGTACTATGCCGTGCTCTGCTTGCAATGGCAGGATATTCTAAAGACAACCGCAACTGACAGCCTCCTGGAGACAATGAGAGACATTTCCAACGGGAAGGCAGGTGGTGAATGTGTGATACGCTTGACTCGATGCGTGGAGATGAGGCCAAACGAATGCCACAGCTATGATGGCCAACGAAGCTCGTTCTGGTTAGCTGCTGCTTTCTGCGTCTGACACCTGCTTGACCTGGGGTCGAGTTTAGGTTCGAAGCAAGAACGAGATGCTCCCAAGAGCTGATCCTTTCAGGCCGAGACGTGTGTTTTGCTCTATTCCTGGCAACATGGACACATGTACGCAGAGTTGCATGCCTCTGGACTGGCTCCGCGTCATGTCTCAGGAGAGGGCTCGGAGCTGAACGCGCCTATTTTTAGAGCATCCCAACGGCGTCCAAGTGTAACTCTCTCTAAACGTGCCGTGCATTGATTCAGTACATGCTTGTACAAGCTGCGCCGTGATGGCGGTGGTGATGGCGGTAATGTTGATAGTGCTTCTCGCCAGCCAGGATTTGCCCGCACAGGTACCGCTACCTGTCCGAGCAGTAGCAATTGAGACGAAAAGAGCTGATCCCTGAGAGGTAATCTTGCGGATAGCCGGACCGCGGAGCCTAAGCGTCGCATACCACATGCACCTTTGCGGGTGATGGCCCGGGCTCATGTAGCAGTACCAGCCAGCCATCTCACCATTTGCATTCATCCAGACTGTTGGAAACATCACGGCTCACGATGATGGCCCTGTTGTTTCACGCCAAGTTTGCCAGTTTGCCCGTGCTAGTACAAGATGCCGCCTGTGGCTGTCCGGTGCCGTGGCCACGGGGTCCAATTACATGGCAACTCGTCGATCGGGAGGCTTGCAAGGTCCAACTAGTATTGATCTTAGTCGGCGACGTGGTAAGGGCAAGGCCACTAATATAGGCCGCGTGCTGCAGGGAGGCCAGCCCATGGACCCGATAGAGGCGATTTAGAATTGCAATTACGCTTGCAAAGGCGATAGTGAAGCGAGACGGCCCCGGGGTTCAGTTTCTATTCGTTGCCGGGCTTTTGGCGTGCCGGCCGATGCACAGAAGATGACCCGATCGACGCGGATACATGTACGTGTGTAATCGCGGCTTGGTGTTCAGTCCCCCGCAAAAAGCAGCCATCGTGGGATTCGCTCAACTGGCACGCATTACGGCTGAAAAGATAATCACGACGGTGTCTTGTTAGCACGAGCACTACCACTGCTAGTACCACTGCTATGCCATACTTGTCTTGTTTACATCAAATGTACATGTAATCAATCAATTTGCTTGCTTGAAGCGGTAGGCGCCCCAAAAAAAAAAGCAGAGATGGATGCCCCCTTGTACGTGCTTATATTGCTCTTTTCCGCCCCCAGAAAACAACGGCCTCCCTTCATCACCTGCTTCCCTGCATGTGTGGTGTTCAGGTGGACATGGGGCAGCGCAGACAGCTGTACCTTGGGCACGGTCCGGGAGTGCTACGACGACGGGGTGCTGCCTTTTGTGTTGCTTTGGATCAATGTTGCTATTGGACGGCACATGTGTATGCGGACTAGCTTCCTCGGCATCGCATCCTTCTGAGGAGCGAATTGAGTGAGCGTTCTGTATCTACCTATGGAGCACATGCAGGTATAGTTGCTGGAAGGGCCCATTTTACATCGTATCAATATAGATACCAAATACGGAGTAATTGCCAGATAGGCAGGCCATCGTGTATGCATATCTTGATCGTATAGGGGTTGATTGCTAGAGGCTAAAGGCTGCTAGCAGCTTACGGACGGCCGCGATGGCCTCGCAGGTATTAGTGCTTGCACCAGCATTAAACGCTCCATGCTAGCAGCAGAATACAAGAAGGTGCAAGAGGACAGACAAGCATGAGTAAAAATCCCGTCAGGTTGACTCAGATCACACTGGCGTGCTCTTCCCGCGGTCCAAGACGAGCATAGTTCGCGGAGGATACGGGGTAGCATTGGCGGTTCCCATCCGAACACTTACATGCCCGGCTTCCTACGGTTATGGCTGCGTTGACGCCTTGACGCTACGCACGTATTTCGAAAGCTGTAGGTTCGCCGTGTATTGTACATTGTAGTCCAGTGTAGTTGACGGGAGTTACCGTTGGTACTTTGCCGTAGTACTAAAAAGAAAAAGAAAAAGCAAAAAAGGAATGGATGAAAGACGGCAATGGAGGCTAAAGCACCGGCCATGTCGTTTCCTAATCTGCCGGGCCTTGGCAAGCAATCGAAGAAACACCTGGCCAACTCGCTCATTGATGGCTTATACCTGCATGCAAAATGGCTAGCTGAAAAAGCCACTTCAGTTTAAATTGGTACGAACAACGCCATTGGCTGGCTCTGGCTAAATGAGAACGGAAAAGAGACGAAATATTTGATACTGGACGCTAACACACACACACACACACACACACACACACCAGGAAAAAAAAAAGAAAAGAAAAGAGCACGTAAAAAAAAAAAACCTGCTGCCCCTGGTTCTCCTAGACCGACTGGCTTCCAATGTCTATCAAATCGCTAGCATCGTCGTAGCAGCAAGACTAACACAGAGCTAGGCGGGCCGGTACTGTGTCAAGGGAGATGCGCTGCACGGCCCCTCGCGCCCTGCAGTGCCCTAAGAAGAAATTGAGAGCACTTGCAAAAGCCACTGTACACTACACGACGATATGGGGGGGCCCCGAATTTGGCGGCGCCGTGCTTTTTTTGGCAGTTTTGAGACAGGACCCCCCTTCTTTCCAAGTTTTTTTTTCTTCCTAAACCCCCCCCTTGTGGATACATCTTAATTTTTTTTCTGGAATGATTCCTATGAGAAAAAAGACGGAGTGAAGGTGTCATGTTAGTATGTAGTACTTGGAGCTGCGTTCTTATTCTTATTTCTTCTCTCGCCTTCTTGAACGGTTGGTCCGGCCTCTGCTCTGTCTCCTCTCCGTCTCCTCTCTTAGCTGCATGAAGAATCCAAGGCTTGGATATCAAGTCTCCACGTCCCCAAGTTGCAGCGAACAAGTACATGCACCTCAAGTATCAGTACACGCAGCTTGCACCCGCTGAGGCCGCTGCCCTTCAGCGCTGCTACAGCGTGCGCCTCTGCTGTGCTGTCTTCTGATCTTCCATCTTCTCCTGGGTCTAGTGCCTCTCTTCCCCCCCCCCCGGTCCACCCCCCATCTCGGGCCATCCATTCGCCCATCGACTATCTGGGCTAAATCGAAAATCGTCCAACCTCGATTCAGCAGCCTCGAACCCTGCCTTAGCCAAGCCCATCGAGGGTCTGTCCGCGAGTCCTCCTTCAATTGCATTGCTTGCCTCTATTTTTTTCAGTCTTCGCCAGCTTGCGACGTCACGCCCGTCACTGCTGTCGGGGCGCCTTGAGAAACACTGGGCTCCGTCATCTCGGCGCACCGCATCTCGCAACCTCCGTCCATCTCCGGAGCGCCTCTCCTGGCCTGCCGCCCGCTCGTCGAATCCGAACTGCCGCCAGCCAAGCCATACCGCGCCCGATAACGAAAGCGAAAAGGAGCGATAAAGAAAGAGAAAGAGGAGGGAAAGCGGATATTCAAGGGAAATAAAGTTTGCTGCTGCAACAACTGTGCCGGTTCCCGCAGGTGCGACGGCTTTCAATAATATCGGCTTCGCCAGCGGCATCCAGCCGGAGCCTCAATTGGAGGCGCGTCGCCTTGTCCCATATTGTCTCTCGTATTGCCTAAAGGACAGTATTTTTCAGCTTAAATGTCTGGGACAGAGGCTACCAATGCCCCGGGCGGGGGGAACAATGCTAGCGAATTTGTGAGTAGTATTTCGCCATACCTACGTATTCGTGGGGCCGATATATGACGGAACGACTGCTAATGAAATGATGCTATATCAAGGTTCGCAAGCTGTTTCGGTAATTGCCCACTAACAAGATTCAGCTTCTATTGATCCAGCTGACCTTGCTTTAGAATGCTCGAAGACCCGACACATCAGGATGTAGCTCGGTGGGGGAAAGATGGCGACTCATTTGTCGTGGTTGAGGTGGGATTCACCCGGCATTTCCATTTTACGCCTGGATTGACTCTTACGTCTTCAAATAGGGCGAGAAATTTACAAGGTCCATCTTGCCGAAGCACTTCAAGCACAGCAACATGTCCAGCTTTATCCGACAGCTCAACAAATATGACTTTCACAAGGTCAAGCCATCTGCCGATGGCGAATCGGCCTCTCCAAATGGCAACGTAAGTATCCCAGCTGGGCGCATTATAGAGCTGAAAACTCCACATGAACGGCACGACTAAGAATTTGGGTCACAACATGCAGGTCCTAGAGTTCAAACACCCCTACTTCCGCGTCGACAGCAAAGATGACCTGGACAACATTCGCCGGAAAGCGCCGGCCACGCGGAAACCCCAGGTCGCCGAAGACTTCACCACCAGCCAGCACGTCAGCGCCGTGTCCGAGCAGTTGACCGCGACTCAGCAGCAAGTACAGCAGCTTCAAGAGCTGTTCGCCGACATCTCTCAGACGAATAGGCTCCTGGTCAACGAGGTCCTCACTCTGCAGAAGATGCTCAATGCCCAAAAGCAGGCGCAGTATGAGATGCTCAACTTCCTCTCTCCGTACAGCCATAACCGGAATAATGGAATGATGGCCCACCAGATGAGCTCAAATGGCGGCATGTCTTCGTCGGATGGCGACGAAAACGTGCCAGAACTTAGAAGAGCGCGAGAGCTGCTCTCTAGCGTCGCGCCCGACACCGTGGCTGATCGTGAGCTCGAGCGTCTGCACGACATTTACGAATCCCCTGCCGATTCGGCAACCATGGTCACCCCCGTATCAATGCCCATGCTGCATGACCCTATGAATGATATTAGTCGGTATCCCGTCTACCCCGTAGGCCAGACTGTCGGCATCGATCCCTTCCACTCGGACCACATCAATAAGATCCCATATGCCATGCCAAACGAAAACAGTTCCGGGTCCCTGGATCAGCATCAGCAACATACTCCACAGCCTAACCAGATGAACAGTGCACCCGGGTCGTCACTGGACAAGCCTGCACCTCTATGGGGACCAAAGAAGCCAATAGTATTCTTGGTAGAAGATGACGGCACGTGTGCGAAAATCGGCATCAAATTCCTCAAATCGATGGGCTGTGATGTCGAGCATGCTGTAAGTCAACTAAATTTAATATCGACGGTTGAGGATTCCGATGTTGGTTACAGTTTGAGCTAACACTAGCTGTGTAGATCAACGGTGCCGAAGCATATAACCGAATCAGCGCTGTTGGTCGTGACCATTTCGACTTGATCTTCATGGACATCATCATGCCTAGGCTGGATGGTGTATCGGCCACCATGTATATCCGCCAGCACTGTCCAACCACGCCCATCATTGCGATGACGTCAAATATTCGACCGGATGAGGTGAATGGCTACTTTGAGCACGGTGAGAAATAACACACCCCCAGAATAATCTGGGCACCAAAACTGACCGCCATTTAGGTATGAACGGAGTTCTGGCCAAGCCCTTCACCAAGGAGGGAATGCTCAAGTCTGTCAAGACACACCTCCAGCACCTTTTGAAGAACCCGCCCAGCCAGTCAGACAACGGGCACGGATCTGCCTTTATGATGAATGTTCCCTATCTCAACACGTCGGGCAACCCCATCAAATTCGAATCGCCAACTCCACCTGCAGGTGCTGGTGGCTCGAATTGGTCGTCTGGCCACATGTCTCAAAATGGGGTCGATTCGGGCTTCGGGATGATGGATGGGAGCAACCAGTATAACATGACGCAAGGTAGAAACGCGTATTCGACAATGGATGCATCCTCTGGCCGTTTGTCCGATCATGATAGTCCGCCAGAGAAGCGCCAGCGCTTGAACAATTCGCAACGAACTTATGCTTAATGCCGGAGCTGATGACCAATTTCTGTGCATGAGGATTGCCGGATGATTGACTTCCTGTTCTCTTTATATTTTTTTATTTGTTTTTCCTTCTTCTAATTTCTTCTCGGCTCTTGGCTTGCTCATTGCATGGGATATTCTGCTGTGTGGCGTTGTGACATGTTTGAACAAAGGAGGAGCTTTTTTTTTTATAGTCCATCCTCAGGGGTGTTTTTTGAACTGTTGTCTTGGGATTTGTTTTGGTTTGGGATGATGATTTCACGCACCGGTTGGATACCTGTCGGGGCTTCACGACTGTATTTTCTCCGTGGGGAGGAAAAGGTTGTTTTTGTTTTCTTTTTGGGAGAAATTCGACTTTGTAACGGTGATGCTTGGCTATGTCTGGGGTTTATGGAGAGAAATGTCTGGTGGCGTTGCCGTTCTGTGATGGCGCCATGCTGAAAAGCTGTAAGCATTAGGAACGATACGTGGTGACTATGGATCTGTGGGGAGTGATTAATCAAACTATCTGTTTTGAATAAAGAGATTTGACATTGCCAACTTTTTTTTTTCTTCAAAAGTGACGTTACATTCGCCTCTGGTGTGCGGAAGATGAGAATTTGTGAGTGCAGACCACAGAAGGCTGGTGTGAAAAGACCGCTTGATGGACCCAGCAAAAACGGAGTAACGGAGTGTAAGAGTCCGTCGAATCGGCATGACGCATGGGAGGCCTTCCAAGCATAAATACGTTTTTTGTTATGCTGTCTGCGGTGGGGAGATGAAAATGGGCCCCTCCTAGGTGAGATCCGATTTGCGAATCTCAAGACGTCAACGTGGATAAAGGTCAAAAATGAGAATCGGTCGGAGATTTGGGCAGTCGTCGTAATATCAGCATGGCGGAGGACCACTATAGATGGAACTCGATCGAGATTTCATAAAAAGTCAAGCCTGCTCGCTTGGGCGGGAGAAGGAAGATGGAGAGAGAAACAGGGAGAAAATGAAACGAGACAGGGAAAGAGAAGAGAAATGTAAGAGAGAAAACGATTTGAAATGTAACAGGAAATCACACCTTGGGATGCTTGTAGCCGTTAGATCCGATGATCCAGGCGCGCCGTTGAGCGTTCCATGGAGGTCTGGACCGGGGGTGGGAAACAATGGAGACGGGCGGTCGCTCAGCGGGCGGTTTTTAGATGCCGGGAGCGGGGGATGAGAGGGAAGGGAATGAACGGTCCGGAGATTGGTGAGTTGTGTTTTGTGTGAGGAAGAGAGAAAGTTGAAGCAGGGCCTGAGCTCGAGATGCACTTGTAACCAGCACGATGTGGCCTGTATGATGAATAGAAGAGAAAAGAAAAGACAAGAAAAGAGAAAAGGACGGCAACGCATATACGCGAGCAGATGCGAGAGACCACTTATAACATGCCAAAAAGGCCCCTGGTCGGCCGTTCCGTTTGTTTGTTTGCTACAGACAGCCCACAGCGCTGCCAAGCCCCAGAAGCTGTCTGGACCCTTCCATACTACGGAGCCCAGGTATTGACAGCATCAAAAAGTACGGAGTACGAAAAAGAGAAGCAGGCAGAGAGAGTCTAGAGCTTGGTCTATAGCATGGTCTCCAGTCAGTCTATTTCATGCACGCGCAGTTTGACGTCAGCCGTGGATCTTCTGCTCACGTCTTATTTTTCGCAAAATGTTGCTGCGAGAAGCCGTGTTTGATGCAACATTAACCCTCGTCTTTTAATGAAAAGAAAAAAAAAAAGCATCAACATCGGCTAATGAGCAAACAACTGTCCATGTTCATTGTGCCCCTTTTGTGTGCATGTGGTACATGACACGATGAACATGTGGGAAGGGCGCGTTGCGGCGTTGCACTTACACGAAGTGGTGTATGGACTTGGGTTGTGTGGATGAGATTGAATCATGGGTTTTGACTTGGTTTTACGCCGTTACTTTTTTTTTTTTTTTTTTTTTTGCCACGGCGGCAATGAATGTCTTATTCGCTAGCAGTGTATTGAGGAAGATGCTATGTAAAATAGAAGTAATAGTGTAAGCCACTATCACTATGGGTTAACAAACAACTACAGCTCTCTCTAGACAGATAAGCAGCAACATTCAAGAGAGAGAAATTGCCAGAGGGAAATTGATTGTGGTGGGAGAGATCACGCCGGTTTCAAACGTCCGGAATACCTAGGCCTAGCTTGTGGTCTTTTTTTTTTTTTTAGAACTTTCTAGGCCCTTGTTTGACGCATGAAGTTGGGAACAAGCCCGGAGCAAAAAGAGGAGATCCTTACCAGATGGGGTAATTTCTTTGTGTTTCGCCTCGGAGACGATCCGAGTGAGCGAGCTTTTGAGGAAAGCGATGGTGGTAGCTGCTACGATAGTGCTGAGGCGAGCTTGAACTTTGTTGTGCTGTGCTGTGATATGTGACAATTAACAGCTAGAGTTGAGTTGAGTCGTCGGCAGTTGGAATTATGCGAGGATTCTTGGAAGAGATCCCTGGCGTTTCTGGTGCTTATCTAGAGCATTCATTGATCCATGGCTCAGTCTATAGCAGCTTTTGGGTCCAAATGCTGAAGGATGCTTGATGGCGGGGGCTTTGGGCAGCTTACAGTGGACAGCTATCAGTGGACGTGGCGGCCTCTGCACGCTAAAACTGCAGCTGAAGTCCGCGCAACGTGTCTGATACAGTAAAACGACTCAGCCTTCACTGGGTACGAGCTACTTTGCACATGAAGTGGCATTTTCACTTTACGCGTCGCTACGCGTTTTCCAGGGCTTGTGAGTGGCATCTCCCCGCGCAAGACCTTGTTTCTTACTTGCTCGGCCAAGAAGTAATTCGACAGGTACTCGGTGGAGGTGGCAGCCAGTAGCCAATCAATCAATCTGGACTCGATTACTTCTACGCAAGCAAAGAAATACACACAATGCCGCATTCAATCTCTCCCAATCCCGTCAAGGACGAGCCAATGGACGCCGATCCAGAAATCCCTGGCGATGCTGCTCCAGCAAAGACAACCACAGATGACGATGTCGATATGAACGACGAGCCGCAGGCGGAGGCGCCCCCGACAGGCCAAGCTGAGGAGGTGAAGAAGGAAGTCAAATTGGACGACTTGTTTGCAGATGAAGATTCAGACGAAGAGTTTCCAAGCTCAGCACCTGTTAAGCGCGAGGGTGCAAGCTCACCTGCACGAGCAGCTTCACCTTCGTATGTAGCTTCATGCCCACCAACTACTCTGCAGAGAAAGAGAGCAGACCTGGCTAACCGGTTTGAATTTGTAGATACATCCCTGCTTCCGATCCAGAGGTCATGCGCAGTTTTTACCAGAGACTCTTCCCTTGGCGACAGCTTTTTCAGTGGTTGAACCATAGCCCGACGCCTACAAACGACTTTGGGAACCGCGAGTTTGCCTTTACCCTTCAGAATGACGCATATCTGCGTTACCAGTCTTTTGCGACTGCAGATCTGTAAGTGGTTATGGCTCTTGAGAGTTTCAAGGCCCAAATGCCAATACTTACTTGCTCTTGCCTAGTCTACGAAAAGACGTCCTCCGTCTCATGCCCTCCCGTTTCGAAATCGGCCCCGTCTACTCGACAAACCCCCGAGACCGAAAAACCTTGCGCAACTCTTCCGCCTTCAAGCCTCTTGCAAAAGAATTGTGCTTTGATATCGATTTGACAGATTACGATGATATCCGAACATGCTGCGACAAGGCGACCATCTGCAACAAATGCTGGCAATTCATGACCATGGCCATCAAGGTTGTCGATGTGGCCCTGAGAGAAGACTTTGGCTTCAAGCACATCATGTGGGTATACTCGGGGCGAAGAGGTGCCCACGCCTGGGTGTGCGATAAGAAGGCTCGGTCAATGGACGATCAGAAGCGCAGGGCTATAGCAAATTATTTGGAAGTGATTAGGGGCGGTTCACAGAGCGGCAAAAAGGTCAATGTCAAGAGACCTCTGCACCCCCATCTCAGGTACGTGATGCCGTGATAGTGGAGGGATGATGCTAACGTGGCTCATAGCCGGAGTCTCGATATTCTCAAAACCCACTTTCAAGAAGATGTGCTAGATGTCCAGGATCCTTGGGGGACAAGCGAGCAAGCGGAGAAGCTACTGCAGCTTCTTCCAGACCGGAACCTAAACGATTCATTACGGCGCAAATGGGAATCAGCCCCCGGACGATCGTCTACATCGAAATGGGCCGATATCGATGCTGTAGCAAAGACTGGTGCAAGTAAGAATCTGGACTCGAGAGCGTTGCTCGAAGCTAAACAAGACATTGTGCTGGAATACACCTATCCTCGCCTCGATATCGAAGTCAGCAAGAAACTAAACCATTTGCTGAAAAGCCCCTTTGTCGTGCATCCAGGCACAGGGCGAGTCTGTGTACCCATCGACACAAGGGCTCTCGAAGACTTTGACCCTCTTGGTGTGCCAACGGTGCAAAGCCTGCTAGCCGAGATTGATACTTGGAAGGGTGGGGAGGAGGGCGAGGAGGGCGATGACAAGTCCAAAGTCAACATTGCAGACTGGGAAAAGACCAGCCTGAAGCCCTATGTCGATCAGTTTAGAACGTTTGTATCGGGAATCATCAAGGATGAAGGGATTACAAAAGTTAAGCGAGAGCGGGAGGATGACTCAATGGATTTTTAATCATGATGGTTTAGCTAAGGGAAGGTTTGCATATTATTTGGGAGACACATAATTTGAGCAGGTATTCCTTGGGTATGGAACAATGCTTGGTATAAATGATGAGACTGCAGAGAGCATTATGTCTATGCTTGTGTCTCTTTCGCTTCTTCAGCCCCTGATTTGCCCTCGTCTCCAACGTTGGTTGATGTCTCAACTTCCACGGCGTCCTCTTCCTTGTTTTCTGACGCCTTTGCTTCTTCAGCCTCAGCCTCATCCTGATCTTCATCTTGGTCCTCGTCTTCTTCTCCATCTGCTCCTTCACCGTCCCCACCCTCAGACTCAGCATTCTCACCTCTCAGCTTTCCACCCTTTCTCTTTGGAATCACGCTCAGGAACGCCTGGCCCCAATCGCCGCATTCCAGCCACTTGAGCATAATCTCAACTACATGGTTCGTCGCCAGGACCTGTCGGCTCTGCATCACCATAAACTGGCCAATCGGTAATCTCGCCGTACGAATGCTCTTTTCCCGCGCACGTCTATAGCAAAGGCCCTTTTCGCGATTCTTATCGACCAATCCGCCCACGACATAGCACGTGTTCGGCTCCAAGCGCTCAAGCGTATAAGGGGAGTCAGACGACAGATACACAACGTCCTTGTTCGCCTCGTCCAGGGGAGGCTCCGGCCCAGGAATAGGGAAAGGATCCGTCTCATCACGGGTCCACGCACAAGGCTCATCGAGGCTGCGCTGCAGCGACTCAATCATCTCTCCACCGCTGCCATCAGCGGCACTCATCCGTTCGCGGATCTTGGCCGCACAGCTGATGTAGTCGCCCTCATCGAACCATATGCCCTTCCAGTTCTTATGCTGATCACCCAGCACCTCGTGAAACCGCTTCGCAATTCCCTTGTTAAATCCAGCCACCCAGAGATGCGAACGATATCTCGCCGCCTTGTTGTCAGAGTACGCCCTCGTGACTTGGCTAGACAGGGAAACGCGCTCCTTATCCATCATGTAGTCCTCAAAGTCGCAGTCGACAATGATGCCCACGGGGGCCAGCGTAGAAACCTGCTTCTTCTTCTTCAGCTCCGCGGGATCGACGCCTTGTGCGATGAGGGCGGCGCGCTCATCGCGGACGCGAGTTTTACGCTCGTGGCGCTTCTCCTTGCGGCGCTTGCGGCGGTCGTCTTTGCCGGCGTCCCATTCTTCCTGCTTCCGGAGGCGTTTGAGGGCGTTTTTGGACATGGGCGGTGGGGTTGATGTTGCGGGCTGGTCCGACTTGGTGTCCATTGCTTGTGTTGTTTCGGGCTTGGATGAAGCCTCGACAGGTTCTGATGGACTCATATTTGCAGGAGTGTATGTATTTTGTTTATAGCTTAGTTAATGAGTTGAGGACACGTTATCCAAAAGTTGCAAGTGTTTTCGAATCTGGTTTTTTGAGATATGTCTTCCACTTGCTTTCTCACAACTTTGGTTTCATCGACAATGACAGGATGAAACAAGTGATGAGCGACAACAGTGCGAATTGAACAAGCCTTTGTTGCCGGCCTCGAGCGTCAGTTAGCCAGGCAGCCAATAGCTAAGCCTCCGTTTATGACTGATGCCCGAAGTCTGTCCGAAGTCTCGTGAATCTCTCTCAACCACCCTCTATCATGAACTTTTCCAAGTCTTACACGCCAGCCAGCAAGCTTTTGCACCTCCAAACCTCTTAGTGGGCTGGTGGGGCTTAGAAAGTACTTCCATGCATGTACCTCACAAGCCGGGACTCAGAGAACTTTGTGTCCAATCAGGCCATTGCAATTGCTGACCAATCATCACGTGACGCGCAATTCCCAAAAGAACCGGCGCAGCTTCCAAGCATCAGACGTCAAAACAGCTCCTCATCCTCATATTCCTCCTCCCACCACGGCGAGCTACGCACCATCACACGCCATGGCGAAGCCTTACGTGCCCCATGACGTCCTTGACGAGACGGCCAAGACCTCATTAGTCGGCCTGGGAAGCGGCTTCTTCATTGCGGCCGTCCAGAATGCCATGTCGAGGCGCAACGTCGGCGCTTTGAGCGTCTTTACGCGGGGAGCTCCCATTATTGGCATTTGCGGTATGGGCTTTCAGACACCGGAAGAATGCGGTTCCAATTGGGCCGATGGCTTCTGCAGAGGGGGAGAAACCAATTGCGAAAATCGTGCTCTTGGCTGACGATGCTGTTCTCATGTAGCTGCGGGTCCCGGTGCCTATGCTTTCTTCTCCCGAACGATGATGAACCTGCGCGAGAAGGAGGATGCCTGGGCCGCCGCCTTTGGAGGTTTCATGTGCGGCAGTGTTCTCGGACTTCCCTGTAAGAAATCCTTTTCCGAACTATACAGATTGCTCGGCGATGGCGGATGCTGACCTGCCATCTCTCCACAGTCAAGCGTACTCCCGTCATGTTTGCCCTTGGTGCCTTTGTAGGTACCGCTCAGGGTCTTTTCCACGTTATGGGCAACAAATTAGACAGCTTCTACAAGGAGGAGGATGAATTTGAGCGCAAGGAGATTGTCCGACGGACGACCCGTCTGCCCCTTGAGCAGACTATTGCCGAGATTGGCGAGGGCCGAGGTAAGTTGTTTGCCTTGGCAATTGAATCGTTTATGAATTATGCTAACGTCTACCAGGCATTCGTCCTCCTGGATATGAGGAGCGGAGACGAGAGCGTGTTAAGGAGAAGTATGGCTTCGAGGTTAACCCTGTGAGCGCCACGGCTGAGGGCAGCCAATAAAACTGAAAAAGAAACACCAAGAATAAAGCCAGTTGCCAGAGACTGAGGGGAGTCCATGGCAACTTGTATATATAAATGCATCGCATTCCAGTGCGGAAGAGATGCGATGCTAGATAATTCGATCTTTTTTTTTTTTGCTTTTGCTGCCATGCCACCTTTGCCATTACCAATTTGTTGGTTTGCGTGTTTTCGCGTCTGGGCTTTTGGTGTGTTGTGAAAAGCTTGAAAAGGTACGTTGTATTGCTCTCTCTATGCGTTTTGCTTTTCTAGTTTCCATGATGAAATCTTTTTCAGAGGTTGTTTATGATATCACTGATTACATTAATCACCATATCTACATTGTTTCGACTGATGGACTCCCCTTTACCGATTTTTCTACTTAATACTGGCTGTCTATTTAGAATAAAGCACTGACATACCAAAAGCATATCTAGGTATTAAATTGTTCTCATGACAAGCAAACACATTTTGTTAGTGGTACGTTTTACACTCGCCAATTCGTGTTCTTTTGTTTTCCCGTTCTCCATGATGATTACTTTTTTCAGAGGTTGTTTATGATATAACTGATTACATTTATCACCATTTCTACATTGTTTTCCCTGATGGACTCTCCTTTTTCATTCCTTGTTATTTTACATTGGCTACCTGTCAAGGATGCAACGCTGACATACCGAAAGCACAGATTCTAAAGACCTTCAGTGACGAGCAAACAATTAATCGTTAATGGTACGTCTTTTTGCAATCCTCAATCTATATTCTTTCGTTCTCCCTTTCCATGATGAGTACTTTTCAGAGGTTGTTTATGACATCACTGATTACATCTATCACCATTCTACATTGTTTTCTCTCTGATGGACAGTCCTTCTCCTATCTTCATTACATTGGCTATCATTTAGAGTAGAGACGCTAACATGCTAAAAGCATAGGTTGTAAACCCTCAATTTAAATACATGAAGAACGAAATCGCAATGACAATGGTACGTTTGCTTTATACTCATGCACCTACTTTCTTTCCTCTTTTTACTGCTTTTTCTCCATGATGAAATTTTCTTTCAGAGGTTGTTTATGATATCACCTGATTACATTTATCACCATTCTACATTGTTTTCCCTGATGGACAATCCTTTCATTTTCTTCATTTACATTGGTTATATGTCATGAATCATATGCTGACATGAAAACGCATAGATACTAGATCTTCTTCCACAGACAAGTAAAAATTTCAAGTTGCGTCATGTTCATTTAATGTTGGTGCATCATTGTGCTTCAATCGTATATATGTGCCATGTCCGTCCCTTTGACAGGACCTGTTTTCCCAAATAAATGTCATCAAGTCAAACTCCCGGCACGCTATTAAATGCGACATTATCGCTCTAAATATCTTCAAATTGATGCTTTTTCACCCAGTATTTTGCACTTCTATAGCGCTTTGACCGATTGGAAGAAGGGATTGGCCAGGAGCTTCTCGTCAGCTGCCACCAACTCCTTTAGCTTCGCCACCTGCTCTTCTTTGCTCAACTCTCCGCCCTGCACGGCCTCTTTCCATTCGACGAGGACCTTCTTTAGCATGGCACTACCCTGCTCAACATCCTCGGTACTGTAGCTCACGCCAAGGTCTTCATGCTTGGTAGTAAAATCTTCCAGCTCATCCGCCTTGCGTTTCGCCATGCGGACAACCTTGTCCGGGAACCGCACCAGCTCGGCGACGTGGATGCCGAAACTCTGATCGCAGATACCAGGCTCAACCTTGTAAAGCAGCGTGACCTCACGCTTGGCATTGACATCGCCGTTGGTGCCGCTGATGTGTGCCGTAACATGCATGTTCTTCACCTGAGGGTACTGATCAGCCAGAGCGGTAAGCTCATGAAAGTGAGTCGCAAACATGGCGAAGCAGCCAATTTCCTTGACGATATGCTCGGAGATGGCCCAAGCAAGACCGAAGCCATCGTATGTTGAGGTACCGCGGCCAAGCTCGTCGATGATGATGAGGGACTCGGCAGTTGCTGATTTAAGAATGTTGGCTGTCTCGAGCATTTCGGCCATAAAGGTCGATACACCCTTGAGCTGGGAATCTGAAGCACCGACTCGGGCAAGGATGGAGTCGAAAATAGTGAGTTCGGCCTCTGAACAAGGAACGAAGGACCCAACTTGCGCCATGAGGGCAATGACACCAGCTTGGCGGATGTAGGTAGATTTACCGCCCATATTAGGCCCAGTGATGATGATGAATGAGGATTGATCGCGGGTAAGCTCAACATCATTGGTGATGAATTGCACATCGTCTTGAAGTTCCATACAGGGGTGGCGAGCACCCAAAAGTTTTGTTTGGCCCTCGCCGCGGGTATGTATCTTGGGTCGGACGTAGGCATCAGGGGCATGAACGGCTGCGTGAGAGAGAGATACGATGACATCTAGATGGGCAAGCACGCCAGCAAGGCGCTCAAGGACTGGGCAATACGAGGACGCTACCTGGACGACCTCATTTACCAGACTGCTCTGAGTGCGGTTATAGTTTTGAGATAGCTGGTCGTATTCACGACGATAGGCCTGCAGCTGCTTTGTTGTAAAGTAGACACCGTTCTTCTGGGTAGAGCATTCGAGATACTTTGACTTGCCACGAATGCAGCCAGCTTCTTGTCTGGTCAGACGCATGCACACGCCGTGCACCTTGTGGTTGGCCTCGAGGAAAATCTTCTTGTCGGCCTCCTGGCCTAAATCGCGTGCGGCACTCTGGAATTCTTGCCTGATATCATGGTCAAGCCGATCGAGCTTCTTGCGGATAACACGCAGACTCTGATCGTACTCGGGCTTGATTATATACTCGTGTCGGTCTAGAGCGTCGAGATCGACCGTTTGTTCAACCATCTCCTGAAGCTTGCCGAGACTATCGGACAGCTCTCGGAGCTTGTTGGTATATGCTTCGTCAAGAGGGTCTTTGTAAGCCTCATCCATGATTCCCTCGAGGGTCCCGATGAAGCCAGGAAGACGGATGACAACCTGGTAGGCACGGACGACATCCTCTAGATTGGCCTTACCGCGTTGGAATTTCTTCGACAAGCGGTAGAGGTCGGGAACAGAGCGTAAATGTTCTTCCTGCATGGTTTGGCGAAGCTCAGTATCGGTAAAGAATGCCTCAACAAGCTGCTGTCGCTTCTCGATTTCAATTTTGCTCATCAGCGGCTGCTTGAGCCATTGTGCCAAGAGGCGACTGCCTACAGGAGTCTTGCAGTGGTTGAGCACGCCGTAGATGCTCATTGTCTTTGAACCGTCTCGCAGACCAGGCATGAGATTAAGGGCTTTGAGGGCTGCAGCATCAAGCTTCATGTATTGGGCCAAATCGTGCTGGTACAGCTGATACTGGCCAAAGTTGGAGGGGTCCTGCAGGGCTCCAATATATTTAATCAGACATGCTGCAGAGCCCATGGCCAACTTAAGGTCTGTTTGCGGCAGCATGGCAACTGATTTTTCATCTTTTAAGAGGCGAGCCAAATCTTGCTCGATATCCTTGATGCCAAAGTCACCCGCGGGACGCTCGGCCAGGGCGACACCGCAGTTGTTGATGACTTGCCTCAGCTTTGCCAACTCGGGATCCCTCTCTTTTTCTTTTTCGTTTTTGTCGTACTGGATGAGGCACTCTCGGATGCCAAGCTGAATAAGGAGAGCCTCGAAATTGGAGTATAGATCGTTGTCGAGGAACTCGCTGACGCCGAGCTCTCGCACGCTGGCATCGGCGAAGCAAACGCCGACAGCGCGCGCCTCGGAAGCCTTTGCGGATATCTTGACGGCCATGATCATGGGTGCCGAGTCGATCTGGCCGCCCAGCTCGTCTTCGACGTCTTGGAGGTTTCCCGGGGACGCCTGCTTGATGCATTTCCAGTTCATCCGACCGCTGGAGCTCTGCCAGATTTCGACCCGCTTGCCCAGTTTGAAGAGTGCCTCGCGGAGGAATTGGCGGAAGACAGTCATGGTCATTGTGACGGAGGGGAGACCGGTGTGGTCATTCTTGCCGAGCTGCCTGACAACAGACGTCGTTTTGTAGACCTGGAAGCATTAGATTAGCGAATGTTGAGGTCGTAAGCGTGGCTGGCATCGTACCGTTTTGGCAATGAACAGGGCATCTTCGCCGTGGGCCGTGTACCAGTCGCCTCGATCGAATATCCGCACGGCATCGGCACCGATATCTGGCAGCGACTTGAAGAGGCGGATGAAGCCGCCCTCGTCATCGAGCTGTCCCTCAAAACGTCAGAATCCGTATTCGCTGCGAGTCTAGCTATGATAAATGCTGGCTGCACGTACCTTCAATTCGGGTCTTGAAGCCATGGTTAGGGAATATGAACAGCGCAATTCAATGCACCCAAAGTTTCCTCAAAAATCCCAAATATTCTCCTTCTAGCTGGATTGAAGGAGACCTAGCATGGAGAAGAGAAAGCAGCTGGTTGGAGAAGCGTGGCCTGCAGAATCTCCTTATCAAGCTGCAGGCGCGTGTTCTTGGAGGGGGAGACGCGTTTTCTGCTGCAATCAATTAAAGCTGGAGCTGGCGTTGACGCGAAAAGCCTAGATTAGATAAGCATCCACGCCGGTGTTGTAGACTTTAGCTCCGAGGATTGGCTATTGCTGTTGCTTTTGAACATGGATAGGTTGTCCAATGTACGGCCAAGTATAAATATTGATGTTTGCTCATACGCAGCTCAAAAACATGGTGTCAATATAAAGGATACTCAATTCGTCGCATTCATAATTCTCTCCCGGTTCCATTGGATATCGGCAACTTCAACATGGATAATCCAGTTGCTGCAAATGTCCTCGGGACACTTGGTGCTGCAAGTCCTTCCTTTTAGTTTTTAATCCATGTTATTCACAACTTTCACATGCGTAATGATGTGTATGGAAAGTAGGCTGATAGTAAATGCTTCATAGGTGTGTTGGTCTGTACAGGTATGAGCTTACCATTGCCTTTTGCAGATACAAGTGTAGCGCACATGGATCGTTTGCCAACTAAGTGAGAGGCAGCTTATACCGCAAATCATCATCAATTATCGTCGCCACAACACCATTGGCTTGCAGCCCTCAATGATGATGCTGTGGGCGTGGGCAGGTGTTCCCCTGGGGGTGTACAACATCACCAAAAAGTTCAATGTGGCCTTGCGCATCCAGCCTCAGATATTGACATTGCTCAGCCTCATCACTTGGACGCAATGCCGATATTATGACAAAGTAAGTATATAATACATCTTTTTATTTTCGCTTATTTAGCTATCTCCAAAGCTTGCAACCGCTAATCCACATGCTAGAAATGGCTCATCTCCCGTTGTCTTCTTGTGGTCATCCCAATCGCTCTCGTCATGGCTGGCATACAAATTGGCCTCATTTTTGCTCTTCGAGCCGCCCACTCTTCGCATCTCACATGGCCAGACACGTTGATGGCAGTGCTCTCGGCTGCTCTTCTTGCCGCTGGCGTCCTCAGACATTATTGGGATATATATGTCCACCGATCGGTCCGTGGGATCTCGTTCATCTTTGTAGGTATCGATGCCGCCGGCGATCTCTTCTCTCTGATCTCGGTGTTTTTCCAACCCAGGCTGGATATACTTGGTATGGTGATTTACGGAACCGAGTTGGCCCTTTGGACGGGCGTGTTCGCTTGCGGGGGATATTTCAACTTGCTCCCATGGATAAAACAAAACCTCAAGCCCTCTTCAGAAAGCGATCTGTCTTCCAACGCTTCTGAGCCACCCGCAGACTCAACCACTCAACCAGTTCATGGCATATCTCTTCAAAATATGCCGTCATCCACGTCCGTATTTAGGACGCCATCAAGCGAGATTGCTGTTGCGAGGATTAGAGCCGGGTTCCAAGATGTTGAAGATGAGAGGGACGCGGTCTCGTAAATGTGGTTTCGACATTGTAAAAAGTGATTTGTTGGAGCTGAAAAGGGTAACTGAAAAGGGTCGTAATAAAGGAAAGAAGAATGATAAAGCAAGCAAATCGATCGCTGAGAATCGCTGAACACATCAAAAGTTGCCATTTTACAAGAGTTCGCACAGCGCACGCGCCTTGGCCAAGAACAAGAGTAAATCTCGCGCCTCCACGAATTCGAAGCATAAAACGTGCAAGCTCGCCATAAACAGCCACGTACGGATGAACCTAAGAAGAGAATTGAGCGCAGGATTGTTTCCCACCACTTGTTGAAATAACGCGGTCAGCAAACCAGGATCATTCTCGTCCATATGTTGAACCGGAAATACTTCAGCAAGGGCACAGAAAAGCAGTGCGGCGAGCGATGAGTACTGCATAAAGAGAGCGAAATTGCCCACACTGCCTTCCGGGAATTGCTCCAGCGGAGGAAACATTCGGAACGCCGTGGCCGGAGATAGTCCTAGCATGAGGAAAACATTCGTCTCTATGGTGTAGAACATGTAGATGAGATACGAGATGGAATCCATCGTATCAGGAGCGATAGCCGACATGATGGAGCTCAAAGTGTCGACTTGCTGATTGCGGTGCTGGCCCTGATGTAAAGCGAGAGATGCGATCTGCGCTTGGGAATTGTTGACTCGGAAAATCTGTCGATTAAGAACAACGGACATGACAAGCATAAAATGAAGATTTACTGATGCTGTCGTTGGTGTTGATGGAAAATGAATGTAATGTGGCTTTGGAGAGTCTGAATTTATTTTGCATCAGGTAGGTAGGTATTGAAATACTGATTTCTTATATGGAAGGGACGCGCCGGACGAAGCGGCTTTCTTTACCGATCCCGTGCTCTGTTTTTTTATCTCTTTTATCCAAGAGACACCTGCTATGGTTATATCGCTCTTGCCATGGCAGACAGTCTAAATCAAGTAAGTGCTTGGCACGTCTAGCAGAGAAGCAAACTTGCAAGTTGTTATCTAATCTAATTCATATGGTCTATGCTAGATGCGTGATGATGCCGCCTCATCTCTGAGACTCACCCATGCGTCACTGCGCACCCACGTCTTCGAGAATCATATGCGCCGCCTTCTCGGCAATGGCATACACCGTCGCCTGGATATGCGCGCTGATTTGCAGCGGCATGACACTCGCGTCCGCAACTCGCAGGCGCTGGACGCCGTAAACTTGCAGCCGCTCATTCACGACGCCTCCGCCAATGCCTGCGTCGCCGCCCATGGAGCACGTCCCGACAGCATGCAGCGCCGCGCGAGTGCCGTTCAGGACGACCTGCTTCAGCTGTTCGTCGTCTTCAAATACGCTGGCCGGCGGGAGAAATGGCTGTTTGACGACGCTGTTGAATGGCGGTGCCAGCATGATGCTGCGTGCAAACCGCGTCGACTGCAGCATCAGCTCTAGATCGACATCGCCAGCTGGGCCATGATAATAGCCAATCTCAATCACAGGATCCTCCTTTGCAGCCGACTTGGGCTGGACGTGAATCGAGCCGGCAGCGAAGGGCTGCTGCAGAATTTGGGCAAGTATACCGTGCCTGCTATCCTTTCCTCCAAAAGCACCAGCTCCAAGTTTGAAGAAATACTCCACTAGACCAATGTTATCAGGGTCTCTGAGGCGCTGCTCCAAAATAGCCTTCTTCGCTGGAGACGGCTCTGCCAAAGCGTGGGCCTGAGAATATATCTTTTCTAGGGCATCCTGCTGTATGGTTGTCGTGAAAGGAACCATGGCATAGGAGCTGGGGATTTCGCCAAGAGGACCGGACTTGTCCCGAGCATACTGTTCACGAACTGCGGCCGCTCTCTCAGCATCGAGGATAAGCTCATCCGGATTGTCAAGTTCTGGGTCGACATCTACGATGAAAATGAGGGCTATTTGGGGTCTGTCAGCTTGGATACTATCATGAGTAGACCAGTCGCTGGCGTTGAAATGCACGGCTGTGTACATACCTTTGTGTTCCTGCAGGTTTTCTCCTACCATGGGACTATCCACCTTGACATCAATCCCAGCTCGCGACAATATCTCGGGATTTCCAACGCCCGAAAGCTCTAATAACTGCGGAGATTTAACGGTTCCAGCGGACAAGATGACTTCGCGAGATGCTGATACGGTATACTCCTGACCATTGTGAGTAAATCGAACTCCAGAGGCCACATATCCGCCATCAGCTTTGCCAAGCACAATTTCTTCAACCAGCGCTTCAGTCAGAATGCAGAGGTTGGAGCCAGCCAATGAGCAATACTCGGTTGCAAAACTTCGAGTTTTTGTGCGCGGGTTGACACTGGATAGATTTGCCCACAGTCCAGCATTTGAGCCTGAAAAATGAGCTGGGTTTGTTTCAACGCCCAACGAGTTGAGCCCCTTGAGCCATGGTTGATGGGCCTGCGAGTAGTCTTCCGCATAAGAGATGTGAATGGGTCCCGAAGTGCCAAAGGTATTGATGTCGTATCCGATACCAAATTTGTCTTGTGCAGATGAGCTTGGTGGATGGAACGTTTCCGACTTTTTGAAAAAGGGCCTATGGCATCACCAGGAGGTAAATAAATGCAATTCACATCACAGCCATTACTGCGTCTCAGGAAAAGAAACACTTACAGCAAGTCATCCCACCCCCATCCAGCATTGCCTAGTTGCGCCCAAGCATCGTAGTCCGCTCTGCCTGCCCTGGTCCAGCCCATATAGTTGATGGCGCTGGATCCGCCAAGTGCCTTGCCCCGAGGCCAGTTGTCTTTCACGCCTCCTTCAGTGCCTGGTGGCGTCGTTTCAAACTTCCAATCAATGTCGGTTTGCAAGGCCCTTCCAAAGAAGCCGGGAATCTCAACCTCATCGCGCCCAGTTGCTACTCCTCCAGCCTCAAGCACTCCAACGGTGAATTTGCCATCCTGGGCGAGACGGGATGCAACGGCAAGACCGGCGGTTCCACCACCAACGACGATGAAATCGAAGGCTTGGCGGGTGAAGTCGTCTATGGAAACTGTTTGCATGTTGGACGTTGAGGCGCTGATGAGGGATGTTACGAGAGATTAATTCCACAAGAGATTCACAATGTCATGCCATCTGGCGCATCATCTTGACAGAACCCTAGTCTTTTATATCTTTTATCCCGGTATCAGCTGCATAGCTAGACAAGCTCGGAAAGGCGCATCTCGCGGTAAGACGATGACCCCGCCTCCCGTTGCGGAAGCGGGGAAAGCAAATACAGCATTATCCTCAATTGTATAAGAAATAGATTTAGTAGGCATAGTATTAGTATGGCCTATCGCTGAGAATGGAATTACATACAGAAACTATGCATTTCAAGTTTCCACATGTCTGACAAAGGCCGACTTAAAATCTGACCGCAACTCCAAACTAGACGTTGGATTGCCTTTTAGCAACTTGTCGGACTCCGATAGTTTGTTAGTTTAAAATCAAATTCCCTATTATGGATAGCTGGGCGTTTACCCCTTTCAAACGCATTAGCCCTCTACCCTGCATCACAAGTGTAGATAGAAGCTGTCGCTACATCGAAATGTAGCTGTCACAAGCTACATCTCCATTGATGTTGTAAGACTTGGGTAAATAAAGGAATGGTAAATGTGTTATAAGAACATTTCGCCTCATGTGTACTTTGTTGGTTGTCTCTTGGAACGCAGATACCCGATCGAGACATTCCAGCCTGTTCAAGAGCATCGGGCATCAACCTCCAATAATGACATCATGGACCGACGCCTTAAACTCACTCCTCTTCACATGTTTATCAATATTCACTGAAAATGAAGATGAAATCCATCTTTTGAATTGTTGACTGCATTGTTTTTTTTTTTTTTTTTTTTTATTCTTCTTAAGAAAATATACTCTTACAATGGCCAAACCGCGAGTGATATATTGGTTCCGGACTGATCTCCGTCTTCACGACTCGCCCGCCCTCCAAGCAGCTTTGGATCTTGAGCCGGAGGTTCTCTGGCCGATTTTCACCTGGGATCCTCATTATGTGTATAAGGCGAGAGGAGGAGTGAATAGGTGGCAGTTTTTGTATGAGAGCCCCCCCCCGGCAAAGTCGAGCTTGGATACTAGAATAAAGCATATGCTAATTCAATGAAATCTACAGGCTAGACTGTCAAAATGACCTTTCAGACTCCATCACAAAACTAAACAAAAACTCCAAACTATTCGTCCTGCGAGAAGGCCCGCAGACTCTCTTCCCCAAGCTCTTCAAGGCCTGGAAACCCACGCATCTCGTCTTCGAAAAGGACACGGACGCATATGGCCGCTCTCGAGACGAGGCCGTCGCAAAGGCAGCCCAAGAGGCCGGCGTCAAGGTCATTATCCGATCAGGCCGAACGCTCTGGGACAGCGATGGCATCGTTGAGAAGCACGGCGGTAAGCCCACAATGTCAATCACCCAGCTCCAGGCTGCGGGGAAGAAGATTGGGCCTGTTGCGAAGCCGCTGCCTGCTCCTGAGAGGTTTCCTGATCCGGGCGATATGCCTGTGGATTTCGAACAGCATGTTCCGGATAAACATCCAGATTTCAACGCGGGGTATAGATCGGAAAAGGATACGGGATACAACGCCATTGCAGGCCCCAACGGCGACTTCGCAATCGAGACGTTGGAAGAGCTCGGCTTCGCTCCCGCCACGACGCCCCATCGCGGCGGCGAATCCATTGCCCTCAAAACCCTCGACGGACTCATCAAAAACAAGAGATACACCGCAACATTCGAAAAGCCCAAGACAAGCCCAGCCCAGTTCGAGCCGCAGTCCACCACGCTCCTCTCCCCCTTCTTCCACTTCGGCGCCCTCTCCGTCCGCCTCTTCTACTGGCGCGTCCACGAAGTCGTCGAATCATACGGCAAAGGCGCATCAACGCCGCCAGCGAGTCTCATCGGCCAAGTCCTCTTCCGCGACATGTACTTTGCCGCCCAAGCAGCCCTCGGCCAGTCCTTTGCGCAGACAGCCACAAACGCTTACTGCCGCTTCATTCCGTGGCACTTGCCCTCCAAGCGGGATCCAGAAACGGGCTTTGCCACGGGAGACTACCACATCGACAAGCCAAAAGCCGAGGAATGGTTCCAGAGATGGAAAGCCGGCGTCACGGGCTTCCCCTGGATCGACGCCCTGATGCGCCAGCTCAAGCAAGAGGGCTGGATCCATCATCTCGGGAGACACAGCCTCGCCTGCTTCCTCACCCGCGGCGGCTGCTACGTCGACTGGGAGCGCGGCGCCGAAGTCTTTGAGGAATTGCTCATCGATCACGAGCCGGCCTGCAACATTGGCAACTGGCAGTGGCTCGCTTGCGTCGCCTTTTTCGCGCAGTACTATCGCTGCTATAGCCCCGTATCATTTGGCCAGAAGTGGGATAAGAATGGCGACTTTATCCGCCGTTGGGTCCCAGAGCTCAAAAAGGTAAAGGCAAAATACATCTACGAGCCGTGGAAAATGCCCCTCGTGGACCAGAAGCAGGCCGGCGTAAGAGTAACTGGCGGCGGTCTTTCAGAGCGCCAAGAGGGATCGTACCCCAAGCCCATGTTTGACTTTGATGAGCGACGAAGCATCTGTTTGTCGGCTATGAAGAATGCCTATGCGGTGGGTTTGCACGGTAATGATGAAAAGGTTTTGGACGGAAGCTGGCGGTCACTGTTTCCATCCCCCGATGAGGCTGAGGTCATGGGTGAGTATGAAAGTGATTATGGGGAGACCGCAGATATTGGAGATGAGGAAGAAGACCAAGAAGAGTTGAATGGAGACTCTGCAGGGATCAAGCGTGCGGCGAGAAAAAACAGTGCAGATGCCAAGACAAAGAAGCAGAAAACATAAGGGTAGCTTGACGAATGAAAGGATAATAAATAATAATTCTCCTTAAAAAAGATCTTCATAGGATTCAAAGGCGTTACATGTTCAAACACGAGCAATTCTCTATAGGACATATGTCAAGCTGGACCAACTTCTTGATTACCATTAACAGTCTTTAAAAACTAGATTAATTATCATCTTCCAAGATCGCCAAAACCAGTTCCTTGTTATTTCGTACCAGGTATGAAAACAGTATGCGTCTCCCTCAAAATCTTCAGTGCAAGGTGGAATTTGTCCCATTAAGTGGCAACACTCCGATATGTCGAACAGGCATCTGCATTATATCCCAGTGATCGGAGATGTTGGGGTTGCCATAAGGCCGCAAAGCGGCGAAGCGGAACCTATGTATTGACAAGATTAGCGTGTCTGGAAACTAAATGGTAGATATGCTTGGATCCTGAGCCTCACGTATAATTGCCTGGCGCAATATGGCTTCCGTTTGCCAGCTTGCCAAACCACCAATGTTTGGCATAGCCCCGAGGGACTCTCAGTTGCGGAAATGATATCGTGTCGTCCTTGTTCATACGGTTTGGGTCGAAATACCAAAAGGTATCAGCATCTTTCATTGTAGCTGCAGAGCCTATATAGCCGAATTTCCCGACAATGGGGGGATATTGCCAGCGGTTCTCTGTCCAATATGTATCGAAGATCTGCAGCATAGAGCCAAATCAGTCATATGGCCAGACAGATAACAAGGGTAAAGTATGTATACTGACATCCCAGCGGAGATGAACGCACGGGTAATTGAGACGTGCGGATAGCTCAATAAAGTCGAACCGGTTTCTGGTTGGGTTGAAAGACCACCTGTATCATCGCGTTAGATATACTCATTAGAGTACCCATGGCCGTTACTCACGTCCAATTCGCACCCCAATCTGTGATGAAGGGGTCTCCCAAAAACATGGTGTCGAAGGCTTTCTCGGTATCGTAAGCTGCCCCTAAAGCACACAAAGTGTATCAGCTTGTTGTAATACCCAAATCAAGCCAATTTGGGCAGAAAAATGTACCTCCGTAGGGAATGGAGAGGTTTTCGTCATTGTTTCCTCTGACCCAAATCTTTCCGCCGTATAAAGGTAGATAATCATCACTTATACCCTCTGGTGGGCCGAAGATGAACCTCGAAGTTTGTCAGCTACAAAAACGCAAAAGAGGATACTGGGAAATTATTACTCGACCTGCCGCGTCTCTCCAGGAGATAAGATGACATCTTCAGGCAGCACTACTGGTGGCACAATCTGCAACGGCTCGAGCTGATAGACTGTTTTAATCCCGTAATGCGGATCCAGGATTTCTACTCCAGCTTGCGGCTCAAGCTCAAAAGAATATGCAACTGTTTGGTTCCCCGAGTTGGTTATGTCGACGTTCCACTTGGGGCGAAACTGTACGGAATCTGACAGAGAAAATGGTTCAAAGGATAGCTGAGTAACATGATTGATGACTTTGAGAGCGTTGACAAGGCCGGTACCTACTTGAAATGGAGGAGCTCTGAACCGGGAATCAACATGATCAGCAGCCCAGCCAATGCTGATTCCACTGGAAACGATACGGTTTGCTAGCATTTTTGCAAATCCCGGACCATGTAGTTCACGGCCACCGTGCTTGGATATGTACAGCGCCGCAACGCCTGCGATATATGGTGCGGCCATGGATGTCCCGCTCATAGACTCGTAGCTGTTGCCTGGCACCGTGCTAACGATCTCGAATCCTGGAGCGCCAATATCAGGTTTGAGCAGCAACTCATTCGTTGGGCCCCATGAGGTAAATAGAGCGGGAAGAGGCGCTGCGTTGGGATCAGAAGTGCTGATATTTGGATTTCCAGTTACGTTAATGGCAGCCACAGACACGACATTATGGCCGTTGGCGCCGCTGCTTGAATAAAACGGTCCAGTGTTGCCTTCATTCCCGGCTGAAATTGTGACCACAACACCCTTGTCGGCAATTCTGCTGGCAATGAGAGCCCAGGGATCATCAGCAAACCCATCAGGTCTGCCGATACTTGCCGTAATGATGTCGGCCTATCGGGGTGGTTAACTGTAGAACGCACGGCTAGGTATAAGAAGGCTTACCCCAGCACCATATGCGTCACAAAACGCCTGGATGAGTACATCTTCGTCAGTGTCCCAGGGATTCTAGACAACTTGTTATTAAGATGTTGGTTTCGGCAGAGGAAAGCAAGAGGGGTTTACGTCGGCAAAAACTTTGAATGAAAGAACCTGTGCATCAGGAGCAACTCCAACAAGCCTGGGAGCGGGGATGATATTAGCGACAGGAGCAATTAGAAGCATAGTTTGGCGGATTACCATTCGTTTTCCGCTGCAATGATGCCGGCCACATGGGTTCCGTGGCCATGAAAATCCATAGGATCTTGATCTGGCTCCCTTGGAAACTTTTTCTCATTATGCGAGTTCCCTTCAGATTCACATCAGCTCTCGTATCACCCTCATTGTCATCTCGAAGATTCTTACAATTTGTACCAACAAGATCGTAGCCTCCAGCAATTTTGCAGCCTGGGCCAAAACACCCGCCAAGCTATAGATGTATTTAGCACAAGAAGCTAATTCATCGACGCAGAGGTCTACCAACCGCTTCGTGGGTGTAATCGACGCCTGTATCGATAATTGCAACGGTGGCGCCTTTGCCTCGAATACCTTGAGCGTGAAGCTGATCGACGCCGGTCCATTGATGCATTGAATAGTTGTGATATTTGGGTTCAGAAGCAGCCTTTACTCTCTGTATGGCGGATGTCATGGGCACAGTCTTCATTGGCCAGACGTTGGACACACCCCGAAAGTTGCTTAAGGTGTCGACGTTGTCAATTTCAGTCTCGACGACCAATCCTTGAAATACATCACCGCAATCAAACTGTCTATAATAGGTGCTGTTTCTCGATGACGGTGCTGCAAACAGACGAGCCATGTATGGAATGCTCCCCTGAAGAGAAATATCAGTCTGCAAATTTGACCGCAATGAAGTGCCACAGCAGCATAACATACATTTTCGACTTCGATTATGTACCTATTTGTGGCAGCATTGACATTTCCAGTAGGCGTGTCAGTCATTCTATGTTGCTCGGTTTTCAGCGATGCTGTCCCCATCACGAGAGCGGCGAGGCTCCAAAGGCTGAGGGCCCGCATGCTGATTTGTTTCAAATAGTCAAGAGGACAATTTGAATGAAAATGGTCTTTGGCACAGTCTCACTGCTCAGATAGTATTTGGATCAAGCTTTGCCGGTAAAGGTAGGTTCAGCTCGGGCAAGAGGAAGCACACAAAGGGAATTGAAGAGGCTCAGTCAAAGAACAGTGCACAGTCAAGCAAACTCAAGCCTCATTACAGCAACGAGGAACCGTCGAGAAATGCGAAAGATAAAAAATCATGCCAATGGCGGTTTATTATCACAGTTGCCGGTATCAGCTGTCTATCTGCAGTCAAGAACAAACTTTTCGATAATCGAGACGGCATATTCATCCGACTTGGTCTTTCCCCACGGGTAGCGACATCTGCTCTTTCCTCCATATGATCTTTTCAAGTTGTATATCTCAGAGTTTCACCGGGCAGGTACACACTATCTGCCGGGAAAGATGCCCCTCGGCAGCGCGAGTGCTCCTACCACGGTATCCGCACCTTCCCGCAACGGAGCTCTTGCACATCCGCGATCACCCATAGCGAAGATCCAGAGTGAGAAAGTGCTCACGAGCTCGATCGGCTCTTTGCCGTGCCGGCGGGTCTGATGCGGATATCTGCGGATGTCGGCAAGATGCAGAACATACAGGGAGGCACTTTGTACTTTGCAGTAGAAGCGAGTTGCATCATGTATCACTGCCAGTGTATCTTAGCTCACTTCAGCCGAGTCATGGTCGCACCCGATGCCGTCCAGTATGCATACTCGAGAGAGATCTCCTAGTAGGATAGAAAATAGCTGTGAGTTACATTGCTAGCTGGAGGCAATAAACACCCGCTACCTCATCAGGTTTACGGGCTCATAGCAGCAGTTTCTAGAAGTGTATCATTGCTGATTTTTGCATCCAGGTTGCATTCTGCTAGTTGAAGAGCTGGGGCCACCAAAGAAACAGCACGAGGCTTCGCTTGAACAAGTTTTGGGTCGAAGCTAGCTTCTCCTGAGATGTAAAGGCTGGATATAGCCAAATTTAAGCCTACAAACTACCATTGCTCGGCTGCTCCACACCCGTGCGCCGTCCACAGGAAAAGTGGTGCTTAGGCGCACAATGAGTACAAGTTGGAGGCAGAGGCAGAGGATCGTTGGAAGATCTGTGTGCTCGGGAGCTTCCGATAATGCCAACGGGATCGCTAGACGGCCTCTCGCACCATGTGAGACGCATGAGACAATAGCAGCAAACACGGCCGAGCAGCTTTCGCCTCGTTGTATTTCGCCTCGTACGAGCACAGAGGACTCGCAAATTCATCTACGTGTACTAGAGGTATTCCCTTCTGTCGCTGATTATGAACCATTAGCACTATTACATGATACATCCATTCTAAATCCTGATTGCTTGCAGAGTCCCAGCTCAGCTCCTCCGTGCAGGGGCCCCGTTTCCGTCAAGATCGCGCCTCGCTTCTGGAATCCACGTGGAAAAGAGTGCTAGGCGCAAACATGGTCTGCACCCATGTATTTGATGTCACCAGCGAGCCGTGACTTGTCGGCGCGTCAAAATGGGAGATTGGGCTGGGCTGGGGATCGCAAATCGCAATCATAGGCGAATGCGCGACGGTCTAGGTATTCTCTGATGCCGTCGCCAACAGACCCAGCGTTCTGGCCCAAAGGCGACGGCTAAAGTCGAGACGAAGGATGAATGCAGGGGTTGCCGGACATGCACTACTGTTAGCATTTTAGCTACAGGAACGAGGCGCCCGCCATGCATCTCCAAGGCACTACCGCATGTAGCACGACAGCTATCAGGTACAAGTACCACCGGTATGGTCGTTGGATGGGGCCTGATGCGGTTTGGTTTGGGGACGCGCAGATGCAGGACGAACGAGTGGACAAGACAGGGTTGCCGTCGCAAATACGAGTACGGCCGTATCCTGCTGGGCTGTCGTGCATGCAACGCCGAAGGCTAATTATAGGCAGGCATATATGCCTCCTGTACTGTTTTCATGCAGACAGCAGCAGATGGAGAGAGACTCGCAGGCAGACAGATAGAAGACAGAATCGCTGCGAGTTGGTGTTGCAGATTGCGACCTGCCGCCCAGCAGAAACAGCATGGCGACCATGCAGGTTTCAATCGATAACGGCGGCCAAGACTCCCGTTTTCAACCAGCCAATGTCGCTTATTGGGAGCTTGCGCCGGGGCTGGCCAAGGCAATCCTGCGAAGCCCGGCTTGGGGCCGGCGACCTTTATTGGCGCAGCAGACACACCCACAACGGCTCGACCTGGGTCGCGGCCACTCGGGCCACGAGGAAGCCCCTGCGCTAGAGAGTCCGTATTATGGAGCAGAGTGTTTCATGAAGCCAGGAAGGCGAAGCATTTTTGCAAGCAGAGTTGAGCAGCAGGGAAGAGGAGATGGAGAATAGAGACAAGGAAGAGAATGGGCAGACACGAGATACAGAGAGAGACGGGCATAGCACAGTTTCAGGACATTCAGGCATGGATATCATGGATATGGAGCACCCAGCACCTGAACAATGCCTGTTTGTAAGCACGTCAATTCTGCAGCTGGCCGTCCTCGTCCAAGCGTCTTCGTTTTTCCTTTTTGCCTCCAACCTATTTCTCATCAATCACTCTTCCCGCTGGGTAGTAGTCAATAGTGCTCACGCTAGCACAGTCAGTCTACACAGCCGTTCGAAAAAAGGCTCAGCGTAATCGCAACCTCTAGTCCTGCGCAGCATCAGGAGACGCCTGCATCTGGCAATTCGCCTTTATCCCCTCGATCCCAGCGCCTTACCTGGCATGGAGCTGTAGCCACCCACTACAGGGTGGTAGTGCTCCTCCGTAACCACCTTCTCATAGCGACGTGGGGTCCCCTGCAGCTCAATCAAGCCCTCTGTCAATTAGCGTCCTTAGCGCTGGAGCGCCCCAAGTAGCGATACCTCCCAGGCCACCCAGACCTGCCCGTCCGCTGCTCCCGCGCTGTCGCTCGGCCACAGCAGCCTGCCAGACGACGAGTGCTGCAAGGTCCAGGTACTTGCAGCGCGTGGCCGCCCCCCTGACCCCGGGCCTTTAGTGGCGTGCCGCCTGCAGCGTTGCCACGAGAGTACCGGTACAAGCCCGCGGTGCAGAGTACGGGCTACCTGGTCCGCCGGTGTCATCTCCGCCAGCGACCCTCGTACCTCATACCTCGTACCTGCTGATCCGTATTGTTGCCCCCGGCCCGCCAACTGACCTTCCACTCTTCTCTCTCGTCTTTACCTTCAACTTGAACTTCTTTTTCTTCCCATCTCTTTTTTCTTCTCTAGTCCTCATCCAGCCAACAGGCCCCTGTAGCTGCAGCTCCCCAACCTCTTGTCACTCTTTTCTTCTTCGCTTCTCTCAACCTATTCAACGGTACTAATACAGACGGAAAACCCCAAAAGTCCCCTGCCAACGTACCTCTTCTTTCCTTTGCATCCTTCTTCAAGACCGCTTCTACTTCGACCATTGCCTGATTCTCCTCTACCGTGACCTATACTTGATACACACGCGGCTCTTGTTACTGCAAATACCCACACGAACACACTCAGGGGACATCTACTCGATCCGAACTTCAACACCTTTGTCTTACACCACCTGAAACGAGCAGCAAGAACCTCGAAATACGAACGATTCCCGCCTCAGACTCTCTTCTAGTCTTCTCTCAGCTTCAACCTTACTTCCGTCGCAAACATGGGCCAGAGTCTCTTCGACCGCATCCAGGCTAAGCTGGAGCTCTTCCGCCTTGAGAAACGCTACACCCGTCGCCGCAACCGTCGCTCAACCTTCGTCTCCAATGCCGTCTATGTGGACGGCGAGTACGTCTACCAAACTCCCAACAGCACCGGCTCCTCCTCAGAGTCCAACGCATCCCGCAGCGACGCCCTACACGGCGACCGCGCATCGCCCACTCCCAGATTTCCCCTGCCCTCCATGTCGACTGAACCCACGACTCCTACCATGGAGACACTGCCTGAGCGCAAGAAGTTGAACCGCTTCAGCTCAATGCCTGGCTTTGGATCACGATCAGAGGAGCAGAGAACAGTTCAGCGCCGAACCAGCATGATTCGATAAAGTGTTTCCAAGTCAACAGAAACAAGAATCAAATTACATAAAAAAAAAAGACAATCATTTCATTTTGGATGGTGTACGGTTCAAATTACCAGACGACAAGGGCGGAAGATACCATTTGGGAGGCCTTTGGTTACGTTATCCCATGGCAACCCTACGCATACCTAGGATTGTACCGCATGTCGTTTTGACGAATATCACTTGCATATCATCAGAGTATATGTTTTTTATTTCACACTCGTTCTAACATTCTAGAATTACACCCGCTCTGTTCACTGTCTGGATATGAGTTTTGGTGCCCGGACAGATTTCACTGGATACGCTTCATCGCCGGCTTAAAGCATCCTCATACATTTTTCTTACTATTTCTTTATTTCTCTTTATTATACGGAGCTGGGCGCAGAATATGACATGTCTGCTATGGCGGTTGAGCTGAACATATTTCCTCAATACGGTCTTGTATATAGATGCTAAAAGAATTGATGAAAATTTTTCGAAATCTTTCAACGTATTACCCTTGATACAGTGACGATGCGGCGCTGCCGGAGCTGTATTGCGTACTGCTCGCATGATGACCTATTCCCGCATATAGTAGCATGGTATTATCACAACCCGGCAGTTCCGCACCACTAGAGGCCCGTATCCGACGTGTAAGTCAAAAGCCGCAATACGGTATTCGCCCCAGTTGTCCCCATCTCGGTGACGGAGAGTCAGGGAAGACACGTATCAGGCATTAACTCAGCGCCCACCAACCAAAAGCCATCCTCTTCTTCACCTCGAAGCTCTTTTCGCCGCCGCGTCATGCGCATTACGTAGGTGTCAACGGCCACTACGGCCACCCACGCACACCAAATGGCATGACAATGTGTGTAGTTGTAGAGAATCTTACCAATCAGTACCAATCAGTTCCCAAATGGGATGATAGCTCCAAATCCAAAAAAGAAAAAAGTTCACCTCTCTTTGTTTTTCCACATGGAAAGTAATGGCTGTGGCTTGGACTAAGGAAGTATCCGACGTCGCGGCGTGCCGAAGTATTGGGACTTGGCTTAGCGTTCAACGTTTGCGTATTGGGGAGAGCCTCAAAAGGTTTAATGTTTTGGAAAAGAAAAGTGCTGAATGGGACTAGATGAATGACATGTAAGGTAGTTCTGACTACTAGAGGAGGCGAGAATACATGACATGGAATTGGAATCGAACAAGATTGCCCATCCGGGAGCGTTATATGGCATGTGTGGAGATTTTTTAGGTTGTCCGCGTGTCTAGGTCATGAATCGTATCGCCATCACATTGCTCGTTTTCTATTGGTCCTTTGTACTTTGTCCTATATTTTTGGAGTGATCTTCCTTTTTGGTGGGTTTTGAGACTCGATTCACATTTTTTGGGAAAGCTTGCTACTAGAATTGGACAAAATTACTTCGATATCAAGGTATCTTTGAAAAGGGTTTTAACATGTTTGATTTCCCGTTGATTTGCTAACATGCAAACGAAAAAAATGATGTGGCGAATTGAGTTGTTTTCTTGTGCATGTCTGGGTGAGGCGTCTTGCGTTTTTTTTTTTTGCTCTACCAGTGGATTTGACAGGTCTCGATGGCCGCGATATCCGGGATGATGGAAAGTAGAGGTACTTTGAGCTGCGGGAACAGATGAATCGTTTAGGTGAGCTATCTATTCTGCGATTCGATGTGGACATGACGTCGGTAGTTACTGGCTAGTCATGTATTGAGATCTTGCTGTTTGAGGCAGTTGGTAGCGTGTCATTGGGTCTAGTTGATGCGGTCTATAAGCAGTTTCAACTTCATGCCTAGGTACCTATTATAAGGTTGATGCGAGTAATACGCACGTCCATGTTATCTAAACTGCGCATTAAGAACAATTGGTATTCAACAAGCTAGGATTTAATATAGTTCGCCTGTAAAATCAAGCACGTAAATAAAACAAAGTGGCCGCAAAAATCACTTGCCCATTCGAAGCTCAGCTTCACAGCATATAATAGCAAACCCAGTCTAAAATCTATAATTACATCTTACATAACAAAAACCAGCGTTAGAATATCAATAAAAGAGACGTCACAATATTGATCAACAAGAAAGAGAACAAAGGCTTGGCATGGGCAGCAAGCACAATGGACGCAGCGCAAGATAGATCAGGCTGCATGGCACTCATAGCAGAAAATCCATTTGATGATGCTCGCTGTTAAATGCGCTTCCAAGCCAATCAGCAAAACAGCAGCTATATAAACGTGCTGTTGATCCTCATATTGCCTTGACACCAACTCCCAACGCCCGTATTATGCGTTTCGCAGACGTATATGGCAAATCGCCTTTCCGGTATCCAAGTGCAATAGTAACACATGCACACCAACTCTATAAAAAAAAACGCCGCCCATGACTTTATGTGGCTTTATGCCTTTGCCACCAACCCATCGTATGCCCGGTCTACAGTTCGGCCGCCCAGGCCTGGAATCGTTCGCAGTTGAGACAGCGTCTCAATCTCGCCGCCGCCCTCAGTGCTCGCCAGCTCTAGATAGCCTACCAGATCTTGAGCCTTCTTCGCGCCGAATCCTACGAGACCTTGGATCTGAGTTGCGTCTCGTGAGTTGACTACGTCTAGTAGTCGTTGGGTATTAGGTGTATTGTCTTCATCTTCTTCCGTGAGAAGAGTTTTTGGTGCTGCTCTGGCCTTGAGCTTGCTGGCTTTAATCTTTGGCGTAGAAGCCTGGCATTCCTCTTCCTCTTCTCCATCCGCTTCAGCATCATTATCGTCTTCCGAGCTCACAGGCTTGCGTCTCGGCTTGCGGTCTCTTCTTCTTTCCCTCTTTTCAGGAGATGATGCGCCCCCTGAGGCCTCGATACGAGCTCGTAGACGTTCAATCTTTCCCATGAGCTTTGGCTGGTTTGGGAAATATGGAAGAGCCATCTCATAGGCCTTGAGCGCAGCAGCATCATCGCCGCGCTCCCTGTGATGCCTTGCTGCCAGTAGAAGCCGCAGCCCCTCAGATTTGGCATCTTCTCTCCATTCTTCGTTTTCAATCCGCCGCTCCAAAGCTTCCAGCCGTCTCTGAACCGCATCACCGGCCTCCGGCGAAATTTGTGTTCGTCGGAGAGATTCTTCAGCTGCTTCTCTCGCTGCCAGTATCTCGCTAACCTTTCTCTCCACCATGGCCTCAATCTCAGCTGCCGTTACAGTGACAGTTTGCTGTGAAGGTGAAGGTTGCGACGGTTCTGAAGGTTGCGAGGACAGTGAGGGCCGCGAGGTTTGAGTCACTTGTCGTTGAGGGGTTTGATGAACAATTGGCCGAGCAAGCTTGCTGGGCCGAGAGGTTGAGTCTTGGTCGGAAGGCCGCTTCAGCGATGAACGACGGGTCTGGGAAGAGGAGCGAGTCGTACCAGAGGTCGCACCAGAGGTCGCACCAGAGATCGCACCAGAGCTGGCTCTAGGACCCGAGCTGGTTCTAGGGCGCGCAATTCCCGAAGGCTTTGCCTTGTCTGTATAGACGCTAAATGCCTTGACGGGCTTGGCTGCTTCTGCTGGTTTGTCTGCCGTTTTTCCGCTGCTAACATTGTGAGTGTTGATCGCATTGGCCAAATTTTTCAATGGCTGTCGCTGGTTAGTTGTAGCAGAGTTCGTCCTAGGAACCTGCTTGAAAACGACCTCATTCTCAATCTCGCGGACCTCGATGCGCTTGGCTCGAGAGCTCACGTTTAAGCTGCTGAGAGTATCCAAGTGATAATTTCGCAGCGGCGATAAGTTTAGGATCATGACTGTGATGCCGTTATTCTGACCCAATGACAGAATTCTGGTCATTTTGGACTCGCGATACGGTATTCTCTTGGCTCCTTGTGAGATGGCATCAATGCACTGGCTGAGAACAAACAAGCTCTTGTTGATGGCCGCTGATTCCACCATTCGCTCCTTGTCGTTATCGGTTCTGCGATTGTCTTCCGAACCAGCCAAGTCAATGGCGGATGCCGTGCTTTCGCGAACCATGTTACCGGTTGTTTGCGTCAACTTGACCCGTAAGATGGCGTGACTTCGACTGCTGAGGGCGTTTAGCTTGGTGGCGGCTGTTACGCGGTGGTTGTTCGCCTCGATATATAGCTTTTCAAAGTCTTTAAGATCTTCGCAGGCTCGCTCTGTCAAGCCCACGACGACAGTCTTGCCGTTGGCCTCTGCACGGAGAGGCAATCCTGTTGGTGTCCGTTTCTCAGGGGGTTCCAGCAGGTCATAGACCTTGTCGTTGTAGATTTCGTAGTATGATAGAGCCACCTCCACCACCGTCTCTCCTTCTGACTCCTTCATAATCTTCTTTCCTCTGCGGAACACGCCACTCAGCAAGCGGGGAATGACGCCTCGCTCGGCCAGCTTCATCCCTCCTCGCATCGTATGCGTCTTCCCCGTACCCGTAACTCCATACGCGAAGATGGTGACATCAACACCCTGGAACAGCGATTTGAGATGCGGTGCCACTGCTCAGGTTAACATGGATAGTCCAGCAAGACGCAAGACGCAAGACGCGTTTAGGAGCAACTCCCACCTTCTGAAGTAAACAGAGTCTCTTGCGACGTCTCCTGGTCATAGACGCCATTGAACGTAAACGAAAACTCCTCGCTCTCGTTGCGCGGGTTCGGGATCTTGACAACCGTCGGCGGCTTCTCGGGGTCGACGCTGTCGGTTCGAACGATGATGTCCTTGTCCAGCTCCTTGGACAGGAGAGGCCGCAGCCTGGCGACGACGCGGACCGACATTGGCGGCCGATTGAGTCTGGGGCCGAGGACGAGACAGCAGGCAGCAACCGCCGGGACACGAAAGAGCCGGTGATGATATCGAGGCTCCTAATCCTGCTTAGTGAGCATTTGTCGCATGTGGAATGTGAGATTAATTAGCATCGAGATTGACCGAGTTTTCAGCTGGTACATCCGCAATACGGGGTAAAGCGTTACATAACGAGGTACCCGGCAAGCTATTTCCAGCTGCGTTGCCGCGGCAACCACGCGCGAAGCCATGCTGGGCCTAGTCCCTGTCCAGCGCTGGGTCCGGGAAAGACCGCCAGGCATTGCGAGAATTGCCGGGATTTTAGCGCCTCGACGGACTTCGCAGAAGCTCGACGTCAAGTTTTCGAGAAGCTCTCAAGAGCTCGACAATCGGCGCAATGAGGGGCCCTTCGCCGCTGCTACGGACGGCGCGCGCATTGCGCAGCCAGAATCCGGTGCAATACGTGTGTTGCCAGTGCCGAGGCATCCAGATCAGCGCAACGCCCAGCACTGAGTCGCCGAGAACTGGTGGGGGAGATGCATTTGGCGCAGTGGAAAATCTGCGAGACTCGGCCGGTATGGCGCCACTTCTGCGAGAAGTTGTTTTTGCATATGGTGATGCCTGAACTGACAGCTTGTGATTAACAGATGCCCGATTCGAAGTCATTGGCTCGCCATATTCGTTGCTCTCAGTTTCTCTCTCGGCTTCACAGAGACTATATACACGACGTGGGACGCTGGTCGCAGTGGCGGGGAATCCAGACAATGTAAGAGCGCTGATATGCGGCCGCACATACGGAACTGGCATCATTGACAAGTTGGTGTTTTATAGGCACAATCGACACTGTCGCTGCTAAATCCTCTCTCCCGAGCTCCATTCGGAGTCCCCTTCATCTACCAGCGCATCTCTGCTACTTCGCCAATCACGGCCTTGATCTCTACCAAAAACCCCAATACCACATTTTCGATTCTACACCTCGATGGAACGACCGACTGGATGGTGACTCAGCGCAATGCTCTGCTGGCTTGGACTGGCCACACCCTTTCTCTCTCATCACGGATTCAAAGGAGACTTTCGGTGGCGCATTGGGGAAGCACATTCGTGACTGGACGTGGCCTGGCGGCTCTATCGGCGCCTGGGCAGATCTACCAACTACATCTATCTGAAGGCGAGGAGTTTGTCGCCCATCCTGGTAGCGTGGTCGCATACTCTGTAACAAAGCAGCAGCCTTTGCCTTTTAGATTCAAGAGCGCCAGTCTCCGATTCCAGATTCCATCTCTGACGTCTTGGATTCCCGAAACGGAATTCATGAAGAAAGCGCGCGGATCAGAAGCCTACAAGTTCCTCGCCCGTGTTTTCTACAGCCTTCGGACCATGACCCGTCGGACAATCTGGGGTGACCGTTTGTTCTTGCACTTCAAAGGGCCTAGCACCATTCTAATGTCAAGCCGGGGCGTGCGCGTCGTCGATACCCTTTCAAACGAGCAGGTCAATGAAATTGCCGATGCCCAGGCCGGTACATTAGCTTCCGCGCTTGAGCTGTCCGATAAGCCTCAAAGCGCGCAGACTACAAAAGAGGACGTTGTCGAATCCGGAATCAAGGTAAAACAGACAAAGGAGGATGGAAAAGTAACATTTGTGGATAAAAAAGACCTGAAAGAGTTTGTCTAAAAAAAGGAATCAACTTGGGAGACAAAAGAATCGGACGGCGGATAGAACTATTGCTTGCGGAACAAGCTTGTATGTTGTTGTATATTACGAAAGTCACCTCGGTGATTCAGCTAGGTGTCGAGTCACTTTGTTTGCAACACGGAAGATTTGATAAATCTAACTTACATTTGGAGCTACGGTGATGGTGTGGTTTGCTGCTGCTGCCAGTTGGAATGTGATCAATGCGACTCTTGTGCCTGCGCGCAGACCAATGCTCGGATCTCGTGGCGGTTGCTCTGAGCGCGAAAGCCACGCGCCAAATTGTGGGTGAGTGAAGAAAGTTCTGAGAATGCCCTGTTCGTTTTTGGGGGAGTGCTGTCTTGAACGAGACGCCCAGAAGCAGGGGGGTCAGGATGGTGCCATCTTGATGGTTAGAGATGTCTGTTTGGCAGCGGGATGGGTGCTTTCATTGCAAATCCTTGAAGAACTTGCTTTCATCGCGTATGCTATTCGCTGACAAACCAGGCTACCTTTATACTCTTTGTTTTGCTTTGATACCGCCAGACTTTTGCTCGTCTAACACTTCAGACGATCTATCCTTTAGCACTACCACAGGCGAACCATCTTTCATGACCGGGCCTCTTTCACGACCGGACCTCTTTCACGACTGGGCGACTGTTCCTGACCAGACGCGGGGTAAAAGCGAATGGGCCATTGTAGACACTTCAGACTAATATCAAAGCGGCAGCCTAGGACAATTGTTTGCTTTAAGCGCGGCCAACACACGCTTTCTGTTCTCGCCACACCGTTGGGACATGTACTTGGACGTGTGAAAAGGAGAAGAATGAAATCCCCGAAGAGAGGAATCCCGAAGAGAGAAAGAAGATGACAATGAAGGGAATAATTGAACGGCTGGATGCTGTTGTACCCACGCTGTATTGTGTTTGTTTTGTTTCCTCCGATGTGAAAGAATGCCATGGATTTCAAGGCTGATATCCACGTCGAGTGACAGACACCAATCCCAAGTATCTTGGCCAAGGCACACCGCACCTGGATATCACAGGTCTGTTCCCCTTTGCATCGAGATCCGCACACAATGGCATGCATAACTGCAAATGCCTCTTTGAAGCTCGTGCTCCGTTCAGTCTGCATGTATTCTGTGCCTTGACTGTTCTGTAAAGGGCCCAGGTCCCATCTCATGTTCCGCCCCCCTGGGAAAGTTGACCTTTTACTTCTGATGTCTCTCTTTCCTTTTTTTCTTTTCCATGTTATATCCAAAATTGATCAACAAATATTGTTATTATTGGAATTTTTATGATGCGCTCTGCCTCTTTCTCTTCTGCTGTCACAGCTGTGGCTGATGATGATTGGCGAGTGGACGAAGAAATCGACTTTAAACTACATTTCAAGATTGAAGAACTTGATGGCATAGAGAAACTTTCACGTCGTGGGTCTGACTTGGAGTCAAACTACAAACTTGCCGGGGTGGAAGATGCATTGGACTCGTATCCGGATGGCGGGCTGGAGGCCTGGCTGGTTGTGCTTGGTGGATGGTGTGCCCTGGTGTGCACTTTTGGACTCATCAACTCGGTTGGGGTGTTTGAGCAGTATTACGTATCCGGGCCTCTGAAGGAGTATAATCAGTCGACTGTGAGTTGGATTCTATCGGCGCTGGTGTTTTTGCAAATCTTTTGCGGATCAATAGTAAGTAAAGCTCCTTAATCTAAAAAGGACAACAAGAGAAGAAATAAATGTGTTTATAAGATGGATACTAATGCTATTGCTATAGTTTGGTCTCATGTTCGACAACTACGGGCCGCGATGGCTCTTGTGGGGAGGCTCCGTCACCTTCATCTTCGGCCTCATGATGCTCTCCTTCTCCACAGAGTACTACCAGATATTTCTCTCGCAGGGCATCGTTTCCGCCATCGGATCCGCCGCCGTATTCCACGCGGCCATGTCCTCCATTGCCAGCTGGTTCCAGAAAAACCGCGCCGCTGCTTATGGCGTCCTGGTCACGGGTTCATCTTTCGGCGGGCTGTTCTGGCCCCTTATGATGGACAAGCTGATTGCAAAGATTGGCTTCCCCTGGATGATGCGAGTAATGTCACTCATATTCATGTTTCTGCTTGCCTTTGCGTGCTTGACGATCAAGACGAGGTTGCCACCGAAGCCGCGCCGATTTGTCGTCAAGGAGTATTTGGACAACCTCAAGGATATCCGGTTGGCAGTTACTTCCGTGGCTGCGTTTTTCTTCATGCTGGGCATGTTTTTACCGTTCAACTACGTCCTCCTTCAGGCTGAGAAGGCTGGCTTCTCGCCGACTTTGATTCCGTATCTACTGCCCATACTCAACGCCGTGAGCATCTTTGGGCGACTTCTTTCTGGCGTTGCTGCCGACAAGGTTGGTAGATTCAACATGATGGTATCACTCACGTTTTTTTCCGCCCTCGTCTGCCTTGTGGTCTGGATACCCATCAAAAGCGTCGCCGGCATTATCTTCTTCGTTTCTATATTCGGCTTTGCTTCAGGGGGGTTCATCGGCATTTGCACAGCCCTAGTCGCGCAGATATCCGACATTAGCCAGATAGGCACTCGAGTCGGCACACTTTTTGCAATAGAGTCTGTCGGAGCACTGATAGGGAGCCCTATCGGCGGTGCGATAGTGGCGGCCCAGCATGGCGACTATTTGGGTTTGCAGCTTTTTTGTGGCTGCTCTATGATGATGGGGAGTATATTGTTTGTCTGGGCCAGGTATATACAAGTTGGGTTCATGTTTACGAAGGTGTAATATTAGTACATATACGAGGCATTTGGGTATGGTTTTTTTGCGGCGAAATTAGCGAGGATGGATGATGCTTGAGCATTCTGCTTGGGACTGTACGATTATGTTTGATGAAGGACATGGCTTGGTCGATGACTATTATTTATAAGAGCCATTTGACATGTATTAGATATGACGCGTAATTAAACGCAATATGTTAGTCATAACATATCTACCTATATATACATACATGCTACCATTTTGGAAGTCTACCTTGCAAATACACATTCATGTCGATGAGGTGTAATGCTGTGCGGTACTTACTGTACAAGTTTCAGCACAAAACTATATAAAACCTCCTTGTACAATTCAGGTGACTGGTTTGTAAAACTTTATGTTCGTGTCATGATAAGTCTCTTTTGTAAAGGCAGTTTCCAACGGCCCCGGACGCCACGATACAAATGCGGCTCTATTTGCCCGCCTCAACGTGTTTAGAAGTTTATATACGCGACCACCTACTAGAACTTTGACAGGACCCATTGGCGAAGCCTATACGAGGTCGAATTCCGAGATATAAAAACGCAGTTTGGCCAAAAATTCAGCTGCTCCCCTGACATTCAGAATTCGCTCATCCACTTACATACGATCGATCGAGCCGAGTCTCAATCTGATACTGTCACGAGTCTGCAGAGTCTGCAAGATGTTTGAACAAGCCTTCCAAATTGTATCCAGCGGTGCCGTCACAGACAACGGCACCGTCACTCCGGAGCAGCTCAGCATAGCGGCAGCTCTGATTCCCCTCCTGGCATTCCCTCTTCTCCCGCACCTGCACTCTCACAAAGTGGTCTTTTGGTCGTCTCTTCTAAACTTGGTGTCCTACACGTTCAACTACGCACTATGGATCCACGGGGCCCCCTACATCCATTTGCCCTACTTTGCGGTCTGCATGACCGTTTTATCCTTGATGCTTGGGTGGTGGATCGTATTCGGAGAGAAGCCCTACACGGAATGGGAAAAGGATGAAGTATCGTGGAGTGGCTACGTCGCTTGTGGCCTCGCTTCATTGAAATTTGCTACGCTCGGCGGCTACTTGATTCCCTTTGACAATCTCTCTGTATGGAGGAACACGGCTCTGCTTCTGCTGTGGGGTACCCTTGTCGTTTTGGCTGTGGTTGGAATATTTGCAACATTCCGAAAACCATTCTCGACATATTTTTTCCAGTTTACGACTCGTCGAGTGCCGGTGCTGTTTTGGCTCGACAAATTTGCCATTCGAACCCACGCAGACGTCGAGGCTGGGGGCTACACTGCAGTGAACAGCCAGAGCTATTCAGACGACGATGTGCTGGCGGTCTTTACCGGCGTCACGATGGACGACACCGACAACGATGCCGATGATGAAGCCGGCGATACGACCGATCAAGAAGCCAGAGAAGACGAAATACCAGATGCCCGGCACCGTGCCGAACAAGACGATGGGGAGAGTCCTGAAGGACAATACTTTGGACGGTACTTTGTGCCATATCCTGGGTTCGAATCACGCTTTGAGCAGCGCTTTACACCAGACCCCAGCCAACAGTTCAAACGACACTTTGAGCCGCAGTCTGGACAGCGCTCTGAGCGAGAAGCCGGGCAACACGGCCAAGCTGGCGGCATCACACGCAAAACAGTGGATGAAAGATGCACGCTTTGGGGCATCGCCGCCATGGGATTTGTGTGTGCCTCTGTGCCGGTGCTGCTGGCTCTGCAGTACATTGCCCTGAACTACTAGTAGAGCCGCTGGGATTTGCGTTTTGCGTGCTACGAGCGATGCAAGCCGAGCCGATTTGTTTCTTGTCTATACCGACTTGTACGCTGGAACTCTTCCTATTCGCCAGCCACGCCTTCTTTTACACTTGTGTAGTATGCTTGTTGTTCTCGGCCACTAGCCATTGGCTGCCGTAATCCGGGCCACCGTGGGATTGGCGCAACTGCGTGGTGAAACATGGCGTTTCTGGCTGCGACAAACCGCCCGCGCCACATTGTGTGAAACCCGCCTGTAAGCTGGATCCGTTCTGGTGGAGCAGCCGCACGTTGACGACATCTTACGGCGGAAAGAGGAAAGAGGGGTCCATCAGGTCGAGTTCAACAGTTGAAAGATGATGCCGCTTTGAGCTGCTTTGCTGGCGCTGTCGAGTCTCTGATGCTTGGCTTCTGCTTCTACTAAACAGAATTGTCAACATCTCCAGCTGCATCTGCCTCGTTCCACTAAAGGGGTCCAACCACATCCACAGCACTCAACATGTCTCCATCCGAGGGGTCCAACCCGCCATACACCGCCGCATTTGAGGGAGACTCCAAGACTCCAAGGCTCCTCTGACAGGAATCGACAGGACCCGGCGATCCAATTGTCGGTTCCGCATCTGAGATTGTGTTCCCCGTGCGTCCCAGCGCGCGGACTCTATAGGCTGCCACATTCGCCCACATACGTGGCAGCGTGATATTGGGGCTGTGCTGGTGTCTGGCCAAGCCCATCAGCCACGCTCAGCGCAGGGGGAGTGGAGATAGATGGCATCGAGCTGGAGGCCGTGGCTAGTTTGCATGTGCTTCGTATAACGTCGAGTCTATAAAGCGTGCTGCCGTCCCCGTCCCACAGGAGTCACGCTCCAGCTTCTGCTCTGCTCAGACTAGACACTCCATCTCAGTCACCGATTCTCTCTCTCGAACGAGTCCCAACCACACCGACGCAACCATGAGCGGCTACTACAACGAAGACAACAAATACCCGCCCCAGGAGGGCTACCACCACCAGCAGCAAGGCGGCTCCGCCAACTCCTACTACGAGCAGGGCAACAACGACCAGTACCGCACACAATACCAGCAGCCTCCGCCGCCGTACGGACAGGAGGGCCAGCACGGCCACGGCCAGCCGAGCTTTGGCGAGCAGAGCTATGCTCAGCAAGGCTATGGCCAACAGAGCTACGGCCAGCAGGGCTACGGCCAGCAGGGCTTTGGCGGCGAGCCCCAGGACGGCGAGCGAGGCATGATGGGCGCCCTGGCCGGCGGTGCTGCCGGAGCCTTTGGCGGCGCCAAGATCGGCGGCCAGGCCACGGGCCACTCCAAGACCAGCGGCGTCGTCGGCGCCATCGTCGGCGCCATTGCCGGCTCGAAGCTGCAGGACGGCGTTTCCGACTGGCGGCACGAGCGAAAGGACGAGAAGCAGGACGCCGAGCGCTGGGAGGCCGAGCAGCGGCGGAGACGTGAGGAGGAGCGCCACGAGGAGCGCTACGAGGAGCGCAGACACCGCAGCCGGTCCCGAAGCCGATCCCGCAGCCACTCTCGCCGGCGTCGCTCGCACAGCTCCAGCAGCAGCTCCAGCCGCTCGTCGCACCACCGCCGTCGCTCGGGCTCCCGGTCTCGCGGCCACACCATCACGGTTCAGCAGGGCGAGACGCTGCGAGGCATTGCTGCCCGCTATGGAACGTCGTATGAGGAGATTGCGAGGCACAACGGCATTGATAACCCGGATATGATTTACCCTGGCCAGGTCCTGAGGGTGCCTGGACGGTATTAGAGCTTGTGTGCTGCTGCTCTAGTTTAGCATGATGGATGCGTTTTTGATGATTGTAATGACGGTGGATGATTATCTGCCACTTGGATGAAAGGACCTTGGAGACCAAGTAACTGCGCCTTGGTCCTTGGTCTAACCAAATAAAAAAAATAAACCTAATTTCACAATGATTTCTATAATGACTTATATGTGCAAGAGCAACTGACCATTGTGTACTTTTTATATCCATGTAATTACCTCGAATCTTGGATGATATAAGATGAGAAAGGCATCCAACACTCGGCTCTATTATCGAGCACTTCGGCTGTAGCTTAAGAAAACATTTGATCTTTGTTAGTTTTACGTATTCAGTCACTGGTTGTGTTTACAACCTCAGGAGGACACCTGTTGAAGACGTGCAAGGCATCTTCTACAAATCATATTGTACAGTGAAACCCATCGTGGAGTGACAACGGAGGCGCCTCCAAAGACTCTCGACAAGATCAAGGCAGACATCAACCGCATACTGTCGATGGCATCTCTCGATGGTCATCTCTGAATACCCAATCAACGCGCTGGTATTCCCCAATTTACCCATCTTATGGTTCGACAGGTTCTACCCGTTGATGGTTCGGGGGTGTGTTGGAAGGAACGATACCACGGGTCGTCGCCTAATACGCTACTTAATCACATACATATACTAAAGTACATGGCCATGTCCCGTCACTCCATCTATCATGAAGAAGCTAGCTGATGCTTCTCCCAGTGGAAAAAGACATCTACGGCATTAAGCAACACCCCGTCAGACTTTCACACCGTGAGCACACTAGTAAAGTGGCCAAAGATCCCCTGCGAGAAGAGACACATTGGAACAAGGCTGACTCGTTTAGACGTGGCTTTGCATTGGAACAGCTGGCAACTTTTGATTTAACCAAATACTCGATAGTCTTTGCGTCCTAGCAGGATTAGATGTGAGAGAAACCCCTCAAATTGAAGCAATGCAAGGGAACACACCAACTACGACGAAAGTGACTTTTAAAACCAGCAGCAATAGTAGCAAAAGTAGCAATAGTAGCAATAGTAGCAATAGTAGCAATAGTAGCAATAGTAGCAATAGTAGCAGTAACTAGAGTGCTCCTAGTCACGAGAGTCGACAGTCTCAGACTCGTCATCTTCCATTTGATCATCTTGGCCCATCCAGCTTCGTAATCGAGACGACACGTCGTCAGCCCAGGTATTCGAACCACGACCATCCTCCTTCCACAACGCTTTTGGTTCTGCGGCACCACTAATTGCAATGATACGCAACATGTCCCAGGAAAGCTTCAGTAATTCAAAGCTTGGAACCAATTCGGGCCTATCCTTATCCGCCTTGAGAGTAAAAGTCTGTCCAGTCCTAAGGGGCAGCCCACCCTTTGTATAGGCCATGATATCTCCCCAAGCTGAGTTGTCTTCAAGCCCGGCGTTCTTCACAAAGTCGTTGACGCTGCCTTCAAATTTGGTCGTTGGCTTAATTTGATGACGCTTCAGCCAATGGAACTGTACAACGACTGATCCGTCGTCTAATTGTCGCAGAGGTTTAAGGGCTAAATTCCCATTCTTAAACCACCAATGGATTTGGTGGTTGAAGCTGAGCAGATTCCTCGCAGATTCAATAATAGTTTTGTTTTGAACTAAATCCACCCAAATCTTGGCTTGTTCTTCGCCCCAAAAAGTTTGAAGTAGACCTTCAAATCTTCCTAGGTCTCTATGCCTTAATGTTTCCAACGGGAAGATTTGGGCTGCTTCGGGATGCAAGGTACCAGTGAGGATGCATTCGTCATTATCCCTCTGTTTGCACTATCAATAATGGTTAGAAAGATGTGACAACAATGAATGTTTTTAAAGGGAAATTTATCCAGCATCTCAGTCCCATTATCCAACACCCCAGCTATAGCTCATTAAGGCAGCCAGCCCATGTATTAAGATGTGCTACTCTTAAATATATTATAGCATCAATGGCAGTAGCTGGAGTGCTACATAATAGAACTGGGGCACTAGATAATTTTCCCTTTTCAAATACTAACCAAATCGGAAGCAAACTCATTTCGAACATCTCTTGGGGTGTTCATTCCTGGTGTAGATTGGGTGCTGGTATGTGCAGAGGTCGAAATTGATGGCGGCCATACTTCTCTATTCGCGTCTGAATACATGGTAGGCAGCAGTTAGTAAATACGGATATCAGGGACAAAAGAAGACGGCGAGAAAGAAAAGAATGACAAACAGGCATATATTCCTTCGGCTCGATAAATAAACATGCCAGCAAGGCACGCCGAAAAGGTACCTCTATCACTCGCCCAAGCCCAATGTCGAATTTGGTCAAAGGACGCCTCTAAATAGTGTATCGGAGCAACCATTACGACACCAAGTACCGCCATGTTCAACCTTTGATAGGCTGAAACTTGGACTTGGAGGTGATGAAGTTCCTCAAAAATGCGTCGTCGCCGCTCTAGGTCTTCGATATATTCGAGTACCGGCTCCGATCCTAGTGGAACTTCTTCAGGAACCTTTTGAGTGTTTTTCCGTCTTTGTTGACGTAATTTAATAAAGCCTTGGAGCTCTCCAGTGATGCACATGTCAATCAACTCTTTCTTTTGGTCTTCTTCAAGGCTAAAGATTAGAGCCATATCGGTGGGTGATGCCGTCATAGTTGGCTAACTGCAAGTATGGTATTTCAGCCCAAGTACTATTAATTTTGTGTCAAGAAAAAAGAATATACTAAAATCACACAATATTAACCTACTATTGTTTGAAGAAAATTGTAAAGAGTCTTGAACGTTGCAGCGAAGAGAGAAAGGAGGGGATGGTATTAGGCAGAAGTTATAAAGGTTTTCTATCTACCTAAGCGCTTCAAGTGGAAAACAAAAAAAAATGGCGCCGAATATTAAGCTTCGTGGCTTCTATTTAGAAAAAGATTAATTGCTTCGTATACATGCGTATTCTATAAGCAAAGATTTCCTGTTAACATAGACGGTCACATCTGTTCTGCTCCTAGTCATCGCCGATGCGGCCACTGACCAGAGGTGACCGTCGCCAAAACCACCCCCGGCTGCTAGGTGCCCGGAAACTACCTAGGTAGAGATACATTAATGATAGATACCTTCCAAGGCAGTACCTGGTTGATTATATACGGGTACCTAGTCCGTACGTGTACTACCACTGCTGCTACTTCTGCTACTTCTGCTACTTCTGCTACTTCTGCTACTTCTGCTACTTCTGCTACTTCTGCTACTTCTGCTACTTCTGTTACTTCTGCTACTTCTGCTACTTCTGCTACTTCTGCTACTTCTGCTACTTCTGTTACTTCTGCTACTTCTGCTACTTCTGCTACTTCTGCTATTGCTACTACCTGTGCTATCTACTTTATGTAATAAAATGGGGGTTTTTATGTTTGTAGTGTAAATTTCTTTGCTTTCTTATCCACATGTAAATACTCTCGTGGTCTTCTATTCCTTTTGCTCCTCCCTTGAGTGTCACCTCTTGTACAAGCGCGCGAATAACTTGACATCAAACACTGTGGGAATTCCCAAATTATTGCAAGCTTCAAAGCAATAGCAATGTATTCAATCAGCGCTTGTCATACTTTGTATCTTGTTTCCTATGAAAGAACAGTGGCGACACGAAAAGTATTGATGGCAGTGGAACTAAGCGTAAAGGACCTCTATGTGTGTCACACGACGGGATGCATCAACAAGGATACACTTCACCGCTTCCATCTGTATTTTCCTTTTCGGCATCTTTTGCAAGTGAACTGGGAAACCGAAAAAAGGGCAGAGATGGAAATCCCAGCCGCAGCAACAAGGGTCACCCATGTGTTTGCACCCAATATCAAGTATACGAGATATCAACTGCGACATTGCATCTGTAAGGAGGCCAACATTAGCAAATCAGATTATAACTTGCATTGCATTCGGCGAATAAGACTGCATTACTAATCTCATCTGACTATTGGACCCGCTAGTTGAGTTGGAATGACTACGGTGATTGGAAAGAATCCAGCGAGGCTGCATGAGGCCCCTGATTCAGCTGCACTGGCAAGGATAGGGAGCCACACGATCAGGCTGTAGCTGAGCTGTAAGGCCAGACAAGATTTGCGCTCCTAATTTCGCAATGCAATCTTTTTTCTTTTCGGAAATATTTATGCAAGGGCTATAATCGGTGGATTAGAATATATTAGGCGTCACCGTGGCCATTCACCTCATCCCCCATTCACAACATTCCAACCTTCTTGCGTTGTATAATCTACAAAACTTGAACTGTAAATCGTCAATTACAAGCGCAATGTCAAAACGCTTAATCCTCTTTCTTCTTTGTTCCATCACCATCAATGTCGTCAATGCCAGTGGCCTCGATGATTTCTCCAATAACCTGGCATCAGACCTTGGCCCTCTTCTTTCGCTGCTGGGAGAAGCCACCACTATCCAATATCTCAGCGAAAGTACGGAATCCATTGATTATTTCATCTTTGCTATGGCCCCTATCGGCATTATCAGCACAATCACGGCTGTTATTCGCTTATATGGAAACTCCTCCCTCAGAGCATTTATCGGAAAGGCGAAAGAAAGACAAATTACAGCGGAGGCGGAGCTCTGCACATCCACAAGTGAAGACGTTTGCGAATTATTCGACAAAGGCGGCATCACTCGAGTCTTTGGACGGTCGGATATTATAGAGCTTGTTTACATACCCACAGAGCTTAATGCAGAACCGAGATTCCATCTGTTCACGCAATATTTAAAAAATGATGCAGGAAACACTCGCTGGTCCGAAATCTCAAAGAGAAAGAGACACGCTGGTTCCGATAGCGCTAAGTCGGATTCTAAATATGTGGAGTTTGCGCCAAAGCCGAATATCTCTCTTAATTTAGGGCTTAAACGACAGTCAACGGTGGTTCTCTACATCGTAGCCGCTATTGGTCTTATGCTACAGTCAGGTATCATTATCTTTGCTGGTATTGGTCCCTGGATCCATGGTTGGAACGCTCAAAAGCTTAGCAGCGAAGCCGCTCAAGATTACGCACCGGGAATCTTCATTGCTGGCACAGTCGCTTTATGCTTGGGTATATGGAGTTGTGCTGTACTAGTTGGGCAAACATCTGATGGAAGGACATTTAAACGAAGAGACGATTCTTCGAGAATTTACTGGGTGCAGCTAGGGCGACAGGTCATTGGAGACCAAACGTTCCACGCCTTCATACACTCAGATGAAAGAGAACCGCTCACAACCTGGACTTCGTGGACAAAATTACCCCAGAAAAAAGATTTTGCAATCTACATCGCCATTTCATTGGTCATTCTAGGCTACATCGCCCAATTTATTGGTCTTCGCGGACTGAACGCGTGGGTTTCTATTGCTCAGCTGGCTATTACCCTTGTTATGAGCATCTTGCGGGGTGCTTTGAGAATGCACCGGCTGGATATGGGCGTCAATCTTTTACAATCTTCTTTCGGGAATGACAATGATTCGGCCGAATTGGATGAATGGGTTGCTGGCCATGAGCTTGATTGGTTGGCTGTTGAGGTTTCCGGGAAGAGGGCCTCTAAGAAGGAGACATCGATTCAAGAGACACCTAAGGAAGGGTCATCCAAGAAACAGATACATATGGGAGGCGCATCGGAAGAAACCCACCAGAAGAATTTCATCTGGCATATTACAGGACAGCATGAAAATGCTACGACCGGCACAGACGAAGCAGACAAAAACCTCCTCTTCCGCAATAGGATTCGTCTCTCCCATTTGACCGGTCATTGTTCTATTAACAAAATAAAAGCGGATGATTATCAGCTTTGGGAAGATGATCGAGTTAAAGTCCGCCTTGAAGCCAAGGATCTGAGTGCAGCAATATCTCACGCAGCGGCAACTCTTTTGCCCGATTCTACAATCAAGGAGACCATTGATTTGAAAGTAAAGGTTATGGTTAAGAATGATCCTTTTCCCATACCTGCACCTGAAGAAGTTGATCTTTCCCAGACTGAAGAAGCTGCTCTTGCCCAATTTCTGGAAACTATTTCCATCAAAATGATGCCACCAAATGGCTTAGATCATGTCAACTGGACAACCGACTCATCACAGCTGGAAGCAGTTCTGGGGCTTTGGTATTGGTCTATGACGTCCAAGAAAGACAGGCATGATGAGAGTGTTTCCTCTCTCATCGTGAAACGCAAGAAAAGGGTGTTCAAGATAATATCCGCTTGTTACGGAAGCCAAAAGTTGGGTAACTCCATCGAGGCATATATGAGCCTATGGCAAGGGTCTAGCCACCTCAAATATGAAAGGTTTTCGCTGAAGATAAACAAGAAAAACAAATATAGTCTCGCAGACTTTTGGCTTCCCGTCGGAGATCAGAACGGGACTGTTAAGAAAGTTCGAAGAATAGATGAGAACTCAATCTCTAATTATTTTCAAAAATCACACAGAATTTGCGGGTGGAATGTAGTATACGACCTACTACAACGAGATGACACCTTCAAAGAGGACGATATCAAGATTCAAGGGTTTTGGATAAAAGCTAATGAAGATCCATTGCTTGATATGTGCGTCCAAGAACTATATACTACTCTTTTGCACTCTATGAAATATCTGGGCTTTCGGGAGATAGAAAATAGAAATATGTCGACCCGTGAAGCGGGATGGAACCTTCAGATAGAAGATTCGGCTATTACAGCCCTTGCAGACTTCTTCAAAGACAACGAGTTGGGGACATATGCCGACGCAATTTCTTGTCTTGTGCCTTTGTTACGGTCGGAGTTTCGCTGATACCACGATAGTTTACTATCAATTCTGGTACAAGCAGCAAAGGAATATCGGCTAAATGGAGAATTGAGAATGGCGGAAAGAGTTCTACGCTGGGCGTGTGAATACAAATATGAAAAATACACTCAAGAAAATAAACACATAGCTCTACAGGAGCTCGGTGAACTTTATCGCCAGTCATTTGAGTCTGGTGATAGGAGGTTTCGAAGCAAATGGTATCGAGCGGATGGTATCCGAGTTTAAATCCAACGAGATTTCGACGCGTTATAACGATATCGCCCAGAAGTTCATGACAGATAATGGTATTTATCAACGACCGGCAAGCAAAATTAGTGAAGCAATCAACCAGCACAACAAGGCCGATGCGCTTTCTCATCTTTGCTTCACAAAGCCAGGAGACTTCAACTCTGAGAAGCTTAGGAAATGCCTTCCTCTCGCTGCCCGCAATGGGTGGTCTGAAGTCGTTACTAATCTTTTAGAGATGGGGGCGAAGCCTGATTTTCAAGATGAAGATGGAAGAACTGCAGCATCTTATTTTGCCGAATTAGGTCAAGAACAGCCCTTGCAGCAGCTTATTGATAAAGGTGCGGATATTGATATGGCTGACAACACAGAACTCACGCCACTTATATACGCTATTAAGAAAGAAAAGACAAATATTGTGAAAAAGTTGCTGAACTCTACCTGGATTGACCGTAGCAAACGGATGGCTGGCGGAAGAAGCGCCCTGTGGTTTGCAATTGAACGGAACAGTATCAAAATTATGGAGGAACTGCTTGGCAACGGAGATGATATTAATCAAGAAGATAACTACCGCGTTTCACCGCTGTTTTTAGGCTGCCCAAAAAGGGCCATAAAGAGGCAGTGCGCCTTCCTATAATGCGAGGTACAGCCGTTGACAGAGAGGACAACTCCTAAGCCACACCTTTATTATGGGCTATGTGGAGAGGGCACTCAGAAATTGTGAAGCTGCTTGTGAAAGCCTTCAAGAGGAAGAAGCGGACACAATCCATACAAGGCCAAATAACTGAAGCGGAAAGACTACTTGGCTACAGCGGTCAAATCGATAGAATTCGCAATCGCAGCGATGGCATTTGTTCGACCTGGGATATTCGACCGGAATTAACCCTTAAAAAAATTGACCAGCAGCATATTGATTTTTGCCCTCCTTACTCAAGAGCGCCTCGTATAATGCTGGACATTAGCTCAATAAATATGGAATGGCGTTCTGCTTGTCGCGTTCAATGGGAGGCAAGCAACGTTACCGAACGACAACTCGAATTGACAAGGACTGGCTTCAATGGCTCCAGCTCTAATAGTTCCAAGGACTCCAAGGGCTCCAATTTGACTGTCAAGTCCAGCAGCGTTGTTTGGATAGAATTTGATTCTCATGAGGACGACTTCCAAGGTATGGTGTGGTGAAAATAAGCGGTCCTCTTAACATATTCTCTAATTCTGGTATCAAGGTTGCTAACACAAACATAGTCAATATTTACAACTGCTCGAAACCCGGTGTTGATGAGATTCGGTTTGAAGAACCATACGATAGATGCCCTAAAATTATCGTATGGTTTACTGCCCTGGATTTTCTCGGCAATGAAAGCTGCTCCTTTTATGCTCGTGCTGAGAATATTGGACAGGATGGGTTTAAGTTGCAGCACTCTGAACAAAAGGCATCTGTGGCTTGGCTAGCTTTCTCTAACAGAAGTAAACGCATAAAAAGCGGTCATGATACATGTACTAAAGAGCCGCATGCCTCGAAACGCCGCTTTTTCTCATATCAGCTCTCCTCTGATGAGGAGTGCCTCGATGTAAACGACGAACGTGCCATAATCTTCGAGCGGCTATTTAAAAGAACGCCTCGCACTTTTGTGGCGATCAATGGGATCAGAATGGAACCGGGGAAAAAGATGAATGTCCAAGTCAGGATATCCAAGCAGTCGGCTCAAGGCTTCTCTTGGACTTGTGAGGCGCCACCCGGTGCTCGCATTGACGTTGATTGGATTGCATTTGGATAGTATGTTGAAAAACGTGTGACTATTAGAACCTTGAAGCAGTCCAGTTATATTTGTCAGTTCGTGGCATATCACATACTTTTCTTCAATTTAAGCATGTGCTAATGACAATATTTAACTTTATTATATACACAAATTGCAGTCTGGCTAGAGCAGCTCTAATTCTGTACTAGGCAAATCTGTCACTCGAGCCACTTCTGCGTCTCCAGCACTCCATTAATAGCAGATAACTCTATGTATGTTTGCTCCACAAGCCATCTCGCTTCCATGTCCACTTCGTCAAGTACTCTGGGTCCATACCCTTCTCAAACGCCTCCGTTCGAGCTTCAATCTGGGCATTCAGCATAGCCTGCCGAGCAGCTGCGCCTCGGTTATTTAGCTGGGGCATGCGGTCGATGGCATCAATGGCCAAGCTAAATCGATCGGTCTGGTTGCGGATCGCCAGCTCCAAGGGGGTATCAATGTTGCCCTTCTCTTTGTATCCGCGAACGTGGATGTTCTGGCTTCCAGGGCGCTTGTATGTCAAGCGGTGTACCATCCAGGGATAGCTGTGGAAGTTGAAGATGATGGGGGTATCTTCTGTGAACAAGCTGACCCATTCTTGATCGCTAAGGCCATGTGGATGCTCGCTAGGGTGAATCAATTTAAACAAGTCGACGCAGTTGACATAGCGAATCTTGAGTTCTGGGAAGTGCTGGAGGAGGAGATCGATGGCCGCCAGTGTCTCATGAGTGCTAATGTCACCACATGAAGCCATGACGAGATCGGGGTCCTGTCCAATATCGGTGCTGAATTTCGGCCAGATGCCGATACCCTTTGTGCAGTGTATAATGGCAGCGTCCATGTCGAGATACTGAAGGTGGTCTTGTTTATCAGAAACAATGACGTTAACGTAATTTGATGATCGGAGACAATGGTCCATGACTGCAAGGGTGTGTTAGCACATGTACTCACAGACTGACAAAGGGGGCACCATACCAGATAACAAGCAATTTCCATCAGGAGGAAGATAGATGCGAACAACTTCAGGGCTCTTGTTGGCAACAACATCAAGGAAGCCAGGATCCTGGTGCGTAAAGCCGTTGTGATCCTGTCTCCAAACAACTGATGTCAAGAGGATGTTGATCGAGGCAACTCTTACACGCCACTCCACTTCAAGGCACTTCTCAAGCCATTTGCAGTGCTATTGCCAAATGTTAGCCATGTTTATAAAATGCAAATTTCGCAGTATTTCAACTCACCTGGTTGACCATGGAGTCAATAATGTGGATGAATGGCTCGTAGCTGTTCAACAAGCCGTGACGGCCGCTGAGGATGTAACCTTCCAGCCAGCCCTCGCAGGTGTGTTCAGATAGCATCTCCATGACTCTGCCTGCTGGAGCAAGATTGCCACCATCCTCATCCTCCTCGAAGTACTCGCCCATCCAAACCTTCTTGCCCACCTCGTATACGGCTGACAGTTTATTTGACTCGGTCTCATCAGGGCCGAACAATCTGAAGTTGTGCAGGTTTGCCGCAACCACGTCTCGTAAAAAGATACCTAGTTTCTTCATGCTAGCATCCGTGACAGCGCCAGGATGCTCAACGGCAACGCCATACTTTTTAAAGTCAGGCATATTCAAGGGTTTTCTGAGAATTCCGCCATTGGCAACAGGATTGGCACTCATACGGCGGTTACCAGTGGGAGTAAGGGCAGTTAATGCTGCGATTGGTTTGCCGCTTTCATCAAACAGCCTATCAGGCTCATAGCTGCGCATCCAGTCTTCGAGGATCTTCAGATGGGCCGGGTTTGTCGCGGGGTCGGTAATAGGGACCTGATGTGCTCTCCAGAAGCCTCCAAGATAGTTGCCATCCACCTTGCGAGGCGCAGTCCAGCCCTTTGGTGTTCGGAGAACGATCATGGGCCACTTTGGTCGTATAGCCTTTCCGCTCTCGCGAGCCTCTTTCTGATAGCCCCTAATCTCCTTCACGCAGTGTTCGAGCGTTGCTGCCATAGCCTGATGCATGGTATCAATATCATCTCCCTCAACGAAATAAGGCGTCCATCCATAGCCCTCAAATAGCTTCTGCAGCTCATCGTGCGAAATTCTTGCCAAGATGGTAGGGTTGTTAATCTTGTAGCCGTTGAGATGTAAAACAGGAAGGACAGCGCCGTCCGTGATGGGATTTAGAAATTTGGTGCTGTGCCATGCAGTGGCCAAAGGTCCAGTTTCTGCTTCGCCATCTCCTACCATGGTAAGGGCAATGAGATCCGGATAGTCATATACAGAGCCAAAGGCATGAGAAATTGAGTAACCGAGTTCACCACCTTCGTGAATAGAGCCTGGCGTCTCGGGAGTTGCATGGGAGCCAACTCCACCTGGGAAGGAGAAGTATTTGAAGAATTTCTGGAGGCCCTGAATGTCCTGTGACTTGTCTGGATAGACTTCGGAATAGACACCTTCGAGATAGGATTGCGAGAGGACGGCTGGAGCACCGTGGCCGGGGCCAGACACAAAGTATGCATCCAGGTCGTATTTCTTGATGAGACGGTTGAAGTGCATCCAAGTAAAGATTTGACCAGGAGCAGATCCAAAGTGTCCAAGAAGACGTGCTTTCAGATGCTCCTTCTTGAGGGGCTCGCGAAGGAGAGGGTTCTCTCTCAGGTAAATCATACCCAGGGAGAGGTAGCAGCTGGCTTTGAAGTAGTCATTGTATTGCTTGATTTCCTCATCGGACAGCGGAGTGCCCTGGACAGTTGAGCGGGCTTGGCCAAATGCCCGAATCGATTGGACTTCGGCCATTGTTGAAGAGTTGCTTGGCTTCTAAGGTTTTGAAGAAGAGAGTTGCCTTGCAAATACAAGACGTATTCCAGAGCGAAGAGTGCGTCTTCTTAAGTATAAGACCAAGAGCTAAGAGCGCGCGGCTCGCTCTGGTGGCTTCCCGCCGACACGGATGCTAACCAAAGCCGTCTACAAGGGTGTAAGCCGTCGATACTTTCGATCTCATGCCCCTCCCGTGCTTGGTGGAATGGATAATATGGGGGAGAACAATGGTTGCACCACAAGATCCAGGAGCTCCAGGAGCTTGAACCAACGGACCGAGAGCCTGGTACCAATCAACGCAGCTGAGGACGGGAAACTATGCAAGCAGAGCTCCATCTGCAGCTCCAATTGACTACTAAGAAACCCAGCAAAAAGACGGTTGGTATCATGCCACGGTTCCATCGAACGAGAGCCGCAGCTTACCGGGGTGCCAGTGGCCAATGGCCCTGGGGGGAGCTGCACAGGGGCCATGGCGTCCGCCAGATTGGCGAATCTGATTCGACAATCTCATCTCCACGGCGGTGGTGCGTTTGCTGATAGAGTTCTGCCAGCATTTGCGGTGGTTGTCTGATGTGAAAAGTTGGCACACCCTCGCATTGGCTCTGGCGTGATAAATACGTCACCTCGGACGACTGGAGGCTGCGACAGCGCCTTAGTGGCGGGGAAGACGCTGGAGGAGGGGCTTCAGAGCCTATCGGTCGCCGGGGGAGGGGCCGTGGACAGCCAGAGACCACTGAAGGGCCTGTATCGGACTCCGCTAGCATGTGGTACGCCTGTCTAGCCCTCTCTCGGCGATCGCTTTTTGTTCTTTTTATCAATTCGTGTCCAGGTCGAGAATGTGTTCGGTGCTGACAAGGGCCGACTCACGGTGCTAAGCGTACCTCTGTATCAATGCATGGCAAATATTTGCCCGCGCTATTGGCTGGATCGGTTGATTTGACATGTGAGCCCAATTGGCAGCATGTAAGAATGGCGAGCCATCAGCGTTACATGCTGCAACCGTCACATCTCATCACATTCACGTTGGCTGATACCACAGGGACGCAATTAATTAATTTTCTCTTAATCTCACTTTTCTAGTGAAGCCGAGGCTAGATCGAGAGAGGCTTCCTTTGCGCTCGCTCTCTTCCTGGTAGAAGTACATTGTACCGTAGGTCTTACGCTGAAGAAGCTGTCTCCAACCATTGTTGGAGAATTAGCTTTGGGATTGTCTGGATTGTCTTTATCGCTGGTTTTCTACTAAAACACAGTCTACCTTGGGTGGCGTCTCTTTTCTACAAGCCATCTGCTGCTGTCCTGTCACAGACGCTTGCTGATTGCTGCTCATTGCTTGTCCAACCAACTATATGCAGACGCCCAAATGCTACACAAACTGCTGCTTCCTGACGTAACGATGCTTATCACGAGGACAGGAGTCTGTGCCATGGAAGAATTTCCTTGAAAGGGGCGTTATAAGTCTCCCCTTTTCTCCAACCAACCTTACCGGCAACATTATTCCAACAACCTCTACCGATCAAATTCAATTTTATACGCACCCAATTACTTTTCCATCACAATGCCGCAGCATAGGCCAGAAACGCCACAACCAGAAGCTCCAGGGGCCCCTCTGCCCAACGAGCCTGATACGGGCGAGGGCGATGGCACTGCAGACTACTGAGGGGCAGTTCAGAGAGCCAAAGCTTGATGACGACAGAGTCGCCCGGAGATTGCGAGAACACGAGTGAGTCCCGAGACGCGGACGGGCGAGCGATTTCGAGACTTGCATTCAGAAAATAATTATTGTCGAAACAGAGGCCACGAGAATGAATAGACATGCTCGCGATGCATGGAGGAAACATTACTGTCTTTTTTTTTTTTCTCTTCTCACGGCCGGTTCCGATTACTTTTATACTATTCGCCACTATTCCGAGCTGCGCAACCTCAATATGCAGCTGGGGCGATTTTATTAGATTGAACGAGGAATCAATTTGAGCGAGCGATGTATATTATTTTTTGCCTTTTACGGAACTGAGAATGAGATTGCTATGTCATAAGCATTGATGTTACCGTTTTCAATTTTTCCAACAGCCAGGATTTGGTGAGTGAGCTGTCAAGGCTACAATTGGCATGTGTACAGACTCGGGGTTATTGATCATGTCTTTACTATCCATAGACTGCACTCGTCAACAAGACCTATTAAAATTCTCATTTATCCATATAGTAGAACTTTACTCTGTGCTCTATCAATTTCCCAAGTCTTGATATAGTCCGCCGGCGTTGATGCCTCATTGGCTTTTTTCGGCATGTGAAGCGAATTCCAGCATCGTCGCCAGTGCGGACGCTGCACCTCACACGTCATCGGTGGCTACCAGCTCGGAGCTCGGGATCTCAACTCCATATAGCTTGCGAATATTTTACTTTGCAACTTTGTTTCTTTCCTATGCAAAATCGTTCATCTTTCTTTAATCTTACACAGAGAATAGTCCTATACTAATTACAATCAACGCGGACTGAGTAAACTGAAAACATTTAATCGCTAATAACACCATGGACCCCTCACAGCAATCTTCAGGCGCTCCGACGCTCTCGCCCGAAGTCATTGCATTTGCTGGACGAATGTACGATGCTGCCAGAACTGGCGATGTCGCCGTATTTGAGCAAGCTCTTCCGGCTGGATTGCCGGCAAATATGACAAACGAAAAGGGAGACACATTGGTAAGAGCTTCATTATAGGCAACACCGTCTTGTTAAACTGCAGCGGCAGGATTGTCTATGTCTCTTGATATATGGCAACATGACTCACGTGTATTTTCCAGCTCATGCTCGCAGCATATCACGGACACGCAGAACTTGTTAGACTGCTGATACAACACGGCGCCGACCCGAATCGTGTCAACGACAGAGGGCAGAGTCCCCTTGCCGGAGCCGTGTTCAAGAAGGAGGATGCTGTTATTGAGGTATGCGCGAACATCCTCTGCCGACATGGATATATTTGTTCATCAGATATTTGTTTCCTTTTCGGTTAAACGCTAAATAATGAATGAATAGGTCCTAGTAGAGGGCGGCGCAGACCCAGATTACGGAAAACCAACCGCCATGGAGTGTATCGCCTTGTTTCAGCAGGAAGATGTGTGGAAAGCCAAGTTTGAAGCAGCGCCAGGCAGAGGCAAGGGAAAGCCGCCTTCTCCAACTTTATAATTTCGATATAGTGGTTATAAATGAAATAAATATTAATCTAACTCTTTCTGCATCAAGATATTATGAGCAGTAGCAATGGGTTTTGTCAAGACAATCTCGAACTGTGATTCCTACTGTCGATGTATAATGCCAAGTGCTTGCCCCAACGAGACCAGTACAAACCGATGTCTTCAACGCGAGCTAAGAATTAATATTGGAATATATATAGTTTCATTTCAATTTTTCTATATATTTTTCCTCTTTCTCACCATATATGGCTGATATCTTATCTCATCTACTATGAATGTCTGGCGGGGTTCTGCCACCTCCCACCAGATTCTTCTAGTGCCTAAAGGGGTTGGAGGGGCTCTTCTCTCCTATGTCCCTGGCCCTGGTCCGTGCGCCCAAGTCCAATCGTCAAGGCTGCAACAATTTTCCGGAGCTCGACAGCTTCGCACACCCGCGAGCCCCCAAAGACGCCGGATTCTGCCCCTTTAATCCGCAAAGCCACCGCATCTCAACTCCCCTCGTCGTGAAGCGTTTTGGCCCCTCGTCCATCACAAAATACCGCCAAAATGTCGTTCGGAGGCCAGACGCCGACCATCATCGTCCTGAAAGAAGGTACCACGACGCAAATTTACCCCACCGTCGCTGCCCACCGCTGCCCGCCATCCAACGAGGCTACAGACACACGATCGCTGACAAAAGTTGGGCTGCAGGAACCGACACCTCCCAGGGTAAAGGCCAGATCGTCTCCAACATCAATGCCTGTCTAGCGGTCCAAGCCACCATCAAGTCGACGCTAGGCCCCTACGGTGGTGACCTGTTGATGGTGGACGAAAATGGCAGGCAGACGATTACCAATGATGGCGCGACTGTCATGAAGGTACGGCCGATCCCTATATACGACATTTCTTTTGAAGAACGCTATAAGATGATGAGAATCAAGTTGACTGAGTGCATGGATTAGCTGCTCGACATCGTCCACCCCGCTGCCCGCATCCTCGTCGATATCGCACGATCACAAGATGCTGAGGTCGGAGACGGAACCACGTCGGTCGTCGTCCTGGCTGGAGAGATCCTTAAGGAGGTTAAGGAGCACGTCGAACAGGGTGTCAGCTCACAAATCATCATCAAGGGCTTGAGGAGAGCGGTGCAGATGGCCGTCAACAAGATCAAGGAGATTGCCGTCAGCACTGATGATGGCAACCAGCGCGATACCCTGAACAAACTCGCCGCCACCGCCATGACGAGCAAGCTTATCAAGAGAAACACAGAATTCTTCACAAAGAGTATGATTGCACGCAAATGATGTGAGATATTACATGGAGACTAACAGTATATAGTGGTGGTTGACGCCGTCTTGTCACTCGACCAGGACGACCTGAACGAGAAGCTCATCGGCATCAAGAAAATCCCCGGCGGTTCCCTAACCGAGTCTCACTTCGTCAACGGCGTTGCCTTCAAGAAGACCTTCTCCTATGCCGGTTTCGAGCAGCAGCCCAAGTCATTCCAGAAGCCCAAGATTGTGTGCCTGAATGTCGAGCTGGAGCTAAAGGCCGAGAAGGACAACGCCGAGGTTCGCGTTGAGCAAGTTTCAGAATACCAGGCCATCGTGGATGCGGAGTGGCAGATCATCTACCAGAAGCTGGAGGCCATCTCCAAGACTGGCGCCAAGGTTGTTCTCAGCAAGCTGCCCATTGGTGACTTGGCTACCCAGTATTTTGCCGACCGGGACATTTTCTGTGCTGGCCGTGTTGCCGCTGAAGATATGGAGCGAGTCACTCAGGCCACCGGTGCCGTGACTCAGTCAACATGCTCAGACATTCTGGCAGAGCACCTGGGAACCTGCGAGACTTTCGAGGAGAAGCAGATTGGTGGTGAGAGATTCAACTTCTTTGAGGGCTGCCCCGAGGCCAAGACCTGCACCCTGGTCCTGCGTGGAGGAGCCGAGCAGTTCATTGCCGAGGTCGAGCGATCGCTGCACGATGCCATCATGATTGTCAAGCGAGCCGTCAAGAACCGAACGATTGTTGGCGGTGGTGGTGCCGTTGAGATGGAGATCTCTGCCTACCTGCACCAGTTTGCCGACAAGAACATTCCCCACAAGCAGCAGGCTATCATCAAGTCCTTTGCCAAGGCGTTGGAGATTATTCCCCGACAGCTGTGCGACAATGCCGGTTTCGACGCCACCGACATCCTAAACAAGCTCCGCGTGGAGCACCGAAAGGGCAACACATGGGCTGGTGTTGACTTTGAGAACGAGGGAACCGCCGACATGCTGAAGCGATTCGTCTGGGAGCCTTCCCTGATCAAGGTCAACGCTCTGCAAGCTGCCACCGAGGCCAGCTGCTTGATCCTGGGTGTTGATGAGACTATCAGAAATGAGGAGAGCGCCAAGCCACAGGCACCGGGCCAGCTTCCCCCGGGAGCGGCTCAGAGGGCAATCAGGGGTAGAGGACGGGGCATGCCTCGACGGTAAAGAAAGGGGAAGACTAGAAGAAAAGCATGAGTGGAAGAATTGAGGCGCAAGTTGGGGGACTTGAGCATTTTCGCATATAAAAAATTAAGGGAAGAAAGAAAGAAAGGGAAATGGAGGTTTTTGAGGATCTTGTAAGATACCTAGAAAAAGAATTTGGCCTCTATTGTCTACTAGACTTTTTTTGATATGACATTTTTCCGACGATTTACTGTAAAATCTTTGATGTGTCTCATGTAAAGCCTTTAATGTGGCTTAATTTAGAATCGCATATTGAGTTGAGGGCTACAGTGAGGAAAACAACAAGTCACATTGTTTCTTTTTATATGAATCTATAAGGGATATCATATCATACCCAGTTTGGTTCTGCGGCCGTATATACATCATATATATCCATTTACATACACTTGACGCACACAATCATACTTCCTACTCTTATACTCCTACCTATGCTAAAAAGTGAAAAAAAGAATAAGAAGAAGAAAAGCGAAAAGAAAAAAAAAAGGGCTTCAACGCCTCGCCTCAATTCATTCTCATCATGAAAAAAAACAGATGAATAAAAAAAGGAAAAAAAAAGCGAAGATGAGACAGAGAAAAAAGAATCAGACCGCCGGACCGCCAAAATTCAAGTCATACATGCTCCGTCCATCTCTATGTCCTATTCGGCGCATCATCTGCGGCGCGCCGCCCGTTAAGCCATCCACCATGACGTCGTCGTCGCCCAGGACGTGATTCGCATGATGGTCATTCTGCCCCACGTCGTTGACGTCGTCGTCGTCGACGGCGTCGTGCTCAATGAGCATCTCCAGGTCGGTGTCCACCGAGGGCGGGACGTCGCCGTCGGGCTGGGTAGGCACGACGACGTCTTCGGTTGCGCTGAGCAGGGCCTGGAAGTCGGCGTGCGGGTGGTAGTGCTCAAAGGCGATGTCGTGGTGTTGCTGGGGGTGGTGGTGGTGGTGGTTGATGATTTGGGGGTCGATGGGCTGGTAGACGTGGGTTTCGTGCTGGTTTGGCTGATCTTGCAGCATGGGGTTGTGGAGGTGGTGGGCTGGGTGATGGGGGTTGTGGTGGAGGGAGGGTTGTTGGTGGGCGACTTGGTGATGATGCAGGGCTTGTTGTTGGTATTGGTGGTGGTGAGGGTCTGGAGAGAGGCCGTGGTGGTGGTGCTGCTGCTGCTGCGCCTGCTGCTGTTGGTGATGGTGGAGGCTTTGGGTGGTTTGAAACGTCTGAGACGGTTGGATGACGGAGATGTCGCTGGGGTTTGCGTATGCGCTGGGGCTGGGGCTGGTGCTTGGTGAGAGCGATAGCATCGTGTCGTGGCTTTGCAGAGCCAGGATCCTTCCCGTGGTGGCAATGTTGGACGGTATTGAGTGGTTCCGTGGAGGGCCGTTGCTGGGCAGGATGGGCGTGGGAGCAGGCGTCGTGATTATAGACGCCGCCACCGACGCGGCCGTGGTGGTGACAGGCGTAGCCGTCTTCTTGGTGCCGCCTGGATTCGGCGTCTTGCCCAGCTCCTTGCACTCGGCGCAGGCTCGGATCACGTCGCTGACAGTCTCCTTGATGCGGCTCCAGTGGTACTTTTCCGCAATGGTGGCCGTCGTCTTGTTGATGCCGCCGTGGTGCATGACGTGCACGCTGCGCGCAATCTCGTACTGCCGCGCCGGGTCGGATATGACCTCCTTGTCCTTGAGCATGAGCTTGTCCCCGTCGAGCAGCTTGTAGTGCGTCGCCGCACTGCGCAGACGGCTCTTCTCAGCGCGGTCTGCGCCGTTGGGATATTTGCCGTACTTGAGGTAGTACTTGATCTTGTCGAAGCGCTCTTCACTTACCAGCTCCTCGGTTTCGCCAGGAGCCAGATCTCGTCCGTAGATGATGGCGTCAATGAGACGGTCGGGGTAGCTCTTGAGGTTTCCGCACCCCTTAACTCGCCCAATGCGCTTAAAGCCCAGCGCATCCCAGATCTTGCACGACGCCACGTTGGTCTCGTACACGAGGTTGAAGACGCTGTAGGTGTAGCCCAGCCGCGGCGCCCAGTCAATGTACGCCTCGCCCATCAAGCGACCAGCACCGCGGTTACGAGACGCGTCCGTGACGAGGAAGCCGCCGTTGCACACATGGCTGCTGCGGCCGGGGTAGTTGGGCCGGATGTAGAAGCTGCCCAGACACTCTTTGGCCCAGTCCTTGCCATCGAGCAGCTGATGCGCGCCCTCGATGCTCCCCAGCAGCATGACGGCGCCAAAGTTCTGGAACCAGAAGTCGGCGAAGCCATCGGCCGTAAAGGGGTCCATCAGGGGGTACGTGTCGCCGCCATCAATCTCCTTGTTGATCTGCGCGCACAGGTACACGACCAGCGACACGGGGATCTGGTGGCGCGACGCAAAGGGCACAATCGTGGCCACGGTCTGGCGGTCTCGCAGCGTCACCTGGCGAGGCACAATGTCCGGCGGCAGAATCGGGTTGTTCGGGTCCGGGAACGGTGCCTGGCCGGACACCCGGTGGATTGTGGGGCTGGCCGGGTCATCGACGGCGGCCGGCATCGTTTGCGCTGAGCCGGGACGAGATGCGATGGCAGGAGAAACTAGTAGCGCGTGCGTGGCAAAGCTCGGAAAAGGGAGGGGCGTGAGAGAAGGGGGAAAGCCGTTGGTCAACGCAGGATGCTCTGTGCATATTTGATAATCAGCCACCGGCCCGCTTAAACATCAACGGCACGAGCCTCGCCGCAGCATCAGTCAGTTCTGGGTTGAGGGAATCACCACCATGGGGGTACGTCATCCCAAGCAAGGGGAGCACACCCTTCAGACCGAAAAGGAAGAAAGGGACGTTTGGGATGGAAGGGTCTTGGGAAGCCAATTGGGTATAGCTTGGATGGGGGGGTAAGAGAGAAGGGAGAAAAAAAGAAGAGGACAACTTACCATGGATAAAAGATGGGAAATTGAAGGGGGGGAAAAAAGAAAAGAGAAAAAAAAAAGAAAGGAAATATCCCCTCAGGATAGGAAGCAATATTTCCCTCCCCCTTGCAGCAAGAAAAAGGAAAGACAAAAAGAAAGATGCCGAAAAAGAAAAGAGAGAAAAGAAAGAAACCCGAATATTCTCCTCCAAAAAAAGTCCACCTAAAAAAAAAAAAAAAAAAAAAGTCGAAGCCAAGGCCACTACAAGCCTGCACGATAGAGGTGTGACGTTGTGATAAAGAGATAAAAAAGAACAAGCGCCTAGGAAATTTTTCCCTTCCCTCTCTGCAGGTACGTCCCAGCGCAGCTGCAGCACCGCACGCAAAAAAAGGCCCAAAGTGGAAAGAAGGGTAAAAAAAAAATCAAGGGTCGTCCTCTAAAATTTCTGGTTTGCTTGAACCCTTTGCGTGGGCTTCCAGCCTCACTATTTACCGCCCCTAGTAAAGAAAAAGAAAAAGTGCAAGGGCTTCTTTTCTTTTCCTGGATGGCAGCCAATTTCTTCGTTCTGGAATTTGGTGCCTGGCTGGCGGCGGCTGTTCGCGCTGCTGACGTCCTGCTTTTGGGGGGCTGCTGGCTGTTTTTTGCTTTCTTCCACTGAGCTGCTGGATTTGCTTGCTGCTGGTGCTGGTGCTGGTGCCGGTTGCTGTGCTGCTGTGCTGAAAAGTTCGTCGTGCGACGTTCTGCTCGGGGGAGGCGGAAAGCCCTTTTGCAGGGTGGTGTGTGTGTGGTGTCGGCAGCTAAAAAAGGTATCGGAGGTACCTTATCTTTAAAAGGTAAATCCCCTTTCGGAACGAGAGTTTCTCCGGGTCTTTTTTTTTCTGGTCGGCTCGGAGGGTTTTCCTCTAGGTTAAGCTGGCTGGCGATGTCTGGCAAGGCGGCTGTTGCTCGGGGAAAAGTAGAAAAGGGAAGAGAAGAGGAAGAGAAATTGGGACAAGATAAAAAGGGCAAGGGATGGGACGGAATCGAATTTGAAATGAGCAGAAAAAAGGTGGAAACTTTCATCTCGTTTGCAAATCGTGCACCTGCATACATGCATCCCATATACACCCGTCGTCTATTATACAGTTTGTGTTTTAAAAATGCCTCTCCTCCCCTGTTTTCCCCCTTTTATACAATGCGTCTAATATTGTCTTTTCATACACTTTTCCGGACTGCTGACTCAATTTCGGCAGCATTCACCTTCAAGCTCTCCAGCTGCGCTTCGATGCCACCCAACTGCGCGCTCAACGGCGTCTCAGCAGGCGCCGCTGCAGCTTCACTCGCGACAGTCTCTCCCATCAGATTCACCAATTCATCCTCAGTGACCTCTTCCTGCTGCTCGCCCAGGTACTGTGACCTCAGCAGCTTCAACTCTTCGTCTGTGAATCCCTGAATATTGGCCTGCATCCTGCCCATAACCTCTTTCCTCTTGAGGACGGCGGCCTGCACTTCCTTTCTCATGTGGCGGCTAAGCTCGGGAGAGGTGCTCCATGAGATGTCGCCCTTTTTGGAGTCTTCAATACGTCGCTTCTGGCCCGCCTCTCCCGCACGGCCCAGGACTCCAGCAACCAATGCCATAGCACGAAGACTAGAAGAGAATTAGCAGTGATCAGAGTGAAGCAAACGGATCTAGCAAAAGTTGTACTAACCTGTCGTCGTTGGCGGGAATCGTGTATGTGACCCACGAGGGATCGGTGTTTGTGTCAATGACTCCAATTGTGGGAATGTTCTTCAGGCCGCACTCGTACAGCAGCGTGTAATTCTCCAAGGGGTTGAGGCAAACCACCAAGTCCGGCAGCAACGGTCTCGCCGTGCCCTTGAACATGTCGAATCCATCAAGCTCCTTATCCATGTGATCCACCACCTTCATGCCCTGGGTCTTGAGAATGACGTCTCGGTTTGTGATGGCTCCAGGGGTCCACTTTGTGAACAGGTGGTAGGCGCCTGCCAGCTCAGAAGCTCTTGTGACAATCTCCATCTGGCCCTTGCGGGTGCCGACAAAGAGGATAATGCCGCCGCGGTAGGCCACCTCCTCAACCACTCGGGCCGCCCGTCGAAGGTGTGCCGCTGTCGTCTCAAGAGAAATGACGTGGACGCCCTGTCGCACGCCGTAAATGTATCGTGAATTGGCCGGGTTCCATAGTGAGGTGTTGTGTCCCATGTGTGTCTGCGACGCCATCAACAGCTCCAGCGTAACATCCTCTGGCTGGGGAGGATTGCTGATAATTTCCGTGGGGATGTAGCGCTTCTCGAGCTTTGAACCGAGGCTCCTCGTATTCTTCTGGATGCGCTGGAATTCGGCATACTGCTGGGAGGGAGTCAGGTTCTGCTTGCCCCTCTGATGCGCCTTTGTCCATGCGGTTCCGTGGTGCTGCTGCGAAGAGTTGGCTCCAAGCGTCATGATGACTTCTTCGACAATCTTCTGCTTCTTCTTCGATGACGAGACCATCTTGGGAGTGGCAGCGGCAGCCTGGGGCGTCGGCCACGCCTGGGTAGGTCCATTGGATGTCGAGCTTGAGGCTGTCGCCGTCTTGACTTCGGTCGAGATTTGTCGCAGAACGGTTCGCGGCAGAGGAGACGCCAATGCGCGGCGGCCTGTATCTGGTTAGAGCCCTCCTGAACAAAATCTGCACATTCAATTGACTTACCATGCCGCACAGCAGCGCTCTGGACATTCATTGCGGCTTGTGTTGCGCTCCTGCTGCCGTCCGACTAGATCGCCCAAGTCCAAATTTTGGATCACGCCGCCATGGATGGAGCGTCTGCGGCGAGGCACATTTTCCGGTTCCGCCACAGAGCCAGAGCTGCTAGTAACGCTTTCTTGCTGTGCACTAAAATGACCCCGCGGTCGTTGAAGGTTCCCTTCGGGTGGCAGCAGCCAATTTACCCCACGTCGGAAGCGGCTTGTGATGGACACGCCATCTTGCATGCCACTTGATATCATGTATTGAAGTGCTCTATATGTTGATGCATTGAAATGAAGCATTCACAACGAGAATATTAAAATTTACACGATTTTGTCTCTAATAGATACCTTCCCTTGCTTTGTAATATAATCATGTCAAATTACATGTAAAACTCGTTGATAAAAAGCCTTAAATCTATGACGATTTGTCTGTGCTTGAGAAATCTACAGTTACCAATGCCAACCAACTTTTTCTTCGTCAAGGTCATTATGGAAATTAAAACGCCACACAACAGGGGAGATGCACTGCATTCTTTACCGGCTAGTCGCTCTAGCAATAGTAAACACTCCGACAATAACGACCGCAAGAGTGATGATGGCACCCGGCAGCAAGAGATCGTTGGGCACACCGGCAATAACCTGCTCCTGGTGAACCGCCGTCCTTGATCTCCGCGATCGGCGAACAGGCCGTTCCTCCTCCTCCTCTGATTCCTCCTCCTCACTCTCTGATTCCTCCTCGTAAGTTCTCCGTCGCTCACGGAGGCCTGTAGATGATGAGACCGGGGTAGGAATTGCCTCCACTGAAGGAGCTGAAGGCTGCTTCTCAGAGTCATGCACGTAGAGGTCGACCTTCTCAAGAAGAGCTTGGCGGGCGAGGAGAATGGCCTCTAGCAGGTCATTGTCGGTGGTGATGGACACGGTATCTCCCTCGTTGTCCATGTAGCTGAGAGCAAAGCCAGCGCCTTCGATTCTGCCGTCATAGACATCAGGCATGCCTCCAAGGGTCTCGATTTCATTTCCGAGCTTGGATGCGACGGCGTGCACAAACGACTCGATGCCTTGCGACGCAACAACTTGCAATCGGTGCACGCGTCCTGAAGGCGCCTTGAATTTGAAGGCAAACGGAATATCGCCGGGCGTGTGCTCCGGAATGATCGAGTGAGGAGGTGAGTCCAATCCGATGTGCGATGCAGAGTCGTTGGGAGCGACGCTATCACCCAGGCGGTTCGCCTCAGGCGACATCATACGAGAGCCCCCGTGGTGAGGGTGGTGGCTGAGGCTGCCGTCGCCGGACACCATGGATTCCGTCTCATGATCGATGGAAAGCCAAAACTTATTCCACGCGGGGCCTTCGCCGCTGTCACTTGACATTGTGTTGATTTGCTCCAATGTGGCATAAGTCAGCTTGAGCACATCGACCATTCCCACAATTTCGCCGCCATCGTTCATGACGGGAAGGTTGAGATAATGGCCATCTGAAATATGATTGTTAGACACATATTTGACCATGATTTATATGCTTTTACGGCATTCGAAAACGAAATCGCCATGGAGCTGGAATAAGGGCAGCAGAGGTGGGGAAGAATTGAAAAGAGGCAGAAATTAGACGTGCTTACCGTGCATCTTCCGTAAGGCTGCCTGAATGGTCATGTCCATTGGGGCAAAATCGGGGTGAGGGGTCATGACACGCACGACGCTGCAATTGGCCGGGTCCAGGCCTGGAGCAATGACACGAAGAACAACGTCCTTGCTCGTAAAAATGCCGGTAATGGCGCCCTGGTCCTGCACCAGCACTGCAGTGGTGTGGTTTTCCTTCATCATGGCCGCAGCCTCTTTGACCGAGGTCCGGACGCTGACCGTGGTAGGCGGGATGCCATTCAACACGGTTTCCAGTGTGGGCCCAGACATTTTGGATCGAAGCGCCTCCACATACTGGATAATCTGCTGCGGCTGGCTGGCGCCCAGCTCGGACTGCACGCCCTCCAAGGCGTCGTAGAGCTTTCTCGAGGAGGAGTATGCCCGCTCCAGCTTCTCCATGGCGTCGTAGAAGCACTTTGTGATATCCAGCACACCGGATATATCCTGGTTCTCGTCCATGACGGGCAAGTGGCGGAAGCCCTTGCGGACCATGAGGTCCAGCGCATCGGTTGCACTTGTGTCGGTTCTGGCACAGAGAGGGTTCTTGGTCATGATTTCAGCAATAGTGACGTTGGCAGCCTTGAGTCCAGCCCCGACCACACGGAACGCAAGATCCTTGGCGGTAAAGATACCGGCAATCCGGTCCTCGTCATCGGTAACCAGCACGCAGTCCTCCCTCTTTGCGGCCATGAGTTGAGCAGCCTCGGAGACCGTCGTGGCAGGCTTGATCTGGAGGGCCTGGCTCGGCTTGAGGGCAAGCACAGTACCGGGAGGGGCTCTGCGATTCGGTCGCGACCGGCCCGTGAGAGTCTTCTTCTTGGAGAGATCGCTCTCCATCTTCCTGCGAATTGCCTGTGTGTGCGCGCATTAGCCGTAAGCTACACTCGATATCATCGCAACTGAGGGGTCGTCATGTATAGCTTCTTTCCAAAGAGCTCTCCACCTCGACCCAAGACAGCGCTAAGGGGGGCCAGACAATAGCTGTAGTAAACAAATCAACCCGTCAACTCACCTCATCGCGCTTGGATTGCTTCTGTCTGCTTGCGCTGAGGCCGGCAGCACTGGACTCAGCAGGCGGCTGCTGGTCTAGCACCGGTCGAGGGATGCCGGAAGTCGCAGCGGCAGAGGAAGCATTGTTGAATGGCGTGGTGCTCCGTGGCTGATTCCGGCTCGGATTGTTCCCTCGGGAGGCGTTGACCATGGACATGGCTGCGGTTGGCGGCTCGCGGGCGTCGAAAAAATGCACGTTCCAAAGTTTCGTCGTCGAGAGCAGGAAGGGAAAAAAAAAAAAATCAAAGAACGGATTTCAATTCTACGAAACCAGTTTTCCGGAGTCAGCCAGAGGTTGCAGCCAATGACAGTGGAGGAGGGATTTTCAAGGGTGACGGAATGAAGTCGAAAGGTCGGTCACCAGATATTAAGCCCTGGCCAAGTCACCCCGGCACTTTTTTTTTTCTCGCCTACTGGGCGGCGAACGCCTCGGTTGGCGCGGGCAGCTTATAGGCGGCTTATAGGGCACCTGAGCAGTGAAGACCGCAGCCTGAAACCCGAAAACACCCATCGTGGGCCGCTGGAGGGAGAAAAAAGCGCAGGCCGACCTAGCGCTGCAGGTGCTAAACATCTAGCGGCGTTGGTTCAAGGCGTTTGGCGGTAGGGCTCCATTAATGATGTGATGCCAGCAGCACCTGCAAATCTCGACTGAGGGGCGCATGAATAGCATGAAAAATCGGCATCAAGGCAGTTCTAGTTCGTACGTACTAGGTATTATAGATGAAATACAAATGATTGTGAGCGGTGCTTGGTACTGGAGGATGCTAGGCACAGCTGACCTTTAGCTTGAGACCTTGTAAGTCACATGCCTGTTTTGGCGTCCAAGATATCGCCGCGTTAAGAGCAATAATCATCTGATGGTACGAACTAATAATTTGTTCTAGCAATCTCTTTGCGTGTACTTTGCAAGTATGGTCTAGGCCTGTAGACTTCAGATAGCGTTTGCCAGTGGTCAAAGGCGTCCGTTCCGTCTCTACTCGAAGCCTTGTTACACGCATCTGATCTACATGTACCCGGGCTGACCTCCAAGATCTTGGCGATTAAATTAACATTTCAGCCACCAAATCAAAGCCTGTGGATCCTTTTGGAAATCTTGGTCTTCCATAACAGCGACAAGGGCACGCTCTGAGACTGGACCTAGCAATGTTATGGCTACCAGGATGCGAGTCGCGCGGATTGGCAATAGCACGGCGAGCGCTGCTCCGGCTAGCAGTACCAGAACTCCATTTTTCTCATGTACGTGCGTGCGGCCTGCAGCCCGACATGCAGCAACATGGGAGGCATCAATGCTCTAGCAGCAGTTGCAGTGGCATTTCTCCATCCTACCGAGCAATCTATGCAGTGCTAGCTCAATCCCACGCCTTGGTTTGGCTCCAGCTTGGGCAAGCGGGGAACGGCTGGCTCTCAAGCAGCTACCGGCTTACTGCTGCTGCTGCTAGCAGGCCGGAGTGCATCGTCTCATCAATCATGATCATCTCGCATGTGCAGTAGTTAGTCCAGCCCATCAACCACAGGCCGGCAGTGGCTCGAGTGGCGTGTTCCAGCCAGCCACCGGCGCCCGTCCTGCCCGGATGGTGTGCCGTCACGGTGATACTGATGGATGCATCGAGCGGCGCCTAATGAAGCTGGCTGCCCACATCGAGAGCTAGGATAGCCGCTACGCCGTCTTAGTGGCGGTCGCAACGACAATGTTTACTCGCCCTATTGAGACGTCGACCCTCCTTTAAGATTGCCCGTGATTTATTATTAGCGACTATCAGACGCCGAGCGAGATTGGCAGGCCAGTAATTTCCGCGCTCGGCTGGTTTGTTGACGTCGACAAATATTACTCTTCACAGCAGTAGCGCTTAGTAGCGACTCATATTACCCAACGGGCCAATCCGCGTTGCCATGGTGCACGTCAGCCCTCCTCTGGGCGTGGAGGGCCAGAAACAATAAACCCCGTCAAGGGCGTCTCAGCGCTCAAACATCGTCTCGAGAGCTTGTGCGCCCAAGGGAAGGGCGGGTAGACGCATGCAGTTGGAAATCTGAGATGTCGTCGTCACCGTGAGACATGGAAATCAGGGCATGAATGATTGTAGTATCAGCCGTCATACATGCAATTGCTGGCATGCTGGGGTCTACAGCTATGCCCCCAGCACCACGCTCTATACGGGCTCTGTATTAGCAGTATTAGGGCTCCATAAACAACAATAATAGTGTATCGCGTTCATAGACCGAGCTACATTACATAGCTCTGTGCATGAGCATGGATATGATATGCTCGGCTCCGCCTGGCTGCAGACCGACAACTCATCCGGCAACGCCCAATTGCGGATCGCTCCGGGCTCTAAATCAACATTGCATCGCCACAAGTCCTCTTTGTTCCTGGACTTGTCTCAGCACATGCCGCCGGCCTGTTTTAAACTGCGGCGTCAGTGCGATAGGCGCGGACCAGTGGTGGAGACGTCTGCGCTGGCCGTTGCCGTGGCGACCGCGCTGGCTTCCTACTTGAGCTTCCAAGGGACCATTTACTGCACCTCAGCTGGCGCTTGAACTTGGATCTGGAATCCATTCGTCCTCCACCACCTCATTGTTTCTCATTAGAGCATCTTGTTTTCGATCTTATGTTTGATGAAATGCAACCGCAAGCCGAGCCGAGCCTCTCAGCTGCAGTGACCGGTGCAGCAAGCCCAGGCGCCTCTCCAGGCAAAGACATGGAGCCATCGAACGCTGCTGTACCCATGCAGACGTCGCACTATATGAACATGAACATGACCTTGGACAAAATGGACGAGTATGATTCCGCAAAGCTAACGAGGCGTGCTGACAATGTTGCTACTGATGAATGGATGCTCCCCCCCATGACAAAGCTAGACAGACCGCAGATGAGACCGATAGCCGAGGGCGGATATGCTGCTCAGTCGTCGCAGCCTCAACTCGATCACAAGTTCAGCGGCCTGAATTCGGCCATCAGCCGCCCTCACCGGCATCGTCGAACCGAATCCGCAGCAAGCATTGCCAGCGCGGCCAGCATCGCCGATATCAATATCGAAGAGACGCGAACCGACACGGGTGTCACTGGCGAAGAGATTGCTCAGTTTATCCAAGGACCAGAGACGACAGATGGCAAGTGGACCTGTTTGTTCGAAGACTGTGGAAAGCAGTTTGGGCGCAAAGAAAACATAAAGTCCCACATCCAGACCCATCTCAACGACCGCCAATATCAGTGCCCAGCCTGCCTCAAGTGCTTTGTTCGCCAGCACGATCTCAAGAGACACGCCAAGATTCACACCGGCATCAAGCCTTACCCTTGCGACTGCGGTAACAGATTTGCGCGCCACGATGCTCTTACCAGACACCGCCAACGAGGCATGTGTGTCGGCGCCTTTGACGGAATTGTGCGGAAGAACGTGAAGCGCGGACGCCCCAAGAAGAATCGCCTGGAGATGGATGCGCGCCTGGAAAAATCTTCAAAGACCAGAAGAAAGAACAACATGTCCATTAGCTCCATCTCCTCATTTTACTCGGACGTTTCTGTCGCCAATTCCCCCAACTACGAACTTGACGTGCTCAGCGAGGTGTTGGATATGGCCATCGAGGCCGACGCGGAGCCAATGCGCCCGCTCTCATCAGCACCCATGCCTAGCATGCCCAATCCAGCAGCCAGCAGCATTGTCACATCCCCTTCAGAAGCCAGCGTACACTCATACGTGTCCCCGGAAGCAATTATGGAGAGAGCCTCACATCCTTCTTCTCCCGGCAAGAGCACATCAAGCCAATACAACACACCGCCGGGCCTCTCCCAGTCATCATCGTCGCCCCCATCAACGCATTTCTTCGACTTGGACCCCGTTACGACAACGGCGACGACTGATGACGTCGTCAGCTACTCTGCCCCCGGAATGATGATGAATATGACATCGATGGGGGGATCTATGCCTCTGAGTATGAATGAACAAGAGGAAGACTTGCTTCGCCAATTCACAAACGACGACAGCTTCATACCACTGGACCGGGACCCGAGCCTAATAATGATGCCCAAATTCGACGAGTTCAACGGTGTAGCCGTGAGCATGATCAACGAAAACGGCTACTACTTTTAACGGAAATACTTGAAGCGTTCAACAACTTAATTACGCCATGATTTATTCTGAGCCTGTCTTATACTTGTCGAGCCTACTTTTACTTTTGGCGCATTAATTTCGGAACCCGGGTATAGTGATCGGGATAATGTTTCATTCTACCCTGAATTACACAGGGCTTCTACTTTTTTTTTTTCCTTCAATCTCCTTGGTTTTATATCGTTGTGTTACCCCACAACCCGCCACGTTGGAAATTTGGTGTCAATTCAATTGTACAATACGGGGAAGGAACGGATTTGGGATAAAAAGGGATTTTTTTTTTCTTTTTCATTTGTCTTTTTCATTTGTCTCTGTGATAGGGGGGTGGTGTGAGTGAAGTGTTTGGATACGGAGTGATGTTTACAACGCGTTGATATGTTTGGAAACGATTGAAGCTTTCGTAACGGGAATCCGGCACCGGTCCGTTTATTGTTCGATGTTTTTGTTTTTCTTCTTTCCTTTGTTTATGGAGTTGGGAAGAAGATATTGTGTGGACATATTCGAGTGCAAATGAGAGCTTGGATTCTACTGGACTATTACCGCCTCGTTTGCTGATCCGTGCCTCGTGATGTCTCTGTGCTAATGATTGACTCTTTATCCTTGCTGTTCCAACTTATGAGTAGGGTTATTGCCTGTTGTTCGAGCCTGCCATTCATGAATCCATGCTAATTTTTATTTTGTACGTGAATATTTTAATTATTCTTTTACGCCCAGTCAAGCTGATACAATGGCTGCTTCGGAGAGAATATAAGTGGACTCTCACGTCACAGCACATGTAGTAGTTCATATTTTTTTTGCCTTTTTGGGGCAACAAGATTACTATCAATGGCATGCCGAGAGTTACACAACATCTAGTTGATAAGACGTGAGCAGGGTGTACCAGATGTTAAGAAAATGATAGATACCTTAGCCTCCCCGCTTCTAAATACATCTCTTTTCCCACAGTTTCACTCAAACAAATGTCTTGAGCATCTTTTGTTCATTTCATTTGACCATCCCATGAATTTTGCATTCAGTCTGTCTTCAACGTTCATTGTCTCTGATAGGCAGAGGCTTGTGGCGTAGCAATCTTGATACCTCAGGTACTGTCGCATGCTATAATAAACACTCCAACTATAAAATTTTCAGACATCTCTCAAGGTCATAGTAGCATCATGCTATTAATAAGTAGTACGACTCGAGATTATGTGCATTTCTTATATGAATAAGGAATTTTGCGATTATTTTCTGGATGGGAAATTTTACATATTGGTCAACGACTCATCCCAGCTTTTACCCTGGAGCTGCGTATACAAATGTGGCGGGAAACTCTTCTCTTAAATAGTGATGAAGGGTGAGGTTTTTTCCTTCTTATGACTGCAAGTAGTAAGTCATTTGAAAGTACCCTTTTATATTACAAATTCTTTATATATGAGTATGCAGACAGGATAAAAGAGGGCTGTGGGAGAAAATGCCCTGTTAATCTTTCACAAAGCGATCCCTTCACCAATGCTATAGTATTGAGTAACACAAAGCTAGCATATTCGCTTAAATATCTTATTCCTGTGCCAGTCATTGGCCAATAATTAAATGCGGTTTGTGAATTGAGATACACCAAAGTGTCCTCTTTTCTAGCATACCCTAAATGAGATCTCAGTGGCCCATATTGCTCGCTGCGATATGCCCACAAAATCTTACTATGATTCTCGACACCCGATAATCTTCTGAATATTGATTTCAGTAAGTGAGAAAGATTGAGATGAGTGGTATGGCTAATCAAGTTTTTTTTTTTTTTTGGCTTTCAGTTGGTGAGTAAAGGAAGCAAAGACTTGCAAGTTTTCTTCAACTGGCAGATATCGCAGATATCTTAGTGCTTTTGTGAAGAGATTTGTTGGCTACCTATAGAGAAGCAAAACGCATGGATGATGTGAAGTGAAGACATAAAGGGAGGACGAAGAAAAAGTATAGTTCCTCAGAGTGGCAGTACGGGCATTGTAAGAAGCATCAGCCAGAGTGTGGAAAAAGAAGACGCATATACATGGTAGTGGGAGATTTGTTGCATAAATATACAGTAATACCTATTTTCATCTTACGTCTTTTGTGAATTAACAGTTTCTTCGTGGTTCTAAACTCGGTGTTTTATATTCACGTAGGTATCGTGACGTCTCCATTCTGGCAGTCTCGCGCATTTCATACTTATTTTTTCTATTTTCTCCGACTGGCTGTTATTCCATATTTTCTTTTCAAAGCTATGGAGATATGCCTTTAATATTTTTTTTTCTCTCTTATTTTTTTTTAAAAGAAGACGTAAGAAAGAAAGCATAACCTTTTTCTAGTTCTACAACGAGCGCTCAACCATCTTTTAGTGGGATGACGCTGCAAACAATGTGCCATTTTTAGCGGGGAAGAAATGTAATGAAAATCAAGTCTTGCAGAGCTTCTGGGGCAATAAAACAGTTAATTTTCTACCTCGATTAATAATATCTATTTTACACCGACTGGATCCTCTTCATCCTGGATACCTCCTATTCATCATCCAGGCACTTATAGCCAGGAGTGGATGTCCACGGTGGATTGACTGATTGGATTGATTGGCTTGCTAATACTGAACTGCCACTCCCCTCCACACCGCCTTTGCCCGACAAGGCAGAAAAAAGTACCCAGCCCACCACACCTCAATGCGGGTCGCTGCCAGGCAGAGGGAAGCTTGTCGAAACCACGATACTGCCACCAACCCGCAGCCCACGAGATTTCTAATCGACCGGCGAATTTACAGCGTTCGAAATGTCTGCGGCGCAACTTCTCAACCCCAAGGCCGAGTCCCGAGTGCGTCTCTCGTCTGTCTGCTATGCGTGTGCTGCTGGAGGCTAACTGGTTTGCAGAGGAGGGGTGAAGCTCTCAAGGTCAACATCAGTGCTGGTGAGGGCCTGCAGGATGTGCTCAAGTCAAACCTCGGACCCCGAGGCACGATAAAGATGTAAGGCAAACGGCTTCGTTATGGACGTCTGATCAGTGCTGACTGCAGTGTAGGCTTGTCGATGGTGCCGGCCAGGTAACGCGAAGCCCAACTCCTACCCCTCAATGACAAAGCCCCTATTCCTAACAATCGATGCCCCCGAACAGATCAAGCTCACCAAGGATGGAAACGTCCTCCTGAGAGAAATGCAAATCCAAAACCCGACTGCTGTCATGATTGCTCGAGCGGCGACTGCGCAGGACGATATTTGCGGAGATGGCACAACTTCCGTAGTGCTGCTGGTGGGAGAGCTGCTGAAGCAGGCAGACCGACACATTTCCGAAGGACTCCACCCGCGCATCATCACCGATGGCTTTGAGATTGCCAAGGTTGAGGCTTTGAAGGTAGATAAAGAGACGGTTGTGATTGTCAATTTGCAAGAACCCTTCGTCTGACATACTGCTAGTTCCTGGATTCCTTCAAGCTGCCCAAGGAGGTGGACCGCGAACTGCTGCTCAATGTTGCCCGAACATCCCTTGCGACAAAGCTCAACTCAACATTGGCCACGAAGCTTACTCCCGATATTGTCGATGCCGTGCTGGCCATCTACCAGGCCCCTGCCAAGCCCGACCTGCACATGGTGGAGATTATGAAGATGCAGCACCGCACTGCGTCTGACACCCAGCTCATCCGAGGATTGGCGCTGGACCACGGTGCCAGACATCCCGACATGCCCAAGCGACTGGAAAACTGCCACATCTTAACGATGAACGTCAGCCTGGAGTATGAGAAGACTGAGATCAACTCTGGTTTCTTCTACTCGAGCGCTGAGCAGCGTGACAAGCTTGTTGAGAGTGAGCGTCGATTCATCGATGCCAAGCTCAAGAAGATTGTTGAGCTGAAGAAGCAGGTCTGTGGTGATGACGGAAAGAAGAGCTTTGTTATTATCAACCAGAAGGGTATCGACCCCCTTTCCCTAGACGTCCTGGCCAAGAACGGTATTCTGGCTCTGCGACGAGCAAAGAGAAGGAACATGGAGAGACTTCAGCTCATCTGCGGCGGTGTTGCTCAGAACAGCGTCGAGGACCTAACACCAGACGTCCTCGGCTGGGCTGGTCTCGTTTATGAGCAGACGCTGGGCGAGGAGAAGTACACTTTCGTCGAGGAGGTCAAGGATCCCAAGTCGGTCACTCTTTTGATCAAGGGACCCAACCAGCATACTATTGCTCAAGTCACGGATGCTGTCCGAGATGGCCTGAGAAGTGTCTACAACATGATTGTTGACAAGAGCGTTGTTCCCGGCGCTGGTGCTTTCCAGGTTGCCTGTGCCGCCCACCTCAAGAGCGATGCCTTTGCCAAGTCAGTCAAGGGCAAGGCTAAGTGGGGTGTCGAGGCCTTTGCCGACGCTCTTCTCATCATCCCCAAGACTTTGGCTGCCAATGCTGGACACGATGTTCAGGATGCTCGTGAGTTTTTGCAAGCCCTAGATTCTTCCGAATGAAAGCACGATGCTAATAATATAATTACAGTTGCCGCACTACAAGACGAGTACGCAGATGGCCAGGTCGTTGGGTTGAACTTGGAGACTGGCGAGCCCATGGATCCCGAGCTGGAAGGTGTCTTTGACTCATTCAGAGTTCTGAGAAACTGCATTGCTTCAAGCTCAGGTATTGCGTCCAATCTGTTGCTTTGCGACGAATTGTTGAAGGCCCGACAGATGGGCAGAGCCAAGGGACCAGGTCCTGGAATGGATGGCCCCGATGATCACATGTAGAGACTTTATTGTTTAGATTTATGGTAGATAAAAATCATCCCGGAACAGGTCAAAAATATCTAGGCACTGCCATTCTTAAGTAATACTGGATTTTAATATAGCTGAGATATGTCTTGACGACTCAAGTTGCAAAGTCTTTGTTACATTACTATTATCCAAGGGCGAGAGCTGGCTGGGAGATTCAATGGTGTCGGCTTGATAAGCCCCGCAATGATTTTTATCTTCACCTAAAAAAAATCTTGACCCCACCATCATTGAACTGCAATACAACCAGAAGTCTACAGAACTGCGACAATGGCAGATTACGCTTCCGACTCCTCTGAGGGAGAATTTACAGAAACAAATGTCCTCCTCGGATATACTTCTAAAGAAGCTGAGGAGGATACTATAAGCAAGCTGGGAGGCACTCCGGTAGGTCTCGTTTCTTCTTTTTCTTCCGTCGCCTTGATAGCTGCAAAGCTGTGCTAGATGACATGCTAACAGTATGGATGTTCCAGGACTGGCTCGACGCAGACAAAGCCCCTTCAGCTGCGCTGGCAAGATGCAAGGTCTGCAAAGATATGATGGCCTTGCTGCTGCAGCTAAACGGCGAACTCCCCGAGAAATTCCCCTCCCACGAGCGGCGGTTATACGTTTTCGCATGCCGTAGAGCGACATGTCGGCGCAAGGCGGGCAGCATTCGCGCCCTGAGGGGAGTGAGAGTTTGGAAGGACGCTGCCGGGACGACGATACCACAAGTTGAAGAAAAGGTGCTAGAAAAGAAGACTGAGCCAGAGGAGAAGAAGAAGGATGGGCCGGGCCTGGGGGAGTCGCTCTTTGGAGCGAAGCCTCTGGGAGCTGCTGGTGGAAATCCATTTTCCAGTGGCGCAAATCCTTTTGGTTCTTCAGCAAGCAATCCTTTTAGCTCTTCTTCTTCGTCCAATCCGTTTTCAAGCCAGCCAGCCAAACCAGCCGCTACACCAGCAGAGAAGCCTGCTGCCGCTCCTGCTCCTGCTTCAGACAACAACCTCTCCAAGACCTTTGCTGAGACTCTGGCAATAAACAACAACACCCCCCCTTCGGGGCCGCCACCTCCCGCCGAGCCATGGCCTGAAAAGGCTTCGCAACCTACCCCTTACCCGACCCTCTTCCTCTCCGACGCAGACTACGAAACCCTCGACGAAACCCCCATGAAGACACCGGCTAACGTGAGCATGGCTGATGCCGACGCCCCAGAGCCTTCTGCCCTTGATCGCGAGGCGTTCGAATCAGCCATGGACGCCACGTTTCAGAAATTCGCCGACCGGATGGCCCAGAATCCCGAGCAGTGCATCCGTTACGAGTTTGGCGGCGCGCCGCTGCTGTATTCTAAGACGGACGCCATTGGCGATCTCTTGACCAAGCGGACCATGCCGGGATGCCCCAACTGTGGTGGTAGAAGGACATTTGAGGTGCAATTGACGCCAAATGCTATTACCGAGCTGGAGGAAGATGACTTGAGCTTGGATGGCATGGAGTGGGGGACGATTATCGTCGGTGTGTGCGAGAGGGACTGCTCGCTGAGACATACTGCTGTTGAGGAAGCGGGCTATTTGGAGGAATGGGCGGGTGTTCAGTGGGAGGAGCTGTCGAAGAACAAATAATGCTCATATTCTAATCTTCTTTTGTTCTTTTTGCATGGATACATAGATAAAAAGTTTTAAGAGGGTAGTTTAGAAAACCTCGACGAGTTCATGATATCAAAAAAAACAAGAAGAGTGCGAATGAACGTGATGCCCAAAAGATAGCCTGTTCTATTTCATGGCTGATCTTGTATCGCTTTTTAATAAACAGTTTTTGTCCTATTAAACGCCTGACGAATTTTTTTAAGATCTCCGCACCATGCCATGCCATCATGCCAATGTCATATTACGCATCATTGGTTCCGTCGACATATCCATTGCCTTCTCTTCCTTCCCCCTGTATAAGCAAAAATACTAGTTAATCAACGCCTCTTTCCACGATTACACGGATAATTTATACAGTCTCCTCCCAGGATCGTCGAATCACTCTGGCGAACTGATCAACGTTGACGTCCTCGCGGATCTCAGACTTCTTGGCCTCGTTGTCGGGGTTGGAAGGAATCTTGACGTTGTCCTCCTCGATAGTCCAGCCAGCAACCTCGGTGATGAATTTCCGTGTCTTGTCCTCGTTAAAGCCCAGCCATGAGACCATGTGAGACAGCTTGATTTCGCGAAAGGCCTGTGAGACGAGGGTGGCGATTCGCTCGCGGACAAGGTCCTCGAAGCCGGAGACGTCGGCGATGAGGTCGGCGCACAGGTCGTCGCCGTCGAGGTCGGCCCAGAAGTCGGCGTACTGGGCGCCCTGGAGCTGGGAGTTGAGGGTTCGGAGCTTGGTGAGGGCCTCGTGGAGTTCGCCGGTGGAGGCGGCGGAGGGGTTGATGAGGTGGAGGGCGAGGGTGAACTGGGACGAGGGGAACTGGGTCATGGCCTTGACGAGGATGTTGGTGACGATCTCGTCCTTCATGCGGTCAGGGTTGAGCTGGTAGCTGTGGTTTTTTGCGCGGTTTGAATTAGCATTGCAGTTTCATAAATGAGTTGAAGAGTAATAAACGAGCGTGCAATGCTTATAGCGATAAGTGATTTGTGCTTTGTTTTGATTTTCAGACACCACTAAAGTTGACTTCAAGTGGCTGGGTTGTTTAGGTCCAGCCTCAGGTAATAGGAAACGTTTACAAAAACGGTCATCATATAACGAGCAGATATCGAAGAAAAATGCAAGAAGCCTTCCAGGAAAGGTCAGGCGCTCGCAATTAGGCAACTCACAGCTTCAACAGCGTCCGGTTCGCATTGCAGTCGCAGGTCTTCTGGTCACATTGCTCCTGGAGGTAGGTTTCGAGGGTGCCGACGGCCTCGGGGTTGTATCGCTCGAGGCCGTTGATCACCGTTGTGATGTAGTCGGGGCGGTCTGAGGGGTCTTCGCCGTTCATCTTGGCTGCTGTTGTAGCGGATGCTATTCCCAAAGTCGAATGAGGGGAGAATGTTCAAGTTCGAGATGGTGGGGCCAAAAGGGAAAGATTTCGATATCGTGGGCAGCTGGCTTTGTGCGGCACGAAGTTGCCTCAAGGGGCTTAGCGGCGACGAAATGACGGGGCTCCTGATCTTCCGCACCGCGGGCGGAATTCACCTTCACGATCACGTGCCGTCGTGTTGGACGGCGTCATGGATGATGAGAGCTCCGCGTGAATCCCATGTCTTGGTTAGTATGTGTAAGCAACTTTGCATGAATCACGCGTTTTAATGTCTGTCATGACTTGGAAGATTTTTCTTCAATATTTATCCATGTCAATGAACTATAGTCTGGGGGGTTGAGGGGCTTCTCCAGTCGTTCCGAGCTACAACTACATCAAGACAGCATGTCTAGTCCATCGAAGAAGAGGAAGCTCAACAGCGGTGCAAAGCAACCGGCACCTCAGCCAAAGGGGCTGGAATACTTCTTTTCTAAGCAAAAGCAGTCTGGATCCTTGACCACATCAGCTGGGGAAGATGGCGCCTCAAACAGTGCATCTGCGTTGCTTACAGATGAGGAGTTGGCACGGAAGTTACAAGCGGAATGGGACCAAGAAATAGCAAATGAAGTTCCTGCTATTCGAGGAAGCCAGAATTCAACGCCGAAAACTGAGGGCACGGAAGCCATAGCGGAGACAGCAGACAGTGACTCTACGCCTGCTTCTACGAGTCGGCCGGTGGAATCCACAGCTGAGACGACGCCTAAGAAACAAGATACAAAGAAGACTCTGGCTTTGCAGTCGACTGGAATGGCTGATGACTTGATAACGGAATCTATTCCCCTGGATGAATCGCCGCTCATATTTGACCCGTCAAAATATATAAAGGAGCTGCAGGAATACTGGGCGGCAGAAGGAGGAAATGCGTCCTATGCTCTCCTGAGCAGGTGTTTCGTGCTTGTCAGCGGAACAACAAGCCGTATCAAAATCGTTGATACCCTTGTAAATTGCCTACGTATCTTAATCGAGAGCGATCCTTCTAGCCTCTTGCCCGCCGTAAGTACCCGTATCAAAAATTGTAAACGTAAATCTCATAACTCTCTAGGTCTGGCTTGCTACAAACTCTATATCGCCTCCGTACATCTCTATGGAACTTGGTATAGGAGGGTCAGCCATCTCCAAGGCGCTTCGCCAAGTTTGTGGCCTGGATAATCGGTCTCTTAAAGCTATTTACGATAAATACGGAGACCCCGGCGATGTTGCCTTTGAAGCAAAGAAGAAGCAAAGCTTTACTCTGAGAAAGCCGAAACCTTTAACTATAAAGGGTGTTTACCAATCGCTAGTCAAGATTGCCACTACTCATGGTCATGGAAGCGGCGAGACGAAACAGCGAATTGTGGATCGACTGTTGCAAGATGCACGAGGAGGCGAAGAAAGCCGGTTCATTGTTAGAACTGTCTCTCAATATGTTGGTGTCCTACGCCCCAACTACTTTGAACGCACACACTAATGGTATGTAGCTTCGCATTGGTGCTGTTAAAACCACCATGCTAATTGCATTATCTCGAGCATTCTTGCTATCTCAAGCTCCAGGCTCTGAATACAGCACCAGGGATATTTCAGAGCTAAGCAAACTGAAGAAGGAAGAATTAGCGGAAGTCTGGAATAAAGCAGCAGAAATTGTCAAGGCAAGCTATGCACGACATCCCAATTACAACGATCTAATCCCGGCACTCCTCGAGGTTGGAGTCTGTGAAGAATTGCTTCTGCGTTGCGGCTTGAAGCTTCATGTGCCTCTGCGCCCCATGCTGGGAAGCATAACGAGGGACCTCTCCGAGATGCTTACAAAGCTACAGGGAAGAGATTTTGCCTGCGAGTTCAAATATGACGGGCAGCGCGCACAGGTCCACTGCGATGAAAAAGGCAAAGTATCGATATTTTCTCGACACTTGGAGCTTATGACAGAAAAGTATCCTGATCTTGTAGAGCTTGTGCCTAAGATTAGGGGAGAAGGAATTGGCAGCTTCATCATGGAAGGAGAAGTTGTTGCGGTTGATCGAGAGACTGGAGAGCTGAAAAATTTCCAGACGTTGACCAATCGTGCGCGAAAGGATGTTGCGATTGGAGATATCAAGATTGACGTATGTCTTTTCGCGTTTGACCTCATGTATCTCAACGGGCAATCTCTGCTGGATCGGCCATTTCGAGAAAGACGAGAACTTCTTCGGTCCCTCTTTATTGAAGTGCCGCACCATTTTACGTGGGTCAAAAGTCTGGACGCTACTTCTGGAGATTCGGAAACTGTACTTGAATTCTTCAAGTCGGCATTGGAAAACAAGTGCGAGGGCATCATGGTAAAAATATTGGATAATTTGCCTGATCTGCCTTACGTCGAAGGGGAACCTGTACCCGAACAAAGAGTGGAAGATACAGAAAAGCTATCATTACCGAAGAGCAAAACAAAAGGTAAAGGGAAATCGAAAACTTCTGCGAAAGGCGATGCCGAGGAAAAATCGATAAACACTCGACGAAAGCCGCTCCTAGCAACGTATGAGCCTGACAAACGACTAGACTCTTGGCTCAAAGTCAAGAAAGATTATAATTCCAACTTTGACACATTGGACATGATTCCTGTTGCTGGATGGCATGGACAGGGCAGAAAAGCGAAATGGTGGTCCCCTATTTTGATGGCTGTTCGTAATGAAGAAAGCGGGACACTGGAAGTGGTGTGCAAATGCATATCAGGCTTCACAGACACCTTTTATAAGGCGAACAAGGAGTTTTATGACAATGGAGAAGAAAGCGGCGAGCCGAAGAATACTAAGCTACAGAAGCCGAGTTTTATAGAGTATTACGGGCCGAGTCCAGATGTGTGGTTTGAGCCACAAGAGGTTTGGGAAATGGCATTTGCGGACATTACGCTTAGCCCGGTTTACACCGCAGCTATCGGGCTTGTGAGCGATGAGCGAGGCCTCAGCTTACGATTTCCGCGATTTTTGAAGAAGAGAGAGGATAAGAGCATTGACGAAGCTAGCACAAATGAGTTTCTGGCCAACTTGTGGAGGAAGCAGGAAGCAAAGGCAGAAACATCGACATCGAAGGCTGATGGAGCGGAAGTGGACGATGCTCAGGATGGCGATTTGGATGACTAATTTAGAACATATGATCATCAATTTTGAGAGCACTTGACGAAATTGGTGTAACAGAGAAGATTATCGTTAATCATTGGCTATAAGCTATAACAGTACCAGGCTCAACTCATTTCCCAGCATTCAGCCTCTGCGCAATCAGACTAAAGACCGCCACAGACCCCATGAACAAGACTGTATGATAAAACTAGCAGCTGGCATTAGAAACGAGCGTTTAACAAATCCCTCCCGATGTAACACATACCGCTGTTCTTGAGATGTTCCTCTCCTCATCCTCCGTTCGGGCCTCGATGAATAGCCTCCTGAGATTGGGGAAGCTTGCCTGCGACATGAAAAATTCGTTTCTTAGCAGACAGATACTTGACGATTCATAGCTGATGAGAGTAATTATAGTAGAAGTATTACCATGTTGGCAGAACGAGAAGAGAAGAAGAGGGTCTCGGCTTGGGATGGTTACACAAGAAGGATCAGAGAGGGAGAACTAAGGAATAGACTTTATGGCGTTTGTTGCTGGCTTGGGTGTGTGTGAGGAAGAGGCCCGTGCGCTCGGCGACTTGTTACCGTTCAGTGTATTGAAGGTGAATTATGAATAGGAGATTCTACGCAGGCAATTGAAGTTTCATGAGCTACGGCTACGGCTATGAGACTGCATGATGATAATGGATGACTAAATGCAGCTAAAGCCAGGCCCATGAAACTCCCGGTTTGGGCGATGCAGGTGCCTGTGGATCATGGCTTGCTTTGTTTCTTGCATGATCTGAGACTTGGCTCTAGGCTTGGCTCTAAGCTTGATACTGCGGATGCAGTCTATTGGCGATAGGCAGCACATCTCTAACAATTGAATATCTGCTAGGCATCTATATCATGATACGCTTTGCCATATGTAGGAATATCGAACTTTAGGCATCGAGATAATTGTCCAGGAGAACGCACTTCGTATACACGTTGCATGTTACCAGCCCGTGTCCCCTGAGAAGCCCCGTGGATGACTCAGCACTGCCCGTCAATCTGGCCCTTTGGCTGGTGCTGATGTAGCGCCCGGAGCCGCCTTTTAGTGGAGTTTTGACTGGCATACAGCGCTGTGGTCACCAAAGACTCCAGCGGCAGCGGCAGGTCCTAATATTAGCGTCCATATGTCCCAATCCATAAGCTTGCAACTCGCAACCCCCTCGAAACGACAACTTCTCAGGCGAAGCGGCCACGATACGGAGCGCTACGACTCGAGGTTCCTCTGGCAGACGTAGCCGGAGTACCGATAGCCCTTTTACCCCCCCAGAGCAGCTCCCGCCTCGGTATCTCCTGTGGACGCTCCCCTCTCTGGACGTGGCATCTCGACGCCGGATCCAAGACAATCCTCGTGCCCCTCCAACCACCTAAGGCTCCTCGACGATGGCGGTGAATCGCATCCGGGGCGCTTTTGCCGCGCCTCGGAAGGGAGAGACGTTTGAGCTGCGGGCGGGTCTGGTCTCGCAGTATGCGTACGAGCGAAAGGAGTCGATCCAGAAGACCATCATGGCCATGACGCTGGGCAAGGATGTCTCTGCCCTGTTCCCCGACGTCTTGAAGAACATTGCGACTGGCGACCTTGATCAAAAGAAGCTGGTCTATCTGTATCTCATGTATGTTCTCTGCATATACGATCCTGTGATGCTACTGGCGAAGCATCTTCATGGCATTTAGTGACGCTGCTGGAACTTTACTGATGCATGATTCAGGAACTATGCCAAAACGCACCCGGACCTTTGCATTCTCGCCGTCAACACGTTTGTCCAAGATTCAGAAGACCCGAACCCTCTCGTACGAGCGCTCGCCATCCGCACAATGGGCTGTATCAGGGTGGACAAGATGGTGGACTACATGGAAGAGCCGCTGAGGAAAACGCTAAGGGATGAGTCGCCATACGTGCGCAAGACCGCGGCAATTTGCGTGGCCAAGCTTTTCGACCTGAACCCGGCCCTGTGCATTGAGAATGGATTCATCGATTCACTTCAAGAGATGATTGGCGATCCAAACCCAATGGTAGTCGCAAACTCGGTCCAGGCATTGGCCGAGATCAGCGAGACGGCGCCCGAAACGAGAGCACTGCTAGTCACGCCTCCGATCCTCAAGAAACTACTGATGGCTATGAACGAGTGCACCGAATGGGGTAGGATCACCATTTTGACCGTGCTAGCAGATTATGTCGCGGCCGACGTCAAGGAATCGGAGCACATTTGCGAGAGGGTCATCCCGCAATTCCAGCACGTCAACCCTAGTGTAGTCTTGGCCGCTGTCAAGGTTGTCTTTATTCACATGAAGGCAATCAACTCTGAGCTTGTGCGGTCGTATCTTAAAAAAATGGCACCCCCTCTTGGTATGTTTTTTGATATCATAGCTGTGGCTTTCTGGCTCCTGGCAGATACAGTTATTGCTAACATTAGGACGTGAAATAGTCACATTGGTTGCATCCCAGCCAGAGGTCCAGTACGTTGCCCTCAGGAATATCGACCTTCTTCTTCAAGCCAAGCCAGACATTCTGAGCAAGGAGCTGAGAGTCTTCTTCTGCAAATACAACGACCCGCCTTATGTGAAAATGCAGAAGCTGGAAATCATGGTCAGAATAGCAAATGAGAAGAACTACGAACAGCTCCTTGCAGAGCTGAAGGAATATGCTCTGGAAGTGGACATGGACTTTGTGCGCCGAGCCATCAAGGCCATCGGCCAGGTGGCCATCAAGATCGAGGATGCGAGTGCCAAGTGCGTTCAGGCGCTGGAGGACCTTCTCGCCACCAAAGCCAACTACGTGGTGCAAGAGGTTGTTGTGGTCATCAAGGACATTCTGCGAAAATACCCTGGCTACGAGGGCGTGATCCCTTCGCTTTGCAATTACATTGACGAGCTGGATGAAGCCGATGCTCGTGGATCACTCATCTGGATTGTGGGTGAATACGCGGAGAAGATTAGCAACGCTGAGGAGATTCTCGATGGCTTTGTTGACACATTTTCAGAGGAATTTACACAGGTATGGATTTTGATGAAGATTTCTGCTTGAAAATTCCAGGGCTAACACACGACTTGCAGACCCAACTTCAGATCTTGACAGCCGTTGTGAAGCTGTTTTTGAAGAAGCCTAGTGGAGCGCAGAGTCTTGTCCAGAAGGTACTGCAAGAGGCAACGACCAACAACGATAATCCCGATATCCGTGACAGAGCATATGTCTACTGGCGATTACTGTCAGGAGACCTGGAAGTTGCCAAGGTAAGAGGATCTGTATCTACCCGTTGAGAGTGTGCATCTTGCTGATATTCCCCAAGAACATTGTGTTGTCAACAAGACCAACCATTTCCACAACAATGACGAGCCTACCAACAACGCTGCTAGAGCAACTTCTGTCAGAGCTCTCGACTCTTGCATCAGTATACCACAAGCCCCCCGAAGCCTTTGTTGGCAAGGGTCGTTTCGGCGCAGACGAAATCCAGAGGGCTGCTATCCAGGAACAGCGCCAGAACGCCGCAGAGAACCCCATCGCCGCCTCTGTTGCCGCCAACGGATCCGGTTCCGTCTCGCAGAACAACATTGAAAATCTGCTCGATATCGACTTTGACGGCGCGGCCCCGGCTTCTCACGAGCAGAACAGCGCAACAGGAACGCCCGACCGGGTGCAGAGCCCAGCCACGAGCGGTATGGCTGATATGATGAGCATGTTTGATGCCCCTCCTGCAGGTGGTAGTTCAGCACCGGCTGCTGCTCCCGCAGGTGGCATGAACGACTTGATGAACGGGTTCGAAGGGCTTAACTTTGGAGGTGCGACTACCAGCGAGCCACTGCCAGCGGCCATGCAGCTACACAATGCGCACGGTGGCGCGCAGCCCAAGAAGGATAGCGATGACCTTTTGGGTCTGTTGTAGAATGCCTACAATGCTCTTTTTTGTTATATGTACGAGCAGGAACTGGACAAAAGTCAGAGAAGAGAAAAAGGGAATGGGTTATCATGGGAGATGTTGAAGCAGCGCAAAGAATGGGGAGAGGTCTTTGGGCTGCTGGGAATATAGTAGTTAATTAGTGAAGCATATTTGATGATTTGACTCTTGATATATATATATAAGCTATAAAGATATCTTTTCGAGCTACCACTCTCCATGCCATGCTGTCGGGATGCCGTGCCCTTTGAGTTGGTAGAGCTGCATTGTGTCTTGTGCTGTATTATGCAAGAGATATCCAAGCCTTGAAGCACTGATGTTGCTGCCGTGATCTAGTGTTTTTCTCCTCTGGGGCGCCTCTTTTCTTGGGTATATACACTCATCGCGCCCATCTTGTCCATTCCACCTTGTTCTCAGCCCAGCCAGTGATTTTGCATCACATGTTCTTTTATTTCCGTACCGAAAGCATATCTGCCTGCTGTTTTTTCTTCACTGGTTCGTCCCCTCAACATGTCCTCCCACCGTGCCATCCAGCGACGGCGCCGCAGTATCCCTCTCCTTGTCCCACTCGTCGGGCGTCTGGCATTTGGCCGTCCAGGCGTGGATGGCGGCGATTTCGTCCTTGAGGGCGGTGTTGACGAGGCGGTGCCGCTTGAGGGACTTGAGGTCCTTGAACTGGGGGGAGACGATGAGGGAGGTGAAGGCTTGGCCGCAGCCACCTGGTAGTTGACAGTGATTAGGTTAGCTACCTATTTGGCGGGCTTCCTTTCAAGATTTGTCATGGCTGCGCAAGCGCAAAACAATGCTTGGTAATGCGACTTACCTGACATGTCGGTGACTTCGACGTGGATTGCGCCGAGGCGCTGGGTGATGGCCTCGCGGAGGGAGGCTTCTGTTATTGAGGCCATGGTATATATATATGTGTGTGGTTATGCGAGAAGTATGTGAGGAAAGGGAAAGACGCAGACGCAGCAGCTTTTTGGGTTAGTAGGCAGCAAGGTAGCTTTTGCGACAATCGGAACGTCAATTCAGAGACTACGATCTGATTGATTAGATAATAGATCGTGGGGGGGTGGTGTAAAAAATGACAGTGTCTCGATACAGTATTTCGGCGGATTTGTAACGGTATGAAATCATTACTAGAGCTCTGATTTGCTGAGGCTTTCCGGTTCTGTGGTGGGGGGAAAAACAAGCTTAGCTGAGCTTGCAGTTGAGGTGGAGGGGCTGATCTCGACCAATCGCCTGGGCTTGTCTGGACATTTACAACCATCAACTAATCTTCGTATCTCTTCTCTTCTCTTTTCTTTTTCCTTCAATCATCATTTCAAGACTTGCCATGGTCTTGGCGAGACTCTTCCGCAATAGCCCATCGCCAGCACTACGAACAGCGCCTCTCCGCTTAGCATCCTCGCAACTTACTTGTCTCCGAATCGTAACCTCTCAGCAACATTCCAGTGTCATCCTCTCGTCGACCCGCCCTCTATCGCGACGAATCATTTCCACCACGAGAAAGAAACTCGATAATAATACCATGACTGATTACTCCGATGGCGTTGGCGCGTGGGGCGCATGGCAGGCCGAGCCGTCCAAGTTTACGCAGCAGGTTGTAAATGCCATGAGGACGCTGTACGTTGACAGAAGCACTCATCATCGCTGTCGCTTGGCTAGTTATCGAGAAGGGCTCTTCTGACAATTGATGCTACAGATACCCCGAGGAGCTTGCCGATCGAAAGTGGGACAATGTCGGACTGCTGATTGACAATTCCGATGACACAAAGAAGCGCCAGCCGACGGCTATGGTGACAAACGATCTCACTTTTCAGGTCGCGGTTGATGCCATTGGCCAAGGTGTCAGCGTTATTGTCAGCTACCGTATGCTTGTTCTTTGATTCTTGTGTCTTCTCAATTTATTCGATATATATCCATCGCTCATGCTAATGCGCTCTTCACAAATCCAGATCCCTTCATCTTTTCTGGTCTCAAGTCTATTACAAACAACGACCCGCAACAAGCCACCCTATTACAGCTCGTCAAAGCTGGCATTGCAGTTTACTGCCCACATACTGCCGTGGATGCCGCACCAAAGGGCCTCAACACATGGCTCGCCGATATTGTTTCGGGCCCTCACAAGAGCACTCGTTCCGTTGCTATTCCCTGCGCCACGGCTCCTGAAACCCATTCTCCGGCCGGATATGGTAGCATAGGGCGATTTGAGAATGGCGGCGTGTCTCTAGCAGAGATCATCAAGAGACTGGCTCTCAAGCTAGGAGGGCTGAAGCACATTATGGTTGCTTCTCCCGTTGGTTCCGACATCAAGTCTACTACGGTTCGTAGTTTTGGTGTTTGTGCTGGAAGCGGATATGACGTCCTCAAGTCAGCAGACGTAGATTTGCTCATCATGGGCGAAACGAGTCATCACTCTGCTCTCAGGGCCATTCAACAAGGCAAAACCCTAATCCAAGTATTCCACAGCAATTCAGAGAGAGGCTACCTCCGAGAAGTGTTGAAACCAAGCTTGGAATCGCTTCTGAAACAAGTTGAGCCAGAGGCAGAGGTACTATTGAGCGAGTTCGACTCGGATCCGTTTAAGATATTGGATGTGAGCACTTTCGAAGAGGACTGAGACATCTCTCTCTGGTAGCTGTGGCGTGGGGGGTTTTGATATACGACGTCAGATAGACTAGGCTCGCCGCATAGATTAAACAACACCTGGCAATCATTGCTTCATGGCAGGTGGCATATTAGAGTGTAATGGGCCATATCGCCGCCCGTCATTTGGCGCTCTTGCTTCTGGTGCTGGTGACCTCGTTCGCGTCAAAGCAATGGCTGCATCGCCTTCGTCAATGCATGCCTGTACGTCGTCTCCGCCCACTCCCTTCTCTTTCCAAGCCTCTAGCAATTTCCGTGGCATCTCCCACTGTCTTCTTGCCTCGTCAAACTTGCCTTCCTTGACTAGTGCTTGTAGCCGCCCTGGAGTTGCAAGTACTTCAATGGCTAGCTGTCTTGTTCGGTGACGTTGCTGTTGTGCTTCCCGAGCCCTGCCCTCTTCTGAATCCGGGGAAGGCACCGATTTTCGCATCGATTCTTGTATGGCTGAAGCCTGGCTGTAGATGTGTGCAATGGCTGGATCGAGTGTTGTAGCCATAGGGTTCAGGGGATCCATATTAGCTCGCATCTAGATATCGAAGGAAGGTGAATTGGTTAGCTGTTATAATCTTAACCTCATCCGCATCGTATCAAATAACAATGCTCACCTTTCGAATCGTCTCCGTTGCAGTGATGAGTTTGCTGTAGTTGTCATATACAAGAGCCTTCTTCTCTGCGTCCAACGCCCTAACTTCACCCAGCACCCTCGTATAGAGCTTCAACAGATCCTGCAAGCTGCTCTCTGCAACGACCCTCTGGAGGTATTCGTCCAAGTTGAAATCTGGCGCGTCGATCTCGCTTGCAGGCACTTCCGAATCAGAGGCCTCGATGATGCGCGGAGTTGAAGGAGAAGAGCCAGAAGCCGCAGCTGCACGGAGGTTGTAGTATTCGCGGAGGGCAGCTCGGTTGCTGGAGCGTTTGGCGCCGGTGGGAGGCTGAGATGCGCCGAGGACGGGAGACGTCACGGTGGACCGGGAGATGTCGGACGAGGGACGGGCGGACGACGTGGGAGTGCCGGAGGGGGTGCGGCGCAGCGGGGCGGGAGGATTGCGGGAAGAGGCAATGGTGGACATGGTGAGGGTTGAAGCTGGTGGTGATGCCGGAGAGAGTGTGAGAGAGCAAGAGAGGTGAGATGAGGCTGAAGGCCTGAAGGAGGTGACAACATAGCCTCGCAGGGACCTGGCTAGTGGCGCTAAATAAGGCTTGGGGTGCTGGGATTATAGTGGCTTCAAGGGCTAATGCCAATTGGTGGTGGATGTCCATGGGCAGAATAAGCGGAACAGCCAGTATCGCGAATTGATCAGTTGCCGAAACGTCTTCATAAAGTTCTACATATTATCATGGGCCAATTAATTACTTTGCTGATGAGATAAGAATTATATGTGTTTTATTACTGTGTCTTGTGTTGTTTATATCCACCCATCAAATATCTATCTAGGTACCTATCTACGTCTATTTGCTGTGAGTGCGCCGTATAAGTGCATAGAAGCAAGCCAAAACGCCGTCACTGGCTTGACGTAAACAAGCACCGTCGTAATTTCCCAATGACTCCTTTTACTCTCATCTCTCTATACATTTTACATATTCAATCCACTGGAAATGGGCCTCTGTATCATGTAGGGTGAAGACCCTAAAGTCATCTGAGTGAAGCGGCGGCATGCATATGCGAGACGCGCACACCCGAAGGCCAGCTTACTATAAAAGGCCGATCAACTTGCATAGATGGACTCAATTCATCTTGGACCTTTCAATATCCCCAAGACCCAGACAAACCGACATCTTATAGAGTCTTCTGTTATTAAAGAAGCCATGGGTTAGCACGAAACACCGCCGGAAGAATACGCTTCCAAGCTGGTAAGTACATACTCAGAATATACATGTAATAATTGTGTTCTCATCTGACATTGATGTAGTGCAAATGGAAGATATCAACATACGCCCCTTTATCATACAGACCCGGAAGGTGCGCACATTGAGACCTTGTTGATCTTTACGACATGCCCACACAGACTGGGCATATCTTGATCTACTTCCGGATTTGACGCGTCATTCCTTCAACAACATTGCTCCGATACAACAAATAAAATCATCGACCAATTGCACTGGTGGATGGACAATGGAAGAATGGGCCCCAAGCCATTGAGAAAAATGGGCTTGGCGTTGTACAGTTTCACTGGCGGAAGCACCGCAAAATTATACTGTCATATCTTGACATGATCCAGGGTTTCACTGTCACTCCTCTTCCTAAGCAACAATCTACGAATCTGCCAGGAACAACACGCGCCGATAAGGTGTATCTGAAGGACAGACTAAGCTAGGTGAAAGACATACTTCGCCGTTTTGGACTACAAGAGAGTATCCGTCATAGATGGTGGGGCGTTATTCCGAGATGTTATGGATGGAACCTTTTTTATTCGATATACCTATATGATTTACAGAAACTTGGCCCAAGATATGGATGGAGTAAGCCATGTCAAGGTAAAGCAGAAAATACCACCGTTCTGCCACTCCGCTTGACGAGGTCCTCATCATCATTGGCTACCAGCAACAGAAACAGCTCAAAGCATTACAAGGATATTGTCAATGGGGGCAATAGCATTATAGCCGGATGTCAAAGTTGCCACAAAGGCCATGACTAGCTTCATATGATGATTCAATTCATACGCAAAGCGCAAAAAAATGGCAGAGCACGAATGGCGGCCCTTATGCCCGCTGCCACTCTATGCAAGCCGCCCTTCTACGCCATTGACCAGCTAACTTTGGGTTATATGTGCCGACTTTCTCATTGGTAAACCGACCACATACGCCACCACCCGTATGGCCAATCTCCAGCAGTTGAGATTAATCCCTTTTGCCATACAGAATGAAAGAGACAATTTATCAATATGGATTTCTCAGATACGCCATCATGATAGACGAATGCGGCCTGGGGAAGACAGTCATAACATCCCTCGCACTAATGGGGACGAGTCCGTCCAATAAAGTTGGCAGATGTAACAATGGATCCTTGCGTCAAGTTTCCTTTGAGCAAGTATTTAATCTGTTTGCTACGCAAAGGGAGACGCGCACGCATCGACTATCTCGTCTATGGTCCATTTCCCAACATCTTAATCTACAACTTCGACAAACTACGGCCTGCCCTCTTTCTAGTTGATGGCGAAATGAAAAGCTACACTAGCAACAAGCTCAAGAGAGGTTCATCAGGAAAACGGAAACTTGACAGCGCCATCCAGCTTGATGCAACGCAAGAATCTTTTACGATCAGTTACAATCGCCAAGTGACAGCAGTATGGAATGAGTTTCAAGAGAGGGGAAGTTAGCCCATGAACCAGCGCCGATCCCTTGTTAAAACAGACAACGAACTATTCTTGCGGCTTTGACACTATCAATGATACATGTATTTTTCGACATGAGGACATTGGTGTTGCTGGTATATACTGAACGCTCCGGTAACGCCCAGACACTCAAGACTTTACTTATAACACCATACACCACCAACACGCGACATACCAATTTATACTCACCAGGAATGACGACGCGTGCACAGGCTATGACCATCTTGGTCGGTAAAGAAGCAATCGTCAAAAGCAAGAAATCACGTACGATGAACCAGTTGCACGACTACTTGAAATCGCGCTGCCTCATCGTCAAAGTCCTCGGATGGAATGACTTTTGTGATTTCTGTCATTTACTAGGGCATAAGCAGGCAAATCTGGGAATAGAGCACAGAAGATTCAGGAACGTACCGTATCAGCTACTTAGAACACAAAACTCTAGCCACATTGTTCATGGAAGAATTTGTTCGATTCGAAGACGTCCTGATAGGCACACCAGTTGCAGTCACGGTGTTATTTCAAGCTAGCCAGAAGTACTTCACCCGGTCCTTGTCATTACAGACAAATAGACCGCCCTACGGAGACACATGGGTATAAATGTCGAGGCGCGATGTTCACGAACGTGGGCTGGAGCAACTGGCATCCACAAATATCGAATAATCGCTTGAGTACATATCCACGTTCAGCGCCACCGACAACGATACAAATATCGCGATCACATTGCCAGCTTTCTCCGCGATGCGAGCAGTATATATTCTCAGCTGCCTCTATTACCTCCTAATTTCGACGTCATCGTCATCTGATCCTCAAACGAGATCACATATCCGCATATGGCTCACAAACAACAATTTCGTGTTCCCCAGGACGCTATTCGACCTTTGCGCCTCAACCGTCATGGATGATAAACATAAACGACCTAGCCAACCGAGGCCCTCTGCAAAGTATGGGAAACAGAAAGAATATGACGGCGGATGTAAAGTTCCAAGGTCTATCGAGGCCACTGGAGTTGATGGAGCTCCGAACAATCTCTATGCCAGAAAACCTTTGGCCTTGTGCAATGGAGCATGCAGTTTGGTATAAGAACAGACCGCCGAATACAGCATTAAAAATGAGATGACACCATGGAAGGATACCATCGATTCTACAAAGGATTTGCTGTTGAACTTGGGGAGCAATAACATGGCATTGATCAATCCCTCGCTACCAGCCATCCCTAGTACCAGACAGGCATCGCCGCCGTGCACGCATACTGCCAGCAAGCCGTGAATATGACCCTAGATGAGAAGCGAGAATATGCAAGGCTTATCGATGACGGCTCGTAGTTCGTCCAGACTTGCGCAATCACAAAGCCTAGCAACTATAACCTCACCCGCCTAAGCAAGATTTAACCTTGCTGGCCGAAATATGTTATGCTTTTAGCACTTTACCCGGCCAGCAAGCTTGCCTGCCTCAGAGACCACATCCGCTACGATCTTGGTGACCTTACTCTTGTTGACTACTTAGCCAGATACCGCTGGTATATCCAAAACCCACAGCCTTAGCCCTATGCTGGTGCTGCAACCGTTGAGCCTGCTGGCGCTCCTGTTGCTGAAACTGCTATGCTTACTGAGCCTACTGCTGCTCCGGCTGTTTGCCGTCCCCTAACCAGATTGTTGGTGTTTCTGGGAACTTGGCCAAGGGCACGATAGCCATAGCTTCCGTCATTCTGCCGTCTTCATCTTTGACAAGGAGGTCGGGACGCAACACTTCCGGTTCACTGGATAAGTGGTCAAACAGAACCTTGATTCACAAAAAGCATTAATTGTCTATACAAAAAGACGACACCTCAGGGTTTTCACAAACGAAGAGAAATATCTGTTGGTGTTGCAAATGGGCAGGCACATCGATATTCAATACAAATGGACCATCAGCGGACTCGGGATATCCAGAACTTGCCTTGTATCCAGATGGTGCCGTGCAGACACTAAAGCCCCATCAAGTTGCAGGGCTCTTTTACGACCGGACAGATTGGCACGACTGAAATGACCGCTCACGGGTTCACGAAGCCGCTCATGAAGGCAAATCACGCCAAGTTTGTCAAGTTTCTGGCTTCGGGAATGGTGATCCAATACAAGCAGAGAAGACCGACTGCGGGTCGCCGGTGACTACTGGATATATGTATCTGGTCACAGGTGATTATTTGGTAAGTCATCTTGCAGATGCCCTGGCTAGCAATGATATTGGATGCTAACATACTTTTCATTAGATCGTATGCGGTAGTATTATGGCGTCTATATCATGACATGAAGTTTCTATTGCTGCTGCGTGGATTTGGGGCTTGATATTCTTCAGGCTCTTAATAAACTCATTAGTTGTGAATGGACTGAACAACGAAAGCTGCAGAGGGAGCAATGGGAACAACCTGTCCAGCCAGCACAATCATCGGGGGAATAAATCATCATGACAAAGTTAATCGAGGGAAAAGTGATCCGGACCAAGCACTGACAAAGAATGAATCGATTGCGCAACTACATCGAGTGGCTTGAAGAAAAAGCTTTATGAATCAGGCAAGCTTCCACTGTTATCAGACAAGCTATGTACAAAGCAATGAATGAAGGAAATTACGCGTTAAGGGGTAAATTTTGAGGACATTGATGATCAATTGAAATCCCCCAAGAAGCGAAAGCGATGTAACTTGATACTTTCACGAATTTATGTTATAGTAGACCTGAATATTACATACATGTATTAGAGATTGCTTATAAGTCCATCAAGTCGTATAGAGAAAGCCCCAACACCACGACCGTTAGCGCCTACCCAGCTATCAGGTAGGCCATTACAGGGGTCCCGCCCACTAATCGATACCCGTACGTCATTTCTGGAAATTTCACAAGCTTCAACCTCAACCTCAACTCCATCCCTCCACAATCGACAAAACCAGCCACAGCAAAACAATCAACTCAATGGACCTCATCCCCCAGCTCCAAAGAGCCATCCTCGCTCAATTCCTCCCCCCTCCCTCCCAGACCTTTCTCACAACCCTCACAACCGCCCGCTCGCCTCCCCCACCAATCCCATCCCTCCTCGCAACCGCCAAAGCCCGTCTTCTCGCATCCGACCTGACAAACACCTCCTCCGCCATCATCGACCCTTCAGCGCCTGTTTTCCCGGCAAACATCGATGCCGCAACCGTAAAGGAGACGAATCTCGCGCAAAACACCCACGTCCAAGTCATCGACATTGAGAATCTGAGCCTCAGTCGCTGGGAGCAGGTCGAAGAGCTCGAGGCCATTGAGCGCGGGGAGCGCACTCGCGGGAGGCAAGTCATTCGGGTGGTTGCCCCTGAAGACGGCGACAACGAGGCAGACGCTTCTTCGACGGCCCAGCAGACTCAGGCGTCTCGTCCGGCTGCTGCTGCTATAACTACGGGGGGAGCAAACGCCGTGCATAGGTTGGTGCTGCAGGATAGACAGGGCAAACGGGTCTTTGCCGTGGAACTGAGGCGCATAAACGGGATTGGAATCGGAAAGACGCACATTGGGGAGAAGATTTTGCTCAAGGCTGGAGCTGTCGTGGCCAGAGGGACGGTGCTTCTGACGCCAGAGACGTGCACGCTGTTGGGAGGCAAGATTGATGCGTGGCACGAGACGTGGATGGAGGGCAGACTGGCGAGGCTGAAGGAGAGCGTGGGAGCTGACCGGCCGCGATGAGGGCCTGGATTGGGTCTGGAGACCAAATTGCTTTTTGATACCCCCTTTCTATTTCGTCATGTATCTTCTTTGCTAGAATATAAAGAATCTATACGGTAAGTACACATCGTAGTGTCGTACAAATACCCTTCCCCTGTATAACATACATACATCTGTGAACAGTCGTTCCTTCACAGACTCTGACGCAATACTCGTCATAACATGTCCTCTATACTCATACTATTCAAATACCCTTAACACCGGCTTCCAAAGCATTCCATCCAGACACCTCCCACGGCGCCAAAAACGCCGCCTTCTGCGCATCTGCAACCCTGCCCGTGCACGAATACGCCTTTGCCAAGTCCTGAGCTTCCAATTCTCCCCGCGGTGGAATGCCCCTCGCGGCAACCTTCAGCGACACCTGGGCCGCATAGTCACCGTCTTCGCCCACCGCCTCGGCAAGAGAAGACCAGCCATGCGGGAGATGGGGGAAGAGCATGATGTCGTTCTGGACTTGGGAGATCTTATCTTGTTCAGTCTTGCCTTCACCAAAAGTGGCCACGGCTCGCAAAACTTGGCCAATGCGAGACTGTTCTGTGGCGGTGACCTTGTCGTTGGTTTGAAGGCCTTGGAGCTCTTCTACTACGGCTTCCAAGCTTGCCTCGTCTTGGTCCAGCAGGGCAATGACTCCCAAGAGCAGCACGCTTTGTACATGGTTAGGATGCGATTCAATGACTTCAAAGAGAGCCCCGCGAGCCTTTTCCTTTGCATCGTCAGTGCCCTGTGCCCACAGGACCTGAGCTAGCAAGCAGGTCGCATCGGGGTTGTTGTCTGATTCTTCCAAGGCTGACTCGAAATAGCTTTCTGCCTCGTTGTAATTCTTCAAATAGTATTGAGCCAAGCCAACAGTCAAATGGGCCGACAACCTGGCCTTTTTGCGCTGCTCACTTGTCAACTCATTCTCATTCTCTTCGCCGCTCAGCTGCAGTGCCATTTCACCGCATTCAACGGCCTGCTCGTAGAGCCCAGAGGCGAGATATGCTCGTGCAAGATCAATCCTAGCTAGTGTAAATCTTGCGAGGTCATCTGCAGACTCTGTCTTTTCGTAGTCAGCTTCCGCCTTTGCGCAAATCTTCTCAAGAGTCTTGACTGCGCGAGAGTGTTCACCCGTGCGCTCTTGTAAAAGGGTGCCAAGATGTAGGAATGTTAAATCCTCGGGGCGCAGGCTCTGGACTTGATTAACAGCAAAGAGAGGCTGAATTAACGATGCCACATTCAAGTTGAGCGGAGCCGTCAAAATGTGGTCAAACAGCGAAGATGAATAGTGGCGGCGTGCGGGCAGTGACGAGGATTCTGAAATTTCCATGGCATGCGTGAAAAGTCCTCTGGCTTCCTTTGCCTCACCACACAGCAGCGCCACAAATCCTTGACCAAGCCAGGCATGCGCATAATCCGGGTCATTTGACTGAGCCCTCGTAAAATTCTCATTGGCAAGCTTGACATCACCCGAGAGCAGAGCCAGAGTCCCCAAGTTTGTCCACGACACAGGACTACGCTCATTCAAATACAAGCTTCGGACAAAGGCGTGCTGCGATATTTCTGCGTTAATATCACTTGTCACCACTCCCAAGGCGTTCCAGAAGTCTGCATTGCTGGCTTCCAGCTCAATTGAGCGTTTGAATGCTCTAACAGCAGCCCTGATGTATTGATTTGCCTTTTTCCGCAGATGTGATGGCATGCAAGCGTGCGCTCGATACTCGGCCCATCCAAGGTTATAGTAGGCCACGGCTTGTGCGTGGATATCGTTCAACGACACATGGATGGCCTGTTTGTAGCTCAAAATAGCTGCATGCAAGCACATTGCAAGCTCGGGACCAAAGTGATCGTCCGTGGCGACTTTTTTGTAATCGATATCGGTGCCAACTTTATCGACGCCAGACAACACATCAAAGGCCTCCTGGGGCCTCGATTCCAACAGGGACCTGATGGAATCTAGGGGGAAATCCAGCACTCGGCTCTGGACCGATGTAAAGATGGAGCAAGCCTCAGCGATGCTCTTCCAAAAGTTAAAAGTGTCCAACACGCTGCCGCTCTTCTCTGCAGCAAACTTGATGACGTCTATAGCAAGATGAATAGCTTTTCCAAACAGGCCCTTATCCACACTGGTAACAGCATTATCCACCATTGTTTGCATAAGTGCAAGAACTACTCCCTCCTCTTCACCGTGTGTCTCTAGGACAACTTGATAAAGCGTAATAGATTCGTCAAACTCGCCCAATTCGCGCTTAATGTTTGCAAGCATATAATTGGTAAACCAAGTGTCGCCGGAAACATCTTCTTTCGAGTCCTCTTCCAGCTTCTTGGCGTTGAGAATGGCTTTAGTCGCTGCAATGTAGCGACCAGAGCTGTGATAGCTTTCGCCAAGACCAACCCATGAGTGGTAGTCGTTTGGTGAGATACGGAGTGCTGCCTGGAAAGACACAATAGATTTGTGGAATTCTTGCTTGTTCAACTCTGCAACACCTAGCGCCGCGAAGGGCCAACTGATTCCCTTTCGTTTCGATCCTGGAGGAGGTTTCACCTTGCCGGAGTCGACGATCCGCTGAGCAACCAATTCCACACGGTCCCAGTCACCATCATCTGCAAAGGAGCGCGCCAAACGTTCAGCAGCCGTTACTTCTGATGATGATAACTCCAAGGCTTTTTGGAAGCATCGTCGTGCCCGCTTCTTGTCTTTGGCGTAGTCGCTGTAAAAGATGCCCAAGCTAGTATATGTTGAGGCATGGTTCAAGTTGTTGTTTAAAGCGCTTAGCCAGTAGGCATAGGCGCAATCGCCCTTTCTCCGCCTTCGGGCCTGTTTATCAGTCTCCAAGTTCCAAATGCACATTCCAATTCGGTACTGGGTATCAGCCAGCAGTTCTTTGGCTGTACTGCCCTGCTTTTCCAAGGGCTCCAGGCATTCTTGCAGATCATCCCGAGCTGTTTGCCAGTCTCCCTTAAGAGCTTTGACCCAGGCAGCTTCAGATTTGACTCGGAGATTTGAAGCATCTCGAGCCAATGCACGACTAAGGAAGTCAATTGCTTCTTCATACTCTTCTTCCTCTTCGAATATGAGTCCGACACCGATCAGGGCGGGAGTTGAACTCTTGTCGTGCTCCAAAATTGTATCAAACAGGCTTTTGGCTTCTCGATGATGCCTTGGAGACTGGTAGTAGATGAGAGCAGTTGCCAGGCAGATGGAATACGCATCCTCTGTATTTTCATATGCCAATCCGATTTTCAGCTTTTGCTTGTCGAGGTATGGGATAGCCTTGCGCATCAACTCCACGTTCGTCTCGTATTCTCCGGATCGCAGAAAGTACTGTCCCGCTAATCTATAGCCAAAGGCAGATTCAGAACTGGTGATACCATCAGTCATCATTAATAGCCGGTCTTCTTCAGTCAGTGGGACTACAAAGGTCGGCACGCCGCCATCATCTTCGTCGCTATCTTCAGAAGTTTCTCCCTCAGCAGGTGCGGGAGTCTGCGCCTTGTCTGCTGGAGGAGCTGCGAAAGGAGAAAAGTCGCTTGTCAAGTATGCAGTGATAATCTTGTACAAATCACTCTCTGGAAAAAAGTTGCAGTATCTTCTGAGAAGTTCCACGTCGTAGTCGCGAATCTCCTTCTTGTCTTGCCAATTGATGGCTACATCCCAAGCAAGCCGAAAGGGGTGCTTGATGACAACCATGTCATTCGCCAATCCGAGAACTTTCTCTTGCGCCTCAACCTTGGTTGGCCCGGCAGGCAATACAGCAACACAGTCGTAGCAGTACTGAAGTAATTTTTCTTCATAAGTCCGCCGCAGGTCATCGTCCGTTGTCCAGTTGATGAGCTGTCGATAAATGTGTTCCAACTTGCTTTGGCTGTAGACTTCCCGCTTCACTTCCAGAGTGACTTCACTCAATTTCGCGCCCAGTCTGGTCCGCCGTTCTCCAATAAGGGTATTAATACGCTTCTTCTCAAAAGTTTCGATGATATGAGCAATGCTTTCATAAGTCTTGGCAGGATGGGGAAAATAGCCCTCTAATATTGGGTAGAGGGGACTCTCGGGAAGCCTGATCCACAGGGCATCGGCATACTGTACTTGATCGCCTTGAACTCGTACAAAGTCAACATATTTATCAACAAGTTCCTGGCATTTGTACAATTCTTCCGCCTGATGGAAGATGGGAGCCAGATGCACCACTGCATCCTGGTATTCTCTCAGCTTCTTGGTCGACTGCTTCTCGTACAATTTGATCAGGCCCTGCCAAGCCTGAGCATCCTGAGGACGCAGTGAAGCTGCTGATTTGTATATGCATTCAGCTTCATCATACTTGTTTTTCTTATCCAACGCAAAAGCCAAGAAAATGTGTCTGAAGAGGTAGTTAGCAATCGTGGAGGCCAAGATGCTGTTGGTCAGAAGATCTACCGTACCCCTGGTGGTTTTTGGGCTCCTTTTTCAAAAATTCTTGGGCCTTTTCAATAGCCTCGTCAAACTTCTGTTGGCGGACTGCCTCGTTGATGGCCTTCAGAGCCGCCTTGCTCGACATAATGCGTGACGTCTTCAAGAAACGACCAGGGTCGAACGATCATCCACAAAGGTCCGCAGAGGCGATTAGAAAGCAGCAAATGCTAAAGACCGAGTTCAGGTGGCAAAAAAAGAGCGAATAGCAGGACAGATTTTGATTCTGCCCATTCATAATCATGCCCGATAATGCTCCAAGAATGAAGCTGAGCTGCGGCCAGCAGTGACGGTGCTAGGTAGGCATCTACAGTGAGAAAGGGAGCTCCATCTGCCGTAGCCGAAGTTTTGCCGGTCACTCCCCATGTACCTGTCTGTACCTTACACGGAGACGCGAATCGCTTCAAAGGCTCCAGTTCGTCTAATTTCAGCAGCCATTGAATTTATACCGACCATATGGGTACACATTAAATTTCAAAAGTTACCTTATTCGTAGCGGCAAATGAACAAAGTCAAATGTCTATCTACGTAATGATGCCTACGTCCTCTTCCACGAAGCTTCTTATCATACTAGTATTAAGCCTGGTGATTGCTCACGTGATCTCATCGCCACGCCAAGGTCGATGCACTTCGTTTGACCAGAAATGTGCAGACTTCCTTCTTCAAACAAAGACACACAGGTTTTTCATGAATCGATACAATCATCTTCACACATTCAAAAGACAACGTATTCTCCCTCATCGTACATGTATTTGACGTAGACTAACACGCTACTAGGCAAAGACTGGAAATATTAGGGCTATTGCTTGAAGTCCATCTACGACCTGAACCTAAACTGAAGCAAAGACGGATACCACGCCTGCGCCACCACAAAAGACTGGGCGACCGCTTTGACCCGTGAAAGTGCATTGCGTATTGCATATGTTATGGCCGTCGTTAGCGGTAGCATCGGCCGCAAGCGCGTCTCCGCATGAGCAGACGGAATCTCCAGCTACTGTTGCCAGTGAGAAGTACAGGGCAGGGTTACCAGGACGGATCGTAGCGCACTGGGTGGCGCAGTCATCAATAGAAACTGTTTCGACGAAAGTGGCAAAGGGTGCCGCCAGGCCATTCGTTGAGTCACCGGGCGACGTAAAGCAGCTAAGATAATCATAGTCGGCAATATCACCCTGCGGTCCTTGAGGACCTTGAGGACCGGTAGGACCGGTAGGACCAGCAGGGCCAGCAGGACCGACAGCTCCATCTGCACCGGCGGGACCAGCAGGACCGACAGCTCCATCTGCGCCAGCAGGGCCAGCAGGGCCAGCAGGACCTACAGCTCCATCTGCTCCATCTGTTCCATCTGCGCCGGCAGGGCCAGCAGGGCCAGCAGGACCGACAGCTCCATCTGCACCAGCAGGGCCAGCAGGGCCAGCGGGGCCAACAGCTCCATCTGTTCCATCTGTTCCATCTGCGCCGGCAGGGCCAGCAGGGCCGGCAGGGCCAGCGGGGCCAGCAGGGCCAACAGCTCCGTCTGCTCCATCTGCTCCGTCTGCTCCAGCTGGGCCAGCAGGACCTACAGCACCGTCCGCGCCGGCAGGGCCAGCTGGACCTTCAGGACCGGCGTCGCCAGCAGGACCAACATCGCCGGCAGGGCCTACAGGGCCAGCAGGGCCTACAGCACCGTCCGCGCCGGCAGGGCCAGCAGGACCTTCAGGACCGGGATCGCCAGTAGGACCAACATCGCCGGCAGGCCCGGCAGGGCCAGCAGGGCCTACAGCACCGTCCGCGCCGGCAGGACCTTCGGGACCAGCATCGCCGGTCGGACCAACAGGACCGGCAGGACCTACAGGTCCGACAGCACCATCTGCGCCGGCAGGGCCGGCAGGACCTACAGCTCCATCTGCTCCAGCTGGGCCTGCAGGTCCTATAGGTCCGGCGGGACCAGCAGGGCCAACGGCTCCGTCTGCTCCATCTGTTCCATCTGCTCCAGCTGGGCCAATAGGACCTTCAGGGCCGACAGCACCATCTGCGCCGGCGGGACCGGCAGGGCCGGCAGGGCCGGCAGGGCCAGGAGCTCCATCTGCTCCGTCTGCTCCGTCTGCTCCAGTTGGACCTACAGCTCCATCTGCGCCAGCAGGACCAGCTGGGCCAGCAGGACCTTCAGGACCGGCATCGCCAGTAGGACCAACATCGCCGGCAGGTCCGGCAGGGCCTACAGGGCCTACAGCACCGTCCGCGCCGGCAGGGCCTTCGGGACCAGCATCGCCGGTCGGACCAACAGGACCGGCAGGACCTACAGCTCCATCTGCGCCGGCGGGACCAGCTGGGCCAATGGGACCTTCAGGACCGGCATCGCCGGTAGGACCAACAGCACCGTCCGCGCCGGCAGGACCAACAGGACCAACAGCACCATCCGCGCCGGCAGGGCCAGCAGGACCTACAGCACCATCTGCTCCATCTGCTCCAGCTGGGCCAACAGGGCCAACAGGGCCAACAGGACCTACAGCACCATCCGCGCCGGCAGGGCCAGCAGGACCTACAGCACCATCTGCTCCATCTGCTCCAGCTGGGCCAACAGGGCCAACAGGGCCAACAGGGCCAACAGGGCCTACAGCACCATCTGCTCCAGTAGGGCCAGCAGGGCCTGTAAGACCTTGGGGACCACGATTGCCCGCGGGGCCTTGAGAACCAGTTAGACCTTGAGGCCCTTGATTACCCTGGTCACCCTTGGGGCCTGTAAAACCTTGGGGACCACGATTGCCCTGGGGGCCTTGAGAACCAGTTGCACCTGGAAACCCTTGAATACCCTGGTCACCCTTGGGGCCTGTAAAACCTTGGGGACCACGACTGCCCGCGGGGCCTTGAGAACCAGTTAGACCTTGAGGTCCTTGAGTACCCTGGTCACCCTTGGTGCCTGTATAACCTTGGGGACCACGATTGCCCTGGGGGCCTGGAGGACCTGGAGGACCTTGAGGGCCTGGAGGGCCTGGAGGGCCTTGGTCGGCTATGCCATCCACATTCTTGCCGTAATATCCATTGTCGCCGTAATTGCCATTCTCTCCGTATTTTTCGTTCTCTCCGTGGTTTCCATTCGCTCCATACTTTCCAACCTCTTTGTATCTTCCACCATAATTGTCAATCTCTCCATGCTGGCCAATCTCTTCGTATCTTCCACTCTCGCCGTAGTTGTCGTTCTCCTCGTATCTTCCACTCTCGCCATAGTTGTCGTTCTCCTCGTATCTTCCACTTCCTCCATAAGTTCCATTCTCGTAGTGGTTTCCACTTCCTCCATAAGTTCCATTCTCGTAGTGGTTTCCACTTCCTCCATACTTTCCACTCGCTCTATGCTCTACACTTGCACCATTGTCGCTGTATTTGGCACTCTCCCTGTACTCTCCACTCGTACCATTCTCGCTGTAGTACTTTGCACTCTCCTTGTACTCTCCACTCCCGCCTCTCTCGTTATGGTTGCCGTTTTCACTAGTCTTTCCATGAGTAGACGGGCTTGGATGTCCTTCACCCTCACTCTGAATCCGGTCGTAATCCTTCTGCGTCAATATGACTGTGTGAACTTGACAGTCACAATCGGCGTCGTGTTCCTCCCCTCGCTCCGCTAGAACTGCCGATGCATTTCTACCAGCCTCATGCGGCCTGCCAAATATTAGATTGAGAAAACACACGTCATCAATCCTTGAAATACTTACATCGGGGGGAAACCCTTCGAGTTCAAACGAGAGTTAAGGCTTACGTGGTAATGGACGTCCCATCTCTGCCCACGCTCAGGAACAGCTAAAGCGGTAGCGGGATTCACGCAACCGAACATAACGGCTGCCACAGGCAGCAGCTTGCTGAGAACGGCCATATCGAAATGATTGTATTGGGTGAGTTGTCGATGATAGTAACTTACATTGAGGATGTCATAGGGATATTTTGAACACTCATAAGCATATTTATAAAATTGTAGAGAAGGTTAAACGACATCATGTTCCCAAATATCATCGGCCGTTATACTAGCATAGATTGAAAGGCATTTGACAAGCGCGAGTGTCTCGTATCGTTTGAAAGGTACAATTAGTGAATTAGCTGTATGCGGCGGTGTCAAGCAATGTTGTGAGTCTCAGACGTGCTCATGAGCCTTCCCTAGTGGAAGTACGTCCGAGAATCTACTCACTAGCTACATTCCTTCATCCACCGAATCGTACGACGACAAAGATTTTCATGGCCTGGGTAATCCTGAATAGGGATTCGCGCTCACAATTCTCCAGTGATTACATCTCTAGGATCTCAGGCATGATTCGATTGGTATCCGTCTAGCTTGGCGTCTAACCGGAAAGTAATTATGCTTGTTTTGATTTGACTCTGAGTGTTTTCGGTAAATGATACTACATGCGGTTCTATAAGATGAGCTAGGATTAACTGGTATTGTGATTTTTGTGGCAGGCGAAATACCATCTGGCACAGCGTTAAAGCATGCTTGCCAATGATACTTGCAGTATACACTCAGTGTTACCGCCTAGAGATACTACGTCGAAGATTGATGATTGATCTGGCCCAGTCCACCGAGCTTCAACCCCTTGTTCTGTTACCAGTACTAGAAACACACAATCATGGTTGAATTATGGATGCGTAACGCTTGTTACTCTGAATCTCCGAAATGTTTTGCTCAGGTACGCTTAAATCATGTGGAATTCCAACGCGACCGTCGAGAAGAAGAGAAGCTTGGATGTCACAAGAATATTCTTATACAGAGGGTATGTCACTCTCATGACTTTGAAACAATTATGAATAGGGGCACCATCGAGATGTAAAAGGAGTTTGAAACATCAAAGCTCTGTACAAGGGTAGTGGCGTTTAAGTTGAAGACTGCTATATTATCGGTGGCTGTAGTTGGAGACAATGCCCCCAGCACTAGGCGTTTCCTAGTCTTCATCCAGCCCCTTGGCAAGTTATAGTCGGTTTATAGGCCTAGCTGCTAGTATCCCCCCCAAAGACATTCCGACATGTCTGCGACAACAAGGCCCAAATAATCCAGCAACAAGGCAAGGCATTTGAGATGCCATCACAAATGTTATGCACGGCCTACGCCACAGTCGAATTATGATTGAAATCCTTTTGAACTAGCTAATGACAGAGTCCGAATCAACAAGAGCCAATACTCTTCTTCAAAATCATTTACTCATCTCGAGTCGCTCCGGTATATCCAGCCTAATCCGGCTACCTTGCCACTGGTCTGCGCTTACAAGATGGATAAATCCCGAATACCATTCGAAATCAACGCGTCACATCAATATTTCCACACTGCCTCCAAAGTCACAAGGATAAACAGAGTACAGTATGTTTCGGCACTAAACTCCTTCTATACAAGCTCTACAACGCCGAGTTGTGATCTATCATAAAATCCAACCGCTGTCTCACGTCAACCGTTACTGTTAATGTTATCTTCCCGTTAGCGCCATCACTAAGAAGGCCGTGCCTGAATATCGCCAACCGCTACTTGCCCTTCAAGACAGGGTCGCGGTTTGGGCCGCACGGCACATAACGGCTCCTGTTTCAAAACAATCTTTACTAGACTACATATGTAACGTCTTGACTGGGATGATCACAAAGCTTGGCATACTTTAGCGTTTAACCATCAAATGGCTAGTTTCAACGGTCGTGTGTTACTAGTATTCGAACAGGAATCGCTTGAAAGCTCGCTACTAATAATCAGTACGGAGTATGCAAGGCAGAGATTGTCAAGACTTGGTTCAATCGATACGCCCACTCTAGTAGCATTATCACCTCCCGAGTTAGAGGCATACGCGGTACTAAAGGCCTATTCAAAGACTACACCTAGGTAGGCTTCTAGTGTACTTGAAGATCAGTCAAACACGTGCTACTAGCCCATAACCAGCTATTGGAAACTTCAGACAGACCAAACAAGAGTAGCAATCCAATTGAACCATAACGACACCTTTCTTTGCCACGCCAGACTGTTCAACAGAATACAGGGGCTAACTTAAGCGCATACCATATGAAATTAGTCGAAGCCAAGTCCTTTAGCGCCGTCATTTTCATTCCAAACAGCGTTAAGAAAGATCCAACTTGTTACAATCAATTCCAGCGCCTCTACATGTAAAACAAGCGCAGTAACCGCGATCCAGTATGCTTCCAACAGGCAGCTAGCGCCGGTCAAGTATGTTTTGAAACATTAAACCAAAAGAAAAAGATCGGCTCACGGTACACAATACTGCTCAAATAGGCATAACGATGACCCCAAAGTCTTATCCACAACAACATGAAAATATCTTCCTCCAAGTAGCAGCTAAAGCAGCTACTATATAGCTGATCCAAACGCAACACAAGATGCAATCACGCCATTGGCTCCAGTAGATCCATCATCTACTGCAAGCCCATTGTCACCGCCATTGCCAATGCACTAATTGAAATCGGTTGCCTTACCAGAAGCAATCTATCAAAAATACATGTAAATTGTTAACAAAATACCTATGGCAGTTTACGGGCTAGCCATCTAGACGTGATAAAACAAACCAGAGTTACTACAAGACCCAAGGACTGCCGCAGCAATGTGGGAAAACGGACTATCCCTTCAAAGCGGACAGATGAGACAACATGGCTGATGGATCTCCGTAGTTTTAGCCAATTAGACAGCACAGGACTATAGGTTCCGTCCCGCTCTGCAAAACCAGAGGATTGCCGCAGCAATAGTGTAGGAAGTAGTAAATCCTCCCTTGAGAGGCAACTGAGACATGGATAGTTTTCCAGCCAATGAAACAGCAGGATATCTTTGCGCGTCAAGGGGGTTCTGGAAACAGTCTATGGGGAATTTCCTCTAGTCACTCCTCCAGTGAGTCTCTTCATGCCTCTGTAAAGGCTTACAGAGGCGGAAATTCATTGAGCACCCTGCGACAAGAATTAAAGTGTCACTAGAAATGAGATTGCGCATGTATAGGTAGATAGATGGCCGATTGTGTGTAGCTCGTGTTCACAATACTATTGTGATTGTAATAGAATTAGTAAAAAGAATCAACATCATATTGCAACGTAGAAATAAAATATGGCCCTGGTTGTAGTATTCGGACATTTCAACAGGAAAATGTATATTCAGCGCTTTTTTATGACATGTTTACTAGCCATTTGATTAGATACAGCTTCAAAAAATATTTTGCTTCTAGGGTATGTAGACCGTTGTGATATATGTGCCTTGTCGCTGATACAACGTACGTGCATTAGCCGCTTGAAACGAATGGCTAGTAGTTGTAATATATTAGTAAATCGGTCAACTTAACCAAGAGAATTAATCAGAAAATATGATGGCATACGATAATTGGTCCAAGGCAGATGATGAGCGCATACAAGTAGATGTCGCACAAGAAATAGGACATACAGTCCGCAGGAACACTGACGAAGAAGTTTAGAAACAAGAGAGAGGAACATGGCAAACATTATGTTGCTCGCTATTCCTGACGAATATCCTTACAGGAATATTGATAATTGCAACCCGCACTAGTAAGCTAAATGCTGTACCTTTGTACAAGTTCTTTCAGTAGCCATGTTTTCGCGCTGAAGCATTTACAAACCATCAAAGTGATGCACGGATATTTTTGAACTACCCGTGTAAGGGCAGTTGTGTAATGGAACCCTTATTCTTTGGTGACTCCTACGGCGCTGTGGCACATATAGAGAACAAAGTGCATGTGTTGATTTGACTTTGGCCCTTGAGTGATAATCAATTGCAGAAATGCTCCTAGGAGTATCCTCAACGAGCCCTTCTTCTTTTAAGAACCAAAGAGTGTAAAGAATGAAAACTGTGTACCTAAAGAGGAAGCAAGATATACTCATAATAAAGACACTTGCGGCACTCGTGCAATAGTGCCGGTAGCGCCATTCTAAACCAGCCACAGTTGTATTGTACCTTATGGCTTGTTGGCCATAGTCAAGTATACCTATGCGGCACTCATCTCGTCTGCCTCTGTACGAGCGCGGACTAAGTTAATTTGAATAGTACTGTAGCACTAACTTGAGTACAGATGTAGTCTCGTGTGAGGCTAAAAATGGAACCAGCCTTCATCCAAGCGTGGTCCGTCTCCAACCAACAGAGTTTGTCATCTGCCCCATCTTAAGGCGCAAGAATTGCCGCGCAGTTGTTATGTCTGGCCAAGAAATGATCTAATACCACAATAGAGGCCCAAGCAGCGCTAGAAACATTGGATCGTTTCATGGCCCGGCTACAAGCCAAGTCTATTGTTCTTGAACACTGGGGTACTTTCCTTTGTACTCGAGCCTTTCCATGCTTTGTAATTCCGCAAACAGCTTGATGAAAGTCCGGTACATGTATTCTAGGGAAGCCTTTGAAAGCGATGGGATTTGTATTGCGATGCTACAGGCAGAAATTCCAAGTCCTAGCAACTCCAAACCTGAGAAAATGCAGTTTGCTTGGACGTGTCACGCTGGGCGTGCAAACATGCGACGGCGAGAGCGCCATGATGCAGTTGGTGGCAATGCATGAGGCGCCCGGTCGTCTCCGTGCCTCGAGCGTTTTGATTCTCACTAGTGATGCCGTGTCTATTCACAAGAATAGCTAGTCTTTTTCTTCTTCATGATCATTTTTTGTCAAACACCTCTCATCATTTCTCTTTTGGAAAATCGGTGTAATTTGTTGTATACTCTGCTGTTCGCGATGGCCTCATCAGGCCGAAACACGCGTGCGTCGACTCGCAATGACGGGCGATTTTCTCTCCAAATGCGAAGTAGACGCTCAAACGAAAAGGCAATCATCGATAATCCTCTAGGTATGAACTGCCAAGGGCATTAGTATTCATGGAAAGAAAGATTTTTAACAGAAAATAGCCCATCTGACGGATGAAGAATTGCAACGCGACGTCCGATCTTTCGTAGAGAACCACATACCGTCTATCGCATACGAGGATCTTATACGTGCTGCTCGAGTTGCCAAGGATGTCCGTTTATATGATGAAGTTGCTAGGAAAGAGGGATATCACGACGAGTCAGACCTTTTAGTGCAACTCACAGAAGAGGAGAAGCGAGCTCTGCGCCGTGAAAGGGATGTGCCCTTTAGTGAAAAGGGCATGCGAGCTGTCATTCTCACAGTTTCCATTGCTGCTCTATTACAAGGTGGACACATGATTCCTCGTCATCTTCTCAATCCGTTTCTAACATCACTTTTTTTTTTCCGCAACAGGCTTCGTTCAATCGTCTTTCAATGGCGCTGGGTTGTATAGAGAAGAGTGGGGGCTCCAAGAACACGTCAGGATGGGCAGTTCTGTGAATTGGGAATTCGGAGCCGTCAACGCAGTTCCTTTCTTTGTTGCCGCGGTTATTGGCTGCCCTCTTGCGCTGCCAATCAATTACTGGTTTGGCAGACGTGGAGGCATTTGCGCTGCCGCCGTGTTGATATTCGCGAGCTCCATAGCGGCAGCTTTTTCAATATCTTGGTATTCTCTGCTAGGGGTAAGAGTGTTTAACGGCATCGGTAAGTTTTACTCGAATTAGAATTTTCATGATCAAGGGCTAACTATTTACCAAGGCATGGGAATCAAGGCCGTCAGTACGCCAATCTTGGCCGGAGAGACTGCTGTCGGATTCTGGCGAGGATCTGCCATCCTTTTGTGGCAGCTATGGTACGCAATGCATTTGAAGTTGCCGTTGAATCCATTGACTGACAAAACACTCCAAGGGTCGCATTTGGCATCATGATTGGCTTCGCATTCAACCTCCTCTTCACAAAAGCTCAAACGGACCGAACAACACTGGCTCTTATCAATGCGGCGCCCATGGTGCCCAGCCTGGCACTCCTGATTATCGCCATATTCTTTTGCCCCGAATCTCCCCAATATCATCTTACAAAAGGCCCCAACTATGATGTCAAAAAGGCGTTCATAAGCATGACCAAACTGCGAAACACCGAGGTCCGTATTGTATTTGATCCCGCTTGGCATGATTCGCAAAGAGCTAACTAGATTCACAGCTGCAAGCGCTACGGGATATGTATCTTGTGTACAAGTCGCTCGAAAACGAGTCCATGGGTCTAGGCAATCTAGACGCCAATGCGTTTCGATCGCCGGGATTCTTCTGGGTCATTCGAGATTTCCTCAGACAGTACAGACAGCTTTTCCAGCAGAGGCGTTTATACAACGCCTTGATATCTGCTTCGACGGTGAACTTGGCTCAACAGCTGTGCGGAAGTAAGAAACACCCAAAAGAGCAGACTTTTTCAAGCGAGTTTAGAAACTGACTGTCACAGTAAACGTTATGGCTTTCTATTCTGGTAAGTATCGCAACGGTAAACACGTTTACTTTGTTTTGAGAATATTGACAAATTGTAGGATACCTCTTCACCGACGTCGGTACTGGTCGCGAATACTCGAAAATGATATCAATGGTGTATAGTCTTGGCTTCGGTAAACAATCTTGTTTGAGCCTCTCATATCATAGCCTATCAAACTAACGATTCAACTCGATAGGCGCAATCAACTTCTTGTTTGCACTGCCGGCGGTGAGAAGTATCGACACGATGGGCAGACGCAGGTGGCTCCTGATTACGCTTCCTTTCATGGCGCTATTCATGCTCGGCGCTGGCTTGTCTTTCATGATTGAAACTCCAACCATCAGGATAGGGGTTGCTGCCTTTTTCTTATTTAGTGCGTATTTGATGTCGTCCATGTCTGTCTACGGGGGTTTGATCTAATGTCCATGCAGTGTTTTCAGCGGCGTATTCTCCAGGTTTAGGACCGATCCCCTTTACTCTCGCATCAGAAAGCTTTCCTTTGTCCCACAGAGAAGCAGTCAGTCACCGCCATCAAACCACCCTTTTGCACTTTATCTAGCTAATCCATTTGTATCTTAGGGAACTTCTTGGGCGATTGCAATCAACTTGGGCTTTGCCGGCGTCTTGTCAATTGCCTTTCCAATGTAAGTCCGAAACTTTTGTCCAACAGTGGGCCAACCTGAGCTGACCGTTGCAAAGCATTGATTCGGGCGTCAAAGCAGCTGGCGCATTGTGCATCTTCGCAATCCTCAACGTCTTTGCCTTTGTCTTGGTCTTTTTGCTTGTCGAGGAGACAAAGCGCCGCACCCTCGAGGAGCTGGATCACATCTTTGCTGTTTCCAAGAGAAAGTTTATGCGTTACCAACTACTCGACAATCTCCCGTGGCTGATCCGATGCCGTCTCTTTGGAGGCAAGCAGCCCAAACCGGAGCTCTATGAGGATATGACATGGGGCTCGGCCTCGGCAGACTATGACGACTCGACGCCTTTCCAGAATGCTGAATTCATGGGACGCTATCAGGAACCCGCAGCCCCAGCGGCCGTGGAACTGGTCCAGCATCGCGGCTTTGAGTTTGCTCCCATTGAGGCGAGGGCCCAGTCCAGTGAATATAATTTAAAGGCAACAAACAACTTTGGTCCTGTGAGCAACCGATTCTAGGGGGTGTAATGAGAGGGATGAAGCGATGGAGAGATGCCATGTTGGCCCTGAACCATGAGTAATGTTTATTGGGCCGTGTATAACGAGGAAAGAATTGGACATTGGTAATAGTTTATGAAATTGAATTGATATCCGTCAGATGCTATTGAAGGTCATGTATCAGTCCCAAACAACTTTTCATTCCTTTAGGTCTCAACGTGAACCAAATATATCCAATCGTGCTCAGCCTTGAATCTCTCAGTTTGACCACTGATTGCAACCAGAATTGAGTTTCCATCCTCGTATTCGCAACCGTCATCGGGCGCGCTCGTCACGGCCGGATCTGCCGAGGGGAGAATCTCACTAGATCGGGCTGCGACGCCCGCTGTGGAGACGCAATCGTGAGCGCTATGCCGCTTCTGCACCGCTGTGGCGACTGCGCGACCGCTATCTGTTAGTGACATGCTCGGGCTCCAAGCAGCGAGATCCAGCAAGAAACCGTCCTTCGTCATCCATTCCAGCCTTTTGCGCCTTTCTTTTCCCCTCGACTCGACTCCATCTCGTATCGTCGCCATCGCGGAGTGGACTCCATTTCACTGCTTCACCTTCACATTGCCCGGGGAAGGCAACCATGGCATCCTTTCGTCTGACAATTGAAAATGGCCAGTTCCGCGATGGCCAGGGCCGCCAGCTCGTTCTCCGCGGCATCAACGTCGCCGGAGACACCAAACTGCCCAGCAAGCCCAACCAGCCCTCTCACGTAGGCGACGACTTCTTCGACGGCGACAATGTGACGTTCCACGAGCGGCCGTTTACCAAGCAGGATGCCCCGATGCACTTTGCGAGGATCAAGCGCTTTGGCTTCAACACGATCCGATACCTGTTTACCTGGGAGGCCCTTGAGGCGGCTGGGCCGGGGATATACGACGAAGAATACATCAAGCACACGATTGAGATCCTGAGAATTGCCAAAAGCTACGGCTTCTACGTCTTCATGGATCCTCACCAGGACGTCTGGTCACGATTTACCGGCGGCTCTGGAGCCCCCATGTGGACGCTTTACGCCTGCGGGCTGAATCCCCAGAGCTTTGCTGCGACAGAGGCATCGATTGTCCACAATACATATCCTGAGCCCGACCAGTTTCCCAAAATGATCTGGTCTACCAACTATTATCGACTTGCTGCCGGGACAATATTCACCCTTTTCTTTGCTGGCAAGGACTTTGCCCCGAAATGCATCATTGACGGCGTGAATATCCAAGACTATCTGCAGAGCCACTTTATAAATGCATGCGCGCATCTTGCGAAGCGTATCCATGAGGCCGGGGACCTGGAGAACGAGGTCGTCATCGGCTGGGAGAGCATGAACGAGCCAAACAGAGGCATGACTGGATACGCTGATTTGACCGTCATTCCCAAGGAGCATCCCCTCAAAAAGGGAACTTGCCCGACCATGTGGCAGACTTTCCTCACGGGAATGGGCAGAGCATGCGAGGTCGAGACATGGGATATGGGGGGACTCGGGCCTTACAAGACAGGAACCAAGCTTGTCGACCCGCACGGCGAATTTGCATGGCTGCCCGAAGGATATGACGATTCAAGATACGGATGGAAGCGCGATGCCGGGTGGAAGTTGGGCGAGTGCATCTGGGCGCAACATGGCGTATGGGATCTCTCGACGGATACTATCCTGAAAAAGGATTATTTTGCCAAAAACCCCAATACCGGGACAACGATTGACTATCCCGAATTTACAAATACCTATTTCATGGACTTTTGGCGGAGATACAAAACGGCCTGCCGAGACCATCACAAAGACTGTATCATGCTGATGCAATATCCGACTCTGGAGCTTCCTCCCCAAATCAAGGGTACCGAAGATGACGACCCAAGGCTCGTTTTCACACCGCACTTTTATGATGGCATTACCCTCATGACGAAGCATTGGAACAGCAGTTGGAATGTCGATGTCGTCGGTGTCCTGCGAGGGAAATATTGGCATCCTGCTTTTGCTATCAAACTCGGCGAGACGGCAATCCGAAACTGTCTAAGAGATCAATTAGCAACTCTGAGGCAAGAGGGCATTGATCGGATGGGTAACCATCCTTGCCTGATGACAGAGTTTGGAATTCCCTACGACATGGACGACAAGAAAGCATACAAGACGGGAGACTACTCGAGCCAATCCGCGGCATTGGATGCCAACTACTTTGCGGCCGAAGGATCAGGAATGGAAGGATACTGCCTTTGGGTCTATTCCAGCACAAACGACCATGAAAGGGGAGATCAATGGAACGGTGAAGATTTGTCCATCATTTCGGTGGATGATAAGCTTCCCGCTACATCATCCATTCTAAGTGAGCCTGCTTTCGACCAATCGACGTCCAGCCTGGTTAAAGGTGGCTCTGCTGTTGTTGCAGCGGAAACTTTGGAAGAAGCTGGTGTGACTCCAGGGAATCTTCAACGAACACTTACGAATCCATCAATCAGCTCTGCTCCCTCCGATAAGGATCCGGAGTTGACAAATGCTCCGGGCTACCGTGCTGCAGAAGCCTTTATTCGACCAACGCCGACGACTGTGGCTGGAAAATTAATCTCTTCTGGCTTTGATTTACGTAACTGTACCTTTAATATCAAAGTTTCAGCTGCTCAGGCCGCAGCCGACGATACACCTACTATAATATTCCTTCCCGAATATCACTTCCCCAAGCAGGAATGTGAAGTTGCAGTCTCGGCTGGCAGATGGGAGATCACTTTTGATAACAGCCAGGGCACACTGCTTCAGCTTCTCAAATGGTGGCAGCCTGAAGGAGAACAGACTCTGACGATCAAAGGTCTGGTGCGAAAGTACAATGTGGCCGAAGGCAGCCCTGAAGACTCGGGTTACCTGGAGCAGTGTCAAGCGAATGCGGGAAATTGTTGCATCATGTGAAAGTGAAGGGCGGTGTGGATATGCCCGTGTGGCAAAGAGTTTGGAATGCATTGAGTTTTCATGGTACGCATACATTGTCGGCAATTGCTGAGTAAGCCTGCGCGCGGTGTGGAGTTTCCGGTTGGTTGTGGGATGATTTCATGATTTTTTCCTGTCAATTAGCTGCTTAGGCACACAGACTTGAAGTAGACATTGCCCGTTGGGTGTCCAACATTGCTGGAAATTGATGGGACGCACATACAGTCATTCGTTATTGGTAGCGTAGCGATATTTTGCATGCACGGAGGCGCACCGATGAAATACAATAGTGTAAGCACATGACGAGACCGAAGAGCGAATTCCTTGCTGCATGGAACTGTCCAATAGGAGCACTAGCGTATATAATGACTGCATGTAAGTGAGGGCATCTCCACTATCACCAACACCTTGATGGAACAGATGTCGCAACCTTGATGGCTCACAGCAGATGGTCTCTTCTCTTATTATCCGTAGTATATAAAATGGTATGTCAGGGTTCCCATTGTTGAAATTTTTAAAATGTTCTTGTCTCGTTCTTTTGACGCTTTTCAATCATTTACAACTCTCCCTGCTCGCTTCTCGACACAATGGGGCTACGACGGACTTCCAAAGCCAAGAGCGGCAATGATAAGAGAGCAAAGAAGAATGTTGTAGTGCCGTCCAAACCTCTTCCCGTCACGCTCTTATCTGGCTTCCTGGTGAGTTGTTTGCCCTCAATATGTTCTGGGTGTACTTGAACTAAATATCCCAAAGGGCGCGGGCAAGACTACACTGCTGCAGCACATCTTGCGAAGCGATCATGGCCTTCGCATAGCTGTCGTGGTGAATGATATTGGAGCGTAAGTATCATGGTTTTAGCCAATGGGGAAAAAACAAAGCCAAGAGTGCTAAAATATTCTTTCAGAATCAATGTCGACGCTTCTCTTATCAAAAACACACATCGTCTTACCAAGACGGAAGAAAAAGTCATTGCACTCCAAAACGGATGCATCTGCTGTACACTGAGAGGAGATCTGCTAGAAGAGCTCGTGCGTTTGTCCCAGCTACAGCAGTTCGACTACGTGATCATCGAGAGCAGTGGCATTAGCGAACCGGAACAGGTTGCCGAGACGTTTGACACGCGCTTGGCGGAACAGATGAGTCTCATGACTGAGGGTGAGGGAACGGCTGGCTTGGACAAGGATATGATCAAGGTATTGAACCAATTGTAAGCTTGCGCCTTTCACATCTTTTCTTTGACCCATTCATATACTGATAACCTGTCTATGTAGGAAGCAAGCTGGTGGTCTAGACAAGTTTGCTCGTTTGGATACTACAGTGACGGTCATTGATGCCTTTACTATGCTTAATGACTTTGACACGGCGGATTTATTATCTGGTCGAAGAGACGACGTTACACCAGAAGACGAGAGGACCGTATCGGACCTCATGGTCGATCAGATTGAGTTTGCGGATGTGATTATTCTGAACAAGATTGACATGGTAAGAGTTTGGACATTTGGATTTATTTGATCGAGTGCTAATGGCTGATTAGGTCAATGGTGAAGTCAAGGCCCAAATCCTTGACCTTGTCAAACAGCTAAACCACCGCGCCAAGATCCTCGAGTCCAAGTACGGCAAAGTGGATGTCAAAGAGCTGGTCAACACGGGGCTTTTCAGTCTCGAAATTGCGCAGGCAGGGTATGGCTGGCTGCAGGATTTGCATGCCATGACTGTTCGCGAGGTACGTTTTGCGAATCGTCTCTTATATGTTAGAAAAAGACTAACCTGCATCATCTGCCATCTAGGTGAATGGCAAGAATGTCGTGACTCCCAAGCCTGAGACGGAAGAGTACAACGTCCAGAGCTTTATTTACACTCGGTATCGACCGTTTCATCCGAGAAAGCTGTATGCTCTACTGTATGATAAATTTATCCTGCAGATGGAGCATCCTGATGAGGATGAGGAAGAAGACGACGAAGAAGATGGTGAAGAGCAAGAAGCATCAGATACCGAGGATGCTGGAATGGTGGACTACGAGGACGTCACAAGCATAAACTCTTCCTCGGGAGACGTGGCCGAGCAACATGCCTCTTCATCTCCCTCTGGTGCCCCTTCAACTCCCGCAACCGCTCCATCGCTTGACGATGACAGCAAAGACAGCAACACCATGGACCTCGACATGGTGACGCCCTCAAATGACGCCATCCTCGCCAACAAGAGGGCTCACCCAACTCTCGCTCGGCTCTTCCGTTCCAAAGGCGAGTATTTCCTCGCGACAAGGCCCCATCGCGCGGGCGAATGGTCTCAAGCGGGGGCCATGCTCACCCTCACCGGCGGACGATCATGGTTCTGCACTTTGCTGGCAGAAGAATACACCACCGGGAGCGAAGATGTCGATGCCTTGGTCAAGCACGACATTGTTAAGGGAGGGGAGTGGGGAGACAGACGGCAGGAGATTGTGTTTATAGGAGAGGGGCTGGATCACGACGGCTTGGAGGCGATGCTTGATGCGTGCTTGCTTTCGGACGACGAGTATGAGAGCTGGAAGGGGGTGATGAGGAAGGACGGCGTGGATGAGGGGAAGAGGAGGGAGTTGCTGGAGGAGCTGTTTGAGGATGGATTTCCGGATTGGGCAGGGGATGAGGATGAGGAGGGGCACGAGGGGCATGGGCACTGATTGATAAGAAGTTGAAGTCTGTGTGGAATTATTGAAGATTAGATGGATGATCTGAGCATGAATCATATGGCAGCATGATTATAGAGATGACTTCTAGAACGATCGGGATAGAGCTGAGATCAAGTGAGGCTGGTGCAGTTTCCGCCACCGCCACAAGGCACAAACCACGCATCTTGGCTTAGAAAGCTGACAACGGCACAAACCACGCGGCACAAATGGCGCGGCACAAATAACGCAGCGCTGGGTATATAAGACCAGCGAGTTCTCTGGAAACAAGAGAATTTCTTCTTTTTACCATCATTAAACAAACAATCAATCACTCTTCAAATACAAACAACCTCATTTACTTTACTTTTACCAAAGTAATCATTTTTCCCACCACTTCATCCAATATGCCCGGCAACTGTGGCTGTTCTTCTACTGCCGACTGCAACTGTGGCTCCAGCTGTATGTGTCAGCGCCTTTGAAACCAGCCATGGATGGAGCAACTTACTAATTGGGACTCCTTTACAGGCTCTTGCTCAAACTGCTCTCATTAAAAGACGGCTCGGCTTATTGCAACACTGCTGCACAACATCAATCAAGACAACTACTCTCGCAAGAGAACACCGACATGGCATCCTACTGCCGCAACATCTGAAGATGGATATCACTCTTTTTCTTTTTGGCGTTCAACTATACTCGGGGACTTGGGCTAGCTAGCACTGGATTAAAATCAATTATAAATTCACATTCCTTCTTGAAAAAGAAGCCTTAATTCTTGTCAATGTGCCAATGTCCTGTAAATGTAGCAGCAGGACCCTGCATTCTGCAGCCAGGATTTCCCCGGATTTGGACCTCGCCGTCAGCCGAACAAGTCCTAGGGTCCATGCCAAGTGCAATCTCCAGAGCTGATGCCGCCGCTAACTGCCCCCTAAGCTACGGGGCATCAGGCTTGAGAATGGAGCGCTGCAAGGCACTGGCGACGCTCCGTTCAGCAGCCAGCTGTACCAAGGCAGGTAGCCAGTACCCTTGTCTAGTCATCCCTCTCACCGCAACTCAGGTACCCGCTACCTGCCCTGCGCGCTCCCCGGGAATGCTGCCCAGGATTCACATGTGAAATCGATCCGGGCAGTCTCACGTGGCCTCGCCGCTGTCATGCTCAGCTCCAAAGACGATGCAGAGACGATTGCGGCCCTGCTGACCCCCATTCGCGGTGCTTGTGCCTGGAGGACGTGCAGGTATTAATCCCGCTCTTGCTCTGGCTTCCTTGATTCTTTTTCAATTCTGTCTTTTCACGTTTCCGCTTTGCCCTGGGGTTCTTGTGAAGAATAAACTCCAGCGCAGCGCAGCTCAGCACAGCTCAGCTTGCTTGTGACAGACACGCCGCCGTTCAATGACGTTTTGGGCTGCCGGGGTGCACGACCACAGGCGGAGGCGACGGAACGCTCGACTGCCTTAGATGGCTGCCATTGTGAGTTTGCCGCATTCACTATCGTCTGCTGTATTCACCATCGTCTCACTCTCATACACCATCCTTGCCTGTACCTTTGTTGCGCGCTGGTTCGGGTACACCTCCCCTGGATGCCAATTTTAACTTGGCCTGCCTATTTCCACGTCCATCTTCTTTTCCTTCTCCCACGGTTGATGGGATTGGCTCTTTTTCTCTCCCTGCTCTGCCCTGTTTTGGCCTATGCGAGGCTGCCTGCCATTGGATCGACATCCCACACTTTTTTATAGGGCTCGCTGGAGTGATGTCATGAGGCCTCGGCTTAGCTGGCTCGTGTCTCTTGTCAGCTCCCTCAACGCCACGATTTGATTTGCGCAAAGCCTAGACCCGATGCCTGGCTGCGTGCCGTTCTGACCTGAATCATCACGCCTGCTCTGCTCTTGATGCGACATTGCTCGCGACTGCTGCTGACTTCTGGCCCTCTGCGGCGCACGACTCCAGGACCTCCCGTGGATCTCACAGCTTGGCCAGCCAATGTCTTCGCGCGACGACTCCTCTCTGGGCGCTTCGCCGCCATCCTTCGACTCGCATCCCGTCCTCGGCGCCACGCCTCCGCCGACATACGCCGCCTTCTCGCCCGTCACGCTCTCGGCCACGACTCCCTCCAGGAACAGCCGGCGATCCACCGTCCTGGTCCATCAGAAGAGCCCGCTGCTGCTGGCCACCCCTCCGCAGATCACGCGCGCACTCGCCTACAGCCATCCGTTCTTGCTGCCGCTCAATACCTTTGTCGGGCTGCTGACGTGGAGCACCGGGGATTCCTGGCAGAGCTTCCTGCTGCTGTGTGCCTTTTGGGCCGTTGTGCTGTATGGCGATGTGGTGCTCATGCGAGCTGGCCCTATTGTCGTCGGCATGGGGCTGATAGCCGGCATGTACGGCCGACGATATAGTCCCTTGAGCACCAGTGGCTGGACTGAGCCATCCCGAGTCACCAAAGATGCTGCTGCCTCCAAAAAGGCCGGAGCCAATGGCGGCAGTCATCTGGAGGAGACGCCCAACGGAAAGCAGCCGGGCCATGCGAGAGCCAGATCCGAAATCACCAATACCAAACACCAGAAGACGTTGGATGAAATTGTCGATACGCTCAAGGAGTTTACTGGCAGATGCAATGTTCTGATGGACCCTCTGCTCGAAATGACCGATTTCCTAAGCACGCAGCGAACCCCTACCAGCGCCACCACCCGGCCAGCTCTGACGGCCATGTTTATGCGGCTTCTTATCGTGACGCCCTTTTGGGTCGCTTTGACCATGTCTCCCTTCAGCATCATTACAACGAGGCGCATCGTGCTACTGGCTGGAACGCTTGTTTTGACATGGCATGCTAGAGTGATGCGGGTTTCTAGAACTATTCTTTGGAGGAGCGCAACTGTTCGAAAGCTTGCTGGCGCCATCACTGGCCTCCACTTTGAAAGCCCTCCCAAATTAACCTTTGGCAAGGGAGGCACAAAGGAAAAGGAAAAGGAATCGCAAATGAGCAAGGCATCTTTCCTAGGGTCTTCTACTTTGCAAGTGAGCCGTCGTCGAAACGGTGCCGCAAACGGTGGTAAGAGCGCCGGCGTGAAATTCACATTCATCATATACGAAAATCAGCGACGGTGGATCGGTTTGGGGTGGACATCCAGTCTTTTCGCGTACGAACGGCCTGCGTGGACAGACGAACACAACAACGCCGTTCCTCAAAGAGACGAGTTTGAACTTCCAGAAGTCGAGGATGGAAGTCGAATGCGGTGGCGGTGGGTGGAAAGTAGCCGCTGGCGAGTAGATGGCGTGGCTGATGAGCAAGGGGCGGTGGACTACGACGGCCCCGAGGGCAAAAATGGGTGGATATACTATGACAACAAGGTATTTAACTTGCCCCAGTAACGTTCATGCCTTGGAACCATGTTCAGGCCAAGCTAACATCTTACCTCTTTAGTGGCAATCAGGACGGCGGGGATTGGATGGCTGGGGTCGGTGGACGCGCCGCAGGAAGTGGTACAGAGATGCTGAGCTCGTGGAAGTGGATGAGTCTCAGCTGCCCCATGAGCTCGAAGCCACTGAATCTTCATCTACCCTCCATACTACATCCTACAGCACTGCAAACGAAAAGATGCGAGCCGAACCGGTGATTGTCGAGCCGGATGAAGGCCAAGACCAAGTTCCAGATGAGCTGGGTACAAAGATTGCAGACGATGCCGCATCACTACATTCAACGTCATCACGGTTCTGGCCAACATTGAGACGACGCACTACGAACCAGTCAGGGGATAGTCTCCGCCTAGACAGCCAGAAGCAAGAGAAACGCCGAAGCGGCAGCCAGAGGCCGCGGAGGACGAGCGACGTGGCTAGTGACATCGCCGTGGAAGATGATCCTAGTAGATTGGGCTTCTCAGTTGCTCTTGAGCTGCAAAAGCAAGGCAAAGAGGGCGGCCAGTGGGGAATCGGGGATGAAGCACGTATGAGCTTGGAATGACCGGTTTTCGGGATGGCCACTTGATTTTTTTTGCGTTTGAGTTGACTTTTGTTCAACACTTTGCTTTTCGAGAGGGTTATATGGCTTTGGTTTTACTTTGATTCTACTGTAACAACAAAAACTTTTCTTCCCTCGGGGCAGCATGACTAGCGGGTTAACTGGGTTTGGCGGGAGTACCAGCGGATACGGTATCGGTATATATACCTTTTAACTTGTATGAAAAATGACGAACTTGCTTCTTGTACTAAATAGAATGTTCAGCTCCTTCGTTTGTGGGGAGTTTAACCTTTTTAGTTTTGATGAGTTTGTGATGACGTTTGGAGTAACTGGCTCAGAACTTTGATAAGTGAACCTACTCCACGAACACAAAAAACAAAGTCTCCGTCGCCATCGTCGTCTAGGGAAGACTTTTTTCCTCTCAGACATGTCGAGTTTGGAGTTACCTAGCCCTACATGGAGGGTATCTGAAGAAGGAAAAGACCGTGAAGCCACGCAGTACATGGCGCACGTGAGGTGGATGGAGAAGTTTCGGGCTCATCTATTCGGGGATATATGGAGCAATGTTGCTGTTCCAAGTTGGTCTTGCGATGGTGGTTGTGATTTTCCTTTCGTGTGTGGCCTGGTGGAAGGCTACGCGTGATGAGTCTAGCGATGGGTATGTCCCTTTGTCTTCCCCCCCCCCCCCCCCCCCTTTTTTTTTTTTGACTTGAAAAGTTCCAATTTTTTTTTTTTTATCCTTTGGTGGGAGGTGCCAAAGTATGCGACAAGGGTTGAACTTTTAAGAGTTGAACAAGCCGAGAATGCCTCGAACAACACAGCAACAGCCACAAGCCACCTCACAATACAACTCGACTCCTCAACGATGGCAGCATTGCAGCAGAAGCTCAAGTTGGCCAAACAAGAGCTGCAGACGGTTGAGCACCGCATAACTGAACCCTTGATAACCATCGACAGGTGAGGTCAAGAAACGCTCAACTCTAAAGTATCAACAGCCAAGCAACCATGATGGCCCAAGAAGTTTTCTACCTTTTCAAGGCGAGATAATGGGCGCTTTTGATGGGATGATTTAGGACAAGATTGGAGAGAGAATGCAGTGAATTTGGCGCTACTGAGGTCGTGGACGCACAGGTTCACAAGATGAAGGGATGGAATAATAAAACCACAGGTTTTACTTGCCGTGTCTCATAGTTTTCATTTCAAAAATAGGGGCTCTCGTGGCAGAGACGTGCTCTTGGTGAACGTGGACTGGGATGCGTCCATTGTGTGCGCTCTACACGCTCTTGACGCCTTACACGCTGGATTGTCCAAGATGTATTTGTCAGATTAATGCACTTAAAAGCCAAAGCAATTCAACTACCTTTTTTTACATTTCTAAAATGTTACAATTTATTCTGCAGTTTTAAAGTCGTCTTGCTGACCTCGGCTAAAGTAATCGAACCTCGACGAGAGACTAGGTAGTAGATTCTCTTATACACCACAACCCTTGAGCAGTGAGTATATATCAAGACCAATATTTCATACAAGGATTGTATGCATATATTGATAAATCTAGCTCGTATAAGTAAAGCAGCCATTTCAAACTTGTCAATCGTCTAGCCATACTCAATAAGTGCAGAGATGCTCACCTACGGCGGCTGCCTCTGCGGTAGCATTCGCTACAAGTATAGCGCAGAGCCGACAGCAAAAGTGAGTAGCTCTTCTGTATCTTTTTACTTTTATTTTTGACGGCCAGGTTACTGGAAGTGGCCAACCTGAGCTGATTTCATCACAGGTCCTCTGTCACTGCAGCGATTGCCGCAAAATCAGTGGCAGCAACTATAGCGTCAACTTTCTCATCCCTGAGGCGGCATTCCAAGTCACGAGCGGTACACCAAAAGTCTTTGGTAAAGTTGCTGATTCTGGCGACACCATCAATAGCTACTTTTGTGGTGATTGCGGCAGTATGATGTGGCGCGAATCTGCCAATTGCGGGCCTAACAAGGTTGTCAAGGCTGGAACATTGGATGGCGGCGGTGAGATTATATCAGCTGCGGTGTTTGATGCAGAGGTGTTTACGCGCTCAAGGGTGGATTGGGTGCAGCCTTTGATTGGCGTGAGTCAGAGAGTTTCAGAATGACGTGTTGTTCTCGGAATTGATCTTATAAATATATACAGCCTAGTTATAGACTAGTTATTGATCTTGGAACACCGTTACTCTATACAAGTTGAGGTTCATTCAAACATAATTTGTCATATTATATAACTAAGACTATACTATGCCAGCCGTATCAAAACACCTGGCGAGCTGTAACATGTTCCATCATCCGATTAAGCAACTGGCGTCTCATGAAGACTCTTCCTCCGCTGCATCTGCCCCTGAAACACCTTGCGGAAACGGAGGCTGCAGAGATCCCCCACAGTCTCCTTGACGCCAGCCCAGTTCTCAGCCACAATTTCTCTCGTAGGGCGCGAGAAGACGGCGTCAATCTCCTCGAGCGTCTTGTCCTTTGTCTCGGGCATGAAGAAGATTTGGTAAAACTCGCCGACAAAGGCAATGCCTCCGTAAAAGCCCAGCGTGAGACCGGTGCGGGTCATGGCGTCCTCCATGGCGGTGAAGTTGTATGTCACGACAAAGGAGGCGAGGAAGAGGAGGGCGTCTGAAGTGGTCATGCCGTAGCTTCGGAGATAGGTGGGGTATACTTCAGATGGGACGACTACGAGTAATATGTCAGTATATTGTTGTGCCAGCAGATGCGAACGAAGCTCGACTTACCCCATGTCAGACAGGCATACGACCCAAAGAACATCATGTAGATAATCAAGCCACTGAGATAAAGACCCTCTGCAGCTTGGAGATTGGTGTCGATTGGGATGTGATACGCAATTCCAATCAAGACCAGACCGATAAAGAAGCCGGGAAGCATCGTAATGGCCCAGAATCGTCTGCCGCATGTCTCCATGAGGAAAATGGCGGGAATGGTGCCGATCAGCAGAGATCCGCCTCCGACAAGAGACATGTACGTCGCCTTTTCGTCGTCGAAGCCAATCTGGTTCATCAGCACAGACATGTAGTACATGATGGCGTTTACACCAGTCAGCTGTCCGAGAAGAATCATGATGTTTGCGTAAACAAGAGCTCGGCGAGCGCGAGGGACACTACCCATTGCAGAGTTAGTAAAAAAAAAGACGGCTATTGCTATTCATTTTCAGTTGAGGCATGACTTGCGTGAAAAAGTCCATCCATGGGAAGCGTGAGTTCTTGGCTCCTTCGTTTACGACAACGTCCTCCTGCTTGACGGAATTGGCCATGATGTAGAATTCCTCGCGAGACTCGGGAGACTCTGTGCCGCGGATGCGCTTCCAGACTTTGTAGGAATCGAGGATTCGGCCCTTGTGCATGAACCAACGAGGACTCTCGGGCAAGAACAGCATACTTTGATTTTATCGTTAGCATGGACCATTGTATAGAAACGGTTATTGACATCACAGAGCGCAACTCACCCAGCAAACATGATGGTAGAGAATAAGAGCGATGAGCCCAAGATGAAGCGCCAGTTTCCAGGAACCTTGAGGAAGATGGCGGCAATGGCGTAGCCCAGGACTTCGCCAAGCGCAATGTTGAACTGGTATAGCGACACGAGATTACCTCGAATGCGACGCTCGACCGTCTCGGCGACATAGACGGGGACTGTGCCGCCCTCCAGACCAACGCCAAGTCCCAGGATCACACGCCCGGCAACAATCATGCCTAGAGAAATACAATATCAGCAATCAAGTCTCTCAAGTCGAGAAAGGGATATGAAGCTCAGCGCACCAAAGTTGATGGAGCCAGCCTCCAGCGCAGCACCAACAGTATAGAGCAATATCGAAATGATTATGGCCCATTTGCGTCCGCAGTACTCGTTTGCCGGCGAGAGCAGCAGCGCGCCTCCCACAGCGCCCAGCGGCATGCCCGAGTTGACCAGACTGTTCTGCCTCGCGTCCAGGCCCAGGTCCTTGGGCAAGAAGAGGTTGGCGCCGGAAATCAGGCTCTGGTCCAGGCCGGAGAGAAGACCGCCCATGCTGGCAAAGGCGACGAGCAGCCACGTAAAGTGGCGCGGGTCGCGGAACTTGATGTTGAAGATGCCCGTCTCGAGCCCTCCGGCGGCCTCGAGCTGGGCGTCCATCTCGTCAATAAAGGCATTGACTTGTTGGACGTCGGGGGTGATGGACGCAAAGTCGACATGGCCCTCGACCTTTGCCTTTTCATCGTGGCCGTCGTCCGACATGCTGAACAAACGTCTTTGAAGAGTATAAGAGAAGAAGAAAAGAAATGAAATTGATCAAGGGTTCTGCAGACGCGCAGAAAGCAGGGCACGTTGGAAGCAAGACGAGAAGCAAGACATGCAGGCCCCAAAGGGAGTACAGATCGGCGAGGTTAATGATAGCCTCGCACGACCTCGCAGCTATTTATACAACTTACACGCAATGCTACCTCTCGTGCAGTACAACCTCTTCCTCGCTCCGTCATTCCTCTAGCCATCTCCATACTTTTAATTCCCCCCCACACGCCCTATGCTGGAAACAAGCACGACCGTGACCGGAGCCCCATGGGCCTCCATCGAAGCTTTCCCTCCTCCATACATGCTTCCCCATCGGAAATGGAGATGTGGAGGGGCAAGGGAAAAAAAAAAAAAAGACTCTTCCCCCATGTCGATCATGGCTGGGGAGTTTTGGGTTGGATGGGTCGGACAACTCCGCGTAACCACCCACACGATTTCCAGCAGAGATAACGTTTTGGTAAGAATGCGATGCGACATCTAATGAGTATGAAGAAAGCATTAGTCTTGTAGAATTGTAAAGTCATAGTCTATCAAGAGCATCATCGTCTTTGTGTCCGATACCCGGGCCTTATCCCGCCAAGCTTTTGGCTGGAGGCAGATCGTCTTAGTCCGGCAAATGAAAAAAGCCAAGTTTGTACTATCAATAGCCGGACCACACCATCAAGCGGCAGTTTTGGCCGTATGCAATACACCATGGGGGTTTAGCAGCAGCAGCAGCTGAAAAGCGCCGCGTCCTTCTAGAAGAAACAAACAGCCATCGCCAGACCCAAGAAGCAGATCTTCGGCCCTGCTCAGACTAGCCTCCCAATAGCCCTGCGCATCAAACCTGCATCCATCTCGTCTTGCTCGTTGCGACATGTCATTCTCCACGCATGGTTGGCGTTTGCCTCCCAGCCTCATCTGGAGTGACGCCGTGTAAATCTCCTATCTACAGTACCTTATGCATCTCCTTTGAGGCTTTTGCTCCCCGCGCCGCCTCCCGCATTTCTCGAATCATGTCCCTTCTCTCCAGACTGTAGCTGGATATACAAACATCCGGACGTTGTCCAGACTCCACCACACCGGCACCAAGCACGCAGCTAACAACTCCCCGACCTGTGCCCCATTCTTTTGCGACGCGAGCTTGGATAGCTTCGAGCAAAGTGGCTTTTCGCGGCACTGGCAATGGATGCCGTGCTCCGTAATAGTGCCATGAGCGGTCGTAACACTAGTAATAATCCCGAGTAAGAGTCCCTAGTAGAAGCACCTACTTGCAGTTGGCTCTTGTTTCCTTGGACAAGAAATATCCCTCTGAATCAGTGCGCTGCCTCTTTGAGTAACACTCGGCGTAACTAGCAAGAGAAGAGGGTTGGATTTCCAGCAGGCTCGCCTGTTCCTTCAACCAACCGGCCAATCAAAGGCGAGGGGAGCCGTCCGTCTTGGGAGACTCGCATCTCATGTCACGCTGCTTGTGGCATGGCATGGACTGACCTGTGCCAACTTTTGAGTCATTTTCTTCCTCTTCTACAACTCTACAAGTTGACAGAGTCCTCTAATACTTGTACCTACCTAATCTTCTCCCTCGCCAAGTCACTTGTTCGCAGCTCTCTAAAGGGCCGGATGACGTTATAAATTCCACACTTTGCTACCCGGCCTGTGGAGATTTGATCATTCTGATTGACTGTTGCCTGTTTCACCCCTGCTAGCGAGGTAGCAGCAGCATGTAAGTGCTTACCTAACGCAGAATGCCGCTCCATGTACGATTCAGGAGATGGGATCGAGCAAGTACTTGTTGTACTGGTATTTACTGTAAATCAAGAAGAGTAAAATTCTCAAGCTCAAGCTCAAAAGACCAAGGTATCTAGACAATGCGCCCCTCCCAAAACTCCGTATTTACCCCGAAGCCCATTCATGGTACAATTTTTTTTTCTTTTGATGCCACCGCATAATTCCGACATCTAGTTCCCAGTGTACAATATGACAAGGAAAATTAGTTCAGTTCAGCATGTCCCATATGCCAATTTGTTTATACAGAGCGGGTCGAGTCCGAACACTCGCCCAGAGATTCAGTTTGCGTTCGAATCTCCTTCTCCTTGCGATGCTGTGTTTCAGTCGATATATGCTTCTTTTTGTCGTGCCCGTCAAAGATATACGCCAGCTCTTCCAACGTCGGTCCCGAGGTTTCAACAAAGAAAAAGTATACAAAAATAAAAATAAACGCCACCCAAATGCAATAATAAATGTAAAATTTCCAACCAATGTTTTGTAGCGCAATGGGATTAACATAGTTGCCAAAGATGGTGGCCACTTGGATTGTTAGCAGGACAAAGGCCCACGTCTTGGCTCGCATTTGGTATGTGACCAACTCGAGGGGGTATGTCACTACCAGATTTGTCCAGGCCATTGTGTAAAAAGCTTGAAAGATGAAGATGCATGCGAGAACAAGTCGGCCAGCCGGAATAGAACCATGATCCAGATACTGTTGAGCTCCAATTGTCCAGGCAATGAATGTGAGCGAGACACCCCCAGATCCAATGAGGAAAAATGTGCGTCGTTTAAACTTGTTGATGCAGACTGTGACAGATAGCGCCACGATGTACTGCCAAAGCGTCACCATGCCGTTGACAAGGGTAATGTCCTTTTGAGACTTGACACCGGTATCTTTCAAGATTTGCGTCAGATAGTTTGACACGAGCAGGTTACCAGAGCTCTGGCTAAAGACGGCCGTCGCGAAGCAGAGAGATATTCGCTTCAAGTTGGGGATAGATGAGAAAAAGTCGACCCAGGTCATGTTGTGCGCAGCTTCCTTTGCCAAGACTTGTTCAATCTCGGCGCATTCGACATTGACAACCTCCGAGTTTGGGTCGCATTCGCCGTGGTATTTGACTAGAATCTTCCGTGCTTCCTTCATCCGGCCCTTTGCAATCAGCCATCGAGGAGACTCGGGACAAAAGAATATGAGGCCGAGCTGGTAGGCCGAGGGTATGATTTGGATCAACGTTGGCAGCCTCCAAGACCACGATCCAGAGATGCGAAAGCAGCCGTAAGTTGCCCATGCGCCAATGACATATCCCAGGACGATTGACGTGTTATAAAAAGTGGTGACTTGTACTCGTTCTTTCGGATGGCTTAATTCCGTGACCAGCACCGGGGCACCCATCTGGATCAGCGAGGACCCAAAGCCAAGCACAATCTTGCCTCCGATGTACATGTGAAGCGAGGTAGCGAAGAATTCGAGCAAGACGCCGGCGATGATGAAAATGGAGCCGAGGGCGGTAGGAACTCGTCGTCCGCATTTGTCACTGATCCAGCCGAGAAATATAAATGGTACGACGCCGCCAATGGAACTCGATGCGCCGAAGAAGCCCAGGCTTGCGCCTTGGGGATGTCCAAACTGATCTTGCCACGTTGGAAGTACCTGCATTCCATTTGTCATCGACTATGGCGAATCCCATGGTTAGCCCAAGTCCCCAACAACTCGTCGAGGCGACTACTCACCCCGTCAATGCCGAGCGCGGCGCTGGCAAGCAGCGACGATGTAAGTAGAAAATACAGCAAGATGCCATTCTTGCGCCGCCAAAACGGCGGGATCAGTGCAAGGTCAATTGGCGATGAAATGCCATCGGCCGTGTGTGCCGCAGAAGGAGCCATGATCCGGCCTCTCCTCTCTCTGCCCAGGCTGAGTCGCAGTGTTGAGGCGAGGATTCAGCCCGGGCTCAGCTCGAATGCTCCATCAGATGGTGGTCGCGCCATTGTTCCAAAGAGAGTTCACCGAGCGCAAAAAAAAGCGACCGGCGCCGCCCTGCTTAGTCAACCGGTCGCCATTCTCGGTGTGGGCGCGCAGCCGCAGGCACAGCGCTGGACAGCTGCCATTGCGCCCAGCCCGCGACATGAAGCAATTCGACGTCGCGATCGTGAAGTCCATCGTCTCGGATCACGGATGGCAATCGTCAGATTGATAAAGCTAAAGGGCTGCCGGCCATCAGTCAGCATGCATGCGACGTGCAGAAGGGCCCTTCCCCACGGGGGGATTAGATCGCATCTAAATCGGCGATTCGGAGAAATCAGCATCCGCAGCACGGCCAGAAGCCAACCAGAAGCGCTAGCTGAGCAGACTTTGACGAGGCGGATAATGCGACAAAGCCGGCAAAATCCGCATGGCCAATCACTGCGAGGCTGCCATGGCAGGAATGGCAGGATGCTCGTCGTTATTTCCCCATCCGGCCGTCTCCGTCCTGACGGGCACGGGGTATTGGGGCTCGGGGGCACAGTTTCGACATTTCCCCAGCCCATCTCCCACGTTGTAGATGGGGAAAAGGGCACGAATCTCGAGGCAGACGGCCGTCTGGAACGTGCTGCTGGGCCGCGGGTGGGTTTTGTTTGCCACGGCGTGCAGGAACCGTTCTTGACGGAGCAATGACTCCCGAGTCAATAGGCTCTATGTGTGGGTATAAAGGCGTTCCCCCGAGGAGGCCGCTGACTACAGCTGGCGTCCTCCCACGATGAGCCTCACCGGGTCGGTCCGTTTCAATAACGGGCTCTTGTTCCTCCTGTGCACTATTAGCCGGCGCGAGGTACTATCCCAGCCGCTGCCCCCGTCCGGACTCGAGCAGACACAAACGCACCTACAATAACACCGCCAGGAACAAGCAAAAGATCAGCCACCAGATTTCTCGAGAATAAGCCAAAATGTCCGAGTCGCTAGCTCTGCCGAACGATTTTGAATGGGGCTTCGCTACGGCGGCCTACCAGATCGAGGGAGCTGTCAAGGAAGCCGGCCGTGGGCCTTCCATCTGGGACACGTACTGCCACCTGGAGCCCTCGCGCACAAATGGCGCCAACGGTGATGTTGCCTGCGATCACTATCACCGCTACGACGAGGACTTTGACCTCTTGACCAAGTACGGTGCCAAGGCCTACCGTTTCTCTCTGTCTTGGTCTCGTATCATCCCTCTTGGCGGCCGGTTAGATGCCGTCAACGAGGAAGGCATAGAGTTTTACAGCAACTTGATCGATGCCTTGTTGAGGAGGGGAATCACGCCGTGGGTGACTCTGTACCACTGGGATCTGCCACAGGCGCTTCACGATAGGTATGGCGGTTGGTTGAATGTGGAAGAGGTGCAGCTGGACTTTGAGCGGTATGCTCGGCTGTGCTTTGAGCGATTTGGAGACCGAGTGAAGAACTGGATCACCATCAACGAGCCATGGATCCAGTCCATCTATGTGAGTCTTGAAAATACCATGTTCCATTTCTTTATTATCCTCAATACGTTCAAGACATTTATTCATGTGCCCACGTCCATGCTAATATCAAATCAGGGCTATGCCACCGGCAGCAACGCCCCTGGCAGGAGCAGCGTAAATAAGCACTCCACTGAAGGCGATACAGCCACTGAGCCATGGCTCGCAGGAAAAGCTCAAATCATGAGCCATGCTCGCGCTGTGGCCGTCTACAACCTAGACTTTCGCGCCACCCAAAAGGGGCAAATAGGCATCTCTCTCAATGGTGACTACTACGAGCCTTGGGACGTCAACGAGCCCAGAGATAAGGAGGCTGCGGAGCGACGGATGGAATTCCACATTGGATGGTTTGCGAATCCCATCTTGTGAGTAGCATCAACAGCAGAATCCAAGAGGTCTTACATGCTGACATTTATATGTGATAGTTTAAAGAAGGACTATCCTGCCAGCATGAAGAAGCAACTGGGCAACAGATTGCCGGCCCTTACTCCTGCTGACTTTGCCATCCTCAAGGCCGGAGAAACTGATTTCTATGGTATGAACTACTACACCTCTCAGTTTGCCCGCCATCTCGACGGCCCCGTCCCTGAGACGGACTTCCTCGGTGCCGTCCACGAGCATCAGGAGGACAAGGCAGGAAGTCCTGCTGGAGAAGAGAGCGGTATCCACTGGCTGCGGTCTTGCCCGGACATGTTCCGCAAGCATCTCGCCAGAGTGTACGGCCTCTACGGCAAGCCCATTTACATCACTGAGAATGGATGCCCTTGCCCCGGCGAAGACAAGATGACTTGCGAGGAGGCGGTCAACGACCCCTTCCGCATTCGATACTTTGACTCGCACTTGGACTCTATATCGAAAGCCATCACGCAAGATGGCGTGACAGTCAAGGGATATTTCGCATGGGCTCTGCTCGACAACCTGGGTATGTATATACTATTACTGGCCCCAATCCTATCAGACAAGCCTATTTCTCCTATCTCTCCTATCTCTCATCCGTATCATCCGCCCGTGCAAGCTGAAACGAAATTTTCAAATCTAACAAATCCTCTTTTCAAAAACAGAATGGTCAGACGGCTACGGCCCCCGCTTTGGCGTCACTTACACCGATTACAAAACCCTCAAGCGCACGCCCAAGAAATCCGCGCTGGTGCTAAAGGACATGTTTGCTGATAGGCAGAGGGTTAAAGTAGCCGCTTGAGAATTAGGCTTTTACGGTTATCCCTCTTTCCCCCCTGTCCCCTGGCCCCTGTCATGTTGTTGCGTATTCTGCCGTTTATTCTCGCATGTTTCCGTTTTTTTTTGCCTGTCGTTACCTAGGTACATACATACCCTTTTTTTTTTTTCTTCTTCTTTGCCTATAAGCAGCTTTTTAGCAAGTTTAGCCATGAGACCCAGCACAGACAGCGCCAATGCAATGCTACTGAGCCATTATCTAAAAACGGCGGGAGAGAAAGAGAGCATGGGGGAAGTAAAGGCCCATGCTGATTTGAGCTCTCCGTATGCGTATCGTGAGAAAAACACCATCCCTGATTGATTGATAAGAGACACCATGCATAATCCGTATATACTCTCGGTATACGACCGAACGGAGAAATCGCAAAGGTCAAGAACGTTACGTCCATGTTTCTCCGACGTTTTCCTAGCATTTCCCCGATCGCTTCGTACTTCAGTGTCTTAAACTTTTGTCTATCCCTTCGCTTATTCGTCTCACACAAGGGGGAAAGCTGCATGCATACTCACAAGACTAGGTTTTATGCTTCAGAGTCAGAGTGGAGAGGAGTATTAGGTAGGGCTGTATGTATGAAACGGGAGATCTTCGTCAATCTCAGTCAGATGTAAAAAAGAAGAAGAAAAGTACACTAACAGTACTACTACTACAATTTGCCTCCCTCGGTAAAGGTAAAATTACAACCACACACTGTTCGCTTTTTACCCAAAAGAAAAGTAAGAAACACGCCCAACTCGCTAAAAGGAAAATCCAGAAAAAGATCCCTGCCCCTATTTACACGATTAATTTTTTCTTTTTTCCTCCCTTGGTACCTTGCAGGATTTAGCCAACAACGGTATTGGAAGTATTCCGAAGCTGATCAGACGCCTTGGAGTCTAGCCGCGTCAGAATATCCAAAAGTACTGAAAAGTCGCCCCTTGCTCGGGTCGCCAGGGGGTTATCCTGATGCCGATGGATAATAGCTAGCAAACTAGCTCCGATAAGGCGTATCTTTTCAACCTGTCGTATCAGATAACAAGGTTAGCATATAAATGCCGAAGCTTAAAAAAGTATAAATACCGCAGGCATTATAAAAAAAGAAGAGAAGAGAGGGACAGGCAAGCAGGGAAAGACGGCAAGGGAAAAAAGGAAAGCAGCTTACATTTGGCTCGCCGTTTGCTTGGAGACCCCAAAACGGCGCCTCGTTCATCACCCTCAGCATATCTCGCACAATCTCCGACTTTCTCAGGTCTGCTTGCTCTACTCCGGGAGCAAAGTAAGACAGATCCTCAAACTTCTGCGTGATTACCATGCGCAGGCAGTGGAAAGTCACCTGCAGATTCGTGCATTGAATTACGTACTGCTTCGACTCCGCAGACCCGTTACCCTCGGCCATGGCCGCCATGGCCAGAGTGCAGGATTGGAGGTACGGCGGGAGGTCGTCCAAACAGGTAATGAACCTAACATAGAGGGAGTCGAGGTGCTGCCTGTCCGCAGACGGCAGCACATGATTGGGGGGCAGGTTGCCGCGGAAATGTTGCATCATCTGGTCTTGGAGCACCCTGATTTCCAGTAAAAGATCGGCCGCAGACTGCCAAAGCCGCACATTGGCGTTGAAGCCGGAAATAAAGCTCTTCCTGGGCGGCTCAGAGGCCGTAATCAGGAACTCGTCCTCAATCCCCGACGGGTACAGGGTGGTGATGCCCGTATCAAAGCAGTATTTGTGGATAGTTATGGGACGGTTGTTCAATATGGCTGCGGATTTGTCCCCCAGATACAGAATCCAGAAGCAGCGCCGACGGAACTCTGCCTCAATGGGGACAAGCCCTTCCAGCGACGCCTCCTCGTGAAGATGCATAACTTGGGCCAGGCGAATGGCCTCGCCAAAGATGTGCCACGAGTACTTTGGTTTCCCCGCGGCGTGGAGGCAATTGGAGTGGAAATACCGAATGGCAATTGAGTTTGCCGTCGGATTTTCCAGGTCGGCCTCGAGATGCTGATGAAGACAGTCTCGAGAAGCCTCAAGAAAGATTTCGGAGACGGATTCTCCTTCGGGGAAAATGTCTTTGGGTAGCATAAATGCTGCCTCTGCGCAAACAGCTGTGACCAGGGTAAAGGTCGAATCGGCCCAGGGAGCCAGCCTGCTGCCAACGGCTCGCGAGCCATTGAGCTGCGCGAAGCCGGCCCACGACTCGGCAGCGCTGAGGGGGGTGGTCCCGGCCGTCGGGTCTGGCGTGAGCTGCGCGATGGGCGAGGGCTGGTTCATGCCGGGTATGGGCTGCGAGAAGATGTATGCAAGGACCTCCCGCAGGGCCGGCTCGTACACCAGGGGGGTGAGAGGATAGAGGTAGTCAAAGAAGAGGTCGATACATCGCTTCGACACTCGTTCCAGCGTCGTGTTGCGCAGCGTCATGGCCTGGGCGAGGTGTAGCCATCGCTGGCGCGTCGAGATGTTTTGGATGGTGGAGAGGCCCGGCAGATCGCCCATCTGCTGCCGCGGCAGCCCGTTCTCCAGGCTGAGAGGCTCGCCGGGCTCCCACGGAGCCTCGGGCGACAGCGACGACGAGTTGAAGGGCTGCAGTCCACCTACTGCGGGGCCGGAGAAGGCCAACGGCGGCGGCATCTGGGCGCCGGCTCCACGGGCGCCGGTGGAGAGCGCGCTCGGATCTGAAGGTGGCTGGCCAGGCAGATCGCTTTTCTTCCTGGCTTTGGGACCGCGTCGGGCCAGTGGCAAGTCGAAGGTGCACTGCACGTGTGCATCGCGGCAGTGCGTGCAGCTATCGACGGCGCTGAGGTATTCGCACTTTTGGTGGGGGAAAACATCTGTCAGTGGGGAGATCGCGAGCGTATCAGGGTATTGGACGGCGTAGCGCAGCATTAGAAAGAAGGGCGGCGGGCGAGCATGTACGGGGATGCAGATGCAGATGAGGATCCGGGTGTAAGTGTAAACGCAAATCCGAAGTTATGAATACAAATACATACATGTGGCCATGTATGCACAATGAATCCATGAATCCAGAGAGGAGGAGGAGGATGAGGAGGGGAGAGCAGAGAGAGAGGCGGGCAGGAAAGGGCAGGGACCGGGACAAGGACCAGGTCGCAAGCAAGCTGGCAGAAACGGGCATTCGGGCTGCAGCTAGTATGTACATGCAATGACAGTAGCAGTACCACGCACCTTGGCTTTGCGACGACGGCATCGATCGCAGGCTCTGCTCACAAGACGGCCTCGCGGATGGTGGTGGAACGAGGATGCGGTAGACGGCGCTACGAGCGACTGCTGTGGCGGCGTCGAGCTCGAGGCTGCTGGCGACCCGGGCTGGCTGGACGCTGTGGCCGATTCGGGCGACGTGGTGAGGGCGCCGCCGCCTGGAACAGCTAAAACCGTCAGTTAGCACGTCCGAATTGGGAACTGTAGCGAGGCCGCTGGCCGCTGGATGCACCGCCAAAGGGCGACAGCCGCAACCACGGCTGGGTGCCACTGCAGGCGCAGGCGCTGGAGCTGGCGCTGGAACTGCACCTGGAACTGGAACTGGAACTGACCTGACTGCCCTCCCGCGGGTGCTACTGCGCCGGCTGCAGCTGTCACTGCTGATCCTGCTCCTAGCGGTCCTGTGGCCGCTGTGGCCGCTGTGGCCATGGCTCTCTGGGGGGCCGATCGCTGCTGGCGGTCGCTTCCTCTGGCTCGTCGCGCTCCCTCTCCAGCCTCCGCTTCCCTTCCCACAGGGCGCTCGCGGTCAGTTTCCGGGTATCGGAGAAACGCAGGGCGCGCAGTCGATGTCGCGTTTCCGGTCGGAAACGCCTGGCTGGAGACTCGAGGCGAGACGGGGATTTATCAACGGTCAAATACAGGGAGGAAAAGTGGGCAGAGGCTTTGATTTTTGATGTCTGTTTGGTGCCCTCCACTTTTAAGGGCGTGGAGAAGGAGGAGCCATTTCTCCGCATGGAGCCGGATTATCTAAGTTCAACGAGGCCAGAGGCGCCAGAGGCAGCAGATTCCAGCGCAATGCAATGCACGCACTAGCAGTAGCTGCGAGATACAGCGCGCGCTACTTGTACCTTGGAGCTGGTGAGATTGCCAGTGCACCACCCCATCAGCATATCAGCATCATCTCGACCGCTGGCCTTGCCCAGCTCCATGCCGCAGCCCCGGCTCGGGTGCTACTGTAGCCAGTCGCTAGCTGCTCCTGAAAGCCTGGGGAAGACATGGGGGGGCTGCCACAGGCGATGCAATGCTACGACAGATGCGGCGCGCGTCCCGGGCTCGAGCCAGCACCGCACTTCAGGCTCAGGCGAGTCGGCAGCGAGAATCAGCCTCTGCCGCCTTCTTTCAGCGTCTTGCGGATGGCCGTCTGGTCTTAGCCAGTGATCAGGAGGCGCCCATTTTAGCCATCCAGGCCCCTTGATGCGTCCGTCTACCCATCCAATCCCATCCCATCCCTCCACCCGCTCCTTTTGACGCCGAGAATAGCTTCCTAATGGGCAATATGTGAGGAACGAGGATGCGGGGTTCGCAGAGCTACCTGATGGAGGGCGCATGTACACGCAGCGTATTCCTTGTGTGCCGTGGCCACGCAGCGGCTACCTGCGCAGTACCTTGCCGGCTATGAAGCGCGGGTGAAGCTCAAGGAATACTACCTTGCAGCGGTAGGTCCCCAACATGCTTAATATAAATTTTCAGCGTTTTACATGCTCGATGCGGACTGAAGATGAATCGGTCCAGCTCTGGATAATGACGAAGCTGCATATGTCGTGTCACATTGACCCCATCGTATGACTCCGACTGGCCAGCGTCCAAGAAGCAATATAGCCTGAGCAAGGTGATGGGCTCAGGGGCCACATGCAGGACAGCAATTGAGGTTGGAGGATTTGCAAAGATGAAGCCGTGGCCAGGATCCTTTGCAAGCTCATCCGGGGTTGTGAATGCCTTCCTTGTCCCATTGCCATTGCCATTGCCCGTCACGGCTGAATCGGCCACGAAAGCGCACCATCGCCGTGACAATCAATGCAGTTTTAGCTTTTCTTGCTTCTTGCCTCTACAAATAAAATCAGGCCTGGCACCTCCATGCCGATTCGCCACCCAATGGTTCGAGTGAAGGTGTCGAGTTTGCGTGTCAAGTGCCAAACACGTCGTCGATGATCCGGAAAGAAAACTGCCAGCGGGGTTTGATGGGAGGGTCAATTGCATCGGGACAATGCTTGATACAGTGCCGGAAGTGTCTGATGGCACAGCCGGCATGATGGATTCCAGAAGAAGGGGCACGTGGAGGGCGAATTGCGAATCAATCAGCCAGGGCTGGGTACTTGTTACCGCCAGCAAATAAGTGAGTTGCTTCACCGTTGTTCAGCTCTGCCGCTGAATCTTGCAGCGATGGACCATCGATGGCCACCATCAAACATCTAAATAGACGCATGTATAGAAGACGTAGAAGCCGTGGCAAGAGAATCGCCGGCCCAGGCCTCGCCTCGCACCCATCGCTGATAAAGCAATTTAAACGCCACCGCGATTTCAAGCTCACCGCAAGCAAGCCGTCTCCTTAAACCCCCACGCGAGCCTCAGGCCTCTAATTTGGCAATGTCATGGAATTCAGTCCATTTGATGCGCGAGAGAAGCGGAGGATCAGCTTCCGCTACAGGGAACATTGAACATATGCATAACCCGGCCCCAGAGTATCCGTGGTATCCGTGAGCCAAAAATCGAGCCAGTAGACTGGAGACTGGCTTACAGGCCCCGGATTGGGGCCAATTGGAGGCCGGGGTGGAATAAGTGATGATACAGCGCTGTCATCCTCTCACCACTGGCACCATTTCTGCAATTTGCGGCCGGCTCTTTAGTTCAAGGGCCCATGGCTGAATGTCGCGGAAACAAATAAATTCTGGCTACATTCGCAATCTTGCAGCTCAAAGGAGCACCAACATCTGTTCACCAAATACCTACAACCAGACAGAAGCTCCAAAGTTGCACCAAGGATCACGAGGTGTCAAAACGGTGCAGTGGCCAGCGACTATTACAGTCGAGTGGAAAGTCAAGGTCAGTTCATGAAAATGGGCGCTTAGAGGGCTGCCGCATGGTATTGATGTTTGAGATGCCACATGATGAAAATGCTAATTGAGCATGGAGGCAGACCGCATTTGCCTCTTTCGCATGGCCTAGGGACGATCCCCCGGAATTTGATACAATGTCAGAAAGCCTAATCCGATCTTTTCCCCTTCGTATCTTCGGAGCCGCCCGGAGATGCTTCTACAACGGCCTTGTTCTCTTTCTGACAGCCGTCCCCAGGCCCCTGCAGCCTCACAGTGCTGGAGACAAGATGAAGACAGCTCCCCGCTCGACGCCTCGACCGACCTCTCGATAGAATTGGATACACGTCGGTCGAGCGGATCAAACATCTGGTCTTTTGCGAATAGCATATGGGATACAGAGCAACGCCTTAAGGCTATGGCTCCAGACGGGCTCCAGACAAGCCCCAGCCCTCGCAACGACATCCGGCTCGCTTAGCAGCATGATTTAGCACCAAGAAGCGCTACATGGGTGGCCACACCCTCTCTACAACTTATTATATAACCGTCAATACTTGCATCCAATAACACGTCGTCGACTCCTCGCGAAAGCGCCGACTGAGCGAAAAAAAATCCGGCGGTCCGAGGCGCATCATCACATCTCCCGAACGAGGTAGCAGCGCATGATATCATTATCCAGAGAGGGGAATGGCTGTATCCAGTTCTGTTCACGGCCAGTTTGATATTTCGAGTTGCCTGCGACTCGACGTGATATTGGAGCGGAACCGTTGGATGTCGACACTTGAGCCAGACGAACACGACGTGCTAGGTGCTACCGTGTTCCCCCCACGGAGAGGAATCAATGAGACTGGGTTTTTCAAACGCTTTTCCGAGAGGCTCGCGGATTAATTTCCATTTTGGCGACACTGCAATTACAAATGCGACTGCGAGACGCCGTTCCACGGCTATTCCTGAGCCGTCCATTTATGTGCCGGGGTCGTACGTTTGGCGCGTAACTATTGTGTAATGCAGCAATAGGTGGGTGACGGAAATTTCGTACTTTGTCAGAAGTTGGCTTCTCTAGACTACTTTGGCCCTTTTACCATCTGCATAGAATTCACCATCTCTGCTGTATTGACGGAAGAGATGAATGCCAATTGCCCATTTTCGTCTTGAAACCTGCCTTTTGTAGGGTAGTCGGTAGCACCGCTACAACATTTTCCAATCAACAGGATTTAAAAAGCCCCTCTAAAATTAGTAATAGATGTAAAATAAAAGAAAATCATTATTCTGGTGATATTTTGATAAAATTGCTATTGGCAACCACGTATATTGGGGTTCGTGTGATGCACACAGACTGATTGTTGCATGCTCATGAAGCACTGATACGGCTAATCGCCCGCTTCGCACCAGGATTCCAGAGGTGACATCTAATTTGATGAGTGGCTGAGACAAGACTCTGGCGAAGCATGCACATTTTATTCGATGCGTTTAATCAGTTCAGCCTCGTGACCACGTTTATGAAATAAATAAACATGTAGCCTCTAATTTCTTACTCTATGTGGCAATAATCGACGATTCCCCTGGAGATGTCAATTTTTATCAACCCATTCTCCATCTCCTTCAGATATAGGATTATCGTGGAAAAGGATATGTTACAGTATACAATTCGTAAAATCCTAATGGTTTCATCTCATCCGAGTTGCTCATTTTTTTTTGAGACTGCTCAGACGACAAGAAGGAGAGTTGGAGCTTGGTGCAATATTTTCACTCCTCTCCCCTTTCTCAGTATCATTTCTCATGGCTTATTTACGTCCACATCACCCTTTCTCTCCCATTCAATACCTTTTCCGCAAAAATAGATACCCACGGCATGATACCCATCTCTGTGGCAACGCTCGTCTAAGGCGAATAGTGTTATATTACTCGCCCTTCTATATAAGATACAACGCCCGCTTGGCGAACGATATAGAACGATGAGAAAAAGAATAGATAGAGTTTATAGAGCTCAATAAAAGTCAGCCATGACAGAATAGCTCTTGCCTGCTTGGCATCTACAAAGCGTCGATGTAAACCTATAGACTTCGAAATTTCGCTCGTGATCTCCAACGTCGGAATTGATCTTCAGCAAAGCCAGTTTGCTCTATAGAATATTATAATTCAAATTTCTGTCACCAAAGGCCCGCTTGGCTAAGCGGTATAGCGTGTCACTAGTATTTCTCTGACATGACAAGGTGATCAGTTCGACTCTGATAGTGGGCATTTGTTTTTGCTTTTTTTTTAAAGTATTCGCCGTATCACTAGTAATTACTTGACATGACATGGTGATTAGTTTGACTCTAAGTGTGGGTATTGTTTTTTTGCTATTTGCTGATATGACTCTGATAGTGGGCATTCTTTTTTGTTATTTGCTTCGTGTCACTAGTAAACTACTCAACATAACCAGGTAATTAGTTGAACTTTAATAGTAGGCAATGTTTTTTTTTGGTATTTTCTACTAATCTTTTTGCATTATTGGCTCATTTCTAAGTAACATGACCCTTTCTCTGAATGTAGAAGAAACGCGTGACAAAAGAAAGCTGTAGTTGCCGTAAAGGGCCACCATACCAAATCCTATCCCATCCTCATCAAACCGTAAGCCATTCAAAATCATGAAAAGCCATTCCCTCCATCGTAAAAGCCGTTAAACTGTTTTCCTCCTTGGAGCAAAGAGCTTGGCTCTTGACTTAAAAGTTGATGGTCTGAGCCAGAGAGAAGTGGAGGTTGCTCAACAGAGGCCGAGCCTCCTCGGCAAAAGCCGGGACGCGGGCAACGACGGCGCCAGCCAAGTCGACAATGCTTCTCTCAATCAGGTTCAGAACGACACCAATGGGGCCACGGTAGAGAGAGTTGGAAAAGAGACCCAGGGGGCCAATAAAGTCGTTGATCAAGTCAGTGTTGGTGTCAACGAGCTGTTATGAGACTGTTAGATGCTGCCAATATCTTGTTCATTTTGAAAGATGAGTTGAAGCGTACCTGAGAGAGAGCAGTGATCATAGCCGCCTGGTCGATAGGGCTGTAAACCCCAATGACTGGGGAGGAGACGATGGGGCTTACGTCTGCCACGATGGTGTTGGTCAAATTACCGAGGTTGTTGATGATGTTCTGAATACCACTCAGTTAGCATCTCCTGATAGGATAGACGGCTCATTGTATTAATAACGTACGGGAAGGTTCTGAACGATGGTGGCATTGGTGACAGCGCTAATTAGAGCATCAGTGGTGCCCAAGGCGGCGTTGATCGCAGCGATCGTGGTGACAATGGTAGAAGCATTCAAAGGTGGAGCTCCAATAAGGAGAATGCTATCCTGTGCTCGCTGAGACTGCATAGTGTGAGCGAGGTTCTCGAGCTGATGGATCTGCGCGCTCTGCTCGCTCTGCACATTCTTCTCGTTTGGCTTGACCTGGCCTTGCTGGGTTGAGGACATGGCAAAGGCAGACTGGGCCATCAGAGCGGCAGCGAAGAAGAGAGTCTTGAACTGCATTTTTGTGGCGTTTGGGGGTGAGATTTGGATAGAAAGAACTTGATGATGTTTGAGGACCAAAGATGGAGGATGGCTCTGGTGGCGGCTGTTGGCTGGCGAGAAGGAGAAAACTATTCTTACTCGGATCTTGCCTTGTCTTTTATATCCGACAGAGTTTGATATCATGTATAAGCTAAATGGTAGGATAAATAAAGAGACAAACGTTCTTTCGTGAGGATATTGTCGTATTTGCAAACCCTGTGTTGAGACACTTGTCATGGAAACCCATTCCTTAGACGGGACTACTCCAAGACACGCCAGAGGGATCTTCGGAGGAACAGCCATTGCCGGCTTCAACGACTAACGTAACGGTTAGTGCCATATAAACACCAAGCATAGTCTTGGGGAATGCAAGGCTGTTTCAATGCCGTTGCTACCAAACTCGTGACTGATAATCATGCGCTCGAAGCTAGAAAAGAATGTAGTCTCCCAGAGTCATGAAATCTCCGCGCCCTGGCAGTCCGGCGAATAAGATGTCCTGGATCGTAGCCATGCGATCTACTTACATTCCAGCCTGTCATCAATTTCTGCGGAATGCTGACAAGGTTCTCCCAGCGGCCCGGGAGACGTTACATACAGCTCCCCCTCATGAAGAAAAGTGAGTTGCGATCTACGAGCAAAAAAACGGGTGAATAATCAACTGCAATGATTCAATGGAAAGTAGTCTTCTTTCAAGTTGACGTGGTGGAAACGATACTGTTCAGGCTTTTACTGAGATGAAAGCATGTCTCTCTTCTTTTTCCCCACTCCACCTGCCCCCCCCCCATTCCCCGCGACATAAAGATGAGAAAACAATGCGGAACAATGGTAACAGTGGTAACAGTGGTAGCCTTGAGACATGGATGTTATCAGCTACCGTTGAGATTGCTCCGGGCACAGCAACACAACGGAGTAGGATTCGTACATCGTCTAAAGCAAGGAGTATTGGCTGTTAGCACGGCAACTGAGTGAACGAATTCCAAGTAATAGCAGCCGTAGACAGTCTGTCTGTTTCAGCTGGGTCTAATTTGGGATTGTCTCTTCGATGATGCTCTGCTGAACAGATCGTAGGGTGAATCATGATTTGAAAGTTTTTAATACGTCGATGCTGGCCGCTATAGGTCTAGGGTCAAGCTTTAATTGAAGTGTCGATATCGTAATGTCCCCATCGGCCAGGCTATCGTATCTTATGTATCATCCTGTTGTCAAGGGTTGATATCCTCACTTGGGATTTACAATACAGGCACTTTAATCATCACTTGGGCGTTTGTGCTGTATCTTGGGCACACTTTGCAACGCAATCGGATACATGTTTTCATGTACGCTAAAGTGCATATTCTTATCGGTGTATCTTAGATATGGCTTGATTATTCCCTGCCTGCACGTGTATTGCCGTAAGGAGCTTGATCCTGGGACGGGAGAAGCTTCCTCTTTCGCCCAGTGGCCTGTCGTCCTGCGAAATACAGGAGTGCTTAGCCCCGCAAATAACGGTAGATGCTAGGATTTTGTACAGGTGAGGGGCTCAACAAAAAAAAAAAAAGTACAGCCGAAATGACAGGCTTTCGATTCGTAAAATAGACAAGGAAAATGGTGATCAAATAACCGCCCCTCTGTACTCAATGATGGGATGATTCGAACTGCCTTTGAAAGTGTGGCTCTGGATAGGAGGCGTCTAGAAGGCTTCTAAAAATGCACTTTAAGCGCCAGTCATACTTGTAGTTCAACTAGCCGCTATGCTTCAGCGCCAAAGCAATATGGGGAAAGATAATTGGCTGGCATTGAGCGCTGGCGGAGAGAGCCGGCGGGCCGCGCGGATACCAAGCGATAATAGCAAAGCTCTATGGTGGTAGCATTTCGTATTCAAGGAGCGTAGCTATTCAGAGACCGCAGTCCAGAAGGCAGTGAAGGCATGAATGGCAGCATCTGCCCCAGAGCGGACAATTGCCGAACTGGGACTCACAGAGGCCTCTCGGAGCAATCTGGAAAGTCTGCCGAGCCAGGGTTGGGCATCGTACATGGTACATGGTGCTAGAGCCAATGCAGGCGGCTCACGACGTTGACAGGCATCGACCCAGGCATTGAGCAGCCGCCATCTCGTCTGTCTGCCGAGTCCCAGGCGAAAGTCCTTGCGAAGCTGCAATGCCCGCCTTCTGGCTCCTTTTCGCTTGATGGAAGCTCGTCTGGAAGCTCGTCTGGAAGGTCGACGGAATATTCTAGACGTGCCCCGTGCTCGTGGGATATAGGAGGAAATTGCGTGCTTGGGGCTGGAAATCTGATAGTCGAAATTGCAGATGGAAATTACCCAGACTGCTCGACACTGTACCTTGCATGGACGGGACGCACAGAGGACCCTGCTTGCTTGTGCAGTTTTCCATCGTTTCTGCCCTTGGGCCATGTCGTGGTCATGGCCCTTGCCACGGCCCAGGCATGGAGAATACGGCTAGACTGACAGCAGGGACAGGGTCGAAAGCCTGCCGACTGCCTAAAGCAAGTCACAGCGATGGCTTTGCAGCGTTTTAGCTTGGAGAGCAGAGACCTGGTGTCATTATGCCGCTCGCTGCAGCTACAGCGTAGTGTGTGCAGTAGATTGAGAGACGCACGCGGTTGACAGCTTGGCAGACAGTCTGGAGCCGGACTCCTTCAGCACATTGCTGCAAGGTCGCTTGCGCGTGCACGTGCAAGTGTCTAGACTGACTCGGTGCCAGAGATTGGCATTTCAGCTCATCTACAGAGTGTCCTCCTTGCATCGGCTTCTATCAGCACATTACTCGCCGCACTTACTGCTCCGAGCAATAGCGCCCCGGACCCCATATGGAGTAGGCCGGGCTGAGCACGGTAGTTCGATGCAATTTGGTCACCAGCAAGGAGACGGGAGAAAGACAAACGGCCAGACGAGTGACCTGGGGAAACGCCATCGTGGCCCAGACCGTCATGTCTCACCTTCACCGCCTTCAGCTCTGTCGGCGTGTACTTTGTGGTAGTGCCGCTGCTGGGCAGAAGATGCTGTACCTGCTGTACCTGTATGTGTTACTGGCACGGCAGCTGGGCAGGTGCTCTTGCCGGCGTGAGTCACGAGAGGCTGCCCTCGCTTGGGCAAGAGCGGGTGTTGCACCTGCTGTGACGAAGATCGGCTGCAAAGCCGGGTGGAAGGCGACAGCTGTGCTTCTGGCAGCATGTGAAAGTATTGCCGTGTGCAGCTATTTGTTGCTACCTTGGCAAGCTCAACACCATTCACCACTCGCGAATGCTGCCAAATCAGTGCATGAATGGATCAACGATTCTCGGTCTACGAACTAAATCCGGTACATGCCTGCTGCAAGTAGCTGACGCACTTGCTCGCCACATGATGCTGCGGCCGGTAGAACACGCGTGCCCGAGTCTATACTGAGGCGAGTGGCTTGCGGTCTTCATGTTGCTAGCTTGTGTGCTGGTTTAGCAGACTACACTCCTTGACTCTCTTTCTGGACCCAGACCGCAAGCCAGAAGCAAGGGAAGCAAAAACGAAGAGCCGTGCTTCTTATCCTTTGCCCTCACAGTCGCGACGGGCTGCCTCTCGTTGTAGCCGGCCGGAGTATTTGTGGCGGATTGCTTCCCCCAAGCCCCTCCCATTCCGACCACCATCAGCTGCGGCTACGCCATCTCTGCCTAGAAAATGCAACTGATGATCATGGCGTCTTTTTCGATCAGAAAGCCAAGTCCCCGTCCCGCAACTCTCTTTTTACCCGTCTGTCCAATGACGTCTCCGGAGTGCCAGCGATCGCAGCGACATCGGATGCCACTGTCCAACCACCACCCTCTCGCCGGCCACATTCTGCTTCGACTCGCCCTGCTTCGGCTCAACTGCGCATGACCTCTGGCTCAATACCAGCGAGCCTTTGGATGCAAGTTGACGCTGGTACTGCACAGTACAGTAGTGCACGAGCAGAGCATGGCGCCGCAGCCTCCACTTGGCCTGCAGCAAGCAAGGTACGAACCTCTGTACGAACGCCCAGAGCTGCGCGAAAACCAACCACGCGAGACCCTCCAGGGCTGTGTCGCCGCCTCTGATTCGCCGCGGCGTGGCGCCATGTGCGTCCGGCCAAGGAGGCACAAGGACCCTTGCGCCCTGGCTTATAATAGCAAATGCAGCCCGTGTACTTGAGACAAGCTGCGACGGCCATCACGACGGGCTGCCAGAGCTGATGTACGCACATGACAGGTACCTGTACGGCCGACACACATGCGCAGAGAGTTCCCTCGGCTGTGATTCTTTGATTCGACTGCTTGCCATGATCTTATTAACCTATGATTCCAACACACGTATCCGCCTCGCTCTCCATCGAAGCCCAACAGTCTTGGGCCCTTTGTTTCTTTGGCTCTGCAAATAGCGCCCTCATAGCGCCCTCGTCTGTTCGCCATTTCCACTTCGACATCATTTAAGCGTTCAAGACCACGCGAAGCGAGAGGACCCGTCGAGCAGCTCTCCACTCTCCACTTCGCTCGCAAGCAAGCACAAGTGCTACTTAACAGACTGGACCTCAGCTTCTGCCGCCTGGCAATGGGCCTTTCCCAACCGCCAACCCATCCTGGGCTCTGGATTCTGGGTCCAATCGATTAACCACGCGACGGCGTCTCTGCAAAGTGCCCTCTCTCGATTGCCTATTACGAGACTGGTTGCTTTCCCAACTCCGATCTCGACGCCCTCTCGACGCCTTTTGCTTGACTCGACAGGACTTTTGCTCTTCGCCTTGTCTAGTATAAGCGACGACTTGTTAGCAACTATCGTTGCTGTGTCTGCTACGTATCCAGCCCTCTTCACAAGAGAACGACCATATATCTTTGAACAGGGACAAGATACTTGTACGAGGTCGTCGCCCCTTCAAATCAGGATATCAAAATTTTCCTGAATCTCGTCATCGCCAGCCAACCCTTGTTGCCGTGGTTTGAACATTCGCTCACCGCCGACTGGTGATTCGATTCTGTCGCTTCAAAGACTCCACAACTGAACGCACAGAGACCCCAGTCCTGCCTTCTGTCCAGGCAGGGATCGGCTCACTAGCAACGGGTCCCCCCTACAGAGTGGCCCCCTTGAACTTTTTTTTTCTTTGCCCGTCCCCGCTTGCCGTGGGCTCTTTAATCGGACGCCGGCAACCGAACCAATCGAGGCGTTTGCCGTTGTCAGTCGCAATCCCGCTTGTCGCTCTCATCGATTCGACAAGACCAGGCGTCTCCGCGAGACCTGGGTGTACGATTGTTTTATAACTTTGCGTTTTGATCCTCCTTTGTGGCTGGTTGCTGCCGTAACTCAGACCGCACTTTTTTTCTTGCTTGTTTTGCAATTTCCAGGGGCCTCCTTTCAGTGCGGCAACACTTGCCAAGATCCATCTGGGTGCTTACAGATATATACCTACTACTCCATACCGTACTCTCGGATTTTTTGCCCTCACAATACTTTTCTATTGACGTTCCTCGCGGTTGTGTAACAAAGCCAAAGCTGGCTGCGGCCTTACCTTTCCTCAACTCCCTTCTTGGCCTGTATTAGACATCAAGTACACTCGTCATCACTCATCTGTGCCGGCCACAAACGCATCAAGAAGACCAGCACCATGGCGTACTCACCACGGCGCATGTCCGATACAACCTACCGCAGTTATCATGATATTGAAATGGTAGACCCTCTATCATCGCCCCCCTCGACCTCACGGGGGCGCCAACTTGTCCAGTCCCTCAAGTCTCCAAGAGGACATTCTCCAACCATTGTCCAGGTCCAACGCAAAGATTCTGGATACGAATCACACACCTCTTCACCACGCAATTCAGCCACCTACTTTCGGCCCAAGCCCACACGGCGTTCTTCAGGCCTCTCCAAATATGGGACATCGTCTGCTCAGTCACTGCGATCTCGAATTCGACCCGCTATACGTCGGCCAGCCACCAGCCAAACCGCTGCCTCATATCAACTCCGGCCTGTTGGAGCTGGCAACCAAATGGCGCACTATCAGTTCCCAGCTTCAGACCTTGTTGAAGTTACGGAGACAAGCCAGGAAGCTCCCAGTGCTTGCTTGCCACCGCAGACCACCCATTACTGGACCAGTGACAGGACTCGTCGGCTGGAGTATGCTGCCATTGACGCAGCAAGTAAGGGTGTCAAGGGTTGGATCCGAAGGAACCTACTTCCCGATTGCTTTGCTGGTAAAAACAGGCACGTGGCCTTTGACGATGATTCTGGCAGTGTTCGCCGGTACAGGCTAGACCTGGAAGACGAACAAGATGAGAAGCGTGTGCCCGACTGTACAGCTTCGACTTCATCTCCGCACAAGAAACGCTTCTCTATCCGGATTCACCGCAAGAGCCTTAGCGCTTGATCATTTCATTCGTTCCCACCGCTTCTTATTGAACCCATTTGCGATTAACTTCTTTTATTACTTTCGACTTTGCATTTCGGCGCACCACATTATTCGGCGTTGTATACCCCGACTGCTTTTTCATTTCTTTCAGGTTTTCGGACGACTTAAGATACCAAAGATTTATATACCAGGAAAGCGATTTGTTTTTTCCTTTTGACTTTTTTTTAATTTTCTTTCAATTTGCATAGACATATAGGGGTGGGAAAAGATACCTGGGAATGTCATAGGGATGGCATCCTTTGTTACGCCTTGGCTTATTCAATTGCGGACGGATAACATCAGTTGCACTTGAGAAGGCCGGGCAGTGCAGCGTCCAACGACGTGGGTGAGATGAATGACCAATGTTGGTTTCAGCTGCAGGATGGAATAAAGGGCACAACAGGCCATTGAGATTGGAATGCAGCAGGAGTGAAGAAGCGACGATAGGGGCCTGCGAATGGCCCGTGAGGACAAGCAAAGCTGAGCCTAGGCCCTTTGTTCCTCAATTCGTTCTTTTAGCATAGAAACAATCAAGGACACTGTCACAGTGTTTCAATGCACAGCTTCAAACAAACAATGATCTATAGTTTCCTCTTGTCATTATAAAATGGATGTGCCTTCGTCAATCTTGTAATTGTGAACACTTCTTGAACCACTACACTGAATCCACGTCTTTGCGATAAGCCATCTAATCGAAGCAGCGAAATAATTGCGAGCCAACTATAGGAACGGACCAACTCTCCACTCGGCCAACAGACAGATCTGGCATTCAAAGACGACTTTTTGCCACCCAATACACAAGCGGTACTCCTTGTAGCTCTCGCACCATGGCTTTGCTTGCAGCTCCGAAAGGGCTTTCGGCAGACCCACCCGGCAGCCGGTCTTATTTGCGGGGCTCAAGGTCCGTCACTCCGGATTTCCGAAAAGGGGAGAAGCAAATGAAGATGAAGATGAAGATATTAAAGAAGAAGAAGAAGAAGAATAGAGAGAGCCTCTCGAAAGATGTAAAAACCCCATCGCTCGCAGACAGAGTGCCCGCGGACCTGGCGAGAGTGGTGGTGAATATGCAGCAGTACTACGCGTCGGGGGTGGGCGAGCTTGCGGACAAGTTGGGTACTGTGGAGGAAGAGCTGAGGCGGGCGAAGGAGGAGAATGTTATGATGAAGAAGAGGCTGGATATGCATTTTGGCATGTTGGGCCAGACGGCGGAGTTTATGCAGAGGATTAGTGAGGGGCTTGGGGGGGTGGGAGGAGGAAAAGAAGAGAGTGTTGATGATGATGATGGCGATGGCGATTTGGAAATGGATGAAGTGGACATGGAAGTGCCGCCGGCGCTGGTGGATAATGGTAGGGTGCCTATGAGGAGCACGGGTCGGATGGCGAGCGGGAGAAGGGTGAGGGAGAAGAGTCCTGTTCAGAACAAGGGAAAAGAAGCGAAGAGGACGATGGCGGGGAGAAGCTTGCCGATTAGGGAGAGGATGGCAAGTCCTCAAGACAATGATGATGATGAGGATGGCGCCGACTTGGAAAACCTGCGAGAGGAACAGAGTCGCATGGACGACAATACTGATGCCGGCGAGGATGATGCCAGAATCTTGGAGGGGGCACCTCGTTTGCAAGAGGCTATACGGCAAGATGCCTTGCAACGCGCTATAAGTCGGGATATTGTACGGCGGTCGCGCTTTACGCCGATTAACCGTGTGCCATCTCGCCAAAGCACGCCGTCGTCTGACGAGGATTCCGATTCGGACGAATACCGCCCTCCTTCGTCGCCATCGGCAGCATCTTGCTGCTCCTCGTTCTCATCGTTGGAACCGTCTCCTCTTGATGAAGAAGATGTCGCTCCACCTTTAACCACCGTCACGAGACCAGCCTCGTCACCAAACCCTCAACTTCCAACTCCACCACCAACAGCATCGTCATCATCACCACCAGCCTCTCCATCAAACCCTCAACCTCCAACTCCACAATCAACAGCATCGTCATCATCGTCATCAGCACCCCGCCCTCGATACGACAAGTCAAGACACACCACCGAAGACCGCTACGCAACCGGCCCCCCCGGCAGACGCTTCAAGTTCCACCGCATGGGCCGCACCGTCCTCGACGTCTGGACCGAATACAAGGTCGGCTCAAAGGGCAACCCGGCCATTGAGGCGCTGGAGCGGCAGTACGGCACGGGGTGGCGCACCGGCGGTATCCTCGACCTCAAGTACGCGAGCAACTACGTGAGTGTGCGGCAAAAGGTGGTGCGCCATGTGGAGGAGATGTGCGAGAGAGAAGGCATCAGTGAGAGGGAGGCGATGAGGAGGCTGGATGAGAGAGTGGATGGGAGGATGCAGATGTTGATTTCGGCGGTGAGGAAGGGACAGGATCCGTTTGTGGTGATTCCCAAGAGGTGAATTAGTCGAGTGTACTATTAAATAGATATCATAAGTGGGTAAAGTGAAAGTTGAGTAAAATAAATATGATGGTAACTATTAAGAGATATTAAAGAAAAGTAATGTTCCGTCTGAGACTTGGCCAGATAGTATCTCGCTCCACATTTTCCACTGTCGCCCATTGTTCCTGTTCCGCCACCAAATCAAGTCAAACCAATTGGTATCAATTTTCATTCATTCCTTCTTTTCCTTTCATAAAGAAGAGATGCCCACAATAGCCCACGCATCTCTAGTAAGTGGCCTTGGCGCTGGCCCTCACCCTGACAGAAAAGTCAACGGGGCGAGTGTTGAACCATCCGTCTTCCTCGAGCTGATACTCTGGGCTTGCTGGCTCAAAGTCGAGCTCCCTGATCAGCATGGCCAGGACAATGTGGCTCCACTGCAGGGCATACTGCTTGCCAATGCACTCTCTCTTGCCATTGCCGAACCACTTCTTGGCGCCGGCGGGCAGATTCTCAAAAGCCTCGCCCATCATACGCTCAGGCTTGAATACCATCGGCTCCTCAAACACAGCGGGATCGCGGTTCACCCCCTGCAAAACGATAATCATGGGCTGATTGTGAGCAATCTGGTACTTGCCCCCGCCTAGCAGCACAGGGCTCTTGTCGCCCTCTCTTGGTCGTGGTTCAATGTTGAAACCGGGAGCAACGGAAGACAGGCGCAGAGATTCGCGCATGATGGCTTCAACGTACTTTAATTGTCCGAGATGATCAAATTCAAACTCGCCTGCGCCAATGACTCGGTCCATCTCCTCGCGAGCTTTGGCAACGACATCTGGGTTCTGCAGGAGATAGTAGAGGGAGTAGACGAGCAAACAGGGTGCGGTGCTGCTGCCAATGGGCATCGAGACTATCTCATCAATGACTTGCGAAGGGGTCAAAGTCTTTCCAGTCTCGGGATCCGGAGTGGTCATCATGATGGACAGCATATCCTGTCTCTCTGTCGGGTTATCGGTGCGATATTGAACCAGCTCTTGGGCATACTCTCGCATCGCCTTGTTTGAAGACTTGAACTTGCGGCCATACACCAGCCAGTTGAGCAAACCAGGCCGCGTGGGGCGCTTCATCGCCTCAGAGGTAGAGTCCTCCATTGCCTGGATCATTGGGTGCGGAGGACCGGTCAGCCCGTTGAGGCGCTTGCCAAAGAAGACATAGGTGTTTGTCTCGAGATTCAGCCTATTCAGTTGATCCAGGGGGCTTATGACATGACTGCCCCCGAGGCTCTTCCAATTATGGAAAAGCTCCCCAGCCAGGTTGCGCATTTCTCTAAAGTGAGTAGACACAACTTCGGCTTTCAGCTGGGGATAAATGATTCGGTGGGCAATGCCCCAGCTAGCCTCATTGTCATAGGCCGTGAAGAGTGCGTCGTGGACGGCAGCTCGAATCTCGACAATGGGTCCGCCCACGTACTTGCGGAAGCGCTTCTCGTCACAGAGCTCTTCGGCGAGGGCAACGCTGGCAACGAAGACGAGCGTGTTGCCGAGGACTTTGATCTGAAAGATCTCGCCATACTGGTCTGCGAGCTTCCTGAGCGAGTCCCAAGTGTTACCAGGCTTGACATCAAAGATGTTGCCCAGCAATGGCACGCCAGGTGGCTTCGGAATGGGAGTTGGCGATGCCATGATTTCCCGTATCGTAGATTTGAAAGCACAAAGACCTATCAAGGGACAGCAGAAGAGCTGCAAAAAATGGGAGGGAGGCAGAAAGAAGGCTGGGGAAGATGGCAGCTACGGACAAGCAGGGCCTGATGGTCGTAATATATGGCAACCCATTGGTGCCGCCAGCATGTCGTGGAGCTGTGCTAAGACATTGGCTTTTGTTTCTTGTGCCACCGCGGGCAATCACAAATACGGCCTGCTTGCTTGGTTCGCGGTGCCAGCTCATCCATGCAGCAGCCACTAGCCCTGCAGCTCCAAGCCAGAGCTCGAGATGTCTTTGCATCTGGCCCCCTCTTCTCATTTTGGGGCCCGCGAATTGCAAGCGGCAGGCTGAGACATTCCCCGCCGCCTGGCGTCATTTGGCCCGTATCGGGAGTCAAGCTGTCTCAGCAGCTCCCTGTCGCAAGTCTGCAGAGCAAGTCCGTGATCTGGTACTTGTATAGTAGTCAGTCATACAGTACTTATGGCTATTACTCGTGCCCGCGCCGCTGCTCTCCCATGGCATTGGCAGAAGAGGATCAGCACGCGGCCGGCACATCGCAAGGGCTGCATTAGCGCCCGGAAGCTGGATGGATAGACGGCGACTGGGAATCGGCCTGGCGGTGGTGCAGAGGAGCAAATTGCCGGCCTCCTAGTGGCCACCTCGCACCGAAAGTCCACTTGGCTGGATGCCAATCTCATCTCGGATGGGATCTGCTGCGACGCTGGATATCACCGATGGCCGCGGCCACTGGACGCCACACCTGCCAGAGCACAGCTGAATACAAGGGTCGGCTCAGTGCAAGCAGGTGGAAAACTGGTCGAGGTGGGCGCCCAGATCTGCCCAGGAGCCCATGCGGCTGGTGGAAAGCTGAAAGGGACGATTGGTCTGAGCGAGAGGACTTCTCAGACTGCTGGCCAGGCATCTGCACCGAGTACATGCAGCCATGGCATGGTGTACGAAGCAAATCCAGTATTCAAAAGAGCCAATGAGAAGGAGAGTATATTCGTATCAAGATTGTTAGATGGGTAGGTACTAGTAGCTATTAAACTTCAAAACGAGAAGAGCACAGCAGACAATGGAACTGTTTGTTTGTTTGCTTGTTTGCCTGCGGCCAGACAATCACTGTAGTTGCACCTGAGGCAGCGGCTTACCTAAGTCAACCTAGACACCCGTCCCTCTAAAACTTACAGGGTGTTCACAAGAAAACGCGCCAGAGCAGAAAGGCTGCGCTACGCTACACGTCTCCAGAGCTCTCCCCGGCCGAGGCGCCACCTGTTTGCTACAGCACCTCAGAACACCACAAACTCGCAAGGGGCCAATTCCAAATCTCCCACCAACATCCGGCGCGCCAATCGCAGATCCCAAGCCCTCACACGCTCATTTACATTTTCGTCGCTCTCTTTTTCTTTTCTCGTCGCCCATCATGACCCGCGCTCAGCAGACGATTTCCCTCGGCCTCTTGGTCTCTTCTGTACGAAAGCCCTCCCTTCCTCTCCGAAAGGGTGAGAATTCGCATTGCTAACAAGCTGTCGCTTTCAACTTGAAAAACAGATCTACTTTGCTCTCTACCTCGAGCTCATTCCTCTCCCTCCTCTCGTCCAGAAGGAAATCGTCCCAGTGGTGCGTCTTAACCCAACGTCAATCCTCAGGCCATCTTCGAATCGATCGATTGAATCATACCTACCTACCTATGCATGCGACCCCGAACCTCGACTAACTCTTTGCGACCCGTTCTATAGCTCCCCTTCTGGGCCCTCATTTCGTTCGGCGCTGTGCTCCTCTTCCGTCTCGGCTGGGGCGTCTTTACGTTCAACGATGTTCCCGTGGCGCACAAGGAGCTGATGGAGGAGATTGAGATGGCAAAGGTCGACCTGAGGAAGCTTGGTGTTGACGTGGACTAAATTCATAAAGCATACCGTGGCGCAACTGGAAGGAGATATAACGTAAATTCATAAAATACTAGTGGGCAATGCAATATCACCGTGGGATCAAATAAAGGTAGTTTTTCGTGTAATCGAAGCCCCCTGTTCAGGGCGTACTGTCTCTTTGTCATTTAATGAATCGAGTCAAGCGCTCATCTTGAACAAGATCGAAAACATCTTGCTTCAACTACCGTAGACCTGGCCTTTTATACATCATAACTCATTAACAGAGAAGCATCTCTACCTCATTGCTCTCCTACAACTAATGCCACAATAGTCTTAACAGCGAGGGATGGGTCCTGCCCGCCCTCTACGAGATCTTCAAACAGTTTTGGAAGCTTTCCCAGCACGCCCCGTTGGTCCGCCTTTCGCCCTATAGGTAAATTGATTAGCTCTTGTACTTGTACTTGTACGTTTTAAAAACGGGAAGAGTTCAACTTACATTTGCCTGGTACGCCAATCATGACTGCCACCTTATTTTGCGCCTCCCCAATCCAATCAAAATCAATCTTCCACTCCAGCCGTACCGATGATGTAGGGTCCGATCGCTTCTTCGACGGAACGTCAAACTCAAACGCCTGCTGACCCATGAAGTGTACCAAATCAGCCTTTTTAATGGATGGTGTGGGCGCTGATTGAGCTTCCTTTTCCAGTTCTTGGGCTGCTGCCCTTCGCGCCGGTTTCCTCTTCCGCGTCTCCGCAATGACCTGCAAGAATTCTCCCTTGAAGGCCAACTCGCGATCCAGTTTAGACCATAGATACGCCCTTTGAACTGCAGCCTGGTACCATTCCCCCATGGCCCATGAGAGTATCCCGATATTGCGCTGCATGCTCCTGTTGCAATCGCCCTCGCATAACTTGGTGACAAATGGTCCCAGCTCAGCCCTTGCCGAGGGTTCCAGGGAAGGAACCTTTAGCTCCATGATGCTGGAATTCATTGCATTTACCACCATCTCAACCTTGGAGGTAAAGAGTCCAGGCGCATCTTTTGACCTGAATGTCATGATGCGTCGCTGCCGCAAAGGCTGTTCCTCATCCGAGTGCAAGATGGCCACAGTCGATGTGACGTCGAATGGGCTAAACAGTTGTAAATACGGCAGCTCTTCCTCTGCTGTCATTTTTATAGGATGGTGCGATTTGATATCTGACATGTTGACTTCATCTTCTGTCGTGGCGACAACGGGAGTTGCCCTCCCAAAGGGTAGTAATGCCGCCGGGTTTAAAGCTGCCTTCAACAGCTGCTGCGATGGCGGCGGTGGCAGTTGTGTTTCCGAGTCCACGAGGTGCCGCCGTACCACATTGAAGACCTCTTCTTCGTCTGCAAAGCTCAAGATACGGCCAGAAGCCTGCATCAGCCGAATCCGGTCGTTTTCCTTGCTCACAACCTGCAGGTCTCGCTTCAATTTTGCAATCTCTTCGTCCAAAGCCAGTTTTTCCTTTTTCTTTTCTCCATCTGGATCAAACGCTGGGATTTGGCGTGCCGGATGGGCTTTTTCGTCTAAAGAAGGCTCTTGTATACTGCTTTCGCTTTCCTTCCGCGGTAGCTCGAAACTATGCATTGGCAGCCCGGGTTTCTTGCTTGGTTTTTCGAGGGCACGACTTCCCGAGGGCTTCAGAGGAGAGCCGTGTTTCGTTCTAGGCTTGTCTCTCCATCGCGACGGACTGCTGTGTATGCCTCTCGGTGGTGTGAAAGAAATGGCATCTGGGATAGATGGCGGCAGCTCGGGCTCTGGGTATAAAAGGGGCCGGCCCGTATTTGGTGATCGTCGCAGTCTTCTGCCCAAGAACGAATCCGCTTCATCGTCTCCTTCAGGCGCGGGTGGTGGTAGCGGCCGAGGCCTCGGTTTGAAAGGCGATCTTATAGGTATATTAGGCATAACGTCGCTGGAGTGTTGTGAAGACGGCAGCGATCCAGAGCTCAACGTGACTCCATTTGTGCCTTGCGCTGTACCATTCGCTGCCGGCGTAGGAGCCTTGGCTGATTCGTGCACAGCTTCTCCTGCCTCTTTGTCGCTCGAAGACGCAGTCCGCTGTGATCCTGTCGCTGCAGGTCGTGCCTTGGCCAAGCCCTGCGGCGGATGACGAATCTCATTAGCTCTCGTGGTTGCATCGTCCAGAGGGCGGGCTGTCCGAGCTCTTGCGGGCTTTGACGGTGTCGACGTCGCGTCGCTGCTGCTGCTGCTGTTGACAGAAGAATTGCGTGGTGAGACCCGACGTCTCTTTGACGCAGGCTCATCCATTGTGGCAGAGCAATGGAGCGGTGAAGGCCAGTCTCATTAAACAAGGCAAGGCGATCTGTAAAACTAAAGAAACAAAAATGCGGGAAGAAGGAAAATTATCGCCGGGTACGAACAGCTTGGCGATGCGGGATGGTGTTTTTGGCCGAATGGAGCGCGTCACAGCCAGCTGCAGCCCAAACAATGCGGGCTTGGACCGAAGCGGTAGGCGGTCGCTGCCGGGGGTGTCTGAGAACTACCGCTAAGCTTCCAGCGGTCTTAGCACCATCAGTGTAGTGAATGATTGTTTACACAGCGACTAGAGATGCGTTTCTTACGATTCTTGTTCTCCCACTTGGCATGATGCAGTGAATCTTAATTTTAAAACAATAGTTTATACTCCTTTTTTAAAATCAATGTACTCCAAGGCCCCATGTTTATACCTTATTCCTTTCAAAGACGCTTCACTGAGGCTCAAGAGCTGAGACTCTTTTGATGCCATCCATCACGTGCAGCTCTCCCTCACCAAAAAATCCTTGTCCGGCTTCCCGCCCCGATGACGTCCGAGTTGCCCCCCACAAAAGCTTTGCGACGCCGAACTGCGAATTCCGGGTCTTTGCGTGTCTCTCTTCTCCGGCTTTTTGTCTTATATATATCTGCCCCTATTGCGCTGCGTCGCATCCGCCGCAGCTCGCTCCCCAACATCTTATCAACTAATCAACATGTCGTCAAGAACGCTAATATCACGGATGAGCCTCGTACGGCCGAGCGCGGCCTTGTCGCATGGGCAATGCTGTCGACGATGCTTTGCCAGCGTCACGGGAGCCGAGGCAGCTGAGCAATGGCCTCAGAAAACACCGCTGGGAGCATACTACGAAATCATCTTCAAGAATCCTACTGCATATTCGCCTATCGCAACACCGAAGAGGGCCCCGTCCCAGGATCCAACAACTCTGAGTCACAAGCCTCAAAGCGATGCGCCCAAGACTTTGTCTGGTCAATCAAGCCCAACAGTCACATTACCGTCTCACAAAGACCCTCTACCGACAACCGCAGAAGACAGAGCGCGCGTCGTCTTCGGCTCCCGCCTCCTCGGCCCCGCCGAAGAAGCAGGCCGTCTTGCCGCCAAGAAGGCAAAGTCTACATATGTCGCCGGCATCCTGATACCTCCCCGTCCAGAAGAGCCAGACAACTGCTGCATGAGCGGGTGCGTCAACTGCGTGTGGGACCGTTATCGAGAAGATTTAGAGGAATGGTCGACGAAAAAGGCAGAAGCAAAGGTGCGATTAAAAGCCGGAGGCACCACCATGGATGCCGACGGCGGCGCATCCGAAGCGGCCTGGGCGAGCAAGATTTCCAAGGATATGTGGGATGAAGAGGCCTTTCAGAATGTCCCGGTTGGCATTCGCGAATTCATGAAGCAAGAGAAGAGGTTAAAGGAGCGGCACCAGCGGGAGGGCACACTAGGGGGCTAGAGAACCAACAGAAAGAAGACGAACAAGGATAAATAGATATCTGGTCCAGGCTACAGCGGGCGGTGTGTATTATAAGAGTATCACGCATAGAGTTTTCATATCCAGCATATAATACGTATTGATAGACACAGAGCAGCATACAGTTAGAACAAGAAACAGGAGCAATGGTATAATTTTGGTATCTTTCACTATTTTTTTTTTTTTAAAAAACATCTATATTTTACTTCTTCGCCAGCTTAAATAACACAAAATACACTATGCCTTCTGGGCATGTCCATCGTGCTCGTCAATGTCGATGGCCTCCCAGGGATAGTTGATCCAGGCATCGCCGCAGGTGACAGCGGCAATGTAGCGGCTGTTGACCATCTCGTCGGGCAGCTGACCCTTCTTGGGCTTGTCCTTGTTCTGTATCCAACGTTAGCAAAAGCGACCTCCCATTCACCATACTGCCAAGGTAAACTCACGTGAAGAACAAAGATGCTAAACTCAGCCTTGGGGGCATCAGGTCCGATCTTCTGGCGGGCCTCCTCGACATCCTTCTCCAGCTCCTTGACGGCATACTCGAGCGTCGTCCGGGTGTCGTCGACCTCGTCCACGATCAGGACGCGCTTGCCGACGAGGTTTCCCATCTCGCCCAGGGCAGAGAGATCGAGCCACTGGGTGCGGGTGACCTTTGTGCCAATCTCCTCGACCTCGCTGCTGCCGAGCGACTCGTACAGCGAGAGGCCGATGGCCTGGATGGGGATGTTGGGCGATCCGGGCTGCTTGAGGAACGAGCGCAGGATTCGCGCAGGCACGTAGCCGCCGCCGCCGATGGCGATCATGAGCTGCGGCTTGAAGTCCTCGAGGATCTTGGGAGCGGCCTGCTGGCACAGCTTGTGGACCTGTCACAGTGACGCCGAGTTAGCGTTTGTTTCGACTGCCTTGGAGCAGATGCAGAGCGAATGGGCGCCATTCGAGGGTTCTCCATACATCATTGTAGGTAACGTAGAGCTTCTCAACCATTGTGGCGGCTGTTGACGCAAAGGCGTGATTCGTTACGAGGGCTATCAAGTGAGGAAATAAAGGCACTATATAACTTATGTTTATATAGTGAGAAATACGAAAACAAAGATACGAGACGAAGCTGGTGACTTCGGGAGCGATGCAGAATGCCCAAGAGGAAGAAAGAAAAAGGAAAAGGAGAAGAGGAGAGAGAAAAAAAAAAAGAAAGAAAAAAGCGAGGCAATCACCAGAAAATCGCTGCCCACATGCTTTCGGCGGCTTCCGATAATTTTTTTTTTTTTTTTAGTCTCGTTTCCCCCTCCCCCACCATTGAGGCCATGCCGTCACTTAATCTGTGATTCATTTCCATGCAGCTTGGCTTCGCATGGGCCCCATAAGTAAGCTGCGGCGGATAATTTTTTGGGGCTTGGCATCTTGATCAAATAAGCATTGGCCTAATGAGTGTTTTCTTTTGCTTGTACTTTATACCGGGTCTGTGTTGAATCTACTGAAAGCTTCTACTAATATGCCGAAACAATCAAGCCACCGGTTTTGACTTTCCAGCCAACATCCAAACACTCGCGGGAATGGCCGTACCTAGGCAGCAGCATATCCACCGCCATGTGCATCTACCCAAGAAGGGAGAATAGAGGATTACGGGCGTGACTCAGTCACCGGTCAAGACTGGAGGTTGACTAGCCGGGTTAAGAATAGTTGCCTTGACGAATATAATCTCCTGTTTTGGTGTGTTGATGAACGGACTAATAGCATGTTTCTGATTCACATTCTATAAAATAATAGTCTGGTACTTTGGTTATTAGGTATTTGCAATATAACGTTGTGAATCCAAAGGAAAGCAAAGATAATCCAAGTCTCTTCAATAGGTAGACATAAACACCTCTCCCACTCTTCGATTCCAGTTATTCTCGTCAGCAAGCCTCCTCATTACATCTGCCAGACCATCACAATACCCGTCTACTTCTTCCGCATTCAGCTGTGCTGTGTCCCACGAGGCAATGAAGAAGATGTTCTCTTGATCAACCATGAAGGCGCTCCAAAAGAGTCCACTAGCAGTCGCTTTGTTAGTCAAGCAGTAGTAGCATAAGATGATTTGTTAGTCAACTTACCAATCTGGCCAGTCGTATTTGGCCACTGGCTCCAGAGTATCGAAATCACTGCGGAAGCCTCGAGACGCTGCGACTCCCATGCTCACGTCCCACACAAACGATTGTCGGAATGACGCATTTGTTGCCATCTCGCCTTCTTCTCGAAGCTCCTGCACAATCTTCTCCCACGGCGCATGTTCATGGCGGTCGATGTCCTCTTGTTCAAGTACCATGCGGCGAATAAAGTCTGCGAGAACCTCGTCGTCATTCACTTCAAACATGTTGAGGATCCATTCGACTGTCGGGCCGTCAATGCTCATGGGTGGTTGAAGCGCATTTGCTATCCAGTCGGGCACGAATGGCCATGAACGAGCGCTCTCCCACGAATTGAACAGCGCAACTGATGACTTTGTCTGAATCACATTGAATAGCACCAAGGCGCACTTTGTGAACAGCATTGGTCCCAGATTATATGAGCTGCGCAATTTAGACAGGCCCGGCAAGCGAACAATCCTGCTTCGGCGCGGGAATCGAAACTCTTGGGCTCTTGCCTGCCACTCTCCTTTCCATATGTCATCTCTGGATTTTTGGCGCTCAGAGAAGTAGAACGAGTCTTGGTCACCGGCAATCATCATTCCGGGGGCGCGTTGCTTGGGCCATATTGCCTTCTTGTATCGGGAAATGCCTCTCAGCCTCTGCACGTGGAACGATATTGCTTGTTGAGCGAGCAGGCTCTCTTGATAACCCGCAAACAAGTCTGCAAACAGTCGATACGGAGTTTGTGTGGGCATGACCGTGTTGCAATTGTGTATGAGCCGGTCAATGTCTCGGTGCCAAGAAAGGAGCGTCAAGGCATCCATTATAGAATGATTGTACGTCAGGCAAAGGAGGTATCGCCCTGTTTCTTTTGCCTTGATGATGGTTGCGTTGAACATGAGCATCGGAGAGTGAGTATTTGTAGAGCCATCTTCATAAGCATCTTTTGCTTCTTTTTCCGTTTCTGCAGTGACCTCGTGAACCAGTTTCTGAAAGATGTTGTGGTTGTGGCGCACGATGATATGATAGAGCCGTCCTTGAACGCCCAAGAGAATTGTCCGCAAGAGAGGTCTATTCGCCATCCATTTGAACAGTCCATCATAGATGTGAGAAATGGTTGCGTTGTGGACTCGAAAGACAACACGGGTACGATATGACTGTGCTCGTTGACCAACGACTGCCCGGTACATGGAGTGTCTTATGGGGATGATGTCTTCAACGTCGGATCTGTCAAGGTCGAATCTCTCGACTTGATCTTGTGCCGCGGCCAAAGTATCAACAGCCTCGACTTTGGAGACCAAACGTTGATTGAAGCTGTATCCTTGCTCTCTCCTAGAGAGGGCTCTGTGGTCATCGCTCTGACCCATGGGGTTTTGCATTATTCCAACCCCTGCTCTTGGTGATGCATCTCTGGTAATTAGCAGCTTAGCCTGAGTTTCGATGGTGTTGCATCTACTCAGGTCCTGAAGGTAAATGCGCTTTCCGTATGCTCGGAGAACAGCGTCGCAGTATCGAAGCAGTGTGATGCTGTCAGCCAAGCAGAAAACGTCGTCTGTCCTATTTGGTCGAACTCCCATCAGCTGTTCCCATATTCCCCCCAAGCCTTCTTCTACTATCGCTACTTGGTCATCTTGACCTTCAGTCTTTGAGCTTTGGCTTTTCTCAGCAAGCCGTTTTTGTGCTACAGTATTGGCCAGCGCAATTCTTTTAGGCTTTCCGATGGAAGTTGTCGGGATACTCTCAAGGCCCAACTCTGCAAACGTGTACACAGCATCGAGCGTATACTGAGGGCCCAAGAGTCTTGCCTTCTCCATCATCTTGGTCTTGGGTACCTTTGAAGAGAGCCTGACAATAGCAATAGCGACTTGACCGGCAATGTCATCTGGCACTCCTACAACAAACGCCTATACATCTCATTAGCCATTGTCAACCTCAAGATGCAAAAAAGTATAAAATTGCATACCTGCTCAAGACCTGGAATCTCAGATAACGCCGATTCGATTTTCCAAGGGTTGATATTCTCGCCTCCTCGAATTATCAAGTCATTGTATCGACCAAGGATGTAGACAACTCCCTTGTCATCAATCATGGCTTGATCTCCCGTCTTTAGCCACCTTCCCGACTTGTCATTATAGAATTTCTCTTCGTCATCATGAACACCGCCAAAATAGTCATGTATTACCGACGAGCCAGAGATGTGGAGCTCTCCAACTTGCATTCGAGAGAGCACTTCTCGGCCGCCAGGGCGACAAACTCGAACTGCAGCTCCAGAGAGGACTTTTCCAACCCCTGGATGATATCCATCTACAAGCATATCATCTTGGCGCGACCAACTTATGATTGGTGCTCCTTCACTCATTCCGTACGCTTGTATAGCATCTCGCGAACCGAGCCCATCTTTGCAGAGACGCACATGCTCTGGCCCAACCATTGTCCCTGAAATCGAGACAATAGACAGGTTCAGTTCCCGGGGACTTGGAAAGGAGCCATGAGACAGCAGGGCCTTGACCAGAGTTGGCGTGGCTGACATGACAGTGCACTTCTCCTCCACCAAGGCCCTCAGCGTGGCGTCAATATGGAAAGACTTTGCGGCGAAGACAACTGTGTGGGCGTGCCGCCACGCACGAAGCGCGTTGTTGATGGCAAAGACATGGCACACCGGCGTGTGGACCAGCCAGCGGTCGACAAACGACGGGTCGACGTTGGGATCGTAGTTGTAGGTCTGCGACACCAGGTTGCGGCTTGTGAGAGGGCATCCCTTGGGCTTCCCGGTGGTTCCACTCGTGAAGACAATGAGGGCGGGATCGTCACCGTCCCTCCCGCGCATTCCGTTGGCTCGGGGCGGTCCTTGATCGTCGTCTGTGTCACCAGGCCACTGATCCCCCTGAAATGAGGAATCCCGAGCCAGGAGGTCGTCGAGGCTCGTCCAGCCATCGGCCGTGCCACTCCTCCCGCAATGGATACGGAGGACCATATTCGGGAGACTAACGTTTTGCTTGGTCAGGTGCGCCGCCGTGTCTGCATCCTGGACCACCAGTACCCGCGGTGTGGTTGACTCCAGCATATAAGCAAAGTCATCTGTCGCACGAGCGTCGATGGGGATGAATGTGGCCCTGGTCTTGGCGCAGGCCCAGAAGAAGAGGCCCCATTCTGCGCAGTTCCAAAGGACTACGGCGATGTGCATGCCGGGGCCAACGCCCAGCTTCTCTAGAGTGGCGGCCAGACGCTCAGCTTTGTCCCGGAGGTTTCCATACGACCATCTGAGACATTGCGATTGCGCGATCGGACTGGCATCTTCCAATGATTGGGTAGCATCTGCAGGCTGCCAGAGAGAGACTATTGCTTCTCTGTCAGGGTGAGCAGAGGCTGTTGCTGCGAGAATATCCCAGACTTGCTGATCGAGATCTGAGAGGAGCTCCCCGTGGATCTCTGCAATGGCGGCGCCAGAGGGGGATGTGAATTTGTTATCATGGGAGGCCATCCTGAACTTGTTTGGTTGAGTAGTTGAATTATAAAATAACAGGTGATATTTCAGGGGGCAAAGATAAACAGTGTCTTGACGTCAAAATTGTCAGATCAACAAGATATATATAACCCAGTTGACAATAGTTAAAAGACCATGTGATGGAGAGCCAAGATATTGAGAGCATTTTGGATTGTCCGAAAACTTGCTTCTTTACCCCTTATCTTCTAAACTTATCTTTCAAGGCAACCATTTGGTACTCATCCTACAAGATAACTTTCTGTAACGATCGTGAGCGAAGCCGTTTCATGCTCTTCATTAGCTTGGGGGCCTAACGCACATTTGATCCACCTTGCAGATGTTGGTTGAGACATGCTGCACCTTTTGTAATACAAGAGCCGGCAGCTCTCCTATGATTTGCCCAGCACGGCGCCACTCGCCCTGGCAGCGAACCGAATAGAATCTTTATATGAGGTGGCACCATAATGCCAAGTACCGGCAAGCAGCGTATGCAATTTTAAGACAGGTGATCTAATACGGCGTAGGCGTATGGCTGAAATCTCGACGGCGAGTCGGAAAGGGGGGGCTGGCAGTAGTAGTTGGATGTACTCGTGGCTGACTTGTGCGAGGTGAGAATAAATAAGCTCTTGGGGGCATGAATTGTTGGTCCGAAGTTGCACACATCTCAAATGTCTGAGACTATCTGCAGCCGTGAAAAAAAAAAAAAAAGTCTAGATGGTGCTGGCATACCCCATTTCCTTGCGGGCAAGTCAATGTTCGCTTGACATCCAATCCATTTTGACTTGATTTAAACTTGAACTGGGGTCTACCATGTTTGCATGAGGTGGTCCAAGGTATCATTTCAGGTTGTTAGCGAAGATTTGTTGATAAGTAGAGGTAATACAAGCAGTGGGGAGCCTTCAGCCGATACATGACATGAGCGTAACGTAGCAATTAAACAGAAGCCAGTACAGAAGGGAAGGATGAGCACCGCCTCATCTTTGTCTCGAAGGATGCCGTCCTATTTTTACCTTGATACAAAGTAGATAAGCCTTTTGTACAGAAGATTTGGGCCAAAATTACTTGGTAGCATTCAACAATATCGTCTAACCAGACTTGACTGTTTTACTGGTGATGGAAGCAATTTTTCTGGGAGATACACTGACAAATACGTGAACAACTCACATATTGTCCTCTCAGGCTGTGAATACGACATGTACTATGTCATTGAGAAACGCAACTCTGATCCAATTCTCCCCAGCCGTGTCTCGAGTGGTTGCATCTCGTAATGTCTTCACGTCACTCACACCAGCAGAATCCTCCCCCATTGGCTCCACGTTGCTGCGGCTAACCACTTCGGCGCGGTAATTCCCGGGATAAAAGGAATTGCCTATGCCGGATATCTGCTTTTCCTCCACGCTGTCGGCGTGCGAGGCCACCGTCGGATCGGCGCTGAGCCATCTGAGCAGCACGATCCTGTACGGGTGCGAGACATACAGCTGTCAGGATCTCAGCCCATCCCAGTCTTGCATGCTGTAATTAGGCAGTGGATAATAAATGCTGTGTGTGACTGCATAGTGCGGAGGGAGGCTAGCGGTCCAGATAATATATTTCTCCCCCAAGAGCTGGCCGGATTTGGATTCAGGGGGTGCTGTCGAGTGTTGATTAAAATGACTGATCACAAATCCGTCAAATCCTTTTTCTCCTCTGTCATAAGATTCTATTATTATACACCTTGACTGCGGATGGAAGCCAATAGCGGAACTTCTACGCGTCAAAATGGGCTTCCGTACATACTTAGCTGCTGCGCCCAAAAGTTGCACAGCAGAAGGCAGGAACACGAGCAGGAAACTATCGATATTATTCGGTCCTATGCGTGCAGAGCTTTTGCCTACATATATTGGTGAAACACACCTTTCCTAGAAGTGCTGTGACGTATGTGAAGGGGCATAGAGCTAGCCCCTTTTCCCGAACTCTTGCGTCCGTAGTTGGATGCCAGGACCCATGTGCTCCCGAAACTCTGCACCGGCCCCCATGACTTGACTTTGTTTCTTAGGCAGACGTGTATGTTAGATGATAAAGTACCTATTGTATGTACCGCCGTAGATCGAGTATCAATGTGGGCCCCTGATCTGAAAGATGGAAACGCTCTACTTTGAGATGGGTCTAACTGAAGAACCATGATACTTCATCTTTGCACACCAGGACACGCCAGAGAGGCAGCTAATATTATTGAATCCTGGGACTTCAATAAAGAATCATGAGCAATGTCTTCTCTCTCTGATAGTCGATGTCTAATACTTTGTCTTTTCTCCCTTGTCGTCACTTACACTCTTCGCCATATAAGCCATCAAATCCACCAGCGCCAAGTTTCACAAGCAAAAGGCTGCAAAGATGCTCAATCCAAAGCCCCAGTCAAGGACCGATTCATCGGACTTGACTTTATCTATGATTGCCTCTTCACAAAGCCTATCGAAAAGTACCTCGATTACACCTATAAGACGTTCCAACAGCTGGGATCTACCTACGTGTGCCAAAGATGGACATGGGAGGCGACCTATACATGTGACAGCCGGAATATTAAACACATCCTGGCTTCTGGCTTCGCTGAATTCAAGCTTCCCCGCCTTCGGGTCAATGCCATGATGGGGCTTCTCGGAAGCGGCATCTTTACCCTGAACGGACACTCGTGGTCACATGCCAGAGCTGTCTTGCGACCTTGCTTCGCAAAGCAAAACAAAGAAGACATGGTTAGCATGCTCGAAACGCACTTCCAGGCCCTGCTTAGAAGAATCCCTCTTGGTGGGGAGACTGTTGATGTACAGCCGCTCTTCTTTTGGCTTACCATGGACTTTGCGACACATTTCCTCATGGGCCACTCGACGCATGTGCTTGATCGCGCATCGAGCCATGCCAAAGAGAAGCAGTTTGTAGATGACTACTTGACATGCTCGACGGAGATTGTTAGGAAGATGCAACTCGGTCCACTTCAAATATTCTCCTTCAATTTTGGGGCGATGAGGGCACGGAGCCGTGTGTTCAAATACATTGACGATTTCATCAGCGTGTCTCTGGATAAAGAAGGAGAAAATGATGACGCTACGAATTCTGGACTCAATGTTCTACAAGGTTTAGCAGCCCTGACAACAGATCGGAAGCAGCTGAGAGATCAGATCCTCCATATACTCGTTGCAAGTCGAGATACTACGGCTTGTCTCCTGAGCAATTTGTTTTTTGTCTTGTCTAGGAAGCCACATGTCTACGAAAGGTTGAGGCAAGAAGTTCTTTCAGTCGCAGGTACGGAACCAGCGACAAGCAATCAGCTGAATAGCATGGAGTATCTGAAGTGGTGTGTTCAAGAATGTAAGTCAAGAGTACACAATTCACCACCGACATCATTTAGCTGACTTTGTTCAAAGCTTTGAGACTCCATCCTGTAATCCCGACCAATGCTCGCGAGGCCTCCAAAGACACGATTCTCCCATATGGCGGTGGCAAAGACGGCAATTCACCTCTTCTCATCAAGAAAGGAAGTCTTGTCATGTATAATACCTACGCCATGCATCGAGATACAGAGGTTTTTGGACCTGATGCTGAAGAATTCGTGCCCGAGCGGTGGAATGGACTCAGACCAGGCTGGGGATATCTGCCATTTAACGGCGGACCGCGAATCTGTATCGGCCGTAAGTAGCCCAAGAGCCTTGAAGAGTGTAATGAATACTAACCCTCTGGCACAGAAAAGTTTGCGCTCTTGGAAACTCATTATTTAGTATCGAGAATGGTACAGACTTTTGAGACGATAAAGACGAATAAAGATACAGAATGGGTCGAGCTCTATGCCCTTGCAACAACTTGCAAGGATGGAGTAAACGTCAGCCTTAAAAGAGCTTAATTTGCGCCCGTATCTCTTTAATAGATGTCAGTATGGCGTTTAGATGATTGGGGGTTTTTATAAGCTATGCGAGATATACTTATTTGTCTTTGAGGATGTCGGAATGTATCAGGTGAGTTCTCTGTAGATCGTTATCGATGATTTCGTACCTGTCGAGGAGATTATAATGTATGATATGCTATTCAAAGCTTCCATCTAATAATACATTTTAAATAATTTGAATCAAGATGTGTTTGGAAAACAACCGCTTTCTTATTCTTCACGCCTGCTCTACACTACATGTAGTAGCAACAGCGCGTAACTTGCAATCTGTTTCCAACTTTGGACTTAATCAAACAATTCATTCAGTTTCTAATTTTACCAAGACTACTCTTATGCCCGATTTTACCATTGCCCTCAAATCAATCTGCAGCACATCATCATTTTTGCCCCGCCTCTTTAAGCGTTCAAGGACCTCGCTGTGTGTGTTAGTGGCTGTCCCTCTTCAACGTTACATCGTCGAGGTTTAAGTTACCATCATCAAGCAGATCTACCAAGAAGCCAGAAAGACGGTTGTTTGGCTTGGCCCAGAGAATGGAGATACTGCGAGGGCCTTTGAACTAATACCATACCCCATGGTGGTCTTCAGGGACGCGTTTCAGGGAATGCCACGCCCGATCAGTTATGATCTTAATGTTTTAAGGCACCCAGCTATACCGAGAGTGTATCAACAATTCCAATTGTTCGAATCCTTTATGCAATTGGAACAACGCCCATACTTCTCTAGAGTCTGGATCATTCAAGAACTTGCCGTGTCACAGGACAAGGTTGTAATATTTCGGGGAGAGCACAGCGTGTCCTGGGAATAATACCTCATAGCCACATGGAAGTTTGCTTGTTTACAAATTCAGAAACCGAACAGAGACAAACCTTGCAAAGTCATATATACAGAGGGATGGTAACCTTGATATACTCGGTATGTCCAACCCGGCGCAAACATTGCAGAATTGCCTTCCTGGGTGCCCAATTGGACGAACTAAGGAGAGATACTGATAAATTTACAGACTCTAATTATGTCCGGCATTTCTTTTAATCACCATGCTGGAGGCGATGACGATTGCAGAACTAGCGTGTCAATAGACGGAATGACTTTGAATGGCAAAGGTGTTGTTTTTGACCAGGTTACAAAACTGTCGGGGTTACTTGGCGAAGCATGGGGTGACAACTGCTGCAATTCTCACATCTTGGAAAAAATTGCAGGACTAGTTGACAAGAGTGATTACATTGCCGGAGGTACAGCCTTGGACGCCCTTTTCATCACGCAACTTGCCGGGTGCCCCAAACCTGTCTATGATAAGTAACAAAGAAGACTTTATGAAGTATGGGAGGAAGCAAAAAGGCATCCTTCAGAAAAGGGAATCCGTGGCTCTGTTACTATCTCAACCGTGGAAGGCCAACAGGAAAAGAGGATCAACGTAAGACCAGTGGATGTCAGGGAAACGGGAGAGACTGAAGCACTTCTAACGGTAAGCCTTAAGTACGCTTTGAAAAGGCGATTTGCAACAACTCGCAAGGGCTATTACGCGTTGGTGCCGGAGAAGTCTTCTGTTGGAGACACAATTGCCATTTTGAAGGGGGGAAACTACCCATCTGTCTTGCATGCTCAGAGGCAAAACTGGAGCCTTGTGGGGGAATGTTATGTGCATGGAGTAATGAATGGAGAGGCATTTGATGAATCTGTTTGTGAAAGTCTGGCAATAGTTTGGTTAATCTCTTTAAAAAGGGGAAGATGATTTCATAAAACCGTTCTCGGACTGAAACATGCATGCATGTTGGCTGTTGGCAGCAGCTACTGGCTCGTTTTCATGATATATTAGCGAGGATACTTTTATTCGTGTTGCATTCAAGGCTAAACAGAGTTTGAGCCAGATTTTGTGCGCAAAAATGACTTTATCTATGAATGGGACTTAAAATACTAGTACAACTCTTTAGTATTACAGATGGGAATAGTCATGTAAACGTTGCAGTATCATGAATACTATCCAAGACTAAAGGTCCATCTCCGAGCTCGTAGAATCTCTAGCCAATCCGTTTGAATCCCATTCTGCAATCGTTCTTTCCAGACAACTCGAAGTACCTCTTCTACAGAGACTACATTCATCATCTTGCTGGCCTCCCTAATGCTTTTGAGTTTTGCTGCACACAGTACCATGTCCGCCTCAGAATTCAGCTCAGCACCAGCCAAGAATAGAACCGGGGTCAAAACAGACACTACCGCGCTGGTCGGGGTTATTCTGAAACCAGTACAGATGATCTGTGATGCTATATGTGGTAAACAATAAGATCGGCTGGGACATCGCCGATAGAGCAGGATCTGCGCGGCAAGACGATGACATTCAGCAAGGGCAATCAGATCCAAGCGGGTATTGAGATCCAAATTCGATGCCATTTCTTTATCGTACTGCCAATTTGAAAGATCAGTTTCAAGTTTGAGCAATTCAGGAGCATCCATGTCCTGCGAGTCTCGACTGGGGAGATCTCGCAGCTGAGTGATGATGTCGAACAAATCCCGGGACAAGCCAAGGAGGCAATCAACGCCTTGAGAGATGTTCTCGCTCTGAAAAAGCTCTGGAGAGACAGGTGTCGTGACCATGGCCTGGTCCAACGCATCTTGTGCTTGTGGTGCCGGGAGAGTTGCAGCGCAGTCTCTAAAAGGACCGCTTCTATTCGACAGATTCGCCCGCGTGTCTGGGTCCAGCACATCCTCCATTATGAGGGCCATCACATCATGATATAAAAAGTGCCTGTGAACACAATCAATCTCCCACGCACTCCACCTTTTCGCCGTAGCTGTTGAGTAGGTCTGAAGCAATTGCCGTACACAATTGACCCGTTGCATCCACCTCAGACTTCGGCCTCCCGTCTGAGCCTCCAACCCAATCAAGAGCAAGAGGATTACAACAACTTCGAGTTTGTATTCTCCCGATCCTGAGTGTTCGGGTCGCTCCGTATGTTCTGTTATGAAGTCGCGCGCTCGTTGCTGGCGCTGGATGGCCACTGAGTTGAGCTCTCGAGTCTTTTCCGGTCCACGCACCGACTTTGCAAGATGAGCCGCAGCACAGGCTACGATAGCGTCCATGACTCCGACGCAATGGAAGGCCATGGGAATGTATAGAGATGTGAAGAAGTTTGATGATGACTGAACGACGGTTACTTGAGGGATGAAGGTATGTATATAGTAAGTTAACAAGTGGCGCTCGAGAGAAGCTTTAGTAGGGCTGGATGGACGCCCAGGTATCGCATCTATGGGCAAACTCCTGGGAATACTTTCATTTGTAGTCGTAAATGCTGTGGGATATGCATCAGCTACAAAATTAACACCGGCGTAGTTGGTCTGAGAACCGGGGAATTCCAAATTCGAGCGAGTTGTAGTCGCCACATCCCGATTTCTCAGAGCCTTTGCGCTACTACTACAATCTGAAATCTGAAGCTTGTCTGGCCATCGACATTCTGCATTAAGGCGAGTGCAATTGCGACAAACAGGATGATGAGCGTCGCAACGCTTCCGGCGAGCACGGCAGGTGAGGCAGCCTTGACGGCTTCGCGGAGCATAGCGTCTCTGTCGCTGCTGAGGAATCTCCTCTTGCTCTGGAGTATGAGCGCCGGCATCAAGGGCTGGAGTGAGATGGGCCACGTGTGAGGTGGTGGTTTCTGGAGTTTGCAGGAATGCATCGCATTCGGACTGCAGATTGAAGTCCCCTTCGATATCAAACAGGCCAAAGAGATCAGGGATGTCCATGGCTATCGGTTTTGGAGATCTAGAACAATCGCTATGGAGAGAAATTGTTCGAATCTTCGTAGTAAACTGCATGTGGATATGAGGATATAAGCGGAGGCAAGGCGTCTTGGGCGTTTACGGCGTTTACGGCGCGGTGCCAATAAGATCTGGCACTGTGAAAGTTGGTCCCCGATACTTGTTGTTCTGAGATTGGCTTGAATGGCTGGTGGTATGGCATACGCAAACAATGAAACAAAAGCTTGATTTGTTTCCTACCAGTCGTTTGAAGAGTTCCTGCAGCATCACTCACGATCCGCACAAAGAGTGTATTTCCATGGCGCTCCTTGACACCGCCTACATATGTTTCGATAACATCCATGAATCGGATATCCCGAAGCATCAATCTTTGACAGATGTAATCGATCAAGGGCGCAAATTGACATGACATGACTAGGCCGCTCTACACGCCGCTAACGCCGTATTCGAATCGGAGATGGATACTGCGTGTAATGATTGATATTATGTTTCCGTAAGGAAGCTACAAGTTAATACCAAATGGATTCAATGTTCTCAGGCTTCTTTCGACTCTACGCTCTGTAGTAAAAGAGAATGGTTGTCCCGTTTGTGATTTGCATATGAGCGCCTGAACTTTTGCATTCACTCGCCGAAACAGCATAAACGACATACCCCGTGCCGACTAAAATCGACCCAGAATGAGTGAAACCGGCTCCGGCTACAAAGAGAATCTTTATTCTATTGATCCAAATGAAACTACAACTGCCGTGTCACAAGACGACAGACATGACGATGTGAAGCAAGGCTTTGACACCGGCGTCAAGGCTTGGCTACAAGTGCTCGGTTCTTTTTTCCTCTATTTCAATTCATGGTGAGACTATACAATCAATAGACAACAACTTTGACTCACGACTTCATGTCTAGGGGAATCATTAACGCCTTTGGAGTGTTCGAAACGTACTATGAACAACATATTCTATCCCATCAGTCGCCATCATCGATTGCTTGGATCGGATCGGTTCAATCAGCCTTGCTCATGGTAGTCGGCGTCGTCAGTGGCCCGCTCTTTGACGCAGGATACTTTTATGCGCTTTTACCAACCGGCACTTTTCTCGTTGTGCTTGGGATGATGATGACGAGCCTCTCTACAAAATACTATCAGATCATGCTGGCACAGGGTATCTGTGTTGGTATTGGGGCCGGCTTCTTGTTCGTCCCATCAGTTGCGCTTCTGCCGCAATATTTTCACAAGAGACGAGCTTTGGCAAATGGCGTTGCTGCATCGGGCAGCAGTATTGGCGGAGTCCTCATCCCCATCATGTTTCGGCAACTCGAAATAAGGATAGGATTCCCTTGGGCGACCCGCGTCATCGCCTTTCTTTCTCTATCAACTTGCGCTATTTCGATTGGTGTCATGCGACAGCGCTTCAGACCAAAGGAGAAGAGAGCCCTGCTGCAGCTTTCTGCATTCAGAGAAGCTCAGTATTCGCTCTTTTGTTTGGCCTGCTTTTTAGGCTTCCTGGGTTTCTACAACTTCTTAGTATATGTGCAGCCGTTTGCAATTGATGCCGGGATTGTGGATGCTAATCTGGGATTCTATCTTCTTGCCATCTTGAATGCTACGTCAACATTTGGCCGCTTCGGCCCAAATTTTGTTGCCGACTATATCGGTTCACTCAACGTTCTCTGTCCGGCATTGACCATTACGGCTGTTTTAGCATATTGCTGGATTGCTGTAAACAGCACGTCGGCAATTATCGCGCTTTCGGCGTTATACGGCTTCTTTTCGGGAGGGTTTGTGTCTTTGATAGCGGTGGTCATGATGGAGATCACTCCAGACATCAGCACGCTAGGAACTCGGCTGGGTATGTGCTTTGCGCTTGAGTCCATTGGGCTACTTATCGGAACTCCAATTGGAGGGACCATAATCAGCCGTACTGGGTCGTATCTTGGCGTGCAGTTGTTCTGTGGCTCATGTCTTGCTGCCTGTGCTGTAATTCTCATCACCATTCGGCTGCTGCGGAGTGGGCCGACACTTATGTACAAGACATAATGTCTCCGTCTCGGAAGCGCTTCATGTAGACATTTTAATAGAATAAAAGTCATCAACTACCAATAGATATCCATTATGTTTATCTGCAGTCGTAATGTCAAGGTGTAAAAAGCCCACCCTTTGGAAGTTCCCGGCCGCTGCTCTAGGTTGGTTTATTGTACCTTTGTAGTGATAACGCCAATAGAGACAACAATCAAATTACAAGAAAGGATTCCGCACTGTAACTTATGGTTTAAAACTTCATCGTATGTACACAGTATTTACCCAGAGCGTACGAGAAAAGTATCTCTGATGTTCGCTGGTGCTCTTCTGTGCTTATGATGTTGGCGCGGGTAGTAGTCTTGATTTAGACTGTACTCACAATTAAGTTCAGCGGTTTTCCACACCCATCAGGTTATGCGATCCATAGTAACTGACATCTTTTTTTTTTCTCTCGTATACATAAAAAAATATATGCAATAATTCTATAAGATCATTGGGGCCGAATCTCAAGTCGTCGTTGTATAGGTACATGTACACAAAGCTCCAAGATTCAAGTCGGCTATATGATGCAAGGACTCCACTTGAACCAGATTCTAGTAGCCGAGAGCCACCGCCGCCGTCATTAAGCCCTCGGAGTAATCTAATGACGGTTTACATACATTTAATAACTTCATTTATGAGATGGGCTGAAACATTTTTACAAGCCTACCAAGAGCTGAAAAGATGCCAATCGAATCAATGCCGGCGTTGACTTGACCGGCTTAAACGCATCATGGCTTGTTCTGTAAACTCGCGATATTGGCCATTAAGCCGCTGGTTAACAAGCTCTTATAAAACAACATGTCGTGCCATCGCTATCAGAGCTAGCCACAGGCCATTTTCATCAACCTCTCATAACAGTCTCATGGAAACAACGGGCTTCACCGAGACTCAGCTTACGGTCCGCCAAGCAGTCAGCGAAGTCTGCTCCAACTTCCCCAATACATACTGGCGAGAGCACGACCAGAATGAGCAAGATCCCAAGGAATTCCATGCGGCTCTGGCACGAGGCGGATGGCTAGGCATTGCCCTCCCAGAGAATCTCGGAGGCTCTGGCCTGGGCATCTCTGAAGCCACGATGATGATGCAGACAGTTGCCGAGTCTGGCGCTGGAATGGCCGGTGCGCAGTCTATCCACGCAAATGTCTATGCAACGCAGCCACTGGCAAAGTTTGAAACGGACGAGCAGCTGCGGGAAACAATCCCGGGAATCATCTCGGGAAAATGGCGGACGTGCTTTGGTGTAACGGAGCCGAATGCCGGACTAGATACACTGCGGCTGTCCACCATGGCGAAGCGAGAGGGCGACGAGTATGTCATTTCGGGACAAAAGATTTGGACAACGTGCGGGCAGGTAGCATCCAAGATGATTCTATTGGCCCGGACTACGCCGTATGAGGAGGCACAGAGACCCAGTGAGGGCCTTTCACTCTTCTGCATCGACTTGGACCGTACTCAGCCCAGCTTATCAATGCGGAAGATTAAGAAAATGGGCGGCAGAGCCGTCGATGCCAATGAAGTCTTTTTCGACAACTACCGTACTCCTGCCAATACTCTGATTGGGAAAGAAGGCCAAGGCTTCAAGATTGTTCTTCACGGCATGAACGCTGAGAGGTGTCTCTTGGCAGGAGAGGCTCTCGGCCTAGGCTATGCGGCGTTGACTCGAGCCGCATCGTATGCCCGCGAGAGAATCGTCTTTCAGCGCCCCATTGGCATGAATCAGGGTGTTGCGCATCCCCTGGCCGATGCGTATATGCACTTGGAGGCAGCCAAGCTGGCAACTTACCACGCAGCGAGGCTGTATGATGCGAGCAAGACAGACTCATCCATCACACAGAAGGCTATTGGTGTAGCAGCTAATAGTGCAAAGTATCTCGCTGCAGAGGCTGCTTTTGTGGCTTGCGAGAGAGCGGTGCTGGCTCATGGAGGGATGGGATATGCCGCTGAGTATGATGTAGAGCGGTGGTTTAGAGAGTGCCTGGTGCCACGACTTGCGCCGGTGAGTAGGGAGATGATTTTGAATTATGTTGGAGAAAAGGCTCTTGGGCTACCAAAGAGCTATTAATCACATGGCTTGGGTTTATTGGTAATGGCGAAGCATTTACTTTGAAGTGTGTAGATACGCAAGCCACGGACTTGTACGAAGTATTAGAGGGTGAACGTGAAAGTGATATCCTTCGGGCTCAAATGGTACTCTTCAACGAGATTCGAATCACATGTAAATTAGAAGCATAACTGTATAGTCTATATATAGCTATTATTAATAAAGACAACTTGAAATGGCTCATTGGCTAAATCAAAGCAGCAAGAGATGATACACGTAAATCGGCCGGGACAAGCACTTGACCCCACTAAAGGCCGACGCCGTTTATATCCTCCACCAGCCCGTAGCCGGGCTCGGCAACTCCCAAAACTAACATGAACACAAATCTCGCAGACCAATAAGTCCAGATCCCACATGCCTCCCAATCGCGGCTTTTCAACACCAACATGGGCTCCTCGAAACTCACGCCTTCGCCATCCCCGGCCAAGGGAGACGCCAAAAAGTCGCGGGCCAAGCACGCATGTCGCGAGTGCAACATCCGCCGAGTGCGCTGCGATGTGACGGAGAAGCAGCCGTGCTCAAACTGCCTGGCCGCGGGGGCGAGTTGCGAGATTCTGCCCTCGCGCAGAGGAAGGTATAATTAATTCAGTTTTATATATCCATTCTCGTATTTTGTTTTTTGATTTTAACAGATTGAATAATGGGTATGTAACTGACAGCCCTCCAGATACCCTCGGAGATCTCGCCGGCTACTACAGCACTTTCAGCCTCCAATTGAAGCCGGCAGCTCTCTCAGAGCGTATCCAACTCCCTTTGATGCGCCGCCTCCCAGAGATTCAATGCAGGATGCTTCCAATCTACGAAACAATGCGCCTCAGGACTCTGAGGACTCTCAGGGCCAGGAAGTTGAGGAATCTTCACCGAGTCCGGTGCCGGGCACTCGTTTCTACGGCGAATCAAGCTTTCTCACTCTCGTTCCCAGCGACGAGGAGGAAATTTCCAGTCGGTCTTACGCCTCGAGAGGCAACAACGCCAATAGCCATAAACAGCGCTTCACATTTCCCCTGCCGGCCACGCCACAGTCGACTTCTCAGACCACCGAGGGCCGTACCGATCTCAGTCCCGGGACAATGCGCTATCTGCGCAACGAGGGCGCATTAACACTCCCGGATCTTCAGAGCTGTCTGCCAGCCTTGGAAGCGTACTTTAACTGGTTTCATCCGAGCTGGCCCCTTCTAGATAGAGCGCAGATAGCGCGACGACTGGCAAATGCCACTTCCTTCTCGTCGGTAGATATATCCCGGATGCTGTTGCAGGCAATGCTCTTCATCGGCGCGACGTACTGTGACGCAGCAACCATCCGAGCCATGGGGTTCGAAGACAGATATCAGGCCAAGACGACATTCTACACAAGAACCAGGATGCTCTTCCACGCCGATTGGGAAAAGGACGAAACGGTGCTGATCCAGTCGCTGTTCTTGATGAGCTTCTGGAGAGGAGCGCCAACGGATGTGAGAGATGTGCGGTACTGGCTTGGAATTGCAATTACGCTTGCTGAATCGTATGGATTCCATCGCTCGTAAGTCTCACTTGTTCATTTCCAGTGAAAGTTGATCAACAGAATACGGATACTCACATCATTTAAAGATCCCGCTCCATGTCCAAAGACTCACACACAGCTCGAATGAGACGAAGAATCTGGTGGACAGTCTACGTAAGGGAGCGACAAGCAGCAGCGTCTTTGGGACTTCCCAGCAGAATAAGAGACGAAGACTGTGACATTGAGCCGCTCAGCCCATCAGACTGGGAAACAGACAACAGTGGCCCCGACTCTCCCTTTGGCTCGTGTCTACCGGAGCACGTTACATACGCAATCAAGATGGTCGAAATTGCCAAGTTACGTGAGTAACATTTTACCTTGTCCCCCATTTGCATCCTATGGACGATTAGAAGAGTACTTGAGCTAAAAACACATGTTTTTTCAGTGGGAAAAATCATTGATGTTCATTTCGTCCCTGGCAACGCTTCACTATCTGTGACTTCATCAAACACTCTTCGAGATCTCAACATCTCTCTTGAAGCTTGGAGAGAAAGTCTCCCAGAACACATCAAATACTCTCCAGAGGAAGGCTCTGATTCTGTATGGACATGTCTCCTTCATCTCGCATATAAGTAAAGAAGATTCACTGTTCGCATGTTTTGTCAGACTCACCTCGCTAACCTGTGTATATCTAGCCATCTCAAGATCCTGATACACAGGAACAGCTTCCTGCGCCTTGAGTCTACCACGCCTGGCTCGCAAATTGTCCTTAAAGCGGCTTGTCGTATCAGCCGCATTGCCGAAGACATGTGTACTCAAGGGATACTCCGTTACGGACAAATGCATCTGTAAGTTCGCCTTCTAAACGTACGACAACTTTTTTTCACTCTAACGCCGTTTGGTAGCATCACAAGCATCTTTTCTGCTCTTTGCATCCACACCATTACAATCCGCCGAGGCACCGGTCTTACGAGACGCCTTGCCGAACATCGCGCCGAAACATGCCTCCTTTGCTTGAAAGAAGTCCAAAAGTACTGGCGCATCAACAACAACACGCTCGATCTCTTCTTACAGTACCTCGACCGCTCCATCGCCGCCAGACTACACGGCATGCAGCCCGATGCCCCCGTCCCCCCTTTCCCAAGTGCTAGCAAAGACGCAAGCGACCTAAAACCCAACACAGCCATGGACACCTCAGCCGCAGACGCGAATCTGCGCTCAAGCCCCCACGCTGAATACGACTCTGCGCCAGCCTATGATATTACGATACCAAATCTCGGGCCGGGGCATTACCTAGCGGTGGAAGAGTTCCAGGAGCAGTATTTTAACCTCATCAGCCAGGGGGATGACGGGTTAAGCGATTTGCAGCTGTTTTTACAGGGAGAGGATTTCTCTCAGGCAGGGAATGGATCGAATTTGTTGGAAAGATGACTGTGATACCCCAAATCTGTGGCGATGACTCAAACCAGAAAACGTCAGCATATTCAAAAGGTGGATGTTTAGAGATGCTCGATTTTAATGTGGTAATATATTTGCATTCATCTCTTTATTAGAGTCCGGCCAACTGCCTCGAGATGTAGACAAGACGCTACAACCACTACATATAACCATAAATTCGAAGATTCATACTCATCCAAAACTCGTAACGCTCAGCCATACTTTGGCTATTCATTCAACTATACCAAAATTAAGAAATATCAAGACAAACAAAACTTCAAACATCCATTACAAAAACCATCTGAACTCAGGGGCGCTGGGACCATCCCTCAGTCGTGAAGTGGGAATATCACGAGGATCAATCTTAACACCCTGCTGGCGATCACGTCTCTTGTTGTCCCAAATCATAAACAGGCCCATGCAGAGAGCAATGAGCGCGCCAGCAGCACCAAAGCAAGCCGTAGTGATGAGCGCAGGCTCATATCGAGGGGCGTCTTGGGTTCGGAAAATGTTGCTGGAAACAAGACCCATGACGTTGGCGAGAGGCACACCGACAGAAGTAAGAGTGATACGACGGCCTTCGTGAGCAATGTTGTTGTTATACCAAGTAGAGAGGAGGACGGAGGGAGCTGAAGTGCCCCAGCACATCATGAACGTGGCAAAGTAGGCAACGTGCAGCTGCTTGGTGACGTCGTCGATGGATGCATAGATGATGAAGCCGATAAAGGACAGCAAGAAGCCGAGCACGATAAAGGGGAAACGCAGGCGCGTGAAATCCGAGGCAAAGGCCAAGACGAGAAGCATGACGGCGCCGGTGACGTTGGGGGCAACGGTATACAAGTTCGTCTTGACGGTGGAAAACTGGAGTCGCGCAATGATCTGGGGCAAGAAGAGTGAGACGGACTGGATGGGCACGCCGAGGCAGATTTCGATGAGCAGGAAGCCATAAGCCCAGGGCTTGGTGAAGATCTTGATGGCGTCCTTGAAGTCGAACTTCTCCGAGACCTCGGAGGAGGAATCGACCTGGATACGGTGAAAGGCCAGGGAGCGCTGCTCTTCGGTGAGGAACTTGGCCTCGGAGGCGCTGCGGGGCAGATAGAAGTAGGCAAAGATGGCAAAGAGGAAAGTGACGCCGCCCTCGATGATGAAGAGGTAGCGCCAGACAAAGATCTTGCTGTCCTTGATGTGGAAAACGCCAAACGCGAGCAGGCCAGAGAAGGCGTTGGCAATGTTGGACGCGGCGTAGAAGATGGCCAGGCGACGGGCGAGCTCGCCACGGCGGTAAAAGGTGGTCAGGTAGTAGATGACGGTGGGGAAGAAGGCGGACTCGGCCATTCCCAGGAACCAGCGGACGGCGAAGATGCCGCCAAAGTTTTGCGTGGCGGCCGTGCAAAGCGTCATGGAGCCAAAGGTGAGCATCATGAGAGGCAGGGCGCGAGAAGCTCCGAATTTCTTGGCGAGCATGGCGAAGGGGGGAGCGAAGATGACGTAGGGGACGAAGAAGATGGAGACGACGAGGTTGTACTGGTTGGGCTTGAAGTGAAGATCTATACCAATGAGGCCGATGCGTTAGTTTTTGGTGTTTTTCTTATAATTTGATACCATCACAAGATAGGGGGAGGATGCGTACCGGTGCTGAGGCCTTTGGTCTGGGCGTTGCCCAAGTTTCCTTTGTCGAGTGCATTGAAGAGGTCTGTAATAAGGACAAGTCAGTAACCCATACTTTGATGATAGTAGTGTTTGGAAGAGAGACGAAACGATCTCGAAGAAACGCGTCGAGCATTACATGAGAAGCATAGGCTGACTTACACATCAGGGCCAGGATGGGCAGGATCCGGATATCAAACTTGAAGCACAGAGCACGCTCGGCGGGATGGTCGACGACGCGCGCAGTCTCTTCCATGAAGCCATCTTTCTGGCTTTCCACTTGGTCGAGATGGTCGGTGCCCATGTCCTTGGACACGGTGTTGTCGACGTCCTGAGACCCCATGATGGCGACGGCTTGCTTGTTCTTCTATATGTCTTTTTTCTACTTCCTTTTCGCAATGGATGGCGTGAGAGATGTAAAGAAGCAAACAGGTATACAAGACGATGGTCGTCTGTGATGAAGAGAGGAGGAGGGAGGAGGAGGAAGATCGGCAGAGGCAAAGAGTTGCCAAGTTGGGGTCGCAGCCCGGGAGCTTCTTATAAAAAAAGCTGATGAGTAGCAAGGCAACTCTCACACCGACCAGGGATGCTAAGACCGCCCAGGAATTCAGCTACTAGTAATAGTTGCCTTTTCCAAGCTAAGCGTAATATTGATAAAATGTGAAGGCTGACAGGGCAAACAGCTAGAAGACCGTTGAGAAAAAAAAAGCGCCCGAGCTTCCTGGCTGATGGAAAACTCGGCAGCAGGGGGTGGTGGGCGACCAAGCGCTTTTTATGATAATGCAACTGTAGATACTTTGTAACCCAGGCAAGGCACGAGTTAGTTACGATGCATTAAAGAACTCAGCCATCCAGGGGTGGTTGCAGGAAAACAGAAGAGAGATGATAGGCAGGCTGTTCAGCTGATGAATCTAGTCCCTTGGCTTAAACTGTTGCTTTGCCCTCTTCTCTCTCTCTCTGCAAGTGAGTCCAACGAGAAAATATGACCCCCTCCAATGGCTTTCTTCCCCCAAACTGCCCGGATAAGAAAGGGCCGTGTGAGGACTCACCAGTAGTCGGGCCACCATCCGTTAGAGAGTCCCGGAGATGTGGAAAGATTGGGTAACATACATCGTCCAGGTGCCTGAGATGCTGTCTCTAGCACTGAGTACAGTAAGTACCTCCTCCAAGGGCGAAGACGGTAATCCTGGGGGCCTTGGTCACTAGAAGGCCCGTATCCACCAACCCCCCAAATATCTTATCTCTCTATCTCTGTCTAGATCCACGCCAGGAATCGGACAAGGCGAGAGATAGGTATCTAGAGATAGGGCCTGCCACGAGTTTCTGACGTCTAGGCTATGCAGCAGCTCATCTCGGCCAGCCGGCATCAGCGATTTGAGAGAATAGTTTCGTTCTTTTTTTCTCGAAGCGAGTCAAGATGGCGCATCGGGTACCCCAGGCCCAAGCCTCTGGTCTCCCCTTCTCCACGAAATCCTCTCCGTGGGGAAGAGATGAAAAACCTGGAGAAGCCAGTCCAGTCTACCCCACACTTTTCGTTTCTCTCTTCACAGCATAAAACGAGGTACGTATATGGAATTTCATGCGAATGTGTGTGGCATTGGCAGAAGGGAGCACGGCGCGAAGGAGAGCTGACCCCAAGGACCGCTGAATCTCCAATCCTGGACACCTTTACGAGTCGCTAGCCCGTCATGATCCATCTGCTTAGACTGGGTGGGGGGCAAATCCGGAGTGACTAGATGAGGGGAATTGATTAAAATGGATGAGAGTAGCAAAACGCAGCTGCCAAGATGAAGAATGGCGTAAAGCAGTCTGTATCTTCGTATCTATGGAACTTGTGCATAGATGATATCTTGATCATCTACGAAATAGACAAGATGAGATACAGTATGACTCTGTTTTGTGCAATCAGTGGAGCATGATGGAGACTTGTTCACACACAACAATCTCCTAATCCAGGAACTCGCCCCCCTCGCCGCCACGAAAAGCCACTTCTCGGCCAAATACCAAATCTGAGTAGGTATCTGACCGCCATTCAGTGGGGGAGAATCAGCGTGGGGGACAGATAACTTTCAGATACGAGCACAGTTGGCAAGGCCCTCCATTTATCTACACGGGGGTCAGTGTTTTAGCGCTTAGCTATCTCCGGATCCTTGATGCCTCAACTCAGCAGTCTAGCTGTTGCGCATAGACCACCAATATTGAGTTGGGGGGAAAGCGTGGAGGGGGTCAAATGTGAAGCCACATGGTAATGCTGGTGAGGAGATTTGGAGATTAACTAGCCGTTCGGTCGTGATCCAAGTTCCAGCAGTAATTTGTATATGCCTTTACCATCTCCATAGGAATTGTAATTTCTCCGAGAGCTAGAGATGGGTTCAAGCTGAGATTCTCTGATTGTAGCCTTCGATAACAATCTAGATTGTAATCTCACAATGAGAGTTTTGAACCCTTGACTCCATCCCCAAACAGCTCATGGTCGTCATTCCAAAGGCGTCCCTTTTGCTACACATTCTGCTCCACTCTCCGCTTCATAGTGGAGAGCTCTCGCAACTTTACAGCCTCCTCCGTACTAGGTATGCTCAATCCCATTGCTTTCCAGCTTTACCCGATCATGCCTAAGTACCAATACGTGTATGGAGTAAATAGGCATACAGGCCTAGTATGTATGAAGTAATGGTAGTGGGAAGCAAGATGCCAGCAGACTGTGAATACTATATAGCTTGTCAAGTCCGAGCGTAGATCCATTTCTTTTACTACTTCTCTCTTTTTCCCCCTCTCTCTTCCTCAATCAACCTCCAATCCATCATTCACCTCTTTGTCAACGCTTCCCAAATCAACCACCGCCAAAATGTCTGAAAAGGTCCCCGTCCTCACCTCCAACGCCCCCAAGCCCCTCCCCGGCATCTACAGCCAGGCCATCAAGGCCGCCGGCCTCGTCTTTGTCTCTGGCGCCGTGCCCATGGACCCCGTTACCATGGAGCTCATTCCCGGTGACATCCAGGCTCACACTGTACGTTCAGCTTTACAGATTCAGTGCAACACCAGGTCGACAACTGACATGTTCCACAGCATCAATGCATCAAGAACCTGTCTGCCATTCTCGAGGCCGCCGGCACCTCGCTCGACAAGGTCGTCAAGGTCAACGTCTTCCTGTCCGACATGGCCGACTTTGCCAAGATGAACGAGGTCTACAGCACCTACTGGGGCGATGTCAAGCCCTGCCGAACGTAAGTCTTTGCTTCTTCTTTTCTTTTCCAACATCAAGATGCTGGTCCCCTCATCTTTGTTGAATTTGTTACCCCTCCATCAGAAATAAGCGCCCCGCTATCGGATGCAACATTGTAGTGGGGGGTTTACGAGAGAGAGAAAAAAATCAGAGTCACGTCACGTACCTGTTACTCGCGGATCTGCTGCAGTTGTTCAAATTGAAGAGGATCGAGCTAATGTTGCGTGTTTCTTAGATGTGTCGCCGTCAAGACTCTGCCCCTAAACACCGACGTCGAGATTGAGTGCACTGCTCTTCTGTAGATGATAACATGCATATTGAAAGATACCAATAAAAAGGCGAAAATGGGAATTAGCATAGAGGAAATAGCTCAATTATGAATAAAATAAAAACTTTGGGCGTAACAACAATTTGTTCATTTGTGCTTTGTTGTGATTTACTATTGGTACATCTCATCACCTCATGTTACCCCCTCAGAGGTTGCGACCAAGAGTAACCTATCAATGGATTGCTCCAGTAATAAATGCAAAAGACTGGCATTGCATGTAAAATCACAGTAAGAGTCAAAGCATTGCATTGTAACACCAAATACAGTAAATTCGTGTATCCCATAACATAAATGTGTATATACGCCTCGTGATATTCCAAATGCAGCAAGTCGTCATCGAGGCCGAAGCCCCTCATTCTTTCTTTCTACCTCCTTCATCCGCCATTTTACGCAACATCAGGCAGCGCATTTTCCACATCCATCATCTCCTTCATGCCGTCCGCAATGCCCTTGACCTTGACATCGTCTGGCCTCGGCAGCGGCCTTCGGGCAAATCCTCCATATCCAAAGTACGCCTGAAGCGCTGCCTTGACGCCAACAACGCCCGTCTGGATCGCAACCCAGTCTCCCGCACCCAGAACAGATTGAAGCGCTGTAGCCTCGGCCGCCTTCTCGGGACCAGCCTCTGCAAGCTTGAAGAGTCGCACATTGGCTCGGGGCGAGACGTTGGCCAGGCCGCCAATGACTCCAACGGCGCCGGCGGCCATGGACGCCAGCAAGAAGTCAGAGCTGCCGGCGAAGCACTGGAAGTTCTCGCCCGAGGCCTTGACCGCAGCAGCCACGCGGCCCAGCTTGCCCGTGTTGCCGCAGGTGAACTTGCAGCCCACGATGTTGGCGTGGCGGCTCAGACGGACCAGCGTGTCCGAGTTGATGTCGATGCCGGGCGTGGCGCCGGGGTAGTTGTAGATGATGATGGGGATGGGCGAGGCATCAGCCACGCCGACAAAGTAGCTCTCGACCGTCGAGCTATCAAACAGACCGGCGTAGTAGCTCGGGGGCAGCACCAGCGCGTAGTCGCCGCCATTGGCCGCTGCGTCGCGGCATAGCTTCACGGCCTCGATGATGGACTGGGCGCCGCAGCCGACAATCAGGGGCATGGATGTGAAGCCCGCGGCATCGAGAGCAGCTCTGGTGGTCCGCGTGATGGCTGAGCGCTCGTCCAAAGCCAGGTGGACTGCTTCACCGTTGGATCCCTGGACGGCAAGGCCAGACACACCAGCCTTTGCAAGACGGACGGCGTGCCGTGATACCGTCTTAATGTCCAGCTCATCTGTCTCGCTGTCGAAAAAGGCTACAGTGGGCACGTAGATTCCCTTAATGAGAGGTCGTGAGGGACGATCAACCTGAGCCGCCGCAGCAGAGGAATCCGCAGAAGGAGACATGGCGTTTATTTATTGGCTGTGATTCTCTTACTTGTGTTGATGTGGTGAGAACAGCAAGGTGATGACGGTAGTGTGGATGGACAAAGTTGAGAGAGAAAGACACAAAGAGAGTTGTTTCGTTCCACAAGCCTCAAGTGCAACAGAATGCTTCACACAAACAAACAAACAAAAGAAGAAGAGTCTACAGAGATAACAAACAGAGAACCAGGGGAATAAGAAGGAAGAGGAAAGTCGGGCCCCGTTGGCACATGATATTGCGGTACCGGTACCTACATTAGCAGCTCCATGGCCAGCTCCGATGTCCGTGGCAGGTACCTCTTCTTTCCCCATGCTACGTATTATTTGCCGAAGCATAATTCCAGAAGCAGCAGCAGCAGCAGTAGCATTTGCCATGCTGTGCTCCTCAATGGCATCGGCCAAACAGGACACAAAAACGCCTAGAGAAAAGCCGGTACCCCCACGCTCTCCATGGAGCAAGAAGGAAGCAAATCACAGGAGAGGAGAGAGAAACAGCTGATCTTGGAAGAACTGAACAACTAACTCGAGTAGGATTTCTCCATATTTTGTATCCCGAGCATCTTTCTTTTATCCCACATTCCGTATAGCTCCGCTGGCAGCAAGGGGAGGCAAACGCCGCTCTCAGTAGAGTTTCTTGCTCAGGCGCCACATTTAACGTTCCCCGTCTTTTTGGGGGGATAAGAGACGAGCAAGATGTGGGGGAATTTGGACGCTGCCGTCTTTTCTGTTTCCCCATCTCTAGTCTCCACTGACTCAAGACCCCAGCACTAACTCTTGTTCTCCTCCCTCGGGACCTTGCAGCAGCTTGCAGAGTTCTCAAGCAGCCGTGGCACTTTCATATTCTTCCGAAAGGGAGAGATTTGGTCTTTTGATAAACACGTGTCAACTAAGCAATTGCCGGCATATACGAAGCATAACTCTGCTGCAACCATCCTGCTGGAATCCTCTGGGTCTCCCGAGAGGCCCCGGCGGTTCTCTCTTCCCCCTTGCTTCCATCGGTGGGGGTCTTTAATGATACCTAGAGTTGCCACTCCGCGTTCACATGTCCATGTTGGAATAGCTCGTCTACTTACAATTCATAATTTCAATAGTGCAGAATATGAATAGTCATGTCTGAGTGACTGGTATAATCATCCTCTTGATATTAGTAGCATGTAAATCTAGCTTCATCGGAGAAGACGTGTAAAAACTTTTGAATCCAAATCTATTCCGCATATACATGTGTAATTCATATCAAACCATGCCAATGCATCATGTATGCTACCCAGATCCCATATATCCCGTCTTACTCTACCACCCCCTGGCCTTGATCCAAACATCCACAATCTCGTCCTCATGACCCTTCCTATCCTCATCCACCACGAAATACCACCCAAAGTGACTACTCGTGATGCACGCATGGTTCGGCCACAGCCTCACCTTCTGTCCCGCCTCCATCGCATCCCGTGGCTGCGTCTCCTTCTCCCTCCTCCCCTTGCCCGCCGCCCACGTCAAGATGCCGTGCTCCTGCGAGAACCTGCCCACCGTCCAGCCCTCATGATCCTCCACATCGCACGTCGGCAATTCCACGCCCTTGCGCCCCCACGGCGTCACCATCGCCATGCCATCGTAGGCTTTGCAGAACTCGCGACCCAGCGCCAGGCCACCCGCGCCAATGAGCGCCTCGTCCGTGCCGTTGTCGCCGCGGCCGGGATACACGCCGTGCACCTCGGCCACGACGGTGAGGGCAATGTCGCGCCACGAGAGCGTCGACGACGACAGGCTGTGGGCGGCGAGCTGCTGCAGATCGAGCGTTGGGTAGACGCCTGCGTGGATCTCGACGGCGTGCCCTTTGCTCTTGACCGTCTTGAAGAGCTCTGAGAGTTCCGTTACCGCCGCCTTGAGCTCCGGCGTGCCCGTCTCACTATCCTGAGCCTCATCTTGTCCACCGAGTAGATTCTGCACCGACAGTGCCGTAGGAGAAGCTCCCGCAGAAACCACCAGCGTCGGGATCTGAACCCCCAACTCCTTCGCCTTCAGAGAGAGCCTGTCCGCACCTCTCAGCATGGCATCAATCTCCGCATAGAGCATCTTGATAGCAGCCACGCGGCTATCCCCCCCGTAAGAATGCCCAGCATGTGAATACAGCCCCGAGAGAATCAAGCTCCCAGCCTTGTGCGCCTCCAACGCCGCATCAGCAACCTCCACAAACCGTTCACTGCTCTCCACAACGCCAGCTCGGCGTCCTCCCATATCAATCTTGATATGAGCCAGCGGCGCAACGCCAGACTGCTTCTTCAGCTCCGCCGCAGCCTCCAGCTGTGCAGGATCGTCCAGGAGAATCGAGATGCTGCCCTCGCCGAGAACTTTGACAACTTCCGCCAACTGAGGCACTGCTCCCTTGGAGATGGGTAGGCCGTAGACAAACTATCATTTCAGCTCGTTAGCCATAGACAAATCCCGTTCATCTCTCAAAGGTCCTTATACATACGTTCACCTCCCTCCCCTTCTTCTTATACTCCTCCAACAAGGGCAAAATAAACTCTGCCTCGGACAACGTCGAGACAATCAAATTCGCCGGCCTCGACAGATCCTCTCCAACTTGCAGTCTCGTCAACTCAACCGTCTAACAAAGCAACAGTTAGCACCATCCATCCATCCTCACACCGTTGCAAAGTCTTCCTTGCAAAAACTCCGATCCTTCACTCACCTTGTGCGTCTTCACATGCGCCCTCCACCCCAAATCAAGCTTCTTCGCAGCCTCCAGCATCCGCTCGCAATTCCGCCTCGCCGCCGCAACGTTCATCACCGCCGCCGGCGTGGGCACGTCGGCAATCGACTTGCCCACGAATTCCTTGACCAGCGCCTCCTTGGGCGAGGTTGGGTAGAAGACGAGTGAAGACATTTTTTTTCTGTTCTGTCTCTTTTATGGAAGCTTTTTCTCCTCACAAAACAATTGGGGATTTTTTTGAAATTGTTCCTTTAGTTGTGTTGGTTCCAAAGCTTGGTCAATGGCTAATTGCTCGCTCCGCCGAAATCACTCACTCGCTATCAGCCAGATGGTCAAAGAAGGATATAGATAGAGATGAGAGATCGCCTTGGAGCTTATTGCGACATCGGATAACTGCGGTTCGGCTGACCCAACATAAGTTGCTCATGTTCTTTTGGCTTGCTGCCTCATCTCACAATAGCCTCTGCCCCTCACCCATATTTGCCCCTCATTATAACGTTCCACAATCTGACTTCTAGCCCCAATCCATGGCTGCGATATGGTTCCCCCACAGCAGAGGGGGCTCTTCATCACTAAAACTTGAGGAGAAATATGCTATACTTACAAAACTAGTCGGTGGGGGTCATGACACGGGATTGAATGAATGGCGATAGCGAGTTATACAATTTGGGGGACAGCTACGGCCTCGGTCTCTTCCGTATGACCTTATGCCCAAAAGCCCAGACACAAACTATCGGCAATCTTACTCAGTAAACAAGCTCGTGTCAATAAACGTACCGATATTTCATTTCAATGTCATAATCTCTACCGTCTGGCCTCCTTTCCTAAAGAAGCAAGCCCACTACCTAAGCAGCAGGCTACAATATTCCAAGTCCCATTCCATGTCTAGCAGTTTATTGAGCCTGCATCGATGGCCTCCTTCTGAATGGCCATCCCTCGTCTTCTTCAGCACAAATGGCCTCTGTTCGGCTGCGGCTCCTCCCTTGGGCTTGTAGCTGCTGCTGCCGTTGTTGATCTTGGTGTATACGTGATGCCAGCGCTTCGATTCTACTTTCCCCTTGACGAATTTTCCATGGGGGCAGCCCCGAGTCAAAGACTTCGTGCATTTCCTCCAGCGTATATCCTTTGGTCTCGTAGGCGATATAATACATGGATATCAGAGCACACCCGTTGACTAAAAACCAAAATCGATCAGCAAACTCCCAGCGTGTCAAATTGGTATGCAGAGAACGTACACATGCCAAAGAGATAATACGCGTGGTATCTATCAGAGCCTCCATGTCAGTATTTACCATTCAAAATCGCAATCGCAGCCAAAGGGTTCCCTACTTGAGCGCCCACACTGTAAACAGCGTCATGTCAGCCGAGCTTCGCCTGTCAAGAAAAGACAATTTGAGGGTGTATTCTCCACTCACCCAGATAAGGTACAGCCAAAGCAACGGCCACATTGCAACACCAACGCGCTGCCGTGCACAAGGCAACGGCCCTGGGACGAATTGGGGTCGGGAATATCTCTGCTGGGTATATCCACGATATCGGTCCCCAGGTCATAGCAAACGCAGCCACAAAGATGCAAGAAAAGGATATCATGGCACTTGTGACATGTTGATTTCTATCCATCATCCACGAAGGATAGTGTATTGACTGTCCCACGGTGGGTGTGCCGTTGGACTGCTGGAGAATTCCTTCCAAAGAGTTAGCTCCCATAAAATTCTCTCGATACAACATGACAAAGGACAAAGGGCAATAGTCACCGGTGAGCAAGAGACATATCATCATCACCAAAGATCCAGTTAGCAACGCTCGTCTTCGGCCTATTTTGTCCACCAAGTATATGGCTGGCACGGTGCAGACATAGTAAATGAGGTACTGGATAGTTGCCATCACAAACGGCGAAACGGCCCCAGTTCCAAGCAAAACGTATACAAGGTTGTCTATGTTTGCAGAAGCAGGTGTCAGCAACGGACTTGAGGTTTCACAGGCGCGTGGCAGACATACACGTCATGATGTTCATGCCGCACAGCTGGCTCCATGCTTGGACACTCATTCCTAGGAAAAGTCTCTTCGCCAGGGGCCTCCGTAGCAACGTGCGGAACTCGGGAAAGTTTTTTTCGCGCTCGATCCGGATTTCTTCTACCATCTCTCGACACTGCGCGATGACTTCGGGTTGGTGCACGTTCCCTTTTGCGTGGAGATCTGCAGTCATGCCGAGGGCAGAGCCCAAAAGGTCATAAGTGGTATATAAACGCGGGCTATGGGGGAGGACAAGGAGGCCTAAGAGCAACACAACTGCAGATAGTAGCTGGATACCGTATGATAACCGAAAGGCAAGTCCCTGCCGATGAGAAACACTCTTGTGGTGGTTTGAAAACTTCATCGCGGCGTATTGGATGAGATATTGCGTGGAGATGCCCCAGGCGATGCCCAATTGATAGAATCTGTCAACGCAAGTCAGACTTTGCTCTAATACGCTCGTTTTCATGTCCAACAACATTGGAACCTGCATACCCAATGGTCCGTCCCCGAGTCTTCCATGGCGCAATTTCAGCCTATTTCAACTCAGCGGCGTTGCACCCCTTTACGCGGCATCATCCAGATTCCGCCGCCACAAGAGAAAGGGCAGACATACCAGATACACAGGCATGATAGCACTCATAGCCCCAGCTCCGACCCCAGCAATGCTTCTCGCGATATACAGCATCGGGTTGTCTGGCATTGCGACCTGAAGCACACATCCAAAAACACAGATAAAGCACACATATATCAAGGCCCATTTTGGTGTCATGGTCGCGCTCAGATAAAAAGACCAGATCGCGCCCACTATCGAACCGATGGGCATCATGGCAGTGATGACAGCCTTCACAAGCGGCTCGGGGGAGCCAAGGCGGTCCTAGCAGGCTTGGACACCCAGAATGCCGGGCATGGACGATATGTCGAGGCCGATAACGGCGCCGCCTAGATATTGTCTCATTTAGATACCCTTGGGAAGAATGAAAACAACATCTTTTTCCCTCGGTCCGTATCAGATACATGTGTGATGAAAACTTACCAATGGCGGCAATGCAGCATATGCCAGCAATGTTTGTGACTTCATATCGGCAAGAATTGAGTAGCGACATATTGACTATCGAGAAAAGAAAAAGAAAAATGAATAAGCTAAAGAGATAGTAAAATGATAGCCCGGCTCTACAGAACTAAACAAAAAATGTACAGAAGAGTTGAGATGATGCTAAGAGTGGCACGCCAATGACCGGATAGTTTCTTGCAAAAACGCCCTCACTAAGCTTGTTGTGCTTTCAGCAACTCCAAATCGCGCAGCAAAGGAAGAACAACCAGGTACAGTTTTTGTTGCTCGGCAACCTTGAAAGTTTGTTCACTCAGCCACTAGAACTCTTTCCTCGTAGCTTCCAAGTCACTCCAGCCAGAGAAGCATAATCTTCCAACCTGGGACTTTCCCTCTCCACAGTCCCGCGTAAAGCAGAGCCTGCAGTGAGAAAAATGGCGACCAGAGTCACCGTGAACTCCAATCTCAGCCACCACCGACAAAAGTTGCCAGGAGCAACGCGTTCCATCCTGGCATCTTCGTCGCTGAAGCTGAGTGTCTCTCTCTGTGCACTATAGTCAGCAATCAACACCGTCCATCATCTCTTCATATCACTGCACGGCCCTGTCAGTAGTAATAGCGGTCGATCGAGTCGATAGAAAGCGTAGGTAACTGGTAGGTTCAAATTGTCGCAAGCCCTGATCAATCCATTAGTTGGCAGCCACCAACGATTTCCTAGACCAGTAAAAGTTAAAAGCCAATCCCTATGAATCCGCTCATCATAAGTAAGCAAAGACGTTACAGATAATTGTACAAAAAAAGACAGTAAGGATGAAGAAAAATCTGAATCCTTCTTTCCACGCGCCACGAAAACATCGATTTTATAAGCCTCCATTCCGTCCAGAAGCAACTATTCGTCGTCATAGTGATCCGTAAACGCCAATATACCAGTAATAGTCATAGAATGGCATGCATCCTTTCGGTTAAAGCTTAATTAGGCACGCTTCTCGTGGATATGCTGGAGAAATGTCCGCTGCATCCTAAAGGAGGAGTAATCGCCCTTGAACAGCACATCAAGAATGCCACCACAATTAGGATCGCTAGCAACTTGTTGCATACGCTCTCGTAGAGTGAGGTAAGCATCAAAGAAGCGAGACAGAACGCCTTCTGTATTTGATGAAGAGCCAGAGATATCATTAGCAGGGTTGTTTGGATCAATGATTGAGAGACGATCCGTCTTCTTGTATGTAAAGCTTGATACTTGGCTCTGGATTAAAGCGTCAGCAAATAAAATAATAAAAAAGGAGTTTGCTAACTATGTCGATGGGAATCACTTACCTTGCGGATATATCCAATAGGGCTAGTAAGCGAAATGGCATTCACTTCATAGTCAAAGTTCCGTCCGTAAAGCTCAAAAAATTCAAGGAGCATCTCTCCAAGATGATGCTCCGGGATAAGGCTGCGGCTCTGGACTTGCGGCATGAGCTGAAGCATGCTGACGACCAAGCAAATGACTGAGAATCCTCCCAAGCCTCCGTTGACAGGTTCATTCAAGCCTCTCATCAGAAGAAAATGCTTAATCACAGTGACAAGGATAGGCATTGCCGGAAATTCCTTCTTCCAACGCAAAAAAGTGTCAATGGCCTTGACCCCGCCGAGGTTTTCAAACGACACATCCACTCTCAGCCCAGTCGCCCTGTCAATGAATTTCACCAGCGGGATTCGAGCGTGGGCAATAACCTCGATCGAGTCTTGCTCTGCAATTCGTTGAGCAACCAAAAGCTTTCGAAACTTATACAGCCAGCTCTTGGCGCTCATGAAGGTAGGCGGGCCGCCGCGCATGAAGCTGGGAGAGCAAACGACCAAATCCATGTCAGCCGTTGGAAGATACAGCCCAGACATGAATGAACCAAATGGGAAAAGCTCGGCGTTGGCAAAATTTCTGTCGTCTCTCTTCATGGCCTTTTTCAGGTTCTCAACCAGACTGTTGCGAATCGTCTGCTCAAAGTCGCATGGCTTGACGAACTCATAGAAGTCCATGATTTCTTTGTGCAGTCTGGTTAGGAGTGGTTAGCATATGGCATGTCATATGGCATGTCGTAAAAGGTCGGCCAAAGACCAAATGGATGAAGCTTACCGAAAAGCCATATTGGTCGTTGCAGAGTGGTCGATATTTGCCCATGGGCAAGGCTCTTCATTTGGTTTCGGTGTCCAGTTTGGCACCAGAGTTCCTTTTGAAGGTCTCATGTTGGGTTTCTTGAACTGCTTGTAATTTGGTGGTTGGATAATCTCGTCGTCGTGGGTGCGCTTGCGAGAACCAAGAGGATCTGATCTGTCTTGCGGTGCAGCTGGTTTGTTTGGAAGAGAGTGGATGCCTCTGCCCAAAGGTTCAATGTTGTTGTTGCTATAGTTTCCAGAAGCTGGTGGTGGGGGTGGTAATTCACTAGGCGGTGGCGGCGGCGGCTGTAACTCTGAGGCTTGAATAACTTTGATATCACTTTCATCCTCACCCTCTTCGTCACTAAGGTCAAATGAAAGGAAATCTTCAGCTTCTGTGGATACGAGGGGCTTGTTTGCATTGTCCTCCACTCTAGCCTTGCGAATGAGTTTCACAACATCCCGCTTCTTGCGTGTAGCCTCGTCTGGGCACGGCAGCGCTGTATACGGGTCTGGATTGGACCACTTGGGGGCCGCATTGGCAGACTCGTCGGCTACGGCAGTGCGCACCCGCTTCTTGGAGGGCTCCTCGGTATCAGACACGGATGATCGAGACGATATATCCATTTCAAGCTCGTCATCATCCGACAGCTCGTCCAGATCGCGAAACTTTGCGCCTTCGCCAGTATGCACACTCTCTTCGGGGAGGCCTGTGGCGACGCCCGATATCAAGGCTCGTTCAGAGGGGTGGGGTGGCTGCCAGCGAGGCCTGCCGCCCCTGCGAGGGCCGCCTCCACGTCCACCTCCTCGGCCATCTCTTCGCGGCGGGCGCCTGTGTGGCGGCTGGCCGTTGGGCACGTAGTCGGAGATGCCAGCTGGCTTGTCCATGCGGAAAGTGAAGTCGCCCTGAGGGACGTGCGGCCGGTATGAGTCGCCGCCCCCTCCACGGCGGTCATCATTGTACGGTCGCGAGTTCGAGTCTGGCCTCCGACCGTCACCAAATCGCCAGTTATCAGAGTCGCGATAGGATCTATCGCGGGATGGAGTGAAGCGCGGTGGTGAGCGTCGGAAGCTGTGGTGGTTTCTATCGTCACCGTAGCCATTCCGTCCGCGGTCATCGTTCCGCCGCTGCGGCTTGTTTCGCACCATGATGGGCTTCAGCACAACGCACGTTTGGAGCAGTAAAGCACACACCAAAGCGATGCAACAGGAAACGGTGCGTATGCAGCGCTAGTAAGAGAAATTCAAGTGGTAGATTGAAGTTGATTTGCGATACTGCCCAAGTCAAAATCTGGTTGCGCGTATCGCTTATCGTGCGGCTTACTCAGCGAAAATAAAGCGATAAGGTGACTGCTGCTATTGGCCGAGAGTATTGAATGCACCTAACACGAGTACACATGTAGGTGAGCGAATGATCTCAGGCTCAAAATCGTGTAATCTACCAGATAATACGGTTCGTATATCCCATGAAGCTCATTTAGTTTATTGTCTATTCGTGGCAAATAGGTATGAACCTAGGCGGTCTTGAGCATCCCGAATCTCGGCACTGGAGTTATCCACTCAACTACGGGTTGTGAATGCATACGTAGCTTTCGGCATTTTCGGCTGAGACTATTCTTTGACCTTTGTTAATGCTATTAGATTCCTTTTGGAACTCGTTTTGGCTTTTATGACACGTACATAGGCGGATACAATTGCCCTTTGATTCGACGAGAAAAAATTATTCAAATAACCATTCGCTACAAGATTGACTGCGCTTAACCTGGAAGTTTCCTCATCAGCGCTATGTACAGGACAGCAGAATTAGGAGATGTTCGTGAGAATCAAGAGACTGCATGAGAAAATTACGCTATTCTGATATGTATGTCGCGCAAGGGATTGGCAGCAGAGAGACACGTTGCAGTCATGTAAGTACGTTATTGCGGGGTTGTAATGAATCTCTCTCCATCTCCTATCGCCTCTTTGAAGCGACAAGTCATCACTATAATATCAGATACTAAAATTATAAAATAAATTCATTTTAGTAACATCTGCGGTCAAAGAAGAGTCTATAGCACGAACAATAATACCTACATGTAGTTTTGCCTGACTTTTTTGCTACGAACAACATGCCCAGCGAACAGCATGAGAGGGGACCGAGACAGGCAATCGCCCGAATAGGAATATGCTTACATCTTACATGTACTTTATCGCAAAGAGGTGGACTACGTAGGGACCAAGATGGCTGTGTTCACAAGCAACGTACATGTAGCTAGTATTTGCAATATTTAATGCAGCTGGTCTTCGACGTCGGCTTCTTACAAGGGCCAGTCCCCGTATGCCACGGCTTAGACGGCTAAAACCACGTGCAGCATGATTCTGCATTCTGCAGGGTCAGGGGGCTGAAGAAGTTGTGTGGATACTTGGAGATGAATCGAAGAGCTTCGCCAGCCTATCATAGCCTCGGAAGCCCACCTCCGCGGCGAGCCACAGCTCTGATTTGAGCTGGTTGGCTGCAGTTTTTTGAGATGTGAGCAATCCTGCGAGGAGCGAGTGCTTGCCATGGCGTGAGAGCGGAACGCGACCGAGGGTGAGAAGTTGGAAAGTTGGATGTAAACGCCCGGGCACCACACCATACATGCATCTGGCAGCAGCCGCTTCGGCGTGTCCTCGTAGAGCTGCGAATACAACTCGATTCAATCAAATATGAGGGAGGGTTTACACCAAGCCTTTTGTAAAAGACTAGCTTACATCTTATGCAAGGTCGTAACGGCAGCTCTGCGAGGGCATCTGATCCCACACCACTAACCCAGGCTTACCCTCAGCTATACCATGCCTCATCAATGCCAGATCACCACTCTCACACGCTCATAGTGCCAATCCCTGTGCTCCATTCGGAGTAATAATAGCCTTCTGATCCCTCATCGCCAGGCCTATGTTCCTGCTAGTTCCCTTGTGTCTTAGTCCTCCCGAGCCCGAACCGCCCATCGTCGACGTGTTGAGCCACCTCCCCGCTCGTTTGCCCATCTCTGCTCCGTGATTCGTGCCGGATGAACTGCCGTCCCTCGGCCGCTAGGATGCGCCGAATTGCGGGACGCTCAGCTCCAACTAAGGAGCAACAGTGGAAGGGAAAAGGCACTGGAAGCTGTCTGCCCGCCTGTTTCCCTCCAGCACTCCTAATTCTCGAACAAGTTGCGGATCTCAACTCGTTGCCGCCAGAGAGCCACCGCTGGGGAACAAGAGCCAATTTTTTACGAATACCATATTTCCACGACAGACCCCTAGTATGGCGTCTCTCAAAGGCAATGGAGTGTCTCCGTCCGGTTCTCCACTCCCATCTCCATCTAGATCTGCTGGTGTAGCAACTCCGCTAGCAGGCCCCGTGGCTGGCGATGCTGAGAATCCAGTTCCTGTCCAAGTTGATGTGAGTCGCAAATCGCCCATAGCTATCCCTCAATTGAGTGCATCTTTCTCAATGCGTGAATGCTGCCGCATAAGCTCTCATCACTATGAAACCAATGGTGAAATACGAGACGCCAGAAGGAAAAGACAGAAAGAATAAGGAACACGCCATGAAGAAAGCACATGATACAACCACTTACAATTATCCGGGCGCAGACCGAGGCATACAAGGACGAGCCGGAAGATATTGACTCAACCTACGGCTCTGACCAAGACTCCATCTATGCTGGCTCCATCGCCTCTTCCAACTCCAACTACCAATACGAAAACGGCCGTCGCTATCACGCGTACAGAAAAGGCCAGTATGTGCTACCAAATGACCGGGAGGAGCAGGGACGATTAGATCTTCAGCATCACATATGGCGCCTGTTACTAGGCGGCCGTCTCTTCACAGCACCCTTGGCGTCGCCCGAGGGTGAAGACGGGCTGCGCATTCTCGACTTGGGCACCGGCACAGGCATTTGGGCCATTGACATGGCAGACGAAATTCCAAATTCATCAGTCTACGGTATCGACCTGTCTCCAATCCAGCCCGAATGGGTGCCGAGCAACTGTCATTTCCATGTAGACGACTACGAAGATCAGTGGACGTTCCGAGAGGACGAGAAGTTCGATTATATACATGGACGATCTCTCTGTGGCACATCTGGCGACTGGCCGCGGTTCTACAGCCAAGTCATGGAGAACCTCAAGCCGGGTGGATGGGTAGAGATGCAAGAGTACGATGCGTGGATATTCAGTGACGACGATAGCTGTGACCGCGCTCCGTGGACGATGGAATGGGTCACTAAGCTAGAGTCTGCCAGCAATCTGTACGGCAAGCCAATAAATGTTGCTCAATATCAGAAACAGTGGATGATAGATGCTGGGTTCGAAGATGTTGAAGAGAGGGTATACAGGGTACGCGAACACTCACTTTCTTTTGGGTGAAAGACTTGTGCACTTGGATACTAACCATCAACCTCTATGGCCAGATACCGATTGGACCATGGGCCAAAGATCCTACTCTAAAAGAGCTGGGCAGACTCGAGCATACTCACATGCAAATGGCTGTAGCCTCACACACGCTGGCTCTGTTCACTCGCGCGTTGAACTATTCTAGAGACCAAGCCGATGTCCTCATGGAAGGCGTCAAAAGCGAGTTTCGGAATCGAGACCTCCGGCTCATTACTAGCTACCGATTTATCATTGGGAGGAAGCCTCTCAACACTTAGCGGAACGTATGTACAGCGAAATTGTCAATAAAGCTGGTTTTGGATGGCTTTGTATGACTTTGTTAATGAGGCATGATATAAAGACGAAGAAGATAACATGAGATACCTATTATTATCATTGCTAGCGTATACGAATAATGAATTCACTGGATCTTATTTGCCATTTGAAGAACGCGAACAGCGTGGATTGCCTTTGAGAATATCGCAATTTTATGATGCTACAAGGCTTGAATCCGCCGTCCAAGGGACATGACGGCGAAACTGGGCTTCAAGCCTTGGCTACTGGCTCAACATGCGTTGTATCATTTTCAGGGCACAAGGGGCCTCAAACGTATTCCATATTGCATCGTTAGGAATAGACCTAACTAATGAGTGATGCATGGCACCTTCATTCTATGCAGTTCGGAGGGGCTTCACAGCATTTTCTATCCTCCCTGAGGTCTCATTTACTACTACTGAATAAATGGAATCCACTTAGATCTTACATGATTGATCATCTTTCAGTTTCACAGCAATTTTAGTTCTCCCACAAGCTTCTATTTTTACAAAGTACCTTATCGAGTAATAGAAGGCGATTAAAATGCTGTGAATGTACGTAAAATTACTATGGAGGGGGACTTCAGTTGAGTAGACAGCACGAGTTTCAGTACTTCTCATGAGACGAGCATCAAACATGTTTGAGCAATACCGAATATAGAATATAGAAAATAGATGTATAGTGAGAAAACGCGACAAATGAATCCCGACAAGACGACAATTATGCTCTCCATATGAGATGGCACAGATTCCAAATTGATTTGCATCCTCATAGAAAGTGCGCTACAGCTTCACGGAGATGTCACCTCTTTGGGTCTGTTCTCCCACGCTCGAGCCAGCCAAGGAGACTTGGTAGCTGCAATAACGTGAGACTGCGAAGAGGCACACTCTATCCTTATTGGCGTATCGCTCTCTATCCAATAGAAAGCCGCAGACAAGAGACCATCTGCAGCTTCGCATTAGCTGTCAGCACAAGGCAGCCTTGTCTGATGCTGACTCTTAGGCAGGCAGCAATCAGGCTCAGCTAGGGCACATGTACATGTATTTTTGCTTGCTGTGTTCCCGTGTAGCAGGTTTCCTCTATTCTCTGCTCAGCTCTACCAAAGGGCAGCTTGGACACATGGATGTAATGATTAGAAGCCGCTGGCTATTTTGAGACATGTCCGAGCAGCAACTTACTGCAGACATCCATCAAAGAGCTCCGCCCCACGTGGCGTCACAAGGCTGTGCCAGCTGAGAAGTGCATACGAGCTACTGCCGGGCACCTTGGCCATCGTCTTCTAATGCAGCTCGAACCCAGCCAAGTCATCAATTAGGGCTGCTCACCTCAACTTGCTCTTTGCCTCCTCCAGTCACCGACCTGCCAGGGCGCCTCAGCGAGGCTCATGCGGCTGAGAGCGTCAAGCGAGCGGTATCCGTCCCTCTGCCCTACCAAGATTACATCACACCACACCTCACTCTTCCATTCCTCAACGCCGATGCTCGCACGCTCAACAACTTACACGCCCCGCCACAACCAATCCAAAGCGGATGAGCTATAAATATCTTTTGTCCCAATTCAGCTGAGCAAAGACACCACGAGGGGGAAGAACAGCACAAAGAAAGAAAACCCCTGCGAAGATGAGCTCTCCCGGCAGCAACTCGGGAGCTTCGCAGCGAGCTTCGGAGATCACCAGCGCCATGCTCAACGTCCCCGGCTACGCAGACGACAGCATGCTCTTCATGATGCGCTACGGTGCCTTGGCCAAGGTATGTTATGACCTCATTTGCGACTTTTTTTTTTGTCTTTCGTCCCTCTTTCTTTCGTTTGGCACTACCGCAATGAGACCCATTTTCATCCGCCTCTCCCCGTCTCATTTTTACTCGTCCCTTTCATCATAACCATAAAAACGCCCGTTCTCCATATTATTGTATTTTTCTCTTTTTTCCTCCATTCAGCTGTGCGGCGCCCTGCTCCACCGAGTAAGCCCAGCCGAAAACAAAGCAAACACGTGCGCCTGACGCATTTGGCATTTCTTGTTGGGCGCTGCTCCGAAGAGAGAGTTTTGACGGTTTTGCCGCATCCGGGCTGGACGGGGAACCGAAGACGGCCATGACTGATGTGATGGTCATTCCACCGCTTCACCCTGGCGACGAGGGGGAAGATCAGTGCATGAACAACAGAAGAAAAAAAGTTTGACATGTGATGAACAGCATAGCTGTTTTGTCGATTACGAGCTTTTTCTGCGTTGATTGCATGTTTTACTGGGGTCGTTTATGATGACTCAGTTTCTGCAACCTGTCTTACCGGGTACCTACATGTATCAAGCGATACTTTCTGTCTCTTCACACACGCGTACTCCGTATTCTCGTAACGTTATTTCCTTTCTGTCAGCGGATTTAAAAGTTCAAATGTAAAAAAAAAAAAAAAAAAAAAAAAAAAAAAGAGGCTGATGTGACCGTTCCGGCACTTCCCTGCCATCAGGAGACGCTACGCAAAGTCGACTGGGACGAATTCCAGCTTCGCATCTCGGCCATGAACGCCCACTGGTTCAAAAGCCACAAGAGCAAAAGCGGTGCTGCAAGCGACGACAGCGTCACTGACGTCGTCGGCTCCCGCGGCAATGCCAAAGACTCGCCTATTGTTGCAGCCACTGGTGCTGCTGCTTCTGACGATGCCGCGGATCCGGCTGAGCCTGAGCCTGAGCCTGCGACGGGCCCCGAGGCCGCAGAGCTCAAGGCCCGGACGCTGGAGCTTATCCAGGACTTTCCGCGCCTGGTGCGCGATTTTGACAGGTTCATCGAGTGTACAAGGATCATGGCGGCGAGATATAAGCGGTAGACGGAAAAGATGGAAGGCGGGCAAAGGAAAATAAGAAAAGACTAAATGCATAATACCTACCTAATACTTTCACGCAAAAAGCTATGATGACCGAAAATGGATACCTCGTATCAAGGCGGTAACGTTGAATCCAGCTTTAAAATTGTTTCATTAAAACAGCTTTTCATGTTCTAGACAACTTTTTTTTTTTTTTTTTCAATAATGGCAGGGATTGTTATCATCTCACCTTTGCACACCCCCCCTTACCTAGTATAGTAGCAGCAGGTAGCTTCAATAGCTGCCCCCGTCCATTCCAGTGGTATTGAACAAGCACGTCTTTTCGAAGCCCATCACACATCACACTAAGAGGAATACGGCGCCTGTCACGATTCCAACTGTCATCTTCAAACTATTGTTTCTTGGGCGCACACAAGAGAAAAAAAGAAAAAAGAGGAACCATTTGTTTCTAGGGAATTGCCTTTTGCATTAATTACTATTATCTGTATCCGGCTATCCAAAGAGAAAAAAAAGAATTGCGAAGACCACCTCTCGCACCACTCCCAAATAAAAAAGTCCGAAGTCAGAAAATGAAGAAATTTGTTTCGTATCACATCTGCCCGGCGCATCACAAATAAAAAACACACAAAATTATTTCCAAGTCCAAAAAAAATGTAGAGAAAAAAACGCCATCTTTCCCGCGGCAGGCGAACACACACATCTATAGATGGGGGTATTGTAAGCTGCACTTTAATGCAAAAATCGAGAAATAAAGCAAAAAAAGATTAGAAGTTGAAGAGAAAAAAAAACGGTCTAAAAAACAGATGAAATCTTTTTTTCTGCCGCGCCTTAGTATTTGCTTTTCCCCCGAGCCAGCCGTTGGTATAATTAAAGTTGGCGGAGGACCCGAAATGTTGCGGCCCCGCGGTCTCGCCGGCTCCGGAGAGGGAAGATATAAACAAAAAGGGTAGATTGTCATCGCTTTATCCCAGTGAAGAAAAAAGCGATATTGCCGGCGACTTCAGTGTCTTTTTCGCATCTTCTCCATCGTTTCCCTCATATTTGGATTCTCTTTCCTCCCGGTCCCGTAAAAGTTCACAAAGCTCGCCCTATTAGGTCCTCAAGGCGTCGGAAACCATTTAGTATGGAAAAAAATGTCTGGTTGATAAGTCGCTTAGAGGGCGGCAGCGAGGACGGCAGCAGCGCCGACGCCGAGGAGGACGTTCTGGCTCAGGGAGTTGGCGCCGTTGGTGGGAGCAGAGGTGGGCTTGCCAGTGCCGGTGACGCTGGTGCCGTTGGTGGGAGAAGCGTGACCGCCGGTCTGGGCCATGGCGGTGGCAGCGAAGATGGCGACGAAGGCAGCAGCACGCATTTTGATGGTGGTTTGGGGGGTGTTTTGGTGTTTTGGGGTTTGAAGGTGAAGGTTGTTGGAGTGGTATTAACGAATGTAGTTGAAGCTTGAAGAGTTCAAGATTGCAAGTTGGGTTGATAAAGAAGGAAGGAAAAAGAGAAGACAGCTCGAGGCGAAAGCCTGGCTTGCTTTATATCTTGGTCTGATGGGATGATGGACCGTGGGCCTCCTCCGGTTCCATGGCCTGGCTCCAGAGAAAAAAAAAGGAGCCCACCCACACAGACACCAGGCCTGCAAACGCCCACGCCCCTGTCTATCACACCCCTTGTCTGGGAGGCTCCAGGGGGCCAGGAGGCGGGTGGGTCGGGACGTGATCCCAGCAGATCCCACGTTAGTCATGAGCGTCTTGTGCTGGAGGCTGGTTATCGCGTCATATGTATCGCCACTTTGCCTTGCCTGAAGGGTGACGATGGTCTCTGTTGAGTCCGGCGGTATCTATTGTAGCCCAGTAGCGAGCACCCAGCTGCCACGCTGAAGCTGCTCTGAGTATGGTGTGCCCAGCCATCATACCTGCTGCCGCTGGCTCGCCCATGTACTGATTACTGGGGCTGTGGATGTTGGAATGAGATGGGTCATTTCTCATTGCCTTATGCCGCTAACAGCGTTTGTGCCAACGTATGCACATAGCCCCCATGTTATTTCGATATATCAATACATGTACGGATATGTACAGTATATATATAGAACAGGGCAGATTACAGTGCAGCGGGCGAGTAGCTTTCGTACAACTACCTGGGCCTGGGCCTCGTCCTGTACCACACAGGATGTAACCAGTACTGCTATCTTGTACTACGACCAACCTCATATCCATCGGAGGCCGGAGCTTGGAGCGCACAAGTACACGTTCGCCGCGCCGTGTACGGAGAGGTACCTTTGTGACAAAAGTTACGCAAGCCCTTTCGCTTCTCCCTCACATTCTTTGTGGTAGAGAGAGCGGTGGCCGGAAGCCCCGACCACTTCCATTTTATGCTTTGTGATCTTTCAGTTTCGGGCTGCCTGTTTGTGCCACCGGGTGGATGAGGGCCAATCCAATGCTACCAAGTACATCGTACGAGATAGGGCGGCTGCCATTGACTTTAGCCGTGCCACGTTCCTTTCTGTTTAAGCTTGGGATTCACTGAGTAAGACGGCTGTATACGAATGTATAGACGGAGTGCCGGCTGCGAGTTTCCCGTGCAAGATTTCCGCCTCATGCATAAACGGAGATTCGAGATGATGACAGGCACGAGCGAGATTAGAGTTGAACTGAATCATGGAGAGGGAGAGCAAAGAAGCAAAGAGAGGGAAAAAAGAGGGCCAGCGCATGTACCTACCGGTGTGATGATCGTGTTGCTCGCCTGTGAGACGCTTGTGCTGTGCGATAAGTACCGGCCCGCAGCAAGTCCAGATTATAGATTACCACACCACACCAACATGGTAGCCTTATCTCTGGACGCCGTGCGTATCTCTGTCACATCCTCTGCCTTGATTTTGGCCGGCGGCTAGCATGCCAGTACCGTCACTAGCCTCAGCAGCTCTGCGTTATCTCGACGAGCTCTAACTCGTCCGAGCAAGTGAACAAATGGGTATTATCAGCGGATATACATGTAGTGCCACATACTTGTACTGGCCTTGTGCAGCGCAGCACTAATTGGGGGGCGTCTGGCCGGCTCCACCGCAAGCCACACGCCTAGAGGAATAAACAGAAGGCGACAGAAGTAGAAGCGAAGCACTGATAGCATAAGCTGCAAGCACAGCAAGCAGACTCTCTTCCTCCTCTCCTACCAAAGCCTGGGGGCTGGGCTGGGGCAAGCCACCGCCCTCTCAAGCCACCGACCGATCAGCAAACCAGAGCCCACCTCTGTCCCACGCAGTCTTCCATGCTCGCTCCACCGCTGCGACATTCCAATATCCAATTATTTTGGCGAGTTGGTGGGTGGACGAAGCGAAGAGCAAACCCGGATCCTCTTTTTCCCCCCTTCTGGATCTGGAAAGTGTGGGCAAAGAGGAAGACGGAAAAAGAAAGCATACGCGTCATCATGGCTTTTTGCGAGAGAAATAAAATGGCGGGAATTTTTTTTTCGAAACTGGGCAGAAAAGTGGGCGCGCGCGCAAAAAAAGACTTGAGAAAAGACTTGAGATACTTGAGTACATTCATACACTGTCCCATCCGATATGATATGGCTCGTGGCTGGTGCATTGATAGCGATTGGACCCTGGTGATGGCGTGACTGGGGACGAGGAGATTTGGCCAATGCTGGATGCCTGTTTTCCGCGAGCATCAGCGTTTCTGGTCGCCCGTCGCCTCGCAGCAGCGTTGTACCGGACATGTATGTAACCTGTCGTATAAGACGATAGCGTCGGCAGTAGCAGTACTTGCTGTAAGGATTGCTGGGATCAATATGCTAGCATGTACATACATGAGCCGTTGAAATTCACACTTTCAAGGTTCACATCACAACATCTCGACCTACTTTGCGTGTACTTGCAGCTCCCACCACTCCATTTTTTCCCCTGCTTCACCCCGGCTGACCGTTTTTCCTGCTCTCCAGGCTATACTATTTCCTTGTTGCTAGCAGTCCCCATCTTGGCCGCTTTTTCTTCTCCTCTGTTGAAACAAACGCACACGCAGCCGGTTTCCCCTTTCAAGGTAAATTTGCCAGGCCCAGGGTTGGGGCCAAGGCAGGCTGAAAGGAGACGAGAAGATTAGCAGTGGGTACGGCGCTCCATAGAACGGTGGATCTTCTCAAACCGCCGTGCGTCTGCCGATCTGGGATCATGGCTCGGGAAAGCTTGGCTTCCTTTCTTTTGTGGCCGCGAAGAGAGGAGCCTCTTTCCCCCTCCCCCATTTTCCATTTCCACTTCTCCCTGCTCTTTACTGTATCTCTTGGCGCTGCTCGCGTGGACGGCCGGGCCTTGACATGGGAAGGATTTTGATGTTGGTCCAGTATGGATGAGCGGGAATTACAGTAAGCATGCAGCCTCAATCATGGAACTGCATGTGGTGTTTGCTCTTTTTCTTTTTTCTTTTTTTTTTTTCAGGTCTAGTTAGCGGCACATCTGCCAACTGCCGCATTTGCTCAGCTAGTGCGTGCACACAGACCTCACCACTAGCTGAAGCTGGCCATACAGCAGAGGTGCATGTAAGACTCCGAGGACGAGAGAAAAAAATCACAACCTCCGATAGATAAACAGGTATTACAAGCACAGTACAAGCAGTGACATGTCACGTCACACGCTCGCGCTCGGCACTCCATTTTTTACCTTTCTTTTTTTGTCGTGAAACCGTGCCGAGCGTTTCAACGGGAAAGGGGAGCGAAATTGGGAAGATCGCGATGCATCGGAAACGCTTTTTCCCTTCTTCTTCTTTGCATTTTCGCATTGCAAGTGAAATTAATTATTGGCCACTAGTGGTTAAAACAAAATGCTAAAATAGAAAAAATGCATGGGAAATTATTGCCAGTCTCGGACAGCTGTGATTTCATTCATTGGCAATTTCTCCGACAGATCACCGCGCCACAATATGCAAGGTACGAGTTTGATAAAAAAACGCTGCGTGTACCGCTATATTGCCACCGCACTCGTGTTACTATCAACCCAATTTCACGCAAATCAAGTTCAACAGTATGTAACACGCGGCCCAAAATCCCCGACACGATCTGCAAGGAGAGCGCAGGATGCGAAAAATAAACTGGATCCCCGTGTGTGCGTGTGTGTCAAAAAATAGAAATCAATAGAGCCTGTAAACTTTGTTCGAGGGCAACATGGTCCATTGAATGGAAATGAATGTTACAGATCAGCAACACGTATTGGCTAACAACCAATAGTTTTGCAGGCACAGCCTCTTCAATTACGAAAGTATAACATTTCAGGTTTACGTTTTGTTACCGTCTTCTTTTTTTTTTTGCTCATTGCTACAGCCACGGCGAGTCGCCAGTAATTAATTAATTTCCCTCGTTGACCTTCTGTAACAGGGAGATTGGGCACGGCCGAGTCAAGAAGCTGCGTATTGCGGTGTTTTTTTTCTTTCAGCGTATTCTATTCTTACCTACAGTAGTAAAATGCATCCTAATAATATGGACTCCAATTCTGACGGCCGTTTTGCTGTGCCCGTTTCCCAGTACACTTCTGGGGCAATCATACTGTACAGTCTTATACTGCCCGAGCCTGGCCGTGCCGTCTCCGAACGAAGCTCTTGCACTGCTTGGAGCTTCTCTCATCCTCACCTCTCCAATTTTTTTTCCCAGGTTTCAGGCCATCGACGCCTCAGGGCCCTTTTCCCGAACGGACTCTCGGCAGCAGCCAGCGCTAAACCCGGTTGCCGCCTCAGCTAACAGCACCGCTAATCCAGGGCGCTATTGGCCTAACCGAACAATCCATTGAATTTGCCATCCAACGTTCACTCGCTCAGCTACAGCACAGTTTGCCTCTTCTCTCTCTCCAGTCCCTTCTAACCCGCTACATATTCACGTAAACCCCTGCTGGCCGTGCACACAGCGCGCATCAGGGGGGGCTAACCCGAGTCTAATGCCCTGGAAGCTCTAGAAGCTCGTGCGCTGGCCGCTTGCCCCTGGATTGCTGCAGGTACCAGGCCGCCCCCGTCCCGTCCACTTCCAGGTCCCTTTCCGTGGCAGCCGGGCGCGAATAATCCATAATTCCACCCGCATTGCTCGCAGAACCGACAGACAAGCTCGTCCAAATCTCGGCTCCCCTGGCCGCCCTTGCTCGCTGCAGCGAATCCAAACAGAACTGATCAAATCAAATTCCAACTTTCCAACTTGTGCTCGTACTGTAGTGTATTGGAACCCCCCTGCGGCAACTCGGCTCGGCCGTAATCCAGCGCTGGCCGTAAGCCCTGCCTGCGGGCTCCATCGAAAAATCCCAGCTGGAGCTTCTTTTCTGGAATCTGGAATCGATCCCCTTCTCTTTTCTCTCTTTCCAACTCCACTGCTGTCTCCTCTCCTTCTCCATTTTCTGAGCTGGCAGCGGTGAGGCTTCCCCGGTATTTTTGTTTTGCAACTTTGAGGTTTTTTCCATGGCGGAGAATCCAGCTGTAAGCGAAGCAGAAGTGTCTTGAGATCGGCTTGTGATACCGCTCCCATATTCCAATACTATAGTAACACGACGAACCCCCGAATGAATCTCTTATCAAAACAATATCCCAACTTGCAGCTCCCATCTCCATCTCCAACAGCGGTCAGAAGCCCACTCTCTCCCTCCCCCAGAGCGGTCAAGGCCTCCTCGCCTCGCCTCCATCTCCCTCCGTTGGATCTTAATCTCCTCTCCACGTCCCTCCCCCCTTACCGCCCATAAAAAAAAAGCTTATTCTACCCATAGCCCAACAGCCACCCGTTTTCAAGGCAAGATCCAGATCTCCTCAAAAAGTATGAAAACGGAAAAAACAAAGAAAGAGGAAGAAGAAGACTCCCTTGGCTTGTTTAATTGGATGTAATCTCGCTACTCCGTAGTTTTTTTTCTGGTCTTCCCAATGCTACTACTAGTACCCTTGGCGTGCATGGGGAGAAGAACTCTCGCTTCCAGTTGGGTTCCTCTGTTTTTCTTTGTTTGGAAGAACCCAATTGCCTCGGGCTTTGGAGAGGAGGAACTGAGTGATGTCTGCTAACTTTTGACTGGTGAGTAAGGTTTGTTGGGCATTTGCTGTAGTGCCACAAAGTATTCCGGATTCATCGGCGGGAAATGGCCTCTTTGATATTGAATGTGCACTTGTTGGTATCTCTGTAGTATTGACATTTCCCAACAAGTACCAAATCTTAGCATCCATTTCAGCTAGACAAACAACTTAAGAACCATAAACGGCCATAATTTAAGCATACAAAGACCACCCATTAACCTAGTCAACGAGACTTAACCTACACCGTATCCTATTGTAGGTATTCCAAACAAACATCCTCAGAAAGCACACGTTACCATCATTTCACAAAAGTCTTTCACATAATCTTGATATAATTCCATAAATCAACTAGTACCAACGCCAATGCGCAATGTCATCAAAGCAGTAGGCTATACAAACACGAAAAGCTCCATATATAAGTCCACCATTTGCAGAACCAAATCCATCACGTCATTATATTACAGAGACAAGTCCGTCCGTCTGTCCGTCCGTCTGTTCGTCCATTTGCAAATCTTTGATGGCCTCCTCGGTGAGGCAATGGAAGAAACAATGAACAATGCATGGCAGAACCTCTTCGAGTCGAGCCCTTTGTATTAAAGCAGCCACCGAGCCCCATCAATCTTGGAGAATAGGCTTGTGCAGCTTGAAACTCCATGTTAAAACATCCCATTGGATGTCACTTACTTATCCTCCCTGTCACATATAACTTTTGCTGATAAAGGGCTGGCGATTTAGTTGACCTCGCCGTTTGTGGTAGCCCCTTCGGGCACGCCAATGAGGACAGAGAACTGTCCGCCAGCTCCAGCAGCGATGATTTTCTTGTCCCTGATGGCAGTGTTGTCAATCAAAGTAGGGACGTGGATGTCGTCAAGAGTGCCCTGGCCGGTCTGGTAGTTGCTAGAAAAGCCCCAAGAGTACACTTTACCATCTTTGCTGATAGCAAAGCTGTTGTCAGTACCGGCAGAGACAGCCACAATGTCAGAAACACCTATGGAAGAGGGTTAGTATAATGCAAATCGCGCACGAACAAAGGTAAAGAACCGCTCCACTTGCCTTCATGTTTGGTAGGTTTGACCAGGATTCTGGCAGTGCCCTTCTCGTCACGAATGACATACTCCTCGTCGACCTTTTCCACGACGTCGGACTCAAAGCCAACCTGGTATCCGTCGATACGACCCCAAGCAAACAGCTCTCCCTTGGAAGAGCAGGCCAGAGAGTGGTGGATGCCACCCGCAATATCTGTGATTGGGTGGTCCGCAAGGAAGCTGATCTTGACGGGCTTGAGGATAACAGCATCATCCTCGCCGGCACTGTTCTCAACACCAATCTCGCCAAAGTTGTTCAAGCCCCAGCCCCAGACGGCTCCGTTCTTGTCAATGGCGAAGCTGTGATATGAGCCGCAGGCAATCTTGGCGATTTTGCCTCGGGGCAGGCCAACACCCTGCGGAATTAGAGATGACATCTTGTTACGCTCAATGATACGTCGGCCAAGCTGGTTCTGCTGGCCACATCCCCAGGCGACAACATTGCCCTTGTGGTCGAGAGCAAGAATGTGATTGGCTCCGGAGGCGAGAGCCTTGATGTTCTTTAGGGCAGGGATGAGCGCAGGCCGTGACTGAATCCGAACAGTCTCTGTGAAGCCCAGGATACCATCGCTGGAACGAAAGGTTCCCCATCCGTACACACGTCCGTCTTCCGTCAGCGCAAAGGAGGCGCTGTCGCTTGCCTCGACCTGAACAAATTTGGTGCCGGGGGCAAAGTCCTCCTCAGACAGGGCGGTAGGAGTGCTCTCCTTGGGGTTGATGCCAGTATCATCCTCATCATCCGAGTCGGAATCTTCAGCCTCGTCGGCATCCCGTAAGCCACCGTCCCAGTTTGTGTCTCGACCCAGGGCACCTTGGTCATTCACGCCCCAGGTGAGAATCTTGTTATCGCGGGTAAGCGCAACGACGTGCATGCCGCCGCAGGCAATTTGCACAACTCCGACTGTCTTGGCCGAAAGGTTGTCGTTTAATCGAGGGCGCTTGACGTCGATCGGCTTCTTGCCATTGGCGCGCTTGCTTCCCAGCCCGAGTTCACCGGATGTGCCTTCACCAAAGACGTAGACGTCCAAGACTTGCGTAGGGGCATCGTTGAGTTTCTTTCCGATTGCGACATGGGCAGTCTTCTTAGCCTTGACAGGTGCCTTGGGGGGTGCCTTGCGCACGGGCGCGTCTTCGACCTTGGTCTTCTTGGCCTGGGGCTCTTCCATGACGACGTCTTCCTCATGCTCGCTCTCAGTCTCCGAAGCCTTGCGCTTGCTTGCTGGGGCGCCATTCGTCAAGGGCTCATCTGTGGTCTTCTTGACGGCTGGCTTGTCATCCTTCTTGGTGGCCTTGGCGGCGGCGGCTTTGCTTGTTGTCGCCTTGGTAGCAGCGGCAGTCTTGGACGTCGCCTTTGAGCTGGTCTTGGTCGCGGCAGGCTTCTTAGCATCCGAAGCGGCCTTGGGGGCAGCAGCCTTGGCGGCCTTGGGAGGCATTGTGACGCGCTGTTTTATAGGGTTTGTGTTGATGTTGTTGCTTTTGCTTTGATAAGCGAAGAGAGGGAGCGAATATAGGGGCGATTTAATCAGCAAGAGGGCAAGAAAAAGCTTCAATTGCAGAGACAGGCGCTATGCAGTGCTTTCAAAAGACCCGAAACCGGTTTTTTCCCTGATGCAAAAAGAAACAGCGCGCGATGTGAGGTGCTGCGGGATAGATATAGGAGTGGCTCGATGATGGCAGGACGCGCCCAGGTGAGATTTTTTGCCCAGCCCTGGTGGGTGGCTCAGAGAAGCGGCCCCACACAAGGTTGGAACTTTACCAAAGCTCCTCCCAAAAAGGGCTGACCGCTTTTGGTTTGTCCGGCAGTAAGAACATCAATGGCCAATGAGCTCATTGTTTGGCTCCTCGCGCAAGCGGTGAATCGCAGCCCGCGATTACATAAGACGACAAGCAGAGACAAGAATGCGCCGTGTGTGACCTGATGCGCTGACATTGAATGAAAGTGATTTGCGCATCTCACATTGGGCTGACTATACGCAGGGAGGAGCATAGAAAACAAGCACCAGCGAATCGCAATCTCTCTGGAAATGATGACAATACGCTAAGCGTTTAGCTTATTATGTGTATGCTATTGATCTTAATCTCAATTATTGTTATGAATATTGCTAGTCTAAATGCCTCGCAAGGGAGGACACATGTATATTGAGCCGCCAAACGCCATTTCCCAATTGTGTTGATGGGATAACAATAACAACGGGACAGACCCAGATCCAGACCCAGAATAGCGACGCGCCCGCTGATTGGACGATCGCCGGCCTGCCAAAATTATGTACGTGCATGCAGCCTCTTTGTAAAATGTATGCAGCTGCAGCTTCAAGCCTGCAGCCAACCTATGAACCCGTAATTTCGCATTCCAATGCCGCCCTAAACGCCACCTCGGACCAAAAAGGGAGAGAAATAAGATGAGAAGACAATTATAGAAGAGAAAGACGAAAGACGATAGCTCGCTCTCTTTATTTATTTGGAAAAGTTGGTGAAGTCGATCTCGTTGGCGGGATTGTAGCTGCCATCGGTGGCTTTTTCGCAAGTGCAGCCAGCTATTCATCCAAAAGTCAGCACTCGCATTCTGTAGTGTACATGGAGATGTGGCGAGCAGCGCTTACCAGCTGGTCGAGCACCGCACTGGCAGGTTGAGCCTGAGACGGGCGCATTCTCCGTAGAGGCTCGGTCGCAGGTGCACTCGCCGGCAGGACGAGCACGGCATGAGCAGCGCGGGCCCTCGAGGACGTTCTCAGTGTTGGCCTTGGCGCAGGTGCAGTGAAGAGCAGATTGCTCGCCGCATGAGCAGGTGGCTTTCTGGGCTGTTTGCGAGGTTGATTGTTAGAATGCCGTTGCTGTTGGGTCAGAGTATCAGTGACGGAACTCACCACAAGCACACTCGGCGTCGGTGCCCTGGCGGCAGCAGGTGGTGGCCTTGACAGTCATTTTGGTGATGGTGGTGATTGTGGTGTTTGCTGAAGAAGAGATTGCGTGTGACCAAGTGTCGAATTGGATGCGAGTTGTGCAAGTAGATGCGGATGCGGATAGCAGTTGATATAGACGTCCCGATGTCTGCTTGGCCGGGCAGTGACGTCTTTTGTACCTGATTGTCGGTCCACTCAGCCTCGACGCCGCTGGGCTGATGACACTCGTTTTGGGTCAGATTGCGGCGATGCTGATTGGCTGTTTGGACGGGGCGAGATGGCTGGCCAATCAGCAATTGGACATTTCCAAGCATATGCCTGCAGCCTAGGAAGCGCTTCCAGAGGATGCGAAAGATGCGCCAGTGGCCATTTTCGTGGCTCGATTATTGCTAATCATTTGTTGTTGATTCTCTCTCTTCTAGTGAATACCAAAGTACTGTTGTTGAATGGTTTGTGGCGAGGGTTTTGAACCATGACAGTGGAGTCTGGTTCAATCCGAGTAATGAGCTACCCTATGAAAGCGAAGATACTTGAGCCAAGGGCCATGACTGGAGTTGAGAGACGTTTCTACGTGAAAATTTGTAACATGGGCAACTGTCAATAGAAACCTTTGGTGTTTTGGAGAGTGATAACTATGCACGCCAGTTGTGGATGAAGGCGCTCTTGACAAGCTGTTAGCTGTTGAAAACAATACAAAATACGCTAAATCTTTCGGCCATACCGCACAACCTTGGAGCTGCTTTCTACTGGGCGGGATGCAACCCTGGCGGAGCCATGATACTGATAAGAGAGATGCATGCGTAAATGCTCATTGCACACCTACTATCTGAAGAATCGACTTGCATATTGATCCGTCTGAGCAGTCACCCGCTCTACCTCTGAAGTGATATAGGAGGCCTATACTTGTGCGAAAACGACTTCCTCGCGCCCATTCTAAGCCACAACGACAAGCAAAATACCGGTAGTCATCACTGACTAAATGCCCTTGCTGCATGCTGCGACACGATCGAAATGAGATTAAGATACAGTAGCACCGTTTTAAGGTTAGCAGTTTCTGGGGAAGCATAAAATAGCCGCCCCCATTTGTCTCGGACCGCATTAGCGACCCCAATTTGACCCAAGGATTGCCGACTTAAGGACGTGATTGGGGTGCAGAGATGACACATGCCCTCTAGAAGTGTTCTCTCTTTGAGGAGACGCTCAACAGCCGCTTTCTACTGCCGAATCTCCACGGCTTGTGACTGGTTGTGGTGGCATATAGCCTGGATTCTACAGCGATCCTACGGGGTTGCATTCAACCAAGGCCGCCCACGTGCAAGCCGGTCTTCTCGGCGTCGTACCCCCCTCTCCGAGGAGCTGTAGCTGTAGATAGCGGTATAGAGAAGGATGGTAGAGTCGTATTTGGCATATTTGGGCTTGCTCCCTTGTAGGAGAGGGTGATCTGCATAAACAGCTATATGTAAGGGGTTTCCACTTAGTTGGATCCTGCGCCTGGAGCTTTTTTCACCTCTGCCTCTCGAAATTTTCTGTCGTCTGCTTGCCTGGCAATATACTCCAGCAGCCATATTGCACTGAAAATGTCATTCAAGACGGATGAAAAGGCCCAGGTGTCAACGCGTGATGTGCGCCAGGTCGCTGAGATAGGCCAAACCGCCACAGACAGGTGAGCGCAGCAGAAACGCGTGGGCTTAGAGAGATGTCTCTTTCTCCTACAGCTCACAACATAAGGCAGAAACAAGAAAAGAAAAATGAATCATGCTGACGATATCTGTGATGCTATAGATATGGCGCGGCCCTCGTAGCATACAATCCTGCAACCGAGCGCAGGCTGCGGCTGAAGATTGACTTTTACATCGTCCCAACAGTGTCGCTGCTGTATCTCTTTTGCTTTATTGATCGCGCAAACATTGGTAAGTCGATACCGAATTTTTTATTCATTTTTTTTTTTTGGACTCGCTCTCATAAAGTGATGCATAGGTAACGCAAAAATCGCCGGCCTCGCAAGCGATCTCAAACTGGAAGGATACGACTACAATGCCATCATCTCCGTCTTCTTCGTCTCCTACATCATCTTCGAGATCCCGGCAAACTTGGCCTGCAAATATATAGGACCAGGATGGTTTCTTCCGTTGATTACGGTTTTATTTGGCGTGTGCTCTTTATCAACTGCATATGTCAATACCTTGGGCCAGGCGGCCGCTGTCCGATTCTTGCTCGGTATTTTCGAGGCCGGGATGATGCCTGGAATTGCCTACTACCTATCTCGCTGGTATCGCCGCTCCGAGCTGGCTTTTAGACTATCTCTATACATTGTCATGTCGCCGCTGGCTGGAGCTTTTGGAGGCCTGCTCGCATCTGCCATCCTCAATCTTGACCACGTTGGCGGTGTTCATAAATGGCGGATGATTTTCGTTGTCGAGGGCATCATCACCATTGGCCTTGGCCTTGTTGGCTTCTTGACCTTGACTGATCGCCCAGAAACGGCGCGCTGGCTGTCTCAGGAAGAAAAAGACCTGGCTATTGCGCGCATCAAGTCTGAGAGAATTGGTACCACCACTATTCTCGATAGCATGGACAAGGGCAGGATCAAGAGAGGCATCTTTAACCCTGTGACAGCCAGCACATCCTTCATATTCCTCTTGAACAACATCACGGTCCAGGGACTGGCATTCTTTGCCCCGACTATTGTTGCCACTCTGTTCAAGGGAAAGACGACAACCCAACAGCAGCTGCTGACTGTGCCACCATACGTGGTTGGAGCCTTCTTCACCGTCTTGTTCCCGCTCCTGAGCTGGCGCCTCGACAGGCGGCAGATCTTCATCATCCTCTCTGCGCCCATGGTCATGGTGGGATATGCAATGTTCCTAGGCTCAACGGATCAAAAGGTCCGATACGGCGCAACGTTCCTCATCGCCTCCTCCGCATTCGCTCTTGGACCACTGACGAATGCGCAAGTTGCCGCAAATGTTGTCGGTGACACGGCTCGCAGCGCGGCAATTGGCACCAATGCCATGATGGGCAGTGTTGGCGGTCTGATTAGCGGATGGGCGTTTCTTCCCTTTGACGCACCGGATTACCACATTGGAAATGGACTGAATTTGGCCACGTCGGGAACCGTCTTGATTTTGGCTACACTGACGCTGTTGTGGATGATTCGGGACAACAAGAAGAGGGGGAGCAAAGATGTTGACGCCGAGTTGAACGGTCTGACTCAGGAACAGGTTGAGAACTTGGACTGGAAGCATCCAGCGTTCCAGTGGAGATATTGAGTACAAGTATAGCTATGTCACTTTTCAACAAACTTTTCACAATTCCCACCTCAACAGGCTCATTTCTCCTGGAGTGTGTATGAGATACTGTGACATGGTTATGCAAATGATTTGTCAAGTCTTATGGCAAGGCTGCTAGTACCCGTGAAATAACCTCCCGTGCTTCAGCAAGTTCCCGTTGCCACAGGTTACATATGACTGCACTCACTCCGTTGATCGGCCCTGAGCTCTGTAGGACTATCAGTTCACTGGGTATGCTCTTTTTTGCTACTTATACCTGGCTATAATCCTCCCAGGTCCATGAAAATACTTTTACCAGATCTTTACAGACGGGCAATATGATGCCCTCTTCAACTACAATTATGAATCTATTTTATAGGCATTACACTCAGCCAACAGGCCATACATTTGGATGTGAAATTACGGAAGGGTACTTGATACCAATATTCGCGCACCGCACCAGCGTCTTCTTTTTCTGGCACATCTACAAAGAGGGATCATGCCAAAATCCTCCTCTCAAGGACATTCTAGAAGCACGCACGCCATCGACGGAAGTACTGAGCATTATGTGGAGGTTGATCATGAGCCTATCAGAGTGTTGTGAGTTCACTACCCAAGTCTCATTCAGGCCAAATCTGAAGTTTTCGAATCTTGAATACAGTACGCTAACATTTACATAATATTAGATTTATAAACCAATCCCAACTCTCATTGATACACGCTACAGAATTACTGCTGAAGGAGCCAAAATTGTGTCAGCTCCACTACAATCACAATAAACTTTTGAACCGTATCGGCGTGGATGTGCGACATGTCAGTCCATCACATAACCAGCGCGATCAACCGAACAAAAGACACTTCAACAGCAAGCAAAACGACAGGACGACGTCGGATGCCCGGTTATCCATGGCCCGCTCCATGATTGAGTTTGGAATTGACTCGAAATACAATACCCTCTTGCTCATTGCATATGAGAAGTTCACTACAATCACCAACTTTCCGGTCATTCGTCATGACAGATACCACCTACCCAGCGAAGAACATGGCGTTCTATGCCGCCATCGCAGGATGCTTCGTTGGCCTCTTCTCGTTGCTCGCCATTCCCCGTGTGATCGCCATGCTCGTCGCTCGATTTCGCGAGAAGCACCAACAGCGTCGTGATGTACATAGGCTGCTGCACTTAGGGAACTGAAAGGCTGAGGAACTTGCCAGTGACTCGTACACCAACGCAAAACTGGCGACATCCGAAAGGATGACCAAGAGGAAGCCAAAACACTAGCTCTGCCCAAGATTCGAAATAAGCTGCCAAAGGAGATACCACAGCAAATTCAGGAAGTGCTCAAGTGAAGCGATCCTCACACGGGCTATTCGACACCGTTATAGAGACAATCACAAAGGGAAAATCGGACCAGGCTCACTCCCACAACTGGATTAATCGGTCTTTTGGATATGGCAAAGAAATTTGGCTCGTTATATTATCGAAGAGGACCAGCATTGCGAAGCTTTCTGTGTGGATACTTGTATACGACAGTAAGTTGTCAACCCTCTCGAGCTTTTCGGTTGGGTCAAAGTCCAATTATTGCTTTGATCGAAACGAACAGCTGCCCGTACCCCTTTCAGTGAATTAAGCAGGCTAATGAAGCAATAGACCTAAGGACGTTGTACTATCGAACAGCTTGAGCATTACCCTTCCAATGCTTCGGCAAACGCGCGAAGGTCAGAGATCAACATTACCACCGCCATTTCACTCGTTCAAGTCTGTTTTGACCAGTATGTCGCCAACGATTGCATCTGGCAGATATGTCTACATGCCCTCAAATGATCCTATTACAATATATTCTGAAACCAACCAGCTCAAGAGCTTTCGCGATCAAAGACACATGGACCAAGACAAGTTCAGCAAGCAATATTTCTGACAATGTGGTTCTATTTTATAATTTACAACAACATTTTCTACTATGAGACCACGGTTTTATATGCCTATACAATTCGTCCAAATGGCCGCTTCCATCATTGTCGATGAAGCTGGGCGTCTTATCAAGGCCACGACCTCATGTGCACCTATATCGGGTGTATGCCAACCCATTGAAGAGAAAACAAAGGTCAATCGAATAGCGCGACAATATGAATCCATCCGAATCAATCTCGTCCCACGTTGAAGGCACATAGAGGCACGACACTATGAATCGCCTGGGGGAGCTAAGCTACGACGAGTCATACAGGGAAATTGTTAAGGAACACGGACAGAAGGCTGCCACCAATTCTTTCTATACCCCAGCTGCTCCTGTCACCGGGCCTACGGGAGACGATCAGGGAGAGACAGTCAACGAGGTGCCATTTCGACTGCAAACCTATCCGTGACAGACCTTCAGACTTCAACAAGATACAACCACTGGACAACGTTATATGACCCGCCTTCTCTTCAGTTAAAGGCGATAAACACCCAGAGCCGGCGAAAAAGATTAAAGAAAACGAAAATGAAGAACGCGAAACAACAGACACAAACGCCCACACCGCGCAGATTAAACACGTCAAAGAGCAGCACCGGAAGTGCCTCGAGGAATAGGATGACCCTAACGCCTCTGATGACTCTGTTATCGACCTCACAAACGAGAGTGACGAGATTGCTCGCGCATCCGTGGAGATTGGGACATTAAAAGAGGGGACTTTATGATCACACGGCTGATGGCATTTTGCAAAACATCTTGCTCGAGCAGCCCTCATTGTTGGGTACAATGTAGGAGAACTTTTGGCAAAACAGCTGCATAGCTTATGAACACCAAAAAGCGATATTATGGCCACTGAGCGGATTGTATCTTCACCCACGACTCCTCAAGCGAAAGTCAGCGACGAGATTATATCCTCAGGTTAGACGAGGAGAGGCGTGGAGAGTATGCGCATTCGTATGCTGATTTCAAAGCGCAGGCGTAAAGCCTGGGATTCCATTCCGATGAAGATTATTATTTTTTCATTGATGTGTATCAACTGGCATTTTTTTTCATTCGATCAACTGGCTTACTTCATATCATGCCTTCTCTCCCTGATTGGGGCGATAAACTAGAGGTTATTTACAAAAACTGGCTGTATGCAACAGCAATTAGCTCGATGGCAATATTCAAGCAAACCAAAAGCAAAACAGGACTATTAGTACATCTAGTAATACAGAATTGACAATACTTTATGCATGGAATCTTGCATCTAGAACCAGCACATGTCTACAACTTCATTTAGCTCATCCCGCCATTAAAGGGGTTAAATCGGTCATCAAGACCATGGAATGAGGACTGATAATAGTCGCCTCCCCAGTTTCCCAGGTCTCCATGTGGCGTGAGCTCTCCCGGAGCATAGAATTGATCAGTCATGGGGAAACTATTGGCTATATCCCCATCGTTAGGATCCGAGACGCCATTATTCCAGGACTGAACGGCCATGGAATCCATCGGGTCTGCCACGGCCAAAGGTGCCATGAATGACATGTGCCCCGAAAAGCTCTGATCTAGCATGCCCATCGCCGCCGGTGTAGGATCCGTCGTTGAAGGCTCGGGAACCAAGTTGCTGCCGCGCCTTTGCCCCCCGTCCTTGACAATGGTTCGAACGCTGTCTCGGGGGCCGTAAACAGAGTTCTTGATGCTGCCGCTCTCTTCGGAGCACTCGTCCATCATGACAACGCCAGAGTCGGGGCGGGGCAGTATTTCCCGTCCCTTTCGGGGGATGAGACTTTGGAAGCTCTGTACGCGAGGTGGTTCGTTTCTCTTGTTGCTGCGATTGGTGTAGGGCATGCTCTGCGCGGCGCCTATGCATCGCTCTACGGCCTCCATAAAGCACTGTTGGAACTTGGAGGTCAGAGTCTCAAGCGTTGCGGGGTTTGAGATCTTGTCGCGAAGAGAAGAGTGAAGGACTTCGAAAGATGACATGTAGTAATTGGAAAGCTCGAAATGCTCAATGACGGGAGTAAAATCTGGTTTGAATAAAGTTAGCGAGTGTGTAAACTTTTTCTCTCTTCCTCGCCTTGGAGATGGAATGCATACTGTATGGGTGAATCTGGTGGTCCTCATCATCCGGGAACAGGATATTCCAGATTTCTTTCCATTGAGCCTCGAGAGAGGCTCCACTGGCCCTCTTTCGAGACAGGAGCTTGATCGACGTAGTTCCGTCGACCCCTGACTCTGGGTCATGATCCAAGATGTCGCACATTTCTTCTTTGGGCAGACGCTGATGGTCTCGAAGCTCTTTCCGAGTATGAAAATCACGGTTACATCTATCGCAAACAAATGCAGAGGGGTCGTCTCGCTTGTGCTGTTTAACAATGTGCTGTCTATGGATGGGTATTAGCGGCAGTCTCAAATGTATATGGTTGGACAGGATGAGATGTGTATTTCGGCGCATTTACCTTAGCTCTGCAAACTTGGGAAAATAAGTCATGGCACAGGAGTGATGGTCCCTGACATTAAAACGCGACGGATTTCTCTTTCTGTACGGGCAGCTCAGGCGTAGGTTCTCGTCGTCCTTGGGATTTGGGCGCAGCTTCTTGAGCGGATTGTACCCCAAGCCTTCGCCGTCGGTGAACTCGCCGTCATCTTCATCGCCTCGCGCTTGCTTCTTTCTCTTGCCTGCCGACGAAGAGTCTCCGCCTCCGCTGCCACCTTGCGAGCTACCGCCTTGCGAAGGAGTCGACGAGTTGCTCGACGATGACATGACTTGTGTCATATCAGCGTCCGCTAACGAGGTCCAAAAGGAGCTTCCAACATCACCAACAAACTTGCACACAAGGCGTCGTACCGCCGGCGTCACCTTGGATGACTCTTCCTGAAGGTCCACCCCAAAGACTAGTTGGAGCGTATAGTTTAGAATGGCCTCTGTGTCCTGGGAAGACACGTCGTCCGAAGCAGACGAGGTAGTGTCCCACTTGGGCGAGAGAGACGGCTCAGCGGTGGCGGCCTCGAGCTGCGGCCATTGATAGGAGTCACTTGGCGTCAGGCTCTCCTCCTCCTCCTTGATAGGGGAGACCTTGGACGAGCTAGCGGGGAGAAGTCAATATTTACGAGCGCGGGAGCTGCCTCAAGAGAGCCGCTGTGCTTGCCTTGTAGATTGATCCAGATAGTCACTATCGCTGAGAGGAACCGGAGTGACTGGGGAGGCTACGTGAATCTCCAGTAGCCGGGCGCTGAGGTCCGGGTATCCTGCAAAAGAAAAGGCGTCGTCATCGTCGTTGGCGTGAGAGCAGAGAGATCCCGTGGAAGAGCGGTGCCGCCGATGATAGACGCGGCTGGCTGGGCGCGAGGTGTCGATGGAGTGGCCGCAGAAGTCGCTGAGGTCGCTGGCGTAGCTGGTGCTGATGGGGCTGGCCAGCGTCGAGTGCGAATACGTCGTGGCCGAGTCGGGCACGTTGGCCGACGAGATGCTGCTCCGGGTCGAGGCGGTCCTGGAGCGCAGGCGGAACGAATGGGGGGCAAAGTGCAGGTTCTCCGGGAACTGCTTGCGCTGGGCAAAGGGGGCGACGCCTTGGCTCTCGATGCTGGACCGCGGCGTCGTCGGGGCGAGAGACTCTTTGGACCGCGAGTCCTGGCGCAGGTGCAGCGGGATGTGGTTGACGGCGAGGCCTGGTGTGCGATCTCCCTGCTCGAGTGGATTCTCGGCCATGGACTGAGCCGCGGAGAAACTTGCTCGCCTCACGGTCATGGAGTGCTGAAGCGTGCTCGTGGATTATACCAGCTCACGAATACACCAGCAGACTGCGAGTGCCTGTCAGCGCCATTGTGAAGTTGAAGACGGTGTTGTTGAATAAAGCAGAGAGATTGAGGGAAAAGCGCAACGCCAACCTACATTAAAATTATAGTATATCAAAAAAAGAGACGGGAAACGAAGGGACGAAGGGAAACGATTAAAGAGAATTAATTGCCGGAAAAGGGAGGTTGCCTCTCCAGAACGCCTCGCCAGTCGTCGACTGCAGGATCCTTTGTATTTAGCAGCACTCGCAGCACATGGCATCCCCCAGATAAGGCCGCTGGGAGTGCCTTGCCGACTGCTGAAATTGCCAGCCTGGACGCCTTCTCGACTCCAGTCGTGCGTTTTTGCCTACTGGCCCGACTGTCTAGTGTCTCGCGCTGGGGTCTCGTCTTTGCCTAGACGGGCCAGAAAGAGGCATCCTTCGTGGGGACAGCAGCCGGAGCTGCGCCTCTGATTCGCTCATGGTGGCGGCTGTTACATGGGGAGCGCTGCTGACGCAGGCAGAGACGATCTGTCGAGGCAGCCCTATGGTTCGCATCGCATTGAATCGCATCGCGATGAGGACAGGCCTGCATACTAAGTGGTCGCGTCTGCCACCATCCTGATCGGGCCTCGCTGCCTGTCAACGCCGCCAAACGCGGAAAGGCACAAAGGGCCTGGACGCCATCTTGCTTGCCTGAGGCCGGATGGGCGAACCATTCAAACGTTGGACATGCCCGGCTCCGATTTGGGGCTTCAGTAAGCGCCAGCTGAATGTCCGTCATCGTCCCATTGAGCGATGGGGAGGCCCCCCTGGCAGGACGTGCCTTAATCTCTGATCCGGCGGGACGGCGCGCATTAGCACAGCGCCTATGGGGGGCAGAGAAGGCCAAACAAGAGCAGGTTGTTGTTTATCCCAATTTCATTTGTGTCAGTTGATCCAGGAAAAGACGACCTGAAGCAGCGACGCCGGTTTAGAAATAACGTTTCAACGTGGGAGAGACAGCCTGCGTGACGGCAGATTGTTGATGGCGGCGGCCGTAGATTTAGTGTCCCATGTCCGGTTCTCGTCAATCTGGCCGTTTACAACCCGATTCTCGCCTCTCGTTGGTTCATGGAGACAAACTGGTACATCACCGATGCTCTGAGTGAGCCTTGGGTACCAGAAGTGGCATGATTCTATAATTGCTTCTCTACGGGGCCCGAGTTGTGAAGTAGACCTACACACAACGTGGAGGGTGGTTTAGCTCTTGGCTGAGTTTTGCGCATAGGCAGTCGTGGCCTGATGACGATGGTGATAACGTCTTGTTGAGATTGCCAGCTTTACAAAGCCTAGGCCTCAGAGTGTAGGACATTGGTAGATGTGTGTACATGTGTAGATGGGAGATTGATAATACATCTATGTAGTTGCCGGCGTATAAGAAGAGAATAGGGCCTACTTGACAATATATTCACCAAGATTCAATTGTATCTTTCAAACTTGTGCATTTGCTTGCCAATTATCCAAAACTCAGCTCGAAAGCCTTGATACCATCACAACCAACAACTATTCAATCCCATTTCCTTTTCCAGCCATCATGACCTCTCAGCAACCTCGCAACGGCAACTCAGCCTCCAACCGATCTCCGTCCAAGTGAGACTATGCCCCATTCTCTCCCACTGCCAGATCGGCTCCCTCCAAGCCAGCCACTAACCGTCGCTGTACTCGGCCATGTCCGCTAACATTCTACGCTACAGCAGCACAGCCCAGGACCCGGCCATGCTCTCCAGGTTCCTGTATGACAGAACCAGCCTGTCCGATCGCCTAGTAGCGAGATCGTTCAATGCCGCAACTCAAAACCGCCCCAATGGGCATGAGGCGAGCGCATCTGAGCTGGAGTATTACATGTCGCAGAGCATGAACAATGCAGATGCCACTGCAAACCCAAGTACGAGTGCAAATACGCAGGCAGGCAGGGCGACTGGGAGATGAGGACAGGACAGGACAGGACAGACGCCAGAGTCAGTCGGGACCAGCTTTTACTTGGCATGGAGCAGAAGTGCCGATATCAACAAATCATGAATCAGCAGCACGGAATGGTGGTGTATACGAATTGGCCATCATGGCCTTCGTGTCACGCTGCCCAGCATTGCACCTGGAAGGATGCTGGCTGGCAAGGATTGGCGCCGAGTCGCCATGTGGACAAGCAGATGCAGATGCAGTGATGGGCGCGGCCTTGAGTCCACGGTTACGGGGGCCGTTATTATTAGCAGTATGGAGCAGCGATAGCGTGTATTATTAGGCACACTTACAGGTGCCATGTCCTTCTAGAACAGCAACTTGAGCCTCATTCTAGTCTGCAACTGCCATGCCCCTCTCGAGAGTGGTGACAACATCCCCACCATCTCGGCGTGTCCTAGGACTGTAAGCACCTTAGTCTGATAGGTGGTGTCGAGAATGTAGTTGGAAAAGGGGTATCTTGATTAATAGCTACAGGGTAATAGTACGACAACGAGCAGTGCGTCAATCTCTACGGGTTACACACGAGACCAAGCCATCGTCTAGCGGGCGGCAAATCATGGTCGAGCATTTACTTGGAGGAGAGCGTGCATCATGAAGCCACCTGGGCCAGCTTCCGGCGTTTGTTCCTCTCGTCTTGTTCGGCCAGGACGCGGGCCGTCAACGTTGCCGCCATTGAGTTGTTGATGCCCTTGATTCTCGAGTCTGTTTCCTTCTTTGCCCGGCTAGCATCGCTCTTCTTGGACTTGTCGTCCTTGTTTTCACCGTTTGCCTCCTCTTCTGCTTCTCCGGCCTTGCGCTTCTTCTTCTTTTCAGACTTGCCCTTCTTCAGCGTGTGTGTAAGGCCGTTTGCCTGTAAATCTTCGATCCGCTTCTGTAACCTGTCCAAGTCTTTCTCAGCAGTTGGGAGAATGGCAATAACGTTCTCTTGGGTAAAGGCTTCGCCACACTCCGGGCAGGCCTCTTCTTTGATCTCCGTAATGGCAACCTCTGCAAACACATGGCCGCACGGCACCAGATAGACGGATTTTGTTGTCGGTCCCATCTCCTTCATGGATATCGGGCAAGCCCACTTGTCGCCCTTCTTGGAGAACTTGAGCTTCGCCACATCGCGAAGCGAGCGGATGCCCACGGCTGCTGGTGTCACCTCGTTGGGGTCGTCCGAAGGCATCAAGCCCTGCAGAATGGCTTCGTAGTTGTAGAGTCTGCCTCGCCAGTCCGAAACGACCGATTCCAGGTCGATGGGCGCGTCGCTGAGGGCGCAGTGCGCCCACGCATGGGCGAGAGATTCGAGGGCCGTCGCCTTGAGTTCCGAAATCGTCGGTGCGCGCGCTGCGTTCTGCACAAGCTCGCGGCGCTTGGGGATGGATCCGCCGTCATTGCCCATGGCTGCTGGTGGTCCGTGATGATGTGTGATAACGGTGTAGAGATGGGCGTAGTCCAAAGGATTCACAAAGTTTGGCAATTGTGCGTCACTCAGAACTTCATGTGGCGTTGCATGTGAGAGAGTTCTCAACGGAGAAGCCGCCGAAAGTGTCGAGAATAGTGGCGCTGCTGTTAGTGCCTGACTCTGTTGTAGACTAGAACCTTATTAGAGCGCCAGGGAGCTCACCCGGCCGCCAATGCGTATCGATAGCAGCTTTCCGCGCATGTGCCGCTGTCAGTGCCGGCATCAAGCCTTTGCACTGTACTCCCAGCTCTGCCCCATACATACAAAAGCAGCGCGGGCACAGTGCAGACAAACGCGCAGCGATACATGAGGCTTAACATACTCTTCTGTCCTACCCCAACCTCATACCTCTTTCAAAGCACTCTGTCGGGGACGCCATGACAGCGTGACCGTAGGTTGCCAGCGAGGCATTCCTTTGTTTGTGTTACATTTCTCATACTTAGCACTCTGCGACGACAATTTCCGAATTTTCATTACTCTACAACTCGTCGTCCATCGCGCGTCATCCTGATTACCTGGTGCGGTTTCGACCTCGCAGTCGAGTCGAGCCTCTGCCATCTTCAGCCTCGGTGCGGTTACATGGGACGATTCCATTGAAGCTCTAGCTCGACTTGGGGACGATGGCGCAGGCACAGCAGCTCGCTCTCGAGCGACTCGAGTACATCACAAAGGGATTGCGGTCAAGGTGAGCTGCCATGGCGGGGAGAAATCGTTGGAGTGACGCAGCCGGCTGACTTGGGTTGTCTAATCTTCAGGGCCAACGACGATGTGCGCAAACGATCAGCAATCCAGCTTCGAGAGCTGGTGGTCGTATGCCATAGAGGTGAGACGACGCCGTCTTTCTCTTCCCGCCTCTGAGGGACCGCTCAATTAACAACCTCGCAGATCTCAGCCCCGAGCTGTTCCTCTCATTCTACAACAACGTCAACAACAAAATCACCCAACTCATCACACATGGCAGCGACTCTGCAGAGAGGCTCGGCGGCATTTATGCCCTGGACTCTCTGGTCGATTTTGAGGGAGTGGATGTGGCGGCAAAATATACCAGGTTCACTCAGAACCTGAAAACCATCCTTCGTGGCAAGGACACCATGCCTATGCGGCATGCTGCGATTGCCCTCGGAAAGCTTTGCCGCCCAGGAGGAGCCATGATTTCCGAGTTGGTGGATTCAGAAGTAAACACAGCTCTGGAATGGCTGCAGAATGATCGGGTCGAGGAACGTCGCTACAGCGCTGTTCTCGTTCTTAGGGAGCTTGCGCGAAACGCCCCCACCCTCATGTACCAGTATATCCCAACCATTTTTGACTGGATCTGGGTTGGCCTTCGCGATCCAAGGCAGCTCATCCGCGAAACCTCGGCCGAGACTGTTAGCGCATGTTTCCGCATCATTCGTGAGCGAGACCAGGAGATGAAGCAGATATGGATGAGCAAGATTTACAACGAGGCAAGACAGGGCCTGAAAGTGAACACGGTCGAATCCATCCATGCATCCCTGCTTGTATTGAAGGAGCTCCTTGAACAAGGAGGAATGTACATGCAAGACCATTACCAGGAAGCCTGCGATATCGTCTTCAAGCACAAGGATCATCGTGATCCAACCACTCGCAAGACAGTCGTCCTGCTAATACCGGATTTGGCAAGCTACTCTCCAGCTGATTTCGCCCATACGTGGCTTCACAAATTCATGGTCTATCTCTCCGGCATGTTGAAAAAGGACAAAGAGCGTAACGATGCTTTCCTCGCCATCGGAAACATTGCAAACTCCGTCAAGAGTGCCATTGCCCCGTACCTCGATGGCGTTCTCATCTATGTGAGAGAAGGCCTCAGTGTACAGTCTCGCAAGAGGGGCTCTGTTGACCCCGTATTTGACTGCATCAGCCGTCTTGCAGTGGCCGTCGGTCAGACGCTGAGTAAATACATGGAGGCTCTGCTTGACCCCATCTTTGCCTGCGACTTGACGCCTAAGCTGACACAGGCTCTTGTTGACATGGCCTTTTATATCCCACCTGTCAAACCCATCATCCAAGAAAGGCTGCTCGATATGTTGAGCGTTGTTCTTTGCGGTGAACCATTCAAGCCTCTCGGCGCGCCGCAGCCAAATACCTTGACTTCAGTGCCGACCATCACCAAGGACGCCAAAGATCCACAGGCGTATGAAAATCGCAAGACGGAGATCAAGCTTGCCCTCAACACGCTGGGAAGTTTTGACTTCTCTGGACATGTTCTCAATGAATTTGTTCGAGACGTGGCCATCAAATATGTGGAAGACGAAGACCCAGAAATAAGAGAAGCTGCGGCTCTTACGTGTTGCCAGCTCTACGTTCGGGACCCAATTGTCAACCAGACCAGTTACCATGCCCTCCAAGTAGTTGGTGATGTTATTGAAAAACTACTTACTGTCGGCATCTCAGATCCAGAGCCAAATATTCGACGGACTGTGCTGGCTGCTCTTGACGAACGTTTTGATCGTCACTTGGCCAAGGCCGAAAACATCCGTATCCTCTTCTTCGCCTTAAATGACGAAGTCTTCTCCATCAGAGAAGTGGCTATTTCCATCATCGGCCGACTTGCTAGATATAACCCCGCATATGTTATTCCTTCCTTGCGAAAGACGCTCATCCAGATGCTCACTGAGCTCGAATTCTCGGATGTCGCTCGAAACAAAGAGGAGAGTGCCAAGTTGCTGAGCCTCTTGGTCCAAAACGCACAATCTCTCATTAAGCCATACGTCGATCCAATGATCTCAGTCCTTCTTCCCAAGGCTAGCGATCCCAGCCCCACGGTCGCTGCCACTATTTTGAAAGCCATCGGAGAGCTGGCTACTGTCGGCGGAGAAGATATGCTACCGTACAAGGATCGCCTCATGCCCCTAATCATTGATGCCCTGCAAGACCAGAGCTCAAATATCAAACGAGAGGCGGCTCTTCACTCTCTTGGCCAGCTGGCCAGCAATTCTGGATATGTCATAACGCCTTACTTGGAATATCCCCAGCTATTAGAAATCCTGCAAGCCATTATTAGGACAGAAGACCAGAGAGGGCCTTTGCGCCAGGAGACGATCAAATTGATGGGAATCTTGGGCGCGTTGGACCCCTATAAACATCAGGTGAGCTACTTGCCTCCCCCTTGCCCCCCCCCTTGCCTCCCCCATTGTCTACCTTCTCTTCAAACACCAAGCATCAAGAATCAAATGCACATGCAATTTACTAATGGCGAAATGTAGCAGGTTGAGGAGAAAACGCCTGAAATGCAGCGACGTTCCGAGTCAAACCAGTTAACAGACATATCATTAATGATGACTGGGTTAACACCGTCCAACAAGGAGTATTTCCCCACAGTCGTCATCAACGCCCTTTTGCAGATTCTCAAGGACCACTCCCTGGCCCAGCATCATGCCGCTGTTATTGAAGCCATCATGAACATCTTCAGGACTTTGGGATTAGAATGCGTGTCATTCCTGGATAGAATCGTCCCTGCGTTCCTGCTTGTAATTCGATCACCCCCCCCTACCCGTCTAGAGTCGTATTTTAACCAGCTGGCGACGCTGGTGAGCATTGTGCGGCAGCACATCAGAAATTATCTCCCTGAAATCGTGGAAATTCTTCAAGAATACTGGAATAAATCGTCGTCATTGCAAACTACGATTCTGTATTTGGTCGAGGCCATATCGCGATCTCTCGAGGGCGAATTTAAAATCTATCTGGCATCTCTTCTGCCTCTGATGCTGGGCGTGCTTGACAAAGATGCGTCTCCAAAGCGAACACCTTCTGAGAAAGTACTTCACGCATTTCTGGTTTTTGGAGCCAGTGCCGAAGAGTACATGCATCTCATCATCCCTGTCATCGTGAGGACTTTTGAGAAACAGGGGCACCCAACTTTTCTCAGGAAGCAAGCCATTGATACCATTGGCAAGATTTCTCGTCAAGTCAATTTGAACGACTTTGCGGCCAAGATTATTCACCCCTTAACCAGAGTGCTTGATACGGGAGAGCCACAGCTGAGACTAGCTGCGCTTGATACCCTCTGTGCCTTGGTCCAACAGCTTGGACGAGACTATATACACTTTATGGGGACCGTGAATAAAGTCATCAATCAGCACCAGATCCAACATCAAAACTACGATCTTCTGGTTAGCAAGCTACAGAAAGGAGAGGTTTTGCCGCAAGATTTGACATCAGACGCACAGCTTTTGGATATTGGAGATGAAACTCCATTTGCGGATCTAAACAATAAGAAGTTGGAGATGAACGCTATACACCTGAAAGCTGCTTGGGATACAAAGGGAAAATCGACCAAAGAGGACTGGCAGGAATGGCTACGAAGGTTTAGCACTACGCTGCTCACCGAATCGCCAAACCATGCCTTGCGAGCGTGCGCCAGTCTTGCAAGCGTCTACTTGCCACTGGCACGAGAGCTCTTCAATTCTGCCTTCGTTTCTTGTTGGAGCGAGTTGTATGAACAGTTTCAAGACGAACTGATCCAGAACATTGAGAGCGCCATCAAGTCGGAGAATGTGCCCCCTGATTTGCTCGGTCTTTTGCTCAATTTGGCCGAGTTTATGGAACACGATGACAAGGCGCTGCCCATCGATATCCGAGTACTTGGTAGGGAAGCGGCTCGGTGTCACGCCTATGCAAAGGCGCTGCATTACAAAGAACTGGAATTTCTGCAAGATCAAAGCAGTGGTGCTGTAGAAGCTCTGATTGTAATCAACAACCAGCTACAACAGTCGGATGCAGCCATCGGTATTTTGCGGAAAGCTCAACTGTACAAGGAAGGCATTCAGCTCCGCGAAACATGGTTTGAGAAATTGGAGCGATGGGAAGAAGCGTTGGCCTCTTACAACAAGCGTGAGAAGGAGGTGCCCGCTGATCAACCAATCCCCATCGATATCGTCATGGGCAAGATGCGCTGTCTCCATGCCCTGGGCGAATGGGATGCGCTCGCCAGCTTAACTGGCAGTACCTGGGCCAACTCTGCCCCTGAAGTCCAAAGAATGATTGCACCTCTTGCTACGGCTGCTGCGTGGGGTC